ACTACAAGACAAGACTACAAGACAAGACTACAGGACAAGACTACAGGACAAGACTACAAGACAAGACTACAAGACAAGACTAGCACAAGACAAGACTAGTACAAGACAAGACTACAAGACAAGACTACAGGACAAGACTACAGGACAAGACTGACTACGCGAAAAGACCACCCTACCTACGGGACAAGACTACAAGACAAGACCACCCTGCGGGACAAGACTACGGGACAAGGCTACAAGACAAGACTACAAGACAAGACCGACTACGCGAAAAGACCACCCTACGGGACAAGACTACAAGACAAGACCACCCTGCGGGACAAGACTACGGGACAAGGCTACAAGACAAGACGACAGCACAAGACTACAAGACAAGACCACGAAGCAGGACTACGCACAGAACAAGACTACAGCCAGGGCGGGACTACAGGACAAGACTACAAGACAAGATAAGACTACAGGAGAGGACTGCCGGAGGAGACTGCGGGAGGGGACTACGAGACAATACCGTGGAAGGAGACTACGGGAGCTACGGGGCAGGAGCTACAAGACAGAACTACAAGGCAGGAGCACGGGACAACACTACAGGATAAGAGCAGAGGACAACAAGACCACACAACAAGACTACAGGACAAGACTACAGGACAGCACTAGCACTACAGAACAGGACTACAAGACAAGACTACACGACGAGACAAGATAGGACTACACTACAGGACAGGACTACAGAACAGGCTGGAAACGTCTAGAGAGGTAACAGAAACCGCGACCGAAGTCCTAGGGGCCTAGAATTCCGGACATGCCAGCATGAGGCTCGAGTAATTTCCATTTTAGCATATTTGGATGGCGTCGCCCCGTTTCGTGTAAGTAATTAGCAAATCTCGAACCATCTATATCCTCGCACTTACTCACACTCAGTCTGTCACTGCAACGCAACTACAACTACTACTACATCTATTCAATACTATTCAGGTAACTCACATCAACCAGCTAGCTCCATGCTAGATCTTAGTGCCCCTGTCAAGATAGTCCTGAGCACATCCATAACTGCAGATCCCACGATTCCACTACCGATGCCCTCCTTGCTCACGAAGCCCAGATCCAAGATGTTCTCCACAATGTATTTGATCCCAATCAATAGCCGGGTTTCTATTAATTAAAGCTCAGCATTCAATAGTCACTGATGCTGAACGGAAGAGACCCCCTCCAAAGCTCTCCCCTTTCCCTTCCTTTTCCCCTATTCTCTAAAGGGGTCGCTTCTTCGATCTCAGTGACCAACCCCAAACCCAATGACCATTGAAAGCCGAGCCTTAAATTAAGTCATTACTTTTTTCTTTGTCGAAGATGTTAATTGGGCTCTGTTCCTTGTCCTTCGCCCTCCTAGGTTTTTGTTTTTTGTGCGCCACGACAAAAAGTTTGCGATAGTCTTCTCCAAGCTGAAGCCAGGAGTTGGTTAAAAGCTGCCACTCCGCATACCGCTTCTCCGCAAGGTCTTCCCGCAGTTCTGTTGGCTTGAAATCTCCACCACAACAAGTCTCGCAACAGCCCTCTGGATCATGCTTTGCCCCGGTCGGATCCCAGCTACACAAAGGTGTTGATCTTCTATCAGCACCTGGGTCAGTAGTCCTTTCCGTGATGTCGCACCAGTAAGAGCCAGTGCCCGTGAACCTGCTGCTCTGATCTTGTCTTTCGCAGTAGTCCTTTATCTCCTTGTTTCGACACTCCTGAAGACCACTCCGAGCCAACAGGCGAGCCTCGCTCCTATCAGTTCCTAGAGTTGCACCAACAAGAAAACCCTGAAGCCAGGAAGTCGTGAAGATGATGAGCGACATAGAAATGATAGCACGTGGAAAGTAGACACGCCACGTTGGAGCAACACGAAAGCAACGCATCTCGCTCGGTCGTGACATTCTTCCGGTAGTTCTCCAGGAGTCCTGTTTGTTATCGAGACTGAAATTGAACTTGAAGTGTGAATCCAGTAACGAGAAGTTCTTCGATATATTTTTGGATTTGTGATTTCTCTCGTTGTTTCGGATGTTCAAACAACCAGAGGCAAGGAAAGGGCATCACCTCTAATAGTTACAAGCAACTCAGTCACGACCTGCTTGAATGCTTCCACTCATCGAGCATGATGTCGTTCCCCTCATTTAGGCCCTTCTTACTTAGGTGGAACGACATTCTCATATCTTCGTTCTCAATGTCATTATGAGTGGCATCCTACACTGATAATTGTAAGAACGTCGACATCATTTAGGTATACTTTTACATTATCACTTCTAAGATGCTGCTGCGTTCGCATCTAGTTGTCAGATGATTATTTTGCACACAGTATGTTCGCGCATCCGAATGAGAGATAGAGACCGACGTCAATTTTCGCGCTCGCTTTCGCAGGCCATGCAACATAACACAGGAGAACACTCAAGTCGAATTGGACTTACCCAAGTCAAGTAACGGTGACGTTGCCAAAGAGGAGAATACGTAATATTGCAGTTGTACTTGTCGTGACGTATTTTCATTCAACCATAGCAGCGCCTGTGAAAGGCGTTCACTGACTCTAGCTTGACCACGCTTCATCTTGTTCATATTGAGCATCAAACTCTAAGTTTCCCATCAAGACATTGACATACAATTGTCACCTTGATGAAGATGAACTAGAGCGCAAAATATATCAACAGTATCATCAACATGCAACGAAGTATCTTGATCTTCATGATCTCCTCTTGGCTTCCCCAACAACATCATGGCGGCCATCGCATTGGCTCCTCGTCTCCTGTTGTTGTGGCTAACCGTACCATTCTGGTTTCTAGTTGACATCTCGAATTCAACACGGCCAGTCTTGTCCTCACTGCGACCAAGAACAAAATGGCAAGGCCTACCGCAGAAATACTACGTCCGATGGCGAGTTAGAGAGGCCAGTATCCATCGAATTCGAAATTCTCCAATAGCAATATATTATTCAAAGAGAAACATTAGGTTAACTAGTACACAAAGATCAAGTAGTACTGGTGTGTAGCTTGTACGCGTTTCAACTCTCACATAATCTTTTGGAGAATTAATAACAATCAGTCACACTCTCGTTAGGAGGTGGATTCAGACAACTAGTCGGCTTAGCTGTTCCGAGTTTAGAATCTAAAAAAGCCATAATACAGACCTGCCTTGAGTAGATTCAGCACCAGCGCCCATGCCAAACCGAAACCTGTCACAACCTCAACACAGCGCCAAGCGGTTTCTTCGTTTGCCTTAGAGCTCTCCGAACTACATTTACATTCTCATGATCATGTGCAGCATTACTAGAGCCTTACTCTTCATCCTCTGCCTTAGGCAGTTTGTGTTCTTAGGGCTTTATTGCTCCTCTATAGGTAACTAGTAGAGTAAGATAAAGATTTGTCATCTTACTAGAACTCTGCACAGATGATTCGTAAAAAATGCCGTAATTGTTAACACTTTCCGGACTTCAAGTAAGCGCGCAAAAGCACGGACTGCAAGGATAAGCGACAATAGGATTCCCGGCGCCCACTTTACGCTCTCTCCCACTGACGACAGCTGCAACAATATCGCCGTTAAAACGACGTAGGCGCTCACCTGGAAAAAATGCTTATAGATATCGAATACATCAATTACATCATCATGATGTATTTATCTAGCATTCTCGTCTTGCATTGATCTGGCATTCTCGGTTTTCACCACCACTACCGGCTCCAGCACAGTAAAGGAATTTCGTGGTCAAATCAGCAGCTCCTGGACCTTGTTCTGGTTCAACCAGCAAAAATCATACTTAAGTACGATACAAAATAAGTACTTACCCACGCCACGATGCTTCTCCGCTTGACTAGCACTCCGTAAGAACCGGCGATGAAACACTATAGCAGAATCCATGTGGTCACATGAATCGGAACTCGTAAGCACAAGCTGTCCCCACTCAGTGGTGGGTTACAAACCACACGCCGCGTTGATGACAATGTGGATGGGCTTGTAGTGCTTCTAGGTGTTGCGACAGTTAGAACTCACTACAATCCATCTTTTCCCTCATCTGCTTCCGTTCTTTTTCTTGAAAACCGCTCACAGATGGGCTAATGAAACTTTATAAAAAATTAGTAAGTTGTAAGTGAGGTGGCTTTAATACAGTAGTTGCAGTCGTGGTGGAGGGAGTAGAAGGGTCAGCGAGGAGGTCAAGATGTATCATTGCTTGATGGTGTTGAAGGTGACCTATTAGAGCCAGAGTTGTCCGCGTCATGTATTGCTGGTACTATGCTTGAGAATAGCAGAGCTCCTTGTGATTCCATAGACGAATGACCTGGTCTTGCGGATGCGGACAACATCGGAAAAACTAAAACTTCTTCTGCGTGTCGTTGTTAGTTGTTGTTGTTGTCATATTGCAGTGCATCTCCATCATCTTCAACAAATTCTTGTGATATATCGAGAACGTCGGTCAAGGTGTGTCGACTGGTGAACAGCACCCTCGTGAGTCGTCGTCGTGTCCACAACTAGGACTTTACCAATACCCTCGTGAGCAGGCACCGGAGCAGGCACCAGAGCAAGCTGACGAGTTCTCGACTACGACGAACTAGGACATCAACCAAAATATCAACTATTTCAAGGGCTCTTATACTGATTTCTTGTCATTCATTCATTCATCCATTCATTCATTCGCATCCTTAGTAGTACTTCTAGTCTACCGGTGAAATGATACAGTTGCAGAAGTGTATCCTTTCAGACGGCCGTTCTTGTCATGTACTATTCCCTATGTTAACGATGAACTGAATTAGTAATATAACCACTACCCCAGAGATACTTGAACTTGAAGTAGAACTAGAAGGAGTTGAGGTTAAGGAACTTATTATACTGACTTCGTCGTCATGTACCTCCCCATCAAACTATTCATAATGATGAATTGAATGATATCACTACTATCCCAGGGATACTTGAAGTAGGAGTTAAGGAACTCATTAATTATACTTATTTCTTGTCGTCGTGTACCTCCCAAGTGAACTACTGGTGAAAACGAATAGAACAGTTCTTCCAGTGACGCCTCTCATAGAACGAGAAAGAGGAAGGACGAGGAGGAAGAAGATGAAAAAGCAAAGTGAAGAGACAGACTCACGCCATGTTCCGTGTGCTCTCTCTCGATCGCAGTCACTTCTTGAGTAGAAGAGTACCACCGAACAAGTGGCTTTCTTCGTTCCTGAAAGCATGCAAGATCTCGATGCATGGAGAGGACCATGAACCAACTAGCTACAACCAGCACGAGGATCATGTGTTCTCCTAATATAATTGCCTCACCACAAATTTTGGAGTAGAAAACTTGATATTGTCTTTGTCATTGTCTTTGTAATCTTTATGTAAGATTTCACTTCATGAGACACGAAAGAAAATCAAGATTACTCGGCCCACTTGTTGATGCCTCAAAACCTTTCATCTCGCTTTCCGGACTTGTCAGATGGGTGAGCGTGGCGGGCGGGGTGCCGCTCTTTATAATTACTTCTAGGGGATAGCATATGTACAGCTACAGGGTGTCTCTGCTTCACGGAGAAGTTGTCGTGCTCGGACCGTTTAACACTAAGGATTTATACGGTTGGCCCTAACACGACAAGTTCTCCGTTATTGATATTTTTGTCGTTCAGGATTTATAGCTATACCTTTAAGAATTTTGTAAAGTTGTAATCAGAGACCGTGGAAGATCTCGTAAGCTCGTGCAGGAACGAGGACGGAGAAGGCTCAACAAATCAAAACAAAACTGATCTTACGGAGAAGTTGTCGTGCTCGGGTCGTCAGGACTAAGGATGGTTTAGGATTAATACCTTCAAGCATACGGAACACTATTATGAATTACGATCAGAATATCGGATTACGATTATACCTGTTGAGAATTGTAATTACCTGGGTCGTAAAATGTACAACATAACGAACTAAGGACTTCCTCTGAATTTACCATTTTTCAAGGTTTTGGATTGTGGGTCATCGAAGTATCCTCCATAAAACCATGTTACTTTTTTGCTTCAAAAATTTTCATGTTCACAACTGCCCAAATTATGTTCGCTCATCTTCCTGTGTTCGTGCCTTTATGTATCGCCGTACGCTTTCGGCATCGGATCCGCATTCCTTTCACATTACCGTTACCGCCCATATGAAAAAGAAAATTGTACCTGTGCAGTTGTGAAGTAAGTTTTTGGTCGTGCTGGTCCTCCAAAAGTGGAAAGGATTTCGTCTTGATTGATCGATTGATTGATTGACTGGGGTGCCCGCTCAAGCTCATGGGGTACATAAACAATAGAATCAGCTTGCAATCGCCTGGCATGATCAGTACTTGCAAAGTTCTGTGTGAGGAAGTTGAAAATGAGGAACAATAATAAAGCTGCATTGTGTGCTGAAGGTGAAGCCTTTTTAGAGAAAATGAAGAAACTGAAAAAATATAAGTACATGTGTTCTGTCTTGTTTCGTGTTCATCGTTTCTGGTAAACTTCTGTCATCAACATGTTCGATCTCGCTTTCCACAAATATAGACTCATGCTCGTAGTATTCATTTCCCACACCGACCAACCATGATATAAAAGCTAAAGAAAGTACCTGAAGATGGGAAGTAACAGAAATGTAGATAGTTGCTCTTGTTCGTTGGTCCAAAACTTAAAATATGTATTAATTACTCCGTTCCTTCTGCAGCACGCGAATGACGGTTAGTAAAAAGAGACCACTCATCGAAGGAAGAAGAAGTTGGATAACAAAATCACAAGATAAAGTAGCGTTAAGGACGATGATTCAAGAAGACTAAGAAATATATTATGTACCCGAAAGCTAGTCCGCAACACAGGTTGCCGCCTAGAATCAACATGCACGACGAGACGTCCCTTCACATTCACTCTGCATGCATATGGTTCTTATGAAACTCGCTGTCCTGCTTCGTAGTCTCCCGCGTACTTCCATTATCTTTCTATCATTTCCCCACATCACTAAAAAACCTGGCATATTGTGGGACGTTTGTAGCAGGTGGGTAAATAGTGTAGGGGGATAAAAAAAATTTGCAACTCCTCCATGTAATGTTACATACACTTACACATAAAAAAATAATTTTCGGAGATGACAACGCCAGGGTCAGGACCTCTAGCAATGTTTCTGATCATGAGTGAGTATGTGTTGTAAGACCTACTCCTAGCGTGGAAATAAATACAAACTGTGTAGTACTTCAAGGTGTGTTGAGTGTTTTATTGCAGCTGTGCGACGGAGGCGTCGCGCTGCTTCTTGTTGGTTCTGGCGTTCATGGTGCCATACGGGGTAGAGGAAGAAGTCTCACATCCCGTCGACGACGATGTGCTCTCGTTCCCGACGTCGCCTGAAGCCGTTGTCGTCTGCTCGGTCGTTGTGATAGTCGACGGTGCGATCTTCGTCCCCTCATTCGCACCTTCGTACTTGTCGTTTTTCTTGTTGCCGATCTTAGAGACAAAAAAATTTAAAAAATACTGAAACCGACCTTAAAGTAATAGTGACGGTGACCTATCTTCAGGTTTATCTAATATGCAGTTGCAGCTCATCTGCATCTTCTACTTCTTCCCATGTCACATGTCCTATGATTTGAAATGGGAAAGTCGAGCAGTCTCTGTTAAAAACACATGAGTAATTTCTTTGAGACAACATGTGAAAATCGAAAACCAATGAAGCAAGTTGCTCGTCTACTTCTGCTTAGTGCTACTGGTGGTCATGATCAACAACTATCACAATTCATATCCAACAGTCCTCATTTGCTACCTAAGCCTAACAGAGTCTAGTTGATTAACAAGAATCGCAATCGTCTACTAGCACCTACTAGATGAATTCGTCCTAAAAAACCGTTTGATGGATTACAATGGATGTTCTTTAAGTACATCACAAGGTGTATACTAGTACGCTTACAGTATTATAGGTGCCCTATCTGTCTTCGGTTTCTTGCTGTTGGTCTCATCATCCTTGATGTCATCGACAATATCCGTCCCATTCATCGTTCTGGGCCCTGCGTCCTCCTGTGTTAGAGCTCTAAGATAGGGGCTTCAGAATCTTACGCAACAAAAGCAAAACTGCAAAACTGATATTGTTCTTCAAGATCAAACATGAGTAACTTTCAGTGCACGATTAGTAAATGCTATAAAGCCAAAGCCAATCTTCATGCACTCGTAATGATAGAGTATTAATAGTGTTGAAGGGAGTACTTCATTTCAATTTTGGTAATGATAGATCCCATCGAAATACACATACGTCTTTTCTTAAACGCTGTGGTTGCTCCATCATTCGCGCACCACCGCGAGTCCAGTTCTTACTTGCAAAAACGGAGAAAAGGAGAAGAGCGACGCAGCTGCACACGACACTGAAGACGAAGTACGTGGTTCTGCCCACGTTCCACCGCCACGAGCTGTCGTCTTATTAGACAGAGGTCTTTTGTGTATCTGCAACAAGATTAGCCAGAGCATGCAAAGAGACCCGCCAACGCGTGGGGCCTTCCACGGTTCTGCTGTGCAAGGTTGGGCGTCGCCCGTGTTCAGGCTCTAGGGAACTTGAGGCGAAGCCGGGGGCCTTGCCGTCACGCGCGCGCGTGTCCCAGACTGGCGGGGAATGAAATCCAGCTGCAGAGGACGAGCCAGCGGCAGGTGTTCATCAGAGAAACCCCGCTGGTTCCAGGTGAAGACCGGGCCCGCCTTGACCTCCTCAACCCTCTCAGCTACCAGAGCGGAGCGATCAGAGCCAAGTAGATGTAAGCTTTGTGTAAGTTTGGCGCGCTGTCTGCCCGCCAAGGGTTAGGCATTAGCGACCGGCGCGCGTCCGTGGCTGGGGTCTACCCTCCAGCACAACGACCGCAAACGAAGAAGGCGCAACGAACTGACACAAGAAGGAGGCAGCGAGGGGGGCGGTCAGATCCCGACGCCACCAAGCCGCACTGCACACACAACACGACAAGGGCCGAGAAAGCAACCACCCAAGCAAGGCAGCCAACCAACCCACCGAGCCCCGTCATGGCTTCAAAGTCATGGCCTTGCCCTTTTGCCTCCCTTTGTTTCTTACTTTGGAAGAAAACGAGGCGGCACCGGCCCGCCGAGGCTGTGGGGCTCTCCTCACCTTGGATACACAGAAGAAGCGAGGCACAGAAGCCAACGCGCCTCCCCTCCTGCTGCGCCGCTGGCGGTTCATCTGTCCCATCAAGAGGGCCAAGGTCCTGGCACGCAATCGAGGAGGGCGCCCGAGGCTGGCCGTCTCTCTTTCGTTCTCTTGCATCCGCGGAGCAATAACCACCAGCCACGCCAGTGGGCCGCCTTCACGTATCTCCCCGGTAACCACAGACAGGGGGGCCACGCGTCCCAGCCTCCCCCATGCTGCGCACCAATCGCGGCGCACCTCTCGCAAAGCGCTGCAGCGCTTCATTGATTGCGCCCCGCCTGGTGCTAGGCGTGTGGTGTCCCCGCTCCCTCTCAGAGGTGGCGGCATCTCGTCCAACCACTCCTCTCAAGGGCACTCGCCTCCTTTGTCTACAAGGGCAGCGCTTTGTTTTCTTTTATTTTTTTTCTCCACCAAGGGACTTCTGGTCCCCCCTCCCACCAAGGCACGAGAGATTAGTCAATATACTTAAATAGAAAGCACGGGGTAGATACAACTGGCCCAGTGCTAGAAGATAGAAGCACGACACAACTCCACTCGTGACAAGGCTAGAAGTTTTCTAATCCAACTGCAACTACCTAGATTCTTTTCTAACATGTGAGTGCGTTCTGAGAGTTGGGCTCGGACATGGGATTGCGTAGTGTAGGAGCTGGAGCCAAATACTGACACTCAGCAAACTCCTACACTTAATGAATTGAGCCCGATAAACTGGCAACCAGAGATAAAGAAGATTCCAGCGCTTTGCTTAAAAAGTGAGCATCGGCGTGCTTGCTTTTTTGTCGCGATTCCGATGGGCATCTATTTTTTCACTTTCTACGCCGTATCTATAACAGTTGGACAAAGTAAAAAACAAAGAAAACAAGAAAACTCTAACCATGTGAATAAATCGAACACGAACTTCTTGAAAAGGGCAACAGATCAGACACCTAAGACGCAGCAAGAAAACTAACGAGAGAGATCAAAGCGATGGGCCTTTTTTGTAGGCTTTCAAAGGATGCAATCTGTAAGCTTCTGGGGGTCGCTTTTGTGATCTTGCAGTAGTCGACCTGTAAAGAATCGACCAAAGTCCCCCCTATTGAAAAAGCCGAGCGTTTTGAGTAGCTCTCTGAAACAAAGTCGACCCGCTTGAAAGAAGGCGAAGCCCCTGCACAAGCACCACCAGCCAAAACCGAGCCCCCGACCCCGGGTAGCATACATACACAGCCGCCCCTTGCCCCTCCAGATGAGAGAAGCCGCAGCACACATCTCGCCCACCTTCTCTCAACCAAGCGCAGCCCACTCCAATTGGCGACGCCACTCAGCTGCCCCGAGCGATCCACTCTAACCCAGCACACCTTCAGCCCGTCACTCATTCAAGCACGCCGCCGAGCCGAGACACACCCACGCCCCCACCCTTTCAAAGCAGTCAGGCGGCTTCTGCAAGCCCCCGGCCCAGGCGTAGCCCCATTGATTCTTTCACCCTCGAGGCAGCGCGAACTGCGGCCCGGTAGCCCCCGCCCAAGGCTAAGACATGCTCAGCTTCAGCCGCGTCCGTCTCATGTAATCACAAGGAGGCCAGGCAGCAAGGGAGCACGCAAGCCCCAAGGCAACCCTGCGCCGCTTGCTTCATATTCGTTCGCATTCTGGGACAACCAAGCAAGAGTCCCAGCCACTCCCGACCCAGCCAGCCCCGGCGTGTTTCTTTGGAGCCAGATGCAAGCACCTCAGTCAGCCTTGGCCCTATGTAATGCATCTAAGTACAACTTGTCCCAAACTTGCGAGATATGTCTCGCCCTGCCTCATCACAAGACACGACCCACAGCACTCACAAGAGAGACACGAGACAAGCAACTCACACCCAGAAGACGCGGCCCGCACTCACAGGGCACGCATGGAACCCAACCCAAAAGACACGAGGAAACCACTCCACTCCCACCCACAAGACGCGACTCGCACTCGCAAGACGCGACCCACAACCACACGACGCGGCCCGCTCACTCACACTCCCAAGACGCAGCCCGCACCCACGAGAGTCAAGAGTCTTGAAGACGCGGCCCACACTTGGAAGGCGTGGCTGCTACTCATGCGACACGACTCACACCCAGCCCGCCAAGCAGGACCCCCGCACACTCTCTCACAAGACGCGACCCACACCCACAAGACTGGCGCGGCCCGCACTCACAAGCCCACCCACTCGCGAGACACGAGGGAGACACACTCGCAAGAATCGACTCACCCACGCTCACAAGACATGGCTCGCATTCATCACGCAAGCTGCAGCCGGCTCTCATTTCTTCACAAGACGCGGCCCAGGCCCACACTCACAAAAGCAAGACCCAGCCCACGCCCAGACCCACGCGACAAGGCTCACATTTGCGAGAGTGTGGCCCACACTCCTTGGCGCGACATCCATGACAGAGCACGACTCACACCCAGCTCGCAAGACGCGACGCGCAGCCACTCGCATGACGCGACCCACGACACTCACAAGACGCGGCTCGCAGACTGTTCACAAGACGCAGCCCACACTCGCAAGACACAGGCCACACTCGCGAGAGGCAGCCCACACCCACACGACGCGAGCACGGCGCGCACTCACTAGATGTAGCACATACCCGCAAGATGCGACTCACACTCACACGACACGGCCCACACTCACAAGAGAAGACACACCGCGCACCCAATAGACGCGGCGCACACTCGCAAGGCGTGGCCAATACTCGCCACACGACACGGCTCACACTCGCCCAGAGTGACTCCCTCGCACAACTCCCAAGACGCGGCCCGCACTCACACAACACGGCTCGCATTCACAAGAATAGACGCGGCACGCACTCACCAGTCGCGACTCGAACCAACTCACAAAACACAGCCGCCCGCTCACACGCGCAAGGCGCGCCCCACACTCACAAAGGAGACACGCCCCACGCTCACACTCGCAGGACGCGACTCACCCGCACTCTCTCACAATCGCAAACCGCGACGCGCGCTCACAAGGAAGTAGACGCCCGGCCGCAGCCCAGCCACGCTCGCAAGTGGACGCACGGGACTCGCGCTCGCAAGTTGACGCACGCGGCCCACGCTCGCAAGTGGACGCGGCTGGCCCGCTCGCACTCGCAAGAAGCCCCCCGCACTCACAAGGTGCGACAGACTCACACACACACTCACAAGATGCAACCCACACTCACAAAAGACAGCCCGCACTCTCTCACAAGAGAAAACAGAACGCGGCTCACACCACTCACAGAGGAAGGCCCTGCGCGCTCACACTCGCCAGACACGGCTAACACCCACAAGACACGACCCGCAAGCACTCACAAGACCGACGCGGCCCGCACTCGCGAGACGCACGCGGCTTGCCATCGCAGCACGCGGCCCACACTCTCACTCACAAGGCGCAGCCCGCACTCACACGCACACGACCCGACCCACCCGATCCACACGACGCGACCCACACGACGCCACTCACACGACGCGACACGACTCACACAGCGCGACAGACTCACACCACGACGCGACTCACACGGCGCGACCCGCATGACACGACCCACACGACGCGACACACTCGACAGACGCGACCCACGCGAAGCGACTCACACTCACGACGCAGCCCGCGCTCTCGCTGTTTCTCGCAAGACGCACGCTGCCCGCACTCACAACAAGAGAAGACGCCCGCGCGCCACACTCGCAAGACACAGCCCGCACTCTCGCCCACGACACTCGCACGGCGCTAATCCCTCACACGCACAAGAAAAGACGCAGCCCACACTCGCAAGACACGCCCCACACTCACAAGGCGCGACTCACACTCGCAAGACGCCCGCGACTCACATTCACAAGACGCACGCGACCCAAACTCACTCGCAGAACGAAGCAGAACGCAACTCGCACGGCGCGCCTCGCACTCGCAAGACGCGACCCGCAGCACGCGACTCAAGTTCACACTGACTCACAAGACGCGGCCCACAAGAGAGACGCGGCCCACACTCACAAGGCGCGGCTCGCACTCGCAAGGCGGCGCAGCTCGCACTCACAAGACGCGGCCCGCACTCCACTCGCAAGCGGACACGGCTCGCGCTCACGCTCGCACTCGCAAGACACGGCACGCAATCACTCGCAAGACGCGACACACACTGACTCACACTCACTCAGTCAACCAAAGAAGACGCGGCTCGCACTCACAAGCCACGACTAGCACCCACGCGACGCGACTCACACTCACACGACGCGAGCCACACTCGCAGGACGCCGCGGCTCGCACTCGCAAGCCGCGACCGACTCACGCCCACAATCACAAGACGCGGCTTTCACTCACAGACACCCACACGACGCGAAAGGCAGTGACTCACAAGACGCGGCCCGCACTCACACCACGCGGCTCGCACTCGCAAGACGCGAACCACACTCGCAAGACGCGGCTCACACTCACAGGACGCGGCTGCGGCTCACAATGACTCACAAGACGCCCGCGACTCACATTCGCGAGGCGCGGCTCGCAATCACGAGACCGACGCGGCCCACACTCGCAAGATGCGCGCGGCTCGCACTCGCACGACGCGGCCCGCACTCACATGACGCGGCCCCTACGCGGCTCGCTCTCGCAAGACGCTGCCCCCTCACGCTCGCACTCACACGACCGACGCGGCCCGCACTCACACAGCCGACGCGGCTCACACTCACACGACCGACGCGGCCCGCACTCGCAAGAGCGACGCGGCCCACACTCGCAAGAGCGACGCGGCTCACACTCGCACGACGCGGCTCGCACTCACACGACGCGGCTCGCACTCGCACGACGCAACTCACACCCGCGCCCCGCGCTCGCACCTACAAGATACGGCCCGAACTCGCAAGACGCGGCTCGCACTCGCAAGATGCGGCTCACACTCGCAAGACGCGACCCGCACCCGCAAGACGCGCCTCGCACTCGCAAAGACAGGACGCGGCTCACCAAGACAAGGCCGCGCCCTACGACCTACGGCGCGCACTCGCAAGACGCGGCGCGCACTCGCACGGCGCGGCTCTCTCTCGCAGGGCGCGGCTCACTCTTGCAAGACCCGGCCATCTCCGTCCTCCCCCTCCTTGGTAGCGCGGCAATTCAAGTCCCCCCTTTTGTCAAACGCGCCGACTTTCAAGCGACCCGATATTTGCGCGCCTTCCGATTTTTTGTGTTGTTTTTTGTTTTTGTGTGCCTAGTTTAAGTTAGTAACAGTACAAAACAAACAAACAAGCAAGCGAGTTAGTAACGGTATATATGTTCCAAAGCTCAGGGCTGGAGGCCTCCCCCCCGATCTAACTTTTTGAGGGGGGGGGCCTGCCAGCCCCAGCCCCTCTTTTCGAGGGGCAGCCGGGCGGGAAGGCCTCAAAGCGCCCACTTCTGACCCCTTCCCGCTTCTTGCCTAGGGGTTACCTTGTTGCATGTACCCTACAGACCTGGCAAAGGTGGCAAAGGCAGGGCCCCGCTGCCTTGTTGCATGTGCCCCACAGACCTGGCGCATAGATGTACCAAGGAGGGAGGCCCCCCCCCCCGACAGACCTGGCAAAGGCAGGGCCCCGCTGCCTTGTTGCGTGTACCCTACAGACCTGGCAAAGGTGGCAAGGCTGGACCCCTCTGGCGTGTTGCATGTGCCCAACACTACAGACCTGGCAAAGGTGGCAAGGGAAGGGGTCAGAAGTGGGCGCTTTGAGGCCTTCCCGCCCGGCAGCCCCTCGACAGACCTGGCAAAGGTGCCCAGGCTGGACCCCTCTGGCGTGGTCCACCACAGATCCATCCACAGGGGGGGGGGCTCCCTCCCTGGTACATATTTAGACTTGGAATTATATGCCTTCTATAGATTTTGGCTTAATAGATAGAAGCCGAGACCATAACTCATAGGCTGCGGGGCGTTGTGCCAAGCCTCCGCATCCACGGTCTCGAGAAAAGGGTCTCTTTTGGGGACTCTAGTGACGCGAGACGAAGGCGCTGACTGCTCCATCTTGTTGAGGTCATGATCGGGGGCAGCAACATTGGTGAGCATTGAAGCGAATGAACTAGCGAAAAAGGGCTTCATCGTGAAGAGGCTACGCAAACTGCTGACGAGGCGAACCGGCATACTAGCTTTCTTGAAGATGATGGTCTGACTGAAGTCAGCGATCTCTTTGGGTGTTGTTTCGACGAGATAAGGCTTGCCTCTGTTCCACTCGTTGGACTCTGCTGCTAGATGTTTATCGTAGTTATATGGAGCATGTTCATTGGATACCTGAGGACCACGGCAGATGTTCCATGTAACCGAGTCTAATTCTCTGTCCATTTTATGAAGCTTGTCCATTCTTCCGTGTATGACGTCCCTCTTCATCCTGAGCGCCGCCTCCGTCATTTTCTCGAAGTTGTGGCCTCTTGCGTTAATTGCATTAGAAGTAGTTACCGCCCACGTGCCCCCGGCGTGTACACACGCCGGGGCAGGGCGGAAGGGTCTCGCAAATGCTACGAGTTACATAAAATCCATACGGCCTACCGGCGTGCTACGAATTACGTAAAGAGTGGCGGGCTATGGAATAAGAAAAGCAGCTCCGCGCTACAAGCTACTACGTGCTACATAAACCCCCACCCTGGCAGCACCCGAAACGCCCAAAAGGAACTACTTCGAACGAATGAGGCAAACGGGCAACCAAATACATACGCCGAGAGTCAAACCCTTGAGCAGATCACTCCAAGCCTGCTGCTTTCGGTTCTCAGCGTAGTGGCTGGGCGAAGCACTGCAGTCGACTCCGCTCACCGTGAGAACCTCGCGCGCCCCCTGGCCCGGGTTTTGGGCGTGGGTCCCCTACTCTTGGAGTGTGTTGCGCCTCCGGCTGGCATGGCAGTGCCACGAGGGGGGCCCCAGGCTTGTCGCTTTCGGTTCTCCGCATAGTGGGCGAAGCACTACGCCCGACTCCGCTCACCATGAGAACGCCCACCGTGGATCTTTTCCGTGGAGAGAACTAGGGGGCGGCCCCGTTCTACTCTCGGCCTGTTTGCGGGGTTTTACTCTTTGCGCCGTTTTGGGTTTTCCATCCAAATCACGCAGCTTTATGGTGTCGCGTTGCTGCCTACGTTTCAGCTGCTTCGCGTTTGCTCTCTGTGAGCCATTTACCCTCCCAAGCTTACGGCGAGTTGCGCTCTATCGCTTAGCTTCCCTATCTGCTTCTGGCTTTCTCGAGAGGTGTGGGCATGCGTCGCCTCAAGGCTTTGATCTAAGTACGCCACGCGAGCAGTGCTGTGCGGCTTTCATGTGCTTGGGCGATGCAATCTGTGAGCCGCTTGAGCTTTCTGATCAGAAAGCAAGCCCAAGCCTATGGGCTTGCTGGTTACTTATGGCTTACTCGAGAGGCCTTGTCCTTTGCGCCCATTCTTTTCTGATCCAAAAAGCGCAGCGCGATGAAGTTGCTGCGTACTTGTGAGCTGCTTAAGAGGTCCCACCCTTTGGCTCAGTTCAAGACCCTCACCCAAACGGCGCAACGCTGTGAACGAAGCTGCTGGCCCTTTTGACTTGCTGGGAAGGTCTCACCCTCTGACCCAGCGCAGGCACCCTACCCAAAAGGCGCAGCTTTATGAAGTTGCTGCCTACTTTTGAGCGACCTGCTTGAAAGGTCTCGGCTTTTGACTCTGCTCAAACCTCCCACCCAAAAAGCGCAGCTGTATGATATTGCTCTCTACTTTTGACCTGCTTGAAAGGTCCCAGCCTTTCAGTCAGCTCACTCAGAGGTCTTCCACAATCAAAGAAAGGGCGCAGCTCTATGAAATTGCTGCCCACTTTTTGACCTGCTGGAAAGGTCTCGCTCTTTGGCCCAGATCTGGCCAGCTTGGTTATTCAAGGCACGCAGCTTTATCGAATTGCTGCCCACTTTTGACCTGCTTGAAAGGTCCCACCTTTTGACCAAGCTCGGGCATCCTATCCAAAAAGCGCAACGCCATGGGGCTGCTGTCTGCTTTTGGCTTGGCTTGCTTGAGAGGTCCCGCCTTTTGCCTTTCTTTGCTCAAGCTCCTTGCTCAAAAAGCGCAATCTACTTCATGAAGCTGCTGCCTACTTTTGGCCTGCTCGTAAGGTCCCGCGCCTTCACTCAGTCAAGTCAGGCGCCTTACTCAAAGAGCGCAACTCTAGGAAATTTCTGCCCACTTTTGACCTGCTCGAAAGGTCCCACCTTTTGACCCAGCTCAGGCCACTCAGGCATCCTATCCGAAGCGCGCAGCTTTATGCGATTGCTGTCGTCTACTTTTGGCCTGCTTGAAGGGTCCCACCTTTTCACTCTGCTCCAGCCTCTTACGCAAAGCGCGTTGCTTTATGCGTTTCCTGTCTATTTTTGACCTGCTTGAAAGGTCCCACCCTTTGACCCAGCTCAGGCCCCTTATCCAAAGAGCGCAACCCTATGAAGTTGCTGCCTCCTTTTGAGCTGCTTGAAAGGTGTGTGTCGCCCTTTGACTTAGCTCAGACCTGTTATCCAAAGAGCGCAACTCTATGCCGTTGCTGTCTGCTTTTGAGCTGCTTGAAAGGTCTCGCCCTTTCTTTGACGTCGCTCAGACTCCTTATCCAAAAAGCACAACTCTATGACATTGCTGTCTACTTTTGACCTGCTTGAAAGGTCTCACCCTTTGCGCCAGCTCAGGCCTCTTATCCAAAAAGCGCAACTTTATGAGATTGCTGTCTACTTTTGATCTGCTTGAAAGGTCCCACCCTTTGAGCCCGCTCAGACTCCTTATCCTAAAAGCGCAAACTTATGGGATTGCTGTCCGCTTTCGAGGTGCTTAAAAGGTCCCAGCCTTTTAGTTTGAGCCAGCTCAGACTTCTTATCCAAAAGGCGCAGCTTTATGAAGTTGCTGTCTACTTTTGACGTGCTTGAGCGGCCCCATCCTTTGAGCCAGCTCGCAATCCTTATCCAAAGCGCGCAGCTTTATGAAGTCGCTGTCTACTTTTGACCTGCTTGAAAGGTCTGACCCTTTGAGCCAGCTCAGGCGCCTGATCCAAAAAGCACGCAGGTGCTAACTTGCTCAGCGTATAGCTGCTGGGTGCTTGCCTCTGTTTGCATTTCTTTGCTTGCATGTGGGTCCTTTTTGTAGCACATACGCAGACGCAGCGGATTTTCTTCATGAGATGACTGGCCCCAGGCTGAGGCGCTTCGCCCTTCGTTTATTTTTGTCCATGCAGCGCAGTCCTTGGCCTGTGCTGTTGGTCTTGGTTCAGGGTTTTGAGGTACTGCCGAAAGCCTTAGCAGGAGCAGAATCGCGGGAAAGTTGTACTCAAAAACGCGGCACTTTTACGGCGCGAGATGTATACATCTAGCCCGTACATCTTTCCCATGATTTCCGTACATCTCAAAAAAGTGGAATTTTGGAAACCTACTACGAATCGCCCCGGTGTAAGTACATCTCAAGAGTACATCTTTCCCGTGATTTACGTATAAGATATATATCTCGAGATATATATCTCAGACGTATACATCTCACCCGTACATCTTTGCCATGATTTGCGTACATCTCAAGCCGTAAACTTACTCCTGTTTAGCATTCAAAATAAGTTTTGGTTTATAATATAGATAGTTATAGTATATTTTGTTGCGTGTCTGAATGTCGTCGCACTCGTTGCAACGTATGCGGTAGAAATAAAGAAGCAGATACTCACTAAATAACACGATAGATAGCCCCTCTGTCCTCTAGTTAGTTTCCAATCTCAGATAGCGGCTGGTAAAAGACAAACGTTCACAAAAATAGCACATTACCACCACCATAGTGTCACTATCTGCAGCAATAGCCCCTAGACGCGCTTCGATTACATTGTACCGCATTCGCAGACGGAACCAAGATTGATAAAGCCGCGCGATCGTGTCCTTGCCTTGGTATTTTTCTGGAAGGGCTGCAGCATCAGCGGGGACGGCTCGGAGTTCGTCCATTCCATAAGGCTTGAACTGGTGGCTACCCCCGCACCAATTTCTGCCTTCGCCATATGTTAGAAGAGTGCAAGCACCTAGTAAGCCTATAGCACGCGCGGCGCATGGAGGGGCGCATAAAGTAGCACGGAGCGCATAGACCTCTGACCCATAAGAGACGCAAGGGGCGCGCCCCCTATTTTAGCTCCATGCGGTCTATGCGTGCACCGCGTGCATTCATGTGGCTGCGATCGGCGAAGTCTTTAAGTTAACAATCGAGAACCAGCGCCGGGCTTCAGATTTCGATAAGTTTGCTAGAGTTGATCGATGCCTAAGGTATTGGCTGCGTGTCGGTGATAGGTAAACGCCAGAGGTGCTCTTCTCTAGCTTCTTCTAAGTCTAATCTGGGACGCCCCTCCAATCATTGTCAAAACATACGGCGGACAAGCTTGCGACCCCAATAAATCAATAGCAACAGCAAGACACACCACGCAGAGTCTGCCCTCGTTGGACGTAGTAGAATCTCTCAGACGTGGCTTGCGCTGTTCTGATGCTGATGCTGATTGAAACAATTGCTCTGACCGAAATAAAGAATGACGGAACGCAGAGGAATACAATCTGCCTGCAAGCCAGCGCTTCAGACTAGCCCACAAGCCCCGAGAGCGAAACAGTACACCGATTGCAGCGCGAGAAAGTCCGATCGCAGGGGCGAGTGAGCAGTACTAGTGTGAAGTGAAGACTATGAAAGGAACATCACGGCGAGTGGTGAGAATGAATAGAGGACGCGAAGGCCGACCGCGACGGCGGTCGAGGGCAACGGCCCAGTTCCGTGGCAGAACACCGAACGAATTATGCCCGCGAAGCGAACGGTGCCCAGCCAAGGAGTGGAGGGAGGGAGAAGCAACGAAGTGACGGCGAAGGCGAGCGAGAAGCGAGTGCGAAGTGAATGAAGTGAAGTGAGCAGAAGTGAATACGGAGAAGAGAAAACGAAGCGAAACGCTATCAGCTCCTGATAGTGCTGCGCTCTAAGATGCGCAGCCCCCAAAGAGAAGCGACCGCGATGGAGACCGACGGACCGAAGGCGTTCCGCCTGAATACATTTCGCCCAAACCAGCATCACCGAACCGAACGGCTCCGCCGTCCTTGCAGTTCTGGGCTTTCTTCGACCGAAATAAAGAGCGCCGATGGAACGCAGAGAAACATACTCCGCCCGCACGCCAGCGCTTCAGACTAGCCCACAAGCCCAGAGAGCGAAACGGTGTACGTAGGTACCGACTGCAACACGAGAAAGCCACAATAAGCAAAGCAAGGGCCTAACACGGACGCGGCAAGTGATTAAATTGCACCCGAGTGCTTAGTTTGTCGCAACTACGACAGAAGCAAGCCGCCAAGTGCTAGCGCGTAGTCGGTGGACTTCCCTCCACATCTCCCAGCACCGAACGACGCCAATCCGTCGGAAGCGCCACAGACGAGAAGAGACGGCCGCACGACACAAGTGCAGAGAGGGCCTCCCCATGCAAGACATGAAGACTCTGAGCCGTGAGGCTGCAGAATCGGCGAGAAACTTCCCTGATTTGACGGAGGGAGGACCCGGCTGCGCCATGGAGTAGATGTCGACGACCCTGCCGACATGCTCGAAGCAAGGCGGTTCCCGAGTGGCTTCTCAGAGGGAGGCAGAAAGCACTTCGAAGCGTACAGGTGGGCACAATAAATAGCGCCCGCGATCCCTTGCGGCTCACCTGCTTTGGTGCAGCAGACGCGCGCGATGGCATCTGCGGGCGCACAAGCGACGCCGCCAGCTATTGCGCGTGACTTCAAAGACGCAGCTACCCTAAAGCGCGAAGCTTTGAGCGGTCAGCTTCGCCATCTGGGGAAGGAGAGAAGCAAGCGCAAGCGCTTCATATGGGTGCGAACAATTCGATTGCTTTACTGACGCAAAGGCGACGAAGTCACACTCAGCGAGAGACGGCTCGTCGGAATGCGGCACCATGAAGATGGAGGAGCCTTTTTTGAACTTCATCCCTCGCACTAGTTTGCTGCAGATTTCAGCGAATTTGCCGCCGATCTGCGGAACCATGACCGCGAGCCGTGGCCTGTTGGTGGCCGGCACATTGGTGACGAATTAGCTGAGAGGCTTCAACGTTGCACGCAGCAGCCCGAACGGTGGAAACCGGTAGACTTTATTTGCGAGGAGGTGACCACAGTGGAGGGAAAGCTGATCGAACACGGTGAAGGCTTGCAGGAGGTCCGCAGCACTACTCTCCCCGTTCAGAGCGGCGCAAGCTGTGGCGCTGAGACCCGGCAGAAGCTTGTGGACCTGGTTCATGAAACGCCTCGCGAAGAACCGCTGAGGCTGGAGGCCGATCATTGTATGCGCCGACGCCTCGAAACGTGAAAAGGCGCCCGCGACAGGGTTCTCGTCACCGAAGACCTTCCCGGCAACTAACTCGGCGCAATTCGAGGCGAAGGCGTCACGAATAAAGAACGACGCCTCACCCATTTCTTTCACCTGATGAGAGAGAGCCTCTGCCGCCTGGAACTGGATGCTTTTTTTGCCGGCAGATTGTCAGAGTAGTAGAGGACGACGCTCCGGCACACTGCGGCGGCGCCTAGCCTCTTGATGTAGCTGCTGAGCAACAGCATCGGCGTGGCAGCTTCCTCAGCGTTAGTAGAAAACCGGGGCCACGGCACTTCGGAGTGACCTGGGATGAAAGTGGAAGCCGTTGGCTGCCCGAGCCGCCCCATGCACCCGCATCGCCGCCAGCTGCATCGCCGTGGACAGCTAACACAGTTGATGGGTCGACGGCTCTTATGAGCTGATCGCCGAGACCTAAAATCTCTTCGCGCCAGAGGAGCGACCTCTTCCCGTTCTAGAAGATGGGCGCAGCTCGGTTTGCAGAAAGGGCGTCGAGCCACCACTGCACCGCGCGAGCGAGCTCCTTCGACATTATTGCTGACAAGCTGAAGCGCTTGTCGCTCTGCCAGCGCCTGGCGGCACCAGAGTCAGCAGCTGCTCTTTGCATGTGAAAAGCTGGGCCGCGATTCACAACGAACACGCAAGACCCGCAGCGGCCCTTAATTGCAGCGAGCCCCTTGACTTTGCAGCAGTTGTTGTAGTCAGTGGAAGGCCCACGCAAGCACTGCCCGAGATCTTTGACGTGCTCAGATCTTCCTCTGTCCTCAGTGCGCGCCTTCATGTCGATAGTGTCGGCCTCGTAGCCTAGCCATGGGAAACGTGTAGACGCCGGGACTAGTTTCCCTCTCTTGTGATGTGCGTGAACTCTCTCCACAGCCAATAATGGCGAAGGAATAAACTTGCGCGCCAAGGTCGAGGCCAGTGACCTCGCGAGAAAAACTACACAAAAGAGGCGGCCGAACTGCTCTGATGTCGTCTACATAATCAAAAGAATGAGACTGGACACCGGAGCGGTGAGCAACCCTGGCAACCTCTTTAGCGGGGGGGCCGTTTTGTCCCGGGGCGGGAGCAATGCCGAAAGGCAAAAGCAAACGGCGCGCGGCCCTCCTACGTTCAGAAGGTAAACCTTATCCAAAACAACGACGCTGAGAAAGGCAGGCCACCTAATGCAGAAAACAGTCAGCAACATCGACTCCAGAAACGAAAGCGCCCGGGTGGATATGCTCGAGGAGATCCCGCCGCGAACTGCAGTCTGCGGAAAACTAACCTCGGAGGCAATTGCCGGCGCCCCAGTCAGAGACGAGGCGAACCCTCGCCCCCCCTGTTGCAAATAAAGGATAGACGCAGCGGCGCCCATAAGGTCGCAAGGGGGCGCGTGTGCGTTGATATCGTAACAAAATACCACACCAATGGGAAACACTCTCGCAACTTCATCGACAAAAGTACGCCCATGCTCGACGGTGGGCGAATAGTTGTCGGCCTGTGTTCTCTTGAAGTCGTCACCGACTACGCTGAAGCGCAAACCACCAAGCCGCTTGGCTATGAAGTCGGGGCCAATCCCAAAGCGAGCGCATTGCCCTACGGAAAGACACAGATCGCCAACGGTGGCCCGGTCCTCTTGGTCACGCCGAAAGCCCCTCAGGCCATCGCGCGAATTCAAAAGAGAGAAAACCTGGCCGCGTTGCACTGACTGGTAGTCCTATGCCTGTGCAGTCATCCACAGCAAAGGCACTGCTAGGCGCGAGCCGCGGCGCTGATTCGTCGCGCTTACTCATTTCCTGGAGTCAAGAACTTTGCACAGCTCCCCGATAGCCCCTCGTCAGCACTTTTTGGCGAAATACTCGCGGAAATCATTGGAGCGAATGCGCGAAGCTCATCGATGGCAGGTGATTCAGTAGCCAAATCGCTAACAAGAGCGGCCAGCTTGATGCTGGGCCCTTTTTCGTTTTTGACGCCCGAACTCGTTTACTACAGTAGAGGCGCCGACAAAGATCTCGAGGCCAGTGCCTTCCCCCTTGGTGAACTTCTTGCATTTTCCGACGTTCGACGTTCCCCGGGTGATGTCTACTTCCTTGCGCGACAGATGCGCCACCATGCGAAGCAGCGATGACGTTTTTGCTTGCCTCTGCTTGCAGTTCCTTGGCCGTCGCTGCATCTAGTAGCAATTTCCCATCGTTCACAACGTCGCCTAACTATGTATTAGGGCCTCATCTCAAGGAGCGACCCAGTGCGGGCTTGGAGCTGCAGAAGATGCAGCAGGCACCGACAAAAGACGGCGGCGCACCCGGTCCCGGTGGCGAGCAGCCAGGCGGATGAAGACGCTAACACTACCATACTCGAGCCCTCAGGCGTTAGACTTAGAGGGGCGACGCTGGCGCTCGACTGCACCCCATCGGCACCGAAGGGGAGGGGACTAATTTCTTCGCTCTGCCAGTTCGAAGCCTTCAGCAGTATTAAAATGGCACGCATGGTCTCAGCCTGGTCCGCGCTACGTTTGCGAGGCGCGGCGACTTTAGACGCCTTCGCCCGATTCTCGTCGACCCGACTGAGGGCTTGGCTCAATGCACGCGCTGCTGCGACGACATCGCTCGACTTCAAAACTCATCCAATTCGAAAAGCCTCATCGCTATAACTCATCCGCAGTTACACGCTGCGGCTGCGGGGCGTAACAGCGCTGCTAATGGAAACAGTATAGAGTCTAAGAGACAGAGAAGGCTGAATAGGTTTGCTCTGTATCACTCGACTCGTGCTCTCACACTACTCAGAGCCAAAAGCGAGCACACAGTCTCCCACGGTGAAGAGAGTGCAGCTGCAGCCGGTGAAGTCTCTGCTCCCTTCAAACTGTGGCGACTTATGGCGCACCTCTATACGAAGCTGAATTCTCGAGGGCTATCCATCATCAAGAAGAGTTCACCCATGGCCAATATGCATACCGTGTGGCGAATTTGCAGGGGGCGGGTGCGGTTTGCGTTCGTGTTTGCTTCATTGCGTCGCTGACTGGGTAATACGATAAAGAACGAAGGCGCGACAGCCTAGATGCGTCCTGGGGAAGTTCAAACTTGAAAGGTGCTAGCCTTGGACTCTGAGGCAGTCGCTGTTTGCTCCTGCGCCGCCCCTTCTTGCCCTGCCCCTTCTCGTCTAGCTTGCGTCTGTGCTCATCCCTGTGGGGGCAGTACGCCACCCAGTGGGCGGCTGTGAAGTTGCGCTCCTTGCAAGCCCAGCACTCGAGATAGCACTCGTTGCCCGCGTTCTCACAGTTGTTCTGTTGTAGCCGAAAGCATGAGCCGCGACCAAGCCCTTGCCCCCAAGCCAAAAGCTGCGACACACAAGCAGCCCCGCTGTCCGTGAAGTACTTGAAGAAAGTAAAGGCGCTGATTTCCAAGCCCTGTCGCTGTGCGGCTGCTGCTCCAGCGGGCTGCGTTTTGTGTGGCAGAGAAGTGAAGGGGGGAATGAACAACGTCGAAGGGAATTCACTTGGTCCAGCTTTAGCAAAAGCTTTGATCTCTAGCCGATGCTACCGCTAAAGGCGCGCGCTCAATTGTATCAGCAGCGCGCTTCCCCGCGCGCGGAGCCCCCTTCGCTATTGCCAGCGGCTGGCTGGTTAGAGTTTGAAGCCCCACGACGCTCCAGGCCAGGCGCGCCTTCACCTCCAGCCTGCCCCTGCTTCCAGCGTGTTGCCCACGCTACGGCCACGCTTATGCGCCGTCTTCTGTTGAGGAGCTTTGGCCCCATCATCCGGGATCTCAACCGCCAATGACGGCGCTGAAGGTTTTACTTGATCCCAGTCCGAAGCGTGGCGCTGATCCCTGTGCTGAGTTGTAGGCGAATTCTGGCGCGGTTTTCTTGGTACTAGTTCAAAGGGAGCGAACGCGACTGAAGTTGCGAATTGGCAATACTAAACCGCCGCACCTTCAGCACGTTGCGCGAGGACATGCCTGCTCGAGGATGCGGCTTGAGTGAAGCCAAGCAAGAAGGCCAGACTGTAGAGCCCCAGTCTCACGCTGTCGGCTCTCATTTTCGTCCTCAATTGGCGCCCTCACTTCTTGAGAACGAAATAGAGCAACCAACACACGCTGGCTGGGTTGTTGTGAACAGCGTTGGACCTGGAAGAAGCTCCGCCAGCTTTCGACTGCGTCAACGTTTGGACGTCGAGGCGAAACTCGATAAGAAATAAAAAGACTGGCTCACTGGCAAAAAGGGCGACGACCTTGCCCCGATGCTGCTGAGCCTTCAACAAAGACCCACCGCGCTGCAGGAGCAATAATGCTTTCCACGTGGTGCGCTCGCTCTGCTTTAATAAACCTAAACGAATCCGGTCAGCGGCTTTGCCGAGCGCTGCACCGTCAGCGGAGAGGTTCGGGCTCAGCAGTAAACGCAAAGTGCCCCGCTCTGTTTTTTGGGCGATGATTCGATAGCGAATCTAGCCGACGTTTTAACGTTTGAAGATTCGACTTAGAGCCTACTCGTTCGGTTCTCATTACCGACGTGGGCCCTTTGTCCATGTTCTTGCATGCGTTCGTTCAATCAGGGGAGGGCGTTTGAGGGTGTTGCGCGCCAAGATAGAGCTTCCCCAGTGCGTTGGACAGATCTACTCTGTGAGATAGCGAGTCCGGAAATGTCCCCCCCGACTCCTTGCAAGCATTGCGGGCGCCTTTCATTCTTGCACATAGTTGCGGCGTCGCCTGTGCCAATCTTCTGGCCACAAACGAAGCCCATGCCTGCGCGCAGCTTAGTGGGGTCGCAACTACTGCGACCGTAGTCGTCCAGTGGAACGAAAGGACCCGCAACAACGTCCGGCATTTTTGTGCTAGCGCTCGAGCTCACTCAGAATCTAGGTCACGTGGCGCGGCGCGATTTCCTTGTATGAAGTCGCTGAGTTTTTGTAGAGTTGCTTTCTCTGTGAGACTGAGAATCTTTTCCGCGGTGATTGGCGACGTGGGCTGAGTGCTGTGAGTCGTTGCGAGTGCTCGCAGTTGTTGGAGCGCCTGAAGTTCTGACGCGAAAGCTAGCCTTCGGCATGCAGTTAGCCACTGAGCTAGTAGTTGACGACATCGCTCACGTCTGCATTTGAGTGGGGCAAGACCAAGAGTAGGGCGCGTGCTGAGATTTGAGCCGCGTTAAGTGTCAGAGTTATGCTGTGAAGCATGTTGCTGCGCAGAACTACTGGCATGCGTGTTGGCAATAATTGCGACGAACAAGCGAGGCGACGCCTCCCGGCAGAAGTGCTAGTCTTGTATATGTTTGCGAAATTTGTTGGCACTCTGGATCGCAGGCGCGCTGTTCGTCATATATTGCGCTCGGCTTGGTCGAGTGAGGATGGTGCCAAACCAATTTGCATGCCACGCCATGCTTCGTGCTACATCGCCTTGCCTGCTAGAACAGCAGCGACCTGCTCTCCTACGAGGATTACAACTGTCCACCAGCGTTGGAAGAGTTCGCGTCTCCCTTCCCTCATGTGCTCCGGGTTTGACAGACTGAGAAAAGCGGGCTGTGCTTAGATAGTGCATAGATTCACGCCCTGATCTTGCAAGCGAGCGACGAAAGGCGTGAGTTCGCGGATACATAGTTGCGGCGTCCGCGTCGCGCGCAGGCGGGCGCTCGCCAGTGGAGTCGAGTTGCGAGAGGAGTCCTCACCTCACGTATGATCTCGACAGCCCCGAGTGGCCAACTTTTGGCGATGGATAATGGCTCAAGCAAGTGGCCACACTGTTTGACCCAGCGTAAGAGCTAGGCTCTCCCTGCGATTGGTGCCGTCTTTGATACAGAGCAGCACGCGAGCCCCATCCCATGCTGGCCTTTTTTTAGCTTGTATATATAAATATATTGACTCCAATGAAGGCCGGCGGTAGTTGAGACTGAGACAGAAGGGGGGAGCCCGTGCTTGGAATTTTGTCACTCATCACGCAAGGTAAGACGAGCGAACGCGAAGGCACCCGCTGCGGGTACGTACATAGGTGGCGCGTGGCCTCCAGCAACAGCGACCGCGGAGAGCACCCGCAAAAAGGACGCTGCTGGTCTCTGAGCTTTCTGCGAAGGCCAACAAGCTTGCGACGGCGGGCCCCACTTCAAGCCAAATGGCAGCGAAGAGCAAAGTGGTACGCAGTAGATGAGTGCAAACACTTGGCAACAAACCCGCCCCTTTGTATGTTCGCGAATCAGTCAAATGAGTTGGATAACGGGCCGAGGGGTTTGAACGATGGCGCTGCGAATCCACCCACCACGCCACCGCCCCAGCCACTCTCCTTCGCGAAGGCGGTGCCTGCGATGAGCTGACGCGGCTCGGTGTGTTTGTTTGTGGTTGCGGGGTGAGGTTGATTGATGGCTTAACATTTAGAGTCTTTACTTAGACTCTTGAAAATTTCCAGCATTGCCCGAGTTGCCTCCCTTTAGATTCTTTAAGCCTTTTCGAGTTTAGCGCTTTCGCCTGATTGAAGAGATGCGAACTGAAGCACTGCGAAGCTGCCTCCATTTCTTCACGACTGAAACCCATCGGAGCGGGTGGAGTCTGTTGCGCGCGCTTTCGACATTGGATGGCAACGGCGAGCGCACGCGTTAGAATCGGGATCGATGGCCACGATGCATTTGCTGCAGATTTTTGGGAGCTTCTGCCCGCCTTCTGTTGCTTGTGCTTTCTTCACTTCGTCACGCGAGGACTCTTCGGCCCCCATAAATGGCGAAGCCTGCCGGGCTACGTGCGTCAATAGCGGACACTCGCAGGCCATCGCCCTGCTTGACTTGGATAGGGTTGATCGTAGCTAAGCACGATAGTCCTCAGCTGCTGCCTTGCGCAACTTTTCCAACGAAGTTGGGATGTAAGTTGGAGCGCATTCGGCACGCTTCCAACCTTTTGCTTTGAAGACATGGCCAGAAACAGCGCCGAGGGCATCGAACTCACCGCGCGAAGCTTCATCGATGGCGATGCTGAAGTAGTGCTGCGCTGTGTAAGCGCTTTTCCCAGCTCCATGGTGTGTCTTCCCTAAGCGCGAGCCTTCGTCTCCGGAGCAATCCAAAACCTCGATCGCGGTGGCGTAGAAAGTGGCGCCATGCGCTCCAGCCATTTTGACCTCGTCAGGAGCGATTTGCCAGCGATAAGCTTGAAAGCGAAGGAGTGGCGAGCTCTCTGATGTTGTGTCGTGTTGTAGTATTAAGCCTGCCCCCATTTGTTTGAGCTCCTGCAGCCCATAAGGGCACCGAGCTGCGCAAGAGGTTGCCAAGCTCGTTCCTTGTCACGGTGCGTGGTCGCGGTTTCGTCTTCATCTTGTTGAAGCTCTGCGGCTTGGCCAATGCTGGCAGGCTCGTCCCTCGCTCGCTGGACTTGTAACCCGAGGAAGGGCGCGGCTGGTCCAGTGCCTGCCCTGCTGTAGTTGCGACCAGTAAGGCCAAGACGCCGGGGCCGCTAGCGTTTGCTGCTGAGTCAAGCCAAAGGCGGAGCCTGCAATACCCAATAGCTTAGCCCTAGATCCTGGCCCTCAGGCAGCAACCAAACTGATGGCAAAACGATGGCCCAGATTGGCCGTAAGAAAGCGCCAGAGTGTGGCTTCTATATATTAATCACGGCAAGCCGGCAGCTGCGCCAGCATAGATGTAGAGGGAAAAGAATCCGGCAGCAGCGTCTACAATTGGGCCCGAGGGTAGCAGTAGCCCCTGGGCCAAAGTCAAGCAAAGGGGAAGCAGTCGGCCCCGCAGAGGGAATAAGGCGCGCAGCCTTCGAGTGCAGGGTCGGAATCAATTGGCTCACACCCTTCCAAGAAGTTCGGCCGGGGCGCCGTGTTTTACTGGTTAACAAACAAGAGCCAAGGGTGGGAGAGGGAAGAAAAATCCTACGCACTGTAGTGCGATCAGGTTGGGGGCCGTTCCTCACCCGTGCAAAGAGGTCCCAGAAGTGTACCGCCCTACTATGTACCAAACCGAACCAGCAGTACAGAACAGAAATTCTCTACACGTCTGGAAACAGAACACGCAGACACGCACTGAGACAAGAGAGGACGAATGAAAATGTCCGCGGTCCTTTTTTTGTTAAGTATGGAAGAGCTTTGGCCGCTTTCCATGGTTCGGCCTTCGAAAATCACAAGAAGACTAGAAGAAGGCTCGACTAATTTGAGAGAAGTGAAGAAGCGGCGACAAGATGAGGCGGTCGCGGTCTATTCAGTTAACATCCTTAAAGCGCAGGCCCGTCTATTTTCAGCTAGACCAAAGATCCAAAAAAGAGACTCATCGGATTCACGTCAAGCTTAGCACCTCTCTACACAAACGGTGTAGCCTGGCCACTCCATCCAGAAAAAGCTGAAGCCTGACAGAGGAAGACACTGGAGGGCACAGGGGTTCATGCCTGTTCACGACAAGGAAAATCGCGAAAGATACAACGCTAGTAAGTTGGAGGTCGTTCCCTACCCGTGCCAAGACTAAGAGATCTCAGAAGTGTTGTAGAGCCTTAATGCACTCACGGAGAGGCGCGAGAGATCGTTGTTGTCGGATCTAAATGACGTGGCGATCGCCGTCAAGTCTCTATCTAGCCGCTCCCCCGATGTTTTAAGCAGTTTCAACTCCGCTAAGCGCAGTCGCTTACGCTCGATGCTCAGGGTCGAGTATTGTAGAGTTCCTCCAGGACAACAAGCCTCGCAACAGTTGTACTCGAAAGCAAAGACTCTCTTAGCGGAAGCACTGTCGCCTGGTTTGCCGCTAATGATGGACGCGCGGCATCCACTCTTCGCACCACCACCACCACCACCACCTGTGTTACCACCGCCACCATCTCTTGACTGCGCGAGAGCAGATTGTGTGGACATTTGTTCATCGATGCTGCACCACATCTGGCCGGGGCCCCTTCCTGCGTCTCTCTTGTCTCTGTCAGCATCGAAAAGCGCAGAGCAGACCTGCGCCTTGACTATCTCACAGCCCACGTTCTCCTTGAGAGCAGTAGGGCCTTCTTTGGGGACGACTCCTTCTTTTAAGCCAATTACCCGCTCTGGAGTGGCAAACGCCACCACCTGGCTTCCCCCCTTACTGACATCGATAGGAATTGTATCTGTTTTTTCCGTAAAACCCATGTCTCCCACGGTTTTTGCAAGTTGTCCTTGCTCTGCAGTGGATTGAGAACCTTTGTCTAATGCATATGACCAAGGTGGACCGTCTTCGGCAGACTTAGCACCATCATCACTCATGTATTCTGTAGAAAAATCGGAATCTTGACCTTGAGCACCTACTTCTACAAAACAAGGATACCAGAAGGTCAACGTGCTGTAGATCATGAAAATGAGCGGCATACAGGTGAGACCAGGAGCACGACCGCGACGCAGCATCAGCCTGCTGAATGGCGACATTTTTTTTGTTTCTCTGGTCACTCTTGCCTTGGAAGCAAGTCTCTCCGTCTACAGAGCACTTTAGTCAGTTTATTTCGACGAAAACCTACTGATTTATGCTGGTTATTTCATACTTGGCAAGATTTTGATCAAGTTATGCTTATGCACCTCCATGATCGTGAGCGCATGGACGAGAAGTAGATGAGTAAGATCCATCACTTCCAACAGGTGAGATATCTATGCGCTTGTTACTTAGACCATCGTGGTGATCTTCCGCACGATTATACTCGACTGCACGACAGAAAGGCAGAGACCGACATCAATTTCTGCGATCGCTTACGCTTTCTCGGGTCATCGTCATACAAGAAAACACAGTAAAACTGAAACCGGCTTACCCAAGACGCGTTCATCACTCCAAAGAGGAAAAAATTCCAAGAAAAAAATGACGCAGTTGCAGTTCTTGCGACGCATTTTCATTCAGCAACAGCAACACACACGACAAAGGGCGTGCAATCATACCTACTGGCCTGACGACGCTTCATCTTCTGCTCCATATCGGCCATCAAATACCATCTCGACATCCAGTAAATAGATCTTCACCATGGAGCAAGTAGACTTAGACCTCCACGACTGTATAAACAAAATGTATACAGCACGTTTCCCCATCGACTCAGACTCTTGCCTTTCAAACCATCATCATGGCGGCCATCGCCTTGGCACGTCTCCTCTTGCCCTCCCCACCAACATCATGGCGGCCATCGCCTTGGTTCCTCTCCTGTTGATGTTGTTGTGGCAAACAATACCATTCTGGTTTCTAGGCGACATCTCGAATTCAACACGGCCAATCTTGTCCTCACTGCGACCAAGAACAAAATGGCAAGGCCTACCGCAGAAATACCACGTCCGATGGCGAGTTAGAGAGGGCAGTATCCATCGAATTCGGAATTCTCCAATAAATCGCAATATTTCATACAAAAAGAAACATTAAGATAACTTGTACACAAAGCTCAGGTATTGTTATTTAGGTTGTACGCGTTTCAACTCTCACATTTAGATTTATTTGTGAGAATGAATAATAATCAGTCACACTCTCGTTACCGTTAGGAGGTGGCTTCAGACTAGTCGGTTTAGCTGTTCGTGTTCCGAGTTTAGAATATATAAAAGCCATAATACAGACCTGCTTTGAGTAGATTCAGCGCCAGCACCCATGCCAAACCGAAACCTGTCACAACCTCAACACAGCGCCAAGCGGTTTCTTCGTTTGCCTTAGAGCTCTCCGAACTACATTTGCATTCTCATGATCATGTGCAGCATTACTAGAGCCTTAGGCAGTTTGTGTTCTTAGGGCTTTATTGCTCCTCTATAGGTAACTAGTAGAGTAAGATAAAGATTTGTCTTACTAGAACTCTGCACAGATGATTCGTAAAAAATGCCTTAATTGTTAACACTTTCCAAATTTGTCTTACAACTAGAACTCTGTCTTATTCGTAAAAAATGCCTTAATTGTTAACACTCTCCAGACTTCAAGTAGGCGCGCACAAGCCCGGACTGCAAGGATAAGCGACAATAGGATTCCCGGTGCCCACTTTACGCTCTCTCCCACTGACGACAGCTGCAACAATATCGCCGTTAAAACGACGTAGGCGCTCACCTGGAAAAAATGCTTATACTATAGATATCGAATACATCAACATCATCAGCACGATGCATTAATCTAAGTAGCATTCTCGGTTTTCACCATCACTACCGGCTCCAGCACAGTAAAGCTGGTGTAGGTGTGGAATTTCGTGGTCTAATCAGCAGCTCCTGGACCTTGTTCTGGTTGAACCACCAAAAATCATAAGTGCGACGCTTTGGGACACTAAAGTACGCATATGCATATTACGGGTGGAGCCAAGCTAACTAGGAAAAGGAAAAAGGAAGGATAGTAGGTAAAAAGTATATAATTATTGAGAAGAAGTCCTGCTCTACTTCCAGGTTCCACAAAATAGGTACCCACGCCACGAAGCTTCTCCGCTTGACTAGCACTCCGTAAGAACCGGCGATGAAACACGATAGCAGAATCCATGTGGTCACATGAATCGGAACCCGTAAGCACAAGCTGTCCCCACTCAGTGGTGGGTTACAAACCACACGCCGCGTTGATGACAATGTGGATGGGCTCGTAGTGCTTCTAGGTGTTGCGACAGTTAGAACTCACTACAATCCATCTTTATTTCCCTCATCTGCTTCCGTTCTTCTTCTTGAAAACCGCTCAGGCTCACAGAGACAGATGGGCATGGGCTAAGAAAACTTTATAAAAAATTAATAAGTTCTTGCAAGTGAGGCCTTAATACAGTAGTTGCAGTCGTGGCGGAGGAAGTGGAAGGGTCAGCGCGGATGTCAAGATGTCTCATTGCTGAAGTGGTCCAAGAGAATGCAACTTGTTCATCTGGTAGCAATCGATATTCCCAAGTCAGCGGTAAGTCTTCACTGAGAAAGCGATAGGTCGACACTTCAGCGATGAGAGAGACAAGCAAGAAAAACAACGCTGCCCCAGCTATTAGAAGAGGAATGTTGATGTTGCTTCATGCTGCACACAGGAGGGCGGCAAAATGTTCTTCATTCATGCTGCATAGGGGTCAGCTTCCTTCATACTGCATAGGGGTCAGCAAGAACACCCCTATTTTCACTGCTTCTCAGAAGTATCACGATTCATATTCAGAATTCTATCTATCTACTTACCCTAAACCCCAGACCCAAACCTGAGGCTCAGGCTCGTACTAACTAACCAGTGCTAACGAGAAAGTACCAATACTCAGATTCTGTTCTTAAAGCTACAAGCACGCGTGGCGCGATCTCTGTGATCAGCGAAGGGTTGTGACGTGAACCATGCGCAATCGCACTGTTCTCCCGCAAACAGCAGTATATGAAAAGGGTAATTTCTTGGCGCTGACTAACTTCTTCCTCTCGTGGTTCTTGTTCATATTCTTCTACCTGAGTTCCTAAGTACTTAAATTGCGGTGGTCTGGAGCAGACCTATCTAGGGAAGAGAAAGAACAAAAACTTAATGTTAGTTCTGAGTCGGAATCTAAGGCTCCCCCGTCCTCCAAGGGAATGTAGTACAACTTCTTCTTTTTACTCACAGTCTTACATCGACTTTCATCACGTTCAATCTTTTACACAACGAACTGTACTGCCTCTCTGTTTTTACAAACACTTACACAAGCGTTCCACGTAGTTGTAGTCCTACGCCAACTTACTCGTCATCTGTTCGTCATAAGTTTGATGTAGTTGCAGCTGCTGACCCAACTGAGTACGAGTAAGAAAAAAATGACTGGATAGATCCAGAAAATGGGCATGAAAACCAGTGACCAAGGGATCGGACGTTGCTCAGTATCCGCGTACACAGGATGTCGTCCGACTACACTTCTGGTTTGCTCAGCGACGTCATCGTCCACAGGTCGTCCGACACGTCTAGTTTGGATTCGATGGTCTTCTCCTACTCCTTCTGAAGTAGATATAACGTTGCTGTCGTCGACGTTATCTGAATTTAAGACGTTGTTGTCGTCTCCTCTATCTACTTCTGCATAGACGTCGTGAAAAGTCTGCACGGCGTCGGTTATGAGCATAATTTGAGTTGGTTCCTCGTGTTCCTGCACAGATGGAGGTGCACGTGCAGCACCTTGAAGATAATTACTGTTCTGACCTCCACCAGGGCAACCACCTGAATTCGAGATCGTGTTCGTGATAGTGTCCGCCTCTATACTAGGATCTTCTGTCCTCGCAGCACTTCTTGTTGTACTACTGTATGAAAGACTACTATGACTATGAGATGCAATCGCAGTCGTAGTCGTAGGAACATCAAGGTCTATTGGATCTGCTTCAGCCATAGGAGTAGTTGAACTCCCTCCATTTAGATTTGTCGATCGACGACCTTCTCCTTGATGGTCTTCCCTATTATATTCGTCCTGCTCAGCGCCTAAACTGACCCGTTCAGCCAATATTGTAGGCGTTCCACAGATTTCCTCATACTGCAAGACTTTAGCTCCAAGGCACACGAACGCGAGACCGTGGGCAGCGAGGAAGAGGAGTTTTGAAGTTTTAACCAAACATTCTGGGTGTCGACCTCTTGGCTGCTCTTCCCCAGCTCCGGCTGACGAGGATGAACCTGCACCTGTGGAAGTTGTCACGTTCATCTTCCCTTCGTTCTCGTTGCCACGACTTCGAGTTCTTGATATTATCGTGGTGATCCTTGGTCCTGAAGCAGCGTCAAGATGATCAATATGAATTTTTGAAGAAGAAGCCTGCTTCTGTCTGTAGTTATGTTTCTGTTGAGATGAGTGAGCGTAAGTCAAAAAGTCAAAACCATGTTCCTCGCGCGTCACAGCTCTCTTGTTCCTTTGATCACGGTTTAACAAATTCATATTCGGTAGAATCAATCTCGAACTAAATGCAGGTACAACTACTTGAATGAGATAGAATTAGAAGTGGAAGTGCCTCAGCTTTCATCTATAATAAATTTTGCACTTGTGGTTTTCTAAGTCTATTCTTCTACTCTTGTTAGTTTTTTGGTAAGAACTACGTCCTTGAGTTCACGCTTTTGGCGCTGCTTCCCTTCTGTATGTACTGCTTGTTCGTCTTTCGCGTCGTCGTCTACAACATAAGTGCATAGGTTGATTCTGAATGCTTGCTGACGACGCAGAAGAAGAAGCACATCACTCAAAGACGGTCTAGTGGAACGCCTCAGAACAACGAGCCTTGATGTAGATGCAGGACGAGTAGACAGGATGGTGTTGGGCTACAAAAGAGTAACCAATCAACACAGAGCTTCATAGGCTTAAGACGACTTGATTGGAACAAAAAGAAATCAGACAGTTATGTAGTCGTAACTGTATCACTCAGTTTCAGTTAGCCGTAATCGTCGTAATTGCCTCAACAATTCTTGTTACGAAGACAAATCTGAGTCTGAGAAGGAAAGAAATCTTCTCCAAAATGACACATATAATTGTGGTGGAGCCGACACATATAATATTAATTTCGAACCTATCGAATAAATAATCGCTTTTCCTTTTTTTCGCTATATTATATCCTCGGAGCTATATTTCGTTTTTCGCAGAGGATGGAAGGTCTCTCAAAATTTGAATACATATACGATCAACTACATCAATATTTTCAATCATCAATCATGTCATTAATCAGTTTTATCGTGTATTGAACTTGATGAAAAAGAGAAACTACAGCAAGTTGAAGCATCTATGATAGGATCAAGACTGGTTTCGATGTCTCTTTCTACCTTTCGCTTTAGCCCTCGGAGAGACGAGTGGCCACCATATTTATCAACGTATGACTTTCATGTCTTTCTCTCTACGTGCTTCTGATATGACCGCTTGTGGAGACAGGAGTCGAAGCAGAGCGGCACACAACTACAACCTATCATTTCTTTCTTAGAAACCATAATTCGTGTAAGCTTCAAAGTCATTCAATATCTGCTTCTTACGTAAATTTAGTGTGTCACTTAATAATTACCGGACTATCAGTCCTCGGCTCAACGCATTGAGAAGATGCAAACTATTACTACAACTAGACTCAAACAACGTGGTAGAAGACTATTTAACAAAACTGCGAGCATTCTCATTCCTCTTTCTTCAATCATGGATACAATCAACAATCACGATAAAAAAGGTAAGACGCCATGCATCCACAGTATAAGTATGAGTAACTTGTTCCTTCGAAATATCTTCAGATGTTCAAATTTCATCAGATTTTGTTGATAGACTTAGATCATGATCACAAAAATAACGCTATCACAACAGATGTCGAGTAGTCGTCAAGTACAAAGAAACTGAAACTCGATATCGACAAACTTGGACTCCTCGCACTTTCCCGATCAGTTTCTAAGTCGGTCTTCTAGGCTTGGCTCTACATCTACTCATCTCTCCTGATTTTTTTTCTGGAGATTTACATAGGTCTAGCTCTCCGGATTTAGGAAATCCGCAGGCCACGCACCATTGTTTGGCAGTCGCAAAAGGTTGCGCCAGAAACGAAATTGTCCTCCACGGGGTCCCGTTTCATCGGCTATTATTGATGACATATTCTCAATCACAAGCGATCCACCGAAGTCACTATACGAGGGCCAAGAAGGAGAGGCTATTGCATTGTAGTTGTCAATATTTTTGTTGCTGTAGTTGTTGGACTTGTTCCTGAACAAGTGAGTTTTTTTGGTTTCGTCGTTCATCTTGATGTGGTCATCATCATCACCACCGGGACCGCCAGCAACAAATGTCGACGATGTAGGAGTTGCGGACTTTGAGAGGGAATCTGCACTCTGTGTCTCCTGCAATTGCAGTTTCTGCATCCCATTCGTCAGCATATGCTCGTCGATTTCATCTACGCGATGAGGTCCACGCATTGGGTTACCCGTGTAGGCAAAATTTGCAAAATAACGCTGACATTAGATGTTGGATAATATATCGCTCGATATGAAAATAGCCAAGCTTCTTATAAACGAAACATTTTCAAAAGAAAACGTCGAACACGCAACAAACCGCTCTTGTTTCTACCTAATTTTAGATGCTTCTTGTCCTAGCCCATCTCCTTTTCGAGGGCGTGCTCCTCGTATCTCTGCATATCGTGTTCGTTAGAAATCTGCTCATAAATGAAAAGCCTGCTAAGGTTTTGTTCTGATTCAGTTCCTCGATCTAGGGCGCTTCCCCACAGGAAATCCAGTTCTGCGCCGTGGGGTGCAAGCCAGTGATACCATTGGTTCCATGTCGGTACTGGCTTCATGGAAAAACTAATTGTTAGCGGTAGTCTTTGTGTTTGCTTTTCATCGATCCTCCTTATGGTTATGGGTTCTCCCCTGAGCTTGATTATCCTCGTTTTTTAAGTAGGGGATCGATCGTCATCCCCAAAAATTGTGTGACTACTTGAATTTGAAATCGGATGCCTATGCCTAACAAACCCTGCCCCTGGGACTGGGACTGGGTAGTGTTATGATATAACGAGGCCATAAAGTTGGGCTAAAGCTACTTCCATGTGTCCACTCGTAGACGTGAGTACGATCTAAAATTGGAGACGTTGTCCGGGGACTACTACTTCCACTCTGTTCTCCTTGCGGTTCTTTTTTGTCTTTTCCTCCAGCTGTTCTAAGCTGTCTTGATGTCCCTGTATCTGTAGTAGTATCGTGTTCTATAATGGAAGTTGATCCTACAGCAGCGCTGTGCCCTTGTGCCTGTTGCCCAGGCCGAACAGATCCACCGATTACATCTCCAAGCACTTCGGATACACTGCCACTTTTCTGGACCTGGTAGTGGAGGGAAGCTAATTCCCGGAGTTGACGAATGTATGGATGGTGCTTTTTCCATCTAGGCAGACAAACGAGGCCACCCTTTTCCCCTTAAATACGCATAGCCTCTGGGGAGGCCTTGATGGTCGTAAGGATGGAAAAAACATCCTCCATAGAATGGGGTCTAGATCGTTCATCACAGCCTGTGTGGCCACAGCCCACTTCGAAAATCCTTGTCTTTCGTTTTCTCCCTGTTCTGCATGTTTTTTCTCTGATTAGACCTCTCCCTAATTCATTTTCCTTTTGAACAAAATTCCTCAAGAGTGAGTATGCCTCAAGAGTATTTCCCTTGCCGAATTGCCATCAAGAGCATTTCCCTTCAAGAATGAATATGCTTTAGTATGATCTATTCCCCTTGCAAGTGATAGATGGGGTGCATACTGTTACTGTTACTGTTCTGCTTGAGTAATATCTCACTCTATAGACGAGAGATGGATTAGAGGAAGCCTTAATTTAATTCCTTCTTCGCTAGTGGACGTTTAGGTTTACGTTGTTGACTACCAGGTTCATGACCATCATGCCCAATCTGAGGAGAAGACGCTTTCGGATCATTATGATGCGTCCACCACCACCAGCTTGCGCCATACGATTCTTGCTCCTCAAAGTAGTCGGTACTGCCGTTAGCATTCATACTGCTAGTCGCCCCATCATCATCTTCAGCGATCATTAAAGCGCGCGGCGATAATTCATATTCACATCATCTACTTAAATCACTTTCTGTTTCGTCAAAGACAAAGTGCCGCATACAGAAACAGAACTCAAAGAAGAAAAGTCTAAGAGTACAAAATAAGTAACTGTATTGTTGGAAGGGCTAGGACCGACTCTAGAGGTAAAAAATAAGTAACTGTAATCAAACAATCGAGTTCGGGAAGATGAATTAACGAGCCGAGCCTTAAATCTTCATCGTCAGGAACATACTCTTTTCGCACTTCTTCTAGCTGTTCGGGCGACAATGGTTCTACCTGTCCCCAATGGGTACTTTTCACGCCTTTCTGCACTTCAGCCTCGAAGGCTTTTCGTGTGGAGACATCGCGATCGGGCATGGCTTCCCCAGAATTGCAACCAGCAAGCAGAGCCATGTGCTTCATCGGTTCCAGATCGAAGGGAGATAGACGAGATAGAGAATTATGTGGAGGGACGATAGATGACTGCTCGCTGCCTGTGTCTATTCCCTTTTGTAGTGGTTCGGTGGGTGATGCAGGTGAAAAAGCCGGAGGGCGCGGAGCTTTTGTTAGAGAAGTCCACAGGAAAATGAAAAAGTATCTTCTTGTTCTTACTTCCAATACCAAATCTGCGAACATGAAAAAGCCTACTTCATCAACTTGAAGGTCATGAAGATCTCTTTTTACATTTAAGCTTCACTGCCTTTACCTTCCCCTTTCAAGAACTTTTACCAGAGGCACAACGACAACTAGAGCAAAAGCAACCTCATCTTCAGCAATCAGCCATACTTTGAACATGAAATCATCAATAACCGGTGTCCATGTCGTCCACGTGCCTACGTAATCCTGGGCGTCCACGATGTCTTCGATGTCAGCTTTCTGCAGACATTCTAAAAACCCTTCGTCATACTCGCACCCGATCTTGTTCCCCAATTCGATGGCATTTTGCAATGGCGTCGTTTGATGGTAAAGAGGGAGATTAGAGTACGAATTGCTACCAAATATTCAAGGGAGAGTGAATTGTCCAGGTCCACGTCCACCACCACCACGACCTTTGTTTTTTAAGTTTACTAAGTGGGACGATGCAAACTTAAACTATGTCCAGCATTTTGACGAGCAGCTTGATTAGCAAGAACATGATCAAGAACTCTGTTCTGCTCCAGGCCCTTAACAACATTAGCCATTGGAATCGCACCATGCAACACTCTGTTTAACTGCGACACTAGGTGGAAAGCTGCATGTACACCGCCAGAACTCTGTCCGAAAACCGAAATCCGGCCCACGTCAGCCCCCAAAGCATCAGCGTTGTCACGGATAAACTCGATCGCCGCCTGTTGGTCCAGCATGGCCTGATTGCCCGGAACAAGTTTGGATACGGAGATGGTAGAAGTTTTAGCTTGCTGCTGTTGTTGTCCTCGATGTTCGTCAAATGCGTCTACTTCTTCTTCTTCTTCATCTGCAGTTCCATTTGCACTTCCGCGACCAGATCCAGTTGCACTTCCATCAGCAGAAGGTCTCGGACGAGCACTACTTCTAGTACTGTGAAATTCGCTCAGCGATAGGGCTCCCGCTGCACCTAGTCGATAGTTCATAGTCACGACGATTACTTCTCCAATCGCAGCAAGCCGAGTCCCGTCGTATAGACTAGGATCAGGCCAATCCGCATGAAACGAACCCCCATGGATCCAGACTAGCACTGGAAGACGCGTTTTCATCTTGATGGCCTTTTCTATTTCTCTTTTTCCGCCTGCAGCCGGTGGTTCTTGATCTTGAAGGTAGCTTCTAGAAAATCTAGTATTGTTCTCTTCTTGTTGCTGTTGCATCCCTGCTCCTTGTTGAACTCGTTGTTCTTGTTCCGATCCTTTGTTCTCTGCTTGTGCCAGTGCTCCTCCTTGCTCTGCTTGTCCTTGTAATTGTGGTACCCACATCGACAAAGTGAGACAGTCTTCACTTTGCATCTGTTTGGTGACATACGATACTGGATGTTGCGGACAGAAGAAGCCCCTTTCTCGTGCCTCTTTTACTTCGGGACCCCAGGACGTTGGCTTTTGCGGAGATTTGAACCGCAGAGGACCTGTTGGAGCAGCAGCAAAAGGCACTCCCAGAAATTCGTGGACTTTCGTCCCCTCAAAATTCCGCTCATTGCCACGGATTCCTCCGTAGATGGTGTCTACTAGAACTTCTGCCACTGGTGGCGCATTTGGTGGAGTGATTGTTGTGTCTACTAGAACTTCTGCCACTGGTGGAGGTGGCGCATTTGGTGGAGTGATTGTTGACGATGATACAACTGGAACTGCAACTGGGGGAGCGCTGATATGTTGACTCGAGGACGAACCAGTAGTTCTTCTGTGCTTGTTTTCAAGAAGGGTGGTTTTTGATCTACCATTCGAGAAGTTGGTGTCCCTCCTGTTTATGCTCTTTCTGAATACAACTGGAGGAAGATGCAGCTGCTTATCCTCGTTTTTATTATGTTTCACATCATAATAACTCTCAGTAATATAATCTTCTTCATGCGGTCGTGTTACTGTTTTAGATGATCCAGCCATTGAAGACACTGGTAGTAACTTGTTGACGTCCTCCTTCATCTTTGTTGTTCTAGTATCATAGTACAAGTCATCAATATTCGATTGCGGAGGCACAACCCCAGCAGCCGTAGGCCTGTGGCCGAACCATTTCGGTTGGTTCTGGGACACAGCCTTCTGTCCACCATGTCCAGGGTCTACTTTCGATGAAGCTTCTTGCACTACTTGCTGACTTCTCTGGAGCGACGATCCCTGCTGACCACTCCGAAGCTGATCCACGACACGACTCCTACGAAGTTCTTCCACTACACGAGAGTATGCTGTTCTTGCTGTTGAATCCGGTAAGACGCCTGGCTCATGTAGATGTTCTTGGGTCTTCATAGTGTCACCAATCATGAACAAATCCGGCTTCTTGTGCAAAGGTGGCACAGAAGATTCGGCTGAAAAAGATGCAGAGAGTGTCCTGGAGAAAGGCTCTGATACCAAAAAGCACAGACTGGCAGCAGTACACAGAACCGTCGTCACCATGCCACATCTACGTCTGGTTGCAGGCGAAATGGAGGAAGAAGATGAAAAAGGACATGGTTGATCCACGGCAGCCAGCGTGTCGATGGTACTATTCGAAGATCTAGTACCACTAGAGGATCTCGCAGTACCACTAGGGGACCTCGATCCCGCAGCTGCAGAGCCAGTGGTCCCATAGGCGCCAGGAGGAACTAAAAAGTCATTATCTTGTTCACGCTCCTCATCATGAGCCGTACTACGAGCTCCAAGTACCGCAGAAGTCGGTAAGCTTCCAGAATCTGCTAAAAATGGAGTAGAGGCTGAGCCTAGACTCCATTTCAAGCACCAGAACCAGAACAGCCAAACAAAAAGTCGCATCCTGTTTGTCGTATGGGTATGGGTCAGCAGCAGTATAATCAGGCGAGAAAGACGAGAGGTCCAGATGTTGACGGATATAAATCTAATCAAGATCAACTCGTTACTATTGAAAGCTAATTGTATTTCCTAAGAGAAAAGAAAAGCAACCTACCTTCAGAAAAAAGGCGGTCACTAGTAGTACGGGTAGTGCACTTGAACTAAGCTATGACTATGAGGTGTAGGCTACAACTACCTAAGTACGTACACCTAGGCAAGTACTTAGTGGAGATTCAGCGGCAAATTATGGGTTCTTTCAATTATCGACACGCCATCGGAGACGATCCGGATCCTGCTCTCCATCCGATAATATAGCTCGTGGTCCTCTCTATAATGATTTACTAGACTTGAGAACCATCCACCACGAATATCTCAAATACTTCGTTCTCTCCTTTTTCTGTAGCAGAGTGAGAGTGTTGATCAATGCGTCAGGATCTCGCTTCCCAGCTGCACAAGCTTGTGCGCTACATCCGAACAACACCTCCCAAAATCCTAGTAAATGAACACAGAAATGCAGGAGAAAAGTGCCATGCTGACTCAAAAATCCTTGGCTGTAACGACTGCGCGAGGACATGTCATCCATGTTCCATAGATATTGATATTCATTATGACCGTTGCTTGTAGAAATACAAAGAAAAACCGCCAACAATTTGAATTTATGGAGTCAAGAAAAATGACTCATTTGATTTCCAGGAGGCCTACTTGGAGTACGAGTAATTCCCCAAAAATTGTCCTATATCAAGGTGTTCCAAACTCCTTATCTCCATGTCCGCTTTGCCACGAAGAGATGCTGACAGCGTCCTATCTGGAACCATGCACACCCGCATGCCTGCATCTATACTTGCCTGCACTCCTGTCGGCGCGTCCTCGAAAACAAGAACTCTGCGAGGGTCTGGAGCAGTGCTGGCACTATTCGTTGTAATTGTATCGCCACCAGCTGCACTTGACGAAACAGGTGACTGATTTGCAGTCAGAAGTTTCAATGCTCTTTGAAAAATCTCAGGTTCTGGCTTTCCTTTTCCCTCTAGTTCGTCTCCACAAACGATGTTCGACCCGAAAATGTAGTCGAAGTCTTTGCGAACTTTCGTCGTTTTGATCATCATCAATGGTCTCGCACTTGACGTCGCTAAGGCGACTGGGATTTTGAATTCGTCTTTTAGTTCATATTAGAGCTTAGCCAAATTATACAAATTCATCTTGAAGCTTGTCTTTGACACGTTTCTTTTCCCGATGATCCGAATGAAAGTGAAACAAAGGAGCGACTCACTGGGAGTCAGAAAAACGCTTCTCAAGATAAAGAACTACCTACCACTTATTACTATGATTAGGGTAAGTAGCCTTAATTGTACAACAATTCCTTTGCTCCATACCATTTATTAGTATGATTAGGGTAAGTAGCCTTAATTGTACAACAACTCCTTTGCTCCGGGTAAGAAATCGGCTTCTTTCATCCGCTCGTCCATGATCTTGCTACGCTCTTTCAGAAAATCATCCGCACTAAGCACGTCTTCAATGCCTAACTCCCTGACTGCAATTTCAGCAGCATATTTTGCTGGTCGCCCGATCATCTTCTCCCGCACAGAAGGAGTAAACTCCTTGCCGTATCTGGCAACAAGTTCGCGCTGTGCTTGCGAGTAGATGTCTTCGGTGTTTAGGAGCAAACCGTCCATATCGAAGAGACAGTAGTCGATAGCTTTGGCTTTATTTGACGCGGATTGCACATCTGTGGGTGTGGTTGCCCAGGAAGCGCTCGGTCCATAGGGGACTACTAAATCCTGAAAAAACCTCGCAAAATTCACCACAGCCTGTACTGGAAGGCCCTCTACGCCTACATTGAGTGATATTCTTCGTCCGGATTCTGACGTAGTAGAGGTCTGCAAGCCAGAAGCAGCCGACTCCAAACTGTCGAATTCTGGGTCGCAATCGACCATCTCCTCAAGAAGAAAGCCACCCGCGGAATCCATCACTGTGTATGTCTTCGTCTTTGTACTTGTACTGGATGTGTTAGACGACTCGGAAAGCGCTTCCTCCGCGTCCCTCAGCAACTCCTCCACTTTCTCCCTCGTCAACTTCCTAAAGCGTACACTATTGACTTCGTAGGCGGTAAGGTAGCGCCCTTGACAGTGGAGACAAAACCCGTTGACGCACTCGATCCAGGTTTGTGGATTGTGGAGGTATGACTCCAAATATCGTCTCGCTTCATCAAGCGACGTTGGTTTCTCACGAATCTCACCGTCGAATCGGATGACTTGATCAAGAGTAAGAAGCATTTCAGGACCACGAATAGAAGAAGTTGCTGCATTGGTCGACGATGCCGAGGACGAGTCTTCATCTTTTCTTATTTTCACTTGAAGATGTTGTAGTTCTCCTCCAACAATTTTCTCTGCTTTTGCTCGTGCAATCCTTTGGGTCATAACTTCAGCTACTGGATGTCGAATAGCCTTTTCGTCAATATCAGCGGTGCTGAAAGCGGAAGACCCAAACTCCTGCTCAAAAACGATTCGACGCCATTTTGAAGCGGACCCAAGACGCCAGGTGAAACTCTTGCGAGGATCAAAGTAGGAGGAGGCTGACGATGTAGTTGTTGTGCTGGAGGGTCCATTCTCGTCGTGTGCTGCAGAATTCGCAGCAGTGGGTTGGACGTCGTCGTCGATGTGGGGACTCATTTTTTCTTGATCTTTTTCAGGCCTAGGAGCGTTGATGCTAAGTGTTTATAAGAAATCGCTATTGTGTGCTAGAATCTCGAGTGATTCCCTCTTGTTTAGACTTTGCCTTTCATCGGCGACGGTGATGAACGCGTCGTCTCAACCTGGCATCCTGTTGTGAGAAGCGGAGTGGCAAAATGCAAGTAAGAGACGATGAAAGGCTGAAGCTTGTTCCAGCAATACTTCTCGAGACCGTAACCGTCGATCTTCGCGGCCTTTATTAGAAGTATTTGATTCGCCAGACAGACTGAGACACTGACACACACGACAAGAACATGAAAGTTTGGTAGTATCACGTGGACTCAATTGGACTGCCAGGCAACGTTTCGTAGTGAAAAGGTTGTGATCAATCATTCTGCGCCATCGATCATTAGCATAGTTGTACAAGTGGTGCACAAGAGGTTCATTTTAAGGCTATCGCTGAAGACATGCACTTTTCTGTTGCTATGCCCCTTCGCTCGATGCTGTTGCTATGCAGTGTAGATGTTCATGTTCATTCATCTCATGCTAGCAATTAGTCGTGTTACTGATGATGATTCTGAAAATACACGATGATGTGCTGAAGCTCTAGTTCGTAGTTTCTTTGAAATGGAACGGGTCAACAAGATGGAAATCGCAATGGCAATGGAAATATCCTTGGTTTTTATGTGAATCAACCGGAAATATCACTTGCGCGAGAACATTGAAGTGTTGCCAATCCCGAATGACAATTATTGCGAACAACATGCGTAATATGACAAAGACAACAGAAGGCGATGATTGTAGCAGAACCACAACCAGTTAGTGATAAAGGATAAACTTACTACTTACATCTACAACTAGTACACAACTTACTAGTTTCTACTGGTAGACTAATACATTACTGGTACTACGTACTGCAACATAGTAGGAAAATTTCATATTAAGACTTTCTACTGCGATTTTGAGAACGCGGTACTACTAGTGCCTAGTCGCATTCTGGAGCATATAAACGTTTTCCTACTGTTTGTTCTCCTCCACATTTTGGACACCTCCATTCATCCTTGCACCTCGAAGGAGCATGTCTTCGTAGTAGAGCCTGCCGACCAGGGCTTCAATCGTAGGTGATTCCTCATCCGGGAAGAAGTCTCGAGTTCGCGTCGTTGGTGTAAAGGACATCCGCTCTTGTGACAGTTCTCTCGCGACGCGCTTCTTCTCCATTAACCTGGCTCCTCTGCGTAGGATACCCCACAATGGATCGACTACTTTACGATCCTTACCAGAAGGACTCCTAGTCGCATCAAGCTCGTCAAAACCAGGCAACGCACCGCTCGGACTACTAGCTCTCTCCTTTTCGGCGATGCGGTCTTTGTACACTTGACTACTTGCGGACGGCTTGGGCTGGAAGGTACACTTCTTGAGCTCGGCGTCGGCTAGAGCCTTGTCTCGATCTTCCATAGCTTTTTCGTAGGGTTTTCGCTCCTCACGCAAGTCAATAGAACGTTGCATACGCGATAGGAACGAGCCTGGTGGTGGTGGTGAGGATCAATATAGTAAATGTTGAAGTTGCTCACGTTCCGTGATGATTATGATCTACTTCTGCTCTTGGAAATGGAGTGCATACGCCAACATCATGAGACAAACAGAACAACTATTTAATAAGGTACATGACCACGACTGACCCTGTTCTTGAAGAGCTCGTACAAGTAGTTGGCTTTCAACAAGAAACTACAAATTATAGGTACTCTGATCCGAATTTCGTTGTTTCAGAATCTCTTGAGAGCCTCCCTCAACTACAGGATCCTTCAGTTCTGCTAGTGTTCGTTTCATCTGCGCATCGCGTTCTCGTGCGAGAGCTGCACTTCGTCGTTTCTGCCAATCATATGCTCGTTCGACATAAGCCATTTTGCTAATTCCCTGCTTTTCCATACGTTTTTTGGTGGCTTGCTCCCTCCGTGGGGGTTAGAGAGGAAGAGTGTAGGTACGTTAAAAGCATAAGCTAATATCATACAGGCCCCCCAAATGTTGCCTTGTCGACGTAAAAGCTTTTGGCTCCTTTGGCTATAACAACTACTACCTAGTATTAGAAGTAAACCCCCTCCTTCATCTACCATTCATTCTACTGGACCTGTTCAAAAAATGAAAGTAAGTATGAGACGACATAATTTCTGTAATCCACGACTTCCTCGTGAAATTGCTGGTCCAGCTCTTGCTGTCTCTGCAGTCTCAACGCCATCTGCGTCGTCCTTCTTCTGAACGCATCCGCATAGAGTCGAGAGAACCTCATCTCGCTAGATTCATTGTTTGCGCGAAGTTTGACTCTAGACTGGGCTAAGACGTCGGCTGCGGCACGAGCCGCTGGATCTAGTGGTTTCTTGGTAGGACTGTATGCTCCTAGAGTTCCAGCTAAAAAACTGTTGTTCTTAGCGAAGAGAAAAGCCCAACCTTACGCCAGCAACCCAGTATGGATTCCCCTTGTGTAAAAGGGGAATGAGAAGAATGGGCTGCGTAAAGGGATGGGTTTTTCTGTGCCTTAATGTTCGGAGTAGTTCTTCCTCTACCTCCGGGACCTACTTGATTCTCTTCGATACCGGAGTAGAAACTATACTCCATTCCGGTAGCTCCACTTCCACCTTCATTTTGATTTTGTTGTAGTTCAATATTGTTCATCGAAGGACGTCGCGAAGCAGCAGATGGGCTCTTACTAGTGCGCTTGCTGCTCGCACCGGAACTAGACGAAGAACCACCTCCTGGCCCACTTGATGAACCAGCAGTAGTTGCACCTCCCGTTAGTTGTTCCAATAACGCTGCTGCAGTCCCACGTCCTTTTGCGTCTACGTCGGCGAAGTCGTCGAATGGCCTGTTATTACTGCCTGTCGCCCGCTTTCTGTCACCAGCCAGGGCTTGGTAAACCCATTGGTGCTCCCGGGAATCCACGTCGATCGATTGATATATCAGACGCCTCTCAAACGAGCGCATTCGCTTACCAGATGTCAACAAAGATGAGCCCCCGCTTTCTTCTTGTTCTCCGGTTTTGAGATTCGCGGCACGACGTGCCGCGCCAGCAGCATTACTCGATACCGATGCTGAGCCTGATGGCGCAACACCAAAGATACGCTCTCGCATCGCCAGATCGTGTCTTTGAAAGAGCTTAGCTTTCGCATCAGTGTCTAGAGGTGGGAGCTTTTTTGGTGCTGCTGTTTGTGCCTCGATATTTTCACCAAGAAGGCTTTGCTTCTGGCTTTGCGAAAAAGTAGTCGAGGAAGACGAAGAAGTACTAGTTGCTAACCATCCTCCTGTTGTTTTTACTAATCCACTATTTTCCGCGTCTCGAGCAAAACTACCTTTGAAAAAAGAAGAGAAAAGCGCCTCGCGCAATGTCGCTGCACGTTTCGCCAAGAGGGCTATTTCCTGTTCGCGTTGTGATTGCGCCTCTATCTCTTTTTGCTCTCCCAGTACTTGAGTCAGCTCTTTGTCATCAGGCGCTAAAGCCTGATCAAGCTGCGAAAAGACGTGATACAGGTCTTCCTGTGATCGATGTATCCTGTCTTGGATCACCGTCAAACGATAGAGCTCAATTTTCAGAGCTTCCCAAGGAGTAAGATTGCTTTGTCCGTCGTCTGCCCGTGAGGTCCTTGAAGATCCTAGATCATCTCGATCACGACTCCTTCCTCGTCTTACACCGTCGATTTCCCCACCACCACCAAAAGCTCGCTGAAGACGGGATCCGTAGACGCGGCCACTTCTGAGGAGTAGACGCTCATCAAGTAAGGAAGAGGTAATCGAGGAAGTGCCTTCTTTCCGCTTTTGCGGCGCACCACGCTGGATATAAGGATCCCCTCTCGCGCCCGCTTTGAGAAAGCTCATCTGACTGCAGTTTTTAGACGAGTTAAACTGTGAACAAAATACTTAGAATGACTACAGATGAACAACAACAAGGATGAACGAACCGAGATAACTCATCCATCATAATGCTGGAATCGCCAACTTTTTGGCCTCTAGTCCCGACGTTCCCCGCCTGCGCCTCCTCAGTATCCGAGCTAGGACCTCCTTGGGCGCCACGACCTGTGGCACTGCCGTCCCCCGTCAGCTGCTTCTGATCAGAAGCCGCGCTGCTCGCTGGTGGTTTCACTTCTGCTCCTCCAGAAGAAGTTCTTGCCTTCTTCGTTTTCTTAGATCTTCCTGGAATCCATCTGGAAAGTCATTTTTTCGAGATTTTCGGTCCTTGGACTGGCGTCCCGAGCAAGATGCTTCTGAAGATGGATTCCCGGAAGCCTTAATTTTAGCTTCAGGTGCCGGAGAAGCGCTATTGCCCCCTCTGGACTCTTTCCGTTGACTTTTTGCGATGAAACGTATGATGTTTCGTGCTCGCGTCGCCGATGAGCTCACCAGTGGATCAGGGACGGGGGGAGGAGCGTGGTCTCGCGAGAGCCACCCAGTTGGATGCAGAGGAGAGTCAGGGAGAACGTGACTCGCTCTCAACTGGTGCCCTTGTTGTTGTTGTTCTGATGTGCCAAATTCTTGTTTACCCTCAGGGGATCTTGAGGCTCTTCGCTGCGCTCTACTCTTCCGCTCCAGTGGTGAAGCGTAAGACGGCGTCCTACTTCTACCGTCATCTCTATTGCTTTTTCGAGTCGCTGCGGAAGATGGCCTAGTAGCTGAAGATGGCCTAGTAGCTGAAGATGGCCTAGTTCTTGTAGCAGAAGAAGGACGAGCGCTTGCTCTTGCTGCTGGCACCTTATCAATGATCGTCTGAGGTTCTACTACATCAGAATCTTGGAATGTTGTTGCACTATCAGGAGTATCACCTACTTTTACTTCAAGATCTTCGTCATCGTCGACCTGCTCTCCCTCTAGGAGCAGCTCGTTTTGCTCGTCATTCGGAGCTGTGTGCGAGCCTTCCGTCATGCTGTAGTATCCTAAAAACAGTCCACGGCCTCCTCTAGACTTACGTTCAGGTGACCGTGACGGAGAAGCGGAAGACGCCATAGATTCTTGGTGTCTACGCAGAAGTTGTCCCTTGAGTTTACGTCGTCGGCGGTCAGGAGACGGTGAGGCAGATGAAGAGCAGTCGTGTTCCTCGTCTATTCTTCTACCGCTACTTCTATGTCGTTTGCTGCTGCCCCCACTGCTCCCTCTGTCACTGCTTTTTCGACTACTGCCACGACTGCTCTTTTTTCTTCTACTATCTTCTTCTCGACTTCTGCCACTCCTACTACTCCTTCTCATCGTTCTCCTTTCTTCTTTTTTGCTATCCTCGAACTCGAATCCCATTCTTTCTGGAGGATAGTAAAAGCCACGCAGTCGACTCGCGGGAACTGGACTCTGAGAGGATGCTCCGTCAGACGAATGCTCCGAAAGACGCGTCTTCAAGATGCTGGTCCTCCTTCTTGGAACACCACCAGAAGGACCTCCATTTCCATATAATAGGTGCTGATCTACCCCATTGTTCGTCTGCGCTGCAGAAAGACGTGACGTTCTTGACGAAGCTCTTGCTGACGCAGAGTTGCTCTCTTTGCTTCTCGCATCTACCACTGCTATACTGACCTCCTCTGCTACAACGTTGTCTGCGAAGCGAGCCGTTTTCCTGGAGGTTGCCGAAGCCATCAGGGATGCTCTTAGCATGTCCGCAAGTTCCATCTCTTCTTCGGCCTTATGCTCTTCGTAGAGACGGCCATGAAACCCTGGGGGTGACGGCGAACCATCAGTACTATGGTCAAACCCTGGTGACGCCGAACCTGACAGTGAAGCGTCACCTCCACCTACATCAGCAGCATCTCCTGGCGGTAGTACTGCGTCATCTTCGTACCCGCTAGAGGACATCATCTGCTCCTCTTGGCTTTTCCTCCTCGGCGTCCCTTCTTGGGGGGACTTCCTTTGCCTTGTTGTCCTTCTCTTCTTAATAGTGGTTGGTGCCTTCATCGCGGGCACTAGAAGAGGTTCTTGAGCTTCTACTTTCTGCTCAGCATGAACAGGTCTTTTTTCTTCTGACGTGCTTCTAGACGCAGCCTTGTCACTCGCAACCTGTACCTTGGTGTCCCTCTCACTGCTCTGACCTGGGGAGGCACGAGTTTTGGAAGCGCGCTTAGAAGTTCTGGAAGATGTACGGCTTGTTCTCTCCACCGGTTTCTTTTTCCTCGTGCTGCTCGTTGTTCTCTCTTCGGTAGTGCTACCAGGAAAAGTAGATGCCTCTTCACCTTCAGTGCTCTCTCCTTCTACTTCAATAGAATCGGCGTTCGCCGACAATGCTCGTGATCGTTCTGGAGATGAACCTCCATCAAAACCATCTAGAAGATCCGTTAGTGCTTCAGAAAAAAACGATTTCGGAGGCTGTGGCTCAGTTTTCCGCTCTACATCTTCCTGTCCGTCAGCGACAACGTCGTTGTTGATATCTGGAACTATGGATACACTTTTCGCCGTTGTTGTACTACTCTTTTTACTTCCGCTGTCTCTCTTTTTTTCCGACGTGGTATCGTGTTGTTCACTTGTCATCGTCATGTCGCGGGTACTAGGATTTGTCTGACGCTCTTTCTTCTTGTTCTTGCTGCCTCGCTCTTTATCTTGAGACTGGTCTGTCTTGGGCGACTTCGCTTTGTTGGCGTCCTCCTGCTTATGAACAGGTGCAGAGCTAGAACTAGAACTGGCCTTGTCTTTAATAGGTTCCTGCGGAGCAGAAGTTGTACTACTAGTAGTAGAAGTCTTTTCCTTCCCTTTATTGCTACTCCTCGTAACTGAGGTCTTCTTCCCTGATGTAGTCGTGTCTGAAGATCCAGACCTTGTTGACATCTTTTTGCCTTTATTTGTGGTTTTATCGCCTCTCTTGTCATCCTTCTCTTTTGAACCAGTCCGAGTCTTCTCTTCCTCCTCGTCTTTCTTGTCTTTTTTCTCCTTCGAACTTGGCCTTGACGACACTTTCTTTCGAAGCTTTCTTGTTCTTCCCTCCGCATCATCGAGTAAGCCATCATCATTGTCATTGTTGCCTGATTCGTCGTCGTGATCGGTTGTTGCTAGTCCTTCCCCATCGCTCTCTCCTGGTGGTAATACGCCACGTCGCTTCATCATGCGCATCAGTGTCGAGTCTCCTGCGCCAGTCTTCCTCATCTTCGCTGATAAAGCACGCACCACACCAGTCTGCCAGAGTAACTGGCCGCGCGCTTGCAGCACCCGTTGCCACATTTGCTCCGATGAATCCACTTCCCACACAAATTGCTTAGACGGAAACTTATTTTTCACTGACAGAGAGGACGATGAAGATGTTGATGATGATGTCGCTCCACCTGTGCCTGTCGTCGATGTCGTCGAAGAACCTTGGCCTTGTTTACTGTCATTTCTGCTCGTACTCGTAGTAGCTGGTCCAACAAGACTTGCGTTATCCCTTCTTTTCGCTAAAACTTGCGCAATCTGATTCAACAAATAACGTGCTTCTCGGGTGAGAGCTCGCAGTGCAGCTGGGTCTAGTTTCGCAAGCTCCTCATCTGCGACTAGTAGAGGCAACAGAAACATCTGTTTCTTCTTGGCGCTAGAAGTTGTTGAAGTAGGAGTCCCTCTAATCGTTTTGCTGTCTTGTTCTAGACCATCAAATAATGGATCTTCCCCAAAAGAGTCAAACACGACTTGTCGAAGCTGAGATCGCATTTCTATCTCATGCATTCGTAGTTCATTCAACTCCGCAGGTGTGAAAGTTGCATTCAGTTGTTGCGAAACTCCTGACAAGATCGACGCATTCGGACCTGATCCAAGAGCTTCTCCCTCTGGTCCCACAGCTGTTCTTCTTTCATCGTCCTCTTTAGACCCCTTTCCATCCTCCTTTCCATCCTCCATAGTTGTTCCCATAATTTCCCCTGCGATATCAGGTGTACTCAGCATAGGACTTGTTGAATCACCCCCATCAGGCGGAACTAGATTGCTGCTTCGAGTCAGACTGACGTCCTTGTCTCGTTTCTTCATCTTCTTGTCTTTTTTACTCTCGCGATCGCGATTACCACCGTCATGAAGATCTCCTGTAGTGCTATCGTCACGTTTTTTCCGCTTTGCCTTCTTCTTTGACTTCTTTTTCTTCTTGCCTCCTTCGTCTTCTTCACTGCTATCCGAAGCCTGCTCCTCTCCCTCGAAAAACATGAAACTAGCGCCGCTCGCACGTTCTTCGATTACGTGGAGGCTCAGCTCTGCCTCCCTTTCGTCTCTGATCTCCAGTCTTCTGCTGGATCTCAGACTTGTTTCTCGCCGTCGTCCTCTAGTCTGTTCTGCAGATGTGGTCGCGAACAGGACGAGAGGCGTCACTTCTAGCAGCTTTTCTCGCACAAGAACGACAATGCGACGCAGACGTCGCCAAGCTAGGTCATAGAGCTGTGAACGTTGAAAACGAAGGAAGACGTCACTCTCAGACCGCAAAACGTTCAACAGCTGATAACCTCTGCTGAAAACTGAGACTTCTCGAGATAAGCGGTGCAGGTAAAACTCTCGCTGCTCCTCTTGGCGCCTCTGTTGCCTCTGCTCGGTATCCAGAAAAACGCGGTGCGTCCGAAACTCGGATCGAAGCTGAAGTGCAGTTTTAGACTTCCAGAAGGTCAACAGTTGGGCCGTTGCAAAGCAAGGAGAAGTAGGAGTACTAACTTGTCACGCTCACTTAACATACAGATACACTTATATATAAAAACGATATAGAGGTAATCACCAAAACGAATGCTTTGTACCTCATTCCACCTCTTCGCTGATACAGTGCTGCGTGTCCGCAGCCCGATGCAGAACTTATCAGCCGCCGCATAGTCAGCCACTAGATTCAGCGATCGCGCTACTGCCACTTGGAAAAATCTCTTCGGATTGTAGTACTTCTCCAGCAATTCGAGTTTCTTATCCCTCGATAACCGTCGTTCAAGTCCAGCATAGAAAGCATCGGTCCTGGCAGCCGTCGCATTCGAGCGCTCGTGCTCACGCCGCAAGTAGCCTGTTACGTCCAACCTTTCGACTAGAATACGAGCAACGTCATGGAAGAAGGCAGCACGAGGACCCTCTGCTTGGTCATTGGACGTTCTTGACGTTGTGCCTAGGCTACCAGAAGAAAAAGAACCGGAACTACCCGCAGCTGTTTCTCCTGTTGCTTTTTCCTTCCTCGGTAATCGACTTCCACCAGCAGATGTTGCACCCTGCTGTTCTCCATCTATGGCACCACCTTCTTGCTTCTTCGCACGTAAGCCTCCAAACGTTGCCTCTCCGTTTGTCCATAGGCACTTCCCGTCAGCGTCTAGACAACTATGAACCGCCCAAATCTCAGTCGGGTACTTCTCTTGTAGCAGAGATTCGACTTGTGACCGGACAGAGGCTGCTGATGACTGCTTTGGTTGATAAGCTATAGACAAAGGCACCAAATTTCTCTCCAAAGTGGTCACCGGGTTTCCGTTCTCGTCGATAGACAGCACGGAGACGACTGAGACACGGACTTCGCGTTCAACTACTTCTTCGTGCGAGTCGAGACGTCTCAACACGCCCATAGCTGAGAGTAGGTGGCCGCTTTGTAACTTTGTTGCTAGTCGCGTTGCTACTCTGCGTAGATGGTCTTCTCTCCGATCGATTAAAGCAGTGACGGCACCAAAATGAGCTAGCCAACTAGCAAGTTGTGGAGCGCCAAACAGGGATGTCTTGGCTTTAGACGTTCCTGCTGATGTGGAAGATGAAGCGCTCTGACTCTGTTGTAGTTGAGAAGTAGACGTCATGCCACTTTGGATTATTCTTGTGCTCGTTTTTAGTGACTGTCCTGAAGAAGTTGAAGACCTGTTCCCTCCGCCTCCGACAGCTTTCTCAGCATCCTGCTCGATCACAAGAGAAGACACAGCGCCAATTTCAGTGTGTCTCACCATGGCATCAATGCACCCGCAAGCTTGTGTCAGCAGGTTACTACTGGTACAGGTCAAAGCGGTAAGACGGTCAACGTCGTTTGTATCGATTTTCCATCGTCGGAAAGCTTCAGACTCAAGCAAGGCAGTGTGAAAATAGCCGTGGACAGCTGAGAGTGGATGTGCCGCCTCGACGAAAAGGTCGGGGACACCCAGAATAGACATAGCGGGAGCTTCAGTGAGGTTTGGCGGTAAGATATCTGCTGGTGGAGCTGCACCATCCTCGTCGATGCCATTCTCCTGCGCTCGCTGTTGTTTTTGAAGGTTCAAAATTGAATTCGGATTTAGAATCTCGTGCAAAACCCCTCTCAGTTTTTTACCTGTAGTGCCACATCAAAAGAGCGAATGTGAATCCTGGTTCTTGCATGTATGAAAAAATTAAACTGCACCATGAAAAATGAAAAATGAAAAGTACTACCTGAAACAGCTTCAATATCGATTGTCGCGCTTCATCACCTCCGCCAATGCCTCCCTTATTATCTCCTTTTCCACCCTTTTTACTATTCTTCTCCCGAAAAAGCCGATTAGACCCTTGCTCTACCCAGTCCTTGACGAAAGACTGCTTTGCCATGTCAGCCTGCAGCACTCTCAAGTCCCCATGCTCGTTCGCCAGGTCGAATTTGGTCTCATATCCTCTCTGCGAATACGTGACCCAATTACCTGTCTTCGTCTCCACTCGGTCCAGCAAAAACTCCAAGCGTAGGGCAGCCAACTCTTGAGCTCGAAGGACTCGCTCTTGGTCTTGTGGAGAGACAGAGGAGACGACATTGGGATTGGTGGATGCAGAAGATGGCATGGTGCCAACATCCACTCCCAGTTGTGGTGCAACAGATGATGTTGAGGGTGCAGAAGTTGTGTTCTTCCGCGGCGCCTCAGCAGCTGCTCCTACTGGTGCTCCGGACGAGGTGACGCTCGGTGGATTCGCCACCAGAGCACGTTGAGAGGTACGTTGCACAACCATTGTCGTGGCTAGTCTTTACCAAATTCTACTCAACATCGACCACGTCGACGCATTCCTTGTTGTTCATTATCCGGGACCGGGAACCTAGAGGCCCTTTGCTAACAGGACTTTCATCTATGTCAATGTCGTTCTCGTTGTCGTTGGATATTGAAATTATGAATTTGAAGTAAGACTGGAACATGTGGTGCTACTTGCCGACGGGGACAGAAATTGGCATGCAGAGCGGAGGCATGGGCGAGCGGAGACTCTGTCGTTAGTATTCGGTACACCGATGCCTTTGTAGCGCAGAAGACCTAGTCTCCCAGACTGATTGCCTCAGATTCAGAACGGCGCTCTAGCCTTCTTGTCCAAAGACCGAAGATGACAGACGCAGTTCCTTGGTATAATGGATGCTAGGTGGACCGAAAAACGTCTACACGATGGACCGACGATGGAGATGTTTTCCTTCAGCTTTTAGATCGCCAGACGTTGATCCGTGGCAAAGAGGACACAACGTGCTCCGTCTGTCCTACTTGCGTTGTTGATGTCGGCGAAAGCCGCAGCTACAGGTACTTACACGGTCGTCAGATTGATTCTTGCTCTAGTTGCGGACGAGCATTAGTGTTGAATTCATGGGTCAATTGAGTTCTGCGATCGCTTTCCCACTAGGTGTGGGAAGGGTCCCCACGTCCACACGAGGTTATCGTGCTTGTGCGTTATTAATTTCACCACATCTTCTTTCAACCATAACGGAGGTGGAGGTAGAGTTTCTAGTTGTAAAAATTTGCCTTTATCCTTTCTTGGAAAAGGATTTTGATATTTCATCGACTTTATGCAGACACATACTGTTCATTGAAGTAGACTTTTTGCAACTTCTACTTGTACTTCGTGTTCTCTTTTGATGTATCAGATTCATAGGTATTCCTATTCCACGAATCTTAAAGGCAACTTTTTTTGCGATGTTCAATTGAAATGGAGTGGTTTTCGATTCTGGTGATTCATCTGTTCAGAGATAGTACCCTTTCCTGTCTTCAAGTTCAAGGCTTGTTTGTTAATATCTTCGATATCGTACATGATATTGGGGCATCTATATTCTCAATAAGGGATTCTCAATAAGGGCAAGATCTACTTATGACACGTGGTACTAACGCTAATGGTACTATATATAATCATGTTTTTCGAATTCATTTCTAGTTCGGTGAATTATTCTTATTTTCTAGGCTGTATTCTCGCAAATGTGCATTAACGTTCACACTATCATTTCACTGCGCGTACGCCGACTGTTCACGAATAATCTTGGTAGCTCTAGGTCTAGCTAGCTATTGCTTGGTTTCATAATTTTTCTTTCTGTTCAACGAAACGGTAACTTTCCATCAATATCAATTCTCACTTCTTCCAGAAGTTACATCTTGTAACAATATTTAACGTCAATCTTCAAGATCAAAAGAACTTAATAAGAAGTACAAGCCAACTATTCAGGTGGCGGTTCTGCTTGGCTCTTCCTGCTCTTCGCTTGCAGTCTAAACAGCGTCTCCTTATGCACTTGACTCGGGTAGTTCCGATTGTAGATTGGTATATTCACGATCGACAGCATCATCGGTTCGTAAGGTGGCGCTAGCGAAACTTTCCTCCTCTTCGCAGCCACGCGCCATAGGTTGCTGCCGTCGTCCATGGACTTCAGTGAGTTGGAGACCGGTGCTGCGTCATCCTCGGCTAGGATTTCGTGGCGTAAGCCACAAAGGGTCACGTCAGGAAGCTGTCCATCCCCGTAAACTCCCTTCTTTTTCTTCCGGCTTGGAACGACGTCGACCACGCTCTTGCCGCCACGCTTACCGCCGCCGCCTACATTAGTGAGTTGAAGACATTTCTAATTTTGATAGTTGGAAACTTGAAGTGAAATAAGTCGTGCTTTCATTACAACAAGCTAGTCGTGGATGAAAAAACATGCAAAATCGACAAACGATATGTTTCTATTTAGACAAGAACGTCGTCAGTTTGTCCTAGATTATCCGTCTGACCTCTAAAAAATTTACCTTTCGTCCCGCCACCACCACCATTTCCATTCGGGGCTTTGTGCTGTCCTTCTAAAAGTATCCCTCCTGCTGTGGCGTCTACTTGCTCTGCCACAACAACACCATCCTGCCACAACCCGTCCGGATTCCCACTACTACTGCTACTAGAAGACGATCCGCCTTCAAGACTCGCTAGTTGGTGCTTCAAATAGAAGTCATCGATATCTGCACTATCTATTGGCTCCATTTCGTCCATCTCCTCTTCTTCGCCTTCAAACTCGTCATCTTCCTCTTCTTGATCCTTGACTTCATCGTCGACACGACTACCACAACCACTACCTTTGCTTGACTCAACTATAGTACTGGCTTCTGCCTCGGCTCTGAACTCTTGTAGATCACTTTCGTCTTCGAAGACGCTAAATTCAAGCTCTTCTAAACTCGCGCCTCTAGATGAGGTTGGTGTCGAGAGATGACCCGCTGCTGAGTCTCCTATACTAGAGGTCAAATCTTCATCTCCGTCTTCTCGTGACGAAGAAGGAGAAGCTCTGCCTGATGCCACGTCTTCAGTGCTGTGTGCGCCCTCCTTCACGAAATCCACTTTCTGGCCTGCGATTGTTAGAGGTGTCAGGAGAGGGAGACAAGTTCATGTTGACCATGTCGAACATTGGGTGTGGGTCCATTCACAATAAAGCCTTCATTGTCACTAGAAGTAGCTAGCTTTGTCCAGAATGTCTAAGAGAAGTCCAACTCCGTCCAAGTGCGACTAAAAAATCAACAAACTCATCCCGTAACTTTTTCTTCTCCATGTGCTGTCTGACTGCTGCTGCAGCATCCACTGGTTCGCCGTCGTCCTGACGTGCTGGCATCGATGTGTCAGGTATCATTGCTGGCGCTGGCCTACGGTAAGTTCTCTTATAGAGTGTGATATCCGAATGCTTCTCTGGTCGCCCCTCAATGGCTCTGCGCACGTTCTCCACGTAGTCGACTGTTCTGGCGTCTAACGGTGTCAATTGGCAGAGCATACCGTTGACATCCACGATGAGGAGAGCCTGGAGCGCGATCATTATTTTAAGGGGTGAACGTCGTGAAGGTCCCATCATTTCTTTGTTGTTGATGGTTCAAATCTCAAAAATGGATAGAATTTACCTGTTCCTCATTAATCCCTGGCGGAAGTTCTCCAGTGACTAAGTTTGAAAGTGGCCTGTCATCCGCATCGCTATCGAACATCGTCATTCCCGCTTTCATCGTTTTCGACATCATGCCAGGTTGTGAGCTCGAGTACCTTGTCAAGATAGTGCTGGTGGTGGTGGTGGTGGTGGCGGTTGAAAATTCTACTGTTGATTAGAACAGGTTTCTCGCGATAGGTATCGGATGCCATGATCGTTTAAAATGTACTAGAACTAAAGCGGTTCTTGTAACCGGATGGAAGGACTTGTTTGACTTGAAATTCATTGTGTAAGTACTTTGCCGCTCCCTTCGGTCCGTTATCTCGCTTCTGCCTCGCTGGCACCAAGTGACAGATCCACACTCGGTCTCCTAGCTGTTTCAGGATTTCGTACTTCGTCTCTGTGGAGTAGGTCATCCACGTTCCGAGATCACCCCTAAGCATATCGAACAACATCATACAGAACACTGCTAGAATCGCCAGCACACCAAGTGCATCTCCTAGAGAGGAGAGACCGACTTCAGCGACCGCGGTGAAGAGGAGGATGACGTAGCTGTTGTAGTAGAGGATAGTGGGTAACATGATAAGTTAGGATGTTTGATGTTGTAGTGACACCTCCATGCTGCTGAATACAGTTCGTCTTCGTTGACAAGCATCTGAAGAAAACAAAATGGATGAATGCCTTTGCTAAAACAAACAACAAGCCATCATGTTTTATTTGACAAAGAAAAATAGGTACACTGAGCGCAGCAGAATGTCGACCACTCTCGTGAATCGGAAGAGCACCGGCACTGAAAATGCTTGCGCAACGTACAGCGAAATACACGAGATAAAGCATGTGTAGATGATCAATCCCAGACTCTTCGAGAAAGCGCATACGAATGTGATGTACATCTGTTTGTCGTTGGGTGGTTTGTTGAGGGCGCAACATTGGGGACATGTGGTAGAGGCAGAGGTTGATTAGCGAATCTTGGCTTCATGTTCATCTATGCTTGTTCGAGCTGAAATTCAACTTGGAAACGTCTAGTAGGTGGTCTTTCTAGCTTGATATAATTGCAATGGACACATGAGAGTATGTTAATACCAAAGCCTGAAACGGACTGTTGTATGTGTGTCCCATTTGCACTGCTTGACCCAATGCTAAAGCCGCACAGTCATCACGCACCGTCGCATGCACTACTTTGTCGTCGTTGAAAGTCACCCCCAAAACTGAGCTGTAACCTTGTCGAGCGGCCTCCAACTGCTGAACCAGTCTCTGCATGATCCATGTCCGCATAGGCAGCACTGTAGCTTTGAAGAGGAAAGGGTCCTTTTCTAGGTTCTCTGGGTTGTCGCAGACGACATCTCTATCGAACAAGTCGACGAACCAGAAATCAAACTGCTTCTCGACTCCGGCTAGGACCTCGTGATGTGCAGTTGTGGTGAGACAACTGTGAGAACCATTCTTTTGGACTTGGTATAGAAGACGAAGGAGAACATCAATAAAGACGAATGGTGGAGATGAAGGAGAACATCAATAAAGATGAATGGTGGAGATGAAGGAGAACATCAATAAAGATGAATGCATCAAATGACCAAGCAACCCTGATATCGAAATATTAAACAAAAAGTCCGTAGCATACATGCAAAACTGAGCGATCCTGGAGGTAAGAAAGAGTACCAGTGCGCCGGTGATCGGATTCCTCTCTACGAATCCATGGTAGTAATCTGGTGGCAACGCAATTGGAGCCAGGATCGTTATTCTGTATTTGTCCGTGTAGGCTTCGAAGTACTCCATTATTCTTGGAAGGACTTTGTTTCTGTTCTCTAGACACTGTTCAGCGCTTTTTCGGAAACGCAAGACCTCTGCTTCAAACTCCTTCTGCTTGTCCTGGTTCACCATGGAACAGGACGAAAGAAACTTCTTTTCGGTCGCCATTTCGGTGGTTGTGGGAGAGCAGAAGCAGGAGGACGAGGAGCTTCAAAAATGGTAAGTAGAGAGAACAACAACTACCAGGTGGGCTTCAAAACTCTAATAGTGTCCTTCTAGAAGAAGTGCTTCTGCTTCACCTGTTGACTCTCCTTTACTAAGCGTTTACTCGCTTTCTTCTAGCAAATTAGTCCTTGCTTTATTTGCGGACGAGTCCCCTCGCTCTATTGCATTTTTTGCAATAAGCCTGCTCAACGTGGAGTTGTTGCAGAAAATGCGGGAACAAGGGGTGGTCGTGTCGATAGACTCGTTCTTGGAACGGGCAGGCGCAGACCGCAGTGACGAAAGTGGAGTCACGTCACGACTCCCATCGAGCAGCTGCGGAGGTGATGGTCAAGGTCAAGGTCATGTTCGTTGGGAGGTCTAACACACTTAATATGGCCTTAATAACCAATACAATACAATTAATCTCGCACAAAGTTCAGTGCAGACCGCCTTAAGGAGTAATACTGCATTCACAGACACAAAGGAAGGAGGAAGAACTTAGATCATGATTATGCTGGTCGTGATGCTAACGACGAACTACATTTTCAGAGTCACAAAGACGATTTTTGGATTTGGATTTGGAGATTTCAGAAATTGTTTCTGGCCACCTATAGGGGCGCAGTACGTTTCGCAATCAACAAAAAAGCTGGAGACAGCATGAAGGACTCACCACAGCAAGCAGATAACTGAGGAACTAACTTAGAAAGAGAGCTAATGAGGATTGCTTTCAACCACTTTTTCCAATCGTTTCGAATTCGTCGACCTCGATATCGAAATCGATTTCTCTGACACAACTTTAACATCGACAGTTTTCACGACATGTCCACCTCGCTCTTTGCTGCTTCGACTCGGTCTCTCTTCTCAGCCTCAGGCATCTCTCAAACTCACACACCACGGCGGGGGATTCGCTCTCGAGGATCATTGCTCACCACGCACGGCGTCTAAATAGTGCTCGAGCGGCAGCGGAATATGCCGCGCCTAATCAACTCCTCATACAAAACACACTGTGACATGAAAAAACCTTTCTACGGAACATGAAAAAACCTTTCTATGTCCAACATGGCAACATAGACATACTTAGAAGTGTAATTTCACTTCAAGAACTTGGGTCCCTGGTCTTGTTGTAACCATTGATATACACATGTCGCAACGCATTTTTCTTGGCGCTTATCCGGATGCCATGTTGTACATGTTTGACAGCATTTACAGAATAGCAGCTACAACTTACGATCATTACCTTAACATGCTGTATTCTATTACTCTGTTTATCACGCTCCACGAACCTTGAAATAAGTACCTGGACCTCGTGTCCTTTGGTGTCTGCTCTGTCGCGAATCTTCATGTCTAACGTCGTCCGCTTTTTTTAGTCTTTACAGAACAAGAGAATAAAATAATTTTGTCTTTCATTCAAAAAATGAATGATATTCATGAAGTTCAAAAGTAGACGCACCTGCATGACCATTTTTCCCTTAATCGCGCTGGTCGTTGGTCGAGCATAGCTTTGATGATGATGATCGTACCTAATCTTGAGGTGTTAATCATTTCATTATACTGTTGTACTTGTAGAAGAGCCCTGACTAAGAAAGAAAGAGACTCGAAAAAAGGAAGAAACTCGAATATCATCAATTATTTCATTATATTCAATCATTATAGGCACAAACATCACTTTTTTTTTACTAACTTGTTCCATGATATAAACTACATGATCTTCCTCGCCATCTTGTTCACGCCGTATATTGATGACTCACACGACTTCTCTATCACCATAAGTAATATCGTGTTCAAAACATATAAATCTTGATTACTAGTAGTAGTACAGTCGTAAGCCAAAGGCAAAATCTAGTCCTTACAAAGTGCCAATCCTAAAAAAAAAATGATCGAGCCTAACATTGCTGTAATTTCAGGTATTTCCCCCTCGGTTGTCTTTAATCAAATGCAATCGCAAACTTAGCTATTAACAGTAACATCTCAATCTCAAAAAAAAATTCTTTTCGCAGATCGATGCGCTTCCCTCTTCTATTACACAGAGAATCTCCTAACTACCATTGTGTTGTAGTTCTGAGTCCTACTCTTTTCTCTAGGTCAATCAAAAATAACGATTTCTGGATTTCCTGGGCTTACGCTTCTGCAATTTCTCAGTCACTTTCTCTATTAATTATCAGCTAAAGGATGACTATCCCAATATTCATCCGATGAATATGAATTCGGAATAGGGTCTGGATTCGGAATAGGGTCTGGATTCGGAATAGGGTCTTCGTCACTTTCCTCAGAAGAATTTGATGACCCCGAGTTTTCATTTTCAGCATCCTGGTGTTCATCCGACGAATCCGTATCCAGACCCAAAGCGTTCATCGGCGAAACAGGGTTGTGGCGCACAGAAGGCAACGCTGCTGTCGCCGTCGTCGGGGTCGGCGAGCCTGTAGCAGGAGAAGCCACGGCCGCCGTTCCCGCAACAGCAGCGGCGGAAATTTCTTGGCCTCCCCCAGCATGGGTGACCACCGCGGAACCAGCCAATTTTTTAGATTCTTCTTCCTTTGTTGTGGTCCCGCCGCAGCATCCTTGCGGCTTCGCCTCCTTCAACAATAAGCGACTTTCCACCCTGCTAGAGGCACTGCAGGCGATCAACGCAAGCAAAGCTGCACGACAACGATGACGACCCATTTTCTTGTTGAAGGAACAAGCTGTAAGTGGTCACAGCAACTAGCACGATATGATCTACTTTGAAGATAGACGTACTAACGTTTTTTTATATTTCGAAATCAACTATAATAACAATATCAAGAATTATCGCTCCTGATCTGATATCGATGTTTTTTTTTGCTGCTTGAGACTGAGTATACTAGAGGCCCTTTTCTGAGGTTGCCTTCTGCTTCAACTACGTCAAAAACACAATATCGCGACTCTGAAAAAGTCTACTGGTTGAGGTGGAAGAAGATTGTGTTGTGTAAATATCTCGTTCTGCTGGAAAATTTTGTGGAGGACTAGGTTTTCTTTTGCCTTCTAGTTCTATGTATTGCAGCGTGAACGCGGAACGAGGTTTCTTGAGAAAGTGTTGCATCTAGACAACATCTTGATCATCTGCTCTCATCAATTCAATCATCAATTCGGCAACAGACGAGCATTTTTAGCATCCACCCTCGAACAGATCTAGCGCAAGGAATACAAATGCTTTCCCTCTTCCTTACAAGTCACTCCCACTGGCTCAATGACAGACGCAATCATGTATGTAAGACTCTTCGGTAACAGACTCAATTCATCACATGGCAGACGACTCTCGAACAGACGACTCATGATGTTGATCATGTGGGTGCTACGTGCACGTGGTAACATAAAGTCAACTTTTCAGGACCAATACTCACAACTCTTCAAAAATCCAGTAGTCAAATCACCTGCTAGTAGATCAATAAAAAGAAGAACATCAACATATTCCCAGAGTTGTAACTTATCCTCGGACAGTGGCCAGTCATCGTTTTACTCACGTCGCGTTCCCTGTGAGTACGTCTTTGAGCTCTGATCTTGAGATCAAGTAACTCGATGACCACGTCGTCTTTCATTTCAAGAACTTGGGTTTCTCGTCTTGTAGATATTGAAATACGCATGTCGCAACGAATTTTTCTTGACGCTTATCTGGATGCCACGTTAGACAGCACTTTCGGAATAGTAATTTCCGATCTTTAGCTGTCTCACACTGTTCACGCTCCCCCGCTCGTATCATCTCGTAAAATAAGTACTAGGAGCTCGTGTCTTTTGGTTGCTGATCAGAAGAGAATAAAATTTTGTCTTTCATTCAAAAAATGAATGATATAATTCATGAAGTTGTTCAAACGTAGAAGTACCTGCATGGCCATTTTTTCCTTAATCGCGTTGGTCGTTGGTCGAGCATATCATGACTATTCACTTCATTATATTGTTGTACTTGTAGAGCCCTAACTAAGAAGGAAAGAAACTCGAAAAGAGGAAGATGAACATCGAATTCGAATGTGATCATTAATTATTTCATTATATTCAGAGGCACGTCAACATTTCTACTTGTTCCATGTTATAAACTTCTACATGACCTTCCTCTTCCTGGTCATCTTGTTCACACCGTACATTGATGACTTTGACTAGCAGTGATCGAGCCTAGCATTGCTGTATTTTCAGGTAGTTCTCCCTCGGTTGTCTTTGATCAAATCCAATCGCACACCTAGCTAACTCTAACAAACATCTCAAAAAAAAATAATTTTCATTTCGCAGATCGATGCGCTTCCCTCTTCTGTTGCACAGAGACAGAGAATCCGGTAACGCTAACCATCGCGTTGTAGTTGTAGTTCTGAGTACTACTCTTTTCTCAGTGTACTTTTCGCATTAGGCTGGATCTTTGACCACATAGAAAGGTGGGCCGAGAACGGCGATTTTCTCGGGTCGCGCCCACCAACGGTCACAACAGCGGAAATGGCAATGCTTGTCTTCCGGCCCTTCGTAGCACTTGCGGCAACAGCTAAAGCAGCAGCAGCATCGGCAGCGGCACAGACAGAGGTTGACCCAACTGGCGTCGTCGCACCTGTAGCCACACACGACGGAGAAAAAGTCTAGAAAACACATCAACAGTGCAAAAAAGACTAGTCCCATCGACGCACAGATGAGGGCAAAAGCCCAAGGCTTTATGCGAAACTCCGAAAGTGGCGGCTCCGTACCATCGTCCATCGATCTAGGAGACCCCCTTTTGCCGAATGATTGTGGTTCAGTCTGAAACAAATAGTTGCTCCAGGACCAAGCTCGGAAATGCTTCTCCTCTTTCCACTCACATTTGCCTTTCAGCGAGTTTATTTCTGCGTTGATTTTTTCCACTAGAAGAACATAATCTGTTGGCTTTTCAGGTCGAGGCGGCATTTCACGTTCTTCACCTTCAACGTTTGCGCTGGCATGGTCTTGCTTGTGCTTCATCGGCGCATCAAGCGCTCCTCGCTTTCGCAAAAGTAGAACTTGCGCGCGTCGTCCTTGTTCTGCAGCGAGAGCGACTAGTCCACGCTTCTTTGCTTTTAGTCTTTTCATTTTTTCACACGGGTGCTGCGGGTCTGCGTCGATCAACGCCCAGGATCGGATCCATTCCCCATAGTCGTGGAACCACATCATTGCGCCGCAAGTCCTAGGATTAATCTCGAGAAGGACTGGTCTGCGGAGATCGTTGTTTTTGTATTTCAAATCTAGACAGCCTAGGCCCTTGTAATTCAAAGCCTGCAGGATCTTTTTGACCTTGGAGAGCAAACTCGGATCCGGATCCAATTGTGCGGAGTTAACTGCGAAACCCCCATGATGGCTGATGACATTCTCGCTCCCACCCTCTGCGTAGCCACGATGTTGTCGAACATGTAAATAAGTTCCATCACTAGCCGTAGCTTCCGCGCTGGAGTAGTTGTCAGAAGAAGAATCGCTACGATCTCCAGTCTCTGTGGTTTCGTCCTTGTCCTCTTCCATGATGCCAGTCGTGGCTGAGTCAAATACGAAATGCACTGAGTCTTCTACAGACGATTTGAGAAACTCGGAAGCAATGAAACTTACTTTCGGATTGTCTCTCAGTAACTGAGTCACTTGGTCCAGAGAGGTCGCACGCTTGTACAGGTGCGTGACAAGCATTCCACCTGCTCCGCTAACCGGCTTCACCATCCAGGGCCTGGTGGGAGTAGGCCTCTCCAACTGCGACGGGAAGTTCAGACGGTCTCTGCCGTCCTCCTGTGAAAGCGGACCTGCATGCTGTAGTACTTGTTCATCATCTCCTTGATCACGTTGCGGCGACGTCTCTTCTACCAGAGATATGGGGCCTGACGGGATAAGCATATCACAGACTCCGTGATCTCGTGCACGTGTGCTTCTTGATTGAGCCGGTGTATTGCAACCGAAATGCTGCGAGAGAAATAGCATCAGTTGGTTTTTGTCGGCGACGCGGGTCCACGAATCTTCGCTGTTCAAGTTATTTAGCATGCGCGGCACAAGCAATGCGTCCGGCTGCAGCTTTGCCAAGGGTAGCCCGGCCGCTTCGTAGCTTCCTGTCATCACCTTGTACACCGAAGAACTTGATAAGCCACGACTGGCTACTATTTCCTCGTTGAGTGCCTTCGCGAAGAGCTGGCTCTTCTCATCCTCCGATTCTTCTCCTCTTCCTCCTGCGCGAGGACTCGTCGGAGCGGTGGCAGCACGAATGATTTCAACATTTGCGAGTCGTAGTTTTTCGTAACTTCCAGTGTACCACTCCCTGTCGAAAAACCAACCGTGGGAAATGATTCGCACCCAGGGTCGGCCATCCTCACTTCGCGAAAACGTTGCGTTACTCAGAAACTCCCACGACCAAGTGAGGGAGGCAGCGACAGTGATAGTAAAATAAATCACGCTGCACCAAGTCGCCTGGCGTCGCCACACCGTATCCCGAGGAAAATCGAAGTGCATAAATTCGTCGCTTTTCACTTTACCACCAGGCGGGGGAAGTAGAGCATCCTCTTCTTTAACGTGACCAACACTTTTTTCGTTAACACTTTCCACACCGTTTTCGTTAATCTTCATACTCGTAAGAGCATTCTTTTCGTGAGTGCTTGCTCCTGCCACACCCTTTTCCGTCGTGACAATACTTAGTGGGGGCTTCATTCTTGCCTTTTCTGTTTCTTGCCTGTCATCACTTCCATGTAGTTCCTCGTCAGACGCATCGTCCTTCTTCACAAGTGGCCGCGTATCCTCGTCGAGCACTTGTACGGCATCGAAATGATTGGAACTCTCCATCGCCATCTTCGTAGGTCTTTGTATTTAAAGGGAGACGAAGCAAGTATTTCAACCAGGAGACGAGATGTTTCAATAGGGAGACGACAGCGAGTTCTTTTTTGATATAGTGAATGCGTGAGGGAAGACACGATATTTCTCAGCTTTTCACTTCTTCATTCATCAAGAATCGCTCCTGATCTAATATCGATGTATCTTTTTTGCTTGAGATTGAGATTGAGTATACTAGCGGCCCTTTTCTGACGCTGCCCTCTGCGTCAACTAGCTACGTCGAAAACACAATAGCACAACTTTGAAAAAGTCAACGGGTTGAGGTGGGAGAAGATTGTCTTCTGTAAGTATCTCGTTCTGCTGGATAAGGTCGTGGGTGATTCTAGGTTTTGTTTTTCCTTCTATGTATTGCAGCGTGAACGCGAAACGAGCTTGCAGCTTGAGAAAGTGTTCCATATAAATAAAAATATGTTATTCTGCTCTCATAAATTCCATGCATAGGTCACCGACCATTGAGTTCCTCTCCTCTGCAACAGACAAGCCTCAGCATCAACCCTCGAACAGACGACCTAGAAGCGCAAGAAATACAAATACTTTCGCAAGAAATACAAATACTTTCGTCCTCCCTCTTCCTTCCGAGTCACTCTCACTGGCTCAAGAATGACAGACTCAGTCATGGAAGACTCTTTGGTAACAGACTCAATCTATTTTTATGGCAGGCAACTCTCGATCAGATCATTCATGATTATATTGTCTAATAAATCTATAATCATCCGAGGCTACAACGTGCACGTGGTGACATAAAGTCAACTTTTCAGGACCAGCACAACTCACAAGCACAACTCTTCAAAAATCCAGTAATCAAATCACCTGCTAGATCTATAAAAATTAGAACATCAACGTATTTTTCCAAGAGTAACAGATCCTCAGAGAGTGACCAGTCACCCTTTTACTCACGTCGCGTTTCCTGTGAGTACGTCTTTTGCTCTCTGATCTTGAGATCAAGCAACTCGATGACCACATTGGTTTTCATTTCAAGAACTTTGGTTTCTCGTCCTGTAACCATTGAAATACGCATGTCGCAACGAATTTTTCTTGACGCTTATCTGGATGCCATGTTAGACAGCACTTTCGAAATAGCAACTTGCGGTCTTTAGCTGTTTTACACTGTTCACGTTCTGCTCGTATCTCTTGAATAGCTGCGTTAATGTAACTCTGACTCTCACTCATATCCATGTCATTGGTACAAGAAGTGTTTCTGTTTATTTTCGCATTAGTTGCTGTACTGGGTGTAAAACATGCACCACCTCCACCTCGATAGCTCTTACCTTCGCCTGTAGTTGACCCAGATGTCGAGGAAGCTCTTCCTCGTCGCTGATCGTGATCCTGCTGATAACCTGCTCCATAACCTTGATATCCTCCTGCAGAACCGCCTCCCCCACCAGTGTCGAATGATGCCCCAGCACCTGACGCATTTCTTTTCATCTGTTCTTTTCTTGCTTCTCTCTTCTGTGCATAGCCGTTTGCGCGTTCGGCTTCAATCTGTGCTTTGGTTTTGTATTTTGGACGTCGTTTTCGCTCTTTTTCTTCTCTCTGCCTCTCAATTTCGGCTTCCTCCTGTCGTATTCTTTCCTGTTCAGCGGCCTCCTGCCTAGCACGCTCCTCATGCAGTTGCGTGTTGTGCATGGGGTATGAAAGAGGATTATGGGGGGCGGGGAGACGTATTTCTAGTACTTCTAGGTGGAAAACTACTGCTCCATGCAGTGATGTGTTAGAACAAATAATCAGTGAAGTACAAGAACTGTATCTTCGAGTACTATTACGATGCCTATCCGTATCCGTCTTTTCAACATGTCATAATGTCTGATACCATTCCTGGTATGCTTCGCCGCCCCCTTCCTCCTCGTCGTAATACCATGCGTCTCCTTGCTCGTCGATATAGTATGGCTTCATATCCTCATCCCAAAAGCAGCGATAACCTTGGGAGTCAAACAAAAACGGCTCACCTTCGAAATCGTAGTAATACCCACTCGCCGGATGGTAGTAAGCATAAGCTCGTTCGTCCCAAATCAGTTGCTCCTGCTGTTGATCTTGTCCACTAAGGGGGGTAGTATCTTGCTCTGCCTGCTGTTGAGCAGGATATTCTTGGGTGCTAGGGTTTTCTTGGTTTTGGTTGCGTTGCTGCTGCTCTTCTTGTTGCTTTCGTCTGCGAAGATCTTGTTCGGCTATACGTGCTTGCATACGTGCCTTTTGCTTGGCTCGTGCTGCGAACTGCTCTTCAAACACGTTTTTCGATGACGAGGACCCCGCGGCAGCGTATTGCCGACCGTGCGACACACCGCCACGATACGTTGAACCTGTTCCCGTTATTTGTTCTATTCCGATCGTGGTCCTTGGTGTTGTGTTCCGACTCAACGGTGGTGTCACCTCAGCACCTTGCAAAAAGTCCTCTACTTTCTGCGAAGCGAACTGATCCAAGGTCTCTCGTACATACTGTGCTCTCCCACCATCTTCATCTTCTTCGGCAGCAGCTACGTCTTTTCGATAGACGAATGTTGAAGTAGATGTTGAAGTATTTTTAGTTGAGGAGGACAACTTGTTGGAGTTCTTTGAAGATGATAACGAAGACGAAGACCCTCGTCCACCTCCACCTCCACAACATGAGAAAAAGGAGGAACTACTTGATCCGCCGAGGACCTGTTGCGCCGCCTCATCCTCTTCATGCCGAAAAAAACAAGCGTCGCCAAATTGACAACGACCTTGCTTATAAGCGACGCAAATAGGGCGTCGCGTTTGCCCGTCAGAACCGGCCATAGAGTTTTGCTTTTGGTCGCTAATAATATGTAACAACGAGCTGTGCTTCTTGTTGACTATTACTTGAAGGGATAGGTCTAGGAGTAGAGGGAAAGCTAACCGGTTGCTTTACTTCTGTGCTTTGAACGTCGCTGGAACTAAGCGCCACCCCTATATATAAAAAAAGGAAGAAGCCGATCAATCTAGATTTGCAGCACACCTATGAGAAAAAGGGGGAAATTCTTAGCAAGATCCTTTTATGGGAGCCGGCCATGAAGCTTTGCTTTTTGTCTTTAATTATGTAACAACAAGTTATAAAAACAGCAAGTAATGCTTTCCACCGTTTACTGCGATCCTGTCATGCTTTTATCTTCAGTTGTCGTGAATGACAGAATCAGAATTGCGATGGACCTACTTGCTCTTCAGATCCATGATGTACACCTCTCTGCTTCTATCTAGTTGTCACTCATTCTCATTGCTGTACCACTCATGCTTCATCATGATCATATTGCTGTATGTGAATGTGGATGATTCTTGGCCATCTCGTAGAAACAAGCCAACTCCTCGTCTGTCCACCCTCACCCTCTCGTTGCTGCGTATAAGAACTAGAACAAGAACTCTTCAAATAGTTATAATATGTTCATCTTTGTGAACACGAGTGCAAGCCATTTTTATCCTTTGAACCACCATAACGTATGAATAAGGAAAAGTTGGCTTTTGTGTATGCGAAGATGAGGAATAAATTAGTAAGCGTACTTGTTCTCGTTTTCATGTACTGGAAAATGCATCATTTTTCTGTACAAGTAATGAATTCTGATAAAAGCGTTTGTGGTCTCCTGATTTATTTCTCAATAAAGTACAACATGATCCCTTGCTTTATCGGCAGTGAAAATAACATCAAAAATCTAAAACAGGTCAGTGAAAAGTAGAAACTATCATGGAGCATTTTCTCAAAGACTCGTGCTACTTTTCGTTTTATATGTTTTCTAGGAAAGAACTCGTACTCGTTCTCGTCCTGGAAGCGAACAGACTAAGTAACTCTAAAATACTGAAACAAGTACAAGAAATGACCTAGACGTTATTGACTTCGTGATAAAAAAAGTGAGCTACTTCTATTAAACTTAAAGATTGAAACATTTTATTTTTAAGGAGCAATTATCTTAAGGGAGAAAAGCCTGTAAATGTGAAATATTTCAACCCTTAATTCTATGTATCGTTATTCATTCCGTTACTGGTTACCGTTTTTCATTGTAGAGTTGTGATTTTAGCAGGTCACCTGGTGTGTATCGAAAAATCGGCGATGAAGTCACGCCCCACGCTGGCAAGCGATGCGCTATATCACAATCGACTCCACGTGCAACCAACGTGTCATATCGCCTTCAGGCTGGATCTGCTCGACTCATCTCAGCACAGAAAATGTTTACGCATCAAGCCACGAACCTCCTCGTGCTTATAACGAGTCGATCGTACATTATCAACATTTGCATTAGCATAGACATGGTAGTGCTACCTGCTATAAGGAATACTACAGTCAACGTGATCAACAACTACTGGCTGCACAAGCAGTACCAATATCAAAACAAACAACATTTCACTCCTCGTTCGTTGTACTCGTTCTACTTCTGCCAGATGCACGATCACAAAAATTCAGCACTAAATCATAGCGCCACGACCCTCTCCTTTCCGCCTCTGCCTCAGTCTGAGTCACTAAGCAGTCACCATCACCCTCACCAATCAGTTACTAAGCGCCTCAACATTTGGGTGCTCAGAGTGAGGCATTGCTAACACACAGTCCAAATAAGTGTCCGTCTGTTGGCGAAAAAACGTCCCAACAAGCTCTTTGAGAGCAGAGTTAATCGCTTCATTCTCATCACGCCACGTCATGAGGAAAAATCCGTGCTTGCAATACCTGGTACAAGTTGTGGGTTTGAATTCGAGTGCGTGATATCAAAAAGAAGCGTGGCCATGATTTTTCGTTGGATACTCCCGAACACGACGTGACGCAGACAAGAGATGCCCGAAGCACAAAATAAGATGATCAACTTGAACGCGGAAGAAACAGGAGCTCATCACACGAACGCAAGATGACGTACCGTAAGATTGATTGCTGACCGTTAGTTTATGTTGACCCTGATGGTTGGGATACGATGCAAAGGGAAAGCGTCTCCATCAGTCTATATCATGAAGGTGGTGGGATCGTGATCCATTCATTCAATGTCTCATCATCATCCATCTTCATGTGAGCGGCCAAAAGGGTTCTCCTTCTCTATTTTGGTCAGCATGAACACATGATTTATCACGAGACGATCATATCAACACAAACTCATGATGGCTAGATCATAACGAGAGAACGCGAACTCCTAGAATCGCGGCTAAACGGGTTCCATATTTTGCACGGGACTAAGATCTACGAAGAGCTAGGGACTGCCATTCTAATGTGAACCTTGAGCCTGAGGCATGAGAGATCAGATACTTCCAGGATCAGGGTCAACAGAGCGAAAGATTGTGACTGAGTCAGGCATCTCTTAGGCGGAGCATTCGGAATAGCGACCATTTACCAACTACTTACATTTGTATAAATATCCTAAACAAATACTTACAACTTCTACTAGTCGCGCGGACGACCTAGCTACGTATCATTCGCGATTATGTCAACATATTTCAAAGTCCTCCCCGTCCCTCACTAGAAAAAAACAACAAGTAGAACATACTTATTCAAGTCAAAATAGTCAAAGTACCCCTGATATGCTTGGTCAGTTTCGGTTATGGTCTTCGGTACCGCAAGCGTTTTCGGAACGTATTCTTCTAGTGGTGCAAAGCGGCCCGTCTTAGAGCTCGATTCCTCATTGATAGCAATTCTTCATCGCATGAGCAGCTTCATCCCTAAAATTGCTTCGAACCACGTAGCAGCTACAAGTAACTGCCTGGTTCAGTTAAAACTACAGAGACAGATGAAGAAAAAAACCGTGCTCGAACATGAAGGTGCGTGGAAATGATAGATTTGTAATAGTGTGATAAAAAGCCTTAACTTTCATTGCCTTCAATTTGGCCATCATCTCCTTAGGGTCTTGATCAAAATCGATCACCCTTTGCAGTATCGTTGGCATATCGATGATTTCGTCCTCTGGTCCAAGTCGTTTTGTGTAAGCAAAAACCGCTAATTTGCTTTCACCGACTTCGTCCCTTGCAGGAATGATACTGGGGAGTAAACCGGTACGTTAGAAGAAGTACTACTTTTTACTTAGGCGATGAAATAAAGAGGAAATTCAAATTCTTCTCAATGATCATCATGATCAACATCAACAACACCCTGTTGTTGTTGTTGTTGTTCATCTACTTTTACTTTTTACTTCTTGATAATACAAACACCCGTGGAGGTGGTGGTGGTGCTCCGACGCTATGGCTAAGACGAGTACGTGTTAGAGAGACTTGTTCCTGTTTCCTGCACAAACACACAGCCAAAGAAAAAACCGGATTCAGATCTAGGACTAGGAAGCGGGATTTTGTGGATCATGATGATCGTTGTGAACTTTAACCTTTTTCGAGGAAATTCAAATTCTTCTCAATGATCATTATGATCAACATCCTGCTTCTGATGTTGGTATCTTCGTTTTCCGCTTCCCTATCTCGTCTCCCTAACTTAGCATGATTCATTCTTGAAAGGACGAAATACAATTCGTCCACCCTCAACACGACTATCTCTATGTCTAAGTCTATCTATATTTGTCAACACGATCCTTCGTCTTAAAGACATAGTTGCGTTCGATTTTTCAGATTCCTCACAGACTTGTGCGTGTTGAGTGTGAGGAAAGCGCGGCGCAAGTCGTTACCCTCAAATACTGTTGAACGCTTTCCTTTGCTCTTTTTTGCTTCAACCTGGTGGAGAGAGATTTTTCATGAAGTTGAAGAAGCAGTAGCAATCTACTCCAACTTCATGTACAACTTCTTCGTGTACTTATACATTCTATTCCCAACTAACTTACTAACTTGTATCTGTTTCTGTAATAGTAATGTTTATTAGGCTAGGATACGAGTGGGCTCACTTGTGACGGAGTGAGCGTATAGGCTAGATAAGCGATCAAATGAACCGAAGCATGCGAGAGCTGCATGTGGTATCAAGAAGTTTATAAATCGAATTTTCAAGAATTCTTGTTACCTCCTGAATCGCATTACTCGTATGCATCGCACTGGCTCTCATATTCCCGCTTTGCATATTCGTCCCTTCCATCTGGTGCCATCCCATGTAGCTATATCGCGCGTTGTACTCTATCAACTCGTACTTCTCTGTGGCGTTGCCCTGTCCATCTTTTATGCGCACAAATTCCAGATCCAAAGCACCGTTTTTGAAACCGAAACTCTTGCGGGTATGAAGGTGGAAGAGGAGGAGGTGCTGGAGGAATATTCTGTTGAGAATGCTGCAAGAACAGAAGATGTGCCCTGATGAAGAGTTTTTAAGATGTTGACAAATAATGTTGAGGCAGCTCTTAACATATTTATTAGTACCATGATCATGACGAGGAGCAGGAGCATGATTTTTACTACACTAGAGGGTGATGTATTAGTGGGCACAGGACATGGTCGTATGGGAGGTAAGTACTTCAACTTCCTAGTTTTCCATAAATCAATTTCTCCGTGACGTCTTTCGCAAAGGTCTTGAGAGCGCCTTCGATCTTGAAGGACCCTGGTGTTTTGAAAACCGTCACCGCTTCCTCAACGACAGCTGACCGACTTATGTCACCCGTGTCAGCAATAAGCATTTTCCCATCCTTGTCCACGACGATTTCTATCTGTTATGTGGGCGGAAGGAAAGTGCGTGGTCGAGGAAGAAAACTACTTGCGAAACTACTTGCGAAACTTGGGAGTTGCACAAGAACGTCAACCAAAATACTAGTACCTGTTGTTCCGAAAACGTATGGAACATCTCTTCGACGTGAAAGAGTGGTAGGTCTTCAGGTCTACTGACTCCCCAATCGTACTTGCCCACGGCACCACCATACTTGTAGAAAAAGTTTTGTCGCCTTCTGTATTGTATCATGCTTCGCGCAGTTTCGTCGATGTCGTTTCCGAATGTTAGAAGAAATAAATGCAGTTTTTGGTTTTGCGAAAATGGATATATATTAAGGAGTTTTCTCGTTTATTTGTAAAACTCGACGTGTTCTTCATCAACATCATCTTCATTGACTTATAATTCTGGTGTAGCTACACTCTGAAAATTTTCCTCCATTTTCCGCAGATGGCTGCGCGTGATTCATTGCGAACCTTGACCCATATCCCCAGGGAAGTCCGGAATCTTCTGAATGTTATGGACCGCACGCGCACTAAGCTCGCCTAAGCTTGAGGCTATCTCAGACCCTCTCCGTATGTCTTAGGTGATGCCACCGAGGTAACACCTGCCAAACCTGCACGAGGAGAGAATAGACACGACGCGGCGCGCGTTGCGTTTGTCTTGCGTTGTGCTTGTTCTGTCTACTTGGTCGCTCTTCGTTCTTGCGCTTACCTAAGTAGTTAGCTGAGTAGGACGCTGACGCTGCGGAACTGGAGCAGAAGACTCCGGACCTCACTGGGGACATGGATCAAGGTCCGCAATGGATCACACTGACTGCGAATCAAAAAATTCATATGCTTTTACTTCAGCCATTGTTGCTCGCAGAAGATGACGAAAGAAAGTGTAATTACTCTTGATGTTGCAGATTATAGATACAAGTGCTATAATGCTTGATCTATTCATTGGCCGTATAGAAGTCAAATCGGCTTTTTCTGCATCTGCGCAGCTTATGCTTTGGAGCTTTTGGCCCACCTCTGAAGTTGGGTTAAAAACTCCTTCCTGCGTTGGACGTGCGCGTATGTACTTGAGTACTTCTTTGTAGTTAAAAAGCGTCTTACTCGCCATATAGAATTGACCGGATGCACCTTTTATGACTACAGGATATGGTGAGCCTTCGGAAATTAGAGGTAGAGGACAAAAGTAGATGTTGCGGTGAAGTTGGTGTGTGTCGAGGAGCGTCGTAGTCCTGGTTTGTTGTAGGTCGTGTAGCCTGGTTTGTTCTAGGTCGTGTAGCTATAGAAGTAGGAACTAGGAATTGCAAGAAAAAGCCCCCGTTCCCGTTGGACGAGCATGAGCAACAAATGATAGGTAAATATAATATACTCTCTCCCGTTGGACGAGCAACAATAAATGAAAGTAGTAAAACAACAAGTAGAGTTGTATGAAGAGCATGATCAATCATGATCTTCTTGTCCTCTTAATTTCTTCGCGGCTTCAACCGGATCCGCTCCGCTTGCTTCTAGAGAGAGAGCTTCTTTGTAGAATTCAACCGGGTCGTACACTTTCACGTGTGGAGTGAGGTGTTTCCGCATCTCCTTCTTGCAATCGCACATGATAAGCGACGGAATAGATGGACCCTGCAAGCCTAGAACATGGTTCACGATCGAGGCGCACATTGTCGGGAAACGGGAAATGAAGTTGTAGAAACATGCAGATGTACTGCTAGTACAAATATAACGATCACAAGATCATTATAATAATGAACATAATTGATAAAAATTTCAATTTCTAAAAGATAAAGAACAAATAGGTCAAATCATTTACTATCCTGATCTTCCTCTCTCTACCATGCTGGATATAACTATACCATACCATAAAATCAAAAGCCATGACGCCGTCTATTTTTGTTCCTGGATGTTTGCTTTCGAAGTCTCTGGCGTAAGAGAGGATGTAGTCTACTACGGCCTCGCCATCGAGTTTGAAGCCCATGAACGACGCAGGATTTAAACCCGTGTCCTGCATCAGGTGATAGACATAATCACACTCGGTATTCACGTCTGGGTGTCGCATTAGCTCGACGTGGGGATTAGAAGAAGAGAGAGAGAGGTAAGCCCACCTGCCTCTACTGGGTTCAGTTATTTCTATTGAACAATTTTTCCCGTCCTCCTTCTTGGCAGAACAAACAAGTACTAGACGAGCAGTGAGTCCCAGAAGGAAAAAAGTTGAACTTCAATCAATCTCACAACACAAAAACAAAATCATCATCATAAACTTCATTCCAGGAAGCACGACTAATATGTGCTTTGCTCTGGCAAGGTAATGGCGCAGATGCAGGTCGTCAGGATTCTTTTCACCCTCAGCATGCATTTCGTGCGGTATCGGTAGATCGGCCACGGTCTTAAAAGTTTTCGCATCCGAGAGTGCTTTTTTAGAGGACGAGCTCACAATGATCCATCTTCTTCGTTGGTTGATTATGTAGGCAAAGCCAAGATCATCCATAAAGAAGATGCCCCTGATGCTTTATGATCTTCATGATCTTCACGACTACCTACTTAGATATGATAGTATAAAGATGTTGCACATGAACAAGGACATCAGCCAAGGACATGGAGGGAAGAGCAGTACCAGCAGGAGGACATGGAGAGAAGAGCAGTACCAGTAGAACTGGTATCATCATCAACATGTAGACAAAAAACCCTTAGCTTCGAATTCTTTCTCAAAGCCTTTCGGTATGACATCGGTAACGATTTCGGAATAGAAGGTGGCAAGCCTACTGGCAGCAACCTCTGAGGTCGTTTTGGCACCTTCTTTTGGTTCTGGGGGTGGTTCCTTCGCTGCAGGAGGTGCCTTTTCTTGTTCTACGACATCTTGTTTTGGCTCTGGGGGTGGTTCCTTCGCTGCAGGAGGTGCCTTTTCTTGTTCTACGACATCTTGTTTTGGTTCTGGGGGTGGTTCCTTCGCTGCAGGTGGTGCTTTTTGTTCTTCAACTTTGTTCGCAGCAGCTGCTACTGTCGAACTAGATGTGGCACTTGCGGTTGTTGTGGACTCTTCTACAACTCCTTTTTCCACCGCACCGACAGTCACCGTAGTGTTCGTGCCTGTGGTTCCTCCTGGTGCTGCTGCTCCTGGCACTATAGTTGCTGTAACATCTGCTCCTGCGGCCGCTATACTAGTATTTTCTGCACCTGGTGCGATAGTTGCAGCTTCTACTTGTGATTTAGAATTATCTGACAATGACGTTCCTCGTACGGCTGCCGCTTTTGCAGTTGACGGCACAACCTGCAATGATTGCGCCTGCTCTAGCCTGTCACCCCTAGGCGTCACGGGCTCCTCACTGCAGAAACAACAGGGAAACATCCTGCTGCTGTGTATGTGTAACAAGTTGTATTCAGGAGGTGGCTGTCCTCTTCAGGAGGACGCTGTATGTGTAATATTCAGGATCATGAGGTCCTTATTTAGGATCTACTGATTCTGAAGATAGATACTGCAGATTGATACTGAATCTGAAAACTCGAAGATCAAAATATGATCAACATTATGTTGATAGATCATTATGTTTTTCCTTTTCAAAAGCAGTCTGTTTGACCAGACAGACTGCACTTCCATTTTTCACGATGACTCACGTAATCAATACTGATGAAAGTTGATAAACGCCGGTGAAGAAAATCTGACTAAAATCTATCAAACAAAAAATCATCGGAAAGTTCAAAACAAAAACTGCGACAAAAAAGATAAAAGCAAACCTCCTCGTCCGCGGTGGAGAACAATCCAAAGAAAAAGATAAATCAAAAAGTGGTGAGGAACATAAGGAGAAAGAGAAAGTGCAGGGTTATTTCGTGGATCAAACTCGCTTTTGCAGCAAACTTTTTTCCGAATTTTTTTACCTCCACGTCCACCAGCAACGCACCGATGCAACAACCGAACTATTTTTTCCAAGACGGACGGGGACGATGTTGCGCATCGAATTGACAGAAAGCCTAGTAGACTCTTTTTTTGTCGGAGATGTGAAAGGAACGTCTATAATTTGTCTGTCACTCAAGGCCTTCAGACACTTCCGCGAACAGCTGTCTGTGTTTGAACCACGACAGTGTTCCGCGGGGGCCCAGCTGAAAGCAAGTCTACTACAACATCCTCCTTGTTCGTCTTTTGCGATGCGACCACCTGAAGGATCTTCATCTTCGAGTACATGATCATTTGTTCCAAAAACGTCGAACGTGGTATAAAAGCTTGATAATCATGAATAATCATGGTGTACAGTATGTGAATGTGATCGCAATTGTGATGTAATGCAATTGCTTGCATCAAATGAATATACATGATGTTATTTTCCTTGTCGTGAATGCTAAAAGTATTAAAATGTCTTAAATAATCTTCATCTTGATGTAACAAGTCTGATCTTTGTGAGTCGCACTCTAAGTCTATGTTGACTACTTGAGTGTCAAGCTCAAGTCAGTCTAACTCTAAGTCTAATATGTTGACTACTATAGAAGTACTTATGTCTATTTTTATCCCTATGCTGCAGCTCTCCCCGGTTCATTACTCGACCGACTGTGGCTGACTCAAAGCTTTTCTGAGTTCTTCTTCTCTTTCGGCTTTTTGTCTTGCCTTCTTTTCCTCCATTTCGTGGAGTTTTTTCATTGCTTCCGCTTCTGCCTGTTTCTGCTTTTCCTCCAACTTTTGCATGTGTGAGCTCAGATTAGAACTAAGAGAAATCCATCTTGAGACGCATCCGAGGACCTTTCTCCCCTTGAAAACGGTCTCAGGATGCCTGTGAAGATGGATTTCTTCTAGCCTTAATCAGAGGCTTGGTGACTCCACGCTTACTTTGTATCAACTTCTCAATCACCGTCCAACAAGGAAAGATCGGCTCTTGTCCCTCTAGGCCTAGTTCGCGGGCTCGCTTGGACTCTTTTTCACGCAGCAAGCGTCGGTGGTGAGCAGCTTCCTTCACAGGTCCACGAGGGTCCAACGCAAGAGCTGCTTTGTTCAACTCCTCGTAGATCTTCAGTTTCTGTTGTTGATCATAGGAAGATGTTGTAGATCTTCAGTTTCTGTTGTTGATCATAGGTATTGTTGAAAAATGTTGGGATGTTGGGGGATCGATTTGGGAGGTGCTGTTTTCGAAATCGACGAGGAGAGAAAACTATACCAGAGCAATTTATAAGGTTTCACAGCTCGCATGGCATGGAGTGCATGGATCACATGGAATAGCATGGAGCTAAAGGGGGAGCTTCTTGCGCCCCTTAAAGCTCTGCGCTCCATGCAGTCCATGCTACTCCATGCACTCCATGCACCATGCGTGCTATAAACTACTCTGCTATACATAGTGTCTGTGCTTGTTCTCAAATAAACTCCCTGAAACAACAACAGTGGAAGAAAGTTTCTTGTACCACAAGAATATAGCTCGCTAATGCTTTGAAGTTGGCGTTGTCCGGCATGCCGTTTAAGCTGGGGACTGGAATTCTAAGGTTTTCCGAGGAAGCGTCAGATAAATATCTGCCTTTGCAGAACATGTCGATCAAATCGGGCATGTCTGAGCCTTCACTAGTCATGTTTCGGATGACAATACGGCAGAAGCAGTCTCGTGCGGATTAGAGGTGGAAAAATGCTGGAGCGATAATTTGAGGTCTGTCTTCATGATCTCCTGTCTCCATAAGATATTACGGGACTGACGGCTTAAAACAAGGATCACGACTTGTCTCTTGAAGAATCAACAAGAACATCAAGATCAAGGAACAAGTAGTCCACTCATCTTCATTATTTCGGAGATTATAGTTTGTTTTTGTTACAATCAAACATCTAAATCTAAGAAAGTTTGATATCACTTTTGGGCCTTAAAAAGAGTCCGCTTTTTCGTTGAAGAAGTCGTCACTTCCGGTTCCATATTGCAGGTCCAATTCCCTCGTCAGCTTTTGAGCCCGTTGAATCTTCTCTGTTTGTTCGGGGCTCAAATTAGCTGCTCCAGGTAGAACTAGACTAGGATCTTCTAGGTCGCCTTCTCTAGATTGGCCTCCCTCTGCAGCAGCGAAACTAACTCCTCGCTTGGTCGCTGAGTCAGGAGACCCATCAACTTCTAAACCTCCTGCAACAGCAGTCGTCGTCACACCAGGAGTGGCAGCACCAACTGCAAGAACTCCCAAACCTCTAGTGCTCCCAGTCGGAGATGCGCCTCCATCTTCTATACCATTGGCACTTGGGACGGCAAGTCCTCCATTCTTCATTGCTACCATCTGAGCGATTCTCGCGGGTAGAAGGTATTGCTCTACCGGTCTCGGGCCGAGAGGTTCCGATCTTCCGCTATCCTCACCTCCGACGTCATTCGCTACACTCTTGCTTTGCGCTTGTTGAGGTGCCGTTGACGATGACGAGGACGCTGATGTCGTAGCTGTAGCCCCGTTTGGACTTGCTACACTACCTCCATTTGGCGCAACATTTCTTATCAAAATCACTGCACTAGACATGATCTCCCTAGCTGCTGGCAACCTCTTGGTCATCAGCAAGTCGTCTTTTGGATTGGTCAGACCTAAGAGTTTGGTCTCAATGACTGCCATTGGGTCTTCCTGCTTCTTCTTGTCCTTCTTGGAATTCTTGCCCAGAGATCCGCTACCTGTCCTGTTCATAGGACTTCTTGATCTGCCATCTTTGCCCTCAAACATACCTCCACCGCCTCGGCGGCCCTTTCCGCCGGGCCTACCCATCATAGCATTCGTCGCAGCTTGACGGACCATCTTGTTCGGCTTTTTTGTTCTACTTGAAAGCTAAAAAACAACGAAAAAGGCAAGATTGCTTCGAGTGCTGAAGATGTATGTTCAACTACAACAATACTCTCACTCAGTCCAGAACAATACTGAGATTCAATCAAGTGGGACTGGGAAAATACTTAATAGGGGACAAATGGGGTAAATGAGCAGCACACAACATCTTTATCATTTAGTGGTGCTCGTCCGGCTCGTCCGGGACACCTCCTGCTCATTATTGGTTGGATGATATAAGAAGATTCTTGAGATTCGTCCACGAAGATCCGAGATTCAATCTCGTCCCAACCTCGCAGATCATGCTGATCGTGCTCTTTCAGCATCGCGTCCTCGGTGACGCTCAAGCTCAACAGAATGCCGAGAATTAGAGATAACTACGCTCCTCCACCTCTTCTTCTCCTCGTCTCAGGAGTAGACAGATAATGTCATCATTGGCACGTCTCTCACAACTACGCTCCACCTTGTTGACAACTGAACACATCTTCTCGTACTAACACTGTTGCTCGCCACAGAATTCGTGCCTTCAATCATCTGTAAATCAGTTATCGATGGAAACAGAGCGGATAGGAGAAGAAGACACCATCACAAGAGATACAACTAGAGTCACTTCTGTTGACACACCACTTCTCTCCTCGCTCTTCTTGTCAAAGTAGATCTTGAGTTAGTCCTCTCTCAATTCTGACCGAACTACGGGAGTCATGTCACAGTCAACAAGATTGATGTGAGCGGTGTTGCTGAAGATGCTATACAACGACCACTACGAAATTGTCAAAATCTATTTCCGCGAATTCTCATTCACCTGGCAGGTGACACCTGCTCACTGACGAAGATTATATCAGCAGCGTGTGTCTTTTATTTTTAAATCAGCCCTCATATTAGTCGTCCACGTTTTTATCTGGTCGTTGGTGTCGTGTAACGAAAAATTATAACATTAAGAGCCCATGACTTATACTAGCATGATGTATGACCGTATTCATCATTATAAATATATACAGCAATCGTCGCTGCATTCATCATGTAGCGCGCGTTACCGCTGTACAAAAGCTTATATGTGCCTATACAAGGCTCGCATATTTTTTCCAGTGTTCATTAAAATGAAGATGCAAAACGTGATCAACTGAGTCTCCTGAGGAGCTCTATTGCAACTATTACCAGGTATCATAGATTGCTAAGCAATCAAATTTAGCCTCATACTCCATCTGCAGCCTCGCGCTTGGTCTCTGCGTCGCCTATTCAATGAAAAGGTGTGCTCCTATTGATTCTATTCATCCAGTACAGCAAAAATTGTGCCTATTGATTCTTCTAGTTCTATGTATTCATCCAGTACATCAAAAATGCCATTTCAGATAACGACCTCTATTAAGTTGATGGCGTGAAAATTGCGCTAACGTTGCTGTAACGTGCGTCAGTAAGAGTGAGTAAGCTAAAGCTTGATGAAATAAATATTACTATTGTTATTCTATCTTGCTATAATTGTCAGAAGTAAAAAAAAGGTAACTTGAACTTCCTTGATGAAAATAGAAAACAGAAAGCTGTAAATGCGTGCGCCTGCCTGCTCGTGCTGTTCCTCGCTGTCTACCTAACTACTAGTACATCAACCCGAACATCTAGTATGACAATCGTTCTGGGATTGATTACTGCGGTTGGAACTGTATGGGAGATGGTCGGATCGGTAAGTTGAGGCCTATTCTGGGAACGTTCAAGCCTATTCTCGGCACAATTGTTCCTGTGGTACCTATTCCCCACGTCGTCGTTGCAGGTTGAAACGCCTGTTGCCTTGTTGTTACTGTAGTTCGAGATTGTGGTTGGTAGGCACTGGTAGATGCTGTAGCAGGTTGTTGCGATCCTGCAGCTGTAGTCGATGTTTGAGTCGTTGTAGTTCCAGCACCCAGCATTGTCGTGCTAGAAGTAGATGCCCCACCAATTATAATTTGTGAAGTAGTAGTAGTACTATTGCCTTGTTTCACTGCTACTCCTGACGTAGAAGTTGTACCGAAACCGAAACTCGTACTCGATCCTCCACCAGGAACAACTGGAGGAGCAGCCATGGCTGCTGCTACGCTTGCCGCGACATTAGTTGTTTTAGAGCTCACGAGGACCCTCATGCTTATCCATCCGGAGACGCATGCTCATAATGATTCTCTCACTTCATCTCTGTAATATGATGCAACAGGAGCTTCAACAGCAAGATGCTTCTCGAGATGGATTAGGGGCAGCCTTAATTGTTGTGGCAGTAGCTCCAGTTACTCCCTTGCTCGCTCCAACATCTCCGACAAATTCAGACGATGAAGAAGGCTGCCATGATTGTGCTGAGGGTGTTGGGAAACGGTTTGCGGCAGCAGCACTGGTAGCGGGAGCAGCAGTGCTAGAGGGTAGGAAAGAACTCGAAGAACTGGCTCCGAGTTGTGGTTGTCCTCCCTGTTGAACTTGAAGAATCGCTGAGGATGAGACTACGCCAGTGCCGGCACTTGTAGAAGGTATTGCGTTTGCGTTCCTGAAAGATGAAATTGTTCAGCCATTGAAGAAGATGTAGATGAAAATGATGTCATGGACCATGGGAAGAAAAGTAAAGCTACATCAACATCAGCGTCTATCAAGAGCCAATCACTCTAAATTAACAGGAACAATGAAACAGACATGACAATACTCTCGAGCGTTAGCGGTCGTGTGTGCATTCCAGGCATCCAAGTTTGACGCTGTCAACGCACTCTTCATCTCAGCGGGTGATGCTGCAGGAGCAGCACTTCTAGACGAAATCGATGAGCCACAACTATTGCTCGGAGCAACTCCCGATGAAGAAACACCAGGTATTGGCGATCCTGCACCTTTTAATGGCGATCCACCGGGACTATCGGCTCCACGGGGATCAGCAGCTCCGACAACACCGAATTCAGCCCTAATCCACTCAGACCACTTCTCCATGGGGACGTTTTTGCGCTGTTGTATGACGAGGTAGAGGAGCAGGTTCCAAGATTTTGATTTACATTATATATTAAGATCAACAAGAATAATAAATCATGATATCTATGCGGCCCTAGGGAAAGTACTCGTACTCCCAATAAGATCAGTGAAGATCGTCCAAGTAGTACCTTGCATTGGTCGTAGAGATCTGAGATGAGTGTTTTGCGCGCTTTGTCTTTATCGGTGCACTGAAGCTTGACAGTAAGGCACTGACTGTAGAACCACCTTCGCTTCTCATCTTCTGTTCGGCATGCGCTCATTCTGGTGGTGATTTGAGGCTTTTGTTGACAATGGAACGAAGCAGTGAGCAAAAATTGTCCGTGGTCAGAAGGTTCTACTCTGTTTGAGCAGGTCCCCGATCATCTAGGCACAACGAATGCAAAATTGTAAAGGGATGAATATGTAAGACAAAAACGAACAAAAGCAAAAGATGATTAGCAATACTCTCCCAAACTGCTCAAATTCGCCACATCGGAAACCAAGGGACCCGAAGCATACGGAAATCCACTAGCTTTGCTACTTGCGGTGATATCCGTAGCAGAGAACTCGGTACCGCAGTTACTGGTCATCTCTACCACAGACGTCACTTCGGATTTTCCACCGTCAACCCGATCCTCGTCGTCCTCTTCCAATGCTAGGAGTTCTTTATCCTCCTCTCTAGCTGCCAGCTGTCCGGATTCTATTTTGAGCTTGCGTAGAAATCGCTCTTTTTGGCGGACGATCATGTGAACCCTGTGAAAGACGAGGTGTTTGATGATACAATGGATACGGGTTTTTTTCGATAATATTGATACAGCGTGGTGTTTGTGGCTCAACACAAATCGTTATCGTTTTAGTTGATGTCAGCGTCAGCACGACAAGCAAAGAAAGAATACCGTTTAGCAATCACATATTCCTGCGGCACCAGCGTCAACGCAGATGACACTAGTCCGCCTAGTGTCTGCACTGTATGATCCGACAGGACGCCGATATCTGCACATCCCATGGTCCACCTGAGCGCTACGTCGAGTTGATACCGCACTTGTGTCAAGTGCCGCATCACGTTTGCTTTGAGTGAACTCTTCTCAATGCGCTCATTCAATGTCTTCAAAAAGTTTTCGAGTCGCTGATTGAAACTTCCAACTTGCTCGTCTGGAGGCTGTGGTGGACACGTGTGTTTTGTGCCCATTTAAGGAACAATGTAGAATTATGAATCACCGCAGCTCCAGTTCCAGATTCCCTCAAGTGATATTAAAAAGATTGTGTTCATCAACATCGACTCCTGTACGTGTACTCTACAACTAACAAAACATCCACCGTACCAGAGAATCCAAATTCAGAGGTGCGCCTCCGACCCCCATTTGCGCTGAGGGTTTCATGCTATCCGGGTTCACGAGGTCTCCTGTGTTGAGACACAAAACTAGTCCATCCACTGTCTCATCAGACTTAGGTAGCGCTATTCGCGGTCTCTTGTAAAATGCAGTTGATGATGAAGATCCACCCGCGCCGGAGACGCCAGCGCCTGAGGTGGAAGTTGTGTGAGCACATGGTTGAAGAGAAGGAGGAGCAGCTCCTTGCGGTCGATGAACCAATGCCAATCATGTTCACCATCACCATTCTTGTCACCTTCATTCAAATTCAATGCAAGAAGAATCCCGCTCAACATGATCATGTCGTGTCATGTCGTGATATTACCTCATTCTAGTACGTTTGTCTAACGGTTGTATAGAGGCCGTTCAGCCACCCTGTACCTTCCACAAATTGAACTCCTGGTGTTAGTTTACATTAGAAAAAATCACAGACGCTGGTCGTAACTACCCACCCCTCCTGCTGTCCCACTTCCCGATCCAGCTGTTGCTCCGAACGCATTTTTCTGGGTCTCCAACCTTTTCATGTAAAAGTCTTTTAGCACATTGACGTTAACTCGCTTCTCAGCACCACTTTGCGATGGAGGTCCTCGTTGCCGGAGACCGACAGACGACTTTCGCCTATCCGCAGCCGCCGCTGAGGACAGCTGCAACTCCGCGTACCTTTTAGCTAACATGCTGCTTTCTTTGCGGTCGTAACGAAGATGAGAGAACCTCTCCTTTTGCTAGTAGTCGTAGTTTTTACTGAGAAAGGCTGATCGTCACCGCTTAAGGGTCTCCTTTTGCTAGTAGTCGTAGTTTTTACTGAGAAAGGCTGATCGTCACCGCTTAAGTATCAACATTTATTGTCCCTTAGAGATGCGCACACCCTTTTTCAGGTTCCTGGCATTTTGTTCTCTTTTAGCGTTTTTACAATTTTCGGATTTGGGAAGCATCTCCTTTGCGGTTTCGTTTTTCGCTCCGATTCTTTCCCCCCTGTTCGAAAACCCGTCCTGTGCTGAACACCAGACCGAGTGGAGAAACTGTAAGCGCAGAAAAGGATCTGCTCGTCTGTTGATGTTGTCTTCGTTCGAGGAAGTATCCATCCGTCGTGTGATCATGCAGTCACAATTTATTCAAGCTGTTGTTTTTAGTGCTGCTTGGCAGATGAAAAAAATGTTCTTCACAAAAAATGACATTCTCCGAGCGGTATAAAAAAAACTCGCCATCCTCCCAATCACAAAATGTAACCTTCATAGTCTGCTGGCATGCCCTGAAAGTCGCGTGGTATACGTTCGCCGTGGTCGCCGATGTAGATGCATTGTTCCCTGTCCCAATATGGTGGCACGGGAGCGCTAGTCTCCGGAAAACTCTTCGCCTTTTCCACACAGGTGGTTCGCATGGTCAGGCTTTTGTAGTCGCAGTGGCGATCTGTGGGGTTGATACTTAAAGTATTCAAAGAGCGGATCGACGCCAGCCTTGTCAGTGCCGTACTTCTTCTGGTAGTACTCTGGCGGCTTGAGAAAGCGGATCAATGCGATCCCACATTCGTGCTTTGGACGATCGTCGGTGACGAGATTCACTGCTCCTGCATGTACGCCTGCGCCGCCTGTTGTTGTGGAAAAACTACTTTCTGCTTCAAAAGTATTCGCATCGACTGTCGATTTGCTTTGCTGACAACTGCTCACTATAACGGGTTTCATAGTGGCTTTTTTCGTGATGGTCATGTCTTTTGCATCTGCTCCAGCTGCTCCTGTTTCGTCTATTAGCACTCCTTCATGCGACAACGCATTCCGAACCCCTGTTGCCACACCGATTTTGCAAAATGACTTCAGCGCATCAATCAAAGCTTCCCGTTTCTTGCCGATTTTTCCCATCCATCGTGTCAACTCTTACTGTTACAACTCATATGCGCATTCCTAAATCTATCTTCTTAATCTACCTGCCTCTGCATTGACATTTAGGACCTGCCTCTGCATGAATAGGACACAACATGTAATCTTCTTTTTCTGAATGGGAGCTGGAATGGCTCTGACACTCACGAATAGAAAAAATCGCATCACAAAAAACAAGCACCACCTACCTAGATACATTTCAACGAACGAACTACGTCTGTAGATCTTCCACTCCCGGTGCTTGAGCAACTAAATACTTCAGACTCTTAGAAGACATCTTCTTAAAAACGGGCTGACTACTTCTAGGATTCGCCAATAGAAATAACTGCTCCATCATGCGTTTTGTGATCGTGTTTGAAACAGTGTTTAAGAAGACTAATGACACCTGCATCAATGCACGCGGAGGTCTACTTGACTTGATGAGCCCCTTTGATCTGTGACAAAGGAAAACCGAGACGGTGACAAGCGTCCCATGCTTCGAATCATTTGCACTGTACCACGACTCGCGAGGATGGCAATTCGCTGATCATGTTAAGTACATGTTGTTTGTCGAAAATGTCATTTTCAAAAAAAAAGACGACTGACACCGCACCAAATCGGAATCCAACACATTCTTGATCTTGATCATGGATGATACCTAGCCAAGCTCACCTGCGAAATCGAAATTGCTTCTAGCTCTAATTACTAGAAAAACACCGATCAAACCAGCACAACCCGGATGCATCAAGCTTCGTCCGGCAGCGTCCTCGTACGAATCCTACGACACGGACGTCTACGTCACAAACTGACGACTCGGCGTCTGCAGAAATCATGCCAGACACATCACAGAAACTCTTTCCTGCTGGCATCAAACAGTTGCACCCAATCGCCTGTGAAAGGGTTCATGAGGTCCAAGTATGGTCCTTTGAACGTCTTTTCATCGGCTTCTTCTTTCTCGGCTTTCATTTCAGCGCCCGCACTCTGTTTGCGGTTGAGTCGTAGTTCCTTGATCCGAAGATATCCATTCTTGATCCACCGGTTCGCTGTCTCCGAACTTCGTAGTTTCTTGAAATTCATCTTCCCCCAGCTCGGTAGCAATCTCGTAAGCTTATTTCCATGTGCTTTGTTCTGTTTCTTCCCAGCTGCTTCTCGAAGTTCCTCCTCGACATTTCTGCGCAGCTGCTTCTCCACGTCCATCTCATACCGCTTGCCCACGAGTCCTTTCTCGGAGGAGGAAGACTCGACGTTCCAATTATTCTTTACCCGTATGAGTATCTTCCCATCATCACTCTCCCTCCAACACTCTGCCGCGGCGGCGTGGTCCCCCGTGCGCAGGTCGCGGTGCGCTACGTCGCCCGAGTTGTCGCTGAACATGTACGTCATCGCACCCAAGAGCAGAGGCGCACGCGGACATTTATTTTGCGCTGCCGCGGTGCCGACAGAAGCTGCCGTCGTGTCATCTGCGCTGCTTTTGGATGAGGACGGACCTGGCGCACACGCTGGAAGCAAGAACTGAATGGCCATCTTTCTGGCTGCTGCCGTTCTCTCGATGCCCTTGTCCCACTGCTGACTCTGGAGCCCTTGGCCCTCTGCTGTATCGACCGTCTTCGGAAGACTCTCACGACTCGCATGACAGAGAGCGTCGGGGACCTCGCCACGAGATTCTTGACGATCGCATTTCGCGGAGAAGAAACTCTGGAACGGGAGCCTTCGGAGGGCTCGCGGCTTGCGCAGCACGGCGCTGCCACCTCCACCACCACTCCCGTAGAGCAACTCCATGAGGCTGATGTAGTCTTCGCCGTTTAAATACTTCGCGCTGCCGTCCTGATCGACGCTCTTCATCTGACGTAGCTCGGATGATTGCCGCTCAACAGCCTTCTTCGTCCTCTTTCCGGTGACCGCGACGTTCTCGGTTGTTTCAGGTTCAGGCTTCAGCGGTCCCTTCTCCTTGTTGCTCTCGAAGACTTTGCGGATCATCAGCTGGTTATCGCGAATCCACTCGACGTGATCCACGGCGGAGTTCTTGTGCTTTGTGTACAGCTCCTCAATCTTTTCATCATTGCTGAAATCGATCTTTGGTTGCGCCGATTCCCCGGCCGCGTTGAACTTCGCCTCCGCGCCCCTGATGATCTGCACGTACGCGCAAAAGTTGTGCAAAAAGCGGTAGCGCGCGTGGGTTGCTGGATTTTGAAAATCAGCGGTAGCTGCGTCGGGCGGTTGCTTCTCATAGTATTCGCGCACCGCTGCAGGCAAACGGATCTCTTCCACCCCCCTCCGCTCTTTCTCTTTCTTCAAAGCCGCTTGCAAGGAATTTCCGTTCCAATCCGGGATCCTTTCTCTGAGGAAGTTTGCAACGCGCCGATCTGACGCGTAGACATCGGCCAGGCCGTGACAAAGACACGTCCCAGCCAAGTTGTGGTGGGTGTTGTCGTGGACTGCAGGAGACTCGTCCCAGAGTGCTTGATCGTCACGCAGCAGAAACCGGCCGTAGAGTATATCTAGATCTTGCTCGACAATTCTTGCTTCGCCGCTCCCCCTCGCCATGCCCGTCGGTGAAGATATGTTCTTCGGAAGGCACGCTTCTGGATAGGGAGCCAATGCCGGGCTCAATCGCATCTCTGCCTGTACGCGCCGCATTCGCTCCTTCGAGGACTGTGACGCAGGATCTTGCTTGAACAACGCGGGGAGACTCGAGAGCGCTGAAGAAGGGAGAAGAAGGAAAAATCGTTTTCATGCTGCTTCATCTCTGAAAGTACTGTAGCACCAGATTCTTTAACACGATAAAGAAGTATCGGGAGAGCGTATCGGGCGACAACTAACACCCGGACAATACTCTTGAATCCCGCCGATGACAAATAACTTCATGATCATATTTATGTATGAATTTAAAATTTTATGAATATAATGACCTCGCATACGCGCATTCATCAACACCTTCAAACCAATATTGACAGTGTAATACCCAGGTCTGCAGCTTTGTTGAGGTGTCTCTTCCTGCCCTTCACATACTTGACGTAAAGCGCTATCTTCTCGCTCGCTTTGGTCACCTTCGTCACGGCAACGTCTAATCTTGCTGCAGCATCTAGTGGATCTGAGTCCTCCTTTCCCTCGATCAGTTTCCTATCAATGTTCAAAAGCGGCTTCAGTTTGCTGTCGTCATACTCATCCTCCACCTTTTGCCCAACCGCCCCTCTGACCCCGTAGCAACCTTTCGTGTCCGACTCGTCGATCAACTTCTCCAGTTCATCTCTTTGTTCTGGTTCATCCGCACTGTTCAACAATTCGCTACGACTTTCAGCGCACTCTTGGAACGCTGTGCGCAATGCGGATCGTAAGTCCGTAATCTCTTCCTGCAACTTGTTCAACTCGCCGGCTGCGGTAGCAGTCTGCTTAGTTCCGTCCCCGTCTGCCTCGGCATCTTGTCCTTCGTTGCGCTCGCCGGCTGTGGTAGCAGTGTGTTTAAGTGTAGTTTCATCGCGAATAAATCTAATGATCTGTGGACACGAATAATCAAATCAATGCCGGAATTTCTAATATCGCTCATAAGATACCTTCGCTGCCCCCTTCATGCGCCGAATAATCCTGTAGCAAGCGGCGCCTCTCGTGCCTCTCTAATGCCGTCTGGAGCAGGAGGGAGAGTCTCCGCAATTCTTCTGGTTTTTTCACTGCCGCATCTACTGTTCTATTCTCCTGCAAAGAACCTTCCCACTCTTTTATGACGTTGCTCACAGTGGGAGCGCATCCCGTCTCATCTTTCTTCGTCTTACTCTGCGCTCCCGTCTGCTCTGCGTCTTCGGTCGCTTCTCTCTGTGCTGCATCAGCCGTTGATGAGGCGTCAGGATGCTCCGCACTCTCTCCGTGCGCGTTACTCTGCGTCCCCTCGGAAGACAGTTTAGCAGCACCACGCGATAAAGAACATTCTGCCACTTTTTGATTCAGTTCCTTCTGGAGTTCGAGAAGTCCTTTTTTCTCTTCCACGTGATCTATCACCTCGCGGAGATAGCGGAAGGCGCATTTTGTCGCCGGAGGCTCGCAGGACTCTCGCATTTTCCGAAGGGCCGCCACGAGGTTCTCGAAGTCTTCCTCCGACATGTCGATGTCCTCGTGGGCTCCCTCCACCTCCTGCTGAATTTCAGGACCTGCCTGCCCTTGCTGTGCAGCTCTGCTCTTGCTCGTCGCCGTCTCGCTCTGCAGCTCCAGCTGCCCGTGCTCGCCTTGGGAGACGCTGAGTCCAACTTTCTGCTCAAGATTTTTTTCGAGCGCTTTGATCATGTCGGCATCGCTCTCAGGGTTCTCGTCGTGACGAGGCTCCATCAGCGCCTGCAAAACCACCTTCTCGTGTTCTTTCGAAAGAACCTGCCGAATTCTACTCGCCAACAAAGTGACCTCTCGCCCAAGTGCCCAGTTGCGCGTGCCAGCATCGACGCCGGTGGTGGGAGCTTCGGGTCCGCGTTCTGCAAAGGAGCTTCGGCTTCGCCTTCTGCAAACATCATCTCTAGGACCTCCAGTATCCCAGATTAACGGGTCCAATCCCTCCGCACCACTACAAAACCGCCGCATCGCGCTACGACCCTTGCTTTGATGATCGATATTAGTACGCCATCTGGATCTGATCTCCCCGGTGACGAGATCTCGCGACCATATTTTCCAACAACACTTTCACTTGTGTTCGTGGTCCCTACGTTGATGAAATCTTCTTGGAACACAAACCTACGCTGAAATCTTCTTGGAAGATAGACCTTCTATCGGACGAAACAAATACAAAATAGATGTCTACGATAAAATACCCGAGCCATCGATCGATCGCGACCGCATCTACGAACTGCAAAGCACTCAACAACACTCAGAAAAAGAACTCGACCACCGAAGCCGCACTCAAATAAAACAATTTGAAACATATCCTACTCATACTTACTTTGAAACATTGATGCATTTCATGAATGCAACTGCGTGTAGGTGACTCATGGAGAGGACGACCACCGACAAAATTGCGTATCGCGACAGGCCGCACAATCCTTCGAAGAAAACCCATCTTTATGATTCAGACGAGCATGCCTTCTTGATCCGAGATCAAACTAAACCACTTGCTCATCTCATGCTGTCCATCTCGCGGGAACGACCTCGATCTCACGCGCACCTTTTAGCTAACATGGTGTTTTCTTTTCGGTCGTACCGAAGATGAGAGAAGGTCTAGTTTTGCTAGTAGTCGTAGTAAGTTTTTACTGAGAAAAGATGATCGTCACCGCTTAACGGTCAACATTTATTGTCCCTTACAGATGCGCACACCCTTTTTCAGGTTCCTGGCATTTTGTTCTCTTTTAGCGTTACAATTTTCGGACTTAGGAAGCCTCTCCTTTGCGGTTTCGTTTTTCGCTCCGATTCTTTCCCACCTGTTCGAAAACCCGTCCTGTGATGAACACCAGACCGAGTGGAGAATCTGTAAGCGCAGAAAAGGTTCTGCTCGTCTAATGATGTTGTCTTCGTTCGAGGACGTATCCATCCGTCGTGTGATCATGCGGTTGCAATTCATTCAAGCTGTTGTTTCTGGTGCTGCTGCCTGCTTGGCAGATGAAAAAAATGTTCTTCACAAAAAACGACATTCTCAGAGCGGTATAAAAAAAACTCGACATCCTCCCCATCACAAAAAGTAAACTTCATAGTTTGCTGGCATGCCCTGAAAGTCGCGTGGTATACGTTCGTCGTGGTCGCCGATGTAGATGCATTGTTCCCTGTCCCAATATGGTGGCACGGGAGCGCTAGTCTCCGGAAAACTCTTCGCCTTTTCCACACAGGTGGTTCGCATGGTCAGGCTTTTGTAGTCGCAGTGGCGATCTGTGGGGTTGATACTTAAAGTATTCAAAGAGCGGATCATGTTCTTGATCGATGGATGTAGAAGTAGAAAGTTGAGGTGCATCAAAGTGTAGGCTGTTGGAATATGTCCAGATCCTACAACTTCAGCTGCAAAATTTCAAAAATAACAAAAGTCAATAGTACTCAACAGTCCACATTTCCCATCCGTTCGATGCGTCGGTTGCCAAACGGAGCAAACCAGCTGTTGATCGTTCTCTAAAAACTGCGGATATTTCATCGTTGGGTAAACGTGTGACGTACATTTGAACCAAACGTTCGAATTCGAATCGAATACCCAGACGTATCCGCGCATTCCGTCCATGCGAATCTTGTTGAAATACGGTATGCTTTTTCCCATAAACGGCATCGGACTTCCGATACGGAGAGTTTTGACAGTGGCCAGTTCATCGTTGAAACGTAGTTCGCGTCGCTGGAACAAGTCGCGTAAATGCGCGCATTGCGTCACTGGATCGTCGTTCCATCGCTCGCTCACCATCAAGTCTGGATCTTTGTTCAACGGCGAACGCTTAAACAAGAACCGCCAAGCATGACGCCAACCGCTGCCTTTATCATGTTCTTCGCGTTCGACTTCTTCAGGTGGCGGATAAAAGTGGGCTTTGAGGCGTTCCTTCCAATTAATTGAGTTCAAAGGTTCTCGGTAAAGACGGCAGTCCACGAAGAAGGACGTTGGATCGACCCTTCTATTTGCAGAGAGTCGTCGAGGTTGCGGTCTCGCTTTCTTGCGTACGCTTCGTCTGGTGCTATCCGCATTCTCGTACGCGTATCCCACCACCTTGTCTTCTTCTGACAGCCACCGCGGTCGTTCGCCAGGGTGATAGTGTTGGTGCTCCGGCTCTATCGAACTGAAAATGTCTGCCAAGCTGTGCAATGTCATCGTCGCTGCTCGTATTTTCCTTTCGTGGTATCTTCATACTTGATTTGGTCGTTTCAAAGACAAAGACTCTTTTGTCTTATAATGTTATAACTTTTATTGGTCCCGTTCAAAGATCAACAAGTGGAACTATGATGAAGTGCAGTAAAGAAATATAATACAGCTACAACATCATGATTATGGTTGGCGTCGATTCTTCACTGATTGAACGTTGATATCATCAACATCATGTTGAAAAAAATTTCCAAGCATTATTCACTGAAGAAGGTAACGACCGTTAAGAAATTCGAAGAGCTACGATGATTTTATGGAGCTCCACCTTCGTACCATGTGAGTGATCGCGATTCACCGTCAGCCTGCAGCCCCGGCCGAGTCTCCGATGAGTGCGCGCTTGTTCGAGTTCGATTCTCGATATTTCCGAACTAAAATCTGAGCTAGATTTCCGAAAAGCTGAGCAGATTTCTACGATATATCAGCGTTAGAACAGCCTGACACAACTACCCGAAAAAACGACAGCGATAAACGAATAGATTTTTGTGCTTTCCAATCAGTCGATCGTCGTCGAAAGCATGAAACGTATTATAGTCTTAACGTCTACTGTCTGGTAGGTTCTTGTACTGGAGGTTCTTTCTTCTAATAAAAAGGTGATCATGAGCTGGACGAGCACCATTAATATGTTCTCCATTTTGTTGTAATTTTTGTTCTCATTCATTCATTCATGAGTCTCCAACGCAGCCACTTTTTTTTTTTTTGTAGTCCGAGAACGCCGAAAGGGTGATCCCAGTGTTGTCCGGTGTACCTGCCGGCGACGGGTGGAGTGCATTAACCTCCTTATACTACCGCGCACTAATTGCCTACGAACCCGTCGATTATAAAATGGAGAAAAATCTAGGGGCAAAGGAGGTGATTAATTAATTACTATAAACCTCCACCGGCTGCCAACCGTCCTAGATACGGGATTGAGGAGAGTGAAAATCAAAGGCGGCGAGCCAATTGCGGAATTCAGCTCCCCTACATCTTGACGAAAAACAGGTCATACTTCTATAATACAAAAATATGGACAACCTCCAGAGATAACTTCAATATATTCTATCATTCTTTGCACTTTGTATTATTTTTTAGAGAGAATAGTTGCAGCTCTCAATGCCACAGAAGAACCCATCTTCTTCTATACGCGCGAAAGCATAGATGTACAACTTGTAAAACCAAAACTAAGATACAATGAGTCTTCAATTTAATGAGAATAAATTTACCCAGAAGAGTCATATATGTGGGTGACTAGCACAAAAAAATGTTGTTCTTGAAGATGTTGATGACGCAGATAACACTCTACTTTCTATCAATCATGATATTTGTTTTCCGATCGAATTTGTTCATCGGCAGGTACTCGTACTTTCAATTACTTCTTCTTCGAGTATCCTCCCGATATCAACTAAGTACTTACTTACTTGTTGGTACTTCTTTCTATTTGCATAACAACTGTTGCGGGTCGACGGACATAGATGTAGCTAAATGTTTCATCATTATCATCTTGTTCTATGCCATTGTAACAAAGAAGTACTCCCCATTGCATGATCAGCGACGATACTATCATCGTTCCCAGCCTGTTCAGCTGAGTCTCAGCTGAAGATCATTTCGTGAGTAAGTGCATGCTGCTGAACTTCAGCTTCATATTCATAATTTTTGAATGATAACCTATAATTAGAAGCTTTTTCTATTCCAGAATTCGAGTGCTGCTACTGACAGGACTACCAAAAGTAGAGAGCTAAAGAGCTTACGCTTACCGTTACCACAAACGAATCATAATTGTAATCATGTATCTACTACTGCATAATCATCTGAAGAACGTCGTGATTATAATATGGATCAGATGTCGTGTTTTGTTTGTGTCTCGCATTCAAATCCTTAAATCAACAACGAGAACGAACTTCAGCGTCTATCATGTAACAACATCGGAGGCCCTCCTCCAGGAATAACGGATTGTGGTGCCGCAGCCGCCATGCGACTTACCATACCGGCCGTTCTTTCGGAAACTCCCATCTGGCCAACAACTTGGCCAGCTGCCTGCTCTTTCAGATAACGCATGCGCCAGCTTGCGGCAGCTTCGGCACAAGATTTCTGTTTTAGCAAGGTACAGACGAAAGCAAGTGAAGTTCTTCCCTGATTTACCTTGCAGCTGCACGCACAAAGCAACAACTACCAGCATATTCATCTACCCACTGAGAAACCGCACATGCATACTGGGACAACTTCTAGAGGGTCTAGATTGATAGTTGTAAACAAAATTGAAAACAATTACCCTGCTCTGTTCGTCCATAGCCACGTTCATGAAGGAATTTGTATGGTGGAAGGAGGAAGCACGAATTCTCTTGGCCTGACTTTGGTAAGAGTTTCTTTTACCTGGTTGTTGCGAATGAAGTGGTAGAGGTGCAGAGATACAAGATCATGATCAACGTCATCGTCATCCTTTTTTCAAGAAAAACTTTGTATAGATACGAAAAACTGAAATAAGCAAGTAAGGTTAGCAAGAACGAGTACCTCCAGGTTTGTCACAACTTGAGTTTGCGTCCTCACTCTTGTCTTGCGTCGAGTGCGGGGGTGGCATGCCACGCCCTTTATTCGGGTCTGTTACATTCACATTCAGGATAATGTTAGAAGATGCATGTCTAGAGACCACACTAGGACTTGGTGGTCATGGCATGGCACGAGTCTCACATAGAAGTCATACACATACTATTTATGAAACTAAACAATAGCCAGGACACAGAGGTGCGTAGAAATTGTGAACTCCTCCATGAGGTGATTGGGTGTTCATCAATAACGAGACTACTAGGACCAGTTGTTGTACTACAAATCAAGACCTCCATACAGGTTGTTGTACTAACAAACTAGACAGGTTCCATTACGGTGACTGCAACTAGTGTAGTAGACAGGTGTAAGTGTATGTCTACTTCAGACTACATTAGTTTTAGAGTAGTGTAGTAGACAGGTGTAAAAAGTCAGTGTAGTAGATACTTTGTTATGGTACACTTCTAGACACAGGTGGTGCAACTGGTGTACAACTGTCTAGTAGACTGTGTTAGAAGATGCATGTCTAGACACTTCTAGGACCAGTTGTTGTACTACAAATCAAGACCTCCATAACTGCTGGCCCCGCGTGTCGTGGAGCAGCCGCTGCTGGGAGAGCCGCGGGGGGTCTCGGTATAATTCCAGCAAACTGTTCTTCCGGAAGGCCACCATGTGAAAGCAGCATCTTTGTGAGAGCGCGCGTCTCAACCCACTCCCGGTTTGCTCCTGGCAACTGATTTTCTTTGCCTTCCTCTGCTGCTGATTAGAAGAAGAAGAAGAAGAAGAAGAAGAAGAAGAAGAAGAAGAAGAAGAAGGAGAAGGAGGCACAAGTTGTACATTATGATGAATAAAGGAACAAGGACAAGCTGATTAGATAGTATGAGTAGTAAGAGAATGAGTCGTTGATATTCGTTGATATGCAAGACGAATGAAGAATAAATCTTAATCAACCGTGACCTCTTCATTTTTTTGGCTGAGAAGTACAAAAACTCAAGCGAAGTAAAAAAATCTTCATAGTCTTGCGGCGAAGCCGTCTCCTCATCCTGGTGTGGTTGTTGTAATCTCGGAGGAGCTCCGGGCGCCCCTGCTGCTCGTATCCTTCGCGAAGATGTGCTGCCAGCAGTGCCCATATCAGTGCGAGGCTGACAAGGTTAGAGGGAAGGTGCGAGGACATAATCCTAATCAATATCAATGTAAAGACAAATAAGCCTGGAGATCATCTTTAACGTACTGAAGCTTGATAGTGCTGTTTTGTTCTTTCAGCTAAAATAGATAGAAGAGCATGTACTTCTAGCCCTAGTGTTCATGAGGTAGGTGTAGTAGAACTAGAAGATGAACATGTGGATGTGCAGCAGCAGAAATGTACACGACAAGATGAACCTGAACCGCAATGACAACAATAACATCACCAGCCGCTCTTAATAGAGACCCTGACCGCGCTGGTTTTTCTTCTCGCCTCCAAAGTTGTGGAAGGTTTGCGATCGATACCAACCCTCACCTCGTCCCTGTGCTTGTGGGACATTCGTTTTCTCGGTTAGAGCTGGACCAGGACAAAGCAATGAAGGAACAACAAAAATTTTTTAATAGATTTGGGATGAGGATGCCTGTACATCAGTGTTTGTGATTTGTAAGTCGTGGTTGTTGTAGTGACTGGTGACGCGCAGTAAAACTAGTAGAACTGCTCCAAAAATTCCCACAAGCGGCCCAGGAACAAGTACTTAGTCAAAAAAAGAACGACCACAACCACCCAGACCTAGCCGTAACACTGTATACAACAAGTTGCTGTTGACATCTGGTGGCTGTCCGTGGTCGTGCGTTTTAGTCGGTGTCAGCGAAAGCTCATCCATAGATCTATCATCGACCACTGCGCCATCCAGGTTCAAAAGGTTCATCCTGACATCGTTGCCTTGTGCATTGTTCACGTGACTGGTGTGATTACCGGAGTTAGAAGGAGAAGAGTTCAATTGGTGTTTCCCGTCGTCTCTGGTAATCATCTTCATTTTCATGAGTGCCTCTGCCCGTGCTAATGATCATGCGTGCGATAGCCCGGTTTTGCGTACTCATCTTGTTCTTCGTCTTTAACAAGTACTTACTTACACTGAAGGGAAAGGGAATCATCCATTATCATAATAAACGAATTGCTCTGACCTCCTCCTGATGTGTTGAAGGTTCTGGGGATGACGCCGTCTCCTGCCCCACCAGGTCCTTGATACTGTCCTCCTGTCCCACTTGGGATACGCCTGGGTACCGGTGCCGCACCAGCGCTGCTAGCCCCTACTCGAGGAATGACACCCGCGCCAGCTTGGTAAGGCTGCGGAGGTCCTCGCTGTAGTTGTCCTCTGTCTCCTGGTCCACCCTGTTGATTTTCAGGGTTGTAATCCATGCTCTTATCATTGAACGGTTGCTGCTGATGGTCTTGCTGGTCACCTTGAGGACGTCCTCGAGGGTCACCCACTGGCGGGCCTCTATTGCTTGAGGGGTGGCCATATTGTTGCGGTCCTGCTCCTCCATAGTGCTGCTCCTGATGATCTCTGTCACCTGATGGACCAGTATATTGACCACCGCTACCAGCATGTTGTTGTTGATAGGAACCCGAGCTTCCACCGCCAGGCGCAGGCAATCCTGGTCCTCTCTGCTGCCAGCTAGAGTCTTCAGGAGCATCTTCATGAGGGTGAGAACCATGATGAAGTGGCGCATGCGCTTCGGTCGACTTGTCGTCGTCGACTGGTTCAAGAGATTTGATGCGATTCAGACACGATCATCATGACCGTGATGAAGACCATAATCCTACTCTTTCATCTTAGTCTTACTTCTTCATAGATGAAGATGTCCATCAAATAACAAAAACAATCCTAATGAGTCATCAGTACCTATGTATGTTATCTGCTCAATTAGGCTGTCATCGTTGAGCGTGACTTTGCGAGTCCCTGAGCGATGCTTGTAATTCGGCGACGCCTGCTCACAAGATGGAGACGGCAAGTTAGAGCTCGCCGCTCTAATCGTCCTGCCATTTAAGAAAAAGATCTAACTCCTCGTCGACATCTTGTTCTGTATCTTGGAAGAAAATCACAGTTTTAGACACAAAGCACAAATAACATCACAGAGGATTATCAATTTCTAACACACAAAACCAAAACTTACTAGATTATCAATAAAAGAGTAGTAAATGGATATGGATCATTCCAAGCCAAATCACTAGCCAAATCTCTCCAAATCCACCAGGTTAAGGTAGCCAATCAGGTTGTCCGTTTGTAAGCTCGCAAGATGGAGACGGGAAGTTAGAGCTCATGATCTCCAGGATGCTGGATAAGTACCTTTAATTAGTTTTAAAGATAAAAAAGATGGATATGGATTAATAGGGGTGCGGGTGGAAGCCTTAACGACACTATCGGTTTTTCGCGGTGCCAAATCCTCTAGGACTTCGTCGCAAGGTAATGGGACTACTTGCGACACCTTTTCCGCACCATGCGTGGTTGATCCTGGCGAGGTCGGAGAACCTGGGAAGGCGTTGCTTCTATTGCTTAAGGTTAGAAGTTGCACCATGAGTGAAGGACGAGTTGCAGATGTTCTTCTTGATCTTCATCTTTACCGCTCGCATAAATTTTCATCCAACAAGTCTCACTTCTAGAACTACAAGAATGGCTATTAACTTCAACTTCCATCATATGGAAAACAATTGAAAGGTGGACCAAAAAGAAAATCCACCCTCTCGTTGATATCTAGGACTAGGATCTGTGGTCCATAAAGTTTGTCCCCATGCTTCCACTCTCTGCTGCGGCGGTCCCTCAGCTTGCTGTGGCTCTCCCTTAGCAGCAGCCTCCTTCTTCTTACCTCGCTTTCCTTGTAGATTTCCCATGTTGAAGTTGAATCAGATGAAAGGGATTTTCAGAACAAGAGGTGGATGTTGATACAACTAAAGTGCATCATGTGCTAAAAGTGATAATCATGCGTTTAGTTGTACGTAAGTAGCTCGAGAAGATCACAAAAAAAAACTTCTGCACGCTATCAATGGGATAAACATGATAAAACGGTTAAGCAGAGGGCGGCTCTCCTCTGCGAGGAGATGTCTTATTTAAGTAAGGCGACGACAATTGTTGTTCATCTCAAATATTGTTGGACCTCGTTGTAGAAGATCAAAAAGGCAAATCTGCCGACTGCATGGTGCAATCTACAGAGAAAACGAAACAGAATTTATTTGACAGACTGAATCAAGTCACAAAAGAACCGACTGTCGTTTGTTTATTGATTGGCACAGACTACATGGTCTGGAAAAATAAAACAGATGAAGATAGAGGTCACGGTTTCCTTGCCTTTCCCTTTTCCACGGCGTTGTTCCTCTCATCTACACGTGGCTAAGTACGTCGTAAATTAATCGTGATTCGAGTAAATGATGAAGCAACTGCAAGGATTCGTCAATTGGAAAAAAATGAAACCGAGTGATTTTTAGTGCATCATGACACTGATCTGTGAGGTGAACAGCCGTGCCGCGTAGAAGAGCAAGATGTTGGGCCAGCTGCGCATTTGTCAGGACTGTGTTGTTTGAACAGTCGTTGAACTGTTCGCAAGGAAGATTTTCCATCTACCTCATTCAGAGGATTCTTTTTCTTGGAAATGGAATCGTTCTTCACCTAAATCTAAATGTCTGTACGGCAGGAACCCTACTTCACCATTTCGCAGTCTGCAAAAAGACTTCCGAAGTGCTACCCCCCATAGCCCCCATACCCATCTGCCTCCCGGCATCCGGATCATGATGAGGATAATACGTGTGATAAATTGCGCTTCCCACTATTTCATCCTTGCTGTTTGTGGCCTCTAATCGATATCTATGCGGTAAGTCGTCAACAGAAGGACACAAAGTTCCGAAGTCCATCCTCGTTCCGCCAACTGCAGGAGTAAAACTCCCTAACAACCTCGAATGTCTTAAGTGATACACAGCATCCCAATGAACTCGAGGCGCGTCACCGGGGCCGTCAGGTGAATTGAGGTTAGAAATTGCCGATATTCATCTTGAAGTGCATTTTTGGCAGGCTTTTCCCCCAAGGAAGGAGCGGCTAAAGGTGCTGCCTAAAACCATCAAGATGAATTACGGTCAGCCTTAATGAGATCCTCTAACCGCACATGCACCACATCCTGTGGTTCTTCAAACTCGATCATCGGATGTTGTCCTAGCGCTTTCAGAGAAGGGTCGCCGGACCCTCCTGAAAATCCGGGAAGCTTCGGATACGCGACATGTAAGTTTGCTAGATTGGCCTCTTCACGAATTTTACCGAGGAGGCCGCCACGACCTTTACCAGGGTCGGCGAGTGTGCTAGAAGTGATTTTTGGTTTGACAGTTTGGTAAGGTGGAAGTATGATATATGTATATCATATTTATTAAAACGGACGCTCTATACCCTCTAGTAGCATTACTTTTATCTGAAAAGGTGCATTGAGATTGAGATAGAAGAGATTGGCGGAGTTACACTCACCATCTATAGAATATCAATGATGCTGAACATAAGGAATCTCAGCATCTTCTAAAAAGTATAAGTTGTGAGTAGTACTTCCCCCTCGGCAGCTTGTCCGCTGTCGTCCCCGACAGTACTGACATCGACCGCCGTTGTCCCCTAGCACAGGCAAACAAAGCATCGTTATTCAAGTCGGTCCGTCTAATCCCTCTTGTTTTCGAGTCTGTCAATATCTGCAAATCGCTTTCACGACTTCCCGGTTGGCCTCCACTCGGTCTCCTCTTCGCTAATTGGACCATCGACAATAAGAAAATCGCCGTCAGAATCGCCTGAAAGATCTCCGGGAACTTCATATCTGGTACACCAGGGATGTCAGGTAGAGTCATTCCTAAGACCTTGAACATGTTGAAATCCGGACATTTTCCCCCAGGGAAATAGTCGCACAAGCCCGGAAGTGGTGGCATCTTGGGGATCTTGAGGTTCCGAGGAAAGCCTGGCATTTGGATCTTAGGCATCGTGATCTTTGGCAATTTCAAATCCGGCAAATCCAACTTCGGCATGCGTGGAATTGGCGGAATGATGGGGTGCAGAGGTAAAAACTTGTTTGGTTTCGGGACTGCGCCAGGTGGTGGGAAAGCGGGTTTGGCTGGAGCCGCTGGTGGTAAATCGGCGGGACCCTCGAACAACATCTCTGGCGGACTGTCTGCGAAGGATGTGGATAGAAATGATGATGTCTTCGATGCTCGTCGTCCTTGAGCTAGAAGTTGTGCAAGCTTTCCACGTCGCGTAGTCGTAATCCTCGCGCCTGATCTAACCGCACCAAGATCTTCTACCGGATGCTCGCCCAGCACAGGAGTGCTCAGAAACGTCGTGTAAGCGCGTGCGCTTCTTTTTCTTGCAAAGAGCCTAGTCGTGTGGCTGAGTTCAACTGATTGATCATTTACTCTAAAGCCCTGCTTATGCTGAAGAAAAGATATCTTCGCCGCATGATGCCTGCTAAAGCCAGTCGCGAGGACTGCCTGTGCAATTCCCTCGGGTGGATCCACACCCACTACATTACGTGCCCAGTCATGCACATCAAAACGATCATGTTCAGCTTGAGGAGCAAATGCCCACAATGACGTGGCCCACGAGGAAAGAACCATGTTGTTGCTCTTCCGTAGAAAATATGTGGTTCAAAGCCGCGCGAGATCGAGACGAACCTACGAAACTTTTGAGGACTACTTATTTGTATCAGAGGAGGGCTCGGACCGCGTTGTTCGGGCTTATGAGAGAGCTACTCAATGACAAAGAGTGTCGGTGTGTCCTCAATATTCATAACGAAGGGCAACTAGGCTGGGCGGGACCTCATGATAGATAAGGACGATAAGCACACGCGGATGGCAGAAAACAGATTCTCTTTTACCGAGACGACCGAGCCCGACGAGTGCAGCCATGTTGACCACAAACAGTGAATGACAACGACACAGATTCGTTTTATGACCAGCAACTTTCTTAGAAGTAGCGTCGCACCTACTGCGATCCGTCACAGACAGTCTCCGAGTGCAACTCTCGTCCGATGAAATAAGACATAACCGAGATGATTGAATGGTTCTGGTATTTGGTAACCTGAATTTGATCCTAAGGGAAAACAAGAAGAGAACCCTTAGGATCAAATTCAGGTTACCAAATACCAGAACCATACGATGATCATCATTGATTCACAATATCGTTCGCTGGTCTTAACCGAGACATAGAATCAAAATTATTTTGGATAAACCAAGAACAAGTAGAACTGCAGTCCTGGTAGCAGCATGGGCGGGACTTCATTATCGCCATCTCACGAACAACATTAATGTACTCAAAGCGGAAGGTCCTTGCTTTAACAGTTTGCGCTGCTCACAAACCAAACACATTTTTATGGGGCGGGTATTCGTGAAGCATTTTCGTCTAGAAAGTCGCGCGACACTTCTGAAGTGTCACTTCACTGGGTTAATGAAAAAAACCTGCTTGCGTCGCAGGAGAACGTTAGAGCGTATTGATGGAACGACTGCAACGATGTAACGAGAGTTATCTTCGTCAATAGTACTGGTAGAAGTTGAAGTATCATGAGGAATTTGAAAATGTTTTTTGCGAAAACACGATATACATTAAGCATGTGCTTTTTGTAGAATTTCTCATTTCCATTTTTTCATTAGACTGCGTGTATGTTTACGATACCGCCTCGGGTAGCAGCAAGTATCTTTTCTTGCAAAGAAAGACACGTCTTCACTTCCTTCACCAAGCGAGGAAGAAGAACTTTTTTCCATATCGTACACAAGAAGACGAGGACCTAAAAACCAGACGACCACTAATGATAATGATAGAAGGACTAGACGGCGATTAGCATGAAGATTAGAGCTACCCCTGCGATAGAAAAATGAGCAAAACGAGCACACAATTATAGAGGAAGATGAGCACCTGCACCAAAAAGAAGTACAATTTCACATGATTATACCAAATGAAATTACAATTTGGAGTTGTCGTTAGATTTGTTTCTTCGAATAAGGCACCACACGCACCCAAGTAGTCTGAATCGTTCTCTATTTCATCAAAGTATAAGAAAGAGAGGCTTCTTAAGTAGCAGTAGCAGTTGGCGCCGCATCCATGATACTCTGTTGCATCAGTTTCAAAGACGTGGTGAAGAGTCCTTTGCATTTGTCCGCGAACGCTGTCACGGCTTCCGGCGTAACAAAGCCAAGAGTTTGGAGCTCTAATTCCAGATATCCCTGAAACTTCTGGAAATGCTCGAAGGGTCCCCAGGATGCTGTTGTTGTAGAATTTGAGAATGTATGGTTGGACAAGAATAGGATAAGGATGAATAAGTAGGTAAGAAGTAGATGAAGGGTTAGCACAAATAGGATCTACTTTCGAAACTATTAGTTAGTAAGAAGTAGATGAAGGGTTAGTAGAAATAGGATAAGGATTGTAGATGAAGGGTTAGTACACGACTTTAAATTGTATTAAGTACCTTCAGGTTTCAGCTGTGACGTTAACTGGTCAGACAAGAATTTCTTGTCTTTTCCGGTTTCCTTCCATATGCGGAATCGTGCGTCGTGCTCCTTCATCGTTGTGCACTTCCATGAATCCACTGGCTTCAAGAATTTCTCACCTACGAATTTCTTTGCATCTGCTACGTCAGGTAATGAGACTGAAGATGGTAGAGCTGGGGAAGAAGAAGATGATGCTGCCTTTTTAGTATCAGCTTCTCCAGCACCGGAGCTATTGCTGCAAGAAGAACTACTAGCCGCGGGTGCAACATCTCCTGCCGATTCAATACTTGGTATGGTCATGACGTCAGAAGATGAAACTGTCATGATGGCCAGGATTTCGCCTAGCATGGACAGCGTTTCCTTTCTAATATCTTCGCTCTGAAGTTCTTCAGCACCACCCTTATCGGCAAGAAGATACACATTGACAAAGTGCGCCAAACACGGCAGAGTCTCTGACAGCAGCCAGTGGTTTTCCGTTGGCCGTGTGAGAAAGGGAATTGCTTCCAATGGATTGAGACCACTTGTTGAGGATGAGGATGAAGCGGATGCTCCTGCTGAGGTAGTACTAGTTCTTGGCATCATTTCGAAGCTGCTTTGTCGGAAATTCCTCTCCATGCGCAGTTCTAGTTTGCACATATCCAACAGCATCTTTGCGCACCTTCGTGAATGGTTCTTCTGACGTGAGTAGTAGTGGTAGGCGCAAGAAAAGGTGTGCGGGTCTTGCGGTGAAAAGCGGAGCAAAGACTGGATTAAGGTGGTGGCTTCTTTATCGAGATCCATGTTTCGGAGGAATTCTGTGCCATTAGGGTCAGTGGATTTGCTCACAGTGCAAGGAAGCACGGTTGCAGCCTCGAGTTGCTTGGAAGCTTCTTTTTCGACCTCGGCCTGTAGTTGTGTTTTGAGTCCAACAAGTGAAGAAAGTCGATTACTACAGCAAGTTCAGACGCGGCCGTCTTCAAGGACAAGCTCCAAGAGCTCAAAATAAAAATTATAAACAAGTTTCGTTGTCTGAAGTGAGAGTCACAAATATTAAGCTCATCCAAGTAGACATAACAAGTACTTCTATGTAAATATTAAGTACCTTCTTCCCCTGTCTCTTCGCCGCATGCTTGAGCTTCTTCTTTTCTGCTGCTGAAAGCTCTTTTTGCTCTGCCGGTGCACCTGCTGCTTGTGCAGGAGCATCTGCTCCTCCCTCTGCAGCTGCTCCCGTCGCCGGAGAGCCTCCACGAGGACCCGCCGCCTCCAACTCTTTCTTGTCCATCAACAACATGACAAGTCGCAGCATGTCTTTCACAGCTCTTCGGTAGAACTTGTGGCTGAACAAGTGGTCCTGCATCTTCAGCATGCTTGTGTAAGTCGTTAAGCCGTTTTTCCGCAGACAGTAGTTGTGGAAATCGAACTGATCGTCCGAGATGTCGTTGAAATGCGAAATGCTTTCTTTGAGGTAGCGTAGAGACCTTCCGAAGATTTGTTGTCGCATGTACGACCTGGCGACTTCGGACTCGTACCAGAGACACTGCATATCGTGCAAGTTAGTAGCGGCCTCAATGCCTGGTTCTTGCGGGGCATTGGCGGCCGCGCTATCCCGCGAAAACAAGATCATGGTCGGCTGAGCGCGCTTGCAGTCGTCGATTCGGAGCATAGCTTTCACGGCTCGGGTGTTCAGATACCTAAGGGGCATTTGAGAATCTGAGTCAGAAGAAGATGTTGATAATGATGATGTAGGTGGTAGTCATGATGTTATCCAACTAGTACTACGTAGGTCTAGGTGCTATCTTCTTCATAAAAGAGAGACCCAAACAAAACCAACATCTACATTAAGTATTGTTCTACCTATCAGCCAAATCCAATTCTCTAGCTTCGTTGTAGAATTCACAGGCTGTCCACAAATCTCCGCTATCCTTGAGGATTTTTCCCTTCATCATGTAGAGTTCGGGATGTGTTGGCGCCATTTTGATCGCTATTTCCATATACTTCAGCGCAGTCTCAAACTCTCCCATAATGTTGTAATGCTCTGCCAGCAGTTGGTAGAGAAATAAGAGACTCGTTGGAGTCGTGGAATCCGCTCCCTCACCTTCGAAAGCGAGCTGCTGCTCGAGAGGACCTGAATTTCCAAAGTCGAGGAAGAATTCACTATCATATTTGGCTTAGTCGGCAAAAATGCGCAGCATTTTTTTCTCCTTATTCGGATTCTAATCGTCCTATGATCTAAGCATTGTTTTTGTTCATTGAAAATAGAAAATAAGACCCAACAACATGTAATACCAAGCATTTCCAACAGCGCGTCTTCTATGAGTTTCCATCTGACTGAGTCGTGGAAATAGAACGGCTTCAATAAGCGGAACAATGATGGCAGTCCCTTCTGCAATCGTGGTCGCAGGAATTTCTGTGATAAAGGTTGGCTGTGTTGAAGAAAGGATTTTTAGGACCATGATTATTTTTAGGATATCGATATATTTTTTCTAAGAGGAAGTACTTCTAGAGGAAGATCTCGACATGAGTTACATGGTTTGAAGTTCTTCAAGTACAGTAGAGGTGGAGCAAATTCAAGTGTTTCGAGGAAACAGAAAGTGAAAGTTGTGAAAGTACCTTCAATTTCTCCTGAAAGAGCGTTCCGTTCAAGAAGAATAGCGCAATTCTTTCCGCTGACTCGGATTTTTTCGTGTCTCTGAGTTCACCAATGAATTCCAGCAACTCCTTCTGCTTTTCGACTGGTATGTCACCACCTAGTGGGTACATCAGAAACGGCTTCTTTTGCTTCACCATTCTCTTCCCTATTCTCTTGTATTGTGCCTTCTGCAAAAACGAGTTCCTATCTGCAGATGCTGGCCACCCAAAAACCGGTGCGCCTGCTGGGTGAAACTCAGGTGGGAACGCCTGTGCGTTGCTATGAGGAGAGGCCCCGTATTTGATGCTGGCCCAGTCGATCTCGTCTGCGATTGAGGGTGAAGACGATGAAGCAGCAGCTGTCGTGCCGGTTTTCGGTCCACTAGCAGAACAAACACCGCCTGAACAGCAACTACTGGATCCAGCTCCCTCAACAGCACCTGTTGGCTTCTCTTCTTTCTTGTTCTTATCTCCTCCTCCTTCTTTAGAGCAAAGATCCTTCCCATCCTTCAGCTTTGCGCTGTCTTCACTATTCAAATCGCTCTGTGATGGGGATGAAGTGCTGGCATCCTCGCCAGCTGTTGTAGAGCAGGACTCATCTGCGCCAGCTGCGTCCTTGGGGGTCAAGGCTGGCGCAGCTACTGGTGGCCAAAACTCACGAAATCTCACGTCCGTCGCGACTAAGCACAAAATATAGACGTGATTTTCGGGATTTCTAGCGTACAATTCCTTGTAGAGGGCATGGGCTTCGGTCAGTTTGCCGCAATACCTAGAAGTAGAAGAAGCAATATTTAACTCGATGGTAGAGGACATGGACATCAATGCGTTTTTAGTAGGTAGCGAAATGAATTCCATGTTTGGGGTTGAATGGAGATTGTGTGTGTGTGTGTGTTTGGCTAGATGAACATGAACATGATCGAGTAGAGAGAACGAGGACCTTAAGATCTTGTAGCAGTCTAAGTACATCAATATCCTGGCTTTCGTTTCCTTCAGCTTCATTTTGTCCACAATGTGCGGCTCTTTGTCGTGCAGTAACTGCAGAACGTCTTTCCACTTTCCAGACTGCTCTAGGAGCATGGCTTTGTAGAGTTGCATCTCACTCCTGTCCACTCTAGAAAAATCGTCGATGATCTTGCTCTTATCGTCGAGGATTTCGAACGCCTTGGTCGGGTTTCCCGCCATGTGTTCGGTGACAGCGTACCCGATCAGATTGATATTCGAAGTTTTGGCGGTTTCTGTTGTGGTTCGGTCGAGGAAGAGGCAGTGGAAGTGGAGATTGGATTTGGATTGTAAAGAGTGTTAGTGTAGGCGGGAAGAGTAAAACAAATTGAGAAGTTGTCTATTGAGTAGTATGACCACCATGCATGAGAAAAAAATATCCTCAGTCAAAAAAGGAGAATGCTCTTACCACACAGCCTTTTCCTCGTTTCCACTGCTCCGGACAAATCGCGCTCATGGAGCTGCAGAAGTGCCAAATCCCTAAGAATCTGCACATTATGCGGTTCGAACTTCAATGCGTTTCCTGTTTGGGGTAGGACGATGTAGTTAGGTGTGCATTGAATTGAAATCAATAGAAATTCAATTTCAATAAATTCTTCATGTTGATCATCATAATTTCATAGATACATAAGGTTAGAGAAAATTGAAGATGGTCAAAAAAAACCTGGTACACGATTATAATTATATCAACGCAGTACATAAAAAAGTGATTATGATCATGATTAAGGTGTAAAAAGCCAATATTACTGTAACAGCTGATCGCCTGTGCGTAATCCTTGTCATGTCTGTGCATAAGGCCATAGACATGCCAGCAGACATAGGACTTGAGCCCATATTTAAGTCCTTCCTTCACCAGGTCATAGCTCTCCTCTTTGCGGCCAACGTAGCGGAGAGTCAGACTCTTTAGACCTGTTGTGGTGGGGATGATGAGATTGAGGATATTTCGCCCTGCAGCTTATTCGTGTTTCTTCAAGATCAAGCTTTTCAACTACCTCCAAAGTAGTTTAGAAGATGGACAAAGGAAGCCGAGGAAGTGTACAAATTTTAGAATAAGTCGATGTACAAAGTGTCTCCGCATGTTTAGGATGCTTCTTCAGGTTCAGGTCCGCCGCTTTGAGCGCTTTCTTATACTGCTTAGTTTCGATAAACTCGGCAATCTGCCGAGTATTGACCTCCATTCTGGCGGAAGTGGAGGTGGTTTCGAAAAGCAAACTTTGGATGCAAGAACGAGGACGGGGAGGATGATATGCGGATGTCAAACTTTTTGCAAGTTCTTGATAAAAACTTCTTCTAACTACAGCAGCTGCAGCTGCCAATCAAGACTAATCTATCAGTGAAACAAATTTGTTCTACTGGACACAAGTAGAACAAAGTGAACGGTGAAGAGACACCAACATGCAAAATCAGAACATCCACCACGTCCTAGGGTACGTCCTAGCTACCTGTAAATAAGATTGGTAATAAGTGAAAAAATAGTCGATGTGAACAAGTGAGCAGAGGACCAAGAGGTATAAACGAAGGTTTCGAGTAAGTAGAAGGTCGCAAAAAGATGACGAAAGAGCTGCACGAACATCAACAGCAGGGATCACGACCAGAGGATCATGCAGATCACTGTGGAGAGCATGTGATGTCAACCTTTTGGATCACACCGTGATTGTGACGAGGAAGACCGACTTGCAAGAACTCGTGCAAGAAGTGCACCTCCTGATTAGACGGCCATTTGAATTCATCTAATGAACACTATAAGGAAGTTTTGTGATCCTGGTCCGTGACTTATTTGAGTAAATTATAAAGCAAGAACCACGTCGACCTCCTCCAATTCGTATGTCGTTCGCATGATCGTACGTGGTTCAGTCCTCATCTTGAACACATCATTATAAAATGTTACAGTAGTAAAGGTTGTACCACGGATGTCCGCGCGTCATCCTGTTCGCGACTGTATCGAGTCACGGGACACCGGCTCGACAAAAGATCAAAACTTTCGCTTTCGTCCACTTGTTCAACAATTTTGATTGAAATTGAATTCCTTTCATCATTTATTTTCTTTTTATTGAGCTGGCCCTGGAGATCATGGAAAGGTCGTTGCTGCAAAAAAACACTCCTTCCACTTCTAGCGTGGTAGTTGGAAGTCGAACAAGATTGAAATATTATAGTTTAGGAGCTCATGTCAACATTTCTTGTTACTCCATCAGAATGAATCAGATTTTTTCTAGATAAGTGCTCGCTGTAATTCAACAAAAAAGACTTGCCGGATACTATAGAAGTATACATCACATGAAACGCGACGATCTCAACAACCATCTTTCGAAAGATTGACTACTTAGATACTGTAATGACCAAATTGTCCAAGTTGTTATTATTCATCACTATTCGCAAAGGAAAATCATGTCAGATGTCTTGCTATTCAAAACAAACAGAAATTAAAAGGAATTGGAAATTCCTACTGCACCTTGATGATATAGGCCATTTCTCAGAAATGGAAACTGGAGGGAACAAAAAACACAAGGTAAGAAGTGAGGATGAGTACCTGTACTAGTGTAGTCTATTCATGGTTTCAAATATCTGTTGTCTGCTGCTCGCCACGCTCTTCAACTCTGCGTCCTTCCAGGCGGAGCAAATGCGTTGCTGCCCCAAGCAAGTTCTGTATCTAGCAAACAGACCTCTCCGCCGACGACTGTCGCTGTGTTCTTGCTACTGGATCTAGTTCGTTGTAGCTGTGCTGGCTCTGGCGAAGAAGTTGATGTAGTTGTTCTAGTTGTACTAGGAGGTGATTCTAGACTACCGATTTCGAAAACATCTTCTCCTGCTTGCCGCAATGAAGCTGCCACTTCATCCGCATCTTCGGCTTTGACAAAAATGGCCATGCCGATGCCGCAGTTGAAGGTTCGAGCCATCTCCATCGGGTCTAAATTGCCTTCAGTGTAGAGCCATTTCAAGATTGGAGGTAATGGCCAGCTTCCGGCTTTGAGAACGGCGCCGACGTCTGAGGGAAGTACGCGTGGAATATTTTCCAGCAAGCCACCACCAGTGATGTGCGCAGCGGCGAGGACTTTGCCGCTCTGCATGACAGGAAGTAAACTGCGGATGTAGATGCGCGTTGGGGTTAGCAAGTAATCTCCGATCGATTTCTCCGCATCAAATGGAGCCGGATCAAGAAATGTGTAGGATTCACGCGTCTCTGGATTCACAGCACTGGTGACGATTCTCCTTGCTAACGACAGCCCATTGCTGTGCACGCCAGACGACGCTAAGCCTAGAATCTTCGTTCCTGCCACTAGAGAATCGGTTTTAGGCAAAATTTTGCTTCTTTCGACAATGCCAACTGAGAAACCAGCAATGTCGTAGTCTCCTGGCTTGTAAAGGCCTGGCATCTCTGCGGTTTCCCCACCAATCAAGGCACAATTCGCTTGCCGACATCCCACAGTGACGCCTTTGACGACGTCCACAGCTTGCTGAACTGTCAGTTTTCCCGTCGCGAAGTAGTCTAAGAAAAAGACCGGCTCAGCACCGTGGACTAGACAGTCGTTGACGCACATCGCGACTAGGTCGATTCCGACAGTGTCGTGTTTGTCTAGACTAGTGGCGACTAGAAGCTTCGTTCCTACACCGTCAGTGCCAGAGACCAGGACTGGATCCTTGTATTTCAGTTTGGCCAAATCACAAAAACCACCAAAGGAGAGTTCCTCGCCAAAACTGCATCCTGGTCTAGCTGTACCGCGCAAAAACGGCTTGATCGCGTCTACTGTCGCATTGCCAGCCGCAATGTCCACACCTGCAGCTTTGTAGGTTAGTGGTTTTTTAGTCTTGTTGAGGTTGTTCTGGCTTGCACCAGTGTTTTTCTGAGGAGTCTTAGTTGGAGGATGATCGACAAGCTGCAAATTTCCCTCCAACCCTGTCGCGGGAACGTCAGAGAGTTCATCTAAGTCTTCGATTGAAGACCAAGAAGCTGAAGAACCACCTGACGTCTTGTTCTCTTCATCTGGCGACGCAACGCCACCTCCAATTGTTCTCAAGACGAAAGCAGCATTATGCTCACAGTGAAGGGGTGAGTGGGTGAACTCTTCAGGTCTGAAGACGCCAGCAATGTCTGTGCGGTAAAAGCAACCCTCGAAAGAGACTTGTTCAACACCGAGATATGCGAGACGGGTTGCGTGTTCGAGCGTACGACCAACGGCTGAGATAGCAGCAACGCGGCCACCAGAAGTACGGATTTCAGCGGTGGCTGTTTATGGATTGGAGGCATTCAGCAGGGTAACCAGATGAACTACATTAATCACATGTATTTATTGAATAATATTCGTCTAAATGTGCAAGAAATCGCCGTGGTAGGAGGAGATCATGAGCGGATGTTGGAGAAATAGGTAAGTACCTGGCGAACCCCCTTCGTTCGCTTTCTTTGTTGTCCCGGCATGGAAAGCCTGCAGTGATGGCATCGTGTTCAGCTTCTCGAGTCCACATATTTTCTTCCCCTTTTCGTAGCTTCCGGGATAGCCACCACTCGCCAACACCACAGCCACACAGAAGCCCTTCAATACCGGCAAATGCACCTGATCCAACTTTCCCTTGCAACAGAAACTCAATGCCTGATACAAATCGCCTTCTAGCAAAGGCATCACCGCCTGCGTTTCCGGATCTCCAAATCGGCAGTTGTACTCCAATACGTTCACTTCTCGACCAATTGTGCCATCTGGATCCTCGGACAGCATCAAACCCGCGAAAAGTACGCCGACAAAGGGGCGACCCTCAGCAGCCATACCGTCAATGCATTTCTGTAGACAGTGAACTTTGATCCACTCGAGCAATTCCTGCGACACATCCGTAACCGGCGCAAACGCTCCCATGCCACCTGTGTTCGGTCCTTCGTCGTTATCGTAGGCCCGCTTATGATCCTGTGCCAAAGGTAGGATCTTCACAGTTTTTCCATCCGACAACGCGAGAACGGAAAGCTCGCGGCCAGACAGTCTGGTCTCGAGAACGACTTCGTCAGCAGCAGCGCCGAAATCGCCATTGACTAGCATGCCAGTGAAAGCCGTTTTCGCTTCTTGTTTCGTCTTAGGCACAATCGCGCCTTTGCCCGCTGCCAAGCCACTTGCCTTCACAACAACTGGCCAGTTCTTGTCAATGTACTCGAGTCCGGCTGCGTGGCCTTCGCTTGGAGGCGTGCTGGCACTAGGTCTGCGGAAAATCGCGTAGTCAGCCGTAGGGATGTCATGGCGTCTCATGAAATCCTTAGAAAACGCCTTCGATTCTTCCAAAATCACCGCATCCTTCGATGGACCAAACACCGCAACGCCGTCAGCGCGCAAGATATCTGCAATTCCATCGACTAAAGGCTGTTCTGGCCCAACAGCTACAAGTGAAACCTTCTTCTCCTTACAGAACTCGCGCAATTCTTCAAACTTATTCCCCGCATTCAATGCAACGTGTGCCGCATTCTTGATCTTCCTGCCACCACCACCATTGCCGGGAACCATGTAGACACGTCTGACCTGATGCGACTGAGCCAGTTTTACGGCCAAAGCATGTTCGCGTCCTCCACTGCCGATGACCACAACAGCTTCCAATTCCCCAGATCTGCCATAAGATCGCGCAGTGCTGCCTTCGTAGAAGTTCGCAAATGCTTGCAATGCACACAGAGTTCCACCCATCGTTGGGAAATCACCAGTGAAGACCCAATCACCGGTAAAATGCGGGATCGCACGCTTCATCCCCTCTACACTCTGATACAGGATTCGAACTGGGGTCTTCACCTTTTCTGCATCGACGACCAATTCCGAGATCTTCGCTGAAACTTCTTCCTCAGTGAAGGGCGCATAGATCGCCTTGACGTGGTTCGGCAGTGAGTCCTTCATCCAGTTCTGCGCTCTGGCATCTGGCGGAGACGAACGCAAGGTCTGGATACATTTTTCGTAGGTTTCATGTAACACGTGTTCCATGTTCCGCTCTTTCAACAATTCCACAGCGGCTCGAAAAGCCACCAAGTTGTCCAACCGGCTCAGATCAATGCCGTAGCAATCAGGGTAACGGATTTGCGGAGCACTAGAGAGGAAGAGGATCTGTTTCGGCTTCAAATTGTCAAATCGCGGGATCATACTCATCCTCAGAGTCGTTCCACGAACGATGCTGTCATCTAAAGCTACTAGAGTGGTGACGCCGGGAATCACGATTCCTGGAGTTAATTCATAGGCGTTGGAAGCTAGTTGATTTCTTCCTGCATCTTGCGAGATGAACGTTCGCAACTTCGCGTCTTTGAAAATGAGTTTCTCAATCGGGATCAACTTTTCCTTGTTGATTTCTGTGCTGAGTCCGTTTAAAGCGATTTCCGCAGTGTTCGGCACGAAAGTCAAAATCGAGTTTTTCCACTCCTCACCGAGAATCTCCAATACTGGCATCGCTAGTTGCCTCCCGAGTGCCAATCGTTCTCTGTAGATGTCTGGATCATTGGCGCGACTGAAGTAAATGCGTTCGAAGACGCACTTACTGGGGGTCTCGGCCTGTAAAATTTGTTGCTCAGTGTAATTCGCGTCTTCGCCACCGCGGATAATGAGTGCGGAACCGGGAGTCAACTCATGAATCTTGCTGTGGTCGGAAACCTGAATGGTCGTTGGTGAGCAAGATAGGCGAAGTTGAACGATTGGTGCTACTTTCATCATATTGATGTTTGATGCGTCGAAAAAAGTCGAAACAGGACGATTTCATCACAGCGTCATCCAAATAAATCAAATTCAACAGAAGCAGTACATTGAATGCGCTCGCAATTACTCCCCTTTCCGATGTGACAACCAAAAACTCATCGTCGCACCAGTGGAAACAAGGTCGGATGCCATGTCGGTCCCGGATTGCAAAGGCGTCTCCAGTTCCCAAAACCCCGACCATCGCGAACCCGCCATCCCAATCACACGCTGCTTCAGATAAGATTTTCTTCAAGTCTAGGTTTTCTTCCACTAATTCCTGGCATTTGCGTGGCAAGTGTCCCTGACTACTGAAGCTGACGTATTTGCGGTTGTTCTCTGCGTCCAAAGCTTGGCCGATGATTTCCAAACAAGTGACGGTATCAGATTTGGCTTTTGGGTGTTGTCCTGCTTCGACTAGACGGTCAAAGAGCCAATCGCTATTGGTCAGATTGAAGTTTCCAGCCAACAAAGCGCATTTGCTTCGCCAGTTTGATTCGCGCACAAACGGATGCAAATCGTCGATACTGTTGTTGCCAAACGTACCATAGCGCACATGTCCAAGATAAACTTCACCTTGAAAGGCCTTCTTGCCTCTTGCTGCTGGAACTTTGTTATCAAACAAGTCTTCGATCGCGTTTTTGGCGTTGCTCTTGCAGACATCGACGTAGCTTTCTCCCGGATGACAATCTGAGCGGACACAAGCGACACCAGCCCCATCTTGTCCTCGATTTCGTTGCTTTTCCAAACAGACACACATTAGCGGTAGGCTTTTGGCGTTCGTTTACCCCGTCCGTTATGCCTTTCCCCCGTTAGAAAGGCAAAACGAACGATAACAAGAACGCCTTTAACTTTTTACCCTTAAATACATTAAATCGACGCCAACCTTGTCAGTGCCGTACTTCTTCTGATAGTACTCTGGCGGCTTGAGAAGGCGGATCAACGCGATCCCACATTCGTGCTTTGGACGATCGTCGGTGACGAGATTCACTGCTCCTGCATGTACGCCTGCGCCGCCTGTTGTTGTGGAAATAAAACTACTTTCTGCCTCACTAGTACTCGCATCGACTGTCGATTTGCTTTGCTGACTGCTCACTATGGGCTTCATAGTGGGTTTTTCCGTCGTGGTCATGATTGCTTTTGCATCTGCTCCAGCTGCTCCTGTCTCGTCTATTAGCACTCCTTCATGCGACAACGCATTCCGAACCCCCGTGGCCACACCGATTTTGCAAAATGATTTCAGCACATCAATCAAAGCTTGACGCTCCAGAGCTTGGACGCTTTCACGAAGAGCTGTTACTTCAGTGATGTTGTCACTGCGCTTTAGGCTTAGCTCTTTCTGCAACAAAATCGGTCCCTTGTCGTACCCATCATTCGTCACAATGTGCACAGTGCAGCCGCTTTTTGCTGCTCCTGCTTTCAGAACCGCCTCATGTACGTGGTCTCCGTACATGCCTTGACCTCCAAATTCCGGCAAGAGGCTTGGATGGACGTTGATCACGCGATTTGCGTATTTGGTTGGCACTTCGTACTTGCACATGAAACCAGCAAGAACTACGACGTCCACGTCACCTAGTGCGGATGTGACAGCCTGTGACATTGCTGACCAGTCCACTTCTGAACCTGAACCCGTAGAAGTAGTCGCTGTGATGTCCTCTTTCTTCTTGAATTTCCGACTCTCAACTACCTGAACTGGAATGCCTGCTTTTTCTGCCCTAGTGATCCCATAAGCGTCCTTGCGGCTGCTGACTACGGTCTTCACGATGCAATTCGGTAAGCTTCCATCCGCGACGTGATCCAGGATGTTTTGCAAGGTGCTGCCTGAACCGCTTAGCAAGACTCCGAGTCGAAGAAGGACTGGAGGCTGAGTAGATGCTGAAGAAGTTGTTGAGGTAGAGGTTGTACTTGAACTTGAAGTAGACTTGACAGGAAGACTAGTTGTATCAGGCGGATGTTGAACCGTCATCGAATATAACCTCTGCATATTCGTTGTCGGCAGTCTCGCTCGTCCGGTGGCTTTCTTAATCGGAGACGCCTGCAGACCGCGTTTCGACCGTTTTGATGGTGATGGGAGATCGCTAGCAGACACGAGCTGCGACAACGATCGTTCACCAGACGAGCCCTTGTTGCTGCTGCTCTGGCCATCCTCGGAGACTGCACAAGAAGCATCCGCTAGTACCGAAGCAAAAGATGCAGCAGTGGATGAAGCGCACCAGTTGTAAGCATTCTGAAACAGCCTGATCCATGGTGTGAAGGACATCTCACCCACCTCGATCTCCGGCATGCCATCATACAGCGGGATTTGCCAGGTCAAGTAGCTCCTTTCCGGATGTGGCATGAAAGCGAGATGACGGCCATCCTTTGAACAGCAACCCGCAATACCGTCTGGACTACCGTTTGGATTCATCGGGTACTGGGTAGTGGGTTTGCCCGAATCGTCGACGTAGGAGAAAGCGGTTTCGCAACATGAACCTCCCAATGAACCTCCAAAGTCGAACCTGCCTTCTCCATGACTGACCCAGACGCCAAGCGTTGCACCTGCTAAACCTTTCAGCCACATGCTCGCAGATTCTTCGCATTTCACTGCGACAAACCTGCTCTCGAACCGGCCGCTAGCATTTTGTTTCAATCGCACGTCGTCTCCGAGCCATCCAAGCTGTGACATCAATTGACAGCCGTTGCAGATTCCTAGAGAGAAACTGTCTTCCCTGGCTCGGAAATCGTCGAACTGTTTCTTGAGTCCGACGTTGTACTTGATTTTAGCCGCCCAACCAGCTGCGGAACCCAGAGTGTCTGCGAACGAGAACCCTCCGACAAAGATCAGGCCACGAAATTGCTCTAGTTTCACAACTCCTTTCTCTAAATCCGTCATAGTGACATCCCATGGCTCGAATCCAGCAGCCTCCAGAGCCCAAGACATCTCACGTTCACCGTTGCTGCCTTCTTCTCGAAGGACGGCTAGCGGAATCTTATTGCTAAAAGTAGTAGTGGACGAAAAAGATGAGCTCGTACTGCCACCACTAAACCTTTCTTTCAAATCCTGTTCCATCTCCGCTTTCAATGCCGAACCCTCAGAGAAAAGTTGTTCACCGCTGGATTCGAATAATGCCGTTGGTCCTTCTCGTACTAGCAACCCCATGCGCTCTTGCGTCAAGCATTCCAACGCTACTTGTTGTTTCTCCAGCTCAAAGCTCGTCGCTTCCCACGTGTCTCGCAGCTGCTTCATCGATGTGGGTGCGAGTAGTTCTTCCCCCCTGTCGTTTGCCACTGCAACTACGTCATCGGAAAGGACTCGTCCAACGGTCACCGCACCCAAAGCTTCCGCAACAATCGCTGCATCAGCACCTTCTGCGACTTCGAGAATGAGACCTGGCGACTCTCGGAACAATTTCGGCAAAGCTACAGACGGTTTAGCAGAGCGAATACCCGGAGCGGAGATGTCAGCACCTAGATTTCCAGCAAAACACATCTCGAGTAACGCAACTACAAATCCGCCATCTGAGACGTCGTGAACAGCCAGAACACGATCAAAGATGTAGCTTTGCTGGAATTTCTTCCAGACGCGCTTGAGTTTGTCAAGATCAACGTCTGGCGCGCCTTTTGTTTGCAGGTTGCAAATCTGAGCCAAGGCTGTCCCAGCTAATTGTTCACTCGGAAGTTCACGACATGTTTCTTCAGAACCACTAGACGGAGAGAAATCCACAAAAAGAATCCGACTCCCAGCACGCTTGAACTCCGGTGTAATCCGACACCTGACATCTGGCACACGAGCATAGCAGGTCAAAACCACCTCGCCCGGGCATTTGACAACCCCATGCTCCTTAGTACGCGTAGCCATGGAGAGGGAATCTTTGCCGCCATCAATGGCAAAACCAAGAAATTCGATGCATTCACAGAGGCTCTGGCATACCTCATACATCTTGGCGCCTTCGCCCTCAAACTTAGCAGGCCACATCCAATTGCCAGAGGCACGGACGTCTTCGAGAGAACTGATTTGGACACCTGTCGTGGGAAGAACAGATTGACAAGGCAGGTTGGAATCGTAGTTAGAATCAGATGAAAATCAGGTTACACGAGAAGAATAATTGTCGTAAAAATCTACTCGGAGAGAATGAAATTGTCGTAAAAATGAAAGAACAAGATGATAAATAAGGCCGCGCCTTGCAGGAGCAGGAGTTCGAGTTGTACCAATCATATTCAGCACTGCTTCCGCGACCGTCAGTTTGGCCTGTCTCTGCAAGTCGACGATATCACCCGATAACCCCTTCAATGGCTGTTCTCCAATACTGACTGCAGCGCCATGATTCGAAAGTGGTGAATGTGCGACGACCGCGCAATCCGCAAGAGGCGTATGCAAGGGTCCGACGCATTGTTGCTGGACAACCAAGCCTGTGACACTGCGGTCGACTTTGTTCGTCAGGAAACGTTTGGAGCAAACAGAGACGAGACGGAGGATCTGTGGATGGAAATTGTGAAGAAAAGTGGTCCCTTGTGAATTTGAGTGAAAAAATTTAATCAAATGACTCAAATTCAAATTGATAGATAAAATTCCAAGCTAAGCACCGAATCTCAAACTCAAATTCCTTTCTCAACAACGTGCCACGTTGTTGAGAAAGTGAAGATCGTACCTGATCCAACGCCTTCGGAATGGTCAAATCCTCTGGCAGAGCCTGATGCTTGCTAAATCGTGGCGCCATTCGTTCTGTGTGAAACGTCTTCTGTGGCATTTTCCCCAACACCTTCTCCAATGGCAAGTCTACAATCTTCTCGCCCGCATACCCCACTTCAACCTGTCCATCCCCCGTCACTTCACCCACCACTGCGAATGGTAGTTTTTCGCGCTCACAGATCTTTTCGAACAAAGGCAAATGGCGAGCATCAAGTAAGAGGCAGTCGTTTTCTTGAAATTCCGCTACCCACAATTCCAAAGCTGTCATGCTCTTGTCCCCGCATAGCATTTTGCTCAGATCGATTTTTGCGCCAGCTGGATCGCAAATCTCCTTCAAGACATTCCCTGATCCCCCAGCACCTTGATCGTGGATCGACAAAATCGGATTCTTGTCACCCAGTTCCAAGCATGCTCGAATCACGCACTCACACTTTCTTTCCATCTCCGCGTCAGCGCGTTGCACGGCGTTGAAATCCAGTTCCACCTTGTTGTCACCAGCAACCATCGAGCTCGCCGCGCCACCGCCTACGCCGATGCGGTAAGCGGGTCCTCCGATTTTTACGATCAAGTTGCCCTTTTGCGGCGTTTTCTTCTCGACGTGGGAATGCAGCATGCGACCTAGACCACCACTAAACATGATGGGCTTGATCCATTCGACACGTTCTGGCTTCGTCGAGTCAACAGAGTCTCCTTCTGTAGAAGTACTTTCTTGAAGTTGAATTATCGTGCCAAAAGATCTCGTGAACCCTGCAACCAGAGGTTCTCCAAATTTGTTGCCGTAGTCACTGGCACCATTCGATGCGGAAATCAAGATGTCCAAAGGTTTCGCCATATTCGCTGGATAGCCAGCTTCTTCGAGGAGTGCTCCTTCGTGGGGTTGGACGTAGCCAGGAATCGACAAATTGCCGACGCAGTAGCCAGCGACACCTGCTTGGACGTAAGCGCCACGGCCAGTGCTGTGGTTGTCGCGCATGCGGCCGCCGGAACCGGTCTCTGCGCCAGGCAATGGGGCGATGCCACAAGGGAAGTTGTGCGTTTCTGCGGTTAAGGTGATGTCCAGATCTTGCTGTTCTCGCTTGTAGGGTCCGGGATAAGTTCCGCTGGCAGCTGGAAGTGGGATAGTGACTTCGCTGCCCCGCTGAGCAGAAGAATTGTCTTCGAAAGCGATCGTGGAACTGTTCTGCTCTGGTGGGAGAGCCTGTGATTCATACATTCATTCGCATCCTTAGTAGTGCTTCTAGTCGTAGTCTACCGGCAGGATGATACAGTGAGTTGCAGCAGTGTATCCTTTCGGATGAAAATTGAAAAAATTATTCGGGCCAGTAGTTCGTCGAACAACAACAACAACAACAAGAACAACAACAACATCTTCATAGAAGAAACATGATCACACTCGTCGGAGTGGTACAGTACAAGAAAGTACCTCCTTCAACTTGTACGCGTTCTTGACCATCTGAAATAGCGTCTTTTCCTGCTCCTCCCCATCGATGACCATCTTGCCGCCAAAAAACCAGTGTCTACTGTGTTCCGAGTTCCCCTGCGCTAAATCGAATAGTTCGACGTCTGTGGGATCCCGTTTCAGTTCCTCAGCGAAGAGCTTGTGGTAGTAAGCAATGTCGTCAGCGTCGAAACCGAGACCGTTTTGTTTGGAGAACTCCTCTAAAGCTGAGATACCAGCGGCTTCCGTTGAAGAGGAAGAAACTGGGATTCTCTTCACGGCTGAACAACTGCTGGAAGATGTTGGTGATGGAGTTGCACCACTGGTAGTGGAGGTACCGTGGTCGAATATTGTCCCAGCACCATCAGAAGATTCGAGACTGTAAACGCATTCTGTCATCCTGTCGTGGACAAGTGAAGCAAATGCTTCTGCCTTACTCGATGAAGAGCTAGTTGACGATGTTGAAGCGCTTTCCCCTCTTGTAGCTGAGGACACTAAAAAGCGTTTCGTCCTCTCGATCCTCTCCACCGACGACAAACCGCATGCTTGGGCTATTGACACACTGTGTGTGCTCTGCGCAGATGTGAACTGCTGTCGCGGTCCGACCTCGACGACGAATGTCGAAGAAGATGAGGACGATGATGGACTTGATGAAGATTCATCTAGACCGGATTCTCGACTTTTTGCTTCCAGAATGCTCTCCAGTCTTGAGTCTGTTTCGGACAGCCCCAAAACGTGGTAGCAAACTTCGGATTTGTGGATTTTGAATCCAGCTTCGGCTACTTTTTGCTTTTGCGCGAAGCTAAGCTCATGGCCACTAGGAGGACCAAAGAGCTTCACGCTCTGCTTGCATGATGAGGGCATGGTGGTCTTGTGGAAGTGGAATGCGTCTTTTCTTTTTGTCACAACCTACGATAAATAGACTAAGCTTTCACTTTCATCTGCATGTAGCTCCTAATTCTGCTTCACCTTTATCTTCTATAAGGGAGCTAGAGTTTTTTTCGCGAGGATTTCGTTTTCTTCTCGTTTGTTTCAGGCTAGTTTCCTCGTACAGCATTTTTGTGAGGGATTTTGTTCATGCATTTTCATTTTTGCACTTTTCTCTCATGCTCTCACCTGCCAGAGCGATGACGGTCTTTTTCTTGTTCCGTTTCGACTAGAAAGCCCTCTTTGCATTTGCTGGCGGTTTGTACTGGACGAAAGAGAACACCATCGGCTCTAGCATATCGCAATGTCTTTTTCCAAACAGGAGAAAGAAACTCGGTTTCTTTTTTCCATACATCGTGATCATGATACAGCATTTGCATTACGTTCTTCTTGTGGTTCCAATTGATGTAGTCGGTCTATTCAAATCATGACCACTTTCTCTGTTCAAATCACCTAGACGTTTTTCATCCATTTCCTATACGTGATTGCATTTTGTTAATTTCAAAGATGATGTAGAGGATGCCTTAGACAATTCGTGCAAACGACGAAGTAAGGACACCAAACTACGAGTATACTTCGTTGTTTTTCCCTAGCATAATCAAACAAAAATGTTGTCCAACAAGAACATAGTACTTCAATTTATTTCAGTAGCACTACGATTACAATCTTCTGACGGTAACTGTTAACAGCTGAAAATTCTAACATTGTGTCCATGTGTTTCTTCTTGAGTAAGCAATTCATGTACTGTAAAGGATCATACTTGAGGACGAAGCTACAGGAAGTTTCGGTAGTTCTGGGTCCGGGGACAACGAGGGGAAGGCGTAGGATTTATCTGCTACACAACATCAGGATTTTTGAGTGCACGCGGGCATTCTTCATGAAGAACATTATGTCAAGAACTGCCAGTACATCAACAGCAACTCTGCTGCATTATGAGCTTTACAACATGCAGGAGATGTACTGCAGATGTGAATGTGATGTTTCCATATGATTTGATTGATTGCTTGCAAATGTGATTGCTTTTGTTATACTAGTTCGTTATCGTTTCGATGATTGCATATAATCAGTTAAAAGATTTAGATCTATGTTTATAATGTTGAAAGATAATTGAATGAAAGAAGTTAGACTTTGACTTAGATAGAAAAAACTAGATGTAGAAGATATGTGGCCACGATAACCTACTTTGTTCGTTTTCGATATTTTTCATAATGAATTCTTGTTACTGTTCACGATAATTCTAGACTATGCTCTTGGGGGACGGAGGCTTACCTTTGGGCGATGGTGGCGCTGGGGCACTGCGATTCCTCGGTTGTCCCGGTTGTCGGATTCTCGCGGAGATGTTCCCATTGTTAGGGTTAAACGCGCTGATGTCTGCACTCACTGCTTGTCCGGTTACCTCGCCAACCAGTGGGACAGCAGAAAGAACGCCACCAGCACTTCGACCCCTAGATGGAGCCGCTGCTGGTGGAGCAGGGACCCGCGCACTCGGTGGCGGATGCGGAGCCTGGTAGTTGCTTGTATCGGCGCCTGTTCGCTTGCCTCTGGCAGTGGCCGGCTTTCCTGGTCTTCTTGGAGCAGCTGGCCCGTCGTCGTCGGCGAAGGCAGGCTTGCTCACCTGGGTGGATGCAATCAGGGTTGGCGTCGCATCCATAATGGCTAGCACAGGCTGAGCTGGCGGAGAGGACTCATCAATATTCGAGCCTCCTGGTGTGGAGGGTGGATCTTCGAGCCCAGTCGTTTGTGACTGTAGTGTTCCACCCCTAGTTTCGCTTCTGCTGCGATTGTTAGCATTGGGGTTTCCAGCCTCTGCTCTGGCGAATCGGGAACCTGTAACTGGTGGTTCTGGTGCCTCATCGGGTCCACTTCCACCAAAGCCACCGAACAGAGACCCAAAGAGACCCTGCTTGGCCCTCTCGGCTTCTTCACGTTCCTTTTGGCGCTTTTCCTCCGCCAATCTTGCTTCTTCAGCAGCTGCAGCCTCGACTTCATTCAATGTCTTCGACAAATCGATGCCTTCGCGCTGTGCCTTCTTTGCACCACCAGGTCGGTTCGGTCGTCCTGGTGCGGCACGGCCATTCGAAGAGCCGTTGCCACGGCCAGAGCCCTTACTGCTACCACTAGGCGTGCCCGGTTCTGGCTCAACTTGTTCGCCCTCGCCTCTCGGCTTTCTTTGTCTGCCACGTCCCTCACCATCTTTCAAATTCATTGCTTCCTCTAGACTCATGCCTGGCTCTAGAGTCTTGATACCACTACGCTCCAGCATGTCCTTAGTCCTAGGATCCTTGGCCAGAGCCTCACGTTTTCTCCTTTCCCTCTCACGCTGCTTGCGCTCCCTTTCTGCCTCATCGTCTTGCTTCAAGGCTGCTTTCAGCTTCTCTTCAGCCAACTTCTGCATCTGACTAGCTGAAACAACCGCTCCAACGTTCGCCATGGTGACTTCAGACTTCGGCATGACGATCTCCGGCTCCTTATCATCTTCGAGTTCTTCCTTCTCGTCTTTGTCGCCGTCTTCGGATTTCTCAGGTACCTCAAAGCCAAAGCTCTGCATCTTGCCAGCATACCATCGGTCCACGACATTTGCGTACTCGTTATCCGCGTAATAGAAGTCGACGAGACCGAAGGGTCTGACCGCCTTTTGCCATAGACCTAGGACAGAACCGACTAGACCAGTGTAACCAGCGAAGGCACCGAGGAGAGCCAGGAAATCAGCAAAGGACATTTTCGGGACTTCTTGGAACCTGACGAGTGAATTTTTTTTTGAGGTAGGTCGTTGGATCAACAAAATCAAATCCTCACATGTTTAGCTAGTAAGTAGTCAACTTTTCGGATGTTGTTCGTTGATCATCATGTAGAAGAATGAAGTACCTGATACTCGCCCCATCGATTTCAAAGATGAGACGAATACTAGCTCTGCTTTTCATCGTGTAATCGGCTTGTTGGAACCCTATGTCCAGATTCTTTATGCTCGTTGCCCATCGAGTCAAACTAATGCCTCCTGTCCACTTATTCACGAAGTAGATGGGGTTCACTTGCCACACGACTCGCATGATTACCTGTTGATGTAGGCAAGATTGGAAAACATCATGTGGAAAGAATTCAATTCATGAGCTTTTTTTTTTTTTTTGTATCGCGGGCGAGTTCCGATATATCAAAACCTACCTGCGTATTTTGCAAGGGGGCGTAGTCGACGAGAAAAGAATTCAAGAAACAGAAAGCATGTTGTTGAAGCATAATGATAACACGAAAAAGACGTGAAGAATGGAACCATGATTTTTAGCAAGCACTAGCAAAGTAGAGAAGCACAAATAAACGCAGAAACTACTAAGAAGCTTGCTGAGATTGAGAAGCACAAATAAACGCAGAAACTACTAAGAAGCTTGCTGAGATTGAGAAGCACAAATAAACGCAGAAACTACTAAGAAGCTTGCTGAGATTGAGAAGCACAAATAAACGCAGAAACTACTAAGAAGCTTGCTGAGATTGAGAAGCACAAATAAACGCAGAAACTGCTAAGAAGCTTGCTGAGATTGAGAAGCACAAATAAAAAACGCGGAAACTACTAAGAACAAGCTTCTTGCTGAGATTAGTACGATTGTCATCGGCTTGATAGCTATGTAGCCATCCTCAGCTGCGGACAATTGACGCAGACCACTCGATATATCCAAATCCAGGTTATCGATTTCCTCGATCAGGAGATCCCATTGAGAACTCCCCACTAAAGGCCAGTGCTTCGGTTTCACTTTCTCTACAACCGCTTCAGTCCTTTTATGGTTCACACGAATCGTAATCGAAGGAAGAAGCATCGGCGGATTCGCTGGAATGCCCTCTGCACAGCCTTTGACGACGTCAGTGCAGACCGCACGGCCACGAGCCATGGCTTCTGCTGCCCAGAGTCTGGGGGAACCGCCGGAATAGTCCTGCTGGCCGCCCATGTAGTCTTTTTCCACTTCTAAAAACTTGGAATCAATGGTCATATGGAACACCTGTTCCATATCGAGAATGTATTCTGGCCTATTCGCGTCATATTCCGTGTTCTCGCGGGCTTCTGCTACGAGCCAGTGACCGGTCAGAGCTCCCTCGATCTTGTACGACATCGTGTTGGCAGGGAGGAAATCTTTCATGCAAAACAATCGGTATTTGTCGACGGAGTCTGTCTGCATTTCCTCCAAGCTCAGGCAATGGGTCGCTCGAAAGGGTGCAACTGTGCAATTGGTCACTTTCAGATTGTCATCGGGATGAAAAGTCATTTTCCTCCAAAACTGGTTTGTGCTATCGACACCAGTGCCGAAGAAATTCGTTATTCTTTCCCCCTCCACCCTGTTGTTCGGACACAAATCAGCGATCTTGACCCTCTTCGGCATCACAAACATGGCTATATGAGCATCTAAGGAGGCAGGCGTTTTGAAGTTTTCGGATGGTGTGGGCAGGTGCCGGTTCTTCGGTAGATACTGCTGACTCGCATCCCTAAACAAGTTCAACATGCTGATGGTCTGGATCACGAAAGAAACGACTCTTTTGGCCGGAATCAATTGCGCCACACTTGCCGCGAACTGAGAAATCGCCTCATCGATGTCTGTTGCGACCACAGTTTGAAACACCTGATCAAAGAAACCCAGTTGTTCCAGTTGCGCCTGTGTCAACATGCCGTGAGCGCATTGGGGAATATCCGCAATCTTGGCATTCGGCGGCCACAAGCTTTCGTCTGACCAGTCCTGTGAACAGATAAACGTCATATTAGGACCTCCTGTGTAGTTACTTGTGTTCGCAGTTGTGTTTGATGTGGCATTTGACGCCGCGGAAAGGTATCTTGTATATGCCTCGCTTGAGGGCGAGCTCCCCACCCCACTGCCGTCGTCGTAGAACTTGTTGATATATTCGTCCACAGCACCACCGGGACCAGCAAGGTTGAAGAATGGATCTTCATCATCGACATATTGTCCTAGCATTCTTTGAACTTTGTCTTTCCCAAGGCGACGCAAGAGCCCATCGACGATGTCAGCCATTAAGCGCAGCTGCTCCTCTGTTTTCCTATAGTCGAGAACGTCTTTTGAGGTTGCATAGACTCGAGAAGCTTCTTGCTCGTGGTCTAGGTCGTCGCGGCGGTCCTCTAAGGACTCTGCTACTGGTTGTGCTGGCACTGCGTAGTTTCCAATATTGTATTTCTGCTCAACACTAGTTATGGAGGAAGACGCCGTATCGGAAGAAGCCATGCTAGATCGTCCCAACTGACGATTTCTTCCAGGACTAAGAGTGTTTTTGTCATCGTTTTCTGGCGCCGCATGCGGGTCCTGCATCATATGTGAGTAATGCCGGTTTAGCCACTCTTGCTCGATGGCAGCCCAATCTGTTTGCAATCCAGACGAGACTTTAGACTTGCTCCAGCCACGTGACTTTTGTGGCGTCATCGGCACAGCGGCTGCATTGACACTACCGTCACCGTCCAGGGTTGTGCTGCTAATGGTACTTCTCGTACCGCCTTCTGCGAAGACGTCGACGTTAGCTTTTTGACCTATACTTTGCTGTGTCTGGAGTGCTCTGGAGTTTCTAGCCTCGATATCCAGGTTCTCAAAACCCTCGTCGTTGTATCTTGTACGACCACCCTCTCCTTGAGCAATTTTCAGACTCAATTCTCCAGCCTGCACCGCTGCTTTCAACCGTCGTCTATGTTCGTTACCCTTCCCAGCCAAAGCTACACGCTGAGCGTATTCCTTCTTTGTCAACGGTCGCGTGTAATCTGGCACAGACTGAGCTAATCGTCTAATGTTGTCGTGGGTTACGCCGTTCGATTTCATCAGCATGTGCCAGTCTGGATCATTAAAGACATCCTGCATTAGCCTCTCAGCCATAGTCAAGGCATCAGGCACTCTGGCTCTGCCCTTCTGCGCACGACCAACCTGTGCAGTCTCCGGATGCATCCAGGGGTATTTTCCGACTAGGGCCTCGAAGATATCTTCCACGCTGCGAAGTTTTCGACGTGGCGAAGATGTTCCTGAGCTTTGTTCTTCCTCCTGAGAAGTATCACCCTCTCCAGCGGTATCGCCTACGTCGAGACGCCGAGTAGAAGTGTCACTTCTGCGAGAAGAGGAAACGTAGGTCGGCAACTCTGCAGATTTTCTTCTCTGTTCTTCATGATCGTCAGAATGAGCCAAAGCTGCATGTGAGAAATCTAAGCCTTTGCTTTCTGCTTCGAGCTTCTTGAGGTATCTTCGAGTTTCATCGAGCTCTTCTCGACTTGGCACGAATTCACCTTCTACTTGCACTTCTGATCTGTCTTGATCTCCCTCTGCACTACCACTAGGACTATCAGCTGCAGCAAGCTTCCTGCTTTTTCTACTCGCTACATCACTCTTGCAACACGGTGCAAACCCTACTTCGGCCTTACAGCACGTATTCCTCGCCTCCAAGGTTTCCGATTGTGCAGTAAGCCCAACGCAGCACTTTGCCGGTTCCAAATAGAATGGATCGTCGAAAGGCGTTGCATATTGAAACAGCATTGCGTAATGCGTTGCATTCGTGAATGTGTGTCGTTCCAGTCCATCAGGACAGCACGCTGTGCCTGTCATTTGCCAAGTCGTGTCCGCACACGTCGCCATCTCAGCCACTGTGTTCTTGAAACAACACTCGTCGAAACAGGTTGCAAAGGACGAGCCTTGACCTGCATACGTGGAACTTGCTCCAGTTGAGTTTGTAGCCAACTCAGGATCGAAAATGCCCATATCAAAACCGTGAATATCGCTCATTAGCGTTTGCAAGTCTAGTTTTTCTCGCGACGTCATGGTTTGGTTACTCGGCAATGGCTTGCCCCCTTTTTCACCGCGGACCATCTCTCTAACGGCCTTTTCAAGTGCCTTCAGGTCAGGCATCTTGGTTAAGGCGCCAGCAGGTGCCACAGATCGCAAAGTTATCGATATACTCGAAACTTCTTGCAGCTGCTCAGTGAGTCTGGCCTTGATCTGCTCCCCCGTTTTCGTTTGAACAACTGAATAAAGCGCTAGAGCCAAGTCCCGTGTGCTTTGAGCGACGTCAAATTCGACTAAAAGCTTCTGTGCTGGAGTGGCTGAGAGCTTCCTAGCCGCTGGTGCCATAGGCGAACCCGAACTCACCGCGGCAGCTTGACTAGTTCTGAAGCTCCCTTCCTGGTCGTTTAATCTGCTCTGAGCTAGGAGCTGTTCATTGCGTATTCGCTGGATGCGGTCTATCTCTGAAAACACAACTTCATCCGACTGCGCTTGTTCGTCTCCCAGCCCAGGTTCTTTATCCTTCTTTTCCATCAACTTTCTCCACTTCGCCTGCAACATCCTTCTTGAAGCTAAAGCGAAGCTACGAACCCGAACTTCATATCGTTTCACCTGATACGTTGCTGCTACCGCTAGTTGAAAGCCCTCAGTCAATTCTGCATTCGCTAAAAGATCAGAGCCAACAAGGGTTGTTCCCGCGCCGGTCAGAGGATCGATGTCGAGAATAAGCCGCACTCTGACTATCGGCAAAGTTTGGATTTCCTCGCCGCTCTTCAAGGAGACGGCGCCACCAGTGCAAAACGGTGGCGGATCTTGCGCTAGGCAAGCTGGGCTGACACCCTCCACTGCTTCATTTGGATCTAACTCAAAATTCGTTTCTAGTAGACTCTTGTCCACGTACTCTCCAGCTTGGCTCTTCGCGCGAACGTGAAACGCTTCCGTCGACGTTAGTGAGACACCTAGAGTCTCAACGGTCGTGCCGATGTCGCGGTCTTGGATTAGTGGGCAATCGAGTTCGATCACTTCCCACAGATACCTCATGTAGTTTGGTGCAGCCTTCAAAGTGCCATTGAACTCGGTTCCATAGGAGAAAGCGCGAGTTCTTTCACTAGTGGGCAAACCAGTCTTGAATTCGCAGTAAGCGTAGGTCTGTGGCGCGGCTTTGATCTCTCCACAGGTTGGCGGCATTTGGCCTGGCGTGCCTCCTGCGGAAACGTCCAATTCGGGCACGTTGACCAGTGCCTCATCGCCATCAGGACAGTTGATGTTCACTGTCACTGTGGAGGTGACGTCATCCAAGTAGGTTTTTACGAAAAGCTCAGGCACGCCACGGTCCCCCATGCAGTCCCAATCGGCTCGACCGCAGTTGCAGTCGCAAATACCATCCGCCCACTGCTTGGCGTCGCACCGCCAAGGGGTCACTTGGTCGACCAAGTTCAAGGTTCCACTCCTGGCATCGACGGTTGGAAACAGCCATTGATAGGCCCTTCTCATCGTCCGGACTTCCATTGTTGGCGGGTTTGCCGCGTCAGCGGATCCTCCTCGGACCATGATTTTCATCTCATCCTCGACTTTCGGGATCAAAGACGGATCCGAGAAACCCGCGTAGTTCACCACTAGCAAACCATCGTGAAGACCGTCACAGAAGATTGATGCACGCCCACTGGTGTAGACTGAACCATCGGAATCTATTCCGGGAGCCCCAGACTCCTTGCTATAATCGCACCAAGGCTTGTCCTTCTTCACAGCTGTAAACCCACTGAGAGCGTTGAAGTCCGTCTTTGGCGGCGCACTTTCCATGTAGGGCACAATCACTAAAGCGCCATCGTAGCTCAAAGCCATCGAAGTCGTGTTCACTAGAATGCTGGACAAACCAGTCTGCAGTTGTGAGGCGAACAGGGTCTGGAATTCGGTGGCATAGCTGGATGCATGAAAGGCTACAGACAATGCTTTGTTGCTCATGCTCATGGAGAAGAGCATACGAAACTTTGCTGCTGTGGTGTCGGTTGGCAGAGCCGGATCCTGTTGACCGTATGCAGAAAAGGTCAAGTCAGCATCTGTCACAGCATTTGCATGTCCTGCAGGCGTTCTAGTCTGGTTTACGTTCGTACTCGCATACACTAAAGCAGCTAAAGCTTGAGTTTTGAAGTTCGCCGAAGCGGCTAATGCTTCGGGAGTAGTGTAAGCTCCTCCAGAAGCTGCTGGATCGACCGTAGTGACCCGCAAAGTGTAGTCTACTGAAAAGTCGTACTGCGTGGCTTTTGCGGTGGTCATTTTGTACGTACCGTCATCATTGAGGACTGATGTGGTGACTACCTGCAACTGTCGCAATGTCATTGTCTTGGAATCTGGAGTCACTACGTCCTGATCCCATCGTACTGACGAGGTATCCTCAACGCCAAACTGATCTTCCAGCAGCCGCCTCCGAAGACGACTCGCAGCCGCCACTGCCTGCGTGTTGTCAAAGAGACTACCACACGAGATTATCCTAAATCCTTCATTTGCGTTGTTTTTTGGGTTGATCGACGCACTACCTGAACTGTCGTAGTTGGTGCTGGCGTAGACGCCAACGAGATTCGTCGCTGTTTGGACTTTCGTGTTGAACGCACTCAGCAAGGTCGCAAAGGGACCAGACGCGCTAGTGCTCATGTTTGCGTGATTAGTCGCAGCTGCTATCGCTTCGTCCATCTTTCTGTTCAACTCGTACCACTGTCTAGTGCGAAACGTCACCTGCAACACTAGTTCACGCGTCCCTGTGGTTGCCGTATAGCCACTAGGAGCCGCGGGATTCGGCGCAGCAATGTCCATCGCGCTTCCACCGGTCGTGTCTGTCAAGGCTTGCATGTCAGGCTTGATCTGCCCAGAATATGCCAACCCAAAAGCATCACCTATAGCTTCACGCAGAGCTTCCTTGACTCCATCATTGCTGAAACCTATGTCACTATTTGCTGCATCTTTACCACCTGTCGTTGCCGTCCAAGTGATATTTGACGCCAATGTTCCACTCTCGGTCCCAGGTGGTGTCTGCATGACGACGTAGAAGCTATACCGTCTGTGATCGACGTTGCAACTAGTTTTGAAGGCTGTGGTCGCATACAAATCCGTGAAGCAGTTGGTGGCTCCCGGGATCATGTGCAGGCTACTGTCGTCGAAGTAGAGACTTCTGGCTGCGGACGCTCCATTCGCGACTCCTTCACTGTTTGGCGCGAAATAGTTGTAGATACTCGCATCAGCATGCTTGTTGGCGGTGTAAGGTCGAGTAAGGATGCTTTTCACACCTGCTGGCTCTAGAGCGGCAGGATACTCGGAAATGTCTAAGCGTTGTCGTTTCGGATCTAACATAGAACATGTTGTTCTAGTCCCGTTCCCTGTGCTAGTCCCCATGGCTTGGAGAAAACGTCTATGGCCTTCTTCAGTGTGAAAACCGGAGTCCTCGCTTACTTCATTTTGATAGGAGTTCATATCACCATCCCAAGAAGATGAACCTGAATCGTCTGGCGCACTATCCCCATACCCGAGTCGTCTACGTTTTGCTGCTAGCTTGTACCCGGCGTCGGAGGATAGTAGTCGTCTTCTGGATGAGCCACTAGCTGCAGCCGCAGACGCAGTAGTTGTTGTCGTGACTGTACTACTGCCAGCTCGAATCTGCATTTCACTACTGTCTATCAAAATCCTGTACGGGCCGGCTACTGGAAATGGCTGATTATCGTCATCCAGCTGCAAAATCGTGTCTGTATAGTCACCATTGAGTGACGAGACCATGGTTCCTGAAGCAAAATGCTGATAGCGGAAGGCAGAACCAGTAGCCTTCAAGTGTAGAATTTGCGTTTTTGTCTTCGTATCAGGGGCCTCGGACACGATAGCAGTTGCTAATTCGTTAGTGCCCTGTCCGAGATTCAACTCTACGGTGAAATTGGCCTGATCTATTGTCTGCACTGGAAAACCAGCTTTCGGACCCAAAAGAACCTTAACTATCCTGTAGGCTCCTAGGATTTCCGATCTGGTCATGCTTGTGTTCAAGAAGCTATACGTTGACACTGTCAAGTCGTCATATGGCAGGGCGCCTACTTTTGCCGGAATATCACCCTCAGGACGATAGTTGCAGATGTACTCGTTGTTCTCGTTTTTGCTCGTTTTCCCACTATACAAGTCGTCATACGGACACGTCCAGCACGCTGCACCACCTTGAGACTCAAAATCCTCTTGATGGCCTAGATACCCGTTCAATAGCACTTCCCCAGGCATGCTCATAGACGCGCAAGGTTCACTGATCACGACTTCGCTGCCTGTACTATTGTAGATCGGCCTGGTGCATCGACCTAGAGCTGAGCAAATCTCAGTGGCTGCGCAGTATTTGACGGGCAGGGTTCCGGAAAGGCAATCTGGATCGGTCATACCGCAGTTGCAATCACAGTATTCACCGTCCATATAGCGGGAATCTGGACAGACCCACAAACCGCTAGTCGCAACAGCTGGGTACTCATCTGGCCTAGGCGTTTTGAAGTTCAACCGAGCAGCGCCGATTGCTGTGCCTCTGGTCACGCGCACTTCGGTAGAACTGACGCGTGAGGTCACTAGCATTCTTTCTACGCCCATATCTCCTGTTACCGTCACATAGAACGGAAACGGCGTAGTCCAAACCACCACTGGCGTTTTCAAGGTCAAAACCTTGTCGTACTTCCCCGGTGGTTCCGCTTTTACGAACGCTTGGTGAAAAAAGTCCCCTGATTTGCCGTCACAGATCACTGCCTCCGCTGAGTACTGAAAATTGTTCACAAAAGTTGCGAACAGCATCCAATCCGTCATCACCGAGGGGACCGCCAGACTAGAACCGCTGACGTCAAAGATGCCACTGGTCGCGTTATAGCCTGTATCGATCCCGAATTCCCTCATTCTTCGCTCAATGTTCACTTGATATTTCCCGTAGGCGACGGTTTGCATGAACCGTCTGGCAGCTGCCGCTGTCCACCCCGACCGCATGATCATGAGGTTGTCCTGACTACCTCTGCGACGCCACGTTCCGGACTCTACGTTGGTGTACAAACTTGGATGCCAACTCCAGTTGTCTGTGACCATCGTGTCCATCATGTTTTTCCTTTGGTATTCTCTATTGAATTTGAGCAAAAACGGCCTTAGTGCGTCGTACTGGTACCGAGAGACCAGACCTACTTGTACTTGACAACTCTTGATGTTCCGCATTTGCTTCGTATCGAATCTGACAAACGCAACTGCGTCGTGGTCAAAGAACTCATCTGCGTCGCCCATCAAGCCTAAATCCGAGTACGCGTAACGCAGAGACTCGTCAAAGTTGTGAGTTGAACTCGTCACTGACATCTCGCGCAGAAACCTCGTCATGTTTGGCATTGGGGACTCGATCTCAGACGCGCCATGGGGATAGGAGCCAAGCAATATCGGCACTTTTTCGTGAGCACCAAAGGCTACTGGGACGCCCTTTTGTGTACTGGTCATGCCAAAATGCATACCGTTTTTTTCCCTCCACTCGATCTTTGCGAGGGAACTATGGCCATCCTCTTCATAGAACTCCAATCGCTGCTTCCAGTCGAAAATTAGGACCTGTTAGCTTTTTTGAATGGTGTCAGATAAGGAAGAGGAAGTGAAGCTTGGCCTAATATCATCACATGTTGATGGAAGGGCCAGCACCTGTAGCCTAGTAGTACCTGGATCTCATCAAAACCAAAAATTTCAAAAAAGGAATCCGACTGTTTCGAGAAACTGAAATAAGCGAGTAACTACTTAAAATAGGGGAGATACTGAAAGAAGAGGAATGTAGTCAAAACTCTTTTACTTCAGTTAGTAACTCGCTTCTACTGCTCCGAGGAGAAAACTAATTGGTTGTACCGGCATATCCATGTATGGCGGTTTCGCTGGAGTTGGGAATTCAGCGAAGTATTCTGGGAAAAATGCACACCCCTCTAAATTCCAGTCATCTATTGTCCCATTCGGCATGATAGCCGCTTTGTACGCTTCATTAACGCCTGTGCCATCATAATTCGCCAGCGGTTCACAGATATAATCCACGCTGAGGGCGATGGCTCCCCATCCTACGAGGGAGGTCTGCATGGAGAAGAGATTGTTCACACTGTTGTACAACAGCGACGTAGCCAACAAGACGAAGACGAACGAGCAGATGGCACCACACCAAGTTGGCGGTAAGTCTCCGGGAGTCGTGTCACCAGCTCGGTCCATGCGACGGGCGAATTTGTCCGTGTATTTGATGTACCATGGTGGATCGTAGTATTCGATATCCGTCCTCTGGATCTCTTCGTCAAACGGCGCATACCTCCCAAACGAGATATTCCTATACCACCAAGCATACCAACCTGGCTTGGCGGGCCTTTGAGGATCCTGTGTTCCAAATGTCAAGTCGGCTGCACTTTGCATTCCGCCTCCACGCTTCAATCCTGGCTTTTTCTCATCCTCTTCACCAGAGGTGCCAACATTGGGAGCATCATCTGAACCTGCAGCATCACCGCCTTTGGTGAACCTTCTAGGGACTACTTTGCGCACTCTTGAAATAGCGTCCTTGACTCCACCATGCAATTGCACAGCACCACCATGCAATTTCTTAGCACCATCCTTCAATGTCATAGCACCACCGTGTAGAGTGTTTCCGACTTTGCTCATGGTTCGACCGAAGCGGGTGTTGCCATCAGTGAGTTTCATGTGGTTCCACATGGAATGTCCTCTCGGATGCGCGGGACTTCTATGATGGTGGTGTGGATGGTCGGGGTGCTCTCCGCTATGGCCATGGTCATGTCCTCCACGTCCACTAGCACCTCCTTGTTCCTGTTCATTTGTATTAGCAGCCTCATCTTCTTGCGCAGGCGGACTAGCATCTTGTTCTGGAGGTTCTGACATAACACTGTCAAATCGAGTCGGCTCCCTCTCAGGCGCATCTTCGCCTCGGGGCTCAGGGGAGCCTTCCTCAGACTCGGCTTCCGCCTCGCCTTCCCCGCCCGTTCTACCTTCAGTTTCACTGACCATGACGCACGCGGAAGAGAATTCAAATTGAAGATTGCACAAAAAACTAGGACTATCAAACGCGAGAAAAACGTTACTGTCTCTTACTCTTCAGAACGAATAAATTAGACTAAAAAAACAAAGAAAAAATCTTCACAAGAAACACAAAACTGCACTGCATACATGAGAGCTTGAGTCTCTTGCTAATTGAAATTGATATTTTCCAAAAATAGAATTTGTTGCACTTCTTTGAGAAGTCAAAAATGGTCAGAGTGAGTCCCCTTTCCCCACATCGTGGGGTCATCCAAAGTTAAAATCTGAAGATCATCAACGAATCTGCTCTAAACAAAACTACAATTTATTACAAATCAACATCGAATACAAGAAGAAGAAGAACAGTGACTGATTGAATTCTTCATGTTCATCTCCTCCATCAGCTTCATTCATAAAAAAAATTGGATGATTAAAAAATGGGATAGGGGCGTGCAACAGAACAATGATATCCTTAATCAAGGACCCCCTGTCCTATATTTTTTCACGAATAAGGCGTAGATACCATACAATACAATTAATCTCGCACAGTTTTCAGTGCAGACTGCCGCGCGGCGTCATAGCGTTTCGTCGCGAGGCAGATGATATAATAGTCTGTCGTCAGTTCAATGAAAGATCACAAGGATCATAACCACTCAACAATCAGGTGACGATTGTGCACACAGACAGATAAGGACTTTACAACTTGCTCTCAGACAGATGCGACAGCGACTCAACCTTGAATGCGGAACACACACACACACATATAATCTTCACTTTGACTTTTCAATTTCAGTTTCAAAGTCTTCGGCCAAGAAAGGGCCAGCGCACCAGCTGGGGTGGGCGCAGAGAAGGCTTACACTTCACGGACGACGCGCCGACCCGGGGACATGTAGATGACTCTCTCGATCAGATAAGAACGATCGCTCCATCAGATACTGCACCACAACCAGATAATCTCTCGTCAATCGTCATCGTGGACTACATATCATGTTCTTCTTGTTGAAATGAATCTCTTATCTTACATAAAAGCATTATCTTGATCATCAACTGAACACCATTAAGTCTCACTACGCTCAGACACAACAGATGTAAAGCAAGGGCACTCAACATAGACCAGACGAAGTGATGAAATACTTTTTAGCGGCTAGCTACACTAAACAACGATAGGCTACCCCACACCTACTAAGTCCCACTAGTCCAAGTCCATTCAATTCTCGGTTTTCTCCATTTGCTTGCTCAAGCTCGCAGCAGGTGAAGGAACACTTGCAATCATGATGAGTTCTCTTGACAGTATGGTCGCAGCTCGCGAAGCCTACGAGTCATCTTTATCTTGACTCGGCCTCTCTCTAGATGTGCGCGCCATGGTCGAGTAGTTAAAAGATTGATTCTCTTAAGAGGAGCGAACAGAAGTACAGAGGCAGATGATAGGCGTAAGAGTAGGCGCGTGGTTCGTTGCGTTTGCGAATGCGCATATGTTGAGTCTTCATCAATAGGCGTAGGCATAGTACAACTAGAGTAGATAGAAGATGAAGGCGAGATATTTCTTGAATGTCCATGGCGTTTTTTCTACACTTTGTCATATTTATTAGTTACTGCAAGAAATTTAGAAAATGAGAATCCAAAGCTTTCTTGCATTTCTATCTTAGCGATTCTCTTCCGAGGATTCCCATGAACTGCAGTCTGACAGGTTGCTTCCCTGTTTCCGAAATTTCGGTTCTCGCACACTAGTCAGCCAGAAACCGAAGCTCCAGGTTGCGACGTATTCGGTTAAACCGCCTTCGGGCTGTTCCACGTTCCAGTTGCGCTTACAGACGATAAAGGCGCTTTCGTGCAAAACGCGACTGACAAAAGTGTGAACCAGCTGCAAATTCGAGACGTTGCGAAGCTCTTTTTCTGGCATGGGCTCTTTGGGAGCAGGCTGGGATTAGAGAGGAGTGGTCGTTGCGGTTTTCAACATCAACGCAATTCTGCTGTTGTTAATTGCGAAAGGATATAATTTGAAGTAAGTAGAGAAGAGCCAGTACTACATGATTTACAACTTCTTCTACTACTGGTGGTCTTATTCCTCTTCATAAATCGGCGTCGTCGGACTTCTTGCTGCCGTCGCATTACAGCTCTTCAACAGCTCCAATTCCAGTTTTTGTTCTAGCCTAGACAAAAACTCATTCTTCGGCAGAATCGCGTTGTCACATTTGCAAAATTTAGCTGCGTGAAACACAGCTGAAATGCCGACGAAGAGCCCACGTAAGTCGGTTGGGAGCTTGTTTTCCTCTATGGACTTCGACACAGCGGTGGACCAAGCTGCGAGCATATCGCGAGTGACGTGAGAAGTAGACTTATCCCAAACTGGTTGGACGAGGGCTGAGTGAAGATTGCTTTGGTTGATTTTGACAAGTAGGAGTAAAAAAAATGAGTCAGTAACTACTTGTTATCCTTATGACCCTCACGTAAGAATTGTTGTTCAAGGTAGAAGGGTTGTGGTTGGAACCGCTTAAGTTTGAGATGAGTCACAAAGAGTTTTTACATGCAGAAATCCGAGTACCATTCAACCCTCCTTCTCCTCCGCTATAGCTGGTCCTATTCCCGAATGGAATCGATCCATACGACACCTCTGCTCTTCCCGCTTGCGGTTGACACGTCACTTGACACGATCCGCCGCCTGCTGATATTGTTCCTTGAAACAAACGTGCTCTGGTCATAGCCCTCAAAAACCTAGGCTCGTCCAACAATGTCTGCAACAAAGCCAAGATCAATCTTTCTCTGTCTTTCGGAGTCGTTGGTGTCTGGAAACCCGTTTTCTCCACGCTCAACAGCCACAAAGCATCCAGATCTTCCCGTTCTAGACCGAAATCGCGGAATTCATAAAGGTATTTCTCTCGCCAGAAACCTAAACGATTCCTCTCAGGACAATCCTGAAAGATCGCTTCGATACAGCTCTTCAACTCTAGAGCGGCAAAGCGCGTGTCTTTTGCTCCTACTGGAATATTGCTTAAATCCATGTCCAAATCACCATTCTGTAAGAGCCATTGGGTAGCAGAAAGCTCGTAAGCAGCTTCCGTTTTGGCGCCAGTCTTGGTTGAGAGGAAGTCGGAGAATTAGAAGCAGAGTAGAACTTCCAGACGATTTTTACTGGTACTACTGGTACATGAAGACGATAAAAATTAATAAGTAGAGCATGATGTAAAAATAGAAAATGTTGAAATCGCAATCGCAAAAAAATAGTTCTTGTGATCCAACATCATGGCCATAAAGAAAGTTCACCCTCCCGATCGTGTCTATTCTGTATTCCTCCCTCATGCATTTCAACACTGATTGCAACCATCTGTCGAAATCGTCTTTTTCTTCTGGATGCGCTAACAAATAGTCTCGGTTCTTTCCCGTGAGACCTACGTAAATGCGGTTTGACCTTGACGAGCTAGAACTGGAGGGACCGCCTGATGGGGGAATTGGTCCACCACCTCCGAAACTACCTCCTCCAGGTGGTGGCAACAAAGCCGCCAAATTTGCACCAGAACCAAACGATCGCTCGCCTAAACTATTCGTCTGATTGATCTTCGGAACCACGTTCTTGCCAGATATCGCAGACGCTTCGCTGTTGGATTCGCTTGGGGCGGCAGGGACGACAACGGTCGGGGGAAGCTTCTTCTTACCACCTTCCACACCCATGATCTTCGGCAGTCCGCCCAAAGCCATCTCTGATTCGGTCTTACTAGCCCCATCGGCCTCGGTTGAGGTTGAGCCACTATTTTCCTGTTCTTCTCTAGTTAGATCCTCAGGTGACGCAGCTGCACAGGCGCCTTCTACCTCCTTTCTAGGAAATTCATCTTCGCCGTCATCGGTCAAATCGATAACCTTTCGGCTAAGTTCGGCTGCCTTAGCTTGCAAAAGCGGCGAAGCTAGACCACCTGTGGATCTTTGTCGAATTTTTTGAAGAACTCAAATTGACGGGTACTTAGACATCATATCATAAAGTGGAAGTAGTTGTGGGGAGATGCACGAAAAGATCCAGAAGGCACAGACTCTATTTGTTAATCGTATAATACCAGGCAACATCGAACTCGGTGGTGGCGGTGCTAACTGCAATCCCTTAATATCTTCACCGCTACCCATTCCTCCCGGCCCACCACCTCCACCACCATAGTATGAGTTCCTTGCAGGTGGCGCTGGAGGTTCTAGCTTGAAGTTCTTCGCCAACAAGTCAGCAAACGCGCGTTTTCCCGCAGTTCCTGCTTTAAAAAAAGTCTGATTGAAGTCCTGCTTCGACGGATAACTCCACTTTGGTGACACGGACATCCTCACGTTCTGCTCATCGTCTCGCCAAAACACGTAGAAGCCAATCTCTCCAGTGCCAACGTCGAGAACGTAGACCTGGATGCGGTAGGTACGTTGATTTCAGATGCATGCTCGAGTAACATCAACAAGAACAAAAGGACACCACGACCAGCTAGCTACAAAACTCTTGTCTTCTACTAGAAAAAAGAAGTGCTAGTGTTCAGGAAACGGAATACTGGACGAGGTAAGAAGTGCTAGTGTTCAGGAAACGGAAAGTACCTTGTCCCTCGGGTCCCCTAACGTGACCTTTTTCGTTTCTGGCTTTTCCTCTACATCTAAATTCGACGTTGTCCAGTCGTATCTCGGATGCGCCGCACCAGGATCCAATGACGACACGGAATGTCTCGAGTTTTTCACTAGTTCAGCCTTCTTCTTGTTGTACTCCTCATCATCTTCAATGGAAGCTAGTTCCTTGATCGCCCTCTGCAGTTCGCAGCGACTGAGGAAGTGTTTTCGTTCTCGAGAAAGGACCCAGTAGAGCCAGGTTGAAGCCAGGGCCTTGCTGAAAGGAAGGATGGAGACTGCTTCCACTATGTCGTCTAAATCTCGTAATTCTTCCGGAAAGAGTGCGTCTGTGCCGCAGAGAATCAACCTCTCGTGTTGCAGACTGCGTATCTCGACGAAAGTCCTTAGCTCAGGAGCCGATGCTTCGTCATCTTCGTCATCCTCTTGATTCACGATGATGATGTCGTTCTGGTTAGACGCATGCCAAACACTACTTGATGCTCGCTGAGTCAACTTAGTCAGCTGTGTACCAGAATAGAGATTACCACCAGCTCTCTTGCCACCTCGTGGTCGTCGACTACGACTGTACTTGTTCATGCCGAAAATCGAACCACCTGATTTACGACTCAAAACAGGAGTCTGATGTTCTTTTCCTTTCACCGGAGAAGTCGATGAAGTAGCCGGTGCTACTTTTTCATGATCTCCTTTGCCTCTCGACGTGGATGATGTGATCAGTTTGCTCACCGCATATACACTACTCGAACTAGAGACAGCTGTTGCAGATGCTTGTTCAGTCGCTTGTCGATGTTCGTTCGCTTCTTCAGGACTCAAGATTCTGATTGCATCGCCTGGCGCAATCTCTAAGCCTCCCCAATGTAGAACCTGTGGTGAATTCCAAGTGTACCACTCGAGCTGTCGCATTCCTGCGCTCACATGTTCGATATCTGCATCAAAGTACTCTACTGCACTCTGAAACGACACCCCTTTGGAACTATCGTCCGCTCCTCCAGGAGCTCCACCACCTGCTTTGTTCTTGAAACAGGAGGCCAAAGCAGCACTACTATTTCCAAAAGCAGAGTTTTGTCCAAAACTGCCTCCACCTCCACTGCCAGACGAAATAAAAGATGAACCTGCGGTCTGTTCCACGTATTCTTTCCTCTTGACGAATTCGTGTCGCAATTTCAGCATCTGCACATCAAGGGGGCCTACGTCTTTGACCGCTTTCTTCCAGATTTTTTTGTCAAAGCCGTCAAAAGCGTTGCACATGCGTTGGACGTGGTCGATCATCCTCGTGAAAGAGTCCCAATCAAATTCATGCAGTTGTCGGTGCACGCGAACAACCTCACGGATGCGGTAATACTGACCCCAAATCAGGAGCACCACGGAGACGAGAAAGACGGCGATCACTACGGAGACGAAGCAGAGGAGGAGTTAGAACAAGAGGTGGATCTGGACTGACCCATCATCAGATGCGATACTTCTCCTCTCCTTTTCCATAACAGTCTATCACACTCGCACCACAAAAGCCTTCTCTGCACATCTCCGGAGGTAGCTGGAGTTCCTCGTGCGTGAAACTGTTTCCGTAGTACTTCGGGAAACTGCCAATGCAAGTCTGAAAAACCAGCAGATTTTCAAAGCCTACAACTGCGACAATAGCAACCATCACGCGTTCGGGAGATTAGAGGACGATAAGGAGATGTTGAGAGGTGGAACATGAATGAGGTAGCGTTATCAAATAAAGTTTGTTCTGTAGCCATACTACTGATCATGCAGCGTCGGATACGGCAACGACTCGATCACACTGGGTCTTTCAATCGTGAAAGCCACTAGGGTCAAGATCACGGTCAACGTGATGCTCAGTCGATTCGGCAATGTGTCGCTTCCGGATTCGTAGTTAAACGGCACATATAGGGAAAACGCCGCACTTACAACCTGTAATCCCTGAATCAGGAAGTCGAACCAGTATCGACCCCACTTGCGGGTGAGTAAAATGTCAAACTGGTAAGCAATATCTTCGCAGTCGGTTCCTCCGAAACCGGTCACACGCATTTCGCCTAAAGTCATCGCATTCGATGGCCAACTGTGGGAACTCACTTTGCGACTGTACCTGCTGAAAAATTGCAGAAAAGCTGCAAGCTGTGCGCAGTTGGTTGTGATCGAAAAAAGAGCCAACTGGTGAGTGAAACAAGCAATAAGTCACGATAGCAAGATATTCAACACTTTGTTACCTGGCCGCCATCCCCGCTCCGTTCCCGCCCATCGTGCGGAATGCGCGCCTCAGCAATGGATCGATCAACTTTACACGCCTTCTGCGTCCCATACTCGTCGTGCCCTTCAAGAAATCACTAACCAGTCGAATCCTCAACTTGATTACGTCAAGCGGAAACCAGCATGCGTTCATATCCATGCAGACTAATGTCCCCTTGAACCTCAGCATTTTGCTCAACCACGGCAACTCCAATTTCGTTTTTCCGTCTGCGTCGCAGTGCGTACTGGAAATCAAGCGTTTGATCTTCGGAAAGCGGTCCGATTCGGCAGACACTAGTTCAACTGAGACGCTGTTGTCTACTCGAACGTTGGGATTGAAGAAGTCAGGGTCGTTTACGACGGATTCTAGCAGATGAAACCGTCCGTTTCTTGCGTCGTATCCGAAATGCTCGTTCTCGACTAGTTGAGGATCTAGCCAATCGAGGATTACGACGAAGTCGAGATCGAATGTGGAGAGAGCGAGGTTCAGACCGCTGCAATGGGAATTAGAGGAGGTGGAAAGAGGGTTAGGGTTACATTTTTACAGCTTGTGACTGAGTGCTTGCCAAAAATATCAATGAGTATTAAGAATATAGCGGCGTCATAACTAAAACATGCACCGTTGCTTCGACTTCAGGCCAATCGTCGGTGTAGTCGAAATGTTGATGATGCATCTGCAAGTAGCCTGTCTGTGCACCAGCCGCTGCGCCTTGGCCCAAATTCGGAACGAGTTGTTGTTGCATCGCATTTGAGGATGGATTAGACGATACTGGACCACCAGCGTCGACGGACATGTTCGCATTTATTTCCTCTTGTCCTTCCTGGCCAAGGCCACCCCCTCCACCAGCTCCTGCATTCGCAAACTCAAATCCGCCTGTTGTAGGAGGCGCTGGAGGAAACAATTGCGAATGTTCTACGTCGCCTCGGAAGTGACCTGTGTTCGTGGAGGCATGAGGATCGTCACCACTCGCATCTGTTTTGCCCTTTTTCCTCGCATTTGCAACCCGGTGCACGTGCACCACAGGATTCAACCGTGGCAATGGCATGCTGGTGCTGATACTCGTAGGCTTAGTTGTGCTATTTGTAGCTGCAGAGTCGGGGACGATTCGCGATTGACTGTCCTTGGCAGAGATTGCGGAAGGGACTGAGTTTGCCCCGGCGACTGGAATGCGAGATACCGTGGATTGAACCAGGCTCGCTTTCTTCTTAAACTTAATCATGCCATACTAACATGGGCATGGGGCGGATGCGGTGGTGATGTTTTGAGATATGATCAACTTACTAGAAACAAGAGAAGTAATTCCTTTTCCTTCGGAAGTTACTTTACTTGTTTTTAGAAGTTTGAGTCGTGTATGAGGCGCAAGCGATTTGCTTGTCGAGACTGGGCGGGCTGTTATATTTTCATTGAGAAGCTGTCACTTTTCGCGAGATAGAGGAGCTGTCATTTTCTGCCAATTTGATTTCCTAAAAACCGAAAAACCGATGACACTTTTCACAGGTCGAACACCTCCAACAAGACCTGGCAAACTCGAACTTAATCGAGTCAACATCCAAACGGGTCTGCTCTTCAATCATGATCGGATTGGAGGACCTGATGAAGAACGAGAAAGTGCACAAAGATTTGAAAGAAGCTACGCTTACAATAGGAACGTCAAGCAAATGGGACAAACACATGACTTCCTGCAGGCTTAAAAAGAGGTTAGGACTATATGCTGATTATCTTCAAGGCTATCTTCAAGGGGAGTTTTTTTAAGGTAAAGTTCTAGTCTCCTTCCTGCTGATGGAGACGGAAAGCGCTTCCATCTTACCCCCACCTTGCTGAGTTTGAAGTGGTGTTTTCTGGGAATAAAGCTCGTCTGATTAGATTGTAGCATGCTCTGATACCAACCGATGTTGCAGTACTAGTACGAAAACTACAGCGAAACTAGTATCCTCGCCGTACAATTTTTGTGATTGAAGATCTTGATCTCACTCTCCTCTGCATCATCTACTAAAGTTTTTTCCAACTTCCAACTACAATTACATGTAGTAGTCACACTACAACTACAAATGAAAACTATAATCGAGGTTGCACAACAAGGGTACCTTTTAGATGAATACACAACCTCCACCGGCGCGTGCTTCAGCTAAGTACTTTCTTCTACAAGTGTAATAGTAGTACATCGTCAACTTTCCCGTGTTAATACTTAGATGTGTTGGTGGGCCAAGAAACAGCACAAGCAATCTACGGTTGGGATCCTGGTCGTGCCATTATTTCATCTAGTACATCATCACCTTCACCATCATCTATGTATCATGATTCTTGCATAGTGCAAGCAATGGTACATTTTGACTGAGGTCAATTTATCTTTTAGATTAGATGAATTAGGAATGATTGATTGAAGATGAACAAGATGTTAAAAATGTGTGTGTGCGAAAAGAAAACTAGTTTCTACAGAGAGAAATTATATGCACACTGTACGTGCGGGCAGTCGTGGTAGATGTAGAAGGATCTCCTCGCAGTGAACGTTCGTCATGTTCAACATGTTCCTTATCCTGCTCTTGGACTCTATCTTCTTGGCGGTGCTTCTACGTAACAGGGTGTTCTTCTAGAAATAACCCGCAAACTTCGGCAGCAGGTGTCTACCACCTGTTTCTCTTTTCATCACACTTATCATTTCACACGACAAATTCACCTGATTTCTTGAATAAACTACAGGAATAAAATTAAAAATGGGTAACATTTTTGAAAGAAGTGCACATGTCATGTGTGTGCCCCTGTTATGGCAATTCGCGACCACCGTAGATTTTTTTTTTTAGTTAGGACTATATGCCACCGCCCTTTCAAACAATGGCAGCAAACTACAAGGTCAACCCCCACACTAGCCCTGCTGGGAAATGCAACTCTCTCCTGATCGATGTATAATTGAAACATCAGAAGATCATCCTGCTGCATTGCAATTCATACTTCTAAGTAATCACTATCTCGCGAGCAGCGTGCTGTATTTCCGGACGACAGTTGATACTTTTCGTTTGGTTTTTCTATAGGACATCAAGAAGAAGAACTTACATATAATATTCAATTTCTAGATCATTGTTAACTATCGTTGGTACTTACTCATCAACGAACCTTAAAAAACATGATTGTTCAGATGGAGGCACAAAGAATAATGTAGTTAATGATGCTTTTGTTCTTGAGTTTTACTATTCACGCAATTGCAGCAGCCCTTTTTAGATTTAGCGAATGATCATCTGGATAATCTTAACGGGTGGATTTACCACTTAGAAGTTACTAAGGTCATGTGCAACAAGATTAGGGATTTTCTTCTTCAACACAATCTTCAATGAATACTTATAGTTGAAAATCATCTCAAAGTAAAGTTTCAAGTGCGGTCGGCGTCGGCCTCGGCTTAAAAGCGATATAATCTTCCTATAATCATTAAGAGTAAAAGTTTTCCAATTCATGCATTAATTTCGAATTCGGTTTCATCTAGTTTTAGTTTTTGTAATTCTCCTTTCTACAACTTAATTGTTTTACCTGTGGTCTTGTCCTGCGTGGATTAGATTCCCTGTTCATCATCAATGGGATTCTCCGAGGGCGGGCGGTGGCGGGGTCACGACAGTGGTGCTTTCTCCTCCTGAGGACAGATAAATTGGCGGCGGTGGTGGTGCTAATTCCTTCGCAGAACCCCCCAGACCACGCTCTAGCAGCGAATTACGGTTTCCCAGCCCAAGGCGTGGTGACTGCGATCGCGGTGGTGGGCTGTAGTTGCTAGACAGCTGCTGAGGAGACGTCAGGTTCGCTCTCGTCGTCCTATTAGAGGTGCTTAGGCCAGCATTCCCTTGCTCCGTACTAGAAGGCGCGCCACCAGCATTGCTACTACCTCCTCCTGCAGCCCCAGTTGTGTTTGTTCCATCAACTGTGTTTTTACTACTAGAAAATGCCGAGTACACACCTCCGACACCAGGAGGAGCTCCTCCCGGAGTGTTGTTGCTGTAGGTTTAGAGTCTGCTAGATTGCATCTCAGCCCCCTTATCTTGTGACCCCTTTTAATACCTTGTATTTCACGGAAATACAAGGGAAAAGGGGACCAAGATGCCGAGAATGATGAAAAAAAAAATGACCATAATAGGTTACCGAGGACGAGGATCGAGATCGAGCTACCGCATTTTGGTAGTTGTAAGTTTGCTTTGTCGCACTAGGACTAGTGAAAGATGATCCTGTTATTCCTGACGTTCTGGCACGCATCATTGTTCCCGAAGATGGCGATCCTGAGACATAAGAACTATTGTAGTCCTTGTCATCTTGAAACAATGCTGACCAACGACTACTGATGATCACTCCACCACCTGGAGGACCACTAGCATTACCAGAGGTAGTAGTTGTACCACCTGTCGAAGAAGCTCTACTGGCTCGAAGACGTTTTCGGATTTCTTCGCGGACGCGGAGGACACCACCTACAGCCCAGACCCGCTCTAGGTCTCCGTACTTCTGAGCCAAACAAGCTTCGGTCCCGCGTGGTGGTAAGGCGTCGTTCAAGCTGAGAGGATACGTCGTCGAAGAAGAGCTGCTAGGATAGATGAAGCCTGGAGCAGGAGGTACTACTCCTGTACCACTTTGGTAAGGAGATGGGAGATAAGCATAAGGAGCGCCACCCGTACTAGAGTTGTAGCTTCTCAACGCGTCTTCATACTGCTGGTCGTAGTAGCTGCCGTAATTCATCTCGTAACCTCCACCAGCACCAGTAGTTGCACTATAGGGTACTACAGGTACTTCGAATTCCAGTCCTGGAGGAGCAACGGAGTGGCTACTTTGTTCGTTGATCATATTAGAGCTACCGCGCTCGCATCCCCGAGAACCTCCCTGGTCCCTTTTTCTCCTTGAAAAATCGGCCAAGGATGATGTTGAGGATGGTCCAGCGGTAGCCTTAATCATAACGTTACTCGGTACGAACGGCTCAGCGACAGCACGAAGATTGCCTTGCGGAATTGTCAGGTTTGGCCAAACTTGCTCTTGATTCCACAACTCCTCCATCACAGGTGGTAGAGGTGGAGGCAAAGACGAGGACCCTGGCGGAGGTGGTGGCATGGTGAGAGACGGTAGTGTGATAGCACCTGCATTCCCACTATTCATTCCGCTTGTTCCATCTACAACTTGTTGAAGATCATGGGATGTTTTGGCATTGTTGTTTTTAGTGTCTTGTTCCACACTAGAACCAGAATTAGTTTCTGGAATACCCATCAAGCTGTTTGCGGTGACATGCCCCACCGCTTCCATTGGTCGACTCTCTTCTACGCGCATCACTGCACCTGCTGGCTTGTTGAGAGCGACGTCATAGCACAAGCCACCTCCAGGCTCATACACGATGTTGCAGACCACGCCCTGAAGACCCGCGTAGGGCTCGATCACATCTTGGAGCTCCACAATTTGGCCAATTAGGAACTCGTTTCTTAAAGGTTTCGCGGTCATCCATTCTGGCGGACGCAAAAGTAGCTCCTCTAACTCACGGATGTGGTCGAAGGTTGTGCTGATGTCGTTTCCAGCGCCAGCAGCGACTTGCTGTTGCGCTTCGTCGATATGATGCTTCAAGGAGGCGGCGAGTTCTGTTGGAGTTTCGGTTGGAAGAAATTATTCAGCATTGCAATAGCATACTGTCGTGAGCTACTCTCCTGATAGCGCGTTACGGTTATCTTCTTCTTCATCATGTTGAGTGCAGGAAACTAAAGTCAGTGGCATGTTGTCAGAATCTATTAGACTCAAACAAAACAGAAACTCATTTAGTACCTGCATCGCTGCCAGCTCGTTGGTAACTTGGCTTCGGCGAGCGCTCTGCAGTTTTTTGTTGCCTGATGAAGTAGAGTGATCATGAGGATGGATGTCAAGAACATGTCATAAACGAGCAAAGATCAAATACGAGAGAATGTCAATAATACAAAAACTCGCTACAGTAACTCGTTCTGAAAGAAGTAGAACAGGAATAAAGTACAACTACAACTGCGGAAAAATAGTGCTAGTATAAGAAAGACTTGTTGTCAACAATTTTCTTCTTTTTTTTGCATCCCTAGTAGTTCTCGTAGTCTACCTGCAGATTAATATTACCCTTTATTGTCCTCAGCTTCCTCTGCCTCTTCATCCTCCTCCTGACCAGCCGCTTCGTATGCTTCTTCCAAAATATTCCTTGTTGCTTCACGCAGAAGCCCTGGTGGCGCTGTTTTTTCGAGTCGCACGCTTGCTCCGGTCTCAGCAACCAGCATAGCTGGCGAAGAGAAGACACTACTGGACTGTTGTAGTTTCCCGTGTCCATCACGCTCACCACGAGCCTTCGACAAGAACAAAGCTTTTGGTGCGCTTATTGTACCATTTCCGCTGAGGTGGGGGACGTTCGAACCAGTACTGGAACTCCACGACGTGGAAAAAGACACTGCGCGATTCAACAATCTTCGTCTCCTTTCTTCTGCGCACTTCCGCATGAAGACATCAGCCGACATGTTCAGGTTTGATGCAGGATTGGTGCCGTTCTTCCCAGGGCCTTTGGAAGAAGATGTGCTGCCCCTCGAGTTCTGGTGTTGTAAAATAGGTGACGCATTGATCGGTGGTGGCGACAAAGATGAGGTACTTGAACTACCCGGCGCCCACTGTGAAAAAAACTCACCACTTCCTTGTTTGTTCACACCTACCGGAGTAGGTGCAGTTCTGGATCGCGGTGGCGCTGATGCAGAGACTGGAAAGTAGTTGTCTGTAGCGGAAACGTCACCGGAAGTTTTCATTCCGCTCATGCCCAGCGTTACTGCAGTTACTTCACTGATGTGCAGGAAAGTGTTCTTCACACTAACGGCAAAACTGTGGTCGAACATATCCCCACCTCCGCCAAGGAGTGGACCACGTCCCCCACGTCGTCTGTTTGAGCCCGCCATGGCCGGTGTACTCGGCAACGAAGCACCTAGAATCTGCTCAGCCACTGGGTTGCCATCAGCTGCTGCAGCATCTTTCTGTTTGCTAGTCGCCAACTCCATACGCCGCAATTCCACAGTGGGTGACGTATGCACAGTAAGAGCAGGCAGTTCTTCGGCGCTGACCGATCTAGACGAATTTGTTCCAGACGTAGTTCCAGATGCCGACGTTGTCTGTTGATGGTGGAGATGATGGGGATAAGTAGATTCTTGTTGCGTTTTTTAAAGTGATAAAACCTCAAATTTTTCGTAGGACGAGTTCTCAATTCAGTACCTGTACTAACGCCGCCTTTTCCGCCTCCGCGCAATTCGTTCTCAGAACGTGAATCGCCCTCGTGTCTCCAACACCATAGGTAGAGGCCTGAAGCGAGTCGGGGAATCGTGAAGAAACAAACTTTTTCGCTTCTCGTCTTTCCTCAGGGGAAAGCGTGGCTGGAAGACTGAGGATTGCGCCCAAGCGGGGGTTCCCCGCGAACACAACGATCTGCTCGAGTAAAGCGTCCATCTCGCAGCAGAAAATTTCTTACTTGGTGTGGTTCTCTAACATCAAAGACCTCCACTTCGTTCTTGTTGCATTTCGCTTTCTTGGAGGTCCTTCTAAGAACTTTCTATGACAGTAGATAACGTGGAAATGTAAAATTATGAAGGTGGATAAACAATCAATCACAATGATATCAATGTAAAAGGAAGTACAGTTAAGGATAAGTCACGGTCTGGCCTTGTTGGCGGGTGGCCATGGCCTGAAGTAGATGGATCTTAAATTTCACTACTAGAAAAGAGAGAAAGATACTACTTGTTGATCGATAATGATTGATTGAATAATGAAGAACAAGAAGTAGGACTAAAAAAAGTACAGAAGACATAGCATTTTAAAAGAGTTTCTTGGAGGATTAACTAGCATAACATTACTTCTAGCTGCAGACATTTATACAGGACTGACGAGTTCTTACTTTATATTGGGAAAAATGTTGCATTTTTTCATGCATTTAGAGTGATCATAAGAATTTGAGTGGTAAAATTAGACAAACATGCAGTGTCCGAAACAATTACGGATTGAAAGGCCGACACAATTACGGATTGAAAGGCATTATCCTATCATTTCATGATGTTAGAACAGGTTGCGCAATGTTGTCGTCGTCGTGCACATGCACATGCAAGTAGATTTTGGCGGCAAGGTATACAATTCAATGGCATATTTGGGGTCATATTTTTACTTCGGACATATACGGTATTGGTATCGATGATCCAGCTAGGTACTTCTATAAGTGGACTGCAAGTGCAAAGAAGATACTGAAAAAATCCTCTTTAATGCTACTATTTCAATTGCTGATGTAATCTGGAAAAACAAATAAGCACTTGCCCCTTTTTGCTCTAGCCTGGAGGTTTGATGTTTATGATTATGTTTTTAGTATTACTACACAACTGTTGCAAATAAGACACTTAGATTGCAGATGGACTGTGATATTTTGCAGTCTCCTTAACTTCTCTACTCAACTCCGGATTCAACGAATTGGTTGAATCAACGTACTTAGCTTCATCAAAGACGTTTGTTTCATCACTCCTAGAAAATATTCGTATATAAGGATGGGGATATTTTTGGGTTTCGGATCATACATTACAAATTCTTCTTACAACTTTTGTTTCGATGTTAAAACTGCTCGGTAAATATTCTGAAAACTCCTAACAATGCTAATGTCTTCTCTAAACTAAAAAAGCCAACCACACACCAAAGTCGCCTCGTCAGTCTAGGGATAAACGTAACCTTCTCAGTAAAGGAATGAATAGAGATCGGTTGGAGAGAGGCTGACTACAAAACCTGGTGGTGTTCAGAGAAAGTGAGAAGGCCAATTCTGAGGCAAATGAATTGTGACTGAGGTGGGTTGGTGACATGGATTTCGCTCACTCGTCTCAGACTCACTTTCACTCTTTAACTTTATCTACTTCTCGAATGAGGTTCTTGTTCAGAAGCATTGTCGCTCGTGTTGACGCTCAAGCTCGCAAGAACAGAGGTTATTAACTCGTCTCTCACATCAACTCTTAGAAAAATCGGGAAGAACAAAACTGGATATTTGACGCTCTACACTCACTCTTCTCGACTCTCAAGAACGGAACAGAGTAGGTTAGCAGATTTGCTTCTGAAATTTCAGACATTATCGTCGGCAGTTGCTGATCGGGAATTCAGAAATCCTAATCGCTAAAAATCGGATCAACGAAGCAGCTCCTCTCATGATTTAGATTTCGGCGAGGTCCGCCTCAGCCCTACGCATTGAGCACCGGATCGGCAAGAAGTTGTAATTTTTTGACCGTATTTTTTTTTGCTTTTCAAGGTTTTCGGCCAGAGGGCCAGCGCACCAGCTAGGGTGGACAACTCCGGAGGACAGAAACAGATTTCCATTTCCTACTGAGTGTCTAACTCTGAGGAACAGGGACCACTTCTTTCGTTCGGAGGGGGGCTCAGACCAGCAATGGCAGATCCTGCGTTGCGAACACGATCATCGCTAATGACCCTCCTCTTCATGCTGACGTAGACGGAGCGTCGTAAGATTTCATCGCATGCATTTTCAATCATAGTTTCAAGAAAAATATCCACGTCGTCGTTGTTATCGATGTTGTCGTTATTCGTTGACTCACTCATTCATCGTTCAAATCGAAAACCAACCTGTCTATCTCTATGCATGAGAATTCCTTCGTCAGCATCATTCTCGTTCTTAGCTTGCGTATCCTCGTGCCCTTTTTTTAGTCTACCTAGTTTTACTGTCATTGGCATTATCTGCGACTGCCTGCTGCATGCCAACATAGTTCTTAGTTCTCATCGTGCCATTGAAAAAAAAAAACATAAATTGATACATCGTCTCAACATTAGCAATTCTCCTGTTGCACGTTAACGTTTACTCGATTTAATATTTATAACCCATTCATAACTACAATGACTTCATCAATGTACTCCCTCGATGGAGCTGCGTACCCATTCTAAATGTTTAAGTATGTAGTTGTTGGTTTTTAAGTATACTGATTTTCGTCATCGTGAATATCCATATGTTTCGCCTTCATGTTGCTGATTGACGTTATTCTGAATGCTGATGACTGTTTATGTTTTATTCACATGTTCTTTATGTTTTATTTACATGTTTATGTTTTATTCACAATCACATCACTCGTATTTCTATCCATCAGTAAGTTATGATGTATTACCCATAACTACATCAAATCAATTAGGAGATCGTCGATCTTTGTCGTGTATGTTTTTCTCTTGTTTCCATTTTAACATCGTTCGAATCTGTCTAAGTACCATTTTTACCTTGCTTCACATTCGGGGTGGTTCACCTGCTTCAGAAAAAAAAGAAAAAACTACGAAGGAAACGCTCATCATCCGCTTAAACGCTTCTACCTACACCTAGTAGTGTGCAGCTAGCTCATCTACCCAATGCATTCCATCCAACAATGATGATGAATGGAATTATAGACGGTCTTCACTAACAATTTACTTGCTGCACTCCTGCTCTGCCTTGTTCCCCTTGACCCTTTCCTCCGGGAAGTACGTTTTCATCACGCCTTCCAAGATCCTGCGACGTAACTGCAGTTCTTCAACCGAAAAGAGGTCACTAGACGAAGAAGTAGAAGCGCTGTTTGTTGTAACAGCGTTTCCAGTCGTTCCTGCCTGCTTGACCCATTTCGCATAGATCGGATCCAACAGTAAAGGTTTCAGCAATATTTGGTACAATCTACCACACCTTTTTCCCTTGCCTTGTTTCAAGCCGTCTAGCATGGCGGTCCGAGAATTGCCCGTCAGCTTGGTCAAGGAAACGTTGGGACCATAGAAGTACGAAAAATGGAAACGGTTGGGAAACGCCAAAACTTCTGGCCAGCGAGGCATGCCCATCCACAGATTTCTGGTGGGATCTGTATCTGAATGAGGGGGTTGTAGCGAGAAGATATTAGATAGAAGATTTTTAGCAAGTGGTGTGATAAAAAAATCCAAAAGTAAAACATCAACTAAGTAGGTGAAGCTGCACGACAAAATCGAAAACAACTTCTGTACCAGGTCTGATTTTGAAAAACTCATAAATCGAAACCACTAAAAAAGCTCCGAGAATCAAAAAAAGTGAAGATGATAGAAGTACTTAGCATCGCATCCGTGAAAGCTTCTTGTGTAACCACATGCCCACCCCAACGGTAACGTACGAAATCTTGACTGCTGTGGAACATCTGGAAGAAGCGGTCAGTATATGCATTCCTTGCACCACGCATCTCCATCAGAAATTGAGAAACTAGGTTGGCAAGTCGGAGCTCTTCCATATCTCGTCCTGCTGAGGGGTTTCTTGCGCCAATGCGACTGCTGTCAGTGCCGTACTTCACCAAGCGCTCCTTTCGGTATTGTTCGCGGGCAGTCAGTGCGCGAGGTTGGACTCCTTTGCCCTGGAGCCAAGCATAGTGCAGCTCGCTGTTCCACATGGTGACATAAAGGTTTTGTGGTGGCGCAGCAACAAACCAGTTTTCATGCATGACGATCCAAGGACGCGTGGTTAGGATAGTATCCTCTGGATTCCAGATGAGGCCAACCCGAGAACTCCCCGGCAGAATGTAATCAGGTTTCCACCAGTTTGTCTCTTCTCCAGCTGACTTCTTGGAGGACTTCTTGGAGGACTTTTTGCTCGAGGAGGTCTCAGAGGACCAGGTCTGTAACGTACCACACGAAGTAGAACCTCCACCTCCACCAGAACCTCCTGCTCCACAATTTTCAACACCTTGAATCTTTGCAGCGATTTCCCGTTCAACTCTTCGCATAGCCAATCGCGCGAAGGCCTTGTCGGCTTCCACGTCAGCCTTTTCTAAGTCCAACGGCGCCACATTGGACAACAGTTTGTCCTCGAAACGAGGAACTCTAGTGAAGATCGTCGTTGCGTCCACATACACCCCACCAAACTTTCGCACAACTGCCAACCTCGTCTTTGGATCCACGGCAACTACCTCGTCACTCACGGTTTCCAAGGCATGGTCTGGATCTTCGGTCAAACCGATTTCGTCCTTGCTGAATCCAGCCGTTTCCTCGACCCACTTTTTGTCGATACGGTTCAATTTCCAGCCAGGACCGTTTTGACGCATCATGTTCTGCGCGCACAACTCAGTCAACCAAGACCCCCCGTCGTCCAAGGCCATCTTCATAGCTGCTTCAGGTCCGTGATCTTGCTCAGCCTTTGCGATGGCGTTGTAACTGGTCCACCCTTGTTGCCAGTAGAGGAAAATCTTTCTCGGAATCCAGTTGTTCTTTCGGTGCACATAGTCGAGCCATTCTGGCGTGTACTTGTTCGCATACTTCTCTGCATATGTACTATCGCGTGGTCCATCCTGTTTGCGCTCTTTCGGTGGCGCAGCTTTGAGACGAAACACCATTGGAACCTTGATGACCTTCTTTTTCGAAGACGCAGTTGATGACGTTGACGTAGCTTTCGCGTCGTGCGCCTTTGATGCTTTCGCAGATGATACCACAGCGAGAGTAGAAGAAGCGCCAGCAGATCCAGATCCCGTTGCACCTCCAGCCACGACAGCGGTAGACGCAGGTAGAGATCCACGACCCGTTGCCCCCGCGGCAGGTGGAAAAGTGGCAGGAGAAGCACCTCCAGCACCAGCACCGACTTGTTGTCCCTGTTGACCTTGTTGCGCAACTGCACCTCCTGCTTCTGCGTGAGCTTGCGCTTCTTGTTCAAGAAAGCGTTGCGTTGTTGAGTGTTCCCCGCGAGGAACTTGTTCTTGATCATTTTGGGGTTTTTGTTGTTCTTGCAGCAAACTACTTGTGAAGCTGGGGGACGTACCTTGTTCAGCAGCTTCAACATTTTTGGACGAGGCAATGTAGTTGCCATTGATGTAGTCCGTGCTATCATCATCACGGTCACCACGTCGGTCATCTTGTTCCAGGTCGTCCGACAAGCCCATTTCTTCAGAAATTGCATTGAAATCACCCATCTGATTGATCTGTAGTTTGTTCTTCATCTGACGCGATTTGAGAAGGAAGGACGAAACTGGCGTGCTCTCATCCAACTGAACCTCTTTGTGGTTCTGGTCGTGAGCATGGGCTTCCTGAAACTGAAGAAGAGGTAGTCGTTGAGATTGTGCTTGCAACAGCCGCTTCTTCAATAGACCTTGTTCTTGGAGAGAAACAGTGGTCTGAGATGGAATCTTCCCTTCTGTTGTGGATGCTAATTGCAGTGTAGAAGAAGTAGAAGATTCTATTTCTATGGTACCCTGATCATCCACTTCCACGGCTTGAAACGAGTGAAAGTTATCTACGTGTTGTTCATCTTCCTCACTGTCCTCAAGAAGATTCATGATATAGTTGTAGTTCCTTCGCGCGCCAGCAGCGAACATAGAAGATGCATAGCCATTATAGTCTCCGTTTTCATCTTCAAGCTTTCCACCTGTCGAAACGAAAGAGCTAGCTGCAAAAGCTCTTTGACCACTTTGATGTTGTAGTTCTTGTAGCTGTTGTTGTTGCGTAGAAGTTCCTCCAGAGGTTCCTCCACGAGGCAAGACGAGAGCCGGAGAAGCAGGAGCAGCGTTGTAAGGCAGCACAATGGCATCTAGTGTCGGGTCGATTTCGAACTCGAAATCAGGCAGATTAGTGGCATAAGGCACCTGTTCGTAGTAGCGCTTGTCAAAGATCTGTCCTGATGGAGTAACGTAGTTTTGCGACAGAAAATCTGTGCCGATCGGGGTAGTCTCGAAAAGTTTGAGTAGTTCGCCAGTCCGGTCCGGCTTAGAGTTGTGCAAATGACCGTTGACGATGAGAGACACCAGTACAACCGAAATAAGCCAGACAGAGTAGAAAATGACGATGATCTTGGGCAAGCCCCACAGCCACGATAAGCAGCTGCAGACCGGACAGCAGGCGCGAAAGAGGCAGCAGCGATCCCTTGCGAAGATGTCAGTACGATCAGGTTCCTGTCCTTGGTAAGCGCCAAAGACAAAGCAAGGACAACAGCAATTTATTTGGTTCTGTTGAGAGTAGTTGTCACCATCTTCGTCGTCGTCGTCGTCGTTTTTCTTGTTGGACTTCAAGAATGTAGTACTAGCATCAGGAGCAGGTGTTGATGCTGCCATTTCTCGTTCGATCTCTTTCTTCTCGTGTTTGATAACCGCGCGCCAATCTTGCAGGTCAGTGACGTTTTGATCTTCTTGTGAAGAGGCACCATCAGAGCCTTCAAGGATACCATCTGCATCAGCCTCGCCTTCTCCTGTCCCAAAGAGACCTTGCAAGGCCGCACCACCAGCGCCGCGACGCGGTGTAGCTTTGTGCTTAGACGACGAGTTGAAAGAAGAAGGAGCGTCACGACGCGAACTGGAAGTGGAACTCATGCTAGCGAACATACTTCTAGCGGCAGCGAAATCTGGAACTTCTGCCGCGTCATCGTCCTTGACTTTCAGACCTCGCATTTTCATCGCCGAGTCATCAAACTCATGCCGTTCTGCAGGAAATGACTGCTGGTCGACCGGTGTCACGTCCTTCTTCGCTCCCAGACCTCGCATTTTCATTGCCGCGTCATCAAACTCGTGCCGCTCTGCAGCGAACGCCTTTTGGTCGACCGGTGTAGCGTCCTTTTTGGCTCCCAGACCGCGCATTTTCATCGCGGAATCATCAAAGTCGTGGCGTTGCGCGGCGAATAACTCCTGTGTCTGAACCGGCGCGACGTCTTTCTTCGCTTTCAAGCCGCGCATTTTCATCGCAGAGTCATCAAAGTCATACTTTTGAAACGCCACCTGCTGGACTGGTGCAACGTCTCGCTTCCCTCCTAGACCTCTCATTCTCATCGCCGCATCATCAAACTCGTGCTTCCTAAACGACATGCCAGCTTTCTCCTTTGTTTCTTTTTCTTCCGGCTTCAAAGACGAACCCACATCGTAATCACCCTGCTTTGCAGACTCTACAGAGTCTCCTTGTGCGTGTAAACCTGTTGGCAATTCCTCTTTCGTTGTTTCGACAGTGTCAGTTTGAGGCATCGGTTTATCGTAAAAGGAGACCTTCTTGGGAGCCCCGATTGACGATTTATTTTGGCGGTCAGTAATGATCAAGGGCTCTTGCAACTGCTGCTCTTCATCTTGCTCCACTGTAGCAGTTTCAGATTCTTCGTCTTCCTGAGGTTGGGCATCTTCTACCACTTCTTCATCAACCTGCTGAGGCTCTTGTTCTTGCTGTTTTTCTTCGTCCTTGATGACAGTAGCGACATCTTCTGCAGCAGCACCCCTTGCTCCTGCATATGAAATGATCTGCTCTTGTTTTTCGGTGTGATCATATACATATTCGTCAACTTCGGCAGCACTTGTACGCTTACGTAGTTGCCGTGACTTGTAAAGCTCTTGCTGTTCCTCATCCTTGTGATCATCAAGATTTGTGCTTCTAACGCTACTTTTCACGGTAGCGGATTTCGTAGATGACTTCTGTTTCGCCGTTTCTACTGGCTCCACTGGAATCGGCGCTCCTAGAACTGCGCGATTTTCTGCCTGTGCAATGACTGTCTGGCGAATAGCTTGACTCTTTTTATCCCCTAATGGAGCGCCTTGGTAGCGTTTGGTCTGTCCACAGGTCCAGAAAATGAAGCAACAGCGTTCCAAACCTCCCCACGAACGGTATAATGCCACTTCAGCCCGTCCACGTGCTGTCATAACTTCATAGCCCATGCTGAGCAAATCGTAATCCGAATATCCCAGAATTGGACGCTCCACTACGGTGATGAGAAACCAACACGAACCAAGAATCAAAAACAGCAGACCATGCGAGACATCCCCAAAACACCAGTAGGCATATTCGTATCTCAGAGAGTCCGAAATAGCGAGTATCAGTCCCAAAACGAAGAAAAGCAGAGCCACCCAAGCGAAGATGCGGTGGTGTCGGTTCTGCGGTTTCCACAATTCCCAAAACCGCAAGTTGTATAGGAAATAGGCTTTCGAATACTTGACGTCAATAGGGGCAAACTTCTTCTTATAGCGTTCTAGGCGCTGCTCGCTGGTTTCTTCGCCATGAAATTCATCGAAAAACTGTGCCGCAAGCTCTTCTTGTTCTTTTTTGGTGGCAACGGCAGATGCTGTTGTACTCCTAGTGGTGCTTGGACCACCAACTCTTTTAGACGAGGCACGGTTTGATGTTCCAGCACCATCGGCAGAAACCATAGAAGTCGTTCTGCGAGTGGCAACTTCATGAGCTAAAACACGGTCAACGTTGGTCAAGCGTTCATGTGCAGTTTCTAGCTCTTCTTGGCGTTGCTGTTCTTGTACTACAGATCGGGCACGAGAGCCACGGTCTTGAGCGTCATCGTCTGCCGCAGCCAGCAGCGGCGCACCAGAAGATCTTGTCGAAGCAGGCATCTTTTATTGTTCTCGATAATGCGAAAATGAAAAAGACTTATTTTGTATTTGATAAAGATGGTTGTATTACGTACCTACGTCTACGTTCTAATTCTCAAAAATTAAGCTTATTTTGAGTCGATGTTGGAGAAGGAGAGAATGAAATGTTTTTAGGGAAATTGTTGAGAAAGGGGAAGGGAAAGCATATTTGGAAGAAAGGAGACCAACTTCAACCTGTAGTCTGACATAACATGACAGCACAAATCATTACAACACTCTTCTTCACCTCAAGCTCAAGATGAATATCTCATCTGTAGCTCCTCGCGTAACTCCTCGCGTAATCCAGTTACCTCTATCAGATGTCCTAGTCGGTCACAGATGAGTGATGAATCATCTGGCGCAATTGCACTTCTGCATTCACTTTTCGGACAGAAGAGTCATGAACGACAGAAGATGCAGCTGATTCTGTCCATCGTTGCGCTCAAAAAATAGGTTGTTCTTTTTTTGTGCGAGTGCAACCAACGCCAAACTCTACTGGATGCTCATCTCTCTCTCTTTCGCGCACACAGACCATGTTTCACTCACGCTCCTCTTACAGGGTTCTCGACTCTTTTTGTCATCGACTCTTTTTCTCACGATTTTATTGTTCATCGACACAAGACAACATAGAGAAGGCCAGCACAGCATACTCGTTGTGGGAGAAAAAGTTCTTAGAGAAAATGAATGCGCATCCTCGTCGTGGTCGTGGTGTATCTTTCTTTCTCCTTCGACGACATCACCGTCCTGTACTACAGTCCTAGTACATTACTTGTAAAGCTTGTTTATTTAAGTAGTCGAAACTAGTCAGTCAATGGTACAAACAAGCGCTCCATAAGAAGGAAAAAGACCTCAGATTTTGCACCTCCGTCTCCACCTCCGTCGTCCTCCGCGCCCTGGCCTGGTGCTCCCGGAGCTGCCGCCGCAGCCGCTGCCGCTTGTTTTGATCCTGGTGGAGGTCTACTGACGGTGTGTATACTACTCGGCAGTTGTTCTTCTGGCAAATACGGAAGTCTTGCGAGCTGTCCTGCATTCGTGCCTATATCCGCGAAATGGTCAGGAGCGCGTCGATAATCCTCTACGTTGTCCTGATGAAGTGGCAAACCAGAGAAAAGTTGCCAAAAACGGAAAAACTCTGGAAAATTCCTCTGATGCTCGATCTCTTCTCGAAGTTCTTGCTCTTCGGCTGCTAACTGTTGTAGTTGACAAGTAGGGAAAAAATTAAAAAATAATAGTACTTATAAATTGGAAGGTCGTTGCAGGACCATCATGAGGATGAGAATCAAGAAAAAACTGTAACTAGAGACAGGAACTTCTTCATCCTTTCGACGGCTAGAATGAGTCGTGTTGGTGATCAACATGTCAAATGCAAATGCAAACTCAAAAAAAATGTACCATATTCTTATCCACAGAGACCCCGTTCGGCAGGAGTGCAAAATCGCCACAGAACGGTCGCTGATCGTTCATCTCCGCTACTCGTATCCTGCAAGAAGATGATGATTTTTGGGACGGGAGGATGCGGATGATAGAAGTTTGCACAGAACATGGTTGACGCTTGATCAGATTGGTGCTATCGCTATGTATCCGAAGATACACGCGATACTAACTCCCAAAAGCTACAGCATTTTCAAACTAGAAGTACGCTTTCTGATTTTGCTCTTTGACAATCAGCGACTCCAGTAGGTGTATCCTCTCTTTCAGCATATGCAGCGACAAATCCACACAGGCGACCTCTTTTTCCGTCTTGCTCAACATGCATTGGTCTTCACCCAACAAGCGGATGATTGAAGACCCTGGCAGCTGTCCCTGCTGAGCATTATTCTCCAAAACTTGGGCTACTGACCTTCTTCCGCTCACCCTGTTGTTGGGAGCAGGTGGAGGGGCTGCAGTGCTAGGTCCTCCACTGGCACTGGATCGACTATTTGCGGTAGGGCCTCCACCTCCTGTCGTCCCAGCAGCGCCAGGGGCTGGAAGGTTGAAGGGAAAGGAGCCTCGCGCCAAAGCACCTGACGATCGTGGCACAGCACTCGCCAAGGAAGCCATGGTGTTTTCGTTCTTCTGGTACAGTAAAACTGGTCGTCAGAAATGCTCCTTAATCTACTTCAGACTTTTCGCTGACTGCGTTTTACCTATTCGTCGACGTCAGACCACACTTTTTCACGACTCTCATCTTTTTTTACCTAAACAGGGATGGTGGGCGAGGAAACAGGGAAGCGGAAAAAGTCAAAAGTTGTATCGTTTCTCGAAAAGGAGCTAAAGCAGAAGACTAAAAAGACGTCTAGAGTACTGTAAGGTATTCTAGAAGTAGATGAGCAATCGGGGCTACTTGAACCTCTCAAGCTGCCGATTCAACAGATGACCAGTTTGAGTTTCACGTGCTCTCTACTACAGATTGCAGTCCAACCGAACTTGGTGAGTCTGCCGTGTTGTTCTTACATTTTCACTTTGGTTGTCGTGGCGCGCACGAGTGCAATGACAATACCGATCGTCAGTCTGGTGATGCAGAGTCGTCGTTTGATGCACCTCCCTGTGTTGAAGATGTTGATGCATCTCCTTAAGCGCCGCGTTGCTTGAGCTTATCCACTACATATCTATTTCTTCCTCCTAAAAGAATTTTCTCACTGCACAACACAATTTGGTTTTTCGATATCCTTAATTGTTGACCCAGCTTGATTGAGTTCTCCCCCAACGATGCCCATATTTGCCCGTGTTCTCTGTATTGTTTCACGCTGTGCCGCTAGGTCATTCAATATCTCACCTCCTATCTGCTCACTTTCTAAGGCTTGTCGCGTCGCTGCCCGCACCATATCGGTTCCCTCCTCGATTTTTCGTTCGGTTTCTGTACAAGAGGTGATGATTTTTCGAATGCATGGGAAATTCAGATACTTAGTTGTCATTATATTTAGCAGGAAGTTTCTCGCACACGCACTCGCAGTAAAAATAACATCTGAATCGTAATTAGTGGCCAACAATTTTACCTTGCAGTCTCTTCTGCACTGCTCTTTGTTGCGCTGCTTCCCCTAACAACCCTCTTCTATTCATCACCGCAAGCCTCTGATCGAATTCCTTGCTTAGTTCTTTGAGTTCGTCTTTCCATCTTTTCACCTCACGCCTTTTCTCCATGCCCATCGACCTGGCCTCCAAGTCCAAAGACTTCAAGCTCTGTTCTGCCTCCTTGAGCTGTTGATGTAGTGACGCCACAAGCGCCGAGTCAGCGGCATCCTTCGTGGCGTCTAGGGCGGCGAGGCCAGAGCGGACTCGCTCTAGGCTCTCTTCGTAACTCGCCTGGTACGATTCGAACATGTTGCTTGGTGCTCCGTTTTTATTCTGTTTATGAACGTGCTAGAAGTACTAGAATTATCAGATGATTATACCTAGTCGTAGTAGCTAAACTTGCATTTTTCTATGGGAAATGTTTGAAATGGCCTTTTTTTACAAGCTGCAACGATGCTATGTTGTCACTTTATGTAGACCGGAACCTCTTTTTTTACAAGCTGCAACGCTGCTATGCTGTCACTCGGAATTGGACGAAGAAAATACGCCCAACCTCGGACCCGTCGAGGAACGAAGACAGAAGCCACGACTGCATACGGACACGCGCCAAAGCCTTGAGCAGCGTAAACAAGCCAAAGAGTTGGCCCCGCTGGTGTCTGTGGTAAAGCCAGCACCGACCAGCACACGCGACCAAGCGCGAAAAGACCCTCTTTTTTTACAAGCTGCAACGATGCTATGTTGTCACTATACGGACCCCTCGATAAATATGCACAACTCTCAACTCATTGGTTTTCACATCTTCAGCTCTTCCGTCGATCATTACAACCAGCTTGGCTTACAAAAATGTCATCGAGTGCGGCAGCTGCTGGTGCTGCAGCTCCTTTCGCTAGTCGTAAAACTGACTCGATTTTTCTGTCACATCCACATGTTTCACGCAAAAATATTTGGACTTGGCAGTCAAGTCAAAGCCATCTTGTTGAAGATCAACATGTAAAAAGAGATAGAGTAGCATTTTAACAGGCTGTAGAAGTGCGCCTTTGGATGCAGGAGCTGCACCTTTCTTACAATTTTGCAGATACGTTTCTTGAAAAAGCAAGTGAAAAGGTCATTTTCGTTTTTCGAGATTTTACATGTGAGGACAGGTTGAATGTATCGATTCCAATTCGTGAAACAAAAAGAAAAACGACCCAAGAAGCAAAATGCTTAAAAACAACGTCTATTCTAAAAATGCTTAAAAACAACGTGAACGTCCTATTTATTCTCATCGTCATCATCCGCGACCTCCTGCTCTAAATAATCGACGAATTGAGAGCCCAATCCAGACCCCTTAGACGCTGTCGACGCCCGCCCTTCCTTTTGCCTCATCAACCGTCGTCCAGTGTCTGGGCTATTCAGGTGGGCCGCGGAACCCTCATTCCTCAGTGCATGAAACAGGTGGCTCCTATTCAAACCAACCTGTTCACGCTCGTCAGCGGAGAAGCCTAAAGAGTCGGCGAGGCGGGAGAGGATTTCCTGCTTCTGGGTGTGGTTCCTGAGTAGGTTTTTCAAATGTTGAACCATGAAGGAGTCGTGATAGATGGCTGGAGTGTGAAGCAAGTAGTTGTTGTAATGGATTCATACTGCATGGCCGCAAAAAAACTCAATCTTCATCACGACAGCTGCTGGACTTTCTAGACGCGAAATACGTCGTTAGAGTACTCTTCTTCAATCGCTTCCATTTTCGGTCTATACTGCCTCGCACCGCTCCCCGTAATGTGCAAAACTCCCTCAAACAATGACCTCCCTAGCACTCGGTCGACTTTGCAGTACTGCGTCAGACTGTCGCAGACGACTCTTCGGTCTACTTGGAAGATTCGGTCTTCCGACTCTCGCTTCATCTTTTCGAAGCATTGGTCGACTAGTTTTGAGAAATGATCCCGCTCACCGATCAGCGCAGTACAGCTTTCCCGTACTTTTGCTAGCTCTTTTTCAAGTTCGTCAACGCGGGACTTTTCGGAGTTTAACCTATGGTGCGGGTCGTGGAGCGCGAAGGAATTTCACTTTTCATCCCTTGTAGCACAGCCACACCTAGTACATCATAGAAAATGATGGGTACTATTGGCATTCCGTGTTGTATCTATTGTATCAGGAGGACCTTCTAAGACAAACAAGAGTCAGAAAATAGTCCAAACAAGAGTTGCAATATAATCGAAAAAACCTTTCACTCTCCTGCGTCTGTGTCACTCTCCGTTTTTGCAAGGATTCCTCCAGTTCCGAAATTTGACTCTGGAACGTGCGTTTCTGCTTATTCGCTTGCGCCAACGACGCTTCCAATCGGTCGATCTCCGACCCGTGGTCACCCTGTACTGTGTCAATCGTCAATTGGAGTTTCTTGTTGATTCCTTGTTCGTGTTCGAGCGCTTTTTGCACTTCTGTATTGCGGTTTTGGAGGTCCGTCTGCGCTGTTCGCAACTCCTGGAGCTCGGTCTCCAGTGCAGCGACACGAGTAGCAGCTTCCCGGGAAGATGAAAGCAGTTGTAGGACTACTAGGAGTAGGGGAAGATGAAAGCAGTTGTAGGACTACTAGAACGAGAAGATGAAGTAGAAGATGCAAGGCCAAGGGGCACGAAGATAATGCTGGTGGAGCAGACCTAACTAGAAAAAACAAAATATACCGAAGAGGAAGAAGGGGCACGAACAAAAAAACGCAGTCTAAAACTCGATCGGTGGCATGTGGTCATAAAGCCTCCTTCAGTTCGTGGGCGTCTGGCTTGTGTTCGTTCACCCAGTTCTTGAGTCTTTCCATTTCGCGTCCCTGTTTGTCATGCCTTTGCTGCCATTTGATGTTGTAGTCTTCAGTGCTTAGAAGTAGGGCGAGCTAGCTTTTGGTTTCGGGAAGGAACCATCCCAACCATTTGGTTCTTGCCTTGATGTTGCTAGGATTTCAGGATGACGTTGTTCTAAGTGTTACTATTCACTTGTTCTAGACTGTGCCTTAACAACTCCCCCACTCTTGATCGAAGCTCGTCTAGTTCGCCTTCCAGCTCTTCATGCGCCGTAACCAAAGAGTTGTATTCTCCCGTCAGCGTCACCAGTTTCGCATGCCCTCCTCGTGCTTGCTCTTCCCAGTGAGATGACATCAACTTTAACTCTTCGACTCGCTTCTCGAGATCTTCATTGTTTTTGTTTTGGTCATCTGACGATTTCTCTGCTTTTGATGTCGAAGAAGACGAGCTAGAAGATCTAGCTGAGCCGGAAGTTTGTCCTAATGGCGACTGAAGGTTTATCTTTGTTCCCACGGCTGAAGATGACGGCGATATCAGCATAGGCGCATTCGCATCCACCTCTGGCACCTCCTTTTGCTGCGCATGAATTTTACTCCCACTACGTGATGTCATACTGCTTGTTGTTGACTTCGATGACGGCGCTAGACCTTGTTTAGAAGTAGATGGGCTTCTTCCTGCGTAATTCGGTGAAGAACCTCCTTTGTTGGTGCCCTTTGGAGAGCGCTTTGACGATATGCCAGGACTCCCACTACCTCCAGGTGGTCCGGCTACGGTCCTTATCGTACTTGATGGTGGGGATTTCATCTCCGTATCAGCTACAGCTGCATTAGTACTACTTCTAGTACTTCTTGTAGTTGCACCTTCTAGTTGCTGTTGTTCTAAGAGTTCAGGACTGCTAACTTTTTTCATCGTAGAAGCTCTTGGCTTTGCTCTGCGGAACGAGCACTGAACAGGTCGCAGACTTTCGAGCACCGCTTGAACTGCATGGACGCTTTCAAACGCGACTTGCTGGCCATCGACTTTGAGCAATTCGTCCCCAGGTCGAACCCCGCTCTTCTGACTGCTACTCGAGGGATCTACGTGTCGCACGAAGACACGAGGTAGTTCACGGTCAAGGCCACGACTATCTGCCGCCGCAGATGCTTTAGAGGATGTGCTACCACTACCTTCGCTCTTTTCTGCTTTTTCTAAAGAGAACTCCAATCCCAAAGGCCCATCGTCAACCAGCATGGCAGTGTATTCATGATATGATGTTGTCCTGTTACTGGGACTACTATTGTCCTGATCATGTGCAGCATCTGGTTTGGGTGAAGTACTTTGCGTCTTAGACGAGGTTTGATTGCCTCCTTCAGCATCACCACTTTTCTCGTCACCATCTAGAAGTGTCTTGCGCAGAGAGCCAGCTAAATCTGTGGACGAACTAGAAGACGACGATGATGCCGCTGAAGAGTCTGTTGGCCTGCCTTCTGCAGTTTTGTTCTCATCTGCTGCGATTTTTGCTCGTGGAGGGCTTGCCAGAAGTGCCAGGTCTGGACTAGCGGGAGGCGGCCTAGCAGCAGCACCAAATCGAGATTCGGGCTTAAAGGTCGACGATGCATTGCTTTGGCTCCCAGTGGCAGATTTTGAAATAGGTGGTCGGGAGGATGCTTATAGGACACGGGGAGACATGACTAACTGCAGAATACTAGGAACGATCGATGAGTACAGTGATCTTGTTTTCACAGAGAAACGACCAATAGACTACAAGGTAGACTACAAATCAAGAAGAAATCTATCTTTCCTGTCATACCGACGATTCCCCCCCGCCCAACTTTGCGATTGCTGAATACCTCTGCAGCCTCTCGCTCTGGTCTTCGTCAGTAGGGCTGTCATCTGGCTGTAGGAAGTGGAAAGCCCCACTGAGCACACTCGCTGTGTGCGTGAGCTGTTCTGGAACTTTTCCACTAACCTTCTCTAAATTCTTCGCTGCCGCACTCTTCACATTCTCCGGTGCGGAGGTGGGTTTAGAGGGGAAATAAAATCAAGAATCAGGTTTACAATCTGAATCACGATCACCCAGTTATAGCTCTAGTTTTCTCATGAACATCAAGAGCTGAGCACCAGGCGCAACTGTATCTTTGAATTTGATCATGCTCTTCAACATCTAACTGAAACAACATCATCGATCAATTCCCACAACATAGTGGCCAATGTCGCTGCTGTCTGCGCGCTATCCTTGGCTATCCGGTATGAGTCTTTGGCCAAACTAGCCGCGTTCTGTGCTGCAGAGGAGAATGATGAAAAGAGACCGGATACTACGCGACTAGCTTGGTTCTCCTCTTTTTCGACAACGATGCGGAGAGGACGGGAAGTGATTTGGGGAACCTGTGGTGCGTGTGGTGATATTTATAGCCAAGTAGAATCAATAGATACTACTTGATGCAGAAAAAGCAGAAGTTGATGAATCGATAACTAAGCAGGTCGTTGCTTATTATGTCTGCTCAACAGACTACACTTCTGTTGCTGATCATACATGTACATCCACGACAAAAAATGTAAAGTACAAGATCATTATCCCAGTCCGTTTCCGACGAGATCGTTTTTCCGTTGATCGACACAAGTACTCCCGGAACCGGAAAGGTGTCTTCAAAAAGCTTCTTACAGAGGCCGTCGTGTAAGTCTATTACGCGAAATGGGTGGACAAAATCTTCAAACTCTATTCCAAGTGAGCCCTCTTCTTCGAAGAAAAATTCTGTTGTGGATGAGCTAGTACTATGATCTTCTTGTTTGGGAGAGTTCTTTGCAGGGGTTGGTGCCTTCTGTACATGACTAGTGTTGGCGGGAGAGTTTTTAGTAGATGGTGGCTTCGGAATCGGAGGTGCTCCTGGTGGGCTTCTTCCTAGTTGTGAAAAAGTACTGTTGGAGGTGGGAGAGGGAGGAGGAGGAGGGGCTGGTGCGATTGTCGAGGTCATCGTAGTGGTTCCCGAGGGCTGTTTGATGTCGGGTGAGCGAAGCTTGTTTTCGGATGTAGTTGTTGCGCTATCACTCGCGTGCGGAACGTGAGTTTTATCACTTGCTCCGTCGAACTCAACCATTTTTCATCTTTTTTCGTGAATCTATGTATCAGTTCTGAACATGGAGGGTGAAACAGCACGAGGTGATTTCCGGCTTTGAGAGCGTCACTACCTCAACAAATAACTTAGGTACTTACTTATTGTCGGGTATCTAACTGAGCAGTATCTCGATATTCGATTTAAACTGAAATAAGCAAGTAACTGATGAGAATAACCGAGGCACTGAAGAAGCAGTAGCCTTTTACGTTTACCGCTACATCTACTATTTCAGTCAATAACTTGGTTATTTTCATTTTTCGAGTAGCCAGGTTCGCGTTGTTAAACCAAGAAATCGCACATTTCAACTTTTCTCAGGTCTTTAACTTCAGTGTTTGAAGCACCCATATCATTATCACCGCACTTTTCATCTTACTTTCTCTTCAATAATTAGGTACGTAGCTCCTGGTTGTTGTCTCTTCTCTCTTGAACTTTTGGAGATTGCTCTTTTTTCTTCAACATTTTCGATACGAACGAGTATCGCAGCGTACACTAGCCCACGGAAGGCGCACGCGCACCGCAATCAAAAGCTCCAGGTAAGTGCTCTGTGAGCTCAGGGTCGCGCCGGGCGGTCGTCGAAATATAGCTCTATGGTGATTTTCGGTGATGTTGTTTAGTATATGCAAGAGGGGTCGCCATGGTGGTTCAAGACGATCTGACAAATATAAGGTGGCGTCTGTTCTTCCTCGAAGACAGAAGCATCAGTGTTGTGGCTTGTATCAACACCAGGTTCTTTTGCGAGACAAGAGTATGGCCTTGGCGAGGCAGGTACGTAGTTTTGATAACCAAATACAAAAGCCAAAACAAGGTCATCAATTTATTCAGTTCGTTCGTGCTGGTCGGTATCAAGAAGACTTTACAGGAAAAAAGTATCGTACAACTTTAGGATTGATGCCAAGGTAAAAAACGTAGTCGTGAGCAGTTCCTCACCAACATCGTTATCGCTATGTGTCGCAAAGCTACAACTTCAATCGACTCCAACAAACTTCGAGCTCACCTTCAAGAGGTGACAACTTTTTTCTCGTTTCCTGTTCCTGCCATTTGCTTTCTTTTGTTGGTAGTTGTGTTGGATGCTCCCCTAGTGCCTGGACCTGCACCTGTAGCATCACTGCTTCCTCTACGACGTCCGCGTGCTGGTGGATCATAGTGGCTTCCATTTGATCCATTTGAGGTTCCATAATTTGTATTTGTTCCGTTTTTGACAGGAACAGGAGTGGGTTTTTGAGCGCCGCCGTTTGCTTGTCTATTTTGGCCTTGTGCTTGTGCCGAGCCTCCACCATACGAGTTGAACGTCTTGTTCACGGTTGATGACAACAAACCGTCTCGTCCGACGTTGTTACCGCCACCCCACGTTCCTGCATGGTTGGATGGATAAGCTGCTGTGCGCAACATGGCGTTGAAAACCGTCTTCGGACCGTCAGGCCATCCGAGGAAGCAGGCGCCTAGCTCCGTGATCTCCCCAATCATCACGTTGGCACAGCCAGCGCGACTGCGATGGGCAAGGACGTCAAATCGTATCACAGGAGGCATCTCACTGCACTCACCGCGGAGAGCGTAGTAGAGACGGGTGATTAAGTCCTGTTATTTGTTTGTTGGAATGAATTATTGGCAGTGATTCATTGACGGTCGAGATAATAAATTCTACTAGAAATAAGGTGGTGATATCGAATTACAAGATGTCGAACAAAGTGACGTGCTTTCCTGAGGAACCACATAATGCAAACAACTCACTAGAATTACGTATGCTTTCTTTTCCGCCTCTGCCAGCGCTTTTTCATCGTTGTGAAACTTCTTCTGCAAACACGTCTCCCTATCGAAGCGGTTGAAGCTTGAAAAGTGTTGCTCGCTCTTGCTCTCGTAGCAGGTGTAAACGATCTTCTCGATTTTGATGCCGCTCAAATGGTCTTGCGGTAAGACAACGAAATGTCGCATTTCTACGTCAATGTCAACCCACTCCTGGACGTGGACGTACTCGGACAAATTGCCAGGTTGCTGGACGAGCTCTTCGAGACCTGGTCGTGTGGGCAGGATCGCGATGGAGGATTGAAGAAGATTATATGTAGGGTCATACATCATATCTCTATTAACCCACGCAGACAAAATCTAAGCTAGTATTAGTAAAACTTCCAAAAATAAAAATCCAGCTTCCAAGTATTTCAACAAATTCAAATTAGTTTCTACCTTGCGCCATCGTTCCCACATCCGACCAATGGTTTACGTCCATCGATTCCCAACTGTAGCCTAGTTTCGACACTCCCTTCACGATTGTTTCTCGTTTCAATTGGTTTTGTCCTATTGGAAACAACAAATTTCTTGCCGCGTTCAAATCTTGCAGTGACTGCAAAGCCACTTCTGCGGCTCCCTTGTAACCCAGATTTACAATCATACTACGGCTGAGCTTAGTTGTGAGGGGTGTGTTGAGTCCTGGAACGAGGCACCAACTGGCTGTCCAAGCCTTACTGGCTAGGAGTTGGTAGAGGTGACTGTGATGGGGAAATCGGGTTACGACACCTGTAGCCTCAAAGCGACGCATGCAATGGAAAAGATCTCCATTGTTGACGTAGCCGCAAAACTCATGGCCGTCTTGGAAACCTGTTGTATGGTTAGAAAGTTTTTTTTTGTTTTGTAATATATAAAAAATAGAAGAGGAGTATAATAAGACAAAATCAAAAAGTAGCACGAATACACGTCGCAGGTTAGAAGTTGATGGCACTATGTGACTGCCTATTTGAAGATATCGATATGCTGAGTACGGTGTCTTCATAACAAAAACGCATCAAAATGATCATGTTACCAATCGGCCACAAGAAATAGCATCCTGCCAGCTGTTGCCCTGTCATTTGTTTGCGGATCAATTCCGGATGTATGTCCTTCAATTCGTGCGTGCTCTGCACAAATGCCGTCCAAATTTCGTAGTCGGTGCCAAAATTTTCATACGGATAGTCTGCGAAGAGCGTATGTATGAAGTTATCCGAAGGATTGCTTCCTACTTGTCCCCAACCCCCAATGCCATCCGTCACCGCGTCTACCTTTCGTTTGCCTCCCCATCGGACGCAAAAAATACTCACTTTGGGTCCCCTTCTTCTGGTCAGGTTTAGGGAAGAAGAAGAAGCTGCCGCAGCAGCAGCACTGGCAGGAGGTGGTGCTTGTCCTCCGTTAGCGGCTTGTTGCAGAGGAGGACCTTTATTGACCATTAGGCATCCTGGGACCTCCAATTTTCGCACTAGTTGCGGTGCAACCGAATCTTTGCGTTTGGCACCGTCATTGTAAAGCTGGCCTTGCCGGTTGTACCAGAAGGGGGCGAGATACTTCACTTTCACGAGATTACCTGGGGACGAGAAAAGGTAAGAAGCGAATGTTCTTGAGCGAATAATATTGTTGCGAGGATCATGATAAGCATCTTAAGGCTCTACTCAAAAATATAATCATGATGTCTATCACGTCGGTGATCGTGCTCGTTGGATGAATAAAAATCTTTCTAAACATGGTATTCAGGTTGTCGTAGTTTCACTTGAAGGGTCGTATCCATCTTTCCTACCATCTCCCCCACTTCCTTTCTTTCCTGTTCCCTTTTTAGAACTTGAGGATGACGAGGTTGCCAGATCTGGCCAATGGCTGTCTCTGGTCGCCCCAGCATCGAAGGTCTGTTCTACAACCGCTTGAATCCATCCATCAGTCTTCACGATGCATGGGTGCAGCATGCCCTGGGCCATGCTGTCACAGGGGAAATAACCGCCATTTTTCGGCTCTTTCGCAAATCGAAAGAAGACCTCGACCGTCTCACCACGCTCATATCTGACTGAACCGGAACCGGTGCTGGCCGTGGCGAGAGGAGTGGAAGACGCCATTTGCTTGTGGTCCTTGTAGACTGGTGAAGAAGACGAGAATTGTTTTTACCTAAGACAACTAGTAGAACTCAACAAACATGCACCTCTACTTAGGAAGTACTTCTACTTGTCACAATTTCGGTACTGTTGTAAAGATGATAGAAGATCACCTGCTAGGGCAAAATAATTACACCAAAAAAAAAAACAAAAACATAAAAAGGTCACCCTAGACTTAGTAGAATCGTGACGAGAGGCCCACCTGCACCTCCTGTAGTTTTGATGGGATGCGCCAGATGTCGGAAGGGGTTAGAAGCCAACATATGAGATTATATGACCAGCCGAGCCCACAAGCGCGTAGACCTGATGACACATAGAAGATCATCTTCACCTTCATCAGTAGTTGTAAGACTCCCAGTTTTGATCTTACATTTCACATAGGCGGGAGCGGGAGGTGATCATCCACCATAAATCTTCCTTGAAGATGTTCAAGAACAGAAGTAGATCTTTGGCGAAACATTCAACCTGAAGGTGACAACGGTGGAGATCTTCACTTCGTCTTCATCTTGGACTTGTTCTCGCACTAGGACTAGCAAGCAACGAAAGTAACATAGTAAGAAAGTACTTATACTTGTAGAAGCACGCAGCTGTAAGGAGATCTGCGCTCTTCAAGAGTCTCTAACTCAATTTTTGAACTTACACTTCTTGATCAGTTCTAGCAGCACATGATCATCTCCATCACTGTAGGCCTAGAGAACCAACAGGGGTCGTGCAAGAGACGGAAAACACACGACGGAGCTGTCTTCATCGACTCGGGAACACTTGGACTGCTCAACTGCTGGGGTAGAACGAGTAGGACCAGCTGGTGCTAGTACCTGTGCTGCGTACAGGCAACAGATTCATTTCTCAGAAAATTGCAGCATTCAAATGCAAATCACGAGCTACATTTTTGAATGCGATTGGGAGGTACTTATACTTTTAATGGGGGCAGTGAATTCCACTAGGATCCAGCGCACATGATCACCATCTTGTTCAAAAGACCTGTCGTCAGGAGTCGAGGATGCTGTTTCTATCTGGACTTTATCAAGATCACTTGAATCAAGCATAAAACTCTCCCCTGGTCGCATTTCTAACTTCGTTGTTGGCGAAACTACGTGAATAAATGTTTCTTGTTTCTTCTTTTTACGTTCTTCTTGCCCTTGTTGAACTCGGACTCCTACCATTTGAATATCAGGCCAATGCACAAAGCTTGTGCGAACCCAAGGAGGACTAGTACCGCCACCTGTAGTATTAATGCTTGAAGATGAAGCTGACGAAATCGACGGACGGATGTTCTTCATCCTCCCACTCGTGACCGTAAAGGCCTCCACTCTCACGTCTGTGACCTTGTTGGCATCGTAGATGACGTTGAAGTCTTCAGCTTTGCCTAGGCTCTTTACCACATCTGAACCTAAAAACTCGAAGCTTTGCCATGGTCGTAAGATGTGCTCCGTCCCATTCACAAAAAGACGTAAGTCGTGTTGTGGCCAAGCATGCAGCAGCGTCAAATTTCTCGAGAAGCCATTCAGCGGTGTGAAGTCGCTCTCGGGTGTAGCGATTTTGGCGCAGGAGATACGCAGATCAAACTTCCTTGTCTTGAAATCTTCGCCAAGAAGAAAAAGCTCCTTAGTACTCCCACCACTCCAGTTTGTCGTTTTATTCCCACGCAGTTTGCGAAGCATCTTTCTTGATCGTGGAAGAAGAGGCGCGACGTCTGATCCTCGCGTAGCAGGTGTTCATCTAGCTACTACCGCTGCAAAATGTTTACGACGTCGAATTACAGTGTACACTTAGCAGCAGCACAGCCCTCGTGGCGCATCTTCTCAGTCTCACTTACAGTGTACACTCAGCAGCAGCACTTCCCTCGTGGCGCATCTTCTCACTGTGTATTGAGTCGTACTGTGCGTCGTGCCAGCCCTTGTCAGGATGTCAAATGGGTCGTTGTGAACAAAAATGGACAACTTTATTTTGTACGTGCGTTGGCACCGCCAACTTCATTCTCTATGATCGACGATCGCTTTCCCGAAAAAAATTTCCCATAGACATTTAGCTTTAACCATGTTAGTTTTTGTCGTTGATGATGTTATCCATGTCGTTACTATTTGTTGAATTGCCTTTGCGTTGTTGAATGCTCTAGATCATGCATTCTTATTTTCACGCGTATGTATCATTGCTTGCCTGTTTTAGTTTTCACGATTGTCTGATAATTTGCATCATAACCCCACATTAGCAGGTGATTATTTTCGTACTTTCAAACTCTGTTTATTAAGTAGTCGGACGATGTTGTGATTTTTTTGTCAAGCTCACGGTCATCAATTACCATTAATTTCACTGGAGATAATATGAATTTAGTTAGACTTCGAATTTCTATCATCCTAACGCGAACCCTTACACTTGTTGCGTTAGTTGTAGTTGACTCCGAATATCATTGCGACGCCTTCTGTTGATGTTCCTGATCGTGGATCATACAAACAGTATTATAAAATAAACAATTCGCATTGCCTTATACAAATACATAAGTAACCATAAATCTTCCGGTTCTCGTAGAAGAAAGAAAATTTGAGTTTCCGGATTTTTTTAGTAGACTCTCAGCAGTGTTGTCCGCAGCAGCCATCTTTATGTTCGGGAGGAGGATCCACATGATCTTGACCTTCTCCACCAGCAGGATCTGCGCTGACGCCAGCTCCAACACCTCCATCTTCAGGTTCAGGAATGATAGCTGGATCGCCACCGGCATCTCCTTCTCCTCCACCGGCATCTCCTTCTCCTCCAAGGGCATCTTCTTCTCCTTCACCGGCACCAACATCTTCTCCTTCACCGGAACCAACATCTTCTCCTTCACCGGCACCAACATCCTGCTCTCCTTCACCGGTACCAACATCTTCTCCTTCACCGGTACCAACATCCTGCTCTCCTCCACCGGCACCATCACCTCCGTCAGTAGAAATATCACTCCTGCTCTCATGCCCCGGCGCTCCCCCAGGAGGTGTATCGTCCACAACCGCAGAAGAACCACCTGCACTATCTGCACCATCATCTGTTGCAGGGATAACTCCGTGAGTAGGTTCGGAGCCTCCAGCAGGGGTCCCAGCCGGCGCTTCTACACCGTGAGTGTCCTCGACACGCGGTTCTACTTCTGCCTCTTCTGCAGGTGTAGCTGGTCGTGTCCATTTTGAAGTTTTCGGTGTCGGTGGTGGGCCACGACTGCCTGCATCGAATGACCTCAAGTCTGGCTCAAAGCCTCGAGCAATGTAGCCTGCCAGTGCCATCAATTGTCTGTGGATCGTACGCTGCGGTTGCGGCAGTTCCTCGGCAAGTGTATTCATCACATCTGTGCCACCTGCTGTGCCAGCACCTCGGGGAATGCGGCTCGTTTCAGAAGACCGATGAAAATACTCCCACAAAGACGCAAGCGATGCGTGCATTTGCTGTCTCGCTTCTGCTGTTCCTGTAAGGGTTTCGATGATCTTAGTCACTGGCGAGTCTTTCTTCTGGAGCTTCTCCAAAATGGATCGCATCTGATAGTTATTCTTCTCCTTGTCATATCGTCCTCTTGTTCTGAACTCAACCTCGGATCCCAGCAAAACCTCGATGAAGGAGTGCATCCCGTTAAAGGTGAAATAACTCACCAAATGGAGGCGCATGATGCTGAGTTCTTCTTGCGTGTAAGCATTTGCGAAAAGAAAAGCCATCTGCATGAGATCTCCTGTGCTGCCACTCGGACCGTTGCCGCGTAAGAAACCACTCTCATCGATCGCACGCACAGGCGTCACGTACGCTTTTGGTTGACATTGATCCAGCACCGCTTGCTTCGCCTCTAGTTCTGGCACAGCCTCCTCGAACTTCTGCCTGAGGACTTGACTGAACGTGTCACAATTTTTCGGAAAGTACATTCGTACACCAGAGAGAAGTTGGGCGTCCTCGGTAGGCTCCAGCTTATACGTGAACACGACCGGCGCTGGTGGTGCACCCGTAGGACGAGACGCCGTAGCAGGAGCAGCAAAAGTCTTAGCATGAGAAGCAGAAACGACCGCTACGTACTTCATCGGCCAACGGACAGAGTAGCAATTCATGGAATAAATTTCACGGCGACCGAAGACAGAGTATTTCAGGTTCTTGATTAACGGTAGTCTTTCACTATCCCGAGTCGAGTGGATTGCCCTCCTTGCCCCATAGTTTCCCCTTTAGGAAACTAAGGAGGACGCGGCCATTGGACTAGTGATAAACTACCCCTAAATCGAGGAAAGAGGCATCATTTTCGTCGTCCTCGTCCAAATCTAAAACATCACGCGCGCCGCCGTCAGTCTTCGCTTGTCCTTTAGAAGCAAATTCTTCTATGAAGGGATCCAAATCCGTTGCCGCATCACGCTCGTGCTTACTGAGTGGCGGGGACAAAGGCAATGTACTGCGGACATTTGCAAAGAGAGAGCTGCCATCCCGACCGCGTCTTTGCACTGGCGTCAAAACAGGCATCGACCATTTTGGAATGAGACCGAACCACAACAGTGCGTGACTCTTCGGCGCGCCTCCTTGTACGATCCACTGGTCGTAAACATCGTATTGATAGCGAAGATGCTTCAACAGGCGATCACTGTGTGCTTTGTTCTTGGCATGAAGAGAAGGATCTTCTCGCGACTCAGCCGACTCGTCGGTAAAAAGGTGCGGTCTAGTTTTCGAAAAGGCTCTCTGCACATCCTTGTTATCTTTCAGGCCTGCATCAACATCCTTCATCACCATGGCTCGTAGCGAGTATTAGAGCTTAGCTTGTTGAAACGCATTCTGATCCTGATGCTTCCTTCGATTGAGTGCCCTTATCTATATCTATGTATGGGACAGCTTCAAACAAGATCATGCTTCAGAAGATGGAGTAAAGAACGAAGCCTTAAAAGTAATTAAAAGCGTCGAAGCTTGTAACTTGAGACGCGGGATCGAGTACATTTGCCAGTACACGCATGTTGACAGTGTCGGAATCTCCGTTCCAAAGAACGCGAAAGCGCTTCGTCCACACTGAATTCCAGGACATTTCTGTGCCCCGTCTTTGAAACTCAAGGAAGCCGGAAGATGCTGCACCAGAACGACGATCGGGTTTAATTGTTCTTGTTTCACTACTAGGACGAGAAGCAAGTCCACCATTTCCATTCCAAGGTGATTTCATCCCACTTGTTGCCCACTTTGCCAGTCCTCCAACCGCATCGCCAACCGCTGCACTAGCCCCTTCCAACCTCTTCCAAACACCCGCTTTAGTGGTCTTCTTTCCACCTTTTTTCGGTTGTAGTTCCGCCTCATCGGGGGTGATGAGATTCGTATAATCGAAAGCAATCTGTTCGGTAGGAGCATCATTCGTAGGGCCAAGGGCGTTCCTGAAGTTACCTGCGGAAACGTACACAGCTGAAAGAGAGTTCAAGCCATCGTCTTCAGTATAGACAACGGCATCGCGCAAGGAACCAGCATCACCAGCTCCAACATCTTCCGCATCAGAAACATCAAAAACGCACACTGGTTGCAAATTTCCCAGCACCTGCTTCACATCTTCTAACTTCCAAGTTGTTTGGTGTTGTGAGCATAGTCGCGGTTGCTTCATCATAAACCGAAAGAACCATGCCTCCTTCAAGCTGTTGGCCTTCAGGTGCTCGATGCCTTGCCAAATCGGGACGGATCCGCCTGATGAAGTAGAAGACGAGGATCGATAGTAAGTGCTACAAAGATGAGCAAGATGACGAACTATCTAACAAACAAAATGTCTTCTTCGGCATCTTCTTCTTCTTTTTCTCTTTCTGAGAGATTGGAATCGTCCAAGAAAATCGTAATCAACATTGTAAAAATTGACTTATTTTTATCTTAAGACTGTCTCATCTGTAACTATATTCAGTAAAAAATGTTAATGATGGCGATCATCTCCTTCTCCACCTCCAGGAGGCCAATAGCAATATACTACATAGTAATGAGTTATGCCTCCTAGTGCCCCAGCTGTCGCGGCTGTCAAATGGTCGCAATCACTGTCGAGGATAAACGAAGCCACGCTGCTAACGCCTACGCCAAGTAGCTTTTTCTCCGCATGAATCAGAGCTTTCCGGAATCCTCTGCAACCGCCTGCAACGGTTCCCGATGAGACCAACGACTCAGTCATTTTTTCCAAGACATGTCTAAAGCCAAACCAAATACGTTGCAGAAGATTCTTCTGCTCACCTCCGATATTAGAGATAGAGACTAGTCATCTGTGTGCCCCTGATATGGCCACTCCCGACTAGACACAGTGTTTTTTTTTGCGTTAGGACTATTTACTGCCGCCCGGTCAAACAATAAACTAACTCGTTCAATTAAAAATGTCATACAAATTACATACTGGGGGCGCATAAGACCGTACATTCGGCCACAAAACATAGACGAAACTAGAGACTAGAGACCTGCGTATAAGTCATCGCATCCCTAAAAGGCTCCCTCGTGCTGTCTTTATCGGAAAATCTCCTACAGCTGCGCTCTTTTTCAAGGAGAAAAAGAACCAAGAATCACAATCATGAAGATCATGCTGACCAGGAAGCAAGAGGATGCTTCAACAAGGAAAATATAGTACCGCTACAAATATTTAAAAGTAAAAGATAGCACTTTCACCATTACTAGAAGCTGCAAGGGGCTTTGCCTTAACAAAAACGGCAGCTCTTTTCGCTGCCAAATCCTCTTCTGCTTTTCTAGCAGCCTCGCCGAAAGCCCAGGCAAGATAAGTCTTTTCAAACAAAAACTTGCGGCCATCAATGCGTTTCTGTTCCTTTTCGATGTCTTCTCGATCTATGGTTAGAAGAGGAAAGTGCCTTAGCTTTGTTTCATCATCTCGATCCCCTGACCATTCTGGTACCTTTCGTTCCATTTGGATTTTTTGTCTGTGGGGCGAAGAAGGTACTAGAATGCTCTTTCTATGGATGCAAAAGGGTAGTCCTGAAGAGTCAGGGATAATGCTGCTCGTCCTGATACAGGTGGATAAAAAGACGCGAAGATCATAAGACTGACGTGCACTGGAGATGGAGACCCTTTTTTTTCGGCAGATTCTGCATAAGCGTTAGCGCGTCATCGAATTCTTTAAGCTGAGGCTCTTCCGGTAACACTCGTGGCGGTGATATCTTCCTCCATTCCTTGTAGGCCTTCGTCCATGCGTACATTGCCGTCTCTTCAGCCTGCTTACCAGAGACGAGCTGACGTGGTTCAGACTTGTAGTGTTTCAGAAACTTCTCGTTGCAGCCGAACAGACGCCCTTCGAAAGATGTCTGAGAACAGTACAACGAGCCTGAAGTAGAAGCTGACCCATGATTACCAACATAGAAGCGAAGGTCCTGTGTAGCGTCTTCTTTTCCGTCAGGAACGCCCCACAAGTCCCCGTAATTGATCCTATAAAAGGATCCGCTGCTTGATGAAGTAGAGGTTGTACTAGTTGGAGGGCCATGATTTAGAGCTCAAAGCATTCCATTTCTTGCGTACATTTCAATTTCTCTCAAACCTGAGGACACACAGGGAAATTATGAGGAGAAACGAAAAAAATGGCTTGCTTGGTTGTAGAAATGAAATATTTATTTGAGCCTTAAATGATGACCGACGGAGGTTGTTGTAAAAATCGCACTCCTCCTGCTCGCTAACGCTGAAGAAGAAGGTGTACTTGTCCCAGAATTCATCATAGACACCGTCGGCAGCGGTGGCCAGAAACTCAGATCGTCATCATCCGCACCCTCGTCGGACGTCAAAACCCAATGCCAACCAGTGCCCTGATTCAGATCCTTGCCAATCTTAGCCGTTTTTTTCTGGTGTATCATTAGAGCTGTATAATATTAAGTTGTGACCCAGATGTAAATGATTGACTGACGCCGTCCTTCTCCAGCATGTTGTATCTGAGCCCCTTCATTGGAGCTAGAAATAAATACTAGGTGGAACAATACAACAGTGTCAATGGTCACAGCAATAAGTACTAGTAAAGGAACATCAATCAGCAGACAATCATCTACAACCACCTAGTACTTCTAGAGGTTTTACAATGTACAAGAAATCTTGCACAAAGACGAGAAGCCTGCCGTGCAGAGGACGACTGCGACGACAAAGGCAATGGCGCGAATAGTAATGCTGCACTAGCTAGCTAGCTCTTCTTGAGGTTGTCGTGGGTGCATCTAAATCTTCTGTGGTAGTCTTAAGATCAGAGAAGCCGCATCCACATCCACTGCGAGCTTCATCATGGTCACCCATTCATCGTTGCCCCAGTATTCTTTTCCACCTTTTGCCGTTTTAATTAGAAGAGCGCGAAAAAGTGCATCTTTTCGACTGATTCTCTCAATGAATACCCTGAGAATCTGGCTCCTCGACTTCCTTGAGGCGATTTCTAGACACTATGTAGTTCGGGTAGCTCTGTCTGAAGAGCAAACTTTGAAGAATGCAGACACGTAATAAATAGTAAATGTAGGATCGAATTAGATTCATTTGCAGTTGCAGCAATTGTATTGAGCCCTAATTCACTGCTGTCCCACTTTGGATTGGGAGCAGCTGGAGGTGCAGCATCGTTTGTTGAGCCACGACTCCCAGACCCAGAATCAGTGGTGGAGGGTCTAGTGCCCAAAAATGAGGTACTCGCAAGACCTCCCGTGTCATGTGTATTTGTTCCCGTCATCGTCACGTTTATGTTAATGTTGTAGGCGTCGCTCTCGATATCTTGCCCAGATTTTTCGAGTAGGCCCATGAAGTTCAAACCCGTGACAACGACAGTAGGGAAAAGGAGGAGACCCTCCAAGAGCATGACCTTCATCATGATCATCATCTTCATCCAACTCAAGCACTTCAAATTTTAGGATGATGCGTTAATAGACGTCCGCATCTTCGAGGATCCGACTCTTCTGGGTCTCTACGACTACGAGAAGAAGAGTAAGTCGAACCCACAGAAAACAAGAACAAGAAATTAATAGGAAATAATCCAGTTTTTCTAGACGATAGTGGATTAAGAAATAGGTGGAAGTAAGTACTTGTTGCACAATGACACAGTAGATCTTCCAAAGAGGATAGATCCAAAGAGGAGAACGAGAAGTGGTGGACAAGAAAGTAGGGCCAAAATAATAATGATGTTGGGTGAAAGATATTGATGCTTTCTCTGCTGAGTGAAGATCGCAAAAGATTTACTTGAGGTCGTGAAGGATGAATTATCATGTATGAGCATGTAATGAATAATGTCAAAATCGCCCTGCAGATTCTTTCATCTTCATGTGACGACACTCCTGACAGATGATGTCGATGTCTCAGATTCAGTTCAAGGCTTCTTCACTTGCTTCATCGTCATCTCCACCTTCTCGCATAATTCTCTCAACAGATGCTGTTGTAGTTCCTCTTCACGGCTGGACCACACTCATCATCTTCAAACGGACTTTTGTATGAGAATCTTTGTTGTCAGAAAAGACACTTCCGCTCATCAGAATCTTAGACAGAAGACTGCTCAACAGAAGTTCTTTATCTGTGCTTGTTTCGACGCGGACGAAGTTGTACTACTTATTAAGGGTAGCAGCAAGTTGAAGTTGACATATCTAGCTCGCAATCGCATATCTATCCTCTTGTGGTTCAAGAAACCATCAGAAGAAATGCCCTGTCAACGAGAACAAACCTCCGCCTCCCACCCCTCGCCGCCACACTTACTAGAGAAGGTCGCACCTCGTTTACTTATGCCATTGTGGCTTGATCTCGGTTCAAATTCGAATCGTAAATATAGCTGCAGGCCCTCCGCTTTGGCCTTGTATGTTGTCCAGAAGATCCGAACACTTGTTCTATCCGACGCGTGGAGAGAATAGCATGTTGTTGTTGGTGCTGTACTTACTTTAGGGAGGAAGTAGACATTCAGAAAGGATGTTGCTGCTGCTGTAATCATCCATGTTGTAGTTAGTAAAGAAGACAGTAGCGATAGCGTCAAGCGAAGGTGGATTGCAAGCTGTCATTTTTTGGGTTTTTTCTTATTGTGTTCTTTTTTTTTCTAAACTTTCGCTCAGAGTCCAGAAGATCCCACCACCAGAAGTAGGAAAAAGCCCTCCTTGATCGTATAAACTTAAAGTAGAATAATTGCTGCCTGTCGTGACAGCGGCCCAGCGTAGTACCTCCTGCTCAACAAGGTCGCTGGCGAGCTTGAATTTCATATCCCTCTCCTCATCAATAAACCTCACCAAAGCGGCGTTGTCGAAGGTCTCTGCAGTACCAGGTGGCACTGCCAAGCCTCCTCCAACCGCCGTGGGTTCTGCACCGGCAACCTGCGGAGGACACTCTTCACAAGGAACAAATTGAAATTGTTCTGGGTTGATCATGTTCGCGGCCCTCGGAATTTTGACATCGGCGACACTACGAGGCAGGGGGGGCTGTAGAGGTAGATGATCTGTTGCTCCTCCTGCGTTTTGATGAGGCACTCAGGAGGAGCAGCAGTTCATCTACCTGGTTACTGCTCGTAGGTTACCAGACGATGGATGCTCCTGCGTTAGTTGAACTGCTGCTCCTCATCGCCTGGTGCGCTGGGAATTGGCTTTGGCGGCGCAAAAATCCCACCAGCGCATGCGTACGTGGCTGCTGCACTTGAAGATGCATGGGTATATTCAGATGAACTGAAGAAAATCCCCGGCGGTCGGCGAGGAGTTGTGGCCACAGGTTTTTCTTGGGGCACTGGCATCACCGGAAAAAACCTGCGTCGTAAACGCCTGCTGCTGAACCGGAATAAGGACCAGCTGCGTCACCGCTGCCTGACTTAGACGTTACTTAAGTATATTCATCTTGAAGAGCATCTTGGCAGTCCTTTTCTCTTACAAAACCCCTCCAAGATGCTTCTCAAGATGAATTACTGTAAGCCTCAACTGACTGCTCAGCGTAGTAGCTGTAAAGGGTCATGGCAGTGGTGCACGAAGCTTGTTCGAGTTGGACGACACGACCAGCGGGAGTAGGTACAACAAGCAGTGCGCAACAAGCTGAGGCGTGACTAATATTTCCCCTATACTTGTGGTGGAGCCGACCTAGCTAGAAAAAAGAAAGACCAGAGGAAGATAGAAAAGAGAAAAGGGTAACTATTTCCCCTATAGATACTATAATCCTCCCGCGCTTGTTCAGTGCCTGTTGTTGTACCTAGTGCTCCCGCTGGTGTCGTCCAACTAGGTACAACAATAGGTACTGAACCGCGGAAGATTGCGCCGGAAACTGACAGGACCAACACTTCTAGCACAAAATATTATGCAAGGAGAGGACGACCACGAGCACTCCACCGGTTGTGTAGTGCTGTTGAGCCGCATGACGCAGAGGTGGTCACACACGCGAAAGTGTTTTTTAGCTTTAGTTCGGATTGCGAATTAACTATAATTGATGTGTGTGTCCTTGTTCTTCGTGGTCAAATAAGTAAAGTAGTTAACAAGTAAAGCGTGCAAGTTAGTGCACCAAATAAATTGGAATTTTTGATTTTTGTGGACCAGGACGAGCATTTCAGGATCTTTTTCACGAGGAACATGATCGATTTCAGTCGATCGTAACGACCTTACAGAACTCTGTAAAACTAAAAGCTGAGCGTTTCTCTAATTTTTTTCGAAATTTATATTTCGATCTAAGTTGTACATGTAACAACTCAGGAGACAAATGCTCCTACATTAATGAGAATGCGAACGGGTCGTGTGTGGTCAGTGCTTGATGCATTTGATAGTTCTTGTCTAATGCTCATACAACTTCTGTGACTCTTGAATTCAGTCATAGTTTTTAGCGAAAGTCCTAGCACGGGCGGGGTCATGATGAATCTGAATAATTGGACGAATAATTGAAATGGTACATGGAATTGCAAACGATTGCGATATCGGTGTTGTTAGCTGGAATTTTTACGTGATGAAATAGATGTTAGTGATTACGTTAGACAGATAATGCTTTCCTGGGCTATTTATGATCATCGTGATGAGAGAGGACAGACAGTGCGGATAATTGCGATTAGTAAATGGGTTCGACTTGTTATTTTGTAGATGAAGAGAGGAAGAGCAGCTGTATCTATAAATGCCATTTTTACTTAGTTAAATTTCTGCTGCAGAAGTAATACTATGCGGTGATGTGTGAGTGAATTGATAGTCGTGACAGGGCGTTGATGTGTGGAAGTTCTTGTAGATGGATAAATATCATAAAATAGTTAAGTAATAGCGTGAGTCCTTTTGTCTTCATCTTCTTATTTCGTATTGCTTTTGCTTAATGGTACCATTCTAATTCTTTCTTGAAAAATTACAAACGTCGCAACTGCAGAACGCGATCTCGTTCGCAAACGCAAGAATCCTTTAGGCTTTAGCTGTATAAGGTTCATGAGTATAAATCTGACAAAACTTTTGTTATAATAATCAGCGACACTGCGTCCGACGATATCGATAGAAATCCTCAGCAACAATGCCCCCATGAAGATGAAAACACTTCGACCTACGGGGAGTGTCTCTGCATCATCTTCTTCACACCCTTATCGTTATTTGTAGAGTAGTATCAAACCCTCTGACGCAACTATGTCCTCCATCTGAGATTCTCCTTGGGTTTTCTACTTGTCGTTTTTGTTCAAACCATCAGACATGAAAATGTCCAACAATTCTACAGCTCCCCTTTCAGTTTCAAATCATCAGACCTAATGTCCAACAATTTTACAGCTCCCCTTGAAAATCATCTTCATAAACAATGCCCCATGAGAAAAAAACCTCTGACCCCTGGAGTAGATTCACAACCTGTAGTTGTTTTGGAGTCAGTAGAAAAGTCTCTTCAAAATATTTCCAAATTTAAGCCAAAACAAGTTCCACCCAGTGTTTTCTACTTCATCCTCCCATTCCCTTAACGGCGCTACCTCCACCAGCCGATATTTTGTTCCACTTCATGGAACACTTCCATCCGGTTCTTTGCTCTTCATGGGATAATGCTGTCTGAAGATGACACAACTAACCTCAAGAACAAGATCAGCGTACATTTATGATTCTTCTGGAGCACCGGCCACACAGTTGACTGAAAGGCAGTTGGTGCCTCCTGGTGCTGCTCCGCTCGCACTGATGTTAGCGGTTGATTAACAAGTTTTCTCCTCAGCCTGAGGGAGACAGTCAGACAAGCCCTCACATAATCAAGCTCAAGTAGAAGATGCTTATGCTTTTTGTTTCTAGTAAGAACGAAAGGAGAAGACAGAAGGATAGGATAGGAGTTGAGTTGGATATGAACATGAATCATTAGAAAGAAGAGCCTTAATCGCTGGTGCGCTGGTGTCTGCAACTCCAGAAACAGCTGACTTGAGCCTGAGCGACTCAGGTACGAACGCCAAAGCGACTTCACGGGCAAGCATCACGAACTGTTCGTGGATCCTCTTGTGCTCCTCCGGAATTTTATATTCATCCGCCAGGTTAGAGCAGCAGTTTATACTTTTGCTGTAAGCAAAACCATGTCTTTTGTAGCTGCTCAGTCTGAGGATGTCGCGAAGACTAAGAATAGTTCTTACTTGCTCTTGAGTCACGATGAAGACGATGAATTTTTCTCGAGCAGGACGTCAAAAATGTCCTCAACTTGTTGTTCTTGTACAGTCAGAGGTCCCACTTACGTATATAATTTATTCCTCCATTGGCTTTTGATGTGGAAGTAAGTTTAAGAAAACTCAAGGAAGTGGAAGCAAAATGAAAAAGACTATCTAGGCCAGCAATTGTGCCTACTCGACAATGAAAAAGGTTCCTTAACCAGAGTATCCATGTTGACGCCCTCGGGCGCCTTCTCGAGGTTCGTCATCGCTTCTGCATTATGGAACCAGTCCCAAAGATACGCCACACTCTTGTACAGTTGCTCTGGATTCTCCACTTTTAGAAGTAGCAGAGGGAAGAGGAAGATGAGGAACTTTCTGTATATAACAAGGATAAAGAATAAGAAAAGAAACGAAGATCAAGTAGATGTTGCCCGTGTTGAAGTCGCTCGAAGTCGAAGTATCCTTCCACCTTGTTGCTAAAAATAGAAACCCTTTCAGTTTTTTATTTAAAAACTGGTGGGGAAAAGGTAGATAGACACAACTTGTTTCATCTACGAATTTTGAATAAGTCTACTCCTTAACCTCAATCCGCTGATGATGCCAGAGGCGCGACTGGCCGGGTTTTGAAGGTGCTCCAGAATAGTGCGCATCTGGAACTTTGGATCTTTATCTTGGAACTCGGCCTCGGATCCGAGTAAGATCTCGATGAAAGAATGCGCGCCGGTGTAAGCAAAATTGGCGACCATGTGAAGCCGCATCGTTGCCAGTTCGTCAGCAGTCTGGGCATTCCCGAACAGTTTTTAGAAGTCAGAAGTGTGCTAGTATTAAGCAACTGCTTCTAGCAAAAGCAAGATACCGAAGCGCACGGCTACAGTCGACGCAGCCCCAGCCATTTGTCAGAAATAAAAAACATCATCCACATGTTCTTTTTCATGATCAGCCCTTAAACGTGAACGAACTGCATCATATCGCCGGCGCTGCCGCTGGGACCATTCATGCGCAAAAACCCGCTCTCGTCAATCGCACGGATCGGCGTGACGTAAGCTTTTGGCTGACACTTATCTAGCACCTCCTGTTGGGCTTTTTCGTTAGCGGCAGCATTAAATTCCTCCTTCATTTGGTTCTTTTCCGTGCCGTAAGGATCGCAAATTTTCTTAGAAAGTGGATGGGGATCTAGTTGCCCCGACCTACTAGCCACTAATTGATGGCCGAGAGCGGGTCATGCGGCGGGCTGGTTTAGAATCTAGCACTACCACTAGTAGCTGTTGAAGGAGCGCCAGTAGCTGGAGGACAATCACCACGACAGAGGCATAGTATCATCATGAAAAGGCAAGAATAGTAATACTTTACTAAAAGCGTCGCTATTCTCTTATGAGGTACCTACTTGATTGCGACCTCGTTCGTTATCGTTTCCGTCAAGAAAACTGTGTCTAATTACGGTTACGGTAGTACTTCTTGTAAAAAAAAAACGATACACGAAACGCGAAGTAGGAGATAATCATCATAGCGAGCTCCTCTAAAACTTACAGCGACAACAAAGGCGCTGCCATAGAATCCTAACAAAAACAGAGTCAAAAACTGAATGCAGCCAGCACTATAAACGACTTAAGTGTGTGATAAGTGCCAGAAGGACGAAGGACAGGAGAGAACTGCGCTGAGTTTGCTGTTTCTTGTGAATGTGAAGGAGTGAAGACGAGATGAAATGCAACATTATACATAGATCATACACAATATGAGGTGGGTCGAAGTGAATTCACGATTTTCTGCATTTAATATCGTTGCCCTAAATTCCGGAAAGAAGATGCGGATCCCGGAGAGTTTCTTTGCGTCGCCTGTCGGCTTGAGTTCGAATGTCTCCTTGGTGGTCTTAAAGATGCTAGTATTGATATCTTGTTGATCTGAAACTGAGTCTGGCTATAAAACTGACGACTCTAATATTTCTGTGTTTCGCTCATCCACATCCTCATCCATCAACATTTTTTAGACACATTCATCGATAGTGCCGTGAAAAGAGTCGTGAAAAAAGGTAAAGGTCTCAATGAATCTTTATCTTAACGACCTTTGTGATCGATTTGTACGATATGACTCACTCACCTTCTTGTGGTAGTTTGGAATGGATGGAACCATTGTCGCTTCATGGTAGTTTGTGATATACGATATGGTAGATTCAATTAAGGAGTACGCTCGGCATTTTTCCGCTCAAAATTTTGAGTTGCAGCTTCAGCTTACGCTTTGCATACAAGTCTATTCAAAAATATCAGCGCTCATAAGCGCGTCGGCTTCCGCCTCCCCCTGCTCTACTTTCTCGTACTGCAGCGGCCAAATCGCAGAATAGCAATGATTGGATTGGAATGCACGAGTACCATAGACGGAAGTAACCAACTGCTGGCTGTTCACGTGATTGTGCATTAGAGGGGGGTGGTTCTTGTTGACGTAATATTGTTCACATCAGCATAGGCTTACGCATAGGGATAGGATCAGATAAGTATTTAGTTATTATAACAAGAGGTAGCCGATCCCGATCGGAGTTATACACGGAAACGAGCGGGCGCGGTTGTCCTTGTGGTGGTGGTCTTTTATGTCGGCTAGTGCTATAATCAAGTACGGGCTATCAATTTCTATGTCTTGTGCGGTGTCATCATCTATCGGTATGCGTATGGCTGTAAGGTTATGATGTAACGAACACGAACTTACTCTCAATAATAATCTCACTGTCAACGTTGGTCGTTCTTGATAAGAAGTACTATCGCTTACATATTTGTATTCCTCCAAAAACAAAAGCGTACATAGCAACAGTATCATGGAAAGTTGAAAAGACCAGATCATTAAGCCGATGACACTCACAGGGAAGGCTAAGACAACAAATATTGACCGATGCTCTACTACTTTCACACTTTCTTAACGAACTCTTATCCAGTCCTGGATGCACTGCAAGCGAGGCCGCGCGTTCAGCAGAACTGATAGAAGGCGATAACGGCAGGAAGTTACGCACAACCGCAGCACCATCCTGCTTTTGAATTTTATCAAATAGCAACATGCTCCATTTCGGAATAAGATGATGCCAATTTTTAGAGGCAGGACAAAGAGAAACTAGTCGTACGTAGTTGTTCTAGCTACTTCCTCTCTAGGTTCCTTGTACACATTCCTTCGTGTCGCTTGAAATAATCCATCAAGATGAAGAACTGAACCATTTTATCATCCGGACGAGCTGATGAAGATGATGGTGATGCCACGGATGAAAAATATGCATAAAATAATGACATTTGCCACATTCCCTTCATGATAAACTACAACATGTACATAAAGAGAATGCGAGCAGTTCAACTAAGTCGGAACAACTTCATCTTTTTGCGTTTGCCTAAGTACTTCTATCTTCATATTGGAGCTCCTGGGATTCCAATTACAACATCTTTATTGTAGTTGTTTCTGGTTTTCTCAGGAGCTCCAATATGAAGATAGAAGCACTTAATGAGTCAAAACAAAGAAACCAGAGCTAAACATCTTGTTCAGTTCTTTGCGCTTGTTCTAACTTCTTGTTGACAATTTTTATAACTTTCTTCAATTTGAGCCGTCAAAGGAGATGAGTGTCAACTACCTTCACGACCACAGATGCAGAATGAATCTATCAGCATTATAAAAAAACTGAAAGCATAAACCAAAGGTTCCACCCTTTAGGCCCCTCAGCGAACTCTCTCCAATCGTCAAGCAAAGCGAACTCTTTTTAGCGGTATAGATATGGTTATGGATTCTGCGCCAAATAATATCTCAATATTAAAAGATACAGGATGATGCTCCACGTCCACAAGAGACAGTGCCGTGGAATAGGGACACTCCACGTCTACACGAGACAGTATCGGGATTCAAATTGAAAGGAGTCCACCACCTAGTAAACAGATAAACGAACGCCGTTCGAACTCGGAGGGCCACAATATCAAGACACGAACTTCCTAATATGGTATGGAAACGGAAAAGAACCAGTCATAATGTTCGGACAAGAATTTCATTCGGGCCGAGTCGCGTTTTTCATCCGGAAACGGCGTCTGCAACGCTTTCTTAACGCCGTCGTCGTCCATCAACGTGTTCCCAGAGGTTTAGAAGATGATTAAGATCAAGATCGATAATTCTCTTTTTCTAAACAAAACCATCACGATAGAGAATACTTCATCCAGTTGTGCGTACTAACGCGACAACTAACTTGGACAAGAGCTTGAAGCAGGTGTACGTCTGACTGCTAAATGCCAACGGCCGCTGATATTAAAGAGTAGTTAGCGTACTTTTTTTTGGTACTCATCCTGAGGTGTATGAAAAACTTACTACATGATGTGCATCAATAGATTACTTATTGTGACAAACAAAGAATTGCGCTTGCTCAACCTCAAGCTAGCTAACATTCAAGAAATTAAAAACCAACAAGTGTAGAAGTAAAAAAGGATTGAGGATCCAAGTGCCATAAGCTTCGCCAGAGGGAACCTCAATTGCGCGAGCCATTACGGGAACCAGATACTCGAACTCTTTCATGTTCGAGTAGAACAGATTCTGCAAGATGCGAAAGTTCACGTCTGGCATTAGAGGGGTGTTTCGTCCTGCGTGGAGGTTGTAACATTATAATGCTCCTGATGCTTTTTTACTTTTTCTTCATCTTAGTTAACTCAACAAGTCAGTGCTCAATCACGTACTACATACAGTTACAACAGTAGGTACAGAATCAACGAAAAACAAGAACGAAATCAATGACGTCGGAAAAAAAAGGGGGTGAATCGTCCCACTGGAAAACGACTTCCTACTCTTTTTTTGTCTAGAGTACGGTGGTCGCCTTGCAGCTTCTCCTGCACTTTTTAGTGGCCTCAGAAAGCAAAAAATGAACATTATTTTTCCATTTCAAATTTCTTCAGTATTTCTATTAGCCCACCTAAAAGATTTGGTGCTAATATCTCATCTGACATCTATGTTTCAGAGCAAGTTGAGTTCTATTTCGTGAAAAGAACAACTCCATGAGCGCCATTATCCTTTTGTTGTACTTATTACTTACGTGGTCGCATGTTGAAAAGATGAAACAGGTTGCCGTGCCCGGTCGTGTCCCTACACAAGCATATACCTTGCCCCCCTTTCTAGATGTTGAGACAACAAAGGTGACTGACGCATCAAGAGATGAGTACCCCGTAGATCATCAGGTAGTTGTTAATATTTGCATTGGTTTTGGTGTGCGAGTGGTTTTGGAACTGAATACAATTGATTAACCTGTCTGGGAACGACATTCAGATAGGATAGAATACGACGCATTGAAACCTTGCGTAACTGTCCTTTCCACAGCTTGCGCAGTCTCGTCATCCACTTTTCGTTCCAGGCTTGCGGACCATGCGGAGCATCATCACTACCGGCACTGTCTTGCGGCACCTGTACCGCAATCGTTTCCACAAGAAGATTAGTGAGAAAAAAGCACAAGGAAGCTGCAGGCAGAGGCACTAGAAGAAGTAGCTGGTTTTGATATCGTGTCACCAAGGGTCCCCCTCATGTAAACTGCTTCCAGTGTGGTTGTCTGAGGAACAAAAAAATGAGCAGGGAAGGGAAGGGGCTGGGAAAATTAAAAGCACGAAGGCACACGCTCCCAATTCGTAAACTCTGACAAGGACGAGGAGCCGCCTTCAATCGCTTACTTTTATTTCACACAGAAATGCTATTTCTTGTACACAAAAATCCGCTCATTCGGTCGGAATGGCGCAGAGGCCGTCAGAAGATGGCCTTTACACGAGTTCGAAGCCCCAAAATTCAGACCCTGAAGAGTGCAGAAAGTATCAAAGAAGAAGAACCAACAAGTTCAGAAAAACTCGTACTGTATCATCATAGAAAAAGGATCAACCCGCTCAGAGAAGCCAACCGCCAAGTCAGTCCCGAACACCCATCGACCTGAACCTGAGGTCATCACTTCAAATGAACACTTGTAATGATCTCTGTACCACAGGCATGATCATGATCATGCCGCGTCTTCTTACAAATCCTTACCTTTTCTTCTCCTTGCGAACTACGCTCCTTCACTTGAGTGACTCTACACGTACAAAGGAAAACTGTCGTTGTCGACAGAGAAGCAAGTAAATAAGTCGGCTATTTAACACACACACACACACACACACGCATTCTGTCCTTAATAGGACTGGACTGCATCGAGGGTTCGAGCATCGCCGCACCTTGAAAGCCCTCGGGTTGCTTCGGGTGCGGCATATCATTCACAGGCCCTGCCGTCTTCTTGAACTCCTCCGTATATTCATTTACTTTGGTCGGCTCCGAAAAATTAGAGACTTCATCGACCACGATTTTTATATGACTACATCATCTATCAAGAAGAGGATCATGATCTTCGGCTTCATTCATCATGATGGTCCACCTCTACGTCATCTACATCTTATTCTTCTTCTTCTTCTTCTCGAGTGCCAAGCAACGTAGTTCCTCAAAAACGTGGAAGCATGGAAGAAGTGCAATCTTCATGTTGCTGTAAATAGAAGTGCTAGAGCAGCAGGTCTTAAGCTTTGGTGCGTTTTCGCCGCCGGAAACATCGTCCACATCGTAGATACATACCGGATGCAGGTTCCCAATTTCGCCCTTTAGGTGTTTATCTTTCGGCTACTTTTTAGAGTTCGTCATCCTTAATGTGAATAGTATTTTGTTGAAGGAGTGCTCGACGTCAACACTACAGAGGTCGACGATTACTACTTAGTCTAAAAATCACGTGTGTGCCCCTTCCGACGTAAGTACCTGCTTTCATATGTAGTCGTCCAATGTTCATGATCTTCCTGCTGCTTGATGTCAATGTAAAAAATCTACTGAGTCTAGATCATATTCTAGACCAAGATCAGGAGGTAGGATTTACGAGTAGAAGTCGGCCGAAAATCAAAATGAAAATATAAAAAACAAAATAAGCAGCAGGTGCAGGGTTGATTTTAGTAATAAAAAAACTGGATGAACGAGACGAGGCAAATGGGAGCCAATATTAAGAGCAATAAAACTTTGCAAACACATCCCTTCGGAAACCTCAACCTCCAACACCCAAACCCAAAACCTCCAACACCCGAACCCAAAACCTCCGACACAAAAACAAACAAACCCCGAACCCATGAACCCATGAACCCATGAACCCACGAACCCAGGAACCCAGGAACCCAGGAACCCAAGAACCCAGGAACCCAGGAACCCAGGAAACCAGGAAACCAGGAAACCAGGAAACCGCGAAACCATGAAACCCTGAAACCAGGAAACCATCCAAGAAACCAGGAAATAACCAGGAAACCAGGAAACCAAGAAACCATGGGATTGAATTTCGGGGGAAAGGGCTTAAAATCAAAAATTTTAGGATCTTAACGCTTCAAACCCACGAGACTCAATCTCAAAACGACGACAAAACGGGGAAAATTTTCGAAATTTGAAAAACGCGAATCCAAGGAGTTAAATTTCAGAGAAAGGGCCTAAAATCAAAAATTTTAGGATCTTAGCCCTTCAAAATCAACGGACTCACTCTCAAAATGACGAAAAAAGTTGAAAGCTTTCGAAATTTGAAAAACGCGACGCCAAGAGATTGAATCTCAGGGAGAGGGCTTAAAATCAAAAGTTTTGGGATCTTATTTAACGCTTCAAACTCACGCGACTCAATCTCAAAACGGCGACAAAATGGGGAAAATTTTCCAAATTTGAAAAACGCGAAGCCAAGGCATTGAATTTCGGGGGAAAGGGCTTAAAATCAAAAGTTTTGGGATCTTATCGCTTCAAACTCACGGGATTCACTCCCGAAACGACGAAAAACGTGGAAAATTATCGAAATTGGAAAAACGCGAAGCCAAGAGAATGAATCTCAGGGAAAGAGCTTAAAATCAAAAACTTTGGGATCTTAGCACTTCAAACGCACCGAATTCAACCCCAAAACGACGAAAAACGTGGAAAATTGTCGAAATTGGAAAAACGCGAAGCCAAGAGATTGAACCTCAGGGAAAGGGCTTAAAATCAAAAATTTTGGGATCTTAGCACTTCAAACGCACAAAATTCAACCCCAAAACGACGACAAAACGCGGAGAATTTTCGAAATTTGAAAAACGCGAAGCCAAGGCATTAAATTCCAGCGAAAGGGCTGAAAGTCGAAAAGCTTTGGGATCTTAGCCCGACTTCAAACACACGAGACCCAATCCCCAAACGATGGCAAAACGTGGAAAATTTTCGAAATTTGGCAACGCGTATCGCTTACGTCGTTGCCTTGCTTAGTTTCTTATTTTGGGGAGGAGGGGGATCCTAGTGGGAGGGATGTTATCGGGCGCTCCAAGCTAGTAAATATATAATGAGTGTCTATATAATGCGTATTTCAAACGAAAATCCATCAACTCCAAAATCAATCTAAAGCGTCAAGTCTTAACGGCAATGGCCTTCGCGCAGTCATTCGGGTCCTTCATCACGAAACGGAAAAAGAGTGCTTCCTCCAACGATTTTGCTTTAACGTTGTCGAAGCCCTTCCAGATGACCACAGGAACAGCATCTGCAGTAGATGTGAAGAAGATTGATGACGTTGTAGAAGAAGATCTTTGCTGTAGTACTAGCAGTAGTAGCAATTCCGCTAATAAAACTACTGGATTAATTTTAGAAAGACCAAACACCTGAGATAGAGCCTATCTTTATTATTTCGAAGCTGTGGAAGTTGTGACGAGTTCGCTGCGCCCGAGTTGTGGGAGTTTTGGCAATTGCTGTGACTAGTCTCAGAATTGCGGTGATTAGTACTAGTTTCATCTTCACTGTGACTAGTAAGCTTCGAACTTACATCCTGCGACTAGTCTCAGACAATCTGCGACTAGTCTCGCGCCCACTGTGACCAGTCTCAAGCTTACCGGGATAGCCTCAGAATTACTGCGACTAGCCTCAGACTTACTGTGACTAGTCTCAAACCCAAGCAATGCGGCTAGTCTCTGGCTGAGTTTGTTTGTCAGGCTGTTAGAATCTTAACACCATCAGAAAAGGCAGCAGGCTGGAGACTAGTTACAGCGAGCGCGAGACTAGTCCGGCAAGCTTGAGACTAGTCGCAGTAAGTTTGAAGCTAGTTGCAGTAGGTCTGAAACTAGTCACAGCAAAACTGAGACTAGTCAGGATAAGGCTGAGACTAGTAGCAGGAGGTCTGCGACTAGTCCCAGCAAAAAAAGGCTGAGACTTGTCGCAGTAAGTTCCGCCCGAGGCTCGTCGCAGTAACTGCCACAGCTTTCCAACTTCAAGGGCAACCGAGTGACAAAGCCCGCAGCGATTTCATAGGTGGACGGTCTTCGTAATAATTCATAATAACAGTATGCACTAAGAACTGGGTAACAAGGTTAACTTTGATTAAGCGAGTAAACCTTAGATAGTCAAAAAAAATTCACATGATTTGAAACAATGGCTAACTTTGATTAATTCATACTAAAGCATACCTCCACCTTCATCTAGCCAGAAAAATTCCTTGACGCAAGGGGGCACGACTTTGGCTTATTTGCGAAGCTTCCATCTTGTTAAGCTTGTGCTTGTCAGCTGGTTGTCAGTCGCTAAAAACAAGAAGACGAAAAAAATGACAAAAGCGCCTTCTAACCACAACGCTATGCATCAAAAAAATCGTAGTTTAAAATATCAGTACGGTCAAAAAAATCGTAGAGCAAAATATTTTCGTAGTTGAGCTGGAAGTCTCTTGCTCATTGTAGTTTTCGTTCCACCAAGACCCAAGGAACGATCTCGAAACAAGAGTTCGAAGATGCAAAGCGTAACATACTACGCGTACGCCAGAAAGTGCATATCATTCCGTCTTCAGACCAAGAACGAAAGAATGCTGTAAATCAAGACTTTTCATCAAATCTTTTTCCTTTCCCCTTCTACAAACAAGTTTTATAATTAATATATATAATTAATAACAAAGCTGCGATACCCTTTGAGACCCTTGCGACACCCTTACAGCCCCCCTTATGAAGCAGGCGACCCCTTATGATTTCTCCCCCCCTTTGTGACCCCCTTACAAGTTGGCACCTTTTTCCAACCTCTTCACCGTCGAACTCCGCAAAGTGCGCGCACACCTTCGCACTCACTGCAAGCGCTCCTCCTTGATGGTGTTCGGGATGTCGCGACTTTTGAACATCACCGCGCGCCGCTCTCCCATGGAAGTTGTCAGCTTTTGGACCATGATCGACAAGAGACACAGAGCGTAGAAGAGTGCGCACCGGTCTACCTTGCAAGAGGGCCGCGCCCTATCGTAGTGATAGTTGTCTGGTCTCTCTCCGTGTGCTTTCACAGTCAAGAAGATGAACAACAACAACCAAGAGGAAGAAGATGGCGCATCTTCAAGGCCTTGGGCTGCGTGCGTGTCTCACATGTGGAGACTTCTGGTTCGATTTGGGCGATGCTACTCGCAATACTTGCAGCCGGCCACATGTCTCGCAGATGGGCAACCGATGGGGCGGGCTATGTGCCTGCCATCCGAAGGGAGCGCGCTGCTTGCTATTGATTGGGCGCCTGTTCAGTGTCCGCTTTGTGGTTGCCGGCTCTTTGCAGAGGAGGCGCGCCGCTTCCACCATTCCACAACACCAGCGCCGACGGCTGACTCCCATGCTGTTGCAACGGTGTAGGAAGTACCCGCCCCCCTTTCCCGGGTGATGCTGTTGCTGGTGTTGCGGGTCAAGAAGGAGAGCTTCCTCCTGGCGCTGTTCTTGCTGCAAACGGAGCACCAGGCGAAGGAGGTGCTGAAGATGGGAAAGACAAGGGCAAAAAAGGCCGCGGGGGAAGCCAAAGGCAAAGCGAAGGCCAAGGCGAAGGCGCGCGCTGCGCCATACTGAACTCACGCCACAGAATAACAGGGCCGACAGGCGTGCTCCATCCTTTTGCACTTTCTTCGCCGGGTGTTTTCCGGGCGCGTGCCCTTTGTTTCCATTTTCTTCAGCGAGTGCGTTGCTCTGTCCTCTTACGCGCTAATTTTGAAACGCCGCATGTGGCATTCCCACCCCACGACCAGACCGACCCTACTCAATTTCGCACGCGATCAGTAGTCCTCTGCTAGACCGGCCTGGCGGCTCTTTTGGTGTTCGCTACCTACTACCCATGGCGTTCGCTACCTACATCCCATGATCTTTCTCGATCTCTATCTCAATGCAGCCAGCACGCACCACACTAGTTAATTCTACAGCAAGCATTGCCTTGTTAGTAATACTATTAGTATTAGTTAAGTAAACTTTAAAAGTTACCTGGGTCAACCACATGCTCGCAATCAGTTGTCCGGATGATTTGGTCCAGCTTTGGACCATATTCCTCATATGACTTTGCATCTTCGCTCAACTTGGTGACGAAATTCTCGCAGGATACTTCTTAGAATCTGACTGCACTGGAAATCTACCTCGATCAAGAAGGGCATACGCATAGTGGTAGTGCTGCCCCTTCATCGAAAAAGGTTCCAGAAACGGTAACATATAGTTCCCTTGTTTGAAAATGCTGACACGATACTTTCTTTCTGCAGGTATAATCTAAATCTCAAAAATGTGTTGTTGAACCAAAAGACGTAAGTAAAACATTATTTTTGGAAAATTATGGTAATCAGTCAATGCATCATGGGTTTCTAATAGTAAGGCCTTAATTTCTATTATCTTCTTTGGACGGCAGGCTTGGGAACTGCGTAGTTTGTTTCAAAGACGCCGCAACTTGTTCGATCATGCCCGTGAACCCGTTCCACGATCGTTGTACCAACGTTTTCGCATTGTTCTTTCGAGCCATTGTACTATCCACCTCTTCAGCAGTCTTCGATCTTAGAGTCGGTGTTCCGGAGGAAGTAAGTAGTTGTTGTAAGATCAAAAAGTCAAGTGTCACTTGTGGGAGGCCACCGACCGCAGCTAAGAAAAAAACAATGTCATCTCCCCGGAGGGCCTACTATTTAGTTTTTAGTTTTACCTTCATCTACTACATTACATCACAATTATGCATGACGATGTTCACAATGTAACAAGGATTGCAGACTTTGCATCCAATAAATGCTTCCCATAAGCCAAACGCCCAGGCGAGGTAGATTTTCTCGAAAAAATGCTTGCGCCCGTTGATCCTCTATCTTAGAAGATAGTCCATCCTTACTCAAGAAAAAGACTGAAAAAGCGACCTAGCGAGCACTTCCTTATATCGATGAATTATGTCAAAAACCAAAAGGAGGCGCTCACTTGCAATCTTATGTCGTGAGAAGGAGTTCTCATTTATTTGAGTCGTCATCCCGTTCATTCCCTCGGAATAATAAAGAAGAGTCTGGCAACATCACCTTGAAAGTTCTTCTATTTTGTTTTTGGTTCCTCGTGAATAAAAAAATTCCATAGGAACTTCGTCCCACGACTTCGCCGGAGCTATCTAGGAATAAAAGGGGAACAACAACAACTGATTCTGATTCTGATGAGAGTATCGATTATATTACTGAGCCACATAGTCGCGATGAGCATCAAGTAGGATGCGAAAAAAGTAGTGCTGACCTTAACATTTGTTCAGCGATATCCTCTGGATTCGTGGAGGTGCATGTGTGTTTGATGTTCGACGCCTGCACACTCAGTTTTATGAAGTCCTCGAGCGTCTTTGGCCATTGATCAGCCTCTCTCATCTTCGACTTCTCCTGTTCCGATGCACCATTGTATGCGTCTTCGTATTCGCCTTTTGCTTTTTCGAACATCTCCTTTGCATTGTCCACCTCCACAAGAGTGAGCCGCGTCACAAACGGGTTCGGTTCTTCCCCGTATACCTTGGACAGAGCTGAGCTGCGCTGCCCGTTCTCGGCTTGCATAAAAGAGACCGACCAGTGTTTAGAAAATCTAATCCTTTCAAGACAAAGACAGAATGGTAGTTCCATAAGAGAACTAGAAAAGCTTTACTACTTGTTTGATCATACATTCTCGTTCATTCTTGTTGGCGAAAAATATAAACTCAACAGAGAAACGACTAATCTTAATCACGAGCTTCATTTCATACCCTTTCAATGTTATCTACTTAGCCGGGTACATCAACATCTTCTATAAATGAGCGTTATCAACATCTGTGGCAAGTTCTATGTCGATATACGTAAGCAGTTGTGCACGACAAGTGAAATCAAGGATCGATCATTATCTTCATTTACTCATAAGAAAGTAGAAAATCTCCTTGATAGTCTGGCGTAAAAAAGATACATTAGTAGATGTAGCTGTAAAGAACTTGTACTCCTACGGCAATAATTCTACTAGGTGGCTAAACATTTTTCTGCTCATTGTTGCTATCCGCTACTCATAATATGACATATTTTTCGTGCATTTCAGAATGAAACCGAGCTTAACTCTGAGTCTGGGAGTGAAATCCCGTTGCAGAAATGCGCCAGCCTCCTCCTGCTGCGGAAAGAGCTTATCCTGGAAGCTCGGATACTTCCCGAAAACACCTGTGTAGTCGATCGTGCCCGCAATGGTCACCTCTGGAAACGGCGGCTTGAAAACAATCGCATACGAACTACTGTCGGCAGCTTAGAAGGAAAGAAAGACAATTTCAACCTACTATGGAGCCTTTTTCTCATCCTCTCTACTTAATAAACTACGAGGACGAGAAGTACGTAGTCATGATTACGCTGAGTCAAATAGTCTTAGACTCTTACACATATAATCCATTCGCCTTAATAACGTTTTGCAACGGTCTTCTGTTGGTACGACAAAGCACCTAAACTAGGCATATCTTCTCTGCTTAGGAGCTTAGTATCTTCTCGACCAAGACCCTTCTTGCTTACGTTAGAGCTGACACCTACCCTTCTTGCGGCAAGTCGATCAAGATCACCGCCTACTTCATGGTCGGCGCCATCATGTAAATCTTATTTTGCTTTGTGTTTATTTCGCTTTCGTCAGACTAGAACAGTATAACGTTGCGTTCGTATGTAGTCAATACTGGGCAACGCTCTTCGACCAATGATGAATCATTTCTAGCGGGAGCAAACTTAACAACTACCAAATAGATGGCGAATGCAAACTGTTGCTGCAGTAACAAACTCTGGTGCTCTTATTCATAAAGATAAAATCAAAGTCTTCAAAATATTTTCAGATACTTATCGACTTTCGGAAGAAAGTACTCAAATCGTCCACAACCACATAAACAAGCAGATTGACATTTACTAGAAGTACGTAGCATAGTTCTTGCCTTAACTCTAGAAATCCCACCTGCACCAAGATCCGCAGTGAACGACAAGATGACGTCCTTGTTTTCTGCCCACACTGTCTCTGTCGCCAAAGTTTGTTCTGCATCTGCTGTCATGCCAAGTTGCTGCATCAAGAATGAGGCAAACGCTCCTCCATCCCATACCGAGGACGTGGAATTTGTCGAATTGTACTTAGAGATGACGATGGTGTTGATGAATCAAGAAAGTTGTCCCATGAAAATAGAGAAGAAACTCACAGTTTGAGTCAACACCGTCGCGATAAACTGAAAAAACAAAGTACGTAGAACAGAAAAGCAATATTCCTCTGCTGGATGTTGAAAGGTTACTCCTTGTCCTTGTTACCCATTAAAATACTCATTACTCAGTCTCAGACAGACAGTGTGTGTCGTAGTTATTAGATATTTCATTTAATGATAATGTTATTTCTTTTACTTTTTCATTTTGAAGAAAAACATCAAGGAGCTACTTCTTCTAGGTTCATAATGATCGGGGTGTAGTCTTCATTGAAGAACAAGTTGGTATAGTCGGAGAGTTGCATTGTTTTCTTTGCTCCAGCCTCCAAGGAGAAAAATAATCCCCCACCTAGAAGCACGAAAAAAGCCTCCAAATAACAGGGGATACAAATAAGCGTAAAACGCAATATCGTTCCGCCTCCTCGGTTGGACATCTTTGTCATCGTGTCCATCTCTGTCGATTGTTCTAAAATGGAGGTTGTTCACTTCTTGTTCTCCTTACTCCTTTTATGTCGAAGAATGACAATAACATCAATGCGGATGTCTTAGATGTTCTCAATCTTCGGTTTATAATATGCAGTATGATGAATATGTTCTTCTGAAAAGGTTCTCTTGTTGATGTGTTGTTGTAATTCTTCGCCTACGGGATTTTTGGTCAATCTTTCGGTCAGTGGCTTGGATCGAGGAGATTTGGTCATGCAAATGATGGCAATGCTGGGCGCAGGAGATGGCCACTTTCGATCATTATGACGTACTAGTAAAAACCGATACAACTACGCATATTTCTAAATTCATCAACACCATTGACAACGCATATTTCTACATTCATCAGTGACCATGAACACATCGCACGTAGCTCTATTTGTAGTCGTTTTTGACAAGACATTCTTTTCGAGTTCGACCGATACCGATACAAGACGACGAAATCCACATCTGGAGAACGAGGAGACCTGCGAGTTCGACCGATACCGATACAAGACGACGAGATCCACATACAGGACGTCGACATGAATCACCGAGAAGTGCTGGAGAAGCAAAAAGGTACCTTTTAAATATTTTTGCAGTCTTTACTTTTTCACTACTGTCAGTCGCTCCAATTTATGCTTTTCCTCAACTGCGACCTACATTCCTCTTTATTTTTAGGATAGGACACAGTTAGACTCTCAAATAACCTTGGCCCACTACAACAGAACTTACTACAGAGCGCACTCTCAAATATAACCTTGGCCCACTACAGAACTTACTTCTACACAGCGCCAGTTTTATCAGTCTTTTAAGGGCACACTATTGCCAGTTTTAGCTTCACTTTCTTCTTTTCTTGGACAGAGTTCGTGTAGCGTCGACTTCAACTGAGATGACGTAGCCACAAGATCATGAAAATCATAGTCCCGTGACGAAGGAATCATGATGAATCTTGTGCTGTGACAGATGAACAAACTCTCTTCTGGTGGTATTTTCGTGGCCCTCCACCGCGTGGACGAGCATGAGGCGTCGTGGTCCTCGTGTCTGTAGTTTGTTTTCATCTTTTGCATTTCTTGCATTTTTCCCTACTCTCCCATTCATAATGTCAATAGTTCTTCATCTTTTGAATCATAATGATCTATCAACAGTTTCAATTTCGTCACTTACTAAGAAATGCACCATAATCAATGTAGTTAGTTCTTTTCAATCATAATATCCCATGCGTGTTGAAGCTGTCAGATCGTCTTAGTTTTTGGTTTTACAACTTCATCGTAGTTGTGGTAAGAAATAGGTACGTTCTCATAGTTATTCTTGGTCATCTTAAGTGCAGATGTTGGCGTCTTTTCAAGTTGAAGTGCGCACTTCCGCACCTTGACCTTATCGCGTGAGTACGTCTTCATTTCAATCATCAGCCATATCTGCTTAGCTTGAAACAACTGCTCTGCACGACGCATGCTCCTACGTATAAACTCGACATCAATCGAAGGGCGCAAAAAAGCTGCGGCTTAGTGGTTCAGGCGTTGACCTGTACACTTATCACTGATGATGCTTTCGCCCTGCTCGTTTGATTGATTGTTAGCCGAATCGCATCCGCACGAGCATGTTTGCTCCTCCGACGTCGTATCAATCTCCTCCGACCGCAGGGTGATCAGACGAGTGAGCAAAAAAAGAAAATGGGAAAAGATTTTGTAAGTTGTTGTTATTCGTTGTAGCCACTGCCGGCTCACATATCAAATCATGTTCGCAAGCCCTGTATCTCCGATCGGACGTAGCGTCTATTTTAATATTTTTATTTTTTTGAGTTAGGACGATATGCTGCCGCCCATTTAATTAATTAAACACTTCTATCGAACAATTAATATCAAATACTTACATACTGGGGGAGCATAAGGCCGTACATTCGGCCAACAAAACTACAACTATCGGAAGGGCCGGACATTCGACCCTTCCTTGTAAAAAACACAAGGCGCAACCCGACACAGCGGGGCCCTAAAAGCCAGTCAGCACACCTGCAAGGGTATGACACACCGCACAACTGATGATGGATTTACTGATGAACCACCTACAAGATGGTTTGAAAGCTAAGTAATCAACTCACGCGATAATCAGTCTACATTTTTTTTTCGTTAGGACTATTTTTATATGCTGCCACCCTCTACAGGTTCACACATAGGTCAGCACGCCAACCAGATGCCGTATTCTAGACACGATCCATCCAATTTGCGGAACTAAGGGCGACCTCAGCCATTATAATTGCCCTGGAATTTTTTGGTAGCCTATGCGATCACAGGCGCTCCCTTCTTTCTTTCCCTTACGATCAAAATCAGGTTACCAAATACCAGAGCCTCCATGCATTAATAGCAAGTGCTCCTCGCTTGTTGAAAAAACAATAGTGTTGGTGGAGCAGGCCTACCTAGAAAAAAATAAAAACAAAAACCGAAATAAAATAGGTGGTCAGGCAAGTACTTAACTAGTACAGCTACTAACTAAGCGCCGGCGCTGTCGTGGTCCTGTCGTACAACCAAGTAGCTGCACGAAAATAATAGTAGTACAACCAAGTAGCTGCACGCCCACGCTGTAACTAGTAACAATCTGTAAAAAGAAAATTCATAGTTAATGTCGCGATCAACATCATACCGAGGACTTATGATTATGTGAAATGATTGTTAGCAGCACATCTAGTACTGTCCTCTTGATGACTCAACTTGAACTTATGCATCTATCAACAAAAAAAAAATCCACTCTTTCATGTTATTGCTTCATACTTACATCCTCAAGCGAAAAAGAAATCAAATATGAATCCCGAACGAAAAAAAAACCATAAGCGTACGTGTAATAAACATAAAAAAATACTCACTCTAGTCCGCCGTCTTTCAGGATAGGATAGGATAGGATAGGATAGGATAAGATAGGATACTAGGATAGGATAGGTTGCCGTTGCCGAATCTACACTAAACGTGTCGACACGAGCACGGGCGAAGCGCCCCAAGGAGGACGTAAAGCCACCTCAAACATACACAAGCTGAAATGTGGGTTTAGAAGTAGTCCGTCGTAGCCCCTGATCATGCAGCGAGGTTGGAGCAAGCAGGTCATAATAGTGTCGGGTATCTATCAAAAAAAGAAAAAATGACTTTTCCTTCTTGAATCAATGAACATGACAGCGCTGACGTTTCTGATCACTTTTTAACCAGCACCAGTGTTAGCTAACATGAAACATGCATCTCCTCCCAGCCCTTGAGTAGTACCAGTAAGTTGATGGCAACTCTTTCATTCATATAAATATTGTATTTCTTCTGCTTTTCTACCTCCCTATTATAGAAACCTCGTGCTCTTCCTGTTCCTGCTCCACCCCATTAGTCTCATTCTCACAACATCTCTGTCTGATAAACATGCGTTGCCCTGGTATTTCATAATCTCACTCCAGTCCGCGCAGGGGTTCTCGTTCCTGCTTTTCCGCAGTATGTCAAAAATGCCAAACGCTTTTATCTCCGCCTCTGGTTACTTACAACAGATACACAAAACAGCCCATCATCATCATCATCATCATCCAATCATCAGTGTGGCTCAAATGCTCGCTCCTCTTGATCATTTTCGCCTCATATATTTTTCATATTAAGCTCCTATTGAGGATGAATATGAAAATCTTCCTTCAAGAGCTACAAGAAGTGTCTTACAACTCCTGCGACTCCTGTTCCACCTTTTTCTGTGTGTTCTCAGCGGTCCCCCGCCTTGTTTTGCTCACGCCCACCGCAGCAGCCCGCGCAGCACTTCTCCTCAGCCGGCTGCGTGGCAGGTGCCGCAGCTCCTCCTGCACCTGCAGCTGGATCTTGGCCTCCCACAGGAGCTACCAATTCTTGTCCGCGGGGTTCTTTCGCGGGTTCTTGAGGGGTCTGTTCTTTTGGCTTGAGCGAATCCGGAACAAAACCGGCAGCAACCTTAGACCTTCCGGGAATCTATCATCTCCCATTTCAAAAAGCATCATCTTGGGCGAGGACCCGCTATTTCCCCCTTATAGAGAAGGAGAACCCCCTTAAGTACATGGAGACCCGTTTCCCCCTTACATGGAGGCCCAAGATGCTTCTTAAGATGAAGGAGATTTCAAAAAGTCTTAACAACCTCACGAGCGAGCTCCATTAGCAAGTTGTGCACTTCCTTGTGCTCTGCCGGAAGTTTCTCACCCAAAGCCTCCATCACCTCAGATTAGAGCGGATCCAGAAGAAGAGTTTTTCAATCGAAGATGCTCACAATTCAAAAATCCATATCGTTGTCCCTATTTTCTTCTATAATTAGTAGTAATAGCTTACCTCCCATTCTGGGGGTAAGTTCAACTTGGAAAGGGGAAGGAGGAGGGTATTCCAACTAATATGCTTTGTGAGTGTGTACTCCTTTCCCTAGAGAACAACATAGTGCCTTGTCTTGTTCTAAGGTTTAACCTAATCTTTATTCTTAACGACCTTACTAGATGGTTGTCAATCTCAAGAACCTATTGCAAAGATGATCACGAGAAGAAAAAGCTTCCTGTCGTCTACTAAAGGAGCTTCTTGAAGATTCATGAATAGTTTCGATTTGCTTCTGGTTCTGCTTACTAAAAGAACAATCATTATAAACAAAAGATGCTCCTACTACAGCTGGACTGTTGATCTAGTCTATATTGTGGTGGAGCAGACCTAACTAGAAAAAAGAAAGACCCGAGGAAGATAGAAAAGAGAAGACAGAGGGTAATTGTCACCAAGTATTCTCCAATCTGCTAAAACTAATCAAGCGCCGGCGCTATCGTCGTCATATCAGCCCCATAGGCCTCACCATTATAGTAGTTGTAAGTAGAGCCGTCCGAACTAGGAGAAGCATGGAAAAGTTATACACTATACTCATTATGTTGGTCAAGGTCATAGTCATGAAATGTAACAAAGATCAGACGGATAAAGATCAACGAAATGACCAAGATCGCCAGGCAAAAGGTTACCGGAGCACTATCCAAACGCCCGACGGGTTTACCGTCGCGCGGGCGTCTTCGGCTTCTCCTCTCTCTCTCGTATGTGACTCAAGCCTCCCAACACAGTCAAGGACAAAGCAACACAGGAAAGATCTCGACGATAACTTACAGACCTAAACGCATAGAGTTTCAAAATCAATGATCAACAGGCAAAGGACCTTCAACATATTCAGAGAGCGGAGATGATGAATGTTCATAGCTGTAATCAGGTCCATAACGTCTTGCCAGTTCTGAACAGTTCAAAGTGCATAAAGAGCTGCCATTCAGGATGATCGTATGAGTTAATGACGATAGCATAGGCGTTCCCATGTGAAGCATATGAAAGTTTCCCCAGGTGTCATGGTATCCCAATGAAGAAGCTGAGACTTCCCCCTTGCAACCCCAACGAATACCCACAGACAGGGATCAAAGCAGCCAGAGACCGTTAGTCTCAGGCTGTGAGTGCAGTCGTGCAACCTGTATCAAACTCAAGCGCTTCTCACCGAGAAACTAGACGCGACTTAGCAGTCTGTGTTCGAATGGTCCAACACATTAACATACAGGAGTACTATGCTAGGTAGTGGCCATGTGTTTTAGGATCCGCTTAGTCTAGGCGCCGCGTGTCTAAATTTATAATGATGTCGAAACCATAATACTAACTAGTGCGGTGCGTGCTGGGTGCATTGAGATAGAGATAGAAAAAGATCAGGGGTAGTAGGTAAGGAACACCATGAGGCTGAACAAAAAGAGCCACCAGGCGGGTCTAGCAGAGGACTGCTGATTGCTTGCGAAATTGAGTAGGGTCGGTCTGGTCGTAGGGGGGAATGCCACACGCGCGCGAGGGGGTGGCGTTTCAAAATAAATAAGTGCGCGAGAGGACAGAGCAACCCACTCGCTGAAGAACAAGAAAATGGAAAGGGCACGCCGCCCGAAAACATCCGGCGAAGAAAATGCAAAAAGATGGAGCACGCCGGCCGGCTTTGTTATTCTGTGGCGTGAGTTCTTTCAGTATGGCGCAGCGCGCGCCTTCGCCTTGGCCTTCGCTTTGCCTTTGGCTTCCCCCCGCCGCCTTTTTTGCCCTTGCCTTTCCCTTCTTCACCACCTCCTACCTTCGCCTGGTGCTCCGTTTCTTTGCAGCAAAAACCGCGCCAGGAGGGCCCTCTGCTCCTTGACCCGCAACACCAGCAACAACATTACGCGGGAAAGAGAGGCGGGCACTTCTTACACCGTTGCAACAGCATGGAGATCGGCCACCGGCGCTGGTGCTGTGGTGGAAGAGGCGGGCCTCCTCTGCAAAGAGCCGGCAACCATCCACAGGGCAGACACTGAACAGGCGCCCAATCAATAGCAGGCAGCACGCTTCAGATGGCAGGCACGTAGTCCGCCTCATCGGTTGCCCATCTGCCAGCCATGCGGCTGCAAGTGTTGCGCGTGGCATCTTCCAAACCGAACCAGCCCCCAGGCAGGCGCCACGTCTCCACATGTGAGACACGCACGCAACCCAAGACCTTGAAGGTGGGCCATCTTCTTCCTCTTGGTTGTTCTTCTTTACTGTGAAAGCAGATAGAGAGAGACCAGACAACTACGATGGAGCGCGGCCCTCTTGCAAGCTTGACTGGTGCGCACTCTGCTACGCTCTGTGCCTCTTGTCGATCATGGTCCAAAAGCTGACAACTTCCACGGGAGAGCGACGGGGGGTGATGATCAAAAGTTGCGACATCCCGAACACCATCAAGGAGAAGCCCTGGCAGTGAGTGCGAAGGAGTGCGCGCACTTTGCGGGGTTCGACGGTGAAGAGGTTGGAAAAAGGTGCCAACTTGTAAGGGGGTCACAAAGGGGGGGAGAAATCATAAGGGGTCGCCTGCTTCATAAGGGGGGGGCTGTAAGGGTGTCGCAAGGGTCTCAAAGGGTATCGCAAGGGGGGGGCGTAAGGGTCGCAAGGGTCGGCGCAACGGTTCAAAGGGGGGGGCTCAAGGGGGGGGTAAGGGTATTACAACGGTAAGACAAACTTTGTTATTAATATATATTAATCATAGTCTAATAATTTATAACGATGAGCAAGTAGAGCAGGAGCCTTAATGAGTGCCCGTCGCAGTGTTAGCCGCCATTTGCGTCCGCTCAGCGGCGTTATGGAACCACTCCCACAGAAAAGCCATGCTCGGGTAGAAAACCTTGTTCTTGTCACCATCACCGAGGTTCTCCAGTTTCTTCATCACGGGAAGGAGAGTACCAGTCTCCTTGTCTTGTAGCTTGTTTTAGAGCTCGGGTCCTAATTGCTATTAATTCCTCCATCAAATGTAAGTAGAAAGAGTACTCCAAGGAAGTCCCTGAAATCCATCAAAATTAATCCTTCATCCTAAGATACAGACATTACACCCTTTCTCCTACCGCGGTGGAAGTCATATTTTCCATCTGAAAAGCGCATGGCTTCACGACGATGAATCTTTCTAGTTCAAGTTCCATTTTTCCATGAAGTCGATCACTGGCTAGCATACCGAAGATACCAGCATTTCTAGAATAAATCCGTATATTTTTAGAAGGTCTCAGAAGCTTAGGCTACCTAGGTTAGGTTAGGTAAGGTGGATAAAAAGCCTTAATTGTTCAAAATCGTCTTCATCTGGAACTCCTTGTGTCCATGAAACTGATCGACCTCGGAGCCGAGAAGAACCTGTGAATTATGATATTTGTTTTCTTCAATATGGTGAAGAATTGTAGGCACAAGATCACCAAGATCATTCTGTTTGTCTGTCACAGAGCTATGATCTTGATGATCTTGTGCCTACAAGCATTGAGAAGTACTCACTGGCTCTGGTTGTCTTTCATATAATACGAATACTCGAGGAGCAGAGGCAGTGGGTCGAGGGAGATGAAAGACATATATGTGAAGATTTGCACAGGGACAGGAGAAGAGGGAGTACCATGTGAAATAAAAGGCACGACTTCATCTCGTAAAAGACGAGTGTCAGAAGCGGGAGGCTTTGTTTCACAAAAATAAATGGCAGGAGAAAGCAAGGTGGAGGTCGTCGCATCATGCTGGCAATTATGACCTTGAACGAACAACTACCCAACAACAAGAACAAAATCAAGGTACCTCAATGAACGAGTGCAGCTGGCTGCTAGCAAAGTGATTCACCAAGTACATGCGCATAATCGCAAATTCCTCGGAGGTTTGGGCGTTCGCAAAAAGGTAAGCCATCGACTGGTTGTCCCCACTGCTGCCGCTCGGACCATTACCGCGCAAAAAGCCGCTTTCGTCAATAGCCCGGATCGGCGTGACGTAAGCTCTCGGTTGGCATTTCTTCAAGAATGCTGCCTGTGCGGTCTTCCCGTGTCGCCGCGCCGAGCCGCGCAACGCGGCCGCGTCTCCATCTTTACATTAGAGCTACATCAACATCGTAGGATGATGAACATCATATGACGAAAGGGCTACAAGACGGCGACTACATCAACAACATACGATGACGATAACCCTAAGGATAGAGGGAAAACTGTCTAGAAGGTACATCGAATATCTTCACTCGCTGCGTCCCTGTTCAGAGCTGCATGATCCTCGACTTCAGACTTTGTTCTGGTACTTATAACACAGAGTAAGTCTCGTTCTGGCCTTATAGCGTTGCTTTTTGCCAGTGAGTACTAAACATTTTGCATGAAGGGATCAACAAAAGCCTAAGAATATTATAGGGAAAACTATAGTTATAGTTAACCGTACTAAATATTAGACCAGGAGCCCTACTAGAAGACCTCCAAGCTAGTTCTAAAACAAGGCAACAAATACAAAAGAGCTAAGGATGATGATCGGTCGTGAAAAGGACGTAGTAGATGCATTAGAATTACTAGAACTACACCAGGCGGTAGTTATGATGATCTAGGCAATTCCAAATGCCATGCTGATTTTAACTTTTCCTCTAACAGGGAAAAACGCGGTGATTTAACTTATTATAATGAGGAAAATTTAATTAGTCTTTTATCCTTAATGAACCTCTCGTCCTGCACGTGAGTAGAGCTCCGCGAGTACTTCGGGAGACCCACCACCGCAATCCTTAGGAAAGTACATGCGGAATCCGGAATGAAGCTCAGCATTCTTTCCCGGTACAAGTTTTGCCACGGCCGCTGTTAATGTAGTTGTATTGTTTGAGTTGGAGAGTGATTCCACCACGTCTTGAACAAGAAAGTACGTGCTTGAGTACTACTTGATTGATTCATTGATTGAGTGATTCATTGATTCATTGATTGATGTGCCTGGCAAGAGGTCATGTTTTGAGGATTTTGTTTCCTCATTTTACTTCCTTAGAGTAGAACTAGAGGTTAAAGCTGTAGAATGAGTCCCATGATCTTCACACTCTTATACTTAGTGCATACTCGGCAGGACCAGGAGTAAGAATGAAGGTCCTCAAAGGCAAAATGAAGGTGGAGGTAACAAGAAAACTACATCACGACTGATGCCTCTTCTGTGTCGTGGTACGGTATTACGAGGATGACAATGACTGCAGGTACTAGATAACTAGTATTAGTAGCAGTTATTTTTGAATAAATTTAAAGAAGAAATAAATGAACAAACCACTTCCTACTTGTCAGTGGTACTAGTACTAGTACGTTTTCCCGACTTGATGTCTTCAACGATTTGAAGCTCAAGCGGCCAGACAATGGTGTAGCAGTGCATTGGATGAAATATGCGGAAACCAAAAACGGAGAGACCAAAGTCGCCTGGGAAGTCCACCGTCGCGACGTTCTTAGATCCGTCGGCATACTCCCGGAAGAGGGGATGCAGGGCACGCGAGGCGGACCGCTCAGCCTTACTGAGAGGCGGCGAAAGCGGCAACGGAAAGCGCTGGACCTTTAACGCAGCTTGAGGAGGTCCGCGTCGTTGCGCTGGTTGGAAGACCAACATATTCAGCCGCGAAACGAGACCATGCCAGCGAATCGCCTGGTTACGGGCAAGGCCTCCCTCCTCAACCCAGGTAGCGTAGTGCTTGAACTGGCGTTGCATGTGCTTCACGCGTGGCTCGTTCTCGTCGGAAAAAAGAGGCCGGAGCGACTCTTGAACAAGCTTGCTCCCCGTCAAATGAGCTGCATCTTGCCCCTTCATCACCATCGCGTACATCAGGTAGTTGAAACCTTTGAAGTTGAGCACAAGCGACCCCGGGTAGAACACATTCGCGATAATGCGGATGTTGATAATGTCGCCCTTCCCCTCCCACAGATCGCGGAAACGCTGGATCCAGACCGAGTTCCAAGAAAGGTTAGAACTATAATAAACCCTCAATCCATCTTCGGACTCGTGGTCTTGGTTCTTCCCGTTTCCCGAATAAAACGGGAAGCAAGATTCTTTAGCCGTCCTCCCTATAGAAAGGAACAGCCATCAGTTTTCGTGTTGATCACGTCAAAGATAGAATTCCAAAGAAAAATGATAATAGTGCAGCACTTGGACCAACCAAGAAGATACAGCTCTTCCCGTCTTCGTGCCTTTAGAAAAAACGGGAGCGAGCAGCGCCATTTTTGGAAGATGGATTTCATTCTTGTTTCCTTAAAAACGAGACTAGGCGCGTCCTCGCCGTTGTTGCTCCATTTGTGAATCACCAGCGTCCTTGCTTTTAGAACTCACTTTTATTCTTGTTGAAAGGCATCTTGGACGTACTTTCCCCTCAGGAAACAAAGCGGTCAAAGATGCTCCTTAAGATGAATTACTTTAAGCCTTAATGCCGGCTCTTTGTCTTTCACAGCGGACGCAATTTGTGCCTTGTATTCCGGTTTCCCAGAAAGGAGATTCTCGGCGTTCATCTTGAGGCTGTCGCCCTCCTTGGGAGCGTCATTGTTAGGGCCACCTGTGGCGATGTACCAGCCAGCCTGCAAGGTTTTGCTTGCGTCGGGTTTGTTGGTATTAGAGCTACCGCGATCACATCCCTGAGTGCGCTATCCTTGGCCGTCTCATTCGTTTCCGCTTCAAAAAGGAGCCAAGGATAGTGCTGCGGATGCTTCAGCGGTACCCTTAATGGTGAGGAGTTCTCTTCCCTCTTGTCCCTCTGGGATGGGTGGCATCACGCAAATCGGCTGCAAGTTTCCCAACGTCTGCTTCAGTCCGTTCATGCTGTCCAAGGCTGGAGCTTTGGCATTGTTGCACAGGACTGGGGACTTCATCATGAAACGAAAGAACAACGCTTCCAGCAGTGATTTGGCTTTGATATGCTCGAACCCCTGAGGATTCTCCCAAATGGGAATATCCTTTGCATCCCTACTTAGAGCGAGCTCACTGAAGAAAAAAATCAACGAACCAACTTCAACACCTTTATTGATTATTAGATATTAGAAGTCGTAAGCCCTTCTTGATTTTAATTCTATTAATTATGTATGTTAATTAAAAGATCTCCTAGTTGTCCGGTTCTTGTGCTGATGTTGGCATGACAAGTATCTTTCTGGCTCTTGCAGTCCTTTTGCGTTGAAGTAGAGCCAGCGAGAGCCTCTCCAAGATCGATACTTTTCATCAAGAAGATGATGAATTATATTGTTGCACGGGATAAGTCTACGATTGTGATCAAGGTGAAAACTATGTTAATTATATTTTATATTTTATAGGGCAAATCAACCTTAACTTCTGCAAATACTCGCAGTCGGAGTCCAGAATGAAAACTTCCAGACCGTTGTTAGGTCCCAGGAGCTTTTGCTCAGCGTTAACCAAATCGGAGCGGAACTGTTTGCACGCCTGCTCGTTCTCGGTAGCTTGCAAGGATTCGGCCATACGCGTGAGGACCGCTTTGAACCCAGACCAGAGACGCTGTAGCAGCATTTGGCCTCCCCCTTGCCCCAACGAGGACAACAATGCAGCATCAGCCTTGGCCGCCGCTTCTCCGAACGCCCAGGTGAGATAGATCTCTTCGAAGAGCTGTTTGCGACCATCGACTGCCTTCTTTTCGGCGATCTCCGTCATGTCCGTAGAGGTGCAGGTCGTACGCTTGTTCTCGACCGCAGGCATGACCTGTGACAAGGACACGATCTTTGGAGGTACAGGTACACCAGGCTTTGCAGCCGCCTTCAACTTTTCCGTGACTTGCTGGGCCGTTTCAAAATAGTCCGCCATCGTCACGATGTCGTTCGGCTGCGATTTGTACGCCTTGTGGGCGGCCAACAAATCTGCGGATCCAACGTTAGAGTTTGCCGAAATCGAATTGCACTTGCATTCACTCTTCACAACACCAGGAGCCTTGACCTATTTAATCAAAATTTCCCTTTTGCAAAGTGTATTTCCCTTTTGAAAAGCAAAAAAAGGCGCCAGGGCTGCTCCTCGTGAGGGATGCAGCTGCACTTCAGAAAGAACTACCCTTAACAAAGAGCTCAGCCTCGAAACTCGGAGACGAACCCCAGAGCAGCGACTTGTCGTAGGAACCCGTCTCGCGATCCACTTCCGGGAGCTGCGGAGAGAAACGAAGATCCTCTTTATTTCTTAGAGACTAGTAGTACTTTGATAGACTAGTAGTCGTAGTACAAGGTTAGGTTAGGAGATTAGGTTAGGTTAGGTTAGGTTATGGATCCTGCATAGACATAGAGCAGTATAAGTACAAGTATAGATATTTAAGTAGACACGATCTTACAACCCCTCAAAATTCACTCTCCTGTGTAGTTTTAGAAGGTGTCCATTTCTTGTTTCAAGTCACTCCGAAAAAAATCAACAAGCTCTATGTTTTCTTAAGTACATGAGAGCGATAAGAGGAAGAGGGAACAACTGAGAATATGAAAGCCTTTATACTAGTATTCGTAGGGTTAGCAATGTCTTTAAGACCAAGGTTCGTCCTTAAGGTTCAAAGGAGGCCTCCTTAGGGAGCTTTCTTAAGGAAAATTTCATTGCATTCCTTAAAGATTTTCTATTCTAGAAATCTATTATAGGGCTCCCTTAAGGGCAAAAGATGACCCTTGAGGGAGCTCCTTAAGAGGGCCCTTCCTTGTAATAAAATTGGGTTAATATTACTAGGCCCTTTCTTGAGGGCCACCTCCTCCACTTGCTAGCTTAGCCGGCATGCCTAGCTAGCTCGCTGCTTAGCCACAGCTAGCGTGCTAGCATAGCAATACTAAGATAGCTCGCCTGCTAGCTTAGCAGTAGCTAGCTAGCTTGCTTAGCCGTAGCTAGCTTGCTAGCTGCTTAGCCATGGTGAGCCTGCTCGCTGCTTAGCCATAGCTAGGAAGCTTGCTAGAGGCTTAGCCATAGCTAGCCTGCTAGCTGCTTGGCCCTAGCAGGCCAGCTTGCTAGCTGCTTGGCCATAGCTTTAGCTAGCTTGCTACTGGCTGCTTCGCCATAGCTGGGGCGCTAGCTGCTTGGCCATAGCTAGCCTGCAAGCTGCTTAGCCTTGTCTAGCTTTCTAGCTGTTTAGCCACAGCCAGCGTGCTAGCTGCGTAGCCATTGCAAGCTTGCTAGGTTAGGTGAGCCATATTAGGTTGCAAGCGCGCCGGCTTGGCGCTAGCTTAGCCATTGCCAGCTTGCTCGCCTACCTAGCCATGGACGCCGACCCTGCTAGCTTAGCCCGGCATAGCTAGCCTGTTAGCCTAGTCATGACCAGCTTGCTACCTAGCAGCCTCGCAAAAGCTCACCTGCTAGCTTAGCCATAGTTGTCGCTCCAGCTTGTTAGCTTCATAGCAATAGCTAGCCAGCTGGCTTAGCAGTGGCCAGCTCCCACGCCGGTCCATCCTAAGCCAGCCGCGCGTCGCTAGCTTAATGACTTAACGGCTTGCTTCGTTTGTCTTATCTGTCTAGTTGCTAAGTGCTAACCTATGCCCAGCGCAGTGGGCCCTTGCTGGGCCCGCTCTCTGGGCATGTATTAATAATGTGTTGAACCGAAGAAGGACAAGACCTCTAAATCTTCTCAAACGAAAAAATATAAATGTGGTGAACAATTTCCTTAAGAGTGTGTCGGAACCATCCTGGCGGAAAATCCATGGCAAACCCTGCCCGAGATCAGCCACCTCAGCTTGCTTCTTGACGACCTCATAAAGCGGAGCAAAATCATTCTTGAGAGAGTCCAGACTTTTGTTAGAGCTCAAAACAATTCAGTTCTTGCCTACATTTCTCCCAATCCTAAAAGGGAAATAGGGAGAAGTGACTTGTAGAAATGAAATATAGTGATAAGCCTTAATCTTGAGCATCGCCTTGGGGTCCGCATCGACAGAGAATAACAGCATTCCGTCAGCATCCTTCTGCCACGCCGCCAGCGCATTCTCATGAGCAGATGTCAGAGCCGGTCCTCCTGCGGCAGCGGTCGTAAAAGTTTGGGACAGAAATTAGAGCTGCTCACAACAACTATTTACATTTTTATCACTCATATCAAGAACATGATCGCTATGAATCAGACCGTTGTAGTTTATTTCTTCTTCAGATCATCCTATTAATGAAGAAAAATAGTTCTTCGAGGAGAGGAGACACGAAATTCAACTCTTACTCTGTGGAGATTATTCATTGAACTTTATTTTTAGTATAAGAAGCGAAGTGGAGAGAAGATTCAGGTGTATTGTACGTACTCGTATGGTGAAGATAAATGAACTAGCTTCTTCTATCAGGAGCCTTAAAGAAAAGACAGCGCGGCAACGTCCTGACCTCCCTCGTCAGCGTAGTGCTTCGGCATGAACTTGTCGTTGCCCATCAAGTCATCAGCAGGAATATATGGCATCTGCTGCGCTCCAACTTCGAAGAGGTATCCTGCTTGCCCAAACAGGAGGACGGTCCCTCCTCCGACATAGGAATTTTTGGGTCGAAGTGGAAACATCTTTTCGCAAGGGGTAGATCAGTAGATCTAGGTGTGCGACGCGCAGTATGAATATAAGGACGTCGTAGAACTTGTTGAAAGAAAGGCTTGATTGTGAATGGCGAATGCAGATCGATGGTTCCTATTTGTTCTTTGCTTGAAGAAACGTTGAAAACCAAGAAAATAAACGGTAAATACTTCAAGAAATGAAAGAGAAATCTTTCGATTGTCGTAGGCGTGTGTGAGTGTGTGTGTATGTCAAAGAAGACTTAAAATGACCGGGAAGGATCACTTTATGACCTTTCGTCTTTTAGTCGCAGCTGCGTGGGTAGTTTTTTGTGGATCAACTTCAAATACTGCATCATGATGCTCTCCTTGCTCATCTTGTTGATGCTCGTCTCTAGATAAACAACGACAAAGCTCATCATTGTGCCGAGACGGCCTTTCAGATCTAGTGTTCTTCATCTCTTCTCTTCTCACAAACAGATGCTTCATCTCCTCTCACAAACTGATGTTCCTGAGCACTCAAAGTTAAAAACAGAGGGACTCATCACGGTAGAATGGTGCTCCTACCTCACACACTTCAGCACACGCGACAATACTGCTCTAAGGATCGTATCTCAATCGTCACAGCTCTACTATGTTCACAGAATTACAAGAGTCCTTCGTTTTTATACAGAGGATTTCCCTCACAAGCACACTTCTGTTGACTGATTATCCTCGCTTCTCTTCACGAGTAGACACGCCCCACGACACTCACAGAATTTCACTCCACTACAGAACATTGAAGCCATGACGTCCCGAAGTGAAACTCAATCGTCTCAACAGAAGAAAATCTTCAGCTCTCGAAATTACATGCTGTTTGAAACTGAACTGCGTCCTTCGACTGTCACAGTCGCGCAGACACAAACGACAACTGTCGAAATATAGGACCATGGATTCTTGACAACAAGGTAGAGAGTCACAATGGTCGGCGTGGGAAGGTATCATATTAGGTACGCAGTGTCTTCTCTGGAAGATTCTGTGAAAGTTCTTGCTTTAGCTGCCCAGCGATGTGAAGACATAGACAAAGCAGCAGTGAGAGCAAAAGTCTACCTAATGCTGATGCTCGAAGCAATAAAAAACGAGTTGATGCGTGGTGGCGCTGTTCTAAGATTACCGACGAATCGTCACGATCGACATGTCATAGGAAAATTATCGTAAATAAAATAAGCAGGTTGTTGAATAGAGGACAACAACCACGCCCAATATACCAAGTCTCCGTTCAGGAAAAACAAAAAAATCAGAAACTTCTCAAATTTCTTTCCAAACGAGCAGGATCTAACTCGGAGAGAAAGTTAATCTGAAAGTTTCGAGTGATATGTGTACAGAGACACTTTCTTGTCGAATTTTTTTCTCTACCATAAAATGCATGAAAACAATGAATTTGATTAAAACAAGATAAAATCAAAATTTTTAATATGTCGTTGAAATTCAAAATTCAAATTTTCGATTTGAATGTTTCATAAAAACATTAAAATGCAGTCGTAAAGTCATATCAGCCATCATTTTGAATTCTCAAGAATTTCAAATTATCAGCAAAATTTTGATTTTAAACAGAATTAATTCAAATTCAAATCTACACTGATGAAAGAATTTATAACATTTTGATTTTGAAAAAATAGTTCAAGACACACAGTCGAAAGGAAAAAAAAGCAACAACGCTATTACTTTTACTACTTGGAAATGTGCTCCGTGTGCTTCTTCCTTTTGTCGATGCACAATTGGGTGGTTGAGGGAGAGAGTCCCCACTAGGATCTAGTTGAGAGTATCACTTCTGCAGAGACTTTGGACGAGTTTGAGTTTGCATCTTAAGATGGGGGTGTCTCCTGAGGGAAAATAGAAATCATTTGGGACAAAGTCGTGTGCTCATCAACAGAGTTCGTCTTCGACTACTTGTCCTTGATTTTGCAGCTGCAGTCTTCTACATCAATACAATGTTACCAAAACCAATCACGTTGACAGGGGCACATCAGGTTAGGTTAGGTTTGTTTGTTTTTTTTTTAGATTGAGTACCCGCAACAGATCAAGGTTCTAGTAAGTGTGAGGCCACATCGTCTTTCATCTCTTGCTTTTCTATCATCACATCGTCTCCGCTTTGTAATAGAACTATCACCCATCTTCTATAATAGGCCGTTGGTTTTGATTATTCTTTTTCCCAAAAGCGAGGTATGCCTTGCAGATCAGAAAGAATTCGATGGGAGCCGTGATCGGAAAGGTGAATTTGTACATTAGAACTAACAGAAATCCCAGAAATCCATCTTGGTGAGCATCCGCGCTCCCGTTTTCCCTTGAGAAACGGGAGGACCAACATGGATGCCTGTGAAGATAACGGATTTCTTGTCGCCTTAAGTACAGCAGTGTCCCCTCTGCGACGCCCAAAGCCAGCGTTCTGGGATTGTTGTTCACCCATTTCGCAACCATTTGCACTATCCTATATTAGGGTTATCTCCTACGTTCACCTTTATGAGCTTCTGTGTTACTTGTATCTATGATGTAAGTAAGTTCTTGCTCGTGGAACAAGAACACTTATTCACACTTACACAACTAAGTACTCTACTGACGCTGACCCTGACCTTGTTAACTTACTAGAGCTACAACAACTTGTACAACTTCCATCTCCGTGAAGAATAGTAGTTTCATCAACTACTCGCCTAGTACATCTGCTACTAGCCTTAACTTGACGACTCCGCTTGCTTTGATAGCCTTTCCGCAAGCTCACTATAGCGATCCATTGCCCATGCAAGTCGTGAGTACGGGTTTCCCTTCGGCAAGTCGTTCATCCCGCTTTGTAACCTTGTCGTTAATTTTCGCTGCCAGTAAGTTCTCGTGTTTGATGACGACGACGTAGATGGGTTGTTGTCACATTAGAAGATGGATCACTCATTGTGGTCTCGGTAGCACATCCACAGGTCGTAAGTTTGAGCTCTTTGCTTTCTCGTCCTCAACACCGTGAATCTCTTGTATTTACTCACAACATGACTCCTCACCCCGAGGCAGGGGCAGGACGAAAGACCGACGCGCATATTATCATGAAAAAAATCTTCATTGTAAAACTAATTATGAAAAGCGCTACTGCATCACCCTTAACTACCACTACTTGATGAAGACGAGGACCCGTTGGGGCCATTAGCTGATGTACTAGACGTCTTGCTCGATGACGAACCTCCAGATGACAAGTTCTTAGAGGATGATGAGGTCGAACTCCCAGCTTTGCTCGTCCGTTCAAGCTCTGCTCTTCTTGATATTTCACCACGTATGTGATCCCTTCGTTGTCTTATTCTGGTTCGCGCTCGCCTAAGCTGCTCAGTGGCATCCGCTATCGCCTGAGAGGACTGGAACATGTTCTGCTGTTTCCTCAACCATCGAGTTCGATTGCGGAGAGAAGATTAGAAGAACTAGATTTAGTTTAAAAGTAAAATAACTGATCGAATTCGAACGTAGCATGATCAACATGGTGATGGTAATTATTCAGACTACAGTTAGAAGATTGATTCTTGCCAGTTCTTTCGTGAACGACATGATCTCCATCTACAACATCTTTATCTTAAAAGTCACTTCGTTGAGCCCATTCCGCTTGTCGTTGTCTCTGAATCCACGTTAGCATAGGGCGATACCGCACACCAAGCAAAACAAAGCCCCCATATGTTGCGTATCTTTTTGTTTTCCATATAGAGGTCATTAATGCTGTCACAGTTGTATACTTCTCTACTCACGCCAACGCCAACCTCTTTAGAGGTATAGGGAATTCATCTCAGGGATCGCCTGGGTCCCTTTTTCCTCTTGTCGTTTTCTTCCAGATGACTTTGGAGATGAATTCCGTACACCCATAACATCTTCTAGTTTCTTTTCTCTTTTTTGATGGCCGCTAGTTACGTTCTTTAGGTTGAGTAGCCAGACGAGCCTATAATTCTCCAAAAAGTACACGTGTATTGACTTCTCGACTATCAGATCAAACAGGCCCATCTACGTCTACACTGCACGTTCTTGTTACTGCTCTACTTCTTTTATTTGCATCTCAAGTCACAATAAACGAACTCGGTATTAGAAAAGAAACGAAGCTAGTAGAAAATGAATGCACATCAATACTTTGCCGCGAGAAATAAGCCTCCAATTTTAGCAACGTCATCTGGCGTCAACCCCTGAGACTCCAGGCTCCTCTGAATGCTCCCTTTTAATCGCGCGAAAGGTCCCACAAAAGTAGATGAGTGCGAATCCCCGACAACCATTTGTTCTCGATCCTGCTGATGTTCTTTGGGTAATACAGGTTGAGGTTGACCATCTTGATTTGCTTCCTCTGTAGAGGAAGCCACGTTGGTCTTCGTGTTGCTCATGTTGTTAACCAAGGTCATGCAGCTTCAAATTGCTACTGAAGCAAGCTCCTGTTACTGTTACTGTTACTTAATGCATGGGAGAAGAATCCATCTTAGGAAACTCATGATGATGATGTTAGTCGGTTCGGCTTGGAGCTACGAGGACGCACCCCTTGAATCTCATATCTAAGAACATGTCTGTGTGCTCTCACTCTCCTGTTTGTTATCGTTGTGGTCTGTCGTGTTGAAGTCGCTTACATCAGTTTATCATACACGAATGCAGTGTGTCGGTTCAAAAACAAGGAAAAAAAGAAGATGAGCACCAGCACTCCTCTTGCTCGACGTCCTCTGTTGAACTTGAAAATTTCTAAGTATTCCTTCGCTTACTAGGATGGAGGCGCAGAAGGTCTTTTTCGTATTAAGCTGATCTCGTTTATCACCTAGACCCTGTAAAAATCTTCCGAATATTTAAATTTTGTTCTCCACACATGAGGATAGAAGTGGTTCTTGCGTAACGAGCTGCAAGCGTCGTTTGTAACCCCTTGTCGTACTCTTCATCTGGCGTAGCCACAACATGGTCGAGCTCTTCTTCTCATTAGCTCCAACTCCAGAGGACTTCATTCCATTCCATGAAGTCTATCACAGGCTAGCATGCCAGCACCTAGCCTATGCGATGCTCTTCGATGAAAACAAGGATGTTGTACTATACGTCTCACTTGCGATCATTCTGGAGTAGAATCAATGTAGAAAAACTTCGGTCGCGATGACACACAGAGACGGGCGGGGCCTTAACGATCACGTTCACGATGCGTTCATTTCTTGGAGGTACTACTTACAGTGATAAAAGACGAGGATTTTGGTGGAGCGAGTGGATCTATTTTCATTGAGTGTGGGAATGAGAATGCTGAAGAGCTCAATATGAAAATCACAAGTGGCGGAGGTGCGTCATAAACATCGTAGTGGAGGACCGGGTAATATTATGAAAGAACACTGTATCTAGTATCAATCTGTATCTACTTTATCAAGGAGAGTTGTAGAATTCGTTCTTTATAGCCTTAGCTCTTCCTACCTCGTCATGAACAAGGTCTTCATCTTCTAGTAGTGGGCGAAAGCAGTAGAACGAAGTAGATGACAAAGAAATATCAATCACTCTCTCCCAAACCACAGCTGCTTGACGAATCCGAATTTGTCTTCTTGGCCGTCATAGCTCGCTTGCTCCTGCTAGTACGACGAGTAAGTCTACGTCGGCTGAATCAAGCTACATACAGTGACCTCAGAGGACTTGTTCACAAATCTTCTACGCGATCCACTGCCGATTCATTTTGCGGCAGCACAGGTTTGGTCTGCTTCGAGAGGCCCCTTCGCTTCTTGATGAAGTACTTGAACTCGTCGAAGGATATCAGCTGGTCACCGTTGGGGTTAGAGCAGGATACCAGAGGTGTGGAGGTAAAGGACGGAGATGCTGGGGACCTCTGACTGGGTGGCAAACCTAGTGATATTCCTATATTACAACAGCGGATAATTTTCATTTACTGTCAACATTCAAGAAACAGTGCTAAGCAAAGTCAAAGCTGTTGCTGTGCTGCTGCTGCTGCTGCACAGGTCTACACATGTACAACACCAGGCGGAGGGACCTCTTAGCAGTATCAAAAGGTGTTCATCATAATCAAGTCCACTTCTTTTATGAGCTCAAGGACCGGTACGTCGCGAAATTCTGCGCCGAAAAGGTTTTGTAAATTCTGTATCGATATCATTCCACTGTTGTCGACGTCGAAGCGATCGAAAGTTGCCGTGGGTTAGAGGAGTAAGTTGTAACTTGGTAGTAGAGTCGAAAACAAGAGAAAGATATAATTACAGCGAAAAAATCAGTGAAGAAGTGTTAGTCACTCACATGAATATGAAAGAAAAATAGAAAACACCCGAAGACCGCTAGGGAACCCGCTAGCGGATTGAAACAAGGAGGCGCGCACCTTGTCGCGACTTCGCTGGGCGCTTTTTGTGCTTGCTTGCCCCTGTCAGTCTTTGCCGACGGGGGGGACCTTGGTGGCCCGGCATCGCTACCCGAGACGCCACGAGCATGCGCCCGCACGCGCGTCGCGGCTTATATACTAAGAAAGCAAGCTTTCAATCCTAAGTAAGTACATATAAATATGGTTCATCAATGTCGTGATCGTGAAACTAGAAATAAATCGAGTGTCAGTCTGTCTGTGTCAATCAGTTGTACGAGAGTCAGTAAGCCTTAATTGATCAGCTTATCTGAACCCTGGTCAATCTTGCAAGACACCACAGCTGTGAGGAAATCGCTGAAGTAGATATGGTGGTCATGGTTGTAGTCCAAGTCGTCGAAGATCTGAGATAGCTTCCCTTCGTCGATCTCCTGTTGAGATTTTTGTTAGACCACATATTTTGATTTTCATGATGGGAAAATGAGACTTGAATCAAGTTGATTAGTTTCTGATGCTGAATGTGTGAGCGAGTTTGTTTGTTTGTTTGTTTTGATGCGCTCCGGGCGACGCGTACAATCCCGCCGGGTTTCTTTGTGCTCTGTGTGCGTTGCGCTATGGCCGTCATTGCGATCGGCTATGGTATGTCTAGTCGCCACAGTCTCCGCCGACTTTTATGGCATGTCGGGCTAGGTGTGCAGGAGGCGGCGACTGTGCGTAGGTAGCGCCTGGCGGTGAGGCACGGCCGGGCTTGGTTGACGTTCTTACGAGAATGAGTTCGTTTTCACTTCAGGAAAGCAAGAAATATGTCGTTGAAAAAACAAAATCACCAGCAAGTGCAAAATTGCGCTCTTAGTATTCCCTATTTACCAACGCCATCCAATGACAACAACAATCCAAAAATACGGCATGATTCTCCACTTCGTTTGCGAGTTGATCTAGTCCTTTTCTTGTTGGATCCTTTTCCGCTACTTTCCTCAAAGCCTCCCGCAATTCCCATAATTGCACGCTTCCTTCCCTAGTCGCATCCAAGGACATGAAGATCTTCTCCATCGCGGCTACCTCAGAACGTCCAAGACACTGCGCCATAATCATCGCCACGGCTTTCTCAAAAGCTGTTGGGGTTAGAGGGTGGGAGGAAAACAGCGGTAGGCGGTCTCTATTTTCTCTCACGGTCGTACATAATTTATTTTGGAAAGTACCTTGGGAGACCGCAGGGACAATGATCTCTTCATCCTTCACCCTCACAGACGATGTTCTATCTGCGCCTTCACGACATCAACCGCAAGTTATCTTCAATCATGATCTTGAAGATCGTTTGCAAATAAAAAGCCCTTACTCATAACTTCTGTCTAAATGACGCCAGTGCATCGAGTACGTCGCCATTCAGGATGTTCTCTGGTGCTGCCTTTCCATCTACGTCCGTCCTCCGGATCCAGGGATGCGATAATGCTTGTCTAGCAGTAGCCCGCTTTGTTGGGTCCTTCTCTAACAAAGACAGGACAAACGACTTCGCCTCTGAACTGACCTGCGCGAACCGGGAACGAAACCACTTGATTTCGTGTTTCCGAATGGCCGCAATGATCTCATTGTTGTTCTTGCCCGAGAAAGGAGGATAGCCGCCTAGAAGCATAAAAACAATCACCCCAACGGCCCACATGTCTCCGGGGTACTCAACGGCGCTCTCATGGTGCAACAGCTCAGGTGCGAGGGATTAGGGGAGCGAGGTGGTGAGTCGACCTTTGTGGTCTCAGTGATGTATATGTTGAAGGATAGTGCCCTTCTTCTATCCACCTGAAGATAGAAATCGATGTTGAAAAGTTTCTTCGAGTACTACTTGGTAAGGTCTAGTAGTTGTAGTTGTAGTAGCTACTGCTAATAATCATGTCCTTAAAGATACTCCACTGTACCCGCTGTGACTGCTCTTGTCGCGACTGCGTCTTGCAGCACTTTGGAGAAGCCGAAATCGATGAGCTTCACTTCATCATCCGCGCTATCTGCATTGGGGTAAAGCCAATTCTGTAGTTTCAAGTCTCTATGCACTATGTTCATCGTGTTGTGGACGTAGCTCACTGCCAGAAGCATGCCCTTGGTCGCTGCCGCAGCAGCGGCTTCATCGTACTGGCCACGCTTTAGTAGTCGATCATACATCTCGCCACCAGTACAGCAGTCGCAAACGAGGTAGATCGCCTCATCGGTCTCATACATGTCTCGTAGTCGGACGAGGTTATTAGAGAAGATACCTTATCTTCTTATCCACTTGTCATAAGTGGACAAGTACCTCTTATCATTATAAGAGGTACTAGAAAAAATAGGGACTTGAGTGTATGTCTAACAGTATTCGATTCCGGTGCAGCTGCACCGGATTCTATAAAGCAAGAACAACTACTACAGAGGCAGAAGTAGTACTCTCATCATAATATTTGGATGATCGACGTTGAGGTAGATCTCACATTCCGCTCTGACCCTCGCCATCACCTCGGCTTGGGTCTCGTCTCCGTTTGCGTATTCGTTTTTTCGCAGACTCTTCATTAAAGGTTGAAACAACAATTCTAATTCATTTTTAGGTAGCAATTCCCATTCTGCGGGACGAGATGAAGCGCATGTAGAAATGAAATGTTTCTTCAACCCTTAACTTTACGGCCACTCGTTGTCCCGTCACCTTGCTCTTCCCCATGATCACGTTACCACAGAACCCCGTACCCAAAACCATGGAGGCTTCCAGATCGTACTCGTCCTCAATCCGTATACTTGGGTCGTGCGCACGAGACATCACCGTAGTCACATTTTTGGGCGGATTAGAGGTCGTGGTCCGCTGAGAGGAAACTTCGATGGCAGCAGCTGCGGAGTCAGAGGACTCAGATTCAAACCAGGTAAAAATACTTCTCTGTAGTTGTACTACAGTTGTCGTAATCTCATGAAAGCAAGGATTATGTGCCCGTCAACATCACAACACGCGGAGCCTTTTTTCTAAGTAATTTGCAACATTCATTTTCAACAACTATTCCAAATCCAAACCATAATTATACTAGCACTGCCACTACTGGTCGTGCTTTTTCTCCTCGGATCGATGTCTGGAGACGGTCTTTCACCCTGCTGCTCTGCCGCGTTATCATGAATCGCATCTAGTATGTGCGACCCACGCGCACCCTCTTGCTCCGATGGAGACGCCATAGTTGGTGCTGGAGGAAGTGGAAGTCGAAGTGAGTTTTGGACTAAGAAGTATCTCTCGGCGGCTTACGTTGCGCTTGCGGTTGAGCTTGGTAATGATACGGTGAAATCCTGATGAGGTAGTTGAGCCTGATATGCTTGAGCGAGATGCTGGAAGACTTTTCTCTTATGTCTTTGTTGGTGTTGTAGAACTACACCCAAGAAGACTGCGACTGCAATCTTGAAGATGGCCGCGGGCGGCCACTGCGGTTCTACAATTCCTCTGCGATATTCGTTGATCTTGATGCAGTCCTTGTACTCGTTCTACAAGACGGTGGCTGCGATGCGATTACGCCAGGGCCAGCAGCTTCTCATCTTTCTTCATCGTATTCACACAAGTGAGTGTACGCCTTGGATGATGAAAGACAAACACTTGTTTCTAATATGTTTACAACTGACTCTTCATCGACGCGTCAGCACAGAATCATCGTATACAACCGTACTCATAATCATATTAAACCACCTCACAGTTATAGCAAAGAAGTTGTTCAATGTTTGGCTCTAACTGTGAGATTGCGTTAGCGGACCATCACGAACAACCAAATGTGCTACTAGAGCTCCTACAACTCCTACAAGGTAATATCAAGGATGATCATCTCAGTGACTGCCACAAGAAGGAGTAGGTCGGCGCATGATTCTAATTCTATACAATAACGATTCTACTAACTTGATGAGGATGTTGACCAGGCACAATGATATGCTTTGTACACGGAATGCAAATATTCAACAACATGAACAAGGAGCAGCAAAATATGAAGGTGGTACTAGATTCCAAAGAAGGATGGATGACTACAAAGAGAAAACATGGGCACAAAGTTAGAGTTACGAAATCAAGAAGCATGCTCCTCGTTGCAACTGTAAACAGAAAGACATAATTAGTACTCTATGGCCCTTTCAGCTCCCCCGTTGTCCCTGCACCATCGATCAAATGAAATCCAGGACCCAAATTTCTCATGATGAAGAAATAGCCATCTAATAGACGACTCAACAGAGGCGATCCAAGCAGGAGGCGGTCGAAAATTCATTGAGCACAACTTGCAAGATCGTGTAGTTCGTTATCGTTGTCGTGAGCAACGCGAATATAGAAGAAGGGGTCAGTTGCTGTAGGTGATCTCGGACGACATATTTTCCCTCTTTTCTCCACAAGAACCGTTGTAGTTGCCCGTTCCTCCAGTCGTATGACTGAGTTGAAATCTTCGATAGGACCGATTGTTGTAAAAAATTACTTAATCCTAGGAGAAAAAGGAGAATTGGAAACTTCTAGAGGGGACCATCAACACCAACGTCTGATCAAGATGAAGAACAAGACTCAAGAACAGCTTCTTCAAGAAAGATTACGCATTTAGTTCATCAAGATTGTTGGCTCACTCTTTTAGCTCATCAAGCCAACACTGACCATGGCATCACCGTCACCCTTCGTCGAGCGCAAATCGCTTTGTTGATGTTCTTTCATCCAGCAGGTTGATAGGGCATTCATGTTGGAGCATGTTCATCAAGAAGGATATGTTGTTGAAAAAGTCCAGGTCAACGAACAGTGATCGGGTACGTAGGCATAGTGAGTTTTTCAGGGTGGAGGAAGAGGCATGAGGGAAGTGGATAGTGGAATCCATAGGAGTAGAACAAGTACTTAATACGGTCATACTGACGTCGTGTGCTATGTATAAGTTTGGAATACTAGAAGGAGGTGTCTTCTTCTTGCAACTTACTACATTTCTGGTCGGGCCTAAGCAGGTTTCTTTCGCATGCAAAAAAAAATCATTCATCACTCATTTCTTCATCAGATGAGACCTGATGAAGGTTGTTATGCACATCATGATCTTCAATCATCTCCGGGAAAGCTTCATGCTCATCCTCTCCAGCTGTTCCTACGACTACAACTTCATCTTCATCTTCTCGTCCTTGAGTACTAGCACTAGAAGTAATATGATAGAGATAGTTTCCTGCTCCTTCCCCTTCATCACGGGCTGCTCCTCCTGCGCTAAGACGATCCATGACAGAGCCAAAGGCACTCAAATCTGGACTAAACGCTGAAGATGGCAGAAAGCTGTCTTCTCGAGACTCTTCCGGGTCTGCATAACGGTCGTCCTCCGCATTATCTTCGTCATCAGAACCTCCAGAATCTACTTCAGAATTCTTGATGTTGTCGCCATTTCCAGCTGCTTTCTCCAGAGCTTTCATCTGGTCATTCTTCCTTTCAGAACTGTTGTCGCCATTCTTCCCCTTCTTCAGAGCGTCCTTTTGCTCTTTGAGCATCTCATTATTTGGAATCGAAATGCTTTCCTCAAGATTTGGTGCGAAATGGACACGCCTCCGTTTTTTCTTGGCAGCGTTTTCATCTTCTTCCGCCGACTCAAAGCCACGACGCGGACCCTTTTTCAGTGAGCTCCTAAGACGCTGTTGTTGCTGAAGCTGCAGGTCTAGACTTTCATGTGTGACGTCTTCATCAAACTCCATTTTGATGTTCACAATGCTTGTATTCGGAGCATTCAGGAGATGTTGCTGGCCACTTCCACCACTGGCACTACCTCCACAACCATCACTATGGTCTCCTTCGTCTTCACCACCTGGCTGCATACCTGAAGCTGCCATTTCGCGTTCGTGCTCCATCTCGTTTTCCCACTCAGGCTTTGTCTCCGAGTAGTCGGTCCACAATCTGGCGATCATGCACTTAGAATTGCGCAGTCGGTACTCCTCAAAGGGAAAAAGACACTGCGAAATGCGATAGATGTGATACGGATCACGTTCGGGGAACGAACTCGAAGAAGTGGCTGCTTCTTCGTTCTTGTCCGTATTAGTTGTAGTAGAAGTTGTTGTTGTCCCAAAGCTGTGGCTCCAGATGTGGTCCAAACGATCTCCAAGGTTATTCCTCATGCGTCTCTCGAATTCATCGCAGGTATGATGCTCGAGACGTCGCAGTGGTCTCAGAGGCGAAAGGAGAATGCTGCTCAGATTAGGCTCAGTCACGGAGAAGAAGATTTCTTCTAAGACGTTACTGTTCTTGTTCGTGGGCTTGGAGGAAGATCCTTGTTCTCCTAGTTGTACTTCTTGCTTACCATAATTACTACCGCAGGAGCTACGGTTTCTCGCAGTCGACATCCTGCGCTTGTTCGCACCTGTTGGCGCATACAAGGATGCGTCTTTTTCCTGCAACAGCTTCTGCACTTTGAAGCACAAAATGTAGCAAATGCTCTGCACAGCGTGATGAAAAAGCTCGCTTTCCGGGTCCTTCACTTCGCAGAAAGTGTTGTCCCTAATCGCAGCGGACGAACTAGAAGAAGCATTCAGGTCCTTCGCATCGGTTTTCCTGTTTGGTAGTAATCTCTTCTCAATGACTGGCAGCATGCTAACGCACCACTCAACGATGTAGCCGATGGCTTTCACTGCATACTGCGTAGAAAGAAACTTGGCGCGAACAAGGATCGAAGCCAAGTATTGAACTGCTGCCTTGCGATGGGTAAACGGGACACCAATTGAAAAGGAAGCAGGTGACCTCCTAGGTGTGCTGATAGTGGAGGCTCCTGTAGCACCAGTACTAGCGGCTCTCCTTGCATCAACATCGTTATTTGTAGTCGTGTTCCTTCCGTTGTTGTTGTTCTCTTCAATAGATACTGCAGCTGGAAGGACGACCGAGTTTGTGCTAGCAGAGCGTTTCTTGTAGTTTGAGCTCGTCGGTTGACCGTAGAACGTCTGTAGTAAACGACACAGGAACTCCTCACAGAAGCGGGGATGCAGACAGCACAGGTAAAAGTAGATGTATTGGACGTTTTTACTGCATTTGTCGCCGTTAGGCGTCAGCGCTGTTGTGTCGCCACCATAGAGGGTGTCGAGGATACCATTGCAATTCTCCAGTTTCGCCTGTTGCTGAAGGAAATTGTCTTGGAATTCTTGCAGCAAGGATTCTAGAAAAGCGACCTTATGCTCTGGCAAACTGTGGTCCTCTTTCAAGGCTGCGAGAGAAAACTTATTGATCTGATTTGCGCTGGTCGTTGTCGTCGTCGCTGTAGAAGTACTAGATGCACTTGTAGTTGCACTTCGCACTCTACTAGCTGTTGATACATCTGATCCACCCCTTGCTGCATCTGCCAGAGCCATACTCGCACTTCTGCACTTGACTTCAGAGGTGAGCTTTGGGTGGTGAGATGTGAGGTCGAAGAATTTGGCCAAAAACTCGAAGACCACAACCATCGCACAATCCAGCTTCTGAGACACTTTGTTTACGTTCTCCTCGCTCGTTTCGTCGCGCTTGTTATCCGCTGTTTCGGTGGGAGCAGTAGAAGCGACACTCTTCCCACCGTCATCCGCAGCTTCGGATGTCTTGTTCGCTGCACAAGCATCAGCAAGAGCTACAGCTCTATTGTCGACAGGTCCAACTGTACTAGGAACAACTCCTGTGGGAACCACCTGACCAGACACTACTGCAGCAGCGGGAGCAACATCTTCGCCATCCTCCGCTTTTTCGACGATCCAGGCATCCACATCCACCAAACCCCTTAGAGTCGCACGAAACACTCGTGGCGCAAGCGCTGGTAGTGCGAGACAGAGATTCATCATGGAACCGGTATAGAGACGAAAAGCCATCGCCTCTTCCCATCTCTTGGGAAAACGTTCGTCCAAAGCGTTTGCCATCTGCTCTAGGACATCAGGTTCAGGTCTTTGGACCAGAATCTTCACCAATAAGGCCTCAATGAAACGCCTAGTCTCGCTGTCGCTGGTAGGAACATTGTCGACACTGCGAGTATAACTAATCTCAAGTTCTTGGTGCTCGACTGGATGATCCTCAATCGACTTGGAAATGTTGCTGTCTTTCTTACTCTTGTTTGCCGATGCCGCGTCTCCTTTTTCAGCTACGCTAATATATGTTGGTGTTGAAGAGTCATCCATTCCTTGTCTCGTCGTCGTACTACTAGAAGTTGTGGTATTCCGGAGTCGTCCCGTCGCGGGGTCTATGATGTCGTCAGGCGTGTCGTCGTTCGCTAGAAAATAGACTCGTTGTCTGTTATACAACGAGTGCTGGCACACTCCAATTTTCGTAAAAAAATTGATGTCAGTGACATGCTTTCTAGACGCGTAGAAGCCAGGGCAATAGACTTTGCTGCGTGTTCGGATGAGCTGCTGTTGCGGATTGTGTTCCTTCTGTTGCTGGTGTACTAGTCGTCCCTTTGCTGCTGGTGTAGTGCCAATATTACCCCGACTAGTAGATGTGCTGCTAGATGAGCTACTACTAGTCGTCTTCGATAATTCTCCAGCAACACTAGTTGATGCACCAGCAGCAAGACTAGTTGTATGACCCTTGCTATTGTGCAGTGGAAGATCTTTTCGCGATGACACTCGTGGCATTGGGTCTCCTCCGCTGAACTGGGGATGAAACGAGAACAATTCCCGCATGAACAGGTAGTCGTCTTCCAACAAGTACTCGCCACTTGTTGCATATTCCTTCATCAAGTTCCTACATTCTTCTTTCAGAGCTTTCCCGTCCGCGAATTCCTGTCCTAGGATGAAAATCCTCTGGCCCACACGATCTTGCTGGTTCGACCAACTGAGGGCAGCGACTAAACTCGAAAGAATAGGCTTAGCGGCTTTGATGTCACTGCCGACCATTTGGAGGAGCAAATTACTGTACTCCCTAAAGACGCGCTTGCCTAAGTCTGGAATTGCATTGTCGCGACTCATACGTTCCGGAGCTTCCCATGAAGGCAAAATTATACCAACTCGTTGTTGTACTAGGTCTCCACCTCCTGCGTTTTTAATAGCAGCTGCACCATTTTCGGTAATTGCCTTCATCGGTTGCTGCTGTTCTTCGTGATCCACATCCAGATAAAGACCTGACCAAGAGCCACTGAAGTAGTATTTTTCAGGCACATTTCTTGCAGCTCCTCCACGCACCCACGAAAAATCTGCCCACCATCGAAATTCGAATAGTCGTTTCCGATGTGCCTTATCCAGTAAGTCCCGAAATGGTAATTCCGAATCAGCGCTAGCCAACAGCCGAAACCAGAAGGGCGTCGTTGCCCGATTAGGTTGTAGAGAGAAAATACTCAAAACCGACAAAAACCTGTCCAAAACATCGTGGTCGTCCGTTTGCAGTTCTGGGCGTTTCTGCGTCCACTCTTTGAATTCCTCCTCTGTCAGCCATTGCACCGCATTTCCCCTTGACTTCGGGTCCAATGTGTGCTCCAATTCGGCGCGTTGTTCGTCGAACCTTTGCTTCGCGATCTGCGCACCATGCTCGATCTCTAGGTCCTTTTGGAAACGTCGCAACTGCTTTTTGGAGGCTCTTTCCAGCTTCTCATTCAAAGTCTGCTGTCTTTGGTCGTACTTCTCCTGATCAACTATGCACCTCTTGCGGATGCGGACAGTCTCATGAAACAACCAGTCAAGAAAGGAGACATCCTCAAGCAGCGAACCGATGTCGGCAGAGAGGTATCTAGCTTTCACAGCAAGGTCCTTCTTTTGCTTCTCCGCAGCAGCTTCCTCCTGCTGCAGAACAACTTCTTGTTCAGTCCGTGAAGAAGATGTAGATGTAGGCTTCATCACGACATCAAGTGAAAGTGTCCCGGAACTAGTTGCTGCATCGCCTTTGTTCCGCTTCGTCGCTTGCAATTTGGCGTCTCCTCGCCCGTCCGAAGTAGAACTCTGGCGCTTTTTGTTTGACATCTTTTCGTCCTAGGATGAGGCTGTGAATGTGAAAAATTATGCATCACTAGGACTAGGGCTACACCTCCTTGGCCGATGCAACTCAATAAAAGTCTAAACAATGCTGGTGCTTGTTGATGCAACAAATATCGCAGTTACAGAGTCTAGATTCGTCTTGCGACTAGGTCGTGTATGTTCAGCACTAGTACGCTCGTTTGGTCCACAAAAAAAAATCTGACTTTCGTCGTGCTTATGAAGCCGCTTCATGTCGCTATAAAGAGCATCAATTTACTTGTAGGTACTTTTTCACCTCCTGTTGCTGTTCGCATGTTTTTTAAATATAAATTGATTGGTAGAGGAAGGATGAGGTTTGATTAATTGATTTTTGTTCCTTTGCAGTCGTTAGTATTCGTTTGTAGATAGCGCTTTTTTTATTTTGTCGGATGTTGATCTTGTTTCGCTATATTGCTTCTCTAACGGACCTCTTTTTCACTTACAGGAGTTACTGATCTCATTCTGTTCTTTTGAGCGCCATAGTTCTGGAGAAGAACCCAGTTTTTTAAGATCTCATTCTGTTCTTTTGAGCACCATAGTTCTGGAGAAGAACCCAGTCTTTTTAAGAACTTTTTCACTTCATAGAAGACTTTTTAAGAAGTTTCTCGACAGTCTTGTCCATATGTCAATGGTTGCATTGCAAGATCTTCAACCAGTTTGCGTTTGGCTCGTCTGGCTCGTATTTAAGTAGTTGTTCTAACTGAGTACCCGCCTGCAAGTGTCTTCTCTAAGGTGGAGTAGCAGGAGAGGACGCTACTAAGGAGCTCAAACTCATGTCTCATGTATCCTATAGCAACTGTACAACTTCCTGGTCCTCTGCTGTGTCCTCGTATTCCTCTCGGTCAGCGCTTTATGGTTTCAACAAGAATACGCCGCGACAACTGTACGACTACAACGCACTGCAACCCTGGTGCGGAGTCTAGTTGTTATGTCTCCTGCGCGTAGAAGTAAGTAGTAGAAGTTGTACTACAGACGACTCCTACGCTCGTCTAGTGCCGCCGCGTTCTTCATCGTTCCACACCCACAGGAGCGTTCGCCGTATCAACATGATTTGCTACTTCTCCACGATCTTCAGTTGTACCAGTAGAAGCATCATTGCCCATCACCTCGTCCCTGTGGTCACCAGCTTCATCTGCATCTGGTTGTGGTTCTGGATGATCCCCTGCTTCAACTACAGCATTATCAGCATCAACACGTTGATCTCGTCCTTCCACAACGTGTAGTTCTACATCTTTGTTATCAGGAAGATCATGATCTCCACCTCCTTCTCCTTGTTCTACCGCCTTGTCAACGGCATGCTCTTGCGCTGCCCCTTGGACTACAGCGTTATCAGCAACATCATCATCTCGACGTCCGTCAACTTCCACCGCGTTATCAGCAACATCATCATCTCGTCCGTCAACTTCTTCCACCGCGTTATCAGCAACATGTCGATCCCCTTCTTCTACTACATTCTTGGCCGCGACATCTTCTATAGGATCTCCTCCTTCAGCTTCCTCTACAGCCGTATCATGAACCAAGTCTGGCATGTGCACCGGGTCCCTCTCCACCGGAAGCGCTAGCCTGTCCATCTTCGACAGCATATTCTGCGCCAATCCTTGAAAACGCATGTAGCTGTCACTCAATGCAGAAAATTGCAACCGCAACAAGTCCAAAACTCGCCTTAGCTTTGATCGATCCGCACCACTGCCAAGCTCAGGAACGTGCTTCAGCGTTTCCTGAATTTCCTTGTTTTGCTGCGTCCACTCTCGGTGAGCGAAAAAAACTGGCTCGGCGACTTTTTTTAGTTGGTCGAGGTGACGCGTGGAAGATATTTGTGGCGCAAAATACGCGTCCAATGCGAGATCGGAAAGGATGCGGGTTGAAGCCATCTTTGATAATTTATGCAAAGTGAAGGCAATTAGGATTAATATAGTATACAAGGTTCTCGAGTAGCAAGACGAAGGAGCGTGCGTCGTCTATAAATTTACGCCCGTAGTTGCACCGAGGCAAGATGTAGGTTGGTGTGTCCACATGAGCATCATGGGCTCCGAAGTGGATACTGGCGTTCCTCGACGAGATCGACGAGACCGATTTTCTGTTGAGTCACAGCACCCACACACGCATAGCGATGTTGGGTTTCTCTCTGAGAAACCGACTTGGACGCGATATTACCGATATGGGATTTACCACCAGAGAATGGCATGACAACATAACAAGTGCGTTTGAGTAGGAGACCGTGACCGAAGGGAGCTGAACTGCTGTATTCTACTCGAAGACGAGGACGTCGTCGTCGATCCTTGATCGTCATTGTGAAGGAAAATAGAATGTTGTGTGCAGAAAGATTAGTCACTTGGTGGTTCGTCTGACTCAACTGATTTCGCAAACTACAGAGCTCCAGCTCCGTGGACCGTGTTATAACTTCCGGACCACTACGTACTTGTCGCTTTTGATTGCTTTCTCTAGTAAAAATATCTTCGCGTTGCCTTCGCTCTAGTCGTGGTCTCTTCGTGATCGTGCTACTAGTGTTGTTGTTTTGGTTCTGCTGTAAAATTCAACTTGTTCTCGTCGTCGTATTCCCCGTGTTCTGATGTCGAAATAATCGTCCGTGATTCTTTCTGACTGAGATATAATTGCTATTGCTATCTACTTCACGATCATTAAGTATTCATTTTTTCACAAGTAGTCATACTCATAGTCTTGTTCTTGTCTAACTAATTAAGCGCGATTTTCCTCTGTAATTCGTCGAACGCTTCCAAATAGAGCGTCAAAAAGCCATCTCCCAATGTCGTTGTTGGCCTTTCGCCGCCAGCTGCTGCCGCTTTTTTCTTGAGGTCTCGTAGTATTGCTTGCGGCACCGTGATCTTCCGAATGAGGATGGTTTTTGCCTTACTTTCGTTAAAGACAACGACGATATCCAGACCACCGACCTGGTGATGTTGACGTACAACAAGTAGATAGGATTTATTAGGAAGTGGAAGAAAGAAAAGAAGATAAAGAAAGAAAAATGTTGAGTAGTACAAAAACAAGAACGAGAACCAACATGTGAAGAATATTTTTACTATTTATTTCGAAAACCTCGAGTTGTTTGAGTTAAAAGTAAAAGCAAGTTGAACTTGCAGCTTCAATCAAAGAATTTTATGCAACGTAGTTGTACCTGATTGAACGAGAATGTGAACATGAGTTTCTTTTTCTTGCTCTTTTCTGGCAGAGTATCGACCACAGGGTCTGCGATGCTCTGGAGGACCTTTTGCGATATCAATTGTTGCAAATTCAATGTCTTTTGGGCGTTGAAAGTACATCCATCTGGAATTGCGTCTGGCTCCACGGTCCTCAACGTAGCGATCTTCGCTGCTATCTGATTCATATTCAAGCGCGCACCAGAAGCTTCGTAGCAAGCGTTGCGGATTAGAGTTTTGGGGCGACAGGAATCAAACTAAAATGAGGAAAAAAAATCAAGCGTCGAACATTTCTTGAGCACGACGGCCACGACCTGGAAGTAAATCGTGATGTCTCCCTAGTTGAGGTCTAGGTGCATGGACATGACTTCAAATCAAAATGATCTTCATCAATAAGGTATTCGTATTGTAACATATTATGTCATAATGTTATCTGTTTCGGCATCTTCGGATCTACACAAAATCGCTTCAGGAGTTGCAGCTCAACCATCGCTCGCTCCATTTTCTGGTAGTACGCCGCTCGCGCTTCTTGAATCGTCCTTCTCCCTGCGTCGACGTTTAATAGTTAGAGCTCGACAGTATCAGTAAGATGACGAGCTCTAGTTGATACTCTTATTCTCAATACTCGGTCTCAGACGAGTCCAATAAGCCTCCAACATAATCTAGATAAGCCCTTTGTCGATCTCGCATCACGATTTGCTCCACTATGTGCGCACACACATCAGCAGGTCCAGTGTCTGCTAGTATAAGCTCTTCGATTTTGCCCATCCCGACATCTAATTTCCTCGCAAGCTCGTAGTCAGGCGGCGTTGCATTGGTGTATTGTTGGAGATTAGAAGGCGGTGGTGTCTTGATTAAGATTTAGATTATCATCTAAGATGGATCATATGGAATCACCTTCAATTTCTTATCCCTTACAACTTGTGTCAAAGTCAACATGTATCCCTACACAGGTCAAATCGATGGAACAGTAAGTCTCGAGCTTGTTTTCTCCCGCTTATACCCCGTGTCACTGCCAGTGTTGATGTTGATCATCATGGTGTGAGCGTAATAAGTCCACCATAATCTTCAACTCTTCGAACTCCGACTTCATTTCTTTCAACGTATTCGACTGCAACGGAGGTACCGCATCGAAGATATCCTGTAATACTGCTTTAGAGCTCACCCTAAAAATCCATCTCGAAGATCCTCCTGGGACACGTGAATGTCTTCAAGATGCTTCTGAAGATGGATCAATGGCCTTAACTGCTCTAGGATCGTTTGGGTCTTCTGGAAAAGGCAAACTTTTTACCACCTCGATCGTGTCCTCTTCACCGGCTGCTTGTGTTTCTGCACTTAGCCTTCTAGGAACTGGCGCTTTTGAGGTTTTACAGAAAACCATCGATGGATTTGTGCTTAGAGCTTGCTTAAATGCATCTTCAAGCTCATCTTCGACGAGGCCTTTTCCCCTTGAAAACGTGGCAAATAAGATGCCCCTTATAAGAATAAGATGAATTACGGGCAGGAGCCTTAATGTGAGCAGAAATCTGCTGTTCATTCTAAAATTGTAGGTCAAATCATGCGGCTTCATGCGTTTCAAAAATGAGTCGGAGATGACATCCTGAAAAACGGGGAGTAGTTCGGTGACGAGGTAGTCTTCCTCGGTTAACCCGATCTTGGATTCGTGTTCCCACAACATGGCGATCACGGACAGCATATCCATCATGCTCAACTGGATGTAATGTTCTTCACAGTCGTAGTGACTCACGAAGACGTCTTTTGTCAACAGTGTGTCCGTATCGTCAGCCGTTTTCGTCCCTTGCTCCTTGCAAAACGTCAATATCGCTGGTTTTACTTGCCTGCCTATCTTGCTCACCAGTGTCTCAGCTGGCTCTATGAAACTTTTGTGGATCGTTTTCTGCAGGAAAATAGCAAGTTTCTTCACATTGTTCTTTATACTGGCGTCTTGTGTCACCTGCAATTGTGCTGGATTGCCAAGGCCTTGATTTTTGCCGCCGTAGTTTAGACCTACTCTACTAAGTGAAGAATCCATCTCGAACAAATTAAAGTGCATCGTCGATCCTGGTGGAACCTGGCATCTCCCATTTACAACGATCAAATCATAATCAGGATGCTCTTCATGCTTCTGAAGTAGATTTCCGAAATGGAGCATTGTTCATGTTATTGCTTGTACATTCATGGGGACTTCCACCCATGCAAGCATTCTGTAGAGAGGAACCTGTGGAACAATGGCCTTAAGTACTCTTGCAAGTTCTCCATCACAGGGACTAGAATTCCCAGCACGTACAAACGCGCCAAGGGCTCACAAATCTGCAATTCGAGTGGAATCGTGATGTCATCACGCTGCACTGTGAATCGGCGTGCTTTGATGGTTTGAAGAGCGTGGAAAAGAATCTTCTGGATATCCGCTGGAAGCTCTTGTGCCGAGAGCCATTTGAGGAACTCTTTCTGCAGATATTCTCGGAATTTTTCGATGTTCGCGTGAAATTCGACTGTCAGTTCCTGAGCGTCTTTATTGTGTTCCCCGCCTTGCTCCGCTTCCATAAATTCCTCTTTTGTCAGGAAAAAATGCTGCCCAAGTTCCTTCACCCCTCTGTCAAGAGACACCATTAAGGAACCGACGCCGCTTTTTCTGGTGACGTCCATCACACTGTGGATGATATCTTCTCGGAAGTAAGGCTGCAGAGAGAACTCAGAGAAGAGATGGAGGACGCGGCTGCCGTCAGGTTGGAAGACTCAAAGTTAGAGGAAAAGAGTCAGGTTGGAAGACTGGAAATTATAGAGGACACTTATACCTGATCCTGGATCTACTTGATTTCAGTTTCATCTTCTTGCTCGACTGTAGTCGCATCTTCGACATGTTTGATGATGATGATGATGATGATGATGATGATGATGAGGATGAGGATGAGGATGAGGATGAGGAGGATGAGGAGGATGAGGAGGATGAGGATGATGAGGATGATGAGGATGATGAGGATGATGAGGATGATGAGGATGATGATGATGATGATGATGATGATGATGATGAGGATGATGAGGATGATGAGGATGATGATGATGTTGAGGATGGTGATGAGGATGATGAGGATGAGGAGGATGATGAGGATGATGAGGATGATGAGGATGATGAGGATGATGATGATGTTGAGGATGGTGATGAGGATGATGAGGATGAGGAGGATGATGAGGATGATGATAATGGTTGTACTTGTACTTAATCTGTTGGATCCTTGATGCAAGCCTAACCTGTCTAATCATAATCATTTGGGTCCTTGCAAGCCACTACTTCCTGCTTGATCATCAGCTTCAGCAACGCCATGAAGAGGTGTTTCGTCCGCACGTCCTCCAACTCATGGTACACGCTTTGCAGAACGAATCGATAGAAAATTTTCTCTTTGGGGAATGAATGGAGGATGGACGAAATGATGGAGGAACGACCCATGCTGTCATGTGCTGATTGATGGCGGCGGAGACGATAGAAGATCACGTCTCGTGTTTGATAGTTCGTTGTAGAATACAATACAATTAATCTCGCACAGTTATAAGTGCAGACTGCCGCGCGGCGTCATAGTGTTTCGTCACGATGCTTAACAATTCTTGAGAGTACTATATTGAACGAGGAAGAGTAGCAGGAGCTGTACAACTACATGGTTGGTTTTGGTAGATAAAACTCCCATACCTCCAAATTCTGTATATGCAATGACAGCTCCGAAAGGTACGCTGGCTGTTGCTGCAGGGACCATACCAGCTCCTCAAATTGTGGTAGTAGGGCGGTGAGTTTCCTCAAACCAGCGGCGCCCTTTCCTTCTGCACCACCAGCTGCTTTTACATCTGGAGCCTTCACGTGAGGCATGATTCGGACTGTAGAAAGGTTAGAAGAAGAGGGTCAAAGGAGAGGTAGAAGGAATTATTTAGTTTGGCAGAGAGTTGTTGAAGATTGCGTAAGTACTTATGTACATGCACTAGTGTTGCTTGTGCAAAGTGCACACCCTGCTTCAGTTGCACACCTTGAAGCTGATGTCCTTGCTCTAGCAAGACAAGCAAAAGCGTCTAAACAAGGATCCACGCATCCCCTCCATAATCTTGAAACTGCTGTCGACATCTGTGAGCCTCTCCATGCGTTTCCTTTCCATTTCGGCTACATTCACTAGAATGTCCTTCAAGAAGATATCGTAGTCTTGTCGCAAGGAACTTTCTGCTGCTAGCAAATTCGCGTTTTTCGCACTCTCAGCTTCTTGTTTGAGCAAACTCTGAATGGTCGGAAAGTCTTTCACGGCTGCGCCTTCTCTGAGACTGTCAAACATGCGGTCCTTCTCTGCTTCTTGTTCGCCTGATGCAGGATTTTTGTTTGGGGGATGTAGTTGACGTTGATCATCCTAATTTTTGAAGTGGGATGAGATGAACTAGAAAATCAGATCATTTGAAGACTTCATGAAACGCAATAGTACTGTAAAAACCGTTCCTTAATTAATATGTACAATAAACCTACTTCATTCAATCAACATAGTGTGAAGATACTAAGTACTTGCTTTCCCTTTCGGTGAGCCGCTTTTCTTGCTCTTGGCGTCGCCTCCTCCTGCTTCCTCTGCTGCTTCGTCGCTGTCCTCCTCCTCCGCACCACCATCGCCAAGATTTTGCCGTGTCATAGCTTCTAAACTAGACCACACTGGGTCCACTTTCAAAGGGGCATCTACATATCTCGTCTCCGCGATCGCAGCCAAGCCTAAGCGACCACAGCTTTGGTCACCCCAGCCGAAGACGTCGCCGTTTTTCATCATTGCTAGAGAATGTGAAGGGCCTGTAGCCAGAAGCTCCACAGAACCCGGGAAAGATGAAACTTGCTCTGGAGTCTGAACATGCGGTCGACCGAGAGATTTGGGAAGCGCTAGCTGGTGCGACGCGTTCTCGCCCCAAACGTAGACTTCACCCTCGTCTGTGATGGCAAGCGAATGCCCTTCCCGACAAGATTGAAATAGGAGTAGATGCAGGGTAGATGAAGGTGGTGACTTCATGTTGAGGACATTGTCTTTGCCGGTACTAGTTCAACAAACGAGACCCCCGACCTGAATTGTTGTTGTTCCCATCCATAACAAGCAATCTGCACAATTTTAGTGCTGTCTCCAAGTTGTGTGAATTTCTTGGGCAAGGGACAGTCCATAGGTTCGCAGACGCACTTGTCTCTCCCCCACACGTGCAGATCTCGTTTTTCATCTATCACTAGAGTATGGTAAGCAGCCAAGGACATGTCAATGACCTTTTTTGGCAACGCCACTTGTCTAGGAAAATAGACGTTGTCCACTGTGCCGAGTCCCAAGCGACCAAACCAACCGGCTCCAAAGTTAGAGCTAGTAGTAGTACCTACCCCTGAATATGGTAAAAATGCCAATCCATGATCCCTGTGGAGAAGTATCTATTCTTCTACTTGTATTTTTTCCCTTGAATATTATGCCAAAGAAACTAGGGATACCCATTATGAGACATAGAGCGCTCTAAGAGATGAATTAGCATTAGAATTAGTGGTAGCCTTAACAAATGTGAACATGGCGCCTTCGTCATTGACGACAGCTGTATGGGCCAAACCGCATTTGACTTTGGCAGCAGGTCGATTGAAAAACGCATCCTGCTTTATCGGCGAAGGCTCCGCTATTATCCCACTTGTGCACGATGCTCCGAGGCCTAGTGCCCCGTTCTCTGCGGCTCCCCAGACGTATACTACGTTAGAACGCCCGCAAATCCACCTTGATGCTCTTCTTGGTAGTTCTCGTTTTCCCTAGTACAAAAGTACTAGCGGGACCAAGATGCTGGAAAAAGTACTAATAAATACATTTATATAAGTATTAATATTGTAGCCCTAACTACGCCATCTGATGTAACCGCGGCACTGTGAACTTCTCCAGCTGCGCACTCTTTCACCAAAACACGTGGTGGCAACAGCACTAGTTGCGGCACTGGTGAATTTTTGCTCTGATTTATGCCCAACTGACCGTGCGTTCCTCGACCCCAGGAGTACAGTTCCATGGTCTTCGTTATCGCGAGACAATGTTCGTAGCCAAAGGCGATTTTGGCAACTGCTTGAGGTAGTTCTAGTAACCTAGGAATCCAGCTATCGGAAGGATCTCCAAAACCGGTTTGCCCAGACTCACCGCAACCCCAAACATAGAGTGAACCTGCTTCTGTTAGAGCTCCAGAGTGCAAAGAGCCACACTGCAACTGCTTTACGCGCCATGAGGACACAGCCTTTTCCTCGTCTTCGCCAAGGCCGCCACCAGCTGCACCCGCAGGACCGCCGGCTGGAGGGCGGAGCGAGTGGGAGGTGGTTTTCAAGTAGTTGCACAGACGCAATTTGTTGTACTGAAAAGTGAAATTTTTTGAGCCTATAGTCCTTCGTCATGGTCTTTAGAGCAAGGCAAGTCCTTTGCTTTTGGGAGTACCACTACGTGCAGCCGGGCGAGTCCTATTCCTTTATCCGACTTCATACAACGAGAACAAGTACGAATAAAAAAGTACCTTTCGCCTGTCCTCCTCCCGCTTTTGGCTTTTTCTCGCATATGTCTAGTATCTGTTCCCTCAGAATCGCTTCGCGAAACTCTCCGCCACCCGCACCAGGCTGACTAACAGCCAAGAACTTCGGTTTCGGACAATTCGACATGTCCGGTCCCATGCCTATTCTTCCGTGGCTCCCGTTACCCCAACAGGCTACGCGACCTTGAGTGCAGAGAACTAAAGTGTGGAAAGGACCCGCCGCGATCTGCAGGACAGGTCCCTGAAACTCGAAGTTCAGTCGTCTTGGAATCGAGACGACGCTGTTGTCTGCGTCGTGCACGTTAGTAGAGAAAGATTCTCGAAAGAACAAGTCTCACTCTCAGTACTAGTTTTTAAGGACAAGAAAATCCTCGATTAGGAAAGCGACGATGATCCGACATTTGCGTAGTACTTGCCATGGATGATGGACATGAAATTCATCCTCACTGATGACAGCGATACCTCAACTTTCACGAGCAGCTCATAATCATGTATCCCAAAGGGCACCCAGTACCCCAGCTCCAAAGACGGCCTTTCGTCGTCAGGGCCACAGTGTGAAAGGCTCCACACGCAACTTGCTTCGCCACCTCGTCAAAGTTTCGGACTAATGTAGGCAAATACGTATCCAGCAAGTCGCCATGACCTAATCTGCCAAAGCTGCCTGCACCGAAACTCATGATCAGACCGCCACAAATTGCTGCAGTGTGGCTCTCACCGCAGGCGATACTATTACATTGCTCGCTCAAAGAGCCATTGAGTGTCCAGACATTGATTGAAGGGGTAGAAGTGATAGCTTTGCCGAGACCTAGGCGACCATGGCCAGTGGATCCACATACGTAGACGGCGAGCTCCGAGGTTAGGACCATGCTATGTCTTGAGCCGGCGGCAACGCTGACGGCGGGTGTGGCGGCGCCAAAAAGGTCGATGCGCTCAGCGTCCTTGACGTCGTTTCTGGTTTGTTTTAGCGGAGATCAATTGACCTTGCTGATGAAATTATAAGGTTAGGTTTCCGGTAAAAACAGTACATACGGACAAGGCTACGCATAGTGGATCAAGTACGTATGTCCCAATCCCAATTGGCCATCCGCGTTGCATCCCCAGCACCAGAGCTCGTTTGCAGTCGTGATTGCGAAGGAAAAGTCGGAACCACATTCCACTCGCATGACAGGCCTGCTGATGGAGGTGACGGATAGTGGGTAAGGTGCATCCCATGGATCCTCGACTTCACCCGCATCGTCGTCCCCTGATGCAGGATCCCTATGCGACAGCCTACCCCGCAACCCCAAGCCCCAAGCCAACACGCGGCCGCCTAGTGCGTCCGGCTTGCTTTTGATGATTGCTACCGCATGGTTACTCCCTGATGCTATCTGGTAGATCCGGTCTCCAGGCTGCGCATTACCCTGTTCGAATGGCCTTGGCCTTAGATGAGCTACCGCTTGTTAGCATCCCTGAGACGAGGACCCTCCTTTCCTTGAGATGAGAAATTCTTCTTGGACGACAAAAAAATGTTCTCTTATCGTCCAAGAAGGATCTTCACACTCTTCTTCAGGATACTCACACTCACTCTCCTCCAACAAGTGGGCTAAATCTTTGGAAGTTTTGTCAATGCCATAGAAAGCAAAAAGGGAAAAACTAGTAGCTGCCTTAATAGCCGTTCCAATTCTGTTATACTGGTTTTCAGCAATGCATCTTCGTCTAGGAACACATTGTTCTGGTTCTTTCCGAATCCGAAAATGCGTTGCCCACCTTCTCCAATCACGAACGAGTGCGCTGGACCAACGGCGATTTTACTCGCCGCAGAAGGGGAGGGAAAGGTGGACGAAGAGGCCATGTATTTTTTGTAGTTGTAGTTTTTGTTAGCTAATCTTTACACATCGTTCAAGATCATCATCATGATCTGACGACTCAGATCCATTGATCTAAGATCTTCAGGGATGATCATTCCGAACTCGCCCGAAGACCTTTTGATCGTCACCAGTGTGGTCGGTCGCAACTATGTTTATTATGTGGCAAAACGTTAACGTCGACGTCCATCCGTGCTCCGTTTTGCTTCTGCCACCGCTTTCTCGACTGTAGTGATGTAATATGAATATCGCAGGTAGAAATTTGCGCTTGGTGTACTCCAAGCAGTCACAATCAGTCTTCACCTCTTGGATCTTGATCTTCATCTCAGCAAGGTGGTTACTTCCGCAACGTGATGATGTGCCTCGCCAGTAACAGTTGTTGCCAGATAATTAATGGATCGTCAACATAATAGAGTCTGTATCTCAAATTCACGTTCGCTGCTCACACATGATATTTTAAGCTGATAATTTTGGTCAACGGTTTCTTGGTTGGAGATACATATCGAACCTAACAAGACAACAGCGAGGACTTCACCATAAGTAATCAGAAGAACTCAGGCAAACGAAACAGATAGGTTCGTGGGAGCAGATTTGGAAGGAGCTGCTAGGTAGCAGCACTAGAATTTATCTATCACTAAAACAAGGACTTGTTTAAAGGCGAAGTCAAAATCTATACACAGTTTAGGGAGGATAACAAAAGCGAAACGAGAAGCTAAATGATGCTGTAGCGAAGTTGCTTCCTATCTGCAAGTCTCTGCTGTGCTGGGAACGATTTCTGAGCTTGAGCTAGTGGTCTCCTGTACAAAAAAGTAACGAGTATCATTTTCTTTTCAACAAAACCAACATTCCAAGTGTGTGACGTTGACGAACTACTAGTGCAGCAACATATTCACGTATATATCTTCCAATGAATAACAGTGATCAGTCTTTCTTGTTATTCCTCGTAGAAGTCTTCGTAGCTTTCGATTCCTCCTTGTCCTTATCCGCATTTGCACTGCATCCTGGTCCTGCTGGCTTCAACTCGACACGTTTCATCTTGGTTTTACCCGTCTTTTTCGATGAGGAAACGGATGCAGCGGCCGCTTCCGCAAATAATTCAGTGATAGTTACGATCCGCACTCCCTTCTCCGTTGCCGACTTGTACTTTGCGGTTTCTTTGATGTTTTTACCTGGAAGTAGTCGTGATTATAACGAGTACATCAGAATCAGAGGGGGGTGAGAACAATGTCAATGCCTATATGATGTGCTCCTATTAAATATCGACTGAATGAAGATCATATTACCTTGTTTTTCGACTCTAGTGCAAAAGAAATCAAATTCAGAAGTTCGACATACTGAACCCGGTACCAAGTCCATCTTTCTCTTCGTGCAAAAGCACGAGCATATCCGTTTTTTTGGACACTGCGTTAGCTATTTTCGTCGCACCGAAGGTCAGCAGCAATTCCTGTATAGCCTCCTTCGGAAATGGGCTGGAGCCAGTGAATGCCACGCTTTTTCCTTCCAGAAAGTTGTTCGGAGCTTCGTAGACTTGCGGTTTTATATCAAGCTTTTCTGGATTCTGACGAGCCCACAGGGCGTAAGCCTGAAGCAGCAGGAGGAGGTGGATACAGAATCTGTAGCAGTGAAGATATTTATTCGTTGTTCAACCAGGAGCAGCACAACTTTTGCAGATGAGGTAAAACAAGTACTTACTAAGTAGTTCACGACATGATCATGGTCTATCAACTTCTTACCACAAACCGTAGTTGATTTGTGTTTAGTTGGCGATCGTTGTCGTCCTCAAAGCAATTTTTGATGAGCCAGTCGACGTAGTTGCTCTCTGCAATAACCATCTCTTCGTACGTCCTGCCACTATGCTTTCCAAACTCTATCGTCTCTGCTCCAGTGACAGGCCCTAAGATCTTAGGCTGACCTCCGAAAAAAGAACCTCCCCTGTTGTATTAAGGATGATGGTTCAGCAGGAGGTAGACGAGGTACATTATTTCTGGAAGAAGGAGCAGGAGGTCTAAAAAAAAATAAAATATGAGGAGGTCTAAGTCATCGTCTTCAACGTCTGACGTAGGTAATACACACGGGTACTAGAAGTAGATCATCCAGAAAAGACGAAGATATAATTTCATCGTCGAATTCATTGTGTCAGCGGTAATACCTGCCTCCAAAGTTATTTCCTCTACTTGAGCCTCCACGTTGCGCCGGATTATATCCACCACCTCCGTTCTTGCCGTAGCCACCTCTTTGATAATTGCCACGACTGTAGTTGTTGCCATAGCCTCCACCTCCGCCGCCTCGATTGTAGTAGCCGTTATCACCACGCTGGTTACTGTTGTATCCACCACCGCCATTTTTGTTGTAATAACCTCCACGTTGACCGTCGCTCCTGCTGTACGACTTCCATGGCCTGTTTGGTTGTTATTTTGCGTTGTAGGAAATCAATGTTTTTAATGCGTCGTGGAGTCAGTTTTTATTCATTTCGATTTCCAGTGAAGTTTCACGGTCAATAAGCAGCGTCGACGTGTAAGCTTAAGCTTAAAGCTGCTGACTACTGAAGCTTGACTGCTTAGGTACGGTATTTCATCTTCTTGTGCGTCAGGACTAACGCTCCGTCTCCCAGGCGCAACAGATCTGATCGGATCTACTTCGGTGTAATCGATGTCACCATCGACGGCCGCTGCTGCTGGTGCTGATGCGGACGCGAAACTCCTTCTGGAAGTACTCCTACTTGGTGCTGGCGCCTCAGCGCCGACTGCGATCGTCCTAGTCGTGAAGATGTAGTTGGCGCGATTCGGTAGCAATGTTGTTGTTCCGTTTGTGACTGACGCAGTGTGACGCAGAAATTGCTGTCCACACCTCGACGCTGCGCTTTTGCACACTATCATTTTTTTGATGTTAGTTTGATATTGATTGCGAACCCTGATTTTAGCGATTCCTGCAAAGGATCGTGACTAAATTTTTTTGCTTGAGTATTTTCTTGTTTTTCTACTTCATCCAACAACATGGTCCATCTTTGAAGTCATGAAAGGAAGGTAGAGCAGTAGTCCAAGTTAGTCCCTGATCAAATAGCAGCATGTAGGTCGGATGGTGCTTAGACACGACGCACTCTCCTCGCTCAACGCTCGTAGTATCAGTCAGGAGAAAAGCAAAGAAAAACAACGTGGACCAAAAGCACTTTTTTATTTCTCTCGGGGTACTGGCTCTGGCACTCTCGACGGACGACTGGTTTTGAATCCGGGGACGTGCTTCTTGTCGGGCAGAAGTTGCTGATGAAGAAACATCCTGCTTGCTGCTACCGTTTGCCACATCATAGCTCCGAGGCTCACATGTTGATCGTCAGGTAAGAACATCGGACATAAAACAACTACAAGCGGTACCAGATGATGTTCATCTTCCATGACAATGCAGTACCTTGTGAAAGTGAAACTGAAGATCCAGAAAAGCAGCATAGAAAACAAGCAACACCTCTTCTAATGAGGTCTCGTATCTCTGTACTTTCTTCTTACTCCCATTCCACCTGCCTTTTTCCTAATCCAGCAATGCTCACCGTGACGCCCACCACCGCCCATGCCGTGTCCCCTCCTAAAGCCGCCAGGTTCTCTATGATCCGGCACCTTTTCCTCAAAGGAGCGAGCACGAGCAAGTCGGGATCGGAACTTTCTCTCGAGTTCTGGACTCGCCTTCCACCAAAGATTTCGGGTTACGTCAGTGTGGGGATTAGAGAGGAATAGTATACAATTTTTCATTGTTCTCGAAAAACTCGACTCACCACTAGGCATCCCCATCCAATCATAACTTCTGACCCGGGCAAAAATTCCTGTCTCGCAGGCTCCATCAGTGATTCATTAGGCAGAAAATATGGCGAAAATGGTTTATGCTCTCGCGCGTCCCTTTTCGGTCTTGCGGCTTTGAAGGCTGTGTGCTTATACCTAGCAAACCATGGGTCCGATTGCTCTTTTTTCCTCAAGAGTATATGCCATGGCTTAAAGGTCAGCAGCCATTGGTCACTGACTCTGAACGGGAGGGCCCCCACATCTCTCTACTTGTTTTCCCTTCATCTATCTCCCCTGTTCTCTCCAGGGGGCCCTCTTCGATTTCAGTGGCCAACCTCTATGACCAGTGAAAGTTGAGCCTTAAATGGCATTCCCCAACTTTTTACGGTAGGGTTGTCTTCGTTGGGTATGAAGGAGGAGGGCAACGAACGGGGCAAGAGGAAGAGTCTGGAGGCAACGGGACAAGAGGAAGAGTCTACTTGACCACGTTTTTATGTTGATGATGTTAGTTTAAGTTTATGATTAACTTTACTCTCTCGTAAAGGAGAGAGCAACACAGACAATGTCTAGTGGTTTGCGTCTAGGGTCGTAACAATATTATTCCTAGGGTGGAGCACCAGCAGGAACAGATGTAGTTCGTCCATAAAGTAATACATCAAGTTTTTCATTTTCTCCGCAGCTGTACTCCGTATTTCCTCTGGTGATGTGCGCATTATGTAGTTATCGAATCCGCCCATGTCATCCATCGCATATAAAGCACTTGGGGTTACACGCATATTCGTGATAATCGTGTTCAGCTTCTTGCTTTCGAAGTCCTTTCTGTACTGAAAAGGTGTTATCTTGGTCCTGTGCTTGTGCATGTTCAGCTTACAGACAGCCAGAAACTGGAAATCGTCATTGTGCCACAGGTTCATCTGACTCGCGAAAGATGGAGGTCTGGTAGCGTAGGCTTTGGCGGGAATGGGTTTGGTGATCCACCCACGCTTGTAGCGGTAGGCAAAGTGCTTTGGCTGGTTGCGCAGATGCGCGCCGAAAAGATTCTTACAACGCGGCATTCTGAAAATCTTCTGCTTGAGACTCAGCTGAGAGTAGAGATCTATGTGCTTATCAAGTTGCCTCACCTCTCTTGTTCGCTCATGATTGCGATCGTAGTTGTTACGGAGAGCAAATGATGAACAAGGGATTGACATTTCTCGAGAAAAGCGTTAGGAGCTTGTTCTTGTAATGATTTCTTCGAAGTAGAAGAGTGGTTGTACAAGTACTTAGCGTTTGAAGTTTGCGTCTTGAGATTGGGTTATCTAATCCTGGGTCGAGTGCGTAATGAAGGCCGGGAGTTGGGAAGGTAGAAAGAAATCCAGAACCTGGATAGAGGTGAAGTACCAGGAGAGTGTGTGTGAGTGTGACTTGTCTAACATCGCCATCCTCAACTGCCCATCTCATCGTGGTCATGGAACTTCTTCCGCTGTTGGCCCAGCAGGCGCCTTTTCTACTGAAGCAGGTGGAGAAGCCATCGGTTTTATCGGACTTCCATTCATCGGTACTGCGTCATACGAAATATGAGCATCGGCTCCCGAGAGAACATAATGCAATGCCCACAATAGGAACAATATTGCAGCAGACAGAATTGCCAAGAGGAGGTTTTTGTAACCGGCTTCGCGAGTCAACGTTTTGGTTCGGGGGGTCCAGAAATACCTGACGAAGATGTTTGTGAGCAACGCAACTTCTCTATCGACTCATGAACCATGCTGGCTTTTTCTGTTTCATCTAGTACGCAGGCGTCGCTGTTACAGTTACTGTGCTTAAATATATATTTATTTATACATTTAATCTGATTAATCATCGAAAGAGCCTAAGTCAGTACATTATCGCCCCCACAGTCCATAAAAATGGTGGACAGAGTGCTCCTAGGCAACATATCCATTTTTGTGTGGCTGGGTCGTCTTCTTCGTAAAGCGCTAGCCTGTCTTTCAATTTCATCCTAGAACTCGGCAGTTGCGATGATGAGGAGGACGGCTCGGATGCGAACTGTTGAATCAAAAAAAATGTACATTGACGTGGTGTATGTTGGTAAAAAAAGTACTGGATTGAGATTCACAGCGATGTTAAGATTAAGATTAAGAGATTTCTGGCGTGCGACGCAGCGGCCAGGGCTCCAGAAGTCTGGGCAGCTAGAATCGTTGTGAGTAGAGGATTAGGATTTCCAGAAGTGTGGAACCTGCAGAGGGTGGAACGATTCTTGTACCTTTGGCAATTCGATGTCCCCTCCATCGTTCCCAAAGACCTGCGGCACAGGTGGCTCGTATGAAACTCGATTATACCCAAGCACGGCCATGGTCGTTTATGTGCTTGCTCAGTAGGTGCGATGATCAGAAGAACTGAGAGGATGGTGCAGGAGTTTCTTCATACTTTTCGTCTTGACTTTTGGTTCTGAGACACTCTACTCATGAGCGGTGGTTTCGGCAAAAGAAGTATGTTGTTGTCCTTGCTCCACTACATTTTTGCTGAGTATTTTTAGTTCTTGTAATGCGCCGCGCTCATGTAAGTAGAATTATTGGCTCTTGTAGTTTTTGTTGTACAACTACGACCTCTTCTAAATCATCTGGTTCTTCAACAACAGCCAGCAAGATATTTTTCAAAACGAAGAGATATGAGATTTTAGCGAGAAAATGAACCAAAACACCGATCGACCGCCAAATAGATCATATACATATTCTTCGTTCAATGTATATTAAATCCATAAAGTTGCCTTTCGACCGATGAAAAGCTGTAATACTGGAAAATATCCCGATCAAAAGGAACAGACGAACACACGGCCTCGTACGACCCGATGCATTGTCGACCACCAGAGGAACATTTCTTCAAAAGAGTTCTTAGCGTGAGGATTCATTTGTGCGTTTTCATCTTGTTCCGATTATTCACACAGGGGGTTGCGCAGTTGCGTATGCGCAAAAGATCTATCATGAAAGAGTTACTGAAGGAGAGAATTGCGCTAACTAGAAAGAATTGTGCTCGAAAAATAAGATGAGACTTGTTGGTATCGAAGTTAAAGCAGATCGATGCAGCAGAGCTGTATCTACAAGCGCACGGGGAGAGCAGAAGATATCAGGCTCTAAACTGGAACTGCTAGGTGTTCATCAATAGACGTATAGACGGAACAAGACGCCAGTTGAAGATGATATGTAGTGTGCCGATGCCATAGTCATTGGTGCAGATCAAGATCATATCCTATTCTCCCCTTGTTCCTCATCGATTCGCAAGCTAGGTGTAGCTTGCCAGTCTTGTTCCTCAGTGGTACGACCAGGACCAGTGTCTCGTCCATCGATTGGAGTGAGTTCAACCGAAGTAGTTGGAGGAGCTTCTTGTTCCTTAATAGTCGTGCTGTTTGTGTGGTTTGTCGCAGCAGTTCTAGTACTCTTATCATCTACCTTACTCTTCACTTCTGATGGCGACAGCATCGTTACAGCAACTGAGAGAGGTCGCTCGAAGTGCATCATTGCTCTAGTATCCAAGATGTCTTTCCTCATGTCTTGCGGTAATGGCAAGAACTCTTTTCTTCGACCACCTGCTTCTACGTTACGGATGTAGTCTCCAACTCGCAGACCCTGCTCTGCTGCCCAACCGCCAGGTTGTACTGCCGTGATTTCTCCACTGACATCCTGGACGACTAGACCTAGACCCTGGATGCCACGACCGCCGTAATCGTCTAGTAGAAGGACACGGTCGTGGATGATCTTGTCCTTTTTCGGTTTGTCTTTTGCTCCTTTGCCAGTGCCTTTCTGTCCGACGTCTTCACCAGCACCTTCATCTTCACTAGAAGCCTCAGCAGATTTTGGTGGTAAACCCAGCTGTCTCGCACGAAGCCGCTTCAGCCTGTTTGGGTACATGCGAAACACCACGAAGATCGAGATTGGCGCAAGCGCGATGACCACAAAAGCTCCATACGGTGCGGGAATCACACGATTGAAAAATTCGTGGAAAGCGTACGCAAACAAAGCCCAATTGCCGAGAATGGGTAAAATGGCGTATGGATCCGAGGTGTTCATCGCTCCAGATGAAAACCAGACTACGATCAGACATTCAGATGCGTACCACCGGAACCGGTCGAGCCAATACTGTCGAGGAAAGGTGTCGCAGCGACCACTTGCTGTCGGAATCTGCAGAAACACCAGGAAGATGAACACGAACGGCCAGTAGGTTCGCAAAATCACGTTTTTCAACACGTCGCCATACCGAAACTTGAATTTGCACATTACCATGCCGAAAACGTACACTTTAAGCAAATGCAGCCATCCGACGTTGTCAAACGCGATGAACACTCGCAATAGCCAGACGTAGACCACGACAAGCCAGGGTAACCAACTGTTGCCACTACCAGTTCCTAGGGTCAGAACTAGGGAGATCAAGAAGCATAAGCCGAAGAAGTCTGCAAAAGAATACAGGGTAGTGGCGAAGATGCGGGAAGCCTTGCTATCGGAATTTTCCGATTCACTCGTGTCTAGGATGCCTCCACAGTACAACACCGTCGCGGCCAAGGTCAAAGCACCATACAAACCGAGGATGAAATAGACCTGTGTTTAAATGAGATGGTGATGAAATAGAAAATACGGAAGGGTAAGCGTGCGTACGCGGTGGAGGTCGAGTGGTCAGAGAGTGCAGGTGCACGGATCTAAAAAATAGTACCTTGGAATTCACTTGTCCGAACGGGTGTGCGCTTCGCCAGAGCATTAGTCGTCGCAGAGGGTACGCAAGGATGCTCATCACCGCCAGCATCACTACGAAGAACATGTGAAAGATCGTGTCCATGTCGAACAGGTTGTCTTTTCCGTTAATCCTGTCCGCGATGAAGTTAGCGAAAACGCCTACGACGAACAGTGCAGCTAGTCGCATGATGTAGAAGATCAATGGAGCGTGCGACATCACGTAGCACCAACCGGAGATGAGGTACAGAAAGGGCAAAACCCAATTCAGTGCGCCCCAGACATTCATCCCGGAATAGTCGCGGGTACCAGCATGCTCGGTTACGACGCAGAGAATGCAGCAAACCCGACCAGCATCGAGGAAGTAGAGTCGCTCCTTTTGAGGCCTTGATTGGAATTCCCAATAGAAATTTGTCAAGGCTCCAAGGCCTGTTTTTTCCTGGTCGACTTGATTGCCTCCTTCAGCTTCATCAGCATGGTAGTCCTCATTTTCTGCTTCATCTCCTTTCTGCTGCGCTTCTAAGTCCGTCACTGGTGCATCTTCACCTGCGCCTTCTTTTGTCTGTTTCGTACCAACAACACCTGCTTTCTGAGCACCTAAACTACGAAGTCCCTCTTGACTACTCTGAGGTGTTTTCTCAATCTCAGTGCTGCTTCCACCTAGACTCACATTTGAAAATGTCCTCTTGGTCAAAAACTTCTTTGCGTGGCCATGATCTTCAAAGTTTACTGCTCCAATTTCCTTCATATTCGCTTTTGTGGATACTAACTGCTTGCCTATGCCGAAACTGAATTCGTTGTAGTGTATAGAAGACTCGTGATGGTCGAGGACAGAGGACTCATCAGATGCCGTTGAGGGTAAGTCCTGATCTTCTTCTGGTAATGTAGACAACTTGTTAAAGTCGTAGATAATAGGAGTATCATCGGCGTCCCCAGATTTTCCTCGTCCTACTGGTATTTCATCTGGCGCAAGGCAGGTTGTAGACGCAGGTGTTCCTGCGCCATCGGTAGCCAATGTTGTAGAGGAATCTCCATTTGGATCAGGTATGTTGCCGGCCTGTAGATGGAAAGAGGTGTGCGAATAGAAGATGTAGATGACGAGTCTAATCATTGACGGCATGCACTACTTTAGTCTAATGAGAGAGCTTGTAACATTGCCCTGTCGAACAACAAGCTTGGTACTGTTCCCTATAATGATCATCCCTGAGTACATTCCAATTACAAGTAGTAGTCGTCAAGTACTACAGGTAAACGTAAAGGCATGGGCATACTATTCAATACATTTATTCTCGTTTTGGTTTCTATCATTAACAATTACAACTAGTACCTTCAAACTCTTCCTTCTTGAAAGCAGTCCGAGGTCTGCGCTCGAGTTCATCCTCTTGACAATGTGTAACGACCGCACGCGCCACTTGTCATCCTGAATCTTGTGCTTCGCTTTGCCGACAGACGGGTCGACGTATTTGGCCCTATGAGTATGATGTGGAAGAATAAAGATGAGGGATGATCATGATTATTATACTTCAAACCTCCTAGAAATAAAACAATCTATTAATGTAAATGTGCTTACTCTCACATCAGCAGGGAAAGAATGTGATAACAACTGGTGCAACACCAACAGCTTCTGTTAGTAGAAGTCTGTCATCGAATGCGACTTGTGATGAAGAACTAAGTAGTAAGTAGATAGTTGTACTTGAGTTTTTCATCGCTATGGATTTCCTTTCTGCTGAGGACACGGCCATCGTGCGTCTCCCTTGTGTCTTCTTTTCCGATGAGGTAGGCGCAAACCAAACAGGCGACGAGAAAGATTAGAGATGATGTCGTGGTGGTCCTACCCCTAAGTCCTTTTTAGGAATAGGAGACAAGAAGAAGATGACCAACACCGCGGACGAGACTTTTTTTTTGATTTTGAGGTCTCGTTTGAAAGACGAGTAGAAGAAGAGGCTCCTACTCTAGTAAGTACGTCCGCATCTATTTCTACTTTAGATCTTTAAAATGAAGATCTATCAACACTTTCAGGAGTTTCACTTCTTCAATCCATAAAAACAGCGGAAAGAGCACTCGAATTCCGGTTTCTTTGTAGCTGATGTCGTAGTCGGTGTCAGGGAGACACGCCACCTTAGACGCTGGCGACTCATACCACCAGTTTTCAACATTCTTATCCACCTTACCCAGTTGTGCGGTCACTTGCTGGAATTCTGAGGAGAGCAGGAAAAGTCGGAGGTGGACGAGGTGGAGAGCGGGATGAAGCATGGTGAAAGTAGACGTTGACGATGCTCTTGAGCGCGACATCTTCGAGGACGAGGTGGATGCGGTCTTATTGGTTTCTTTGCTTAGGAGCTATGTTTTTACAGCATTGCGACTGCCGTAGCAGAGCTAGGCAGGAGCACTATGCCGGAAGGATGACGGAATGGTGATAGATGGTCTACTTCTAGACAATTGCTCAAAAGAGAAAGATGTTCACACGAGTACCACAAGCGGGTAGTAATGTCTATGTCATACTCAACAATAATATGCGATAATCAGTTGACTGTACACCTTGTAGTTGATGTTAGTATAGTACTTACACTAGCTACACGCAAGTAAATGAATCGATTTAAATGGAGTTGCGCATCAATATCAAAGAGGTGGAAAAATATTCACAAGAAAATTCTTTCTTCACCATCTGCGGGAGGTGGTGCTGCCTGTGCGAAAATTAACATTGGCTTATAGTTGGGAAACCGAAACAAGACCCGTACTCACCGTGAGTGCGGAACACAGATGCGCACCTTCTCTCTTCAGACATTTTTTGTGTTCTTTGATGGACTACCGTGAGCTAACGAAAGCACATTTTGAAAAGTCCCTCTTTGCAACAGATCAGAGTTGAATGGACACCCATGGTCATGCTCTCAAAAACAGATTTCAAGGGAATTTCGTCACTGAATAAAGATGAACATTTACAGGAGAAACAAGTGAGATCTTTTCTTGATTTCTGCAGAAAGGTCTCTCTACAACTGCTCGCACACAACAGATTAATAAATAAGGGTAGGAAGGAGATTGATACTCGTGCTATAACTACTCATCACTCACAACAGACAGATTAGAAGATCATGCGGAGGTTGTTCCAATGGATGTGACAAGAACAAAACACCAATGCAAGAACAAACAGTTTATTTTGCCATTAAACCAGGTAACGGTATTTCCAATACTGTTGCAGGGACAAGCTGCGTCCGTACCTCCGTAGACATTGATTCTGATCGGTTTTTGGTTGTATAACTGTCAGCCGAGAGCGAGAATCATCACAGTTACATAATTGTTCTCTTACCCGAGTCCGACTTACATCTTCTCCACCCCAGTCCAAATCGAGAAATCCAACTCGTCCAGCCCCTCCCTATCATGCACATACTTAAGCCTTCGATCACATGTGTTTTCGAAAGTCTTAATTTCTTCTTTGCATTTCCGCAGATCTCCCGAATATTCCTCTATGCACCTACGTAGATTAGAGGTACTTAGGGGCTTGCTGTTCCTGTTTCCCGTTTTTTCTGCATTCCCCACTTAGGAGAAACAAAGCAAAAAGTAACAGGAACACCTTTAGCCTACCCTTAAGTAGAGGCCCCATCGTGCACACGATCTGCGTCTCGGACATCTTTTGCGCCTTCTTGGACAGTGGCCCAAGTGACCGCTCAATCGAATCTTCGATCGTACGAGTCTGAGCCGACATGTTTTGTTATTCTATTGTGTTTTATAAGTACGACTATGTGAACTACGACTAGGGTGTTTTAGTAGTACTACAACCTAGTAGAGGCATGGTGTTTACTACATTTTGTTATTTCACTTGAAGAGTTGTGAATCCCGAAAGTTATACAAGGCAGTCCCTCATTTCGTCTTGGTCTCAGACTCGCATATCTTCGCATCTTCTTGGTCTCTCGCTCCGCGGAATTCTCAAAGAAAGTGAAAAAACTCGGTTACGAAAGATGTGCCAAAAACGGCGAGAATACATGTTCGTGTACAATACCTCCTGACCAAGGCACTTAATTGCCCGCCCGCGCGGATGTCGGTAGGGGCATCTGAGACACTCCGCTAACGAATGAATCAAAAAAATGTTGAAGACACGACGGACGGACAGGGAATAGTAAGTATGACAAAAAATGATCAGGGGGGGTGGTCGGGAGAGTTTGTTTTAATTCATTGCGCTTATCCTTAAGGATAGGAGCAGCAACGTGAAGCTCACTGTATGCACAACACTGGAGCTGCGGATGAATTTGTAATTGTATGTATAGAGATGAGAGATCAACTCGAGCAGGGAAAACTTCTGCCTTTGGCGTTGTAGTCGTGTTTTGAAAAGGCATGATGATCTCGTATGCATGTAGTCGAGGCGGATGAAAATAATATCTAGATTATACACGTGTAATCAAAAAACAAGCCCAAGACTAAGATCATGAAAAGGGCAGTCAAAAAATATGCTTTAGATGCTAGGAATGGTGTTTAAGATTGAATCTTACAGTTCATCTTGGTTTTCGATCAGACAACAGTTATGAAGGAACGAGAATTCCGAAACAGCGTGTTCAACTATAGGTGCTGCGTTCTAGGTTTGATAAGTCGGTACAGCACAAAAAATTCCATCACGTTATATATAATGACTCGTCAAGTATTCATGGTGACTAAGTAGGTCAATCTATTGCTGTCGTGTAGTACAAGTCAGTGAAGGTCGTGGTGTAGAAGGCGTTACCCATACCCTTAACCGGTATGTACATATCGCCCGCAGGCAAAACGCAAGTTTTGCAATCCGCAGCTGTGGAGGTTGTGCTGCTGGATGATTTTAGCTTTGACCAAGTTGACGAACCTCGGGTCTTCAGCTTTGACCAAGTTGGTGCCACTCAAAGTGGCGAAAAGAACGCAAGAGGCGGTGACGAAACGCACCATTTTTTGATTTGAGGTGGCATGTCTGTGGTTTGGAACAACTTGTCTTCGACGTTGCTAAACAGGCCTTGCTACTACTTTAAAAAGCCTCATCAACTGCTCTCTTCATCCTCCCACATATTTCAACAGTAGATTCAGTTATTAGCTTGCAAAAGATTTCACAATACCCTTTCAGAAGTCAGATCTCGCTAAAGACAGAGGATGCGCAGACAAATTCCCCGAAAGCATACTCCTACACGCACGGCACTAAAGCAAACTCGAGTGCTCCCATCTGATAACAACCTTTTGATGCTTCACAAGGATAGCCTATGCGGCTCCAGACAACTTCAACAACACACCACATGGGAACACAGTCTTTTCACTTTGCTCCTTGACTAGACAGCGAGGATATGCCCCCGCCTGCCGGACCCGAATATCAATTTGAAGAAAATTTGACTCCTGTACATGCACATCCACATGGTGCAGCTCAAGCTTATGATCCATATTCCTATTTCTTGTGTATACTTGTGCATCCAAGATGTTCATTTGTTGGGACCAAAAAATGGAAATGGGAGATGCGAATTGGTGAATCAAAGTACAACTTCGAATGGGCCATGCCTGGCTAAAAAATTTACGATGAGTCTGTGCTCTTTGGTGGAATTGTGCTTTCTATTTTCATCGATGCCAACGTTCACAACATCATGGTATTTCATCTCATTCAACGATTTTCCTTTCGCGACCAAGTGTTGACCATTTTGGTTTCTTACCAGTTACCTCGTACAAAACAGGTGTCCACGTCATCGCCGAAGAGTACACTGCGGACGCCGCCCCCGTACTCTGGTTTGTTCAACTCATTTGAAATGTAGGCTGTGATGTTCCAAAAGACGCGGCCATTCTTGCATCTCAGGAAGTACTGATCATTCGGGCCCAGGGAAACGAATTCTAGATCGGCCTGCCCTCGGCGCTTTCTGTAGATCGTGTCATCGAGCTCGGAGGGCACGTCTCCCTCATACTCCCAGCCACCGTCAGTGAAAACTACGAACCACGTATCGTAGTCGGGTCCGAAAGCGACGCTGCGAATGTGTCGTTTCGTTTCATGAACCAAGTCACAGAAAGAGCTAGGACCATTGAATTGTGCTCTGCCGTTTTCCAGCTCACAGTAATACCGTCCTTGAGAACCCATCGCAATATACGTTGGCTGTGGATGGTACATGGCGCGGCTCCGCAAAAACTTGTCTAGAGTTGTCGGCACCCCGGAGGTCCATGATGAGCTGCGGGAATCGTCGTGTTGAAGAAGACACGCTACCCTATTTTCACCTCCACAAATGGCGAAACAGGAGACCTCGGAATTCATATTCTTCTTCATGTGCTCACTGGTATCCTTGTCATGCGTCCACCAGATCGCTCGTTTCCCCCGCTCGATCCGCTTTCTTTCCTTAGTCGCCTCCATCTCGGGAATTAGAAGGGAAGGGTATTATAACATTGAAATTTGAAGGTTCAGAAATACGTAGTACTTATAGATATAGAAATCATGATCATAAAATGCGTTCTCGCTCTAGACGTGCTTGCTCCTCTTCCGCCCTCTTCCGCTCATCTTCCTTGCATTTCTCCTCCTGCCGCTGTTTCTCGAAAACATCAAGAACAGACTGTACAGAGGCGATTTCTGCATCTAAATCAGCGCGCTCTATTTTCAGCTTCTCAAGCTGGGCCTTCGCTGCGCCTTCTTCGTCTTGAACATCCTCATGCTCTTTGCTGATGTGATCACGCGGTGTAGTGCTAGCATGGTTTGTAGGGCAGCGTCGTGGCGTCCTTGAGCGAGCACGTGGCGAAGAACCGTGAATGCTAGCCCTGCTAGTGGTCGTTCTAGAACTACTTTTTGAAGAAGTAGAACGCCTGCGCCTGTCTAGCTCATCGCGAAAGTGGTATCCGAGTTTTGTGTGCACGCGGGGATTTCGGAAGATTTCTCGGAGCAGATGCATATCCACGTCGCGACGAAACAATTGGGATCCACCTAGACGAGGGTGGTTGACGTACGTTCCAACCGTGCCGGTTGTGTGCCACACATTGATCCGCGAACCCTCAGCATTGCGAAACGATACACCACGGTTGATAGCGTTGTACTGGATTTCGATCAGCCCCTCCTCCCGAGCTAGTCTGCGAACATTCTGTAGATCCAACATGATCTTGGGTAACAATAGTCTGACGAGCACTAGTAACAAGATGTCCTATCTAGCATTCATTGCTTGGAAAAGATTCCACTTCTGAAGTTCAGTTATTTTTTACACCGTTGAATCTCCAGTGATTGAAAGTGGCTGCATTCGATGACATGATCCGAGTAACATTTAGTCATAGCCCATCGGCATGGATGAACATTCACTTTCTATTGTTTGTTTGTGAGGCAGATGAATGCCTGACAGAAAAAAAAACAATCGAACAAAGAGAATCAGCATCTGAGTTTGGCGGAAATCAAAGAAAAATGATCATCATCATCATCATGTTGATAGACGGCAATCCAAAGTTCCAGATTCGTTGATCTTTTCCCGAGATCTCTACACTGACAGAGAGACGGCGTCAAAAGAAAGCTACTCGTCCCGATTTTGCAAACTTTTGTGGATTTTTTGTTCTTCATCTTCTGTTGGTACACGCACCACTTCGAACATGCTATATGGCATGACAAGTTGTGATGTGAGCTGATCTTCAACCTCCTGATCTTCAAGGAGATTGGAGGTGTAGTTGGTTTGGCGTTTCTACGACCAGAAATCAGGATTGGGACATTTCTTTCATTCCAGGATGGAATGGAGTGATATCTTGTCATTAGATGTTGTAGGTTGAGAAAGACCATGAGCATCTCAAGAAGTCACAAATTCTGCCAAAAAATACCATGGGCATGCATGCAAGAAAACAAAACACAGTTCTGCGATGATATTGGTAGTCTATCTGAAATTTATGGCGTCACGTGGAAGCATACACAGCAGGGTTTAGCCGTCGAAGACATCTTTGCAAAACATGCAAACAAAGTAAACCTTATAACCTTTACCTTATAACCTTTTTCTCTATGAATTCATCCGCATTTGGGCTGGTCAGACGATCTTCTTCGCGGCCACTACATCGAAACGTTCGCGAAATCCCGCAAGTCGTGACGTAGCCTAGCTTGTAACACCTGCGTCGGAATCGGAGCGTCAATAAACGTCAGGTGGACGTCATCAGCTGGTGGAGCACTTGGTTGACTTGAAACGTCATCATCATGTGCTTCTTCAGTACTAGCTGGTTGTGGTTGCATCGCTCGCTCCACTTCGACCTCCTCTATGTTTGACGGTGGCGCGCTAGGTCTATCGCTTTCTTCCAGGCTCTCTACTTCGGGTAGGGTGGGCCAAACTACCGCGTTTTGTTGGTAATCACTAGCAGAAACAGGCAGAAACATGCCATGATACTGGATCAAATGTGTGACGCTACCTCGTCCCATGTTGGCGCCTGGTGAGTGCACAAAGCCTGGCGGTAAAAGGGGCTGGGTTATGATGGGACTTGATTGAGCTTGGGGTGAGGACGTGCTCGGTGACGTTGAGGCTGCGGCTGCTGTTGCTGAACTAGAAGTGGGACTTTCGACTCGTTGTTCATTCAATGTCGTACCCTTGCCACCAACATTTCCTGGCGAATCCCTTCCTGTACCATCCCCGTCTCGTCCTTCATCTGCTCTTACAGTGGATGAAAGATCTTCAACCACATATCGATGCGATAAAACTTGCAATTGTTTTAGTCTCGTGTATTCCACATACAAGCCATGAACCGCCGAAATCAGGCAGAAGAGACCGGAAACCAATCCCACAAAAGAACAGAGCATCGTTATCATCACTGCAAGCACCAAGATCATTCTTCGATCAACGTCAAAGAACCGCACTTGTCGCCAGGATGAAATTCCACGAATACAGCAGTTATTCCGACAAAAGCAACAGCACGATTTGCAGATCAACGCCAAAGAATTCCCCAAGGTTGCGAAAAAACAGTAGATCAGCCGTCCACCAAGAGTACATACGTTGCACAAAAGGCAATGTATCCTCATGCCACCTCTACGTCTTCGAAAGTAACCAGGAGGAGTCCACACCAACGGCGCAGCAGCAGGCTGCCCTCTCGTAATCCAGAAAACCCAAGGTGGCGCCGGAGCCCTATCAAACCACCTCCATCTCCACCTCCCAGAAGTAGATGGGAAGATCCGTCTCCTTCGAGCAAAGTCATGGTATTGACCACGCATCACAAAAGCACGACCGCCAAGCCAATCTCTATTCTGCTCGTAAGGACGAATGAAACCACCAGGATTCGCGTCGGCATCTGGAGGTGCGTGAAAATGCCTAATGCCCTCTTGCTGCATAAGAACTTCTTGTGCAGGTCCTCGCAGCTGTAGCTGCTGTCCTTGTCGTGGCTCCTCTAATGGCCTCGCCGCTAAAAGAGCAGTTGTCGGGGGTTCGCTTCGTCCACCTGCTGGGCCATTACCAGCTGCAATTGTACTTGTAGCTCCTCTCGTTTCACTTTGATCTTGTCTTAGCAGTAGTCGCAATAGCAACGTGTAAACCGAGTAAATCGTCCAGCAGAAAGCGCAAAGGATCGTAACTGAAATGCGGGATATTACAATGGTGAAAATCTGGATAGCGTTAGTCTGGCAGGACTAGAAATGACTCAAAAGGATGAAATGTTGAAGCACATCACAAATATGATGAATATACTAACTTCGTTCTAGCTTGAAAAAAATAAAAACATTCTCCTGTAGTTGTATGAGCAATTATAGTACCTTCCACCGCCCCGTAGATGTAATAGACCCCTTTCCTCGACAGCAAAACTTCTTCAGGGCTGTATCGGATCCATCTCGGGAGCGCTCTTCGTAGCTCCTTATCAAACAATTCTTCATCTAGTATGCAGGTTAGCACCGCACAAACCACTATCAAAACCTGCACACCCACAAAAGTGGCACAGCTTCTCTTCACCAGTTTTTTCCGAAAATCTGCCAAGCGTTGAGATCTTGCATCTCTGCTTTCCGTGGACTCGACAACGTATCTCAAAGAGTACTCGAAACCGCACTCGCAACAGTGCGTAAACGCTGTGGCATTGACGGAACTTCCCTGAGTCCGCCACGCATCTAGACAGCCACGATGGACCCATTGTGCACTGCCGCGACAAAGACAAGGTGCGATCAGAGTTCGTGGTTCGATACACGACGACCTGGATGAATCTTGGTCACTCTCGAGACAGATTCGGCATATCCTTTGCTGGGATGCTTGTGGTTGTTGACGAGGGGGTGCGCTTTCTCCGCCAGTCCCAGTGGTCGTGTCAGCGTTTGAAGATGCATGATAATCATCATACATCGAATGTAACGAACTGACAGAATATACTTCCGAGGAAGATGGACTGAGCAATGGGGTCCCCCTGCGATTCTGCTGATGCAACTCTGGTCGTGGTTGTGACATTTTCTCTTGTTACAAGTACGCGGTGGAACAACCTGAAGAGTTCAAATTATTAATCTAGGAACACAACTACAGTGTAAGAGGACATAGCCATACGCCAATAAGACTCACAAATTTAGCAAGCACCAAGAAGATTTTGATGAACTAGAAACCTTCATCAAGGGGGCGGTTGTTCCCTTTTCCTGGATCATGATTGTCGCCGCTGACTTAATATTTGTTGATGTTCAGAAAGTTGTAATATGAGCCCTCTTTAGTACTAAAAAATCCTCCTATTTGCTGCATGTAACAAGACGACATCACTTACCCGCTTCATCTCTCGCTGCACTTGCAGGTGAATTTCCTCTCATAATCACTCTCGTCGACGATCGAAAACCTTGTTCTAACAAAGGTACCCGTGGATCCTGCACCAAAGCAGAACACATCGACTAAAAATACGAATTTCGAAGGAGCCTTCCTCCATTCATCTACGTTCTTGCAGACGCGATACTACTAGCTCAAGCTTTCTTCATCTGAGGTGATCATGACTATAAATGGGCAATCTAATATATTAAGTAATATTCGCGACACATCATACGAGTCATATGAGCGAGATCAATTTAGGCAAAATCAGACAGACGATCATGAGAGAACTAGATAAATTTTTGCTTGGTGAATTACGCAGTCTACGATCATAACGACCAAAATATGTGAACAAGATTCTCTATAGACTCATAGTCCTAGAATCATTCAAGAGTAAGGTTACAATCTTAGAACAAGTCTTAGAAGGTTAGGTTAGGGCCCGCTGAGTATTCTCGCGGACATTGTTGGCTGCTGAAGAGCCAATACACCTAGAACTCCTACCTGGTTGATGCAGTCGCTTGACTAAGTTAATTGCTAATCTGCATGTGACAGAACGGAATAAGTGAAAGGAGAGGAAATGAACTGGGAGCTGCGGTCTCTTTCATTCAAGGACCGATCGCTGCCACTGAAGGACAACGTATATCTGACCGCGAGCTCATGTCATTCAATCACCTGACCTATTTATTCAAAATTCCATCGATCTCTTCCTTTACGATCCTTTGCTCTCTCGTTCTTATTCCTCTCAGCCACAGGTATTCTTCCTTCTTCCGTCGTTCGATCGATGCCGCGATTTCTATTCTGCCACTATTTCTTGTCACTTAAACATTCTTCATTCAACTCTTTCATTTTGTGACCTAACTCGACCCGCCCTCATCGAGATCATTCAACTACTTTCTCTAACTTCTTCTTCTTCTGTGTTATCCATACGCGTCGAAAAGATCTTTCTCTTATTCTACTTGCTCCTTCTTTGAAAACCGATTACCACCGGGGTTTATGAACACGTACCTGTATACTTATTTTCCACCACTTGCAGCACTTGAAGAATGCATCTATAAATCGTAGCAACAAGTAATCGAGTTCACAAGACGCCATCTTACATCTAAAGAAGCTTTTACGTCAGCGTTCATACCTGGGGTTTACTTTTCGTCTAGTCCTTTTAGCTTGGGCGGTCTTAACATTACTCCTCCTCGTCATTATCTTCTTCTTGGGCAGTGCAATCTCCTCTTTCGCGGAAGCCCCAACTAGACGCACCCATGTGTTCACCTCGTAAGTTGCGATATACTCCGCCAACGCAGGGCCGAGCTCGCCATCCCCTAAGAGATGTATTCCTGGAGTCATCATCTTCGCTCGCGACAACAGTTTGCGGTCTCTTGTGAGTTTCGCCAAGTAACTTCTTCTCTTCACTTCCGCCACGTCGGGGAAGTCAGACCTGTACAACTGGTGCCACTGGCTCCACGGGAGACGCGTCTTACCTGTCAATACTTCACGTCGCCAGATGCCTTTTCCACGCCTGAAATCCCGCAAAGACATACTCTCCTCGTAACCAGAAGCTTTCCAGGCCGCCCAACCATGTTCTGCTCCTTGGAGTTGAGCTTCTTCTAGCCATGCTCTGTAGTCTGCGCTTGAAATAGCATACCTCTTGTGCGTGGGCATCGGAGGGAGACTAGGCGGCTCGTCTTCCGAGTCAAACACGAGTCTTTGCCTCCTCATCAATCTCCTCGTACGTTTGATGGACTTCTTCGGTGGCATGAGTTGTACTGCGAGATCCTTCTTACACGCTAGCTTCCTGTTGATGTATGGCGACGCGCAGTCTTCAAAAAATTCGCTTTTCCTGCCTCTGATCAAGAGAATTCTCCTCCAATTTATCCTGCGCGGAGCTTCTTGTTGTCGCTTTTCATTCCTCTTTTTTATCCTCTTGCGATGGCGTGAAGGCGTCTTGAAGCCTTTACGATTCTTGCCGCTTCCCTCCTTCTGAGGACCTAACTCATTACTGTCTTCCCCCTGCATCTTCTCGATTACAAATCACTAGTTCTATTCTCAACACTTCCTTCTTCTAAGCTACTTGTATTCTCCCTGCTTTTTTAGTTTCTTCTTATCTTGGAGTTAGGCATACTCTAATATACCTTGGAAGTAAACCCCCAGATGAGCGGTTGCATTTTCACTTGTAAGCAGGGCTACTTCTTCCTCTTTTTCTTCTTTGATTAAGTCGAGCTTCCTGTTATCATTCTTACGGGCGATAACAATTCTTCTTCTTCATCCCAATTGCCTGCGCAAACGCAACACCGGCTTCAGCAATTTCATCCAGTTTGGTCTTCAATTTTTTACCAATGCGGCCTTCTTTATTCCCAAGAGCTTCTTTAGTGAAATACTTTAGAACTGTAGAACTTCCAGTGCTTCTCGCAACTAGCTCGTCGTGGTGCTCACAGAGAGTACCAGCTAACGTGCGTAGCCGCTCGAGGGTAGCTTTCTTGTACTTTGATCCAGTTTTTTCAAATAAGTACCTCACTTCAAGATCTTTCTCAAGCACGTTCTCGAATTCTTGTAGGCACGACCTGCTGCGTGTAATCAAGACGTTCGCATATTTGAGGAATGAATAACCTTCGACTTTCTCCCCTTCCTGCTCTGAACTCGTCATGAATAGTGTTACAGACGCGAACTCGCCAGCTGCGTTGTTGTATGCAGAGCAAACTGACTGCCACTTCTCACTGATTTCTTGTGCAACCTTGAGTGCCTCAGCCAGGCGGCGGTCCTCCACTTTCGTGAAGGGTCCCACGGCGACCTGAGCCAACGACAAGCAAGCGCCAAACTTAGTCAACTCTTCAACTTTCTCGCCCTGATATAGTAAGTTGTGCTTATACGCTTTTAGACCCGAACAAACTTGCATGACCATCTCATCAATTACCTCTTGTCCTCCTTCGCCGTTCAACTTCCTTTTTGTTGAGACTGGCCATCCTGCCTCGTGGAGTTTGTCTTCCATCTTGAATACGTACCGGAGCATGCAGTCGATCTCCTTCTCGCAACTCGCAAACGTGCTCAACACCTTGTGCGGAACAATATGCGGAGGGGCACTGCCAGCGCATGCATTTCTCAGTGGCGACCAGTTACCGAACTCCGAGATTAAGTATTTGATCATCGACTCCACTACTGACGAATATACACTTACTGAAGCGTGGCTAGACAACTCCTCTTCTTTTTGACGTGCTGGCACATTATAGCGCAACTCATGCACTACGCTGTCAACGTCGCGGCTGAACTGATTCAACTTCTTTCTAAGCGCGCAGGCCCTTAGACGAAGCGCTTGCTTGAACGTGATTGGGCGCATGAGTTCCACATCGACACTCAACTGAGTCATTCTGTCAACTACTCTTCCGTACTTACAGCGGGGCAATTCACAATTTCTAAACGACGAGACAACAAAAACAGGAGAGAAAAAAAGCAAAAAAAAAACAAATTTCTGACTAACAAAAAACAAAAAGCTGCATAATAAACACTACAACTCCCTCACGTTAACCCCACCTGCATGCTTTGGCACTTTCATTTACTGAGCATATTTATTTCTTCCTTCTTCTATGCTACGATGCTTCTTCTCTTGCTCATTCCATTGCTGCACTCACGCGGCTGCCGTTTGGCGAACGATCAGCTCACGCGATCTAGAACTCCTCCATTTCGTATTTTGAGTAATCTTCTTTCAATAAACTAGGACTTTTGAACTACAAACTTCTGTAGCCTTTTTGGAATGAACCACGACAGGACGCCGCCGTCCTCAACATCAACTTTCATGAAGCCGAACCTTTCAGAGGGTGAACATTTGAAGATCTTTATACCAACAGCATTTAGATATTCTTTCGCAACGAATGCTGTGGATCCTTCACCAGGAACTCTATAGGCGTCCTTACGGAGATCAACGAAAGTGAATCCTTTACTCCTCATATGTCTATGTAAAGCTGCGGGCGGGGCTTCAATGAATTCCAACGTCTGACGCGCTTGCCTCCCGTTCATTTCAACTACCTTTGATGCTTCCTCAACTTTACTAGCTCCACTCCCAAGGAATACCTCATCGATCCACTTATTGTCCAACCTGGCTTTTAGGGTCAACATCACCCTCTTCTTCACACTACAGCCTTCAGACCACTTACGCGCTGTCAAGTTTATTGCTCTAAGGACACGCATCATCCGCACGGAGATGGCGCCACGGCATTTCTCAAATAGCAAATACGTAGCTACCGACTTCAACGATAACGCGGCTTGAGATACTACTTCAAAACAGCCTTCTACGGTCCTTAGTGTAGATACAGTCTTCTTCTGCCTACGCTCTATTTCTTCCTTCTTCCTCGCAAATTCCTCCGCTCTCTCCCCATTGACTACAACCGTGGAGGTTTTGCTAAGGTAGAATCTCCGATCCTGCCACGGGCAGTTCTTCAACCGCCTGAGGAGATCGTTGGCGACTTCCACTAACTCGGAAGTTGCCGCGGACATCCTCATCGAGGCAGATCTCAACTCACTAATCATCTCTACGATTTCCACCTTGTGCAGCCCTTCTATGAATGATACCCGCGCTGCGTCCAGCTGGACCAACGCAGACTCCGTAAGTACCGTCATACTTCAACTACTTTTTAAGTTCTTGATGTGGTCTTTATTCAGGTATACTTCCTTCTTCGCAATCGCACTAACAACAAACTTGACGCTGCAGGGGACACCGAGAGCGTACCGCCTTGACAGCAACAAGAATTCCAACAGCTCACGGAATTTCGATCCTGCTCGAACTCTTAGTTCGGTGAATCGGACGTTTAGTACTTCTACGTAGATACTTACGCCTTCTAGTTTGACCTTGAAGCGTTTCTTCCTCCGAGCCGACGCTAATGGCTCAGCTCCTCTCGATGTACAGAATTCGATAAACAACTTCGTATCGACACGGGCACTCTTCACCTGATATTCGTGCAACCCGGGGTGAGACGCCATAGTCCTTTTTTCTTTGAACTTACCGATTAACAACGAGGCCGAGCTGCGCGAGTCCTCCTCAACTATTTTCTTACACAACGTTTATCTATACTTCTTTACTCATACCATCCTACAGATTACTCAGTGTCATGAATCTTTTGTTTAATCTCGTCGATTCCCAAGCTTTAGTTCTCCGACACACAACAAGAATGACACGTGATCGTATTCATTCCACCACTTGACGCAGCGTGACCCTTTTCTTCAGTCCTCTACTTAGAACACAAGAACTCTGGCCCTCGCTTTTAGTTTCCTAGAACCACTTTTTTATTACAGAGCTTAGTCGTTCAACCTTCTGTCGATCTTTTGTGTACTATCAAGGGTGGCAAAACCTCACATATGCATCCTCGCGCTACGGAAGTGAGCCGTCCACGGGCTGTCCTTCTTCTCTTTTTTTTTTTTTTTTTTCTTTTCAATCTTGAACTCTTTTTTATTTTTTGAATTTTTTGATTCGAGGACCATATGTATTATAGAGGTCCAACCACCAGTACACCTTCAGTGCATTATTTGTTATTTACCCTTCTTCCCCTAACCCCGGTGCCTCCCCTGCAATACTCTCCTACCTCTACCACCGCCGACATCCAATCCAGGCTAATGTTCCTCCTCGTAGCCGGGTACAACTTCCTCACCCCTACTCATTTCTTTCCCCCCATATGCTGCATATGCGGTCTCCCTTGACATTGCTGCTGCGCCCACGGTGCGCCTTTTTGTGGGGGCGCGTTTGCGTGCCAGTACGGGGTCGTTGTGAGTGGTTGCTGCAGCTTGTCGTATGGTCCTTTCGCACCCCAGTGATGCTTTCCATTGTTGTACATCGGCCCTTTTGTTCCTGGCGCGTGCACGACGTTACGCAGATGCGGTTGCGCAACCTGGATTGATGCTCCTTTCGCAGGGATCAATGCATTGCCCTGCAATACTCCTCCACCGTTATTCATCTGTTGCTTGTCTGGGGTAAACGTAGGAGACGCAAATGACGCAACTGCCTGGGAAAGGTTCGCGCCTGCCACAAATCCTTGTGCTTGTTGTGGAATTGGATTGACTTTCGGGGCATATCTGCTAAGTCCTGCTTTGCTCGACTGAACCAACATCTGCTGATGCTGCGGATGCATCGTCGGGGATACTTGTGGCGGGGTCTGGGACGACATCGACAGCTGCATCGATGGGAGCGGTGAAAACTGCGCTGACGCCGCAGAGTGTGTGCCTGTGCAGCCGTCCACCCAACTTAGAATAGATGCTAGAGCGTCATCGCCGTGAGACGCCTCCACTGCGTCTTGCGCGCCTGCTTGTATCAAAGCGCGGCCTAAGGCACCAGCATCGATCTTGTTCTTGATTTCCTTTCCACTACTACTACTCACACTTTTTCGCACCTTTCCTTCGACACGGCCGGCCAGCTCATTCTCCTGGTGCGGATTTTTAGGTCCATGCGATGTTGCTAGCCCTGTTATGCTGCCGACTGCTTCATCCAACGTGCTTGTCTTCTTTGGCAAGATCAAGCCCGCCTTCTCCAGCGACGACGCAGGGGCATGAGCCTGTTTTTGATCCACGTTCGTCTCACGATCGTCGATCTGCAATAACATCGAAGCTGCGCTCTCGATTGCTAATGGCCTCGCACTACTGCCGCCCTGCAGCATCTTCCGATCGTTCCATTCCTTTGCCATCATCTCTGTAGCAGCTTCAGCTTGTGCTGCTGTAACGATTCCATATTTCTCGCCGGCATCCGCAATGTCCATATTCATCACCGCACCAACAACGGCCGGAAGAGGTGGAGGCGCTTCCGAAATGATGACCGGCACTGTCTCTTTTGCTTTTTCCCATTCGCTTATTACACGCCACGCATGTGGGTATGTGATCATAGTACAGCGGTTGGCTGGTAGGTAGTGCGTGGAGTACTTAGACATCGCCTTGAACAGGAGTCCATTATTGTCTCCCTGGATCATACAGTGGTGCTTGGCGACGTATAGGATGATCATCTTCGGCGTCGTCTTACCGATAAAGTCCTTCAGCACCACGATCCAGATAATCTGGCGGTTCCCGTCCCATCTTCTCTTCGGGATCGTCTTCTGAGATGATACAGTGGACAAGAATTCATCGATTCGTTGCTCGTTCACTCCCGTAAATCCTGCTTCATTCACCTTGGGCGTCATCACCTGCGCCAGCGTCTCCTTGATTTGTTTACGTGTGCCGTGTCGAGCCATTTTGAACAACCGTTATACGTACGTTAGAGGGACAGACTTAGTTTTCTTTTCTAGGTGTTGTCGCAGATGATCTTCTTTTCCCTTATATCACTAGCACCTGCCTCAACTTCGCCTTACTTACAACTTGAAAACCTTTCTTCCTACTGTGTAGACTGCCCCCCTCAGAGAGTACAAGCTGAGGTGTGCGAATCTAGTTTCAACACTATTTGCAACTTCTGCAACCTACAACAGAACTGTCTTCAGTAACACTTTAACTAAGCATGACGCTAATACAGTAACTAGAGTCCAAGAAAAAGAGATCAAAGCAAAAACAAAATCAATGGATCCCCATGATCCCCTCCCATGAATCCTGTGTGCATCATTTCAGTATCATTGGTCCTTCTCTACATAGGTGCACCACATGCCTTTGTATAAATAGGACCTTTTACTTCCTTCGATCATCTGCTTTCTACTTATATGATCATTCGACCTTTCCTGGGCCACTTGCTCCTTACATACTTTTTAAAGAACAACTAGTGCAGTGACGGGATGTTCCACTTCCACACCCACTGTACACCAGGAGATACGCGCAGAAAGATATCAAGATCACAGGATGAACGTGTCTCCCCCGCAGTGCGGTGATCACGTTATCTGTTATATGACTCGTCTTTCGATCCAACTTGTCCTGCCTACTAATCCTTCTAATCATTTCCTTATCTCTTCTCGTTCGTTCCTTCGTCTCTTCAGTAAAAGGTCCTTTCGATTAACTAAGCTACGCATATGCGCGCTCTACGGGTGAAGTTGAACTTTCCGCTGTCCACTCTTGTTTTTTTTCTACCTCGACTAAATAAAGTGGACGCAGAAATAAGAGAACTACACGAACTCCAATCGCCGGGTTTGTCGCAATCGACTACGCCTTAGATCGTGTTGTGAGCCTCCAACTTAAGTCCCGGGTCATAACTTCTGCTCCGGCTACTCACTATTGACTACTATTCTTGACTTCCGCCTGCATCCGCAAGCCCGGCTTCAACTAGCGACTTTTTAAATGCTAGCAGCTTCTGCACTTTCTCGGTGAATCCTTGCAGAGAGTCTTCTTCCTCGAAATCCTTCAAGAAGAATGGCACCGGTCGAGGTGGGTTGAGCTCTTCTTCTTCCCACTTGCTCCGCGTCAGCAACTCTGGGTCATACTCACGGATTTCCACGCGCATCTTCTCTACCTTGATGCATCTGCCCACTGGGGCCGCGAAATGGTTCTTGTGCGGGAACAGAAGGAATTTCCCCCCAGCTTCTACTACCTCATGCTTCAATTCCCACAATTCCTCACGCAACTGAGATCCATATGGTGGCACGGTTGGTATCCCGAAGAGTCTCAGGGTTACTCCACGCCTCAACTCACTTACTGGGCCGTTGCCATTCGCCGCGCATGCCGCCCTACTTGCTCGGATCAACGCGAAGATCGACGGGTAGGTGGCTTGCCTATCCGGTCTGATGGCATATCCTCTGGGCACTTTGCAGTGACATTCTACGCACCAGGCTCCGTTTCCTGTTGTCACGTGCGCTACTGCACCTTTGATCTCAGCAGTCACGGAGTCACCTGACCTATCTCCGTCGTCGAGATCGCGGTTCAATTTTGATGCGATTGGTCTCGGCGGAAATGTGGCCGATCTACGCAAACGTTGGAACGTTTCCCTGCAGAAGTAAGGCTTTATAATCTTTGCCGTACCTTCCAAAAAATCTTCTGCCTCGTTGTTGTTGATTACGTTGCGAACGCATCCCGCTAGCGCAGAGTCCCCGGTCGCAGCTGTATATTTTACGGCTGTATTGTCCCTCAAGCGGGCTGCCATGAGATCCCACGCCGCAATACCAGTAATATCACTGAGAAACGTCTCGACCTCGTCAGCAAATCCGAAAACTTCCCGGAGGATCTTTTGTGAGCTTACGTCGATTGCCACTAAAGGTAAAAACGACGTCGCGGCTTTGATCATGAGGTTCTTCACTCTTTCTTCTCCTATCCTTTCGATCGCTGCTGGGAGTATATGAATTATCGGTGAACATACCGCAAAATTCGCGATTTGCACAAGGATCTTCCCCGTTGCATGCTTGCCTATTCGGTTCAACGCTGTCACTGCTAAATATGTAGCGTGACCTAACCGCGATGCTAGCTGCCCTTCTAGCGAATTACTAAGCGGCGACCTCATCGGGTATCCGAAGACGTCTTCATACTCCGCTACCTTCGGTTGACGCCCGAACAGCGAGAGACGCTCGCTCATTCTCGATGCGAGCCGCATGCGCTCTTCCTTCTCGAGGTGGTCTGCTAAGCATATGACCTTGTATTTCGTCGGCTCCATAAACAACTCCCCGTCTTGGAAAGCCATCTTCATCGCGTCTACGTATTCAGCACAGTAATTTTCGCAGCGGTTCGAGCCATTTTCGATCTCTTCTATTGTTAGAGGAAGTAGCACGGGGCCATCATCAACACAAATTTTCACTATCGGCCTTTCCGCCCCGGCTGCCTCTTTCATTTCTTCTGCAACCGCATCATCTGGCAGCTCAACAGCTTCCGCTGCGCAGACATGCTTCGAGTCATGTGCGACAGACATCCTTGTAGCATCCCTCTTTTGCGTGTATCGCGGGTGGACGTCCACTATAGGACCATATGGGAGCCAAGTATTCAAGCGCACTCGTGCCAACCTCAAGCGCTCGTCTTGACTAACCAGTGTCGCCGTCGTCCTAGCTTGTCCTGCCCCCCTTTCTGATAATGCGACCAGCGAGCGCCGCAGTGCTTCCATGTAAGGCTGCATCATTATCAATGAAGTAAGCATCGACAGCGGCATCCCGATAACGAGGTCTGAGTGGCCGTTGGACGATGCATGACAGTCAGCATTTGCTGTTATCATCCTCTTGTTCTTCTCGAGCGACCACAAAATCAAAATATGCAGCGGGTGTGCACGGATGAGGCGGAGACATCGCAGGAAATGCCCCTCCAGGACGGTATTGAACATATTGCTAGCGTCACATATCACCAACATGGTCACGATTCTCCTTCTCTGGTCTAGCCCACCAAGCAAACGCGCGCTATTGGTCAAATTCACTGCATGGACGTGTCGATCGAATACTTGTCTGGCTGCATCCAGCGATATGCCACGTCTCCCCCCAATCGATTCCATTGCAAAAAAGTTGCCCGTATAGCAGAGTGGGAAACCTTCGCTCACCACAAGACTTGAGAGCAACCTGTAATACACGTCTTGTGTGGCAATGTATCTCAGACCATCAGCCGCCAACTTTTTTGCAGATTTCCTTAAAAATCTGCCTACCAAGACCTTTGCTTGAATCGGTGGCTTGTTCAAGACGTCCTTCATGTTCGCTCCTATGTACTCGCTTATTGTCCCGTTCACGCATCTGACCAGCAAGTCTCTCGCCCAGGTTGATTTTGCGCCGGCTAGCGCCTGTAATACAACGTTCCTCATGCCGTTAGGCGCTCTCAGTTGTGCATTGCTTGTCTCCAAATTCTCCACCACTTGTGTTGTTGAAAAGAAGGCCGTTGCTGTTGCAGGAATACTATTCCACAGCTGTTCAATCCACGCTCTCACCGGTGGATCAGATGTGACGCCAACCGTCAGTTCCCTCAGGCGACGAGCCTTCGTCAAGTGCGTTAATGGGGCAAGTTGTGCCACCTGCATCGGCGTATCTGCCAAGGTACCTCCACACATCAGTATCTCCAGCTTAGGTGCTGGCTCGCCACGTTTAGCACCCCTGATGCTACGCATCACTTTATCAAGCAGGTTGCACAACTCGTCTTCTTTCGACGACTGTTCCGTCGCCGCGCTGGCTGTGTAAAAACGCAGAAGCGACTCCAGTTTCTCCTTCGACAGTATGTCTTCTTTCCTCACCGGCTTTCCGGATGAAGGCTCGAGGTCCGCACCTTTCCGTGATTTAATTGTGTCGACTGCTTCGCCGGCACAGATATTTTTTTCGACTAGAAAACGGGACACAGAGCGTTCCAACAAACAGAGATTCGTCGGCCAGCGCTCCTTCATGTAGCTGGCGGAGGTCGTCGCCAGACTCTCCCTATTACTTCTCATATGTACCTCAAATTTCTCCGTAAAATCTTCTTTGTCGAAACGCGCGCCCCTCTTCATCTTCATCTTGTGAACATAGCCCTCAAGTTGTATCTTGCTGGATGCTGGGGCGGAGTGGACTCTCGCTACGTCTTCCCAATTTGGGTATAACATGCGCCCGTATCCGGCTGTTATCTCATCAATTGATGATGAGCTCCTGATCCTCTCGTCGTCCCTGTACTGCTCTTCGCTTATCCTCGGCCGGAGTTCCCACACACTCCCGCTGTTGCCGAAACGGAACAGAGGCTCGACGGAAAGTAGAACGTGGTCCGATGGCCCCTTGCAAGTTGACGCCATTTCTCTCACTTCGCCGTTATCTAAGTTCCATGTTGCAATGGCGTCGTCGTTCATCTGGGACGACGTTGCAATGTGGTCGATACTTGTTGGCTCACCGCCGACGTGTACTGCCCTATAGCATGTCGGTGTCGGTGCACGTGCTCTGTATCTCACCAGCCTTGTCATCTTTTGGTATAGCTTCGATTTCAGATTCGCTGTCACTCCTGAGACAGCGGCTCTGTCGGACATCGCGCAGTTCCAGTCACCACCTATTAACAGCTCTGCCTTGTTCTCCTCCAACTGCTTCTCGATCATGGCACTCATGTCGTTCGCCTGCTTCTCTACGTGTGCGAAATCGATTTTCATTTCGGATCTCGCATTGTGGAAATATACTGATACCACTACCAAGTGCTCATAACGTGCTGCTACAGCATACAGCAAGATTTCTTCAGGCGCACGTGCTGGATGTATCCGCGAAGCGGACATCGTCGAGAACGGTGCGCGCGCTTTGGTTGTGATGATAAACTGCTGCTTCCACGCAGGTTGCGGGGCTGTGCCGTGGTCTCCAACAAGGCGCAGAATCGCTACCCCGCCTGAATTCTCAGGCCCTTTCTCTCTAGTCGAGTCGGAAGCTATATCTACTACATATGTTGCCTCGTGTGCTGCTCCTACTTGAAACCACGCATCCGCCGCGTCCCAGAACTTTCTCTTGAGTTCTTGAAGAAGGACTAGCTGCGGGAGATATAGGCATAAGTAGCGTTTCAGCTTCGGCAGGTTCGCTACACTGTTCATGTTCCATGATGCTAGACCAACACGCGGCATGCTCGCCGCCTCGGTCTCTAGCTCATAGTCGCCCATGTCATCGTCCTCCGGGAAGTTTGGCAGATTTTCCGACAACTTGTTACTCCATTGACCTCCTGCTTTATACACTTCTTGTCTTTGCAATACGTTTACATCATCCCACCATTCCATCAGCCAATCTTGTCCAGCTGGAGCAAATTCGCCAAAAACCGACTCACCCTCGTTTTGAAGTCGGTGCACGGCTTCTACCACCGTTTTCTCACGGTATTCCCAAATGAAAAAAGCAGCGTATCTCTCTATCACCAGTGTCTTCGGCTTCTTCGACGGCCAAATTGTCAACAGCCCCACCTGGACACATAGTTTGGCTTCCAGCATGCCTGCGTCAATGCGCTTCCTCAGGTCCCCGCCGACGACCTTCTCCAAGCTGCGATATGCTGCTGTCTGCTCGTCGTCGTCGGGCATCGTGAGGACCGTTCTAAGTGCAATCGCTACATCCATTGCGAGTTTCTTCTTCGCCATACTGCGTAGAACTGCTGGCGTGTTGCCGTTCCTCGGTTTCTGCCATCGCAGCTCACCTCGCGGCGGTTGCACTCTCTCGTACACCATCTGCCTTTCGCTTTGCTCCAACTTTGCCACCTTCTCATAGTCCATATCAGCGATTCTGGACTTGTTCAAAGTTGCCAAGTAGTACAGGTATCTGGCCAGGATCAGCTCACCATCGTCGTCCGCCGGTGGGCCCGGACCGTGGTCCTTGATCTTTAGCGACCTCACCTGCGTGACTGCAACCGCGCTGCCTGCGACCTTCATCAGCAGGCTCCAAGGAGGGGTCCACGTTGGCCAGAGGTATGCGTCCAACGCGGCCGCTTCTGCAAGTGCGACTGCACAGCCCAATAGCTCAGGTTTTATGACTACTCTGTTCCAGACCAGGGCGCAGTACGCTTTCTTGTCGACCAGCAGATCTGCAAAGCGGTGCACGAGTAGAGGCGAATTCCCATACACAATAAGATTCATGTTGGAAAAGATTACCTTCCAGGAAGCATGATGAAAACCATGCAAAACACGCTAGATTTAGATGCGCTGCAAACCCAAAGAGTAAAAAAAGTCCATCATGATCGACGTGAGCATGACGGACACTTGTAGTTAGCCATGTTGTCAGACACCCACAACCAGCAAAATCAGTGCGGAGCCTTGATGATGCAACTAAAAGTTGTGGACTTCGTGAATTTGTCGAACGCTGGAGGTGACTATCTATCATAGGACAACTGTCTGTTGTATGGCGTTTAACGTCTTGATTGCTTTGTTGATTACGCAGACATGATGAGCAAAACAAGCCATAGAACTATTAGTCTCCTCACACATAAAAATCTGCATATGCAAGTCGCTTAATCTTACCCAAGTGCATATTAGTCTCCTTTATCGCGCGAAGGCCGTTTGATATGTAATGCCCGAAAATGTGGGCGATCGAACGACAGAAGGAATACCTCCCGGCGGGCGAAAGAAAGCATAGGGTCCTTGAGTAGAATTTGAGAGGTCATGTAATATGTCTGTCCTTATCCCACCAAGCACACGATGGAGAAAAAAAGTCAGCGGCTCGCATCAGCGACAACTCCGAAATCGCTTCTGAAGTCAGGTTCTGAGCGCCGACAAAATACTGTTTACTGACACATTTGGACGTCGGTCCACGCTATCTCATGAGCAGAATTTATCTATATGATGATGAGCAAGATCATGAAAGAATTGTATGAAGTAGCAAAAGAATATGATGATGCACATCAGGCGAGCAACTAAAATGAGGACCAAGCTGCTAGCTTACTCTTGAAAAACAAAACCATAACAGAGCCAAAAGTTGTATTGAGAGGAAAATTATTTAGAAACCATCTATCATCTAGAGGCAAAAGTAGTCCGCTCGACGAGGCATCGACTCACGAACAAGACGCTTCAAAATTTTGCGAGACATGATATTCATAAAAAGTACGCAGATAGAGGAGCTAGCTTTGGTGCTGTATTTAACTACGTATGTAAGTTCAACTTGTTTTTTACAAGTATATTCTCCAACTGGTATTCTACATCCTACATCATTTGCTTTCCGCATAATCAAGCCACATCGGATCGATATTGATAGATATTTTTACACGAAGATGATCTTGATCAAAATCCCTGGTATGTTTCTATGTAAGTGATAAAAATGCATTAGACTGTATTTAGCTTCACACAACGTGGTCGTCGTTGGTATGCTTCTGGAACCATGGAAATTAAAGAAGATGATAATGCAGTTGCAGTTACGAGATAGATAGCAACGGTGATTGTGATGATATGTAGGTACGAACAATAGGTATGCAACGAATTAGATAAGCGATCGACAAATACAACTCGTTGTCACTATTAGTCTTTTGTCAAACAAGTGTACTTAAGTGATTCTCTATTGCATTTTGACCGTCTGAGTCCGTCGTCTTCTTCATTAGTAAAACATCTTCAAGTTGTTCTTGCATCCCCAATAACCTTTAGACGGATCGACGTTGCATAATTAGCGGAGCATTTTTCAGCATGAATCTGCCTGGTCGTGGTGCTCCTCCTCCTGTGCTCTCCTCTACCTCCAACTCTGGCACCAGCTTCTTCATGTTCATCCTATTTAAAAATACGGTATTAGGAGAAGAAGTACTTGGAGGTGTCGTGGCTGATGTTCCTGCTGTACTAATAAATCCATCTTCTTGTCCTCCTGGTGTATCCTCGGCTGATGAAGACCTTGGTGAAGAACTTGATGAAGAACTTGTACTTGTACTTCCTTCATTTTCAGTTTCAGGAGAGGAGTCGAAAATCACATCATGGACCTGTTGCTGCTGAACTTCTTCAACAGAACCATGTTGATCTTGATCTATTTTATTATCCTTATTACTAACAGGTGACTCTTCTTCTACTTGTCGTTCTTGTAGTTGTTCTTGGCCTCCAGTACTTTCACCTTGTGGCGGCAACTCACGATCACCTCCGCACATGTTGTCGTCTTCAGGCGAAGTAGTTGAAAACGTAGTAGTTAATAGAGAAGATGACGGACGTTGTTCGCGTGCTCCCCCATGAGCTGTAGAGCCTGCGTCATACGAGTCGTGATTGATGTACCACTCACCTGGAGGCGCAGAGTTAGAAATGATGCGGTCTTCGAAAGGTATCATGTCGTCTCTGAGTGCTTAACTATATTAGAAATATCGAGTGTAAGTAGACGAGTTGTAAGTAATAAATAATTATATATGTTCCAGGACTCAGGGCTGAAGGCCCCCCCGATCTAACTTTTTGAGGGGGGGGGCCTCCCAGCCCCGGACCCTCTTTGCGAGGGGCTGCCGGGCGGGAAGGCCTCAAAGCGCCCACCTCTGGCCCCTTCCTGCTTCTTGCCTGTACCCTAGAGCGCCACCAAACCGGAGGGCGTTGAAGCTGGCAAAGGAGGCAAAGCAGGGCCCCGCTTGCTTGTTGCGTGTACCCGACAGACCTGGCAAAGGTGGCAAGGCTGGACCACTCTGGCGTGGTCCACACCAGATCTATCCACAGGGGGGGTGGGGCCTCCCTCCCTGGTACATATATAGGCTATAGAGAGTTTACCTAGTTGTCCCAGATGCAGTGCAACACGAACTGGTCCAGATGCAGTGCAACTTGTTTTCTTGCCATAAAGTAAGAAGGGGGGTCGTCTGCTTTCTCTGACATCTCTACTCGTTCAAGTTCAACCTGTTGATCGTCACGAGAAGAGACTCCTTTCGCTTCTGATCCTGATGTGTCTGTCTGATGTTTGGAAGGCCACAAAGACAGGCTGGGTCGACCAAGAAAATCGGCGTAGCAATATTCTGCCTTACTTGTAGTTTTCTTCGAAAACAGCTTTTCTTTTTGACGCGCAGTGGTGGTACAAGTAGTCTTGTGTGCCGGTTTCATGTGAGGATTGTAGTTCCAAGCATGATACGGGCCCATGAAAGTGTTATAGTTGCCGGCGGCTTGTTCACGACCTGTCATAAAAGCAGGAGCGGCCCCAGCCGACGCACCATGTTGCTGTTCACGACCTGTCATAAAAGCAGGAGCGGCCCCAGCCGACGCACCATGTTGCGGGTCCATCCACTCTTGCTGATTTTCCGATATCTCGTTAACGAACAACATGCCGCTCCCCACTCGTCGATGCAGGTCATTCGAGGTGCCGGCTGCTGGCAGAGTGCCGGAAGACAGCACAAGATCCAGGACGTCTTGCTCAGGGGTTCGTGGGGCATGTCGTGGTGGTGGTGGTGGCGGAGAAGTAGATGTTGGTGTAATGTACGGCTCATGCTCAGCATATCGGTATCCAGTCGCATCGGCGTACCCACTTGTCCTCGTATCAACATATCCAGGACCACTCAACAGAGTGGCAACTTCAGATTCACGAAATTCTCCACCTTGTTGATCATGTCGTGCTCTTGCAGTACGATCACAACTTTGTTCTTGCTGATGTAGACCACGATGTTCTTGCTGATGTAGACCCTTTTGATATTGTCCTCGTCTCCTTGGACCTCTTTTCGCTTGTCGTTGTGGATGAGATGGAGTAGCAATACCAAGGGCAGCCTTCAGAGTTAGAGTCGCCAGTTTCGGAGCTGCAGCCATTCCTCCCGGAGCCAGGCCATCGACCACAGGGATATTTTTAAGGTAAGTCCTCCCGGAGCAGGGGGTCGTTAGAAGATGAACAAGAACAATCAACTTGAGAATCAACAAGAAATTCAGCATCAGCAAATAATAAATTGTCTGCTTTATTCGGTAAGCCTAGTTAAACTCGTAACAAGTACAACTCAAGGAAACCACATACATCAGGATCGTCTTTCTACTTACTGATTGTGTTTGCGATCCAGAAGACCGGTGGAGCACGTCTATCTAGGAAACAAAAATACATAAAAAATGAAATCCGTCTGATTAAAAAGAACTATAGTGGCCACGTGTATGTTAGGATCCGCCTATTCTAGGCGCCGCGCGTTCGTCCAACTGCGCTGGAGGTCTTCTCATCAAAGGCGGCCGAAGCCTGTGCGTGCCTCTGAGAAGTGCCCGGTTCTCGCGCTATGTGCACCCACTAGTTCGCTCCAGGGTACCGGCGCACCAAACTAGCGCACAGCGCGAGAAGTAGGACTACCTATACCCAGAGCTTACCCCCTAGTATTAATTCTAGCGCTAGGCCTAGCCAACCTGTCCTATATACCATCCTTTAATCCAGTGGTTTTATCCTCGAGTGTGCTACTTTTTGGCACGTTACTCTTTCGTTTTTGGCCCTTTTGTTTCTTCAGATCACGAGCACGACCTGCCATCTTCGAGACGACCAACCTAGACTCATTCTCTCTCTTCTCTCTCACGTCCAGTTCTCATGCCTCGCAGCAGAATGCCCGTTGGCTCGTACCTGTAATCGTAATGTTGGTGTATGTGATTAATAATAAAGTCATGGTATTCTTGTTTTTGTTTTATTTGTTTGCCTTCATATTTCTGGCCGGCGCCTCATAAGTCTTATTTTATTTGTTTGCGATCTCATAAGTAGAATGTTGGTGTTGCTGGATGTTGCATGTCCGGAACAAAACGAGGTAGAACTACAGGAGCAGGAGTGTTTTCGTTTCCTCCCGTGTTAGAAGTCCCGAAGCGATCAGAATCAGACTCATGTCGAACGGATTCGGAAGCATGTTCTTGTTGTTGAAGATGAAACGGGTATAGTACATCTGCATGTGCTGGGTCTGGATGTGAACCTTGAACTGAAGCTGGTTGAGAAGACGACACTGGAGAAGGCCATCGGCTTAGAACCTCACGGAGAGATGAACTTCCGCCTGCCACTCTACTCCGAATCGTGTCCTGAAGGCGAGGCTCATGGTCATACGGTGTGGGGGGAGGAGCTCGTGGGCCGTGGTCAGGTGGTGGAAGTGGAAGTCGTTGCTGCACCACATGCTGTTCGAGATCGAGCAGTTGTACAAATTGAGCTCCACCTACCACTTCTTGGCTTCCCGACATAAGTTGCTGTTGGTCTTGTTCTTCATATCTTCCACCTAGTAATCGTCCTCGCTCTGCAACGCCAGGCTGAGCAAAGTTATCATGTCCGCGACCAGGTCGTCCACCAGGATGATCTTCAACTTCTGCAACATGTGCATCAGTGCCACTAGTATTAGTCGGCCCTACTAAAAGAAAATCATTTGCAGCTTGAGGGAAAAATATTTTCTGCAAGTGATCTAACATGCGTCGGTCCTGTGGCTGGATCTCCTGAAGACGATCCGAAAAACAGACAACATCTTCTCGTCCTACCGTGTTAGTTCCTGGTGGGGGCGGCGAAACTGTAGTAGAATGCGGGGAGTGGTCATGGCTGACACTAGTCGTGCCTGGTGGGAGTAGAGGACGAGGAGGTGTTGACGAGAGAGGTGTATTTTTACCCGACTGAAGACTATGGCTGACGTCACTGCTCAGTATCATTCGTGATGAAGTAGGACGGCGAGGAAGCAGTGGAGGAGGCGAAGAACCATCGACGTCGATGCAGCTCTGTGTTTGAAGTTGTATCCACCCTGGTGCTGGGGTTGTCACCACTGGCAGTGACACTGAGTCTACTGTTGAGTATCCATTTTCATTTAACAGCTCTACTTGTTGTAAGTGGCCATTTATCACATTGACGCTCAGCTCATTCGGGGCGTTGTTTTCATCTACTTGTACAGCTTGATCGTCGACACGATTCAATCGTTGTTGTAAAGCAAAAACGTCGTCCGAAGAGGAGACCGACCTTACTGGTGGCGAAATTAGTGGAGGACCTCCTACACCTGTAGCATGTTGTTGTCCGCCTCCGAGATGGAGGGGTAGGCTTGCTGTTCTCGTACCGGTTACTGGTTGTATAGGCCTTCTCGCTTGTCTAGGCCTTTTCTGGCCCATTGCAAGTAGTTCATCAGGTGGTTGTACTCCGAATACCTCAGTATGAGTAGTTGGTGCTCCTGTTCCTCTTGCACTTAAAGATGAAGTTATCCCTGCGTCGGCGTCCACTCCTGGACCGAAACCTATCCACCCATTTTTGTAAATGTTCCCGCCACCTCGCATTGGTGATGGTAACGAAACTGCTCCTGGAGGTGGTGCAGCTGTGGTTCTCGTATGAGAACAAGGAGAGCCTATATAATTATTAGAACTAGAAGAAGTAGAAGAGAGCGCTGTAACAGGCAAGCGCTGTCCTCTTTGATGTCCTCGCGCTGGTGAAAAAGGTGAAGGTCCACCTCCAGGAGAAGAACACGAGTCTCCAAGGCCAACTTCAGGTAAATGTCCATCAACTTGAGGCAGCAATTGCTCAAGAGCCAATTGCAGTGGAGGCGGTGGCGGTGGTGGGTAAGAAGGTGGCGCAGGAATCGGACGGTTCATCTGGTCCATTTCTTCAAGGCAACTAGCAGCAGTCGTCCTCTGTCCGTGACCTCTAAAGGGAGGTTGTCCCTGACCCTCCTGTGCATGTAGTTGTCCTTTATTAAAGGGAGGTAGGACATCATTACGATGTATTTTGCTGTTCTGTTTGTTTGACTTTGCTGATGTCCTCTTGGTATGCTTGCTTTTATTTGTGACGCGATCGTTTCTCTGAAAAATTCCCTTCAAGATAGGAGTGAGATCGGTTACCTTGTTGAACTTGTCAATTGCGCTTGTGGTGGGCATTAATGAGTTGTCATGTGCTGTGTCCGTGTCGTGTGTCAATAAAGTCATGCCAGAAGTCGAAGAACTACTTGTTCCTCCAGACCCAGTAGCTGACGGACTAGGAGTAGGTGGAACTGGAAGTGCCGTACTTCTCACCCTATAATCAGAAGAAGTAGATGCAGAACTACTTGTACTACTACCTACTGTACTACCCGAGGTCAACATCGTGGTCTTCGAATTCGGCAACATAATTGCTGTTTTCGGACCAAGTCTTTTCCTTCCACCTCCTGAAGCGGCCCGCAAACTTCTCCTACATGGTAGTGGACGAGTGTCTGCTCCTTCATCATCATACTGCATCCCAAACAACCATACTGAGCCATCGGCGGAATGATACATCTCCACCTGCGGTTGTAAAAGCGGCCGAGGAAGCGCTAAACCTACTTGAGGTGCCGCTAAATCGTTCTTTGCTCCTTCAGCGACGTCATGATGAATTTTTTGAGGAAGGTCAAGGTCTTCATGACGACTTCCATCTTCTTGATCAGCAGCATCAAGAGCGTTGTCAGGTCGTCTAGTATCTACTTGTCCTCGGCTTTTGTCCCTTCCAGTGTTCACGTTCATGACACCTCCCCACCGAGAACGATAAAAACGGGAAGGTTCATCCTCCGGTATTTCTTCGAGCCGCTCTCGAGCAGGAGCAGGCCGGTCTAGAAACTGTTGTCCCCCCTCGTCTTCACGTTGTTGAGGTAAACCTCCCCCAGGCTCGTATTTCACTGCAAGACGAGGATCCCCGGCCTGCAGGTCCTCTTCCTCATCAAGTAATACTGCTCGTCCACCTGCGGCCAACGTAGTAGTCGGTCTTCTAGTAGTATTTGACTTTGACGTAGTATAATGAAGCCAAAATCCATTATCATTAAATCTTCAGACTTTTCTTCTTCAGAAACTTCTTGATAATGATAACAGATTTTCCTTTCATACGTAGAAGTTGTGCTAGAGTGTAACAGCTCAGAACCCACTGGAAGATCATGAGGAAGCACCGAAGAAAGACTGGACGAGGGCTGCTCGACCACGACATTCTCTGCTGGGGGCGCTGGTGCCGGATAGTCTGGCACAGGAGGAAATCGCCTCGAACTAGAAGTCGTGGCGAAAGACCGCGAAGAGGAGGCCCCGAGGAGCACCTGCAGGCTCGTCGAGGTGGTTGTACAACATTGCACGACGAAAGCAAACCAAAGTAGACCATGTGGAGGTATCTTCAAGAAACCGATCATTTTCTTACAGTTCTTGCATCAATGGACTCACTCCTTTTCCTTTAAACAAGATGGAATTTTCTCGGTTGATGTAATCGCACAACGAACATGAACGAGTAGACTACTGCTAGAAAACATCATGTGATTTAGTGATGTACTTGTTATGTTGTTGTAGGATTTCGTTTTTCATATTTTTAGGTGGTAGTTGTAGGAGATTTTTTTTTATGGTGGACTGGACTTGGCTTCGGAAATGTTCCAGCAAGGTGTGACCTCAGTTCGTCAAACTTAGCTATGCGAACACACTGTCGTAAGACGAGGTGTACCTTGTTCATCTCCGCGTCCTTCACGTCTTCATCATAATTTTGTGATAAAAGATGATCTTTTCGTACAATCAGCAGGTAAAAACAAAAAGTGCAATTTAACCACAAGAACAGCATAACTTCTTGTGGTTGGTTCAGTATCATGTTGAGAGCTCGATACTAGAGCTGAAATACATGATTCATCACGGAAATCGATGTGCTAGTACTGCTATAATCAACATGTTCAATGATATCTGCTAAGGCTTTTCTTTGAGGATACTTTCTTCAAATTCGTTCATTTTGCCAGGTGCATGGTCGTGGTTCATTACTTGTTCTTACTTCTTCATATAATGCTGCAACTTGTTATTCTAAGTACCTAGTATCACTTTCATTTTTCCACTTCTGCATCATAAGGTTGTAGGAAAAAGTCAAAATCTGAAGACGCATCACTGCAGGTGCGACTTCGAGGTTCATATATCATGTGGTCCTTTTGCACTATCTCTAGTTCATCCTTTTTTGATTCGTCCACCTTTTTTGAAATAGGTGATAAAAGTTCTTGTTGCGGTGCTTGTTGTTCGACGTCAACGTGTTTCCTGTCCATATGTTGCCTAGTGTTAACCTCTACTGCTGCATCATTAGTAGTTTGTGATTGTGATACACGACACTGTTGATGTAAAACTATAGAGGAGGGCACTTCCAGGGGAGACTGTTGACCAGGTGCATGCTCGTCAGCTTTACGTGGTATTTGTAGAAGAGGTTGTTGCTCATCCTCGGAGGGACCTCGTCTTCCACTTGCATTAGCCTCCCGATCGACGTGCGAAGACAGCAGACCTCTAGTCGACAACATCTCGAAAGGTTTGGGGGACATTTCAAACTCGAAAGGCTTGGCCGGGGGCCCTGGCAGCCATTGTCCTCTTTGTAATGTTGATGGGGTGGAACAACAAGAAGTGCTTGCAGTCGAAGGCGTCGGAGAGGCGTTGCCATCGTGTCGGACTTGTTCGAGGTCGCGGTATACCAGAGCTTTTAGTCGCGAATCACCTTCCAGTGGCTTCTGTTCTCTATTTCGATAAACAAGAAAGTCGTGCGTCAGTCGATCATGATGTCCTACTTGCTGTGCATGTGTTCCTTGTTGCTGCCCTTGAATACCATCTTGCCTCCACGGGCTATCACACTTTCGTGCGAAAACTCCACATGTTACTAAATTTAGTACGCTTTGCATCCATGAGGAGCCTGTGCTTCCGAGTGGTGTACCAGTATAACAACATCTCACCATTGGCGTGCAGCCCGGATAAGAACTAGCACCACGTAGCGCTCGAAAATTACAGCTAGCTGCACCTCTAGCTCCATCAAGGGCAGGCTGAGCTTTCAGCAGAATCCGCCCATTCACCTGTTCTGTTTCTGCTTTACAATAGATGTTGCTTAATACAGGAGTCCTCGGGCTCGACCTCGAGCAGCTCGACATCGGGTTACTATATTCATGTTGTTGCATGGGAGAAGCCTGGGCTTGGTTACTATAAGATATTTTTGCCGAACGTGACGATGAGCTCGTTGTTGACGTAGAGGCGATGGCCGAAGTACAACCTCCATCAGTCTTCATCTCCTGGAACAGCTCTACCGCAGCGACTGTCGTGGTTAGACATGTTGAAAACATGAGCGCTATGCCGCCGATGGTTGACAGTGTCCCATTTCTTCGCTGAAAGGAGCCGCAGCTCCGCGAAGTCCAACGCCCTGCTCCACCCGTAGTTGAGATCATTGTGTTTCTTTGCTATGGGTATAATATTAGTAGAGGTGATTTTTTTCTGATTGATGGTATCCAATTATCTAGTGCGTTGTGATGTAATCGTGTTGTTATTCTTAAGATGAACCCAACTACATACTAGAAGCCTTGTACTGTTGCATGTATGACAAACCTCATTACTTAGTGTCTAACTCGATGCCCGAATGGGGCTGGGGGTCAAACCGGAAGGGTTCTACGCCAAGAAATTGATCACTTAGAATATTTATACTTTTTTGGAAGGACTAGATCTCTAGAGGAAAAAACTAACCGGTTGTACTTAGAATATACTCTGTACTCGAAGTCGAAGATACTATTTGTTTGTTCTAAAATTTTCCTTTTTCTAGTCGTTGTTCTCATATTTTCCACGAGAAGGGCCCTCCAGCTATCGTGTTATCTAACCTGAAAAAATTGAAATTTATTATGAGCAGGCAATAATTCGATGAAGCGCAAAATAAGGTCAATCCTCTTAATATTGCACCGATCACAGTGGTCGTGTGACTTTTTATTTCATGACGCTGGTCATCAAGATCAAGGTTGCAGTTGGGACTTAACATCAAGATCAAGGGGTTCAATTTAATTTTCATGGGAGTTCGGGAGGGTGCTTTTTCTTGTGATGTTCCTGGGTTTTTGTCTGGTGTACGTGTAGGTGCATTTTCATTTTAGAGTGAATATGAGTTATCATGATTTCTTGCATATTCCCTGCGTAACTTTCGGTTTCGCTTGGTTCATTCAGGACGAGGAGTTGCTATTTCAAGTTCAGGTGTCGGAGACGAGATATAATCATTTTTGTGGATTATCAGCTCTGCATTTTCATTTTCGCCCCATTCAAATGCTCCTTCGTATTTCTGTTTTTCAAATTAATTGCATCTTGGACCTACAACTTTTTCTGATAAATATTTTTCGTAGTCAGAATGCAATGATGACAAACAGGTTAGGTTAGGTATTGGCTCACTTATGAGAAGGTGAGCGTTCGATGAACTCCGAATTTTCTAAATATAATTAGGTCAACGTCAAGAAAGCTACAACCACGACGTTGTTCGTTCGATGCTGAAAGTAAAAATGCATTGATTTTTGGACTTCTTGGGACTTTTTCCTCCTTGATGCTCATGACAAAAGATTCGCCTTGTTTCGTCCGTTCATTAATCGCAAAGTAGATTCAAATCAAAAAATGGTCAAGATCAAAAACTAGTGCACGACGTGCAGGTGTAGTTGATATTATATTAGATACTTCCAATCAGTGACTCATCGTGTTTCGTAGTTCTGTCGGTATCAATTCTTGCTGTAATCGCTGTACATTTGATCCGTTTTTAATGTATTATTCAGCGGCTATTCTTTGACTTTCTTCACTACTTCTTCTCGGATAATAGCTTGAATCTTGATTGCGTCCTCTGAGATATCAGCTATAATTCACTTTCGCTCTAGTACCTAGGCTCGTTTGGGAATTAATAATAATATGACAGTAAATATATAAAATTGAGGTCTTCTGGGAAATCTCATGATCTTGTGTCGTGCCGTCGACTCCGACTTACACTGTCACTGTATTGTTTGGTAAATTTGTAACTGGTGTTCATTTTTTGTCATGCATGGTCTTTCCTCTTAATGCGATATTGGCTGTGGTTTACTTTCACTTATGCACAAAAATACTAGTGTTAGGGCTAGCAGTTCGCTTTTACTTGTTCTGTTCTTTCCCATCAACTATAATAGAAAAACTACAATCCTGCTCATCCCTCGTAGTTGCCCACCATCAACGACAACTTTCATCTACCAGAAAATAAGTAGAGCAACTTCTATCTCCTTTACTGTTACTCAACAATATCTCCCTTGACCTCCTCCTCCTCCCCCCATCTCCCTTCTCATCTTACGGGCCACCTCTGTATTAAGACCTCCTCCTCCTCATCCTCACCTTCGTTCCCCTACTGGTGAAAATAGTGGGTGAAGTCCTCCCAGATACTGAGAGCATTCTCTGGTGCTGGATCTTCCCACGTCTGCACCATCTTCAGGTACTCCTGCGTTTCCTGCATCGCGTCTGCGTTGAGCGTGTAGTCGAAGAAGCCGAGGATTAGAAGAATCTTGAAAATTTCAGTAATCTTCCTGAGCTTCTTCGACTACTGAGAATTACGTAATTATTGAGCTCAGTTTATTTAGTATGAAAGGCAACGCACATTGTAAATTATATTTGAATTTTCCACTTGGTCTTGTATCATATCGCTCTTTTTCCTTCAGCAGTACGGTATGTATCGAGCACTTAAATGAGATGATAATCAAGGAGAAAAGGGAAAAACTTCGACTACGTATCGATCACTTTCTCGTAGCCGAAGAAGCCGAGGATTAGCTTCTAGATGTTCTTCGACTACTGAGCTTCTTCGACTACTGAGAATTACTTAATCAGTAATTACTAATCTGAGCCAAGCTGATTCTCAGAGAATTACTAGCTGGCTCAGTAAAAGCTAAGTGGGAAGAAGTGGTTAAGTCGTTAGGTTAGGTGCTGATGATGAAGTTTCAGATTGAGAGATTTCATCGACCTCTGGTTGTTCTAAAGGGCAAAAGGGCCCCGGAGGTGGATGTAAGTATTTCTTTCAAGCGAGGCTACACCGCTCTCCACATCGCAGTCGAGGCTGAAGCCGTGGATACGGTAGCGCTGCTTCTCAGGCCACCCGATGATGATGCTACGTGGCTCAGTAAAAGCTAAGTGGGTTCACACATCAAAAGTTGCCATAACCTGTGGTAGTGGAAAAGTCCGTGTTTGATCTCCAGTTTCTTCAGGTCTTCATGGTCCCGGACGTCCGAAAGTTCAAAACCAAAGCTCTGAGAATTAGAGTGAGACAGACCACGCGAGGGAGCAGTCAATAGTACCTAGTAGAGTGTTTGAAGTAGGGATGGAACTAATTTTTATACCTATAGTTTGAAATAAGGCAGTCAAGACCTATTAAAATGCATGTCGAAGATGAGCATATTATGATTCTGATGATGATGAAACAGGAGACAGAAGGAATCGCACATCAATCATTTTCATCTATTCTCCAGTGAAGAAATCAAAATCATGATGTCATCTTCAAATTATATGTTTATGAAGATACGAGAATGGGGGGCCACGCCGAATGGGAGACCCCAGAAGGAGATCAAATGTGATGGACGCATCAAATTCAAATTAAATGAAGAGATGAACATACGAAAAATATTACTACTTTTATCTCTTGTTCTAGATGACTCGTCGCAGACAATCTTCAAGGATAGAAAACTATCAATATTTTTCGAGACTTATGTTACGTTCTTCTTCTCCTTTCTTCTCCTATCAAGAACAAGAAAGCCTTCTCCTATCATCTTTTGCTCTATCCTCGTCGCCTACAATGCAATCTATCTCTTCTTGTTCTAGATGACTCGCCTACAATCATGCAATCTTCTTATCAAGACAATATTAGAAAATTATCAAGAACAAGAAAGCCTTAACAGCTGGCGTATGAGGTATCAGAAGATGCGTTGGACGTCCACGATCGGAGGACGCTTTCGGTGCTCCTGGCGCAGGCGGTGGGATCACGCCAGGAATGTCACTCTGTGATGGAGGTAACGGTTCCATGTTGTTGTTCAAAATGAGCATTTCTTCCGGTGTCAGGATCTGCGTTCCCTCATTCTTACCGCGACCTGTTTGCAGTCGAGGTCCTTGTACTTGTTGACGACGTTCACGACCGGTTCTTGATGTTTTAGTCCTCTGCAAGAACTGAGAAGCGGACACCATATTGCCATCTTCGTTAGAAACGAATACCTTCATCTTTGGTGCTCCTCGTCGTGTGCTAGTTGTAGTCTTTCTAGAAGAAGTAGATGTTTTGCGACCAAAACTAGAATCTTCAGCAACATTGTTCATGTTGTTTTCGTCTTCACTTACTTCTTCGACTGTAACCTTTCGAGTACTCTGGAGATCCTGCTCTTTACCAGTACTAGCAGCTGTTGAGGAGGAAGATGAAGTATCCAGGAAACTAGTTGAAGATGACGAAGCACGTCCTGCCGATGGGGAAGCGATAGTACCACCAGCTGAAGAGGACGAGTAGGAAGGCGGCCACACAGAGTAGGAGTAATTCTTCTGGAAAAGTCCCTGCAGTCCGCGTGATATCATATCCGACATGCGGCCAAAGATATCACGACCTCCTCCACTAGCGTATTTGCGCACGATGCCAGTGAGGAACGACGAGGCTCCTGCCATATGCATGCCGGGTCCCGAGGCAAGTTGCATGCCTGCACGTGACAATGCGGCATCCCCGACCTGCTGGTGAGCATTCGCCCAACGTTTCGGGCGGGGTAGAAAGCGATACTGGTTCTTCTTTTCCTCCTGACCTAAGCGATCTTCTTCGCCTTTGTTAGATCAGATTTGGAATAGTAACATCTTTTACTAGAAAACGGCCAGACAGATAAATACAGAAGCTCGTTCAGGAAAAGGTCGTCGTGCTAGATAAATTGGCACGCGAGCGCGACCAAAAAAATCACATTTATTATGATTATGATTTATAGAATCCATCATCATTGAGCAGACACTTCCAAAGCCTTAATGTCCGATGTCGCAAACATGGCTCCGTCGTTCACAGGTGCGGCACTGCCAATAGCGCCCATTCGCGCTCGCTCAACAAGTTCCTCTACAGATGCAGTAGCGTCATGCATCCTGGTTCTTGCGGCAAGAGCCGGTGGAGGCAGTGACCCAGGACCGCTGCTGGTTCGTGATTGCTGCATAGTCGCCACGTTGTATCCCAATGGAAAGCCAGGATCCAAGCTGTTACTAGCAGATTCCTGTCCCTGGTAGTGGTGGAGAAAGCCTCGGGGATCGCCGGTTGCGATCGTCGCGGACATCGCATCGGCCAAGGCCATTTTGGCAGATGTGGTACGTCGCGACGAGACATCCTTCTTCGTCAATGTGTGTGTTTGCCCGGAGATTAGAAGGTTTTTAGCTGGGGGGGCACTTCTCAGAAGATTTTGGACTTGAAGATTTTGGACTGAAGAAAAGTGGGAGAACAAGATGACGAGAAGAAGAGTTAGCAGGAACATGATGCTCTGTAAGGAGTTCGTGAACAACAAGAACAAGACGTCTCGGTCTCTTCTTCTTCTGTCATAAAAGCGCCAATCTGACCGCAAATCGATTTTGTTCTCGTTCGATCGTCTGAGCATATTCCGTTGGCATGTAGTTCTGCAAGTTCGCAAAGTAGTCTTGCGAAAAGTAGTTCACCCACCCGTTGGCACGGCGCATTGCACCTTCACTCAGGTCGATACCTGCCATCTCTGCCAGATGCCTCGTGTTCAAATCTGCAGCTGCGTTGAGCACATCGACTATCGTCCGTTGTGGATGCACACGGTGGAACTCTGCGAGATCGATTTCGGTATCTTGCTGGGCCACTTGGGTATGCAGTTGTTTAGAGAAGCGGCACGGGGATGGATACCGGAGTGGCTGCGGTACTAAGTCAAAAATAAAGTGTAAAAATTCACTAAGTCAATCGTCTAAAAAGAGTAGATAGAAGGCGGTTTTTTATCGATAAGAAGAAGTACACAACTTACTCAGTGAATGGCTATGGCAATAGGTTTGAACTTATCATGTTATCTTTGAGTTGTGTGATTTGAGTGTGCATAACGACTTTTGGCTCCTCTGCCACCGGCATCGGGAGATTTAGACCTGCAAGAGCAGGATCAACCTGTGCATTCGCAGCCGATGGTGACACTAGGACTGCTTTTTTCCGCTTATTTCGATTGACTTCGAGAAAAGCGCTGGCAGCTGAAGGAGTTGTTGCAGCTGGGACAGTAGTTGTTTCAGAAGGAGCAGCAGGTGCAGTTGTGGCCGCAGGCGTTTTCTGAGCACTAGTTGCAGCTGTAGAACTAGAAGCCCCTGTGTTGTTAGAGCATTTACATTTCGTTCTTGAGCATACATTTCTCCCAGCAATTCTAAGAAGGAAATTTAAGGAGACCGACATTACTTGTAGAAATGAATTGTTTTGAGCCTTAATGTTGACTGCTGCTTCTTCAGGTACCTCCGCGTCAGCTGGAGCAGGTGCAGGCTGATTCAGTTCCCACAAGGCACCGTGGTCTGCTGAGGAGATGTGCTGACCATATGCCGTCAGTCTGCGTCTAGCCTGGAACATCGCAAGCAATCCCTTAGCTTTCAGCACATTCGATCGCTGCTTCCTACGATCGATTCCATGCAGAATCTTGCGGATCGTTGACATTCCCGCTGCCTCCTCCTCGTCCGGTGTTAGGTAGATGGGCAACTTGTCATCGCCGCCTCCATACCTAGTGCGAGGTGGCGCCAAATCCAGACCCGTTTCGATTGCATTGGGCGCCGAAGTTGTAGTAGTCTTTTTGGAGGTTTTTGTTTTGTCCAGAAACGATGAAGTTGAAGGTGTGGCTCGTCCAGCTCGTCCTGGCGCAGCATTCTCGTCATCCTTCTCTTCGTCGTCATCACCACCACAACAGCCGGATCCCTGGTTTTCGCTTTCTTCAGATCCACCATGCTGCTGAACTACTGCAGATGAAGTGGCTCCACTTTTACTGTTGTTGATCATGCCGTCATCCTCAGGCTGGTCCTCCAATGAATCATCACTGCTGCCACAAGATTCGCTGCAAGCGCCGCCGGCGCTGTCATTAGAATGACATCACAATAGGAATAGCTCTCCACTTTCTAAAGTCATGCCACTCGCTCTCATGTGATGACAAATCACGATGGTGACGAAGATGAAGACGATGATGCAGGCGGCGGGGGGGAGATGAAGCGCATCAATTTGACCGAAACCCCTGTGAAGCCACCCAGTGGGCGAGCGAGGCCAGCCACAACACCGCAAGACAGAAGCTGGAGACAAATGAACTGCACGAAACAACCAGCCCAAAGAGATGGCGCGGAACACTCACAGAAGAAAAAGGACACAGACACCGCGCGACAGACCGCCGGCGAACATATCCGCGGGCGCCCTGCCCTCATCTGCAGCCAGCCCCCCGCCCACTCACCACAGACCCACGAGGCCAAGATATAACGAACCACGCCGCGGCCTGCGTCTTTCGCCGATCTTGCCGCCTTCGTTCGCGCCTTCGTTCAGCGAACGAAGGCCAGAGTTCGCTCGAACCCACCTGCAGAACGATCGGCGGGAACACGGTCCGTGGGACTTTTCTCGGGATAGGAATGAATACGACGAACGCGCAAAATTGCGCACGATTTTCACAATCTGGGGCGGCGTTTATTCCTGTCGTCGCGTTTCTCTCTATCGTCGAGGCCGCTCGGTGTCAGCTTAGGAATAAACGCCGCCAAAAATGGCGCAGGAAGTATATTCCTAAACCGTGACAGTCTGAAAATCTGCATGAAAGGACTACGTGTAGACTGTGCCACTATGTAGGTTGTATATGAGTTTGAGTATAATCCAAAGTAAAAACGGAAACTGCTCCTGCTGAGGCTGAGGAAAATTAATAGTGTGTAAATCTAACAACACGAATTAGCTTGAGAAGCCTTAAAAGATGAAGAATCGCAGCTGTCACCGTTCTCCTTCACATTCGGATGCACAAAGGCAGTCATGCGACGCATCTCGAGTTCCCTTGCTTTCGCCACAAAGCGGTGCATCGATTTCCTCACGTACCTTAGAGCCCACCCTAATCACCCAGCATCTTGGGGAGAAGCACCCTAAACCCTAAACCCTCTTTTTTCCTTGAAGAAAAGCCTCTTCAGGATGCAGCTGCAAAAAATGGATATTAGGGTAACAAGCCTTAAGTACTGTTCCACCACTTGTCTTCCGTGCACCCGCAGACCATATTCTACGCTGTCACCATCCAGATAGGCGTCACGAATCCCCGCAGTAGATAGCAGTGCAGTGTGCGTGCTCGCCTCGGCAGCCCCGACCCCCGCGTTCCTTGCCCTAGCCATTCGTTGCGCATACAAGTCCCTCGTCGCACCAGAAATTGCAGCCCCGGCATCCGAGCCATCGTAGTCCTCACTGTCTGCCAGTAAGCGACCATCCGGATACTCTTGCATCCACTCAGGCGGCGCCGTTGCAGCCTGGATATGCAGCTTGCCTCGCTCCTTAGAGGTAATCACTGTCCTCGTGGAGCACCTACTAGCTAGAACAAAATCGTACGTAATGTTGCCTAACCTAGCTAGTAGAAAATCGTAATGTACAGTTCAGGTAATGGCAGGTAATGTTGATATCGTACGTAATGTTGTACAGTTTGGCAGGTAATGTTGATATCGTACGTAATGTTGTACAGTTTGGCAGGTAATGTTGATCCTAGTAATGTTCTTGCCACCTTGTAGAAGATGAAGGAGTTACTTCTGGTGTTACATTTTTTGAACACAAGTATTCGATAAACTGAAATATTAAGCAAGTAACTGATCAGAATTATAACCGAGATACTGACGAGAAGGAAAAGTAGCCTTGATGTTATAAGCTACCTCCCTTATTTCAGTCACTAACTCGGATATTTTCATGTTTCGAGTACTTTTTAGGTCGTGCTGGTCACTAACTCACATTTTTCGAGTACTTTTTAGGTCGTTCTGGACTTGTTGTATTGGACCTTCGGTCTTGCCCTAAGTTGGTAAGTCGGAAAAAAACGCACACGGTATTGATGTCGTTTCACGTAGTTCTGCTCCGAGGTCGGAGAAAAATCCGGTAAGGTGGGCACATCATCATCTTGATTTGTGCCTAAACCGTCACAAGAGGATGAGCCACAACTTCCATCATTGTTGTCCTTATCAGCACCATCCTCCGCGTCATCTCCAATAGCACCGGTTGCGCCGGCGTCTGCTGTTCCCCCAGCAGTCTCGATAGTGCCATCCGCAGTGATCGTCGCAGCTTGAGGCTTTTCCTCCGCACCAAAACCGCAGCAACCACCCCCCTCACCGTTTTCCTCACCAATGGTAGCATCCGGAGCCAAGCCGCTAATCGACGTGGGCTCAAACTGTTGATCCTTCACTTTAGAGGACGAGGAAAAAGCTGATGATGTTGAAGAGATATTGAAGACTGCCGTGCTCGTGTGAGTCTATTACTATAATTCTGATCCGCACTAGAAGAAGAGGAGATATCAGTTTCACTTGCGCCGTTACCTTTTTTAGTGCTAGTGGTTGTACCAAGTTCAAGTTTGTGAAATCCATGAATGAAGCTATGTTGCCATAACAGGTGGAGCAGGCATGCCTCCATCTTGTGCGAATGACGAACCTCCCGCAGACGGGAAATAAGGCTCTGCCTCACCTACGACTTCATCGTCGCTAGGATCTTCTTCCCCACCACAACAGGAGGAGTCTTCCTTAGTGGTTTCTGTAGTAACCTTGCCCGGCTCCTCGCCATACCCACTCCCATCTCGCAGCATCTCCGCGATTTCCTCCTTTAACTTAGCGGTAGTTTTTCACTATCCAATGTTGAGTGGGTTGCCCTTATTTCCACGACTTTCTTAGTTCCCCCTTAGTAAATCAAGAATGACTCCAGCACTCACTCAGGTGGGTCAGGATACATACGTCACACCGGATAGTGATAAAAAACTAGCCTTAATTGACTCTTCGATGTACTCGGTCGGAGAGTAGTCGAAGACCATGCTGCCAGTGAAGTAGATGCCCAACCGGCGTCGCCAGTTCTTGTACTTCGCGTGCAATCTAGACAACTTTTCGAAACTGCGGATCAGGCAGTTCACGCTCGCGACCTCCATCCACGCATCTGGATCCTCGTTGAGGAGAGGGAGGACAATGGCGACTGAGTAATCTGGTTTGCTGTCCCAGCTTGCGAGAAGAGCAGCAACAATCTGCGCGAGTTGGCTATTCGCAGCAACATTAGAGATATTTATTGTGATTAAATATTACCGCGTTGTAAAGATATTGCATGCATTCTTGGGAGCAGTCATTGTCATGATATCCTTGGCTTGGCTTGGCTTTTTTTCAAGTAGAAATAAAGGCCATCTCTTTTTCAAGTAGAAAATAATTAAAGGGCCAAGAGTCTTCTTTTAGGAGGATGCTTGAGGTTGAGCGGTAGCCGTAACACCATGATTCTTGTCGAATCGCTCCTTCCATTGGTCGAATTCTTCACCACCTGACTGCAAACCATCTCTGTCTTTACTCGCTGCCAACATTTCGAAACGCTGACTCGCATACTGTTGCCAAGCTTGGGTGAATTAGAAGAAGATGAGGAGCTCCTCCTGCTACGTGTTGTTGTTCTAGAAGATGCTGAAGATAAATTCTTGAAGATTTATAAGTAGTACCATAATCGTGGTGAGTCGTCACTTTTTATCAATCTATTTTCTCTGTACTAGTATGGGAGTTCAAGTTCTTGCATTGGAAAAAGAAGCAGAAAGTTGCCCGTAATTGAACTGGTTGCACACGGGATCCCCGCGATCGGTCTTGAGCATCAGCTCAAACATCTGAGCCTCGAAGCGACCGCCATGAGGGATGTTATTGAACCAATCAAGGTCGCGCGTAACTTCCTGTCGGTAAGGCTGGGAAGAGAGATATTCTTGCTCCAAATACAAGAAGCGTGCGGAAGCAGGTAATGTCCAATTCGTCATGCCGAGAGCAAAAACAGCCTCATCCTCGCTCATTTCCACCGGTGACTCCGCCTCCGCAGTAGAGGTAGACGTGGACGCAGTAATGGCATCCTGAACATCCGCAGGAGGGAACTGTTCTTGGGCGAATGACGAAGACGCCGGCTCCTTTCGCGAGGATCTTCCGGATGTAGATGGTGCACCTCCGGTACTAGAAGTTGTACTAGCTTCTTCTTCAACAAGTCGCTCAGATTTAGATGAAGTAGAAGTGGTACTAGAAGACTCTTTCTTCATCATCTCACCTAGTACGGCTCCTACGCTTTCCTCCTGACTCTGACTCTGATCCTGCTCTGTGGCAAGAAACGAAGAGGAAGATGTCGCTGGCAATCTTCCTGGTCGTGCTCCAATAGCTGGAGGACCACGGAATCCACGTGGTCCTTGCTGACCGCCAGGTGGAGGCACACCCCCAAATGCGCCTGCTGCAGTCAGCATCAGCGGCGTTCCCATGAACGTGCCACCTTCCTTTGCATGCGCTTCGATGTACTGCTGGGATTAGAAGAGGGTGCTGACCGACTGATTCTTGTGAAAAAATAAATCATCTTCTTGCCAAGAACATCAGTAGATACCGATCGGAATTTTTGTTCATCATGATTTTTATGTGCAAATATGTTGAACTCCTTAATATCAATATCTTTTAGTTACTTAAAACAACGCGCCATAATGCAAGACTGGATCCCGGAAAATCGGTCGGAGTTCACCTGGAATTGCCATCATCTTGTACAAGACAGCCATGTCCTGGTACTCCGCCACTTGTCTCTGGGAATTATCACTGATGACCAATGTCGGAGCTTCTTCCGGAACTGGGATGAACCTCTGCATCACACCGGCGCGTCCATCGTCCATGTCCTTGGCACCTAACATCATGCGGAGTTCACCAGCTAAATGGTTTACCCTAAAACTGATCTCCTCCAGTCGCTTGCCGCTGCAAGCAAACGGCAGGGGTTTGTTTGGCGACTCGACTGCGTAGACTTTGCTGATGCGGCGACAATTGGAATCCCACCTTTCGTAGAACTTCTGAGCCATCTTCAGCATCATCGTAGTGTAATGTGGCATTTCCTTGGCACGCTCGCGGTTCAGCCACGCTCCCAATCGCATCTCGACGTAATACTCCGAAACACTGTGTGAAACCTGGTTTTTCGCTGGGTCCGCTTCCGCGGCGGCCAGTTTCGACGAGATTAGAGGAGAGAGATGAAAGGTACTTCTAGGTTTATTGAGTATGGTCATCCTTTTTCGAGAGAAGTTAGTGGATCGAAGGTACCAACTTGCTGATGAACAAGGTGCATCCAGAAGATGTTGGACTCCAAGTAGGAACTACAAGAAGAACAAGCGAAAAACAGATCATGATAAAAGAACGATGTAGACCATAAAAATGGCACAATTGTGCTATCCGCATTTCCGAAACTGCCCTTGCCCACCAATTCCATGCTTCCTGGCGCGAACAACAGCTGTGGCGCTGGGTTGAACGTCATCCGCACGCGATGCAGATGTGCAATCTGAGGTGGAATGCCGTAAGTAGTCGACTCCGCTTCAAACGGCAGCAAAGAGCGTCGTTGCTTCTTCCGCTGAGCCCGCAAAGCTTTGCGCTTCGCTGCTCTGATCTTCTTCTGCTCTCGCCACAAGTCATGGATGTGCTTACTGGGATCGTCACTCGCGCCCGCCCCGTAGATCCCGTCGGCTCCTGCTGCCTCTGCTGCGTGTTTCTGCTTCGAGATCCGCATCATTTTCTGCACTCTCGGATCGGGTCGGAAGTTTGCGTGGTGAATCATATCGAGATTATACCCAGCTTTCTTTGCTGCTTCGAACTGGGCTGGATGAAGAGGCGCGTTAGGATCAGTGACCGTGACGCCGGGCAGCTGGCCACCAACTTGAACTTGTTGTGCTTGTCGTCGTTGTCTTGTCTGTTTTGACGTCCTCTTCATCATCTGTCGCTTCCTGGTCGTACCAACTCGTCGCTGTTGCTGGCCGACTTGGAGAAAGGCAGACGCTCGTTTACCTGCAGCCGCTCCTTTAGTACTAGGAGCTGGAGGCGTTGAGGGTTGATTGCTTGTTTCTTGTTTTGGTTGTTCTCCAGTAGCTGCACTCGGACTGTTTGCAACCGTACCATCAGCGCCAATAGCAGCGCTTGCATCTCCCGACCTTCCCTTCGAGTCTGGGTCTGGCTTCTGTTCCTGCTTCGCCGATGATGATGATGATGATGGTAAACCCTGTTCAACACCTGCTCCACCTCCGTAGTTAGCCGGCAAGTGTGTTACCTCTGGCTGTACGAGTTCTTCTCCATGGAGTGCCTCAGGGTCAGCTTTCGGTGGGTGTAGTAGATGAGCGCCCATACCACCAACTACCTCCAACCGTGGTTGCTGCATGTTCGCCTCTGGTCCTCGTAGAGCTGTATCCAGGTTCACTTTGTGTTTCCTCTCCTGGACACTCTCTGCGGCAACCTTGGCCGCGGTGCCAACGATTAGAAGAGAAGGCATTCGGAAACGGAATGAGATTTTTGAGGTCGTTGATTGTCGTTCTGAACGCAACAAACGAATGAAATCAAAATCTTGAATATACCCAAACCATAAGGTCATCACCCCCGTTTGCGCATTGCTTCGATCGCCCAAATTACCCAGCGCAAAATTAGCAGACAGTTGCTCCTTTGACAAACGATCGATTTGCTTGCGGATTTCCATGGCATCCTTTTTCTTCCGAGGATCATTCGGAAACCTCTCCAAAGCAGCAGCTTGTGCTTGCAACTCCGCAATACGTTCGTCGAATTGTTGATTTGCACGTTGGAATTGATTCATGTAGCCAGAATCATCTTCGTTTTGACCGCCACGCCGATATCCATCAGAACCACGAGGACCACCATCACTAGCTTAGACGAGGACCTTGAGTTTCTCTTCTATTTCAGAAATTCTATACGAATTCATTCATGAGAGTGTGCGTGTGTCAGTCTAGAACAAATAGGAATAGCCACGAATCTTCCTTTGCTGAGCGGTCAAAGATTGTCGTGATATCTTCTATATTGTATCACAATATAATCAGAAGATGCTTCTCTTTCTGTTTCTCCTCAAAAATAAATACTTGTTATGCAAATAAAAATACTTGTTGTAGTAGAGAACGCCTTAACCTCCAGTGGAACCACCTCTCTGATGCGAGCTCAGGAGTCTGTCGTATCCTCTTTCTGGGCCACGTCTTTGTCTTCGTCCCGAAACCTCTTCCCCGTCCAAATCCAAATCCAAATTTAATTCCTCCTCCTCATTCGTTTAGTTAGAGTACCACAAATGATTTATATATGTATATCATCTGTAAGTGTCATTATATCTTCTGCAAATGTAGTAAGTTACTATTGTATCTACTAGTTCTAGAAGTAGTTGCAGATAGTACTACTACCTTCCTAGGCCTACTGTAGATCATGTAGTTGAATTAAAAGAACCTAAGGCATGTTCTTGTTTACTTCATTTTTTGATTAGTCGTTATACAACTTGTACCAGCAAGACTGTGTCTTTGTAACAATCTTCAGACAAGTACTGCGACAATTCATTGATTGGATTCGGAGTGCGAATAAACTGAGATTGAAGATATTGATTAATCCACAACCAAGTAGCGATCATTAAGTATAAGTTTGTCTTTGTGACCACACAAAAATAACCCTTAACTATCCCCCGTCGTCGCCCTGATCCGGATCCGCCAGCTTCGTCGTCGTCCTCATCATCGGAAAGTTCAAGACCAACTTCCTGTAGTTCTCCCGTATTGGGATCGACATACAGATGCTCTCCCTTCTCGTCATTCTTCATCGAGTTCTCAGCCTCGATCTCACCTGCTTCGATGTACTGCTCCACCAAGTCCATTTGAGGACAGATTAGAGAAAGAATCTACTTAGTCGGAAATGAATGAAAATCAAGTTGTAAGAACTTCTAGATGGATGTAGAATCGTCCGTGGTCTCAAACTAGAGAATACTACACGACTTCTACAATTCATTGACTTCATAATTATAAGATCGATTCTCTGTGACGTAAATCTCTAACTATGCGAGGACTAGAAACACCAGCAGAATTTTAATCTTCTTATGACTTCATAAGATCAATTCCTTGTAAATTTCGCGTCCCACGTCGGTCAAAATGTAACACCCATGATGCATTGCGAAGGCATGTTCTGATGCGTCTTCGGTGTTTTGGTTGATCTCCAGCACGTTCACTCCCATCGCTTTGTATGTGTCCAGTTCTCCCCAAGTCTCTTTGATCCGATTTTGCTGTGCCTCCTCGTCGCTCTGACTGCTAGCAGATGCATGTAGTTGCTCTTGCTGTGAAAAGTAGTACTCGACATCCAAGAAAGAAGCCCGATCGGCTGCCTCTGCATCTTGTTCTGTTCCAGACGCGCCAGTCTTCGAATGTCGTCGCACACCTCTTCCTTTGCGCATTCCTGGACTGTCATAAGCAAAACTCGTTCTGCTGCGACCTGTAAGCACGTACGTCTTCAGCAATGAGTCATCCAACGTTTCGTAGAGCTTAACTTAGAAGTAGAAAACTAGCTACTACCCTCGAGTAGTGCTAGTAGCTAGGTGCTGGTTATTCTACTTTCTTTTATCAAACTCGATCTGTCATAGAGATAGATTTATTGAAGAACTTCCTGCTATTTGCTTCAGAAAATGAACATTGTTCATAATGATGATCCACATGTAGTTCAGAAAACGGAAACACTTCCACTTACTTCATCTACCCATAATTCTCACGTTTGACCAATTCTTGACGCAAAGCGCTGCTTCGTTCTACGCTCCTCTTGGTCATGCGATAGCGAAAGCGGTCCATGTGGTAGCGCAACCGCATCATCTCCCCGAAATCGAGGTAGTGCTCCCCGAACACCTTCAGGCGGATAGTCTGCCGCACTTCGTCCAAGGTGGTATCTACGTTAGAAGAAGTAGAACTAAGTAGATGGATCCGTCTTCAACAGCAGTACCTTTGGTCGTCCGCTGTTTATTCATCCCTATAATGAAAAACGGGGGAACCAAGTTAGTAAGATGCCTGAGTATTAACTAAACCTCTTCATCACTACAACTAGTTACTACACCAAATTTCTTTGAAACGCCAATTCTTCTGCAAGCGTTGACTCCCCTATTATTTCAGTCCCACCAGTAGGTAGTTAGCATTACCTGTACGGATCCTTGTGCTAGCCTTAACTACGATCCGATGTTCCTCGATCAAGCGTTCCTCCAGATCTTGGCGGAGATACATCTTGTTCTCCAACATGAGCAGTTTCTCCAGATGTGCGGCGGCGAAAAGCAAACCCACGTCGAAGGCCTCGAGAGCAGCGTGGGGAGAGAGAGGACCGGTTTTTTGGTCAACGATTAGAAGAAAATTGAGAGGAAGAACGAAGAGGAAGATATAAATATCATGAGCTACTTCAGGGAAGATCCGACAGTTATACGTAGAAGAACGAGATCTTCTACATCAAGTAAGTAGTCAACTAAGCCTCGTGGTCTTGGGAAGAAAAAGATGAACATGAATAGCAATAGTTCTTGTTTCATCATAACAAAAGATCTCCATTTCCGAGAAGTTGTCCCTGTGCCTCGCGTCGATGTTGTTCCTCCAGCACGCCTGCTAAGAAGTGACCAGCGCGCACGTATTCTAGAACAGTGCGGTAGCAGTTTGTTTTGATTGCGTCAGCAAAGATCAGCTTGTTTCCCCACAAACGGTCAAAGAAAATCCCGCTCACACCTGGAATCTTGTAAGGGCGTGCGCTTTCCTTGCCGTTGATCGTGAATTAGAAGCAGGGGTAGGGAAGCTTTAGCAACTACTTAGGGTTAGGGTAGGTTGTGAATCCTGCACATCGAACCCCCCGGCACCTGGCTCGACTCCGAGGATGATTTTTAGGTGACCTGGATAAAGTCGACGTCGTGCACCGAGGCGGGAGACCTGAGTAAAGTCGTGGCCATTAAAAAGGGCGAAGGCCACACGTTCTTCTAGTAGACGAAGGCCACACGTTCTTCTAGATTGAGCAGGAAGAGGAACAGCTGTATCCGCATCGTCCATATTTCATGAACATTGTAGTACATGTACATCCTGTTACTTGCAGTAGTTGCATCAAATAAACCCTTCACATAATTATCCAAATAGTCGAAAGATCCAGGTTCTCCACGAAAAGCGTGATCGCTGTCATCTTCACAGAGCTCACGAAGGAGCATGCGTTCCGACGATTCCGCGTCCTCAGGCAACACGACATTCTCAAAAAAAGAAGATGTTGAGCTTGAAGACCGGGAGCGGGACTTTTCATTTTCATGCTTTTTATGAAGGTGGACACTTTTCATGTTGTCTTCTCCAGCTGCGTGCTTTCCACTTTCTTCGTCGTCTTGGAGAAAACTAGTAGTCGCAGTAGTTGGCCGAGGCTCTGTAGCAGACGCCGTCGTATCTTTTTTCGGCGTGGCAGCGTCTGCAACCTCCTTTGCTGACGCGGTCGAACCCGTCGTAGTTTCTTTCGCTCCCTCCGTTCTTTCCTTGGACTTCAAAAATCGGCTCAACTGCAGTGCGGGGACCGCTTGATTCGACTCCATCTTCAGATCCTTCGCCACGTTTGAGCTGCCTGCCATACTATCAGCGCGCGCTCGGAGAGAGTGCTCTAGGATGTGTGCGCCAGAAGTGACGAGATCTAACTTGAGGTAGATCCGCTCTAGGAGTCGAGCTGCATCGAATACCCTGCGATCCCGGTCAATCTTAGCACAGCTAATCATCACAGACTCGGCGGCATTCACCTTTTAGTTGATGGAATTTTGATAGAAAAGGGGGTGGATGGAAATCAGGAAATTCAAATTAAATAGATGCGAGTAGTCTAAGTAGAATAAGAAAGTGAAGATGAGTCATGAAACTCATATTCTTGTTGATCCTATAATTGTTGAAGCAAGAAAGATGTGACAAAAATTCAGCTTCAGGTATTTCTTGAGATAAGCAAAACCAAACAGGAGTTCTAGCTGTACCACAATCGCTTCAGCCACGTTATTCAAAAACGTCTTCCCGCATTTCAACAGTTTGTAAGCTTCACTGCGCCAGTCCATAGCTTCGATATGATCAATTTCAGCTGCGTCATCGCTCTGACTGTTCACCAGTTCAACATAGATCGCTTCTTTCTTCAGGTCATCATCCGCTTCATCCTCGAAAATTGAGTACGCCATAGACACACTGTGATCCGGTTTGTGCACCACCTCCCATGTGGAAATCTTCCCCTTCTTGGCAGGTGTAGTACTTGTTTTGGAGCTCCCTTCATTGGCAGCAGCTCCAGCATCTTGATGTTTAGAGATAATACTCTTGTTCATCAGCGAGCGAAAACGAAAATATCGATCTTCTACTTCTAAGTGCTAGTGCTTGATGGTCCTCTTGTGGAAAATTCACCTCTTATAATAGATCGTGCGTCTATTGTTCGTCCTTTTAAACATTAAGCCAAGCCTTAACTTCTGGCGTCGTATCGCCAGCCAAGGAGAGCGGCACAGCACCACCAAGCCCGATGAAATCTAGAGTGCGCTTCGGCAACGTCTTGAAGTAAACGTCCGCAGCAGTCTGAGGTGCTCTGGTTGTAGCGGCAAAAGCTCCACTTCCTCCGGATGAAACTGCTGCACTTCCTGCTCCAAAACGACCTGCTGGTTGTCCGAGACGAGCACTCTGGCCGTGAAAGGGGTCATATGCACCACCAGGTAAGACTCCAGTAGCAGGTGTTCCGGTGGGGAAGTTGGTCAGTGGTACACCAGCGTTGTAGCCACCTCCCGTCGCTGCACCTGGCATTCCTGGAACAGTCGCAAAACCCTGAGACGTTGGCGAATACAGTGCTGCAACCTTGGTATCCATCCCGTTCGCATCCTGCAGTGCTGGTAGATAGTCTGCCCATGGCCAAACGACCGGTCCAAATTAGCGCTACCAGAAATAATCCATCCCCAGCAGCATCGCGGTCCCTGCTTTTTCATCTTTAAAAACGGGAACAAGATATTACTTTGGAAGATGGATTTCGATTTGATTTGTGAGTCATGTCTTAACCAAAGATCAGATCCTCCATGTCGTCCGCCTGACCCGCCAAGTCCACCCTCGTAGGCAAATGCGTGAATTTCTGGGACCCTGCGTCTGGTCGGCCTTCCATGGAATTATCAGAGTAACGGCCGTGATCCGGGTCCTCCACGCTCCAGAGATGGCCTGTCAAAGAACTATCGCCCCACGCGATCCATCCAGCTTCGGCTAGCTGTCGATGAAGATCCTCGTAGTCGGTCATTAGAGACAGAGGTTCTTGACCATTGACTCGATAGTCGCTGCTGGAGGGATACTTGTACTTCTACTTCTTGAGATAAGTAGATGGAAAAAGCTTATTGCTTACTTCTGAAAATTTACTCGTCACCAAGACCATAACATGTACACGAAAAACCGATTCCTCGGTAAACGCGCACGACGTCGGTTTGCTTCCGCCTGATCCTCAAAAGCGTTTTCCATCTCGGAGTTCAATTGCTTATGAGCTTTCTCGTCTTCGCTAGGTTCAACTTCATCGGCCAGAAACTCTGGCTGGTCCTTCAGTTGTTGTTCAGCCGTTGCATCGTCATCAACCGGCACTTCCGTCGTGCCGTCTCAACTTAGAGCTGGTGCTTGATCATGTTTTGTTCAGAAAAATCCCTTTTTTTTATCTGAAGACCACCATGTACATTTATTTTCGCATTCGCTCTACAAGAACTACATAAGTACATTCTCAACATTCCAAATGGACAAGAAAAAATTGTCGACACTGACACAGACACTGAAGTTTCCAAGTATTTTCATCTTAACGACCAGATGCGTCGCGAAGCGTGGCGAGAAATGGGATTCCATCGTTCTCGCCACGTCCCCATACTATCCTGCTGAAAAATGGCCAGATATTTCGAGTCGTTGTCCGCCTCCACCACATATTCATAGCGAGCTTGGGGACCGTTCACGGATATTAGAAATAGGAAGCCCGTAAGATGAAAGCTCATTCTTGACTACGACTAGAAAGCTTAATAAGTACTAAGAAGCTGCATTGGAGCCCATTGACTAGCTACTAGAAGCTTTAATATTGGTCTCTATGAGTGAGTGTGAGTTGTAGAAGAATCTTGCTGCCTATCATTTTCACTTTTAATATCTATGGTGGACAAAGTCATGCTGTTCCTGTTGCTGAGTTATTTAATTACTGTATCACTAGCGGACTTAAGAACATGCCTGCCGCTTTCTCGCTCTCCATGTCGATTTGTGCTGCTTGACGAGCCTTCGCTGATTTTCGAGCGCTGTTCAAGCTACCTTTCTTGTAGGTGTTCCAAGCGCTCTCCTCTGGAGGGGCGCCGTTGCCACCAAGCTGTGCAGGAAGCAAAGAGAAATACACGGTATTCACGTCATCCACTACTTTTTTCGCTCTCTCAGAAGCGGGATTCAGTTGTTGTGCTTGCGCGATGGAAGAATCTGCTAAGTCGGCATTTGGAGAAGCTGTTGAAGTACCACTTGCATCATCAGAAGAAGAGGATGAAGAAGTAGAAGTTCCAGTAAACAAGGACAGAAAGGATTTACTATTACTGGTGCCTGATGCATCATCTTTTGATGCCGACGAGGAGGGTGCACCATCGGTCTTACCAGCACTAGTACCACCAGAATTGTCCACCTCACCCTCTTTATTATTTTGTTTCTTTCTCGGTGAACTCCTTGTGGTAGGTGTTCCAAGGTTTCTGCAATCCTCGTAGTCGTCGTTAATACCTGTAGTACAGGGTCTCCGCATGTTTGAGTCCTTGACACTGAGAAACTCAATGTCTTTTGCGTAATCCGCGATGTACTCAGATTAGTGGCTACAACAAAATTATACATTCTTCAGAACATCTACGTCCTTGACTGACTCTTTTTATGCTGCTTGAAAAACAAAAAAGATTTTTAGGAATCATGTTACAAATTACTCGAAGTGGAATGTAAAAACAATGTGAAATAAACCCTTAATCAGAGGGCTTTTTTCTCCTCCTCACGGCGCCACTAGCCTCTCCTCCAGGCCTTACACCTTGCTTCGTCAATAAGGCCTTCATATGCGTACTCCCGACTTGCCGCAACGCGCAGAAAGCAACCACCGGACTCGAATAAGCCATATGTTAGAATAGAGCTCACGACCCTCATGATCCATCTTTCGCAGCATCCTCCTAGTCTCCCCTTTTGTTCGACCCCGAAAAGTAAGTCTCTTCAGGATGCCTCAGATGAAGATGAATAAGGGTAGGCCTTAAGAGTAGTCACTGGACAGATCAATGCGGCTGTAGGTCAGTCTCAGCATCTCCTTGCACTCGGCCAGCTGGTTTGTATCTCCGAAAAACACAAAGGAGCCCCAGGATTCCGGAAAAAGAAGACGATACTGGTAAAAATAATGCAGCACCATGCGGACGCGGGTACATTAGAGAGAGTGAGAGAGAGAAGGGGAGGATCGCGAGAAGAGTAGAAAGAGAATTCGTCATCAGGAACTTCGACTTCCTGATCTCGAATCATCAATCGGGTTATAAATTTGTTTACCTCACGCTCATTAAACGTACTTAAACATCAAAAACGTCTTCATGAAGTTGTTACTACAGGAGTCGTCGTCGCGCGTGCGAGTCTTGTATTAAAGAAACCATAAGCTGTCCCATCTTCCATGTGCGTTCCTTCTGGCTCCAGTGGTAAGAGCGAAATTCCACCTGGATCTCCAGCCTTCAGATTGCGGTATTTCTTCGCCTTCTTACCTCCTTCAATGTCCCCCACGCCGTCTTCGAACATAACCGAATAACCCATCTCCCCACGCAACTGCTTGTGCAGCGTGTGACGTCCAATTCGCAGCTGATGAAGAGGGCCTTCACCCGGTGACTTGATGTCAACGTCCGCTGTGCTGCTGATTAGAAGAAGTTGTAGTACAGAGAAGCTACAACACTGATGTCTATTTACGTAACTACAATCGGGTGCACTTCTTGCAGCAGGAGTTCTTGTAGCATAAAAATCCCACCTAACGACCCTATGTACTATTACTTAGTACTTAATTACAACTTCTAAAGTAGAAATTTAAAAACTCCAACAGCTATGATTACAACGACAAACTGAAACGACTACTATCAAAAGAGACTCTGATGTAGCAGCCTCTGTTTCTTTCGCGCCACCATAAGATGAGATGATATTTGCGCAGCAGCATTCCCTCTTCACCGGGACGACCCAAATGTCGGTTCCACGGATCGAAGAATTCGCGATTCGCACTCACAGCCGCAAGCTCGTATCGCCGTTTGCAGTGTTTTTCGTTCATACCGTAGCCGTGGTTTAGAGGTGAGAAAAACGTGTTAAATTCATTGCATTCTTCAAAACATCCCTGACCTTTTTGATTCACACTGTATAAAAACTAAGTCAAGGATGTTTGTTGAGGATGGAAGATCGAAATAATAGTATGTGGAAGCCCGTAAGTAGTAGATCTTCTCCAAAGTAGTTTTACTCTGTTTCAACACACGCTCTTTGTCCTGGACCAAACGGGTCATGGTTTCAACCAAAGCGCCAGTACCCGTATCAATTTCGTCGAAAATAGAAGCACGTAAATCCCCTTTCACCTGCAGGAGAAGGTCAAAGACGGTGTTGTTGTTGTTCTTGTTGTTGTTGTTGTTGTTGAAACAATGAGCAACCGATTCTAAGACTCTACAGTACGAAGACGATGATCATGATGCATTCAATTGCAATTTCTTGCTCAACAACAACTCTTTTACAAATACTCACCTTCGAATTCCACTGTGGCCACCATAGCTTTCCTTTGTTGATCCAGCTTGGTTCATTGGCGCTGACACCGGAACTAGCGTCCAGCCATCTACGGACTGTGTAGCTCATCTTCTGCAATTCCATCCGCTCTGGGCAGTCCATAAGTTCGACACTCGTGGTTACTGGCACTAGCACCTTCTCAGTCAAATAACCCAAGTTCAAGTCGTACAGACCACCCTGAAGGAGAGTGTAAGCACCTGCACCAGCAGCAGCGGTAGCGGCGCCGTAAGCAGCAACACTAGCGCTACTTTGTGCAAGTGTGAGCGGAAACGCAGTTATACCCATACCAACCGCAGCAGCACCCATAGTACCCAGACCGACAGCGCCAGCAGCGCCAATAATGGCGGCTTCAGTTGGTTGCCCCTGTAGTTTGGAAGTGACAGATAACTGGTACCGGAGGACGAGGAGGAGGTGGACGAGGTGCAGTAGTTGTCTTAGAAAAAATGACATGGAGATGGATGATCATCATAAATGGTTGAAACAACGAGAATCCTCTTTGTAATACTTCAGGCAAGAGATGATTATACAGGAGATACCTTTTCATCCACCATCCCGATATTCGTTGCAAAGTTCGTCAGTGCGTTCAACGGTGTCCTGGGTACAAGAACTTGATTTATATCGACGCTGTGACGGCTTAGAAGGAGTGACGAGTCAGCTGCCAACTGTTGTAGGCCTATCGCGACATCTTCAACGATGACGGTTGGATAATACGTCTTTCCGAAATTATGCGCATCCTCATCTTCTTCATCCTCTCCTTCGTGGGTCCCACCAGTTTCAGAGAACGTCGAAGCACGACCTTTGTTTTGTTGCTGCAGTTCGTCTGTCTCTACCCGTGTACTCGTCTCCTCTTCTTGTTGGAGGAAGAAGGTACTTCTGGCACCTCCAGTAGAAGGTGGAAACGGAGGTAAAGAAGAAGCCTCAGAGGAGGTAGTGGAAGTTTTCTTCTTGAATTTTTTAAACTTCGGTTCCTGAATATCCGAATCTGACTGGCCTGAAGCAGCTGACCCATGAGAATCTCCTCCACCAACAGCATAGTGCTGATGCTGTACCAGGTACGCCTCAGAAAACCGTATCGGTATCTGCTCCAATAGCATAACAGAGACCAGAGGAAGCAATCGCAGTGGGAGTGCGAGTGGCTTCCCCACGACACCCATCGTCCCCGTCTTTGACGGACGAGGTGATGGGTGTGCTGAAGTCAACCGCGTCATCTTGCTTCTCCTCGAGGAAGGTTAGGCCCACATGGGGCGAACAATATTCAAGATGAAGTCCAGCAAGTGTTTTTACTTGTAGTTACTCAAATGTTCATGAACAATCCACATAATGATAAGACAAAAATAGACAGACAAATAGGCTACATACAGCTTTTTGTCGTCGTGTAAAAATTTCCATTTGCGGGTTCAATGGGGTCTCAATCAATGGGAATATGCCAATTTGAAAACCGAAATGCAACACGGATGAGTTTGATTTCACGCGAACGATACCAACCGACACCATAACCGAGACGAGAAACGATGAACAAACGATGACGTTATGACGAGGATTGTAGCAACTAGCAAGTAGACCGACATCAGATCGAATAACTTACTCTCGTCCCGATTTGTCCTTACCTGCAGCTACTGAGTTTGACATTTGCAGTACAAGTTGCACCGACAAGTACTATCGAAACTGTTAACATAATGTGAACAACTTGAATCACCTGTGACATCAACGTCAAGCCTCTTTATTGCCTTAGCATGCTTTCATCTTGGTGCTCTAGCAGTGCCTGCGATTTTGCAGGTGGGGGCGTCACTCTCATCCTTATGGAGATTGCACAATAAATGTTTAAAAGACTACAGGTGGGGTCGTGTAGTAGTTGTTCTTGGTTTCCGTGTTGATTTGAGACAACATGACTCTGGAAAGAGATTAATCCAAAAACCCCATCATGCTCCCGCAGCCCGTTCCTTTCGTACAGTTTTGTCTGCCAGTACTTTTTTGCTTGCTGCCGCTTTTCTCTTTTCCCGTTTTGCGTCTCTCTTCTCCACAGCTTTTTTGCCCATAGCCGCTGTCTTGTCGTCTCTAATCTTCTTCCGCACTGCTGCATCGGAGAAGAAGTACGCTTTCTTGCCTTCCAACACTCGTTGTTTTTGTTCCTTGCTGAGTTGTTTCTTCGTTTCCGCAAACTCTTGCAACTCCTTTCGTCTTTTTTCGTCGTTCTGGAGTTTTTGTAAGGCTTTTGATTTCTCATCTAGTTGCGCTGCGAATCGGCGCTCTCCTTCGTGTTTCTTCTGCCTAGTGAGCTTGTTGACTTCGGCTCGAAGTTTGCCCATCTCAGCTTGTCGATGTTCTTCGAGAAAGCCATAGTTTCGACTGACGTGGTCGACATTGAGGCTGCCACACAAGTCGTTGAAACGAGGATCCATAGGGACTGGCTTTTTGCTTCTTGAGTTAGTAGAGCTCAAAACATTTCATTTCTTGCGTTGTACATTTCTCCCATTCCTCAGAGGACATGATAAGGAGAGATGGCCTGTAGAAATGAATTGTTTTGAGCCGTAATTGAGGAAGGTGCTGATCCTGATACCCCGGCTCCGGTAGAACCAGAGCTAGAAATTAGACTCTTGTGCGATCCAGGAAGTTTTTGCTGCCGCTTGTTTGAGGAAATGACTATAGGTGCACCTTTCTTGCGCTTCTTCTTTCCCTTGTCAGTGTCGTTTTCTTTTTCATTCTTGTCCACTTGGTCCTCACCGTCCTTGCCCTCTTCGTCGACTACAGGAGCATCAAGTTCATGCTCCACTGACTTCTTTTTTGTCGCTCCTTCTTCATCGTCGCCTACGTCCTTTTTCCTTCTTGCCACCAGAACGAGAAGAGAGTTGCCACCTCCGGGTCTGCCTTTTCTTGACCCTCGCCTCTCAGCGTCGCTCTCATCGGAGGAGCTGATCATATTTTCGAGGTCTTTATGGAAATAGAGTGGAGACAGCTGGAAGTAAGAATCTAAAGGTGAGTCACTATGGTCGCTGTTGTGGATCGGTAAGCGTGAGGAGAGAGAATGTGATGCGAAGGCGGAACCGGCTGGAAATTTGTCGTGCGAATGAACACTTCTTTCGAGAAACCGAAAAGGTGGAAGATCTAATATCATCCATTTCAGATGGTGCTTGATCTCCTTCAAGAACTTCTTGTTTTTGCGGATCAACATCACTGCATCAATGCGGATCTACCATAAAAATGCATCGAATTTTTTTGATCTCTTTCATGTTCATCTCTGTTGATCTTCTTGTTCTTCACACAATGCTCTTCACATAGTACACATGTCAATGACAAAATGACATCTTTATTTTTGATCACGATTTTCTTACCATTCTACTTGTTATTGTCTCCTGTTGACGATCTTTAGTACCATGAAGTCCTCGTGTTCTCGTAAGCAATTTTTGATAATGATATCGAAGATGTTGATTTTGAAAGAAATCGATTCGAAAAATATAGACGCTGTTGTTCGAGCTATTCTTCACCGCTCTTGAGATACTAGATGCTCAAATTGATTCGCTACATTAAAGATGAAGTGTGTTTTAGATGAAGACTCTTTATGAAAATAGCCTGCTGTTTAATCACAATCTCTTTATTCTAGTCTTTATTCCAAAATAGGAAAACCACGCTGTTATACATTTATAATCAGTACGAGGAATGATAATGCCGTCCCTTCAAGATCTTTTTCAGTGATGTATAATTATGGATTTAGTAGATGTCCTATTGCATCAACCGTGATACTTTGACAAAGTATTCATTTTTGAAAAATACAGAAGAAGTCATTTTGTGCCTTCGGAGCACCTTGCTACGTGTACATACATAGATGATCTTAGTCGATATTTTTTCGAGGGCGTCATTTTCCATTCACTTTTCTTAATAAGATTGCATAATCAATTAGGTTGAAGACCATAATACAAAGCAGAAATCATTGATGCATAGCACTACCTCCAAGTTTAAGATACAAATCAGAAAGAAAGAGAATCTACTTCTTGATGTTATCAAAGTGTATATATTAGTAAGCGAAAACGACACCGACATAAGAAGACAGAAAACAATTTTGTTTTTGATGTACTTAATTACTTAGTTGGAAAAAAAGTGTAGCTCTAGCTGTAGGCTTTTTACACTTACCCTACATCATATTGAAGCTTCCGATCCCCCATGCATCGCATGAAAAAAATAAAGTGTAGGCTTCTTACGATCCTACATCATATTGAAGCTTCCGATACTCCATTGTGATGCGCGTACCTCGTCTGCTGTCGCCCCGCCCCTAGCAACCGCAGCCGTAGCAATCAATGTCGGGTCTCGAGATGCTTGACTCGCTTCTGCTGCGGAACTTCTAGCTGCAGTCGTTGCAGCTCTTGCTGAAGTAGCAGTAGGAACTCCACTATTTCTAAACTGTCGGTCATCCTCGTCTTCCTGTAGTACGTCGTCTAATTCAAGCCCAGAACGGAGGAAAGAGGCCGAAATCCGATCGCCGTTTGGAGCATTGCCTGGGAGTGCGGCACTGGATCTGGCCAATTCGAGTTCTAGTTCTTGCTGGTCAGTCATTTGTATTCTACTTTCGCCACTAGTAGTTCCTCCATCGTTAGCAGGAGTCGAATCACCGTAAGCATATTTCGCAAATTCCTCATCCCCATCTTTGACACTTCTAGTGGAAGATGCGCGCTTCTCAGTAGCTGTCTGTCGGTTGCCATTGACTGAATCAGCGACGTTAAGGCCAGAGGACCGAGTGCGGGAAGCTGCGGCTCTCTGATTTCCTTTATGTTGCGTTTCTGAAGGCGCGCGAGCTGAAGGCGGCTTTGCGTGTTGCTGCTGCTCGGATGACTTCGTGAAGACTCCAGGAAAATAGCCTGCAAGATCGGAAGCCATGACACCTTGGTTAACCGAATACCGCATAGTTCCAGTCGTTTTCTCCACGATGCTCGTAATCTCATGCACTTTACGACTAGCAAAGCCCTGCCCCCTCGCCGTCACCAAACAACGCAATGGCTGAGCAACTTCTTGTCCGGTCAATGATGTCTGCTTCACAGGAGAAACGAGTCGAAAATCCAACTTCCTTACCAACGTACTGAGGCATACTTTCACCTGGCACAGCGTCATCACGTTTGGCAACAAACCACGACGCATGTCGTTTCTGTTCTTCGTCACGTCATCCTCTACCTCTTCGTGCAAAAGACCACCGTACGAAGTTTTAGATCCTCCGCGTCCGCCACGACTTCTTTCCAGAAGTGCATAGCTCCAACGATCGGGTGCAAACACATCCGCATCCAAGGTCCACATCCAATTTTGCCGATTTACAACGTCAGCTGCAAAGACGAAAACATTATGCGTCCCAGAGTACAAGAACGTACCATCGGGAAGCTCGTCATTGGTGTACATCGGACTGCGACCTTCACTGAAACCACCGTTGACGGGGTGGAGGCGCAGGGTCTGAAGTTAGTTTGGTCGTGAAGGATCATTTTTATTTCATGGTCGTGAAGATAGTGCTGATTGGAACGACGACTTCTTGGGGATCATTTTTCAGTCATCTGCCATGTTGGCGGTACTATCATTCAAAATCAAATTCAAACGTGGTGACATGAATAAAGTTGGTCGAGCATATCTAACTAGAAAATAAATTTATGACCAAACCTCTCCAGCCCACATAAAGATCCCCACTTAAGCACAGGAACACCAGCGGAAACTCTAAAAACGCAAAGCGTAAATATATTTTTCTTTAATGCTGACCCTTTTTACATAGGTCACCACACGCTTACATAGCTAAGCCAGTGACCTTACGAATGTTACTGAAAGCGACCCGATTAACTGCTTCAAGGCGAGCTAAATGTTGATAGCTCTGAAGACAATTTTGAAAATCTTCTAGAGAGGCAAAGGGATCTACTATTTAAGATCCTAAAGCAGACAGAAATCACTCAGAGCATCCTGAGAACAGGCACGCCAACTGCCATAGAAAAGTGATTGCTTGACAAACACTAATTTTGCCATGGAAAATTCGAAGCGTGACGGAGAAAAGGACAGGGGAGGGCGCAGCGGTCAGTTCTGCTCACGATCCGTAAAAGGATTAAAAGACTTAAACCCTCAATATTGCAGAGGGATAAGCTTGCTATCGTTCCTTACCCTAAAGATCACGATTATGAGGATGGTCTGAGTTCAGTACTTAAAGTGAAGAGCCAATAATTTTAATTAACTGAGCACTTATAATTTTATGAAGATGACGAAAAAATACACATCATGATCTCGTAGAAGGTAGCCCAAGTAAACAATACCTCCAAAATCACATGCTCCATGTAGGGGTAGCTCGTCGTCAACTTCTGCACCGTATTGACGCTCGCAGGATCCACGGCATCGACCTCCTTTCTCAGCTTGTTCAACACAAACGGATTGGTCAGCAATTCACTCATTGCCCAAGTAAGGATGTGCGAACTCGTGTGCCAGGATGTAACTGTTAAGCTCAGAACTTGCCGTTCTATATCCTTAGGCGACAGGAGATTTATTTCATGGGCCTTCTTTGATTTCCGATTGATGTCGTGCTGGTTTTGCAGAAGCTTCTTCGTCAGAAAATCCTTCACAACAAGGGTGTTAGATGAAAACAGTTCCTTTTTTGCAAACAGTTCCTTTGTCCGTGATTCAATAGTGCCGCTTACGTATTGTCGGAGCCTGTCGCAAACGCCAGAGAGGAGATGCTCTCTAGAGACGCGTCCGAATCGACTGCCCTTGGATTCTAGGTCTTCTAGATCCTGCACTAACGAGTGCGGATGAGACTCCGGAGACCACATGAGGGCAACATGATCGTGTCCCATGGCAACTTCGGCTGCTGTAGAAACCGCATATTTGTCGAACTGGAAACGCAAATTTTGAGCAACTGGCTTCAGAACTACAGTGCTGGAGGTGTAGGACGTTTGATCCAGTCCAGTCGCATTGCCTGCATGATTCATCAATTTTCCCTGTAGTTGGTAACCGCCGGTGGTATGCTTCAACTCCGGCTCCGTGCTATCTCCATGCAACCGGGCCTCGATTTCACTGACCTTGTTTCGAACTGAGCCTGATGGCGACGTCGCATCGAAATCCAAATCTCCAGTAACACGTCCTGCCATGTACGTATGATTGCCTTCAGCCGACGTCGTGCCAGTCTTCAATCCCATCACATGTTCTCCTTCTGGCCTATTGTGATGACTTTTGTTGACTCCATGATGACCTCGATGATGACCATGTTGTGCATGAAGATGGGCCTTGGGCTTCGCCAAGCGGTCAGACTTCCGCTCACGCGGAGCAAACAAATCTTTCGAAGACGAAGCTCCCGCATCTGAGTCATTGTCCCCGTAGAACAAAGTGACACGGGGTGAGGAGTACAACAAGGTTGAAGGGGAGGCGGGTGTAGTAGACGGTCGCGGCGTTTCTTGTCCTTGTCCACCTACTTCATCTACGTCTTTCATCTCCACAACTTCTTCTTCATCTTCATCGTCCGATTCACCGTCTTCCGTATAGAACAGAAAGGCTGTGGGAACAGAAGCTTGCGGACCTGGACTTCTTACACCTGCCAACGCTTTTGCTGTAGTCTTCTTCACTACACCGGAGCCAGACTTGATCTTACCAGGCCCAGCTACACGTCGGACTGGAATAGCAGAAGGCACAAGTGATGCACTCCTTCGTGAAGTAGATTCCTTGTAGAACATTTGAGGTGCTCCCATCTGAATACCTGCTGCTGCACTGGAGCTTCTGTTAGAAGCGTTTGAAGCGCGTCTCTTGGTACCTGATCCTGAGGACACCCCTCCAGCTCTCTGTGACTTCTCGTCAGAGGATCTTCGCATCGGCAATGCGCTGTCAGTCAGTCCCCGACTCGGCGGACGTGCGGATGCAGCTGAAGATCCAATAGACGTTGCTGCTGGCATTGATGCCTGTCCTGGTGCTCCTAGATCTTTTGAAAGGCGAGCGCTTACACGGACATTCGTTGTGCCGGAAGAGCTACTCATATTAGGTTGTTGACCACTTACGCGCACTTTCACTTGGGTGCGCTTGCGAACGTTGGTACTGCCAAGCTGTGCAGCTGGGGCAGCGGAACTACTTGCAGCACCAGTAGAGACTCGCGATTGCGTCAACAGGTCGATCATCTCTGCCGGCGTCGAGGGGGTAGGAGTCATCCCAATGGCTTCGTTCAGAAGTCGTTCCTCATTGGCATTCACAATATCGTTGGAATCGATTTCTTCACCCTCAGAAGAGAAAGTCTCCTCACTGAAACCCACTCCGCCGGCATGACCATGTTGACCCGTTCCAGGGAGTCTAAGCCCAACTGGGCGGTTCTGGCTTACAGTTGCACGAGCATCGACTTGGCGGTGTTTCTTTGGACCCAGAACAGGGGACTTCTTTTTCTTGATACCTCCTAATCCCATTTTCTTTCGGAGTTTCTGACGACGGTTCAAGTTATCGCCAGCACGCGGACTGCTAATGCGCGGTGACAATCGGGCTCCAGCCTGCCTCAACTTGTTGTAGTTGTTGTAGAGCTGTCCTCCTCGAGGAGACAGACGCATTTTTTTTTGCTTGCGTCCCAAAGTCCTGCCAGAAGCTGGCAGAGTACCTAGGGACATTCTCGCAAAGCCGCGAACGCCGTCCTTGAGGACCGTCTGCAGAGCTTTTTGGGAGACTCGAGAAGGGTCTGCCGGAAGGTGAAAATTGAAGCTTTCGTCTAAAGGCAATTTGGAGATTCTGGAGACGCGGTCGTCTGCATTATGGTTGAAGTTTTGGCGGAAGAGAGTGGGCACTGCGACACTGGGTCCATTCATGCGTTGGTCGAGTTCTTTCCGTGTCGCTCTACCGGCAACTGCAGGCGCAGTTCCAAGAGTTGTGGAAGCGCGGCCGATCAACGATGTGGTAGTCGGGGGGAATAAAGAGAACGGCTGTGCCGCAAATGTCGATGGAGAACCCGGAGCAGCGAAGATATCAACCTTATGCTCGTCACTTGTAGTTCTTTTTTCAGTTAATGGCTGCAGTTCCATGCTACGTGGTCCTCCTCCAGGCATATTAGCTGCTCCTCTAGGTTCGTGAAATCGCGTCATGGAGACTGCTGTAGATTCGTTTCCAGTCGGAATGTTGTCCATAGTCTGCGAGTAGCGTGGCTCTTTGCTGCCACCGATGTACTCAAAGAGCTTGCCAAAGGAGTTCTCGCTCATGCGCCCCATAATCGTCAACACGGTGACTGGAACCATCGACACGCGCTGCGTCGTGCGCTGTTCGGTGTTTTTTGCTAGCGAACTAGAGAGAGACGAAACATTACTCGAGGCAGATGATCTACGGTCTCGTTCAGAAACGGTGCTTTCACGAGCAGACCCACGGTTATTGGTCCTGCTGACATTGCCACCTCCTGCTGGCAAAGCTGCATCGGAATCGAAATAGGAATCGTGGAAAGCTGAAGACATACGATTTCGTCCATCGTTACCGCCATATCCCGTTGCGTAGGTGAAGACCGTGACTGGCATCGTTGCGACATCCATGATTATGGTCTTTGCGAAATGGAGGAAGGCGCGAACGCAGTTCCAAGTGAACATTAGGAAGTCCTCGATCGTTTCGAAGACAAACACGATTAGGCCACCAAGAGGCATACGTGCGCGGAAAGAGACTCTGCCTGGCCCCCACGGTCCTCCACGAAGTCCATCATTGTCAACGCCTCCCCAACTCAACGTGCTTCCGGACCGAGACTCCCAAGTGGGGAAAAAGTTGAAAGCAGACAAGAAGCGACTCTTTCTTTGTTGTTGAGGTGGAGAAGCAGGACGTGACGATCTTCGGCCCTGTTGCTGTAGTTGTTGTTGTTGAGGCGGTGGAGGGCTAGAAGTCGGCGGTGGTGGATGAGGCTCATAAATAGCAGGGCTCTCCCGTACAGAAGATTCTCTAGGTGGAGCAGCCTCGCTTTCTCTTGGCGCTTGCGTTGGGTTTCGTCGAGGTAAAAAGGCCGTTTCTCTGCTGTACTCGGGTTCGAATTGGCTGCCAAAGGTCTCCGGTTCGAATCCGTACGAATCATCACGAGAATCGTAGCTGTAGGCAGAGGATGCACGACGTTGCTCCTCCTGCTCCTGTTGGAGGGCCTCATCTTCTTGTAGTGATGTGACTACTTCTGCTGCAGCGCTGTTTTCATCGACGACTGCGAGAGCAGGTTGAGACAACTTCTTTTGTCCACCAGATACGGTTGCTCTGCTTTGCTTCTGTAGTTCCTCTTGTTGCATTTGCTGTACAGCATCCATTTGTTCGTCAGTGTCGGAATCTCTTCGGATCACCTGCGACGCTGAGGGTTCAGACTCTGCCCGATAACCACTAGAACGAGTCGATCCAAAACCGCGACGAGAAGACAATCGGCTATCGCGTCTCTGCAACCAAGGCAAAGTCTGTGGGTCTTCATCTGTGTCAACGCCTGCTGGCGCCGTTAGGATCGCAGAAAGACCGAGACCGCCTCGTGGAGCAACAGACTTTTTGTTCATAGTCGGTGTGGCTGTAGACGTTTGAGCAGCAGGTGTCTTTTGTTCGTAGTCCCATCCGTATTCTAAGAGCACTTCGACAAGTGTATTCGCCTGACGTTGGAAGATCTCCAGCATATTGCCTTCTTCGACACTCTTTGCGCTGTTCGCGAAGTCTGTCTCTGCAGCTGTCCTCAAGTTCTGCATTTGCGACATACGTCTAGAGGGTCTCACCAAAGGAATCTTACGGCCATCGACAGTAAACCCTGCTACTTCATCGAGACCATGCACATCTTCCTCCAACTGGAGAAGTTTATGCAACATGTATCCTGTAGATGACAGGCTGTGGACGTCAACAACTTCCCAATTTTCCTTGTTGTCCTTGCTCACGTGTTGAAAACTATCCGCATCCACGGACAAAACAACATGCGCCATAGGATAGGGCATAGGAATGTAAAGAGAACTCACTCGGTCGCCCGCCTCTTCTTCAGCAGCTGCAAACTCTTCTCGCAACACTTTTCGTGCCCGTTCACGTTGGTAAGCTGCGTTGGCGTTCTTTGCGTTTAGACTGTTGACGTTGTCATCGGAAGAGCTGTTCTTCTGGGCGTCGAGAATCGAAGCGAAGCGGAGATAATTGCGGATTTGTCTCACCGACTCAGGCAGAAACCATAAGTGACGGTCGACGCGGTGCACGTTTTCGGGATTACGACGTAGCCAGCGGAAGTAAACATCGTGCGCTGACAACAGAGCCAAAGCTGAGAACGGCACAGCGTAAGTTGACATCGTGTCAGTGGACGGCAACAGAGAAGACAACCAAGAAGAGTCACCTTTTGCGCCACCTCTACCATTTCGCAAAACTGTTGTAGTTCTTGTCGTGATTGAACTCGACACTGTCGTTGCAAAAGACATGCACAAGTCAATAAGCCCTTTCACTGGTTTGTAGATTGTGTAGTGGCACACAGCGCGGCCCACACCTGCCAGCTGGCCAAGCACGTACATGAACCCACGTACCAACAGTGGCTTTTGAGCCTCAGACTGTCCCGCAGTGGCAACAAATTTGGTCCATGCAGTTGCCTCCTGGTACGTGAAGGTCAGAACGTAGGTTATGGAGCCCGTGACAGTCTGGTACACGTAGGTAGCAGCACCAGGCACAGTGCGGACAGACGGTATTGCGAAATCAAGGTCGTCAGTGGGCGCTGCCAGTCCTTGCAAACGAGCTTGCAGCAACTCCTGGTTCTTGTTGGCCTCGATGCTGATCTGCTCGACCTTTGCTGTTGCTTTACTAGATGTAGATGTCACACCCACACCCAGAATTTCGTGACGCCCATCAACTGTCATGTTGGCAGTGGCAGATTGTGTATCCTGGAGTGGAGTTGTTGGCCTTGAGAAGGTTCTCACCAGTGCATTCCAGATCACTAGCGCTTGATCGCGAGTGAACGTCAGGCAGTAGGTTAGGCCGTCCACAATGATCTGTGATCCGCGAAGAAACATCCTTACGGGGAGCATCACGGCAAGCTCCCAGACACCTTTCACGCTGTTCCACACTAAGCGACCAGTTTGGACCAGCAAATCCCGCAAAACTTGAAGCATACGCTCGTATGCGTGGATCAGTCTGGTCGACATTCGCTCTAACTGATAGGTGCGAGTAGACGAGTCAACAGTGCCAAATAGACCAGGTGCGGCTACTCGCGAGGGTGTCGTGGTGTTGGTTGTCGTCGTGACTGTCATTGTCATAGAGGCGTCTCCTGTGCTGCTCGTGCTGGTCTTCACAGCGTCATCAACCGGGGAAGCTGTAGTTGCCACGAGAACCTTCGTGTCTGAGGACCCCACAAGCGTTACGCGGTGATCTTTACCGGCAGCGGCCATCATATCAGCCTCCAGGATCAAATCCGTGTCCTCCGCTTGAATCAGGCTTGCTTGAGCCAGCGTTAAGTTTTCCTCGCCTGGCAACAACGTCTTGATTTGCCTTACTCGTTTAGTGGTCGTCCCCTCAGATTCCGAGGACTCGCGGATACCGTTCATCAGAGAACCCAACACCCTTTCCATGTTTTCTCCCAAACCGTAGGCAAGAGTGGTAAACGCAGTCGCGGTCTGCTGCACAGTTGCGAAAACAACTTGACCAGTGGCCGTCACAAGCAAGTAGACTCCGTCGAAGGGCATTCTGATAAACGTGAACAAGGAATCAACACTACGGTGAGCGAAACGCATCAACGCGTCGAACAGGTCCAGTGCGTCTAGAGTGCCGTAGTAAGCTACATCGTTGGCGAATTCCCAAAGGTTTCGTGGCTGTTTAGAAAGCTTGCGCGAGCCATACAGCATTGCTCTGGAGAGCTCAGAGAGAGCGGCTTCATAGTGCTCATGCATCGCGTGACCGGTACTGGAGATCACATGTCCTGCCTCATCGACCAAGACTTGAACAGTGTCGCCTGTTCGGTTCACGATGCTGTGGACGCGCAGATCCATGCGCTTCAGGTCAACGATCTCAAAATTGGTCTTCGAGATGATGTCAGAGGTCGTCGCATTGGCGTCCTCCACGGCCTTCATCGTGCCTTCCAGTAAGATTTGCTGTCCTCCAGCCACGTCGTCTTGGATCTGCTTCACGCCTTGTGTCACCGAAGTTCCAGCTCCGTCGGCCACAGCCTTGAGCATTTTAGCCTTATCCGCGAACTCATACTGCAGAACACCTGCTGCGCGTTCGCTGCCGTTGACCACGTTGCCTAGAGCATCTTTCGCAACCACTTGCGACTGCCCCAACTTATCCGTAATCAAATGCCATCGATGAGTCAAATCTCCTTGAACACCATGCGCCACCGTCTCCGTATTGTACAAGATCTGGCCAGCACCGTCGGTGACGTAGTGCGCAACGGTTTTGCCCGTATCGACTAAGTGATGCCTGAAGCCCTCAGCTTGCGAGGCCAATTGTCCGGATCCTGAGGAGACCAACGTTGATACATCAGACAAACCTGCGGACACCCTGTCCAAGGCGTACTGTTCCGTAGCTTCTGCCAAATTGATCGTCTCGTGAACGTGGCCAACCACTTGCTGTGTGCCCTCGACAACTTTGCCGCCAGCGTCAACGAGAAAATGAACCATCTTTCCGCTGCGGTCCACCATGGCTCTGGATTCGTAGTCGGCTGCGCGAACTAATCGGTCAAAAGCACGAAGAATGTCCTCATCGGCGAAGAGTTTGACATCTAAGAGAAATTCCATCATCTCTCCAGCTGCTCCTGATGTTGAAGACCCTACCCTAGCGTACTTGCCTCTCAATCCACCTCCGTCGCTGATAAACACGTCACCGGTAGAAGTTAGAGGCCGCAAGTTCTCCAGTCCTTCTTCCAACCTTTCGCCGGCACGACGGAATAAGCTCGAAGAAGCCTGTAAGATTTCGCCGCCCTTGTTCACGACGTAGGTGAGACTGTCCTCACCTTCTGTCAACGTGACCACAAGATTGTCGTTGAACCGTCGCAAATGGTCAGGATTGGTGATCTCACCGACGACCCGCGAAGTGCCTTCGATTGCCTGACCAGAACCATCCGCCAAATAGTGGATGATCTTACTGCCATCCAACTTATGACGCAAACTAGGAATGCGCAAGTCAATTGGAGTTGTGCTGTCCCGTACTACTGCAGGTTTGACCAAAGTCGTGCCATCCGACGCCACACCGGTGAATTGCTCTTTCACTAGAGATTTCATGTAGCGCAGATCTAGAAAACCTTTGTGGAGACTGGACGGTCCGGGTCCCTGTGTCGCAATTTCTGGCTGTTGAGAAGTGGTGTGGAACTCTCGATGCTCGGCAGCCATCATCTCTCCCAGTTCGCTCAACACTTCTCGAGCTGCCTTACCTCCTCGATTCACCATGTCAAAATTCACATTTGGTAGTTCGGGCGCTTCCACGGAGAATTCCAGTTGTTTCGCGCCAACCTTTGCGACATAAGCCATATCAGCTGCTGCTTCAGCCAAAGTGGCCTTCGATACATCGACAACTGTCGGAGCTTGCTCGATCACGTGACCTGTTGCATCACGAATCCTTACTAGCTGGGCTGCGGAGGCTACAGCTGTACTGTTCGCTACGTCGCCTGCCTGAGAAACCATATCACGCACTTGTTTGCCTACTTCGTTTTGTCTGTGAAAGATGTTCTCGACGAATTCCAAATCGACATCGACCTCAAAACTTTTCGAGCCCATGCCCATGTTCAAACGCGGCATGTCAACGTTGCGCGGCATCAAAACAAGCCCATCTTCAGCGTTTTTCATGACTCCAAGAAATTGACTTTCCATGCCGTTAGCGATTTGGTACACTGTAAGACCAGAGCCATGGGATACTGCAGCACTAGAAGAGGCCAAACCGTCGCTAACGGTGTCTTCCAAAGCTGAAACTTTGCCGACAACTGCTTCAGCTAAGGTCTTGCTGGTCAAACGATCCTTCATGGTGTGAATTACCTCACCCGAAGCGGTAATGCGCTGGTACAAGTCGGCGCTACTGGGCAAGTTGTTGAACAGCTCCGGTGTGTGCAAGTCCAGCATGGTGGGTTTGGCCGTGACCACTTTGCCTGTGGCATCTCTCACGCGGATGCTAGGTTGAACCAAACTAGGATTCTTTCCCACAATGGAGGTTGTAGCAGTTTTGACAACAGGAACAACAGACATCGAGGTAGTTTCCGTCGACATCTCCACCTTTTTCCCGCCATCGATCTTCCAACCGGATCCGGTGAAGGTACCGCGAACGCGACCGAAGAAGTCACTGGCACTGTCGTAGAATCGCTCACGAATATCTGGCAGATCTTCTGGCCTTGTTGTCGAGATTCTTCTTCCTACTTGAGTGACGTATTCGCGCGCGTCCGCGAGGTCTTCCGACACTAACTGCTGAAATTGCATAACCCCAGACTTCGTCTCCACTGATGCAGACACGGAACCAGGCTTCCCGAGACTGTCGAATCGGAGTTTTTCCACTACCCCGCCCCCAGTAGACGAAGGATTTCGAATCGTGACAGCTGGCGACACTGGTACTGGTAAATGCAAAGATTTTTCTGCTGTCACTTGGGCAGCAGCAGGCATAGTTTGTTCGACAACACCAGCCATATGACGCGGTCGTGCAGCAAATCCCGGACTAGAAGGTGGTAGCGCGTTTTCGAGTTGCTCAATTATGTCATCTTTATGCACCACGCCCGAAACCATGCCACGCTGCTTCATAAAAGCCCAATAGTGAACTCTTTCCTCTTGATCCATCACCCAATGACCTATAGATCCAGGTGTTCCGTCGGCAGAAGGGACGAAAGTCGCCACGAAGTCGTCTGCTGGACTTGCTGCTGCAGCCGCGGATTCGCGTACTGGAGACTGGCTTTCATGGACGCTGCCTCGCTTCAAATAGTGCTTTTCGATCTTGCCAGCAATGTGCGGCAATTCCTTGTGGTAGTGCACCGTGTTCGACCCCTCCGCATGCCATTCAGCTGGAAAGTCGAAAGTTCTGTGCTCAGACTGGAAAAACTTGTCTCCATGTGTCACCAAATGGTGTACATTCTTTGCCACTGCTTCTGCGCGTTCGTGTTTATGATCCTGTAGAAAGGCTCCAGTCTGGCCAAAGATCTTCTCGAAGTCCGGGATCATATAGTTGTTCACCTTAGGCAAGCTTGGAAGACGTACCACGCCAGTTTTCGTGTTGACTTTGATGTCGATGTCGAACTTCAACTCACCCAAATAACGTCCAAAATGATCTACCACGTGTCCAGCACTGTCGTTGACATGACCGACCACGTAGCCAGCCTCATCCATCACGTGGCCTGCCTGATCGACGACGTGACCCACGAGTTCATCCAAGCTGTTGCGGACAGCAGTGTAGCCGTTTCCAAGGGGGCCTCCGACCGCGCGCCAGTCGAGGCCGTCAGGAACCTTCACCTTTATCGAAGGAGCTTGAGGGAGCGGAGGAAGATCGAATCCCTGAAGGAGAAGGTGGAACAAAAATGCTCGAAGATGACCTCTTGCTAGTGTTAGTGCTAGTGTTAGTGTAGTTACGACGACCGACGTTCTACTGTAGGATTGCGAATATACTAATAGGCTTTGTTGAAGCGGAGAGCAAAGTGCTTGAAATGAGCAATACGACCACACCTAGAGGATACTAATCAAATAGATACTTAACTTGTTGTTCATTCATTTTGGGCCATCAAGTTCAAGGATTCTGTACGTAGTAACAAAACTGTAGTACCTTGAGGCGTGGTATATCCACCTTCGGCAATTCCGGCATCTCAACTGTCGGCATATCCGGCATTTCGACTTTCGGCAGTTCTGGCATTTGAGGAAGCGTGATTTCACCATCAAAGAGTGTGGTTTCACCCAGTGTGACGTCGATGTCTAACTTTTTAGTTGCTTCAGCGGACAGAGTGCCAACCCAAGCTCCAGCTTTGTCGACCACGTGGCCCGCTTCGTCTTGCACTTGGCCTAAGTAGTTGCCCGCTTGATCCAGAACTTTACCCGAGCTGGCAACCACCGTTCCGATCCGACGGCCGAACCTGTCCAGCACTGTCAAATCTAACGCTCCGGCCAAACCACCAATGACATCGTGCCTCATGCGTCCTGCGCCGCTGTAAATGCGTCCGAGACACTCACCAGTCCTGTCGACAACTAGGCCAAACTCACCGACTACGTGTCCGATAATCTTGTTGCTGTCGTCCACGACTTGGCCGGTACCTTTGACGACCCGACCCACAACGCGTCCTAGGCTATCGCGAGCCACAAAGAGCAACTCGCCAGCCTCATGACCTGCATAAGCCAATGCTGCCGACAACTTTCCGTCCAGGTTCAAGGAGTCTACTTCTCGTGAGCCACGCATCAACAGTGCTCGAGAACTCGCGTACAGCTGCTTCTCAAATCCTGTCAGGTGTTGTCGCAACAACCAGGCAAGATATTGTGGGGACGCATAGTGCGCTGCTATCATCTCCATTTGCCTCTTCAAGGCCGTCGCCTGCGTCATCAGAACTCCAGCGGTAGCCGCTCCAGCCGCTTGGGTAAATTCGAAAGGCACCCGCAACCCCATTTGATCCATCGCGTAGTGCACACGGGCATTCACACGATACAAGAAAGCACGCAAAAGCTCAGTCTGATGTTCAGTACTTTGCAATCCCTCTAAGAAGTCTTCCCTCACACTGAAATCTCTGCGCAAACTCATGGTTCTGTCACGCACAGCAGGTGGGAGACCGATTCTGGCTCGATGCTGCATCAAAATGGGTGATGGGACAGCTTGTCGTCCATCGACAACTGCATTCTCCATTTGTTGTGGACTCGTTCCTGGAGCAAAAGGCGCTTCCATCAATCCATACCCCTCAGGCACACTGCGCAGAGACGTCACGTGCGTGTCTCTCGAAAGTGGAGGCGGGCTCCCTGGTGGAGACTCTGGTTGCTGGTCATCGTTTAAACGTACGTGTCGCATCCACGAGTGCTTACGATTCGCATGCATTAAACCTGCTGGTTCTTGGGCTGAACTTCCGGTAGATATCTCGTTCTCCATCCTATGATACGTCGTTGTAGAAGAAGCTTCGCCTTCTCCGGCAAGCTTGACATGGGCTGGTCCGTGGCCATAGCTCTCCAGGACTTGAGATTGCGAAAACGTCAATTTCATCGACGACACCTCCTGAGTTGCAGACGCGGCAGATAGCATCTCCTGCGAAGAGCAGGTCGTCACAGCTGAAGTCTTCAACAAGCTCGTCCCACTCAAAGCACCAACTGCTGACGTCATGTAAATATGACCCCCATCTGGACAACTGTACAAAAACCCCGGTCCATAAACGGATTCGATCGGAGGCGGTCCTCGTGTCTGGAACTGCAGTGTGCGACTTTCCCCGCCTTTGAGCAATACGAGAATATCCACTACTTCTTCTGCCTCACCAGCCGCTTCGGACAGCAGGCCAGCTGAGGAGAGCAAAGAATCCATGAATTGAGGCCACGGGAGACCCTGGAACTTGTTCGAAAGCTCATGACTAGCTGTAGTATTCGTCAGCTCCCGAGCAAAGGCCTGAATCCTCACGGATTCGACCGTTTCCTCGAAGTCCGGCTTCTCTAACCAAGACGACATCCTTTTCATTTATTTTGAAGATGTACTTTTCATAAACTGATGAATCCTTGAAGAAACTTAGATCTTCCTACGATACTGGTCCCAAGCCCAACAAAAGATCTACACATGCAAACGAAGATGACGACAATTTTTCAATGAGAAGGGCCGATCAACTAACCTTTTTCAATTATTCAAGATGATCCTTTTCACTTGGTAGGTTTCGGGATACGGATAGCAATAGGCATACGTCGAAAACTTCTATCTTTCAACAAATATTAGGCTTAGGTGACAAGGCCATGCAAAGAAAATGGGAAGGCAAGGAAGTAAACAGCGACGAATTTCAAAATCGAAATTTCGTAAAATATATGCAAAAGGAAGAAAAAACAACGAATCAAAGCAATTAGTTGTTGAAAACACGAAACAAATAACTAAGCCACCGGTGTTAAGGGCAGCTGTAAGTTATGCTCCTTGCTCTGTTTTTTGATATTTCTTATTGGGGAGATGGGATTATGTCAATGTTTTTTCATCAAAACAGAAGATGGAGAATAAGCCCTCACAATTTTCACAAACACAATTTGCAATGTTTGTGACGCTCATACAGAATGAAGCTTCTCAACAGACGAAACGACCATATCGCTCATGACCTTTCTTGACAATCATTGATCAGATTTCCTGCTTTTCCCTCAACAGAATCATGCTTTCCAGCTGCAACAACTCTCCAAGACAGAAGATGCGGTTTGTTATAGTTGAATCACGCTCTCAAGACTGACAGATATTCTCTGTTTATTCAGACAACACAGCAAACAACCGTTCCGGTTCAGCCAAGTCTGCAACGCTCTTCTTTCGGACCTAAAAATTACTCAAACAATATCATCTGCGAAAAAAGATGACCTTAACAAACCTATTACTACAACAGTCTGAATTTCCTCGATGAAGAGGTCTGCTTCATCTCTGAAGGAGTCAGTTTTTCATAACATCAGCTTCCAGTCGTGATTCTCTCTTCATTTTTTTCAAGAATAAATCGATGTCAGATGTATGAATGCTTGTTCAACAAGTTATTCATTGTTACAACGATCTCGATCAAGTCGACAACATCTTCATCAACCTACATCTTTTACACGCAATTTCATCCATCTATAATCCGGAGCTCCAACATGTAAGTATATCTAGTGGTATAGTCCTAGTGCCTAAGACACTGGGCTACGGATACTAATTAATCCAGGATGCTCTATTTCTTTGGAGGCATCCACCAAGCTCCGAATGTTGATTCGTCTTTTTTACAACCCTTTCGGTGATCACCGGGTCACTCAGACGAGTGCCATAAACTTCAATCAATCATGTGAAACAAAAACAATTTTTCTTCGAATACTTTTTAGCTACATTTTTCAGCTGTAAGTCCTTCATCCAATGAGGAGGTAGGTCATTCACGACCTCTACTAGGGCTTATCACTACCAATTTTCACTACTTACTTCTTCAGAGTGCTGTCGTATCTTTGACTTTTGTTGTTCGAGGATTAGAAGCATAATATCAACCTTTCTCGTAGTTTTCAATTCATTGTGTTTTCAGATCATGCTCAACAAGTAGACAAGCGTTCTATCTTCTAGTATTAACAAGCATTCATTTTGTTCATGCCGTGATTATATTCTGAAGGATTCATTCTTCTAGTAGTAAATCTACGAAATTCATCAATGGTACGGCTACGGCCAGTAGTTTCTTACAACAATTCATCTAGTTCCTATCATTGCCATTTCAAGATTTCTTCAAATTCACTCAATCGATCTGCGTCTGCAACGCCACGATGCAACATCCGCTGGTTGGTGCTGACGCCTTACTTATCTGCCCCATGACGAAAGTGGCGCTGGTTGAAGGTAACGAACGCAGCGCGTTCGTTCATATGGTTGCCTCTGGTTTTGTTAGCATGGAATTGGCGGTACATGTCCGCACGTTGCAACTCGTGAGCTTCCTTGGCACCAGCACGCTGGCGCACCTGTTGCTCCGCGAAGTTCAAGTCTTTCTCATCTTTATTAGAGGTCGTTGCAGCATTACAACATTCTTCCACCAGAAATCCTTGACTTCTACTTCCCCACTTGGAAAGCGGCCAAGGATGTTTGTGAAGAAGATGTATTGACATGATCTACTTCGCGATGTAACATTTATTTATTACATCAAGATTCTACTTCACTTATGAATATGGAAGCGCTCCTTAACTTTATGCCCATCATTATGGGAATTCTGCATCTCCTTTTCAATCTTCGAACGGAGAGCATTCTTGTTCTTCTCTCCTCCGGATTGGGGGACGCTTTCGGTAGAACCTTCGCGGAGGAAAATAAAATGGGCATCAAAAATACGATATTCGAAATCTTCGTGTCTGTGTTGACTGAAGCAAAAAGACTGTCGTGGTCACTAGAAAAATTATAAAATTTTCGACCACCGGACGAGACGCGTAAGTAGTTTCATCTACTAGGCGAATTTACAATTTGTTCATTTCAACATCCATAACCAGCACAACAAAGCAGTACCGGGAATAGCAGTGTCACTCTTGCGTCCGAGACGCACCTTGCGGCGACGGCCACCGACAAGACGTCCTTCCGAATGACGGGGTGGGGTATCCATTTTTCGAAAAAAAAAGATGATGATGAAGAAAGCGACTAGAGCTACGAGAGATGTGAATAAATCAAATTCAAAACTCAAAAACAAAAAGAATAATGAAATGACTAGACGGCGATCAACAAAGAGACCCGCAAACAATCTTCAGTTGTACTTATCTTGTCTAATTCGAACAACTCGCTAAGTGGATACAATGCAATACAATACAATTAATCTCGCACAAAGTTCAGTGCAGACTACCTTAAGTTTATTTTATTAGTGGGTTGGCTGTTTGTGGTGTGTTATTTATCGCGAGACCGGCGGACGGTACGACGATAAAAAATTCTGCTTTTCCTCCTGCATTTTTGTTGATTGGAAATTGGGAAATAAAGCCTCATGATCGTCTAAAGGATCGCTATTGTTATTCTCTCTTGCCCTGCGGCCACGCTGCGCTTCATCACTCGCTGCGATAAAAGCATCTCAGTGCTATCTGCCTATGCGCACTTCATGTTCATCTAGCTCTCAGAACTTCATCAGATTCACACTTTCACAACACGACTGTGATACAAGTGTCATGTACCGAAAAATCTACCGTCATCTTTCTCTCTTCGTCAACGATCGAACACAACTAGGAAACGAGCACTTCTAAATGCACTGTGCTGCTGTCTACAACTCGTGTACGTGGAAGATGTCAGCCTCGTCGAAGTTCATTCAATAGCACCGGCTAGAAGATGATCATGTTTGTTCATTAGACAGCACGACACTGTTTACAACTAGAAAATTGCATACCAATTTTCGATTGTTCATTGCACTTTGCACGGGAGAGCTGTACTCTCCTCGTTTAATAGATGACATCATCTTATATCAGGTTTTTGAGAATGAGATAGCAAGCGGGCACTTCATGTTGTACCTCTTGAACATTTCTTCACTGAAAGTTTTTTGCAATAGATTTCGGGGCTCATCATAGGTCGTCCCCGCCCGGAGCGAGGAGGCACCTGATCAAGAAACTCAAAGGGAAAGGGACCTTCTTCTAATTATGCAACGTCATCGTGGACTTACGTACATGATATACCTGGAATAGTCCTCCAGCTAAGGTGTACAAGTAGCCTGATATTAGTGATAAGAAACGTATAGCACGGACGAGTTGATAATTGTCAGATGATAAGTTCACTGTTCGCAGTGATGTCGTTGTTGAAGCCTCTACTGTTGAAGATCTCCTCAACAAGATTACGATTAGTCTTCTTACATGCGTCCTTTCATTCTCACTACAAAAAAAAGAAAGGTGATGAAAAGCGATCATCATCGTCTTCACGGGAACTTTGATATAAGGTTCATAAGTTGGTATACATTTTGTGCAATTATTCTGGCAATAATTTGATGATCCATGACCGATAAGCAGCGATATTGTAACATTTCTGGGATTACCCGTCTAAGTAGAGGATATCCTCTGGTGGAGGTGGGGTCAAGAATGGTAGATACGAGGAAATCACTAGTGACAGCTACCAACGACCACGAGTCGCAATCGCGTCTTCTCCTTGCTACTATTTTTCACGCATCAACTTCTTGCTTCCTTCAGATGTACCATTGAATTTTGGAAGCAGGTTGCTCGAGTTGTTTCCTCGGCATCCACAGGAACTTACACACCACGAGAGCAAACAGTGATGTCCGACTACCGAGTGGGACAACTCCTGGTATGGAACAAAGTGGAACGTTTAAAGCACCTCTGTAACGGCTTTGGTGAATCTGGGCATAAACTCCTTCTTGCGACTGACGTAGGGACCCAAAGTGCGCACTCTTTCCGGACACTCCTCGTCATTGACCACTCCTTGATACTGACCACTGATGTCAGCAGTGCCAGGGAAAGCCTTGTCGCAAATCTTGCGCTCAGTTTCACTGACAAGCACAACTACGGAGCCTTGAGCCAACACGTCCACGATGCACAGGAAGATGGCGGCTAGGTTCTTCTCCTTCTTCACGACTTCCAGCTCTTGGCAAATTTCTTCAGGAGGCGCTTTGTCAAACAACACGGAAGCTACTCCGGCAATCTCTAAGACTGCGATTCCGAATTTAATCTCTCGATCAGCATCTCCGCCAGCAGCTGTAGCAGTGAATTCCTTGCAGTCTGCGCGGCACATGCTTTTTGCACCCAAAGAAGCGATCCACTGAGTTTTGGCGGTGAACATTTCGTGTGCGTAAGCGGTCACTTCTTCCTCACTTCCGAAGCCAGCGCGAAGCGCCAACAAAGTCACTGCAAAGCGGTCTTCCTTGGTGGTCGTTGGGCCTCTTAAGTTCAAAGTGTCGGAGAGAATTGCAGACATCAGCAACTGCGCTAGACTCTTGGAGATTGGCTGTTGTGTGTGTGTAAGTTTGGGGATTGAATTGTGCGTGATGTTCTTGTTGTCTCTCTCATCAAAATAATTGCTGGCATTTGATTGTCCTCACTGCAAAAAAGTAGCCAGTATAATTTAGTATGCAATTATACCAGGTGCTGTCAAGAAAAAGGAAGTTATATAAGTACCAACTGCAGCTGCAAGAACAAGTGCGTGACAATCGTGGACATGCTGCCCCATGGCCTCAGGTCCATAAAAATCGGGCTGTCGGTTGCGAAAGAGCGCGCCAGAGCGTGGTGATCTATGACGCCTACGATGTTCTGCATCAACTTCTCTCGGATCTCCGGAACCATCTGCTTCGGCTCAGTATGGTCCACAAGGCAGATGTTGCGGCTTCCTCTGTCCTCAATTTTGGAGAATAGTTCTGGAGCAGCAAAGCCGCTGGCTTTCAGAGCGAAGAGGATTTCACCTGAGGTGGAAAGATAAAGATTTAGTGGATCTTGATGCGGTTGGGAGACGCAATTGCGAGCACGATATCATGATCATCACGATGATGCGGTGAGAGCCTAACTGATTCTACTTGTAGTGACTAGTTGTAAGAGAGAAAAATAATAATTGACAACCTTTTCAATCCCAAGAAATGTGTTTAATAAGTACCATTCAAGTTTTCTTCCGAGATAGCTGGCGTTCCGTTAAATAACGCAGCTGCGCCAATTGCCCCTGCGACTGAGTCTAAGTCTGTGTTCACGTGTCCGACGAAGATAGCTCCCTCACCCAGTCGAAAAGGATTGTACGCAGACGAGCCAGTGGAGGGTGTAGAAGTAGAGGGCGCACTAGATGAAGCAGATGAAGGTGACGGAGCATCTTGGCCCTGGACGTCAAGAGGAGGAACGACATCCCAATTTCTTAGGATGCTTTGGGAGCGGAGGTACGGACTCTGAGGAAAGCAGTCCTCACGAGTGGGGGAGTCGCTGTCGCAGCGACTACGCTTGCTCTCTCGCTCACGAGTCATTCTTTGATGGCTTTAGTAATAGTTGAAGGAAAAACGTATGTAAGTAATTTTTACGAATGAGAATCAAACCTTATTTTTTTAGTAAGCAGTTGTGGAACAATCAAACAACGAAACGATCTGCAAAAAATAGATCTTCTGGTACAACTCCAATTCTACGAAAATAATGCAATTATCCTTCCTCGAGAAGGAACTACAACGAAAACAAGTACTAAGTTTGCCTATAACTACCGTTTGTTCAAGAAGGTGGTTTTCGAGTAAAAAAGTTTCAAAAAATCATAAACTCCTCTTTTAATGATGTTATTCACTGAGATGAATCTTCCACTGGAAAATCATCGAGGAAATTCTTATATCATGCCGAACAATTCGTTTATCTATTTGGTAAAAAATTTGTTAGTGTTCGATCCTTGATGCATTGTCTGCGTAAAATTAGATCCTCTCCTTGATCATCTTCTGCTTCATGTTCATCTAGACTAGATACTATGAAGAGCTTGTACTTGTACTAGTTCTTGCAGTCCTCCGTGAGCGAACTTGTTGGTATCATGATCTGATTTCTCAAGGAGGATCTCAATCTGTGGTGATGAGGATCTTTTGCTGGATCACATGCATTGGCTATGTTGGGATCTCTTTTGGCCCCGTAAGAATTTCGTTTCGGATCATGTACTTTTTAGATCTAGATCATCATGGTACTAGCGATTATTTTTCTCCTCCAGTAGTAAGCTTTGGAGCGGAGAGAACAGTGCTAGAGGAGAGAGTAGATAGACACGTAGTGATAAGTAACATACCAAAGCAGCAGCGACGTGCTATGCCAGCAATTACTATCAGAAAGAAACAGATGGTAATAAATTGATACTGCTTTTTCTCTCTTGATTCTTCCGAGCAGCACAAGCTCCTCGACCCGTGAAGGTACATCACTGGTTGAACAAGACGAAGACCACAAAGACAAATAGTCTGTGTCTCACGGCTCGCCTCGCTGGTTCATGATCAACATTGCTTCTAGGGGAAAAATTCAAGTTCATTTTCAACTTTTCTAGCATTCATAATGCAGGGTCTTTTCATTTCTTCTGGCGTATAAAGTTTCATATCGTTGTCTCTTAATAGCCTTCCTTATTCCAATTCTTGATATGTTGATCCAACTAATTATGGTTTTGAAAACTCATTCTGACGAACAGAAAGGATTTATCATTGCATTTTTTGAGTATCTATGTAGCTGTGTGTTAGATTGTTCTTCCTTAAGTGCGCTTATAATTGAGGTCGTGCTTTATATTCTTGATTTTTTCGAAATACGGAGGTCCTCTAACCTGTAGAAACCAAATTTTCTACACTAGTTTTCGTCGCCAACTCCGATACAGTGGTCTCGAAAACATTTTGTTTCATCGGGGTTTTCACCTGAAGGCCTTGCTCCCGCCCTTGTTCTTCGCCATGCTTATGCTCGTCATTACTGCATCGATGGTGCCATGATCCTGTGATTATATGTTGGACACTTGTGCTGCTTGGAGTCAACTTGTGCTTGGAGTCAATCTTTACAGAAAAGCTGCAAGATTTAAGCAAACAATCTTTCCTCGAGGAGTATGTTCCAAATAAGAAACTTGAACTTCCTTTTAACGATCTCCATGGGAAATCTAATACTTTCTTAACCTTAGTTCTTTTGATCATTAAAAACAAGTACCCCATTTTTGGCTCCCCCACTCTCCGCGGCCAATTGTTGATCATTTTGATGGTCCTGTATCTTATCCAAGAACGCACGCAAACTCTTCTTGTCGTGCACCAAACGCGTAACATCGTCTTTGAATTTTTCAGCTTGCTTCCGACCCAAAGACTTCAATTTGGCTTTCTCGGTTTCGGCCATTGCGAGTTGGCGATCCTTGCTTTTCACCATGGATTCGAGCTCAGCGATGTGTTTCTCATAGTCTCTGGCTATCCGTTCCACCTTTACGATTTGCTTGGCATACTCGTCTCGCTCTCTGGTTGCCAATCCATGACGAGCTTGCTCCGCAAGCTCGTTGCGTTCCTGTATTATGGTATGGTCCTTGATGACGCGATACAAAAGGAAGAGTAAATGCACAAATTGAAATCGTAGTAATCAAGAGTAGTGCTATTCCAGCAAAATAATGTTGTTCTTCATGACGTTGACGACGTGAAGACGAGCTTAGTTGAAGTCCTTGATCTATTTATTATCATGATTAAGAACTAGTAGAACTTACTACAATCTCATTGGCCTTAGAATTCAAGAAACTATTTTACTCAAAAGAAAGAAACTGATTGCATCTGTGCAGAGTAGAACTTACTACAAGAATTCCAAAAAATTCCAAAGTTCTCATCTTGTTACATTAGTAGTCTTCGCCAACAGCGCCCTCATCGAGTTAAATGTGTCCTGGTTCTGGTCCGCATCTGCTCGCAGCTTCGTAACTTCTTCTTGCATTTCAATCATCTTCAAAGCGTTCTTTTCTGATTCAGCCTTTAGAATCGCATTCTGGCGAATCAATGCTTCCAAATCCTCTAAAAAGCTTCGAGGAATGACCGCCGGCTCTTGCTTTATCCGGGATCCGAGTTGACGGGAAACGGTCTGATGTAATTTGATGAGACGGAGGGGTGGGTCCGAGTTGACGGGAAACGGTCTGATGACAATTTGATGAGACGAAGGGGTGGGGCCGAGTTGACGGGAAACGGTCTGATGTAATTTGATGAGACGGAGGGGTGGGTCCGAGTTGACGGGAAACGGTCTGATGTAATTTGATGAGACGGAGGGGTGGGTCCGAGTTGACGGGAAACGGTCTGATGTAATTTGATGAGACGGAGGGGTGGGTCCGAGTTGACGGGAAACGGTCTGATGTAATTTGATGAGACGAAGGGGTGGAGGATAGGGCGGCTCCGATAATGCTGAAAACCGTAGGCGTAGGTACAACTTCTAGTAAACTACGTACATCTTCCACCACTATGTTGGTGGGTGAACAATGGAGATGCCCTGTGCAAAAAATGTATTCTGTGGACGATTATTTCTAAATACCTCTATTTCCGACAGCATTGATTCTAGCTCATTGGCTTTCTTCCCTGCAAACCCTGTTGGCTGCTGCTGTCGCTGCCACGGTCTCTGACCGCCTCCCAACATGATGTTCGTGTTGTTGTTGGTTCCAGCAGCCTCTTTTGATGTTCCTGTTCCACCTCTAGCAGCGGGAGAAAAGTTTCCAAATGGAGGAGCGCTAGTACTCTGTCCAGGGGGTCCAGACGTCGTAAGAAGACGGTTTTGTCGGTGGCTGTCCTTGATGTTCTCCGTCTTTCCCAAAATATCGTCTAAAAGGCTCAATGCTTTCAATTCCGGACTCTGGAAAGTTGACCTCAACAAGTCTTCACCTCTGATTTCCGCTACAGGACGTGATCCTCCGGCAGCATCTAGATTATTTCTATTTGCCAATGCCAATGAAGATCCAGAAGTAGAACCTCCTCCAGCTGCACCAGCACCAGCACGAAGTGTTGCGACACTTTCTCTGGTTGCAGCGTCGTCTTCGATCAGTTGCTTTTTCCAACGCACTAACTCGTGAAAATGCTGATTCAGAACGCTCTGCAAATTATCCTCGTTCTTCATGCTTTCATTCTATGATCCCTTCATTCGAGGATGAGGAATCAATCACAGGAACGAAGTTTGCAACCCGTAGAGCTAGGGCTTAATTTACTTAGTGAGTTACTTAAGAAAGGAGAAAGTAATCGAGTTGCACTAGACAGGAGAAGAGACAAAAGAAGGATTTACTTTAATCAAGAAGGAAAGTTGGGACAAAGGAAGGATTTACTTTAATCAAGAAGGGCAGTTGGCGGGAACCATTCTTTTATCAAAAAGTACACGACTGCAGAGGGACATGTGGAAGAACGACAAGTTTTTCATTTGTCAGGAACATGCAGGCGCTCGTTCTTCTCAAACAGACGCTATCATTCTCTTTCACAGAATCCAAATTTGGACTCTCCAGATCTAGGAGTCTGGTCCAGGAGCTTCTAACGCTGAACCAGATGGAATAGCTCTAGGAATCACACGTTTCTCGTTCTCGCGCTCACAAAACTGATAACCTGCCCTCAGAACAAGACAGACACAGTGTTCGTAATCATCCATTCATGTATTCGGAATTTTGATTTTCGCTCTCCTGGTGACCGATATCTCTTCGTCATCTCTTACTCGGACAGATTTCATGTAGCTCCTAGGAGATATCGTAGAACACGACGGATTCTCGATTGAATCGCGGAAAAATGTGCCTGCAAATGTTTTTGATCGACAAACGTTGATTGAACAAAAAGCTAAGTACTACAGCAGCGTGCTTTGATCGAACGAAAATGAGAAGAGAACGAGCAGCAAGAGCAACTCAGGATGAACAAGAAAGCATGAAAGTGTGAAATAAATAAGAACTTCCTTTTGCACCACAGAACGGTTCAAATGATGCCGCCATGCACCCCTCTGGTGCGTAGCTAAGTCGGCAGATGGTCACTCGCAGATCCTGCAGACTTCGTTTTTCTGAGTATCCTAGAATGCCTAAGAAACTCGTCGCTGCCTAATCTCCGAACAGCGTCTCTAAATTCTCGCGTTCGTTTCCTGTCTTCTAGACTGAAATTTCTGACGATCTTTGTCGACGTTTTCGTGTGGAGTGCACTGCGAAGAGCAAAATACTCTGCTGAATAACGCTCGTCTAGATCCCCTTCTGTGCCTTTTCCACTACCACTGCTCTCGGCACTCATGATCCCGGCGACGCTTGAAGAGGAGTTTCCATTTATATTCGCCTTTGGCGCAGCTATCAAATTATACTGGTCACGGCGCCATCCACTCGATACTCCGGAGCGCTTTTTGTGCATCAAGATTTGCAGAATCCCATTGTACGCGCTCATACTCTCATCTTGGCACAGGTTATGAGCCTTGCGCATCGTATGCCGCACATCAACTTTTTTCGGTGGGTACTGAAACCAACAACGCACTCGTCTTGCCTCTGCCATATAGTTGTTCTTAGACAGAGGTAATGCAAATGTTGTCTCAACATTCTTCTTAGTTATCTTTCAAACACAACGAGAAGAAGAACAACTGGGAAAAATAGGAATTCACGTCGCTTCCTGCTAACTCGAGTTGAGTATATCCTCTCGTGATGCTGATGTTGACACATTCACTCATCTAAGTACAGCGTTCCTTCATAATTTCCACTATTGTATCCGGTATCGATCGCAAGTATTGCAATAGTCCATCCGTATTCGCAGCTGGCCATTTGATCACGAACTTAGAGACATCTAGGAAGTCCTCAAAAGGAAGCTCCCACAGGTCACTCAGCAAAACGGGTACGCAATTCGTAAAGAGCGACTCGAAAAAGCGTAAGGACCAAGCGCTTTTACCACGAGGGATAAATTAGAATGAAGATGATTCTCACAAGTACTAGCACGCTGAGAAGGTCAAGCGGTGTTCGAAGTACTTATATCAGCATGTCGCTACGGACAGTTCTGGTGTCGTCAGTAGCAGCATGCTGATAGGATTCGAACCAACTGACCTGCTAGGCGATGGGACGCACGTTGAGAAGGTCAGGCGATTCGAAGTCTACCAGCTTATTCTGATCTTCGCTACTGATAGTTCTACACAAAAATACAAAAGTCAACGATTCTCTTCATAAATGAAGCAAAACTTGGAGTTGCCCATTGCTTCATGCATTTTCTTCAACTCAGTGAACTCGCTAATGAAAAGATCCGGCTCATCTTTCCAGCCTAGTATTGTCTTACGAATCATAGGACCGCCGACCCAAGGGTGAGGACCTGTACGTTGTAAAAGATGCATGGATTGAAGAAGATGTACGTGTTTGTCGATATCCGAATAATGAGGTAGTTGACCACGACGAAAAAGTACAAAAACGAAGCAGAAACAAAAGGGTGAAGACGGGCAAGATTGAGACGGCATAGGGACTAAGTAAAGTCTAAAGTACCTCGCACAACATCTGCTCGACCGAAAAAGCAGCCTAGAAATTCACGCTCCTCCAGTGGCTTCGAGAACTCCTGGAGGGAGATGAGTTCTGTCATGTCTAAGTTTCCGGGAATGACGATGTCGTTCCTTAGAAGGGGAAGAGACTACTTTCTCATAGGTGGCTTCTAAGCCATGTCCTACTACTACTACTTCTACCACCTGTTTTTAAGCTTCTAACTCTGAAATGATGCATGTGCCGCGACTTCTGTTTACATTGAAGTCAAAGACTAGACTGACTTTCAAACCCTCGCTCAGATTGAAGATAGGTCATAACTTAAACGGCTGAAAGGGCGGTTCTATGATCCACGCGAGGTCGTTGAACAACTCCGTCTCTGGTGTCAAGACTATCGCTTCAGGTATATGATCACGCCAAGACTCAAAGACACTCGTGCTCATCCCGCTTCCAAACGTGAAAATATGGTCGCGTCCTCGACTCCTCTCAAAAAATGGTAACGCCTTCACCAAATCGATGTAAATCTGGTCGATCTCCTCCATCTTCCAAATATTGCCGGTGGTTAGAAGAGAGGAAGATACGGCGATGGCGATGAAAAGACATTAATTCTTGGTGTGATGCAAATGTATGATGAAGAAGTACACTGTAGTTCTCAACGCATAACTCCAGCATGCAAATCGCGTATCCAGGCACGTAAAAAAAGTCGGCCTCGTACGGGTCTAGTGTCCTAAAAGATGCAGCTCTGAAGAAGTCATGGATTTGCGTCTCCATACCCCACTGTCCCCGACCACAAAACATGGCTCCGATCGTCAACTTCTTGAGCAGCGGCACTTCTTCCTCATCGTACACGTAGATGCGCAACCTGTTATGCCACATTGCATCTTGCAGAGCCACATCGCGCTGTGCAATGGTTCGGTAAGTGTCTAACAAATCCTGGCGAAGCCTATGGATTAGACGAGCCAAGAACTTCTCATCCTTGTAGTCGTGTCGTAGAAGAATGGGAGGTTGATTGAATCATGTTTCTAGAAAGTACAAGGAAGTAGGACAAGACGACCACTGTTGTAGACGAAACAACTCCTCTTGGAACTATGAAAAATGCTGTGACAAGTTTCTCATAAGCGAATGTCGGAATCCATAATGGGCCACAGGCTGTTATCCAGTAGTCCCGGATGCACAGCGGAAAGGTAGTTTTCCAATACAGAATACTGCGGGATGTTAGAAGTTGTAATACTAGTGATGATCTCAACATACCACGTTCTTCTCTAGTAGGTAGTGGACATCAATGAAAAACCTGTTCTACCACCAAGAACATAAATATCGCTTGCGTCAACCCGCGCCAGTCGGTATCTTCTTCTACACGACCTTGATCTCGTACGGAGTCTAGGGTCCACCGACAAGTGAAGAAGAACAGTGTGCTCAATCCCATGACACATTTTTGTGCTTCTGCATCTAGAACGTGTGATATGCGGAATTGGTGGAACAATGGGATAACGAGCTCGATTTAGAGGTAGGTTTTTGGTGCTCGCTTACCCCGCTTGTTATGCCTTTCTCATCCTAAGGGAGAGAGGCATAAAAAACGGTAAGAAAAGCACCTTTAACCTACCCTTAATCGATGTTATGTGGATAGGGAATCCTTGACATTTCTTCCCGAAACGCAACCCAGTCGACCGTATCAGTTGGCGCGTTGTCGCAATTGGGCGACCCCCAAAGCTGCCTTTTCTCCTCTGCGCTAGGATCCAAGATCGCATCTACAACCAGGAATGATTAAAGCTCAGCATTCATTGGTCACTGACTCTGAACGGAAGAGACCCCCGTCAAAGCTCTCCCCTTTCCCTTCGTTTTCCCCTGTTCTCTCAAGGGGTCGCCTCTTCGATCTCAGTGACCAACCCCAATGACCATTGAAAGTTGAGCCTTAAAATGAGGACCGCAGGAGCAAGGACAACAGCAAGAGCCAAGAGGAAGACATCAAAGCTGACGAAAATAAGGGACGACCTCCGCGCCGCAGCCGCGGTCTCCCGGGTCCTCGTGATCGTTTCTCCATGATGTTGTAGTTTGCTCTACTCCTTCTGCCTTGCTCTTCTTGATGATGAGCTCCTCTTGTGAGCTCTGAAGGTACATTAATGTACCAATCTTGTTAAGAAGTAGAGAGTTAAGAAGTAGAGGCTCCCCCCGTTATAGGAAGAGGAGAAGCAACGGCAACAAGCTTGTTAAGCACACTTGATGTTGCTCACCACGACATCTCTGCTAAGGAGCAGTGTGCAGCGTATTGCTCCACTCACTTTGCAGCCTGTCAGGTGGAGAAGAAGATCATGCCACGTTTTGTTCAAGAGGACGAGTCTTGTTTCTCAAGAAGATCATGCCACGTTTTGTTCAAGAGGACGAGTCTTGTTTCTCCTTCATGATGCAGCTGTTATAGCAAGAAAGAAGAAATTGCAAAGAGAAAGACCAGAAACGCGCTCCCTACTCTCTCACTCTCTCTGTTTCATTCATCTGTGCGACCTTTACAACAAATACGGTCGAGGTCGAAGCGTTCAACGCATAGAAAAACACGCGATTGCTTCTCCTGGTCAGATATAGAGTAGACGGGCGGAAGCTGTCCTGAAGATGATCGAGGACGGGTTTTCTTTATTTTTTCGCAGGCTGATGTATTCGCACAGAAGAGTTTAGGCCTACTTTCAAAGTGGAGTCATGATTGTATGTAATCATGTTGTTGAAGGGTGCCCCACATCGTAGCTTACGGAGACATAATGAACGCCTCCTTTCCAAAAGTTATCATCTTCTCCTCCATCACGATCTCCCGCTATCCCTTGATCATGATCCCCAAGATTCATATCACGACGCTCTTGACCACGGGTTCTGCTTGACGCTTTCCCCACCTTGAATGGCGAAGGACAATGATATCCCCCGCTTGGAGGTGGTCCTACTTCCCGTGCACTCCTGTTTGATACAAGAACTTGGACCTCTAGTGCACCTTCAGAGGTAACTGGTGAACTCCTGCTTGACGAATGGCGACCCGTACTTCGACTGCTGTCGTAGTTCTTGTTCTCGTAGTGTGCTTCTTGTTGGTTCTCTCCTTCATGTTCCGCGGAAGACGAAGACGAAGAGGATGATGAGAAAGATCGCATAGAAGTACCTAGTTGCTCGTACCCCTGCTGTGGAGGTCTCCCTAAAATCGAAGATGTTGTACTCGTGGCCGCGACATTTTTGGTTCCACGAATGCCACGGAAAAACCCTCCCAAGATAGAAGAAGAGGACCCGAATGTTGCTCCAAGAACTCCCGGTCCTGAAGTATTCCTCGTTGTAGAGGTAAGCAACACCGCGGTGATAAAAAGCAGGAGACAGAGAAGAACCGTGAAGGAAAGAGAGAACCACATCAACGACGACTCGATCGCGTCCTCTGCGGCAAGCTCAGCACAAACTGCGAGTGAGACATGCGACGCGAAAAACTTCGGATGCGAAATGAGCGAAAACGCTACACCTTCCGCATCTGGTGTTCTCTCTGTATCCAGCACGAACAACGATGTTCCCCCTCCAGCTTGACTATTTCCAGTAACTTCCAGAAGTAACACCTCTGCAGGAGACAAAGTAGAAGACGAAGTTGTGAGTGCAACAGGCTTATCTACCAAGGTCCACCCAGCATCCCACAAGAGAGGCTCGAGAAAGCCTGTCAGCGGTTCATCTGGTAGGTAGTAGACTCTGCTAGAAGAAGAGGTGGATCTAGTTCTTGCAGCCAGTTCTTCGTGCTGATGTGGTACTTCGAGTCCTGGCTCTGGAACACTCGGAACACTTCTCGACGGCAATAAATGTAAATCACAGTCCGGGTCCGCGGCACGAGATGAAGATAGTTTCGTCCCAGTATGAAGATAAGACTCCGCATCCATCTGGATTTGAGTCCAAACTCTCTGTGTCGCTAGCAGGTTGTTTGACGCGAATTGGAAACCTCGGAGATGGTGTAAAGACGTAGGATCTTCCCTCAGACCGCGTGGTTGCAAATCGAATCCCTGTTCTAGCCAGAGCTCATGAATTTCTGGATGTTGCTGCAAGAATGCTGCGTAAACAAAAAGTGTTATCCTCTTGTTCTTGTTGTTTTTCATGGTCGAGGGATGGTACGCACGGGGTGCGAGGTTGCTATGCGAAGCGTGCGTCATGCTGTGCTGCGACGCATTCCCTTTCATGTTGCGCATATTCAGCTGTTCTGTTCTAGTCCTACCACCAACAACTGCGTCTTCTGGTCGAGCAAAGAGCTGTGCAAGCGTCCCAGTCACTCTTAAGGCTTGAGTAGCGTCCATACCTATCCTTACTAGAAGCGAAATCTCTTTGGTCGAAGAAGATATCCCTCCTGTGGGCGAGCTAGAACTTGCACCACTTCTAGTACTGGAAGGTGAACTCCCACGAGGACCTCCTCGGCATCCATGCAAAATACGTGGCCCGAATAACTTGCCACTAACGTCAGTTATTCTGGAACTTCTAGCAGCACTTCTGCTTCCTGTAGAGAATGAAGACGTTACAGCTCCTGCAGTATCAATATTTTCACTATCCTCGAACGAGTCTGCGTGCCAGGCGAGAACAGGCACTGGAACTTTGCTCAAGATCTTCTCTTTTTGAACTTAGATGAAGATGATGCAGGAGCACATCAAGAGGTTAGAGTAGGTGGATCTTGTCATGATTATGGTAAAAAAGATACTAATGCGCCCATTTTTATAGAGAAGGTGTGTTCTATGTCAGGACGAAACTGCCTTAATCACTGTCTGATAAGTAGAAGCTCCTAGATTCGTCCACAGCTTGCTGACTCCCTCGTCTATCACTTGTTCCGTCAGGGTTGATGTTCTTGCCGCTATTTTGATCGACAAGCTCGCCATTCTGTTGCAATAATTGCGCGTCACCCTTATTTCCTTTCTTCCGGCTCACCTTCTTTTGTGATGAGGACCTGGTGGCGGCGTCGAACTTTATCCGGTCCCGCATATACACATTAGAAATTTTCCCTAGAGGACCGAAAAGACTGCTCGCCTCACTCGATGTGGAGGTCGTTTTCGAAGACCCATGATCGATCAGTGTCTGTAATATCCGAAAACTCAAAGAGTTATCGTCTTTGCCCCCACAGGGAGACGCACCTGCGGAAGTAGACGCAGAAGTCGTGCCGTGCGTCCTGCTCTCACCATCTTCCCCTTGGAGGCCTCGCCCACGCCCGACACCTCCATCTAACTCCCGGGCACCGTTGGACGAGGCGACAGAAGCTGTGCTGCTGGTACAGAGGTTCTTACTCTTTCCGAGCAGAAGCAAAATCTCAGAGAACCCTTTTTTGTCGATCAGGTCACTCTTGATCCACTGAGCCAGCGATTCCCCTGGACGTCCTGGTTGGATTCCACCTACTTGCTCTGCTTCTGCACCTCGCTCCACACAATATGCCAGAGTTTTTGACACAGTCCCACCGCCACTTCCTCGCGTTCTGTGTGTGCTAGAAGAAAGGGACGTTGAAGACGTTGATGGCATCAAAGTTAAAGAGGAGGACTTTGAACTCGACGAAGTTGTAGATTCTGCCTCTGTCGAGGATGAAGAGATCATCCCGACATCTTTTCCACCAGTTTGAATAGGGAATGTTGGCCTAGGTCGTGCCCGATCCTCGTAGTCTACTCTGCAAACTAGTTCATAGATGTCGAAATCACTGGACGACGGATGGAGCTCAGTAAAAAGACGTGCTGGATCACGTCCAAAGTCTGCGGTGCTCGCCTTTCCCGAAACTATCACCAAAGCCCTCGTTTTCTTCTTGTTGGTTCCACTGGAGAGGTTCTTGACATCATCCGTACACGAAGATGAAGAAGAAGTTAAAGTTGTTACAGATGAAGAAGAGGATGCTCCTCCATCACTTGTTCTACAAACCAGATTCTCCTCAAGGTGAATCCAATACAATGTCGTGACAACCACGCCGAAAGATGCCACCGCCACACTGGCTATCAGGCATCGTAATAGCAATGACGAAGAGGAGGTTGCTGTCGTGAAAAGAGTCCTTGCGAATGCGATGCTTGTTCTGGAAGAGGAAGATGAGGAAGCATTCCGTTGTCTTGATCGTGCCATCGTGGATTTGAATGTTTAGATCAACTACAAGGCCAAGGTCTACAATGAAACCGATTTCATAGCATGAGATGAACCTATGATATCTACTTCTCTTCATGTTCCTTCTGATCGCTCCTTCAAATAAGCTTTCGCGCGAACAGCAATGGTCAGCGTCCTCCGCGTCGAGCGGCTCTGGCATCGTCATGGCATACTGCTTGCCGTTGTTCCCTCTCGACGAGAAAGACTCAGTAGGTACCCAAACACACAAAAAGCAAAAAAGGTCTTCATCAACTACCACTGTCACAACTACGTGAGAAGCAAACAAGCAGAAGGGTGATGAAGAGAGTCTGGGAGGCGTTCATTCTACTGCCGCAAATGACGCTCGGCATGGACCGAGCGGGTGTGACCGCGTGACAAATTCATCTTTAGTACACATTATTACTGCTACTAGTTTAGTACTGGTGACGGCAAGTGTAATTCGCTCAGCGAGTTAAACCAAATACTGACTACAACCGCAAGACAACGACGTGACGAATTGAACAAAACTACAAAACGAAGGGTGATATAATCTTCCATAGGACAGTCGTCCCACTTACTACTTTCTACTGCTTGCTCCGAATGTTTTGTTCACTACCAACTACATGCCTTCCTTGATCTCGATGTACTTCACGAGGACCTCCTTGTACTAATACGTGAAAAAAGTGCCAAAAATCATGTATAAAACAAAAACGATACTACTGGAGTGCGACGTTATTCCGGGTCCACTAGATTTCCATTTCCTCTCCGCCAGTCGCCCACAGGGCTTCGAGCTCGGACCGGGAAAAGACGTCGTCTGCACTATACTCAACTTCTTCGTCTCCACCAGCACCAAGAATTTTCCCCACATAGATAACCGACTTGTAGTTCCCTCTACTCCTATTGACCTCGCGTATGTCCACAATGACAGAGTACTTCGGAATCAACTCCATCCCGCTACCCTCAAGCAAAACAGCATGCTTAGTTAGGTGTGCCGTGAGATTGTGGATTCCTCTTGCTTCGAAAGACCCTCCGTTATGTTGAAGCTCCTGCTGATGCGTGGTATAGGTTTCGTAGTCACGTAGAGCACGTTTGAGGAGTCGCTGTCCGTCTTGAGATTAGAAGTGAAGAGTTTTTTCGACATCGACGCCGACTGCATTTTTATCAATTATGAACATCTACATCAAAAAATCAGAAATCTAGATTTACTTTCCACGAAAACCTATCTTCTAGTTAGCAATACAAGACTCGAACAAATTCCAAAGCCATACTCGATCAACCCTGCACCACGTCGACTGCCTCCATCAGGTGTGTCTAGCGTTTTCTTGTCTGCCAGCAATAACGCTCCGCTCGCTTCATCCACCTGATACCCGACTCGGAGTTCGGCCAGAGGCAAGTGCCTAAAAGCACTGTCCGTCGCCTCTTGGAGGAACTTGTCGTTCGAGATAATACATATCTCTCTTGCAGGTTTCTTTCGCAGATGGCTCGAAGCCAGCTCAAGCAAAGCCTTGTCAATGTCTGTGTCAAGGATTAGAAGATTATACTAGGGGAGGTAGGGGTCTTCACTTGCATGATTCATAGATTCGTAAAGTTCTGAACTAGCTCGTTCGCACTTCTTTGAATTAAAAAGCCTTGTAGCAAAGAGAACAGTGCTGGAAGAAGTGAAGGTCTTCTAACATTAGAGTACCTGATCCGCATGCAGCCATCATGTACTATCAGAAAAAACAGGGGGGAGGGGCAGAGAGTAGCAGAACAAAGTAGAAAAAACACAGAGACACAAGGAGGCCAGGGATAGCTTCTTTGAATTAAAAATTATACCTGTAATTGATGAGATACGAAAATTCACTGACACTGATGAACACGACTACCTTGATATTAGAGATTGGTTTTGGTATCGCCAAGCCATAACAAAGATAGCATCTTCCATCTGCTTTTTATTTGTTCACTGCAAGCGTGTATAATGCGGTTATACTTCTTCGGGACGATGGGCATGGTGATGATAACGTTCGGGTCTGGGTTCTTTTGACGTATAGCAAAATCCAACATGTCCAGAAATTCTGGTGAGAGGTCCTTTGCGCCAGCTGACGAGGACGGCGTCGGAGTCCGCGGACTGAGGTCATTGTTGACTCCAAAATGCAATACATTGCCACTGTCGACTAAAAAAACCTTGACTTCACGCCATTCGGCTCTTGTCAGGGGTCGAAGTTGAGCACCTGTCATCGGCGAGACGACATCACCCAACACACGAGCACGTTCTCGCCCGCCATCCATAGTAGGATCGTGGACGTTTTCGAAAGCAGTAGGTTGTACTCTGCTCGACTCGTGCCGCTGCTGAATTTCCTGAACCAGCAGCACGGCGTTAGTACGTTCCTTCTCCATTTCAAGCTTCAAATTTTTCGATGCTCTTTGATTTTGACTGGGATTATGATCGAACTCCTGTTGTGTAGATTCGTGCAGATTGAGTACACGCGCGGCATAGGCCATCTGCTCAGCTTCGTTGATCGAGTACACTGCTCCATTAGCGTTGATAAAAGATAGCCACTCTGTCCACATGCGTATCCTGCTCTTTGCGGCGGCACCTTGCAAGTTTTCACCTCGTAGAAGTTTTGAAGACCCAAAGACGATCAATCCACGTCGTGCCCGTGTCAACGCCACGTTGACACGACGTGAATCACGAAGAAAACCCGCATCTTCAGTCCGCGTGAGCGCGAGCAGCACTACCTCACGCTCATTACCCTGGAATCCATCGACTGTATCGATGTAGAAGAGTGGAGACGCTGACGAAGAAGTATTCGCATCATCACTTTTCATCATGTAACTTTCGAATAGCTGGCGCCTGAGCTTTTTCTGTTTTCTCAGTAGCAGCGCATTACTTGATGAAGCCGAGGTTTCTCCACTCGTTGAAGCGCTCTGAGCCACCAGGCTATTTCCTTTTCCTTTTCGAGCAGCTGCTTCGGAGACTTGCACGAAGCCTTGACCTAGACATTCTTCGTTGTCTTCGTCCTCAGAGGAGCTGCTGTTTCCTGCATCATCCTCAGTGGTGGTAAACTCCAAGGGCTTGCGTCTGTGACCGGTGATCTTCTTTTTCTTTCTAGGCGCAGGCGCAGACTCTTGTTTGTTTCTTAGTGGCCTCCGTGCCACATCTGAGAGCTGCTGACTCAACAACAAAGTAGCTGCTTCTTGTTCTTGCTCCTGCTTTATCAGAAGTTGTTCTTCGTCTAGCTCTTCTTGTCGTCGTAGAAGACCCTCAAAAAAGACTTCTCGAGGATATTCAGCCACACTTTTCAACAACTCTTTCTTCTGGTCAACATAGGGAGTTGCAATGCCGATATCACCAGGTCGTAAGTCCGGAAAATTAGCCGCTAAGAGTCCAAACGCTACTTCGATCACCAGACGCGCCTCTGATGGATTCCGCGTGCTAGTGGAGGCAAACGCTTTTTCTTCGCGCCAATCTCTATCTTCGAAGTCTTGATCCATATCGACGAAGGCCACACGAAAGCTGTCTCCGAAGTTTCCGTCGTCTTCTGCTAAATTCACGTATTCAGGCCATTGCCAACCGTGCACTAAGGGGCGAGCGATTTTTTCACTCATGATGATTCCCGGTGCAGCTCCTGTTCTAGTGCTGCTTTTCTTGTCTGACGATGCTTTTGGAAGAATTGCATTCTCGACACTGCCTTTGTAGATCTGCACATTCGGAAAAGCCGCTATACTGGAGTGCATCCTGCGCTGTCCGCTCAGTTGGATCACGGGTGCGCCGCTCTGTACACACTTCTCAAACAGACTCTGGCCAGCGCCTAAAACGTCACGAGCACGTTCACTCTTTACGACGGCTGCGAGCTGTTTTTCGTCTCCGATCTGAACGACTCGGCTCGGGCCGTGTTGGAGCGGGACTAAAGCACTTCCTTCGCGACACTGCGCAGCCTCGTCGATAAGCACACTTGCGAATCTGGGAACGCCATGCTTTTGCCGGAGTATGAAATGGGGTGGATGTTGATAGAGGAACAACAGGAGTCATGCAGCTCATGCAACATCTTCGAAGAACCCTTCAACTTCATCTTCTCCTTTATTTTAGTCCTCTAGTTGATGTAAACACTATAAGTCAGAAAACCACTAGTTCGACAAAAAATGGTAGACCCATCCTGAATCTGAAATGATAATGAAACGAAGTAGCCGTAAAAAATTGTCTTGACAGCTTGACAAGCGCTTCGCTCCCGGCTCCATCATTTGTCGCAATAACGGGCAGACGCGGATGATTGTGCAGGACGTGAGTCATCCATTTTCTGTGGTTTTCCCGCACACGTCGCGTCACCGTTTGCATATCGGTTCGAAAGGGTTTTTGTGAAGCACTCTGATGAAGATGTTGCCCCTTTGTGCTTGATGCTGATCCTTGTAGGTTCTCATCTCTACGTCTGCTCGAAGAACTTGTAGAGTTAGATTCTCCTCGCTTTTGTTCCCTCTCCATCTCTTCACGGTTTTGTCGTTCCTCAATCTTCGCTGCTTTTGCCTCCAAGCGCTCAGCCTTGTCAACGTCTCCTGTACGTAAGGCTGAAGAGAGCTCTTCTTCAAGCGACGCCCACTCTTCAAATCTTTTCAGAAAACGTAAACCTGCCATATCGTCCCGCTTTTTATGGAAGACTCGCCATCCAGAAATCCTCTCTTTTGTTGCTTTCTTAGCTTCAGAACTTCCGTGTCTCAAGGAGGGCAGATCACGTGCCCACAAGTAGTTCATCAAAATGTTGGCTGCACCATTAGATTGTGCGACTGCTAAAATCCCAGACGTCTTTGCGCTCTTCGCAAGTGTCGTGCGCTGAACACTCGTACCATGGCCTCCGTCGCTCTGGTACCAGTTATAGACAATCTCCGCAGCCGCAAATGTTTTCCCAGTTCCTGGAGGTCCGCGAACGAAAGTGATCGCACCCGTCGGCGCGTTCTGACTGCGGACAATAGCATCTGTCTGTGTCTTCGACAGTTGCGTGTCTGCAGACACGCCATTAGTTGCCCGCTCCACGTCAGCAGGTCTGAACTCCTTCCGGGTTGGGTAGTGCGAATCCAAAACGGTGCCAGTGCTTGCAAAGCCAGAAGATGTGCCAGTGCCGGGCGACAGCCGGTAGATGTTAGGCCGTGCAACGGTATCAAGCGTCCGCGGATCTTCGTAAATGATTTGACGACGTAAAACGGGGTTGAAACCTTCCACTGACAGACACAACTGCGACAGTGCTTCTGACTGGCGTCGTTCCGAAACTTCGACCAAATCCCATACTGGCCGCACTTCTACGCAATCCCCAGGGTGAAAATTTAAGAACCCTTCTTCTTGCTGCTGCAAAAATGCGCAGATTCCAGCTGGTCGATACTCTAATTCCACTTGTCTGAGAGAAGCTGTGCTAAGCGAAAACTTCTGGCCACCTCTTCCAACGTTACCTCGGAGAGATAGCTGTAATGCAGCCATGGTGTCATCCAAGTCAGAGGGTCCAACAATCTCAAAAAAACCATCATCGACTGATGTGCGTGCACTTCTGCATCGTTTTCCGCTACTAGTACTTCTAGTGTTATTTTCGTTTTCATCAACATCCTCTTCCCTTGCCAGCAGTCGCATGTTTTGAAACTCTTCCCTGCGTCGTCTAGAAGCATTCCCTGATTCACCGGAAGCCGGTGTAAGATGGACAAGTGTGCCCAAAGCTCGAGGCTCTCGCTTCTTTTTCGAGGAGAAGATTGCGCCTGCCTGACCTTGCTCTCCTCCACCAGTTTGATGTGGTTCACTTAACAGTGTAAAGAGGTCCAACTGCACCGCAATCCTTCCCACCGCATTGCGTCCGTCCCCATGCAGTACTTTCGCTTCATCTTGAACCGGTATCGCTGCTTTGCTCTCCGCCAAAGATGCGCTCTTTTCTAGAAGCGCTATTTCGTGTAGCCGAGAAAAGTATTCAGCTCCACCAATAGCCATTGTGACGCAACTGCGAGGATCTTTCAGCAAGTTGCGCAACGGCCCGTCAACCAAATCTGCAACTACACTTTCGCCGGATACACTGTATGCGACGACCTCCAGCATGTCCCGGTACTGCTCTACAGTCAGAAACTTACTCGGCAGTCTCCTCGCTTCCTCCGGATCTCGCATTTTCTCGACGATAAAGCGGGTTGCTTCGGTCGGTGACTCAAACGGCTTCGCTGGTCGGTACAAGTCCATGGCAACGGTTGCTACGTTCCACAATGCGTCTATTACGTGGGACCACTTACCGCTTCTACAAGCTAGGGCAAACGCAGGAAGCAAGATGCGGTCCCAAAAGATGGCAGGGAGCAAATGCAGACTTCTCTCTAGGCGATCGCCGAATGCCGTACTAGAACCAGCAGTAGAAGCAACATCCAAAGCCGATAAGCGGAGGTCGGCGAAGTCGCGGCATAGACCAAGCTCCTCTAAAATGTAAGCCCGCGCTACATCCTGCGCGTCTCTCTTCGTAGGCCCATACCCGATCGCATGCGCTTCTGAGCCAAACATCAAGTTACTGCCAGGTTGCACTCGCGGGTCTTTACTTGTCCACTTCACCACACACTTCCACCAAGTTTCTCCAGCTGCGTTATACTGGAATTGCACCAGAGATGACGCATTATCAAAGGCAGCAGACGCTTTATCGAACGCGCCGGACTTGTTGTTGTTCAAACCAGGTGCTGATGTTGTGACAGATACAACCGACTTAGAGGATATTGCTGGAGGTGGGAGCACTGGTGAGGTAGCCGGCGTTGACATTTGCTGATCTCTGGAGTTGCTCCTTGGCTTGTTGTGCGACGAAGGTGTAGTTTCGCCTGCGCTGATTATAGGGTCCACTAAGCGGGCGATCCAGTGAGCCAGCCGTTCACGAATGTAGAGCCCCCAGCTCCCACTCGCGAGAATGTCCAGGCAGAAGGCTTCATATTTTTCAGCCTCTTTGTGCAACACCACGGGGCGCGTGGAAACCGTTGGACAAGCCCGCTGATCGTTAGTTGTTCTACTTCTACCAGCTGGTGTACCCCTGTTACCCATACTCGAACCAGATGCACCCACGCCCACCACGTTCCCACCCAAAGGTCCACGTGGCGGTGCTTGAAAAAGTGCTCTCGTGTGTTCGTAGCGAGGTCCTCTTGCGTGTCCTCCAGTGCCAGGAGTTCCATCCTTCGAACTTTTTGGAGAACCGACAGGCATAGCCGGAAAATGCAGGTCACTCTGTGAAGGAGGCACAGGTCTATGAAATCTATCACCACCGGCTCGAGCAGCATAGTTGTTTGAAGAATGCTCTAGACCTAGACGTCGTGCTGCTGCCTGTTCTCGCGCATCCTTCTGCATATAATGGCCTAGAGCAGCGCGTTCTGCGTAGGTCAACTCCGCATCTTCATAACCACCACCTGATGGAGGGAGAGGACGCGAGGACGAGGCGGATTTCGATGTGCCCACCTGAATTTTTCGATTTCTACTACTAGAAGACGCACTTCCAGATGAGGAGGAGTCAGTTGATTTTCTTCCGGAACTAGCAGCGGTGGTATTAGAAGCTGCATACAATCTCCTCTCTTCTGCTTCAAGGCTAGCTGCGAGCGCATAGTCGTCCTCCTCTTGTCTTCGTGCGAGGTCCTCTTGCTCCTGTAAGTGACGAACATAGTCGTTCTCCCTTGAGACAAAAGTTTGCGTCGGAATGTGATCGCCTACAGCATAACCCCTATGCCGGTACGCTGCAGGAGTAGGGCTTCCGGCGGTTGTGCTTTGTTCATCTAGTTGTCCGCTCGGCGGCGGTGGGAGTAGCTCCCCCTGAGGAGAATACGCAGGAGCGTCGTCGAAAGGAGGAAAAAACACTGAAACCCCACTAGGATCTTCATCTTCCTTGCTTATGTCACGGAGCAAAGTCGTAATTCGGTCTAACTCACGACTGGTAATGGCGGGATTAGGCAGCCCACTGGCGTGAAGTCGTGCTGATACCTGTGTATGAGAAACACTTTGTTCGCTCCAAATATAACAAAAGTTGGATAAAATCAGAAAATTTGAAAATTCAAATTTGAAATTTGGAAAAAACGAAAAATTTCGTTTTTATCGCTTTATAATTAAATTCATTTCCTGACGATCGAATTGGCGAGAGATTTAAAATTAGAGACCATAATCTTTCAAAGTCTAACATATGGAAGAATTGAGTTTAGCAGATCATTGAAAAATAGAGGATTTGAGGACCTCAAACTAGGCTAGTTTTGAAAATTCAGATTTTGAGGATTTGAGGATCTCTGAAAATTAGAAAATAGAGGATTTGAGGGCTTCTGAAAATTCAAAAATAGAGGATTTGAGGACCTCGAGCTAGTCTAATTTTGAAAATTCATATTTTAAGGATTTGAGTACCTACAAAAGTTCAAAAATAGGGGATTTGAGGACGTCAAACTAGGGGAATTTTGAAAATTCATATTTTGAGGATTTGAGGACCTCTGAAAGTCAAAAGATAGAGGATTTGAGGACCTCAAACTACGTTAATTCTGAAAAGTCATATTTTGAGGATTTGAGGACCTCTGAAAATTAAAACATAGAGGATTTGAGGACGTCGAACTGGGTTAATTCTGAAAATTTATATTTTGAGGATTCGGGTACCTCTAAAAGTATAACAATAGGGGATTTGAGGACCTCAAACTAGAGTAATTTTGAAAATTTATATTTTGAGGATTCGGGTACGTCTAAAAGTATAACAATAGGGGATTTGAGGACCTCAAACTAGAATCTAATTTTGAAAATTCATATTTTGAGGATTTGAGGATCTCTGAAAATTAGAAAATAGAGGATTTGAGGACCCTAAACTAGGTTAATTCTGAAAATTCATATTTTGAGGATTTAGGTACGTCTAAAAGTATAAAAATAGGGGATTTGAGGACCTCAAACTAGAGTAATTTCGAAAATTCATATTTTGAGGATTTGAGTACCTATAAAAGTTCAAAAATAGGAGATTTGAGGACGTCAAACTAGGTGAATTTTGAAAATTCATATTTTGAGGATTTGAGGACATCTGAACATTGAGAAATAAAGGGTCTGAGGACCTAGAAATAGAGTAATTCTGAAAATTCGTATATTGAAGATTTGAAGATTATACCCTAAATGTTAGTTTTTAGGGAATGTAGAAAATATTACTCGACTACACAAATCAAAAAAATAACAGCTATTGGTTAGTACCGCTTGAGCGAAGCTTTTCCTCGATACTGCGTGTCCTGCTTCCTCGCTCTCATGAATTGCAACCGCGATGAGCGCCCTTTGTGTGTCAGCATCGAAGCCTCCTAGTTCGTCATCAGCAGATGCACTTCTCTCCACGAAAAAATCAGTCCATACCTGACGACACAAATCACCGATTATTGCGTTTTTCTCCAAGTTGTCCTGCATGGTTGTGGTTTGATTGGCAGCAGGTTGTCTGAATATTGTTGATGTGGTGCTCCCCTCCTGTGGCTTGTTCTTGTTGTTCTTTCTTTAATCTTTTTTCTACAACCTCCGTTTGGAATTGCTGATCATCTTGTCGTGCGACGTTGGCCGAGTGGAGGTAGCATCAACATGTCCTCGCGGATCTTTCGTGTTCTGTTGTTCTTTGGCGGCTGCACAAGGCGCTGGCCTTTTCCATGGGTGCACCCACAGGGGCGCATTGAGGTTGCAGCTGGCCTTCATAGCCAACCGGTCCTGCGGCGGGTGAAAGTCTCATTCTTTTTTGATCGTTGACAAGAAATTTGTTTGTGGAGATTGTTGTTCCTACCGCTCGATAGGAAAACAATCTCTGGAGGCACTGTCAATCAGAGCCGCAAGGAATTACGTCTACACACGACTACACAAAGCGAAGCCTGTCATGAATCAAAAACGAAACAAATGGATATAAAACCGTCATGCAGGAGAGCAGGACAAGGACTTGTTCTACGTAGATTCTCTGGTGAAAATGTCATGGTCGTACTTTTTGCAATGAAAAGAATAAAAAAATGGTAAGCTGTGATGAAACCCATAATATCGATATCTAGTACTGAAACTGAGTATCTGAATATCAATATCATCCGTGCAACGTGGTAAAGAAATAGAGTGGGAAAAATACTCGGTGGGGGGCATGATCATCAGGAGGATAAACTACTTCCATCCAAAAGTAGAACCGAAGCATTTCAAGGTACTCCTTTCGTTCTCGTACTCTCAAATTGACGACTAGGAAAAATAGCAATATACATAGTTAGTTGTACAGGAGAAGATGGAGTTGTACGAGTACTTAGCATGGATGATTCATCAACATTTGTCACTGCACTACTTAGAGCCTCGCTCAAAGGTAAGATCAGTACGTACTGGTACAAACATCGCTTCTTCTAGACATGACTACTCAATGAATTTACCGACGCAGCACGCACGTATTTCTAATATCACCATCTTCATGTTTCAGCAGATCTCAAGCGGACTTTGGTCGGAACACATTCACATCATAGGCCACAACACATCGTGGCCGCACAAGGACAACATCACAAGCATCTTCAACATTATCGCTGCATTATCTCCTGTTGTACGCAGCTAGTGGGTCGTCACATGAAAGTTCTTGGTAAGGTGCGGAGGTGCAGAGAGGTTTTCTGATTGAAAATTCATCGTTTTTTAGGAGCTCCGAGTCTCATGGCTCCACGTTCCCAGGTGACGATAAGAACTTCATGGCTACGATAAGAACTTATCGATAGAGCAAGTGGGCCGAATCGCTGTGTTTGACACGACCATCTGCTCGCAATATGTGACAGGAATACGGTCGTGCTGGCTAAGAAATAGTCACCAGACGATGAATTTTATGATCACAGATTTTATCATTTCTTTGATCACGATCACGCACCATCTCAACCCCGCCCTTATCAACACCATGACGATGAATCACATCATCAATTTCAATCAACATCGCCACGACGATCAAATGTTTATGTAGAAGATTTGTCTATCAATTAAGAAACGGATACAATTTACGTCCCAATTATAGTGTCATGCTTCTTCATCAGCTTTATATTTTACGAAATATTATTACAGACTACAAGAAGATACTAGATATTGGTAGAGCCGACCTAACTAGGGAAGTGGATAGAAAAAGTTCATCTTGAGTTTTAACAAGTTATAAGTACTAGATAGATAGATTATTCTCTTTTATCAACATTCAGTTTCAGTTCTTACAGAAGGTAGTTGAGGTTCTTCACCCTCGAGAATTAGTTAATCTTATATATTTGTTTGTGTAGTACAATTCAAGAAATTTTTGTCATTCATTCTTCAGCAACTAGAAGTCCGCAGATGAGTAGTATGTTATAGTGATCATCAAAAAGTCTAACTATGCAGACACAAGAAGAAAACTTTAGTAGGGCACAAGAAGCTACAGTTCCACCACCTGCTCTGAATGCCACTGCTCATTTTTTCTCCAAGCTCGCAGAGGACAAGCTTTCCGGTATCGCATTTTCAGCAGCAGGTGCAGGCACTCCCTCGTCTCCGTGCTTCAACAACAAGGCATAGCATCGATCTTTATGTATTTTTTGTTCTGGTAACAATAACTAGCATCTTCTCACGACCGTTGGGTGGGTCCCACCAGTACAGTGACTACTTCTTTCGTCCGCACATCATCATCAAATGTTGTACAACTAGAAATTATCTCTATTCTCGAACTTGCTCCACCTCACGGCTAGTAAATTCACTAGGGCAAAATGACAAAATAAATGAAACAACAAAATCTGATGTAGCTTGCTACTTTGGAAGATAGAAAGACTACAGGTTAGAAGAAACGTAGCTGCTTGCGGGATGCGTCCCCACTGAGCAGAAGGGTAAAAATCTTTAGGTCCTCGTGAGTCAAACATTTCAAACTCGAAATATTGTAAGAACCCACATTCGTAGATATATTCTTTATGAACCAACGAGCACATTCTCCTTCACAATATTAAAAAATATTTCTTATCTAAACAACAATACCCTGTAATCCCTATGTACTACAACTAGTTGTATCTATGTATAATTATATTCTCAAGAATAATTCACATCATTTTCGTACAATACTATCCTCGACTACACCTCACCATATATCTAGGATGTTATCACAATTACAAGATCTTCACGGTGTCATCAATAACAAGTATCAAAATCAATATCGATCTTCTCAAAATTAGTTTCCACGAATCATATCCGGAGAACTCTCATGTTCGCCTGGAAGCGCGGTGTCCGGTGTTCCGAAGGTTTCTCCAGTACCAAAAGTCGCGTCACCCATAGTCTAGAAGTTGTTTTTTTAGGAATTTGATCGGTTTTGGGATCAAGAATATGAATGCATTTTTTACTAAACAGACCGTAATACGTACAACATTTAGACCACGACTTGTTGTGTATGCTTAGCATCATTTGAATCAACATCAACTACTCAAAAGTACCTTTCCTGCTCCTCCCACAAGAAGATTGCTTCCTCCCACAAGATTGCTTCCTGAAGGTCCAGACGTCGGTCGGTTCTTACGACGCATATCGTTTTCAACCAATGCAGCGATCATCTGATGGGCTCTGCAAGTCGCTCTCAGAGTACCACGAAGACTCACTTCCCGAAGAGAAGTGCCAGAATCGGAGGTATTCGCGGAGTTGGTGTTGTTGCTAAAGTTAGAATTAGAGAGGGTCGTGACTGTTGAGGGGGGATAAAAAGGGTTCGGGTCGTTATGATTCCTTCTAAGTAATTGCGAAGATGAGGATGTAAGTGACTCAACTACAGAGGAGGTAGAAGGTAAAGTTTACTATGCGACGAGTTGTAACTCTAAATTTTCGTGAAAAAATTACATTTCCTTTCCTTATGGACATCATGAAGATCCACCTCGTATGACTGAGGCTGATGCTATTTTCCCTTTATTGATGCCATAATGTTGTACGTTGTTGAGTTGTTTGAGGGCTTCGAAGCAGAGTTTTTCTCTTCGTTTTTGTTCAACGGAATGGAGCTGCTGTCGATATCAATGCGAACGCCCGTGCACTCACGTCGGATGCTTGAAATCGTGGCACCTGCTTTCATGTATGAGTACAGATCACAAAATCAGATATAATTCTATGTATATGTTCTCAAAGAAAATGATACTTATTTCACGATGTTGCTATGGTGAAGGTCAAAATCGTCAGTAGTTAGAAAATTATGTGGTGACGGACGTCAGAGAGCATAAATAAGTGGTGAAATAATTATACTTAAATTCCACAAGAACGAGGACACTGCGAGCGAAGATCACTCAAATTCAAGGCACATGATCTCAATGATCTTAAGTAGGTTCATCCTGCTAAACGTGATGGACAAGTAGAGCATAAGATCACTTACCACTTGGGTTTACAACTTGAAATACTTATATACAACTAGTAGTTGCTGTAGTACCTCTGCGTCCAATGAGCATGCCAACAGTGTCATCCGGAAGGTGCAAGACTACATTCACCGTAGGACCAGCCAGCGGACTCTTGTAAAAGCTTTCCGAAACACGCATGATGTTGTAGAGAGACGGAATTTCCTCAATACTCTCCCATACACCATGCATCGCTTTTTTGACTTGGGATAGCATACCGGTTAGCTGATGTGGGAACGGAGGGGCAAGCGATGTTTATTCAGGGTTGGTGAAGAATGCAGAAGAACAGGAGGATGGAGAAGGTCTATTATGAAAGGCACAAAAGTAGACTCAGACCTAACATGATGAGCACGACCTATTGTCGTCATTTATCTGTTACATGTGTATTTGCGTTACAAGTACCTGAACTTCACCCTCTCCCTGAATGCGCATCTGGCAACCGGAATTTTCGCGAATGCTATGAGCTCCGGCACCTCGTTTTCCAATCACTGCACCGATCTGGTTTGGAGAGTCGAATTCGAAAGCAGTTCTTAATATTAAGGGGACTCATTTTCTTTTTCGATATTTTTGATAAGCATAGGATAACATGCGATACTTGATAGCCTATCACTCGGCCATCTTCCTGCTCTTCGATTTAGAAGGTAAAGGGTGGCTGAACGGCCTCTATAACGTTAGACAAGACGTAACATGAGCATGAGGTATCATGACATGACATGAAAATGAAATACCTGGTTGCTCGCGACATCCACTTTGAATGAAAACTGGTGATCGTCCGCGAGACGTGCCAATTGTCCTTTGGAGGCGTTCTTCAACTCACGTTCGAAAACGTCAAACATTGCGGTGATGCCTGTCATTCAGTGTAAAAAATGCTGTACTTGTTCTCGTGAAGCTCGTCCTAGTAATCTAATAATAATATTGAGGGCTGCTCTTGATGTACAACTTAGTCACTTCAATTTAGGACTTGCGCTTTAATATGGACCAGTACAGATTCAGGTATATAGTTCTGTAAAGGAGTAAGTAGTACCAGCTTCCACATCCTTGCTGATTATGACTTGGCGCATGTCCAGGACACGTGGATCACGTGGGAAGACCTTGACAGCCGCTCCAGAGTCTTGCTGGATCTTACGAATGGTTTCGCCTTGATATCCGATGAGACCGCCCATAAAGGCTACCGGGACTCGGATCGACAACTCTGCACGATTGTACACCATCTTGAGTGCTTGTTCTTGATGGGGGACGATGAAGTTGTTGATGATAAGTGATGTTGAATAAACTGAAGTTCAGGTTGCCTGACGGACACGTACAGTGGTTTCGAATTCGTTGTACTAGAGCTTCTCTTGGTTGATGAATAGGAAGCTGAAGTGGAAAATCGTTTTCTTTCAGGTTTCTTGACCCAAGAGGTGCGGCTGGTTTGAGTACTGACGGCCAACAATTCTCAACAAGTTGTTTTCCGTAATGCGGTTGTTCAGGTCGGCCTTCACGCGTAGATCTTCCAATACAACTACCGGAGGTTTCGTTCGCCTACCTCAGACCACAGGGGCGACAAACTCGACAAACTCTAAACTCCTTTCAACACTTCGACCACGTAAACGCAGAATAGCTCGTTCTGCAGCAACTACTCACTTGTGACAAGGTTCCTGCAACTGCAAGCGGAAGTGTCCTTCTGACCAGCAAGCGTAACAACACACAGCGAAGTATTCTGAATGAAGTTCTTTCTGAGCACAATCACAAACGACAAGAGAGAGAAACCAGGAATATCAAATAATATAGACCGATGTTGAAAAGTGTATGTCTACTTCACAGAACAACGATCCATCTACAAAACAATTATCAACGATAGTATGAAACGTTCTTGTTGAACTTGATGTAGTAAAAAACAAGTTGGTATCGGCCAACACTTTCTTGATCTTTTTATGGAAGATGCAGCGGCAGACACACTCTGCTAGCTACAACCTAAAAGAAACAGAAGAATGTCTGGTAAACCACGTAAAGATGGCTATGAACTTTGAAGTCACTACTGTGAAAGAAACGGTAGTTTTTCCTTGTGATTATTTTCCTGGTTCAGGTAGATATCGTAGTTAGAATATCGATAATCGAAAAGTCGCAGGCATATCACCACCACAACCCGACCTAGATAGTGCTGGCAGTCGTGAGGACGTCACACTCGCGCACATGATCATCACATCACAACAACCACTGCACCACAGCGGATGACACGACAAACACAGATACACGCACACTTCTACATCAATGCATAAAGATCATGAGAGATGAAGGATTACACACCAGAGGGCACGAACATGAAAAACCGTGGTGCAGGTCGTGCGACAAACGCAGACAACAACTCAAGAACTTTTCATGCGGTGCTTCATCATCATCTCAAGATCTTTTTTCCACAACGTTAGAGAAGAACAGGACACATTACAGAGACACAAATTTTCGTGCGCTTGTCATGTGTCCGTCTCCATCGGGTTTTTTCACTACCGCAGATTTAATAAGCGGATTATATCTTATCTCTCAACTACTTGATAAAACTACTAGACTTGCTTCTCAACAACTGTTTTTATCATGGTGTACTACAACTACTACCACCACCCGACGGCTACCAATCCAAACTGTCTAAATTCATAGCCGCGTTCTGGTCTGATAAAGAAGCCAGGTCAGCATTGTCAGAAGCGTTGGGACTATGGAATCCTCCATTCTGAGACAGAAAATCGAAGAGTTCACCTCTCGCGTCATTGGGATCTCCTAAAGTACGATAAAAATCTTTCAATTCGTCCCGTTCCTCCTCTTGCTGATGTGGTAGTTGTTGCGGTAATTGGACTTGGTGTTGTGGAAGATGCGGAGGATTTTGCTGTTCTTGTTGAAGTAGTTGTGGAGGTGCTGGACGTGCCACGGCCTGTTGTTGTTGAGACATATTAGAGGACTGCGGCTGCTGCTGCTGCTGCTGTTGCTGCACTTGGTGCTCCTGTGGAAAAAAGGCTGCAGATGAGGAAGATGACGACTGCTGTTCCCGCTGAAAGCCTCCTACAATGCCAGAATGCTGTGGTTGATGTTGCTGCATGCCTAGTTCTGCTGCTGCGCCACCGCCACCTGTTTCAAAATGTGGTACGTGCAGATGATGTTGCTGCACACCTCCCATAACGCCTTGTTGAGCGTGAAAGTGTTGCTGTTGTTGAAAGACGTTTTGGTTTTGCGGCTGTCCTCTATTTTGTGGTGCTAGTAGAGGCTGACCTTGAAAAGCCTGCTGGTGCTGAAGAGACTGCTGCTGCTGCTGCTGACCTTGAAGTGATTGCTGTTGGGACATAGAATCAAGCCCAAATGGATTCGGCACACCTGGTACTATCACAGGAGCGGCCGATGACGAAGAGGCTGCACCTGGAGGCATCCCTAATGGCGCAGGCGCAGCACCTCCTACTTGAGACACACTCACACCTGCGGGAGGAATCACTGCAGATGGTACAACCTGATGAACAGCTTGAGACACGCCCTCTATATTAGCTGGTGAGAATAGCGTTTGGGTTGCTGGCCAATGGACGTCGGTTCCAGCTAGGGAACCTCTGGAGGGAAGCACAGGCCCTGGCGCTCCTACACCTTTAGCTGCAGCTGCTGCGGGAGCAGGATGAGCAGGATCATGTTGGTTCTGATCTACATGTGCTGAAGCGTGGGGAGCTCGCTCTCCCATGTTGGGACTCATGAGAACATCAGGATCATCCGCTACTTGTTCCACTGCCATTTCTGCTTGATCTCCCACCGACTTGCGAGTCTGCATCTTCTGACTGTGGGGATGTAGTTGCTGGCAGGATGGGATTGCTGGAACATTTGCGTTCACAGGAACAACATCACTGGCAGGAGCTCCTGCAGCTCCTGCCATGTTCTTGTTATGCACAACACCAGGTAATGGTGCAGCAGAAGCAGATCCACCCGGTCCAGCTAGTACTTGTTCCCCTGGAAACGCTTCGAAAAGATTCCCTTGTTCGACAACTCCTGGAGAAGCCTCTTGACCTCGTTTCCTTCGCTTAGACGATGGCTGCTCACGTGGTGACGAGCGCGCTGCAGCAGTTCCTGGTATGGGTATGTTGGGTGAGGCTATTATATTATTCCCACTTGAAGAAGAGGAGGGATCAATTCCTTGATGAGCACCAGCAGGAGGTTGCTGCTGTTGTTGTACCTGCTTCTGGTTCATATGTTGTCCTCTAACTACTTGTGGATGTGCTAGTTGACTTAGGCCTACGGCAGGAGGAAAGGCGGGCGGCTGCCTTTCGTCTTGCTCCACTTTCACCCGTATGCCGTGTTGGTTGATCCCAGTATCATTAGAGGCGCTGAAGATTAGCCTTTTCATCGTTGCAGCAGAGGGAACACACTTAGGTTTTGAAAACAACTAAGTGGAAGCAAAAATGTTGTTGAGACTACGTTCCCGATTCACTTGTTTGATTACCAATGATGGTGAACTACAATCAAGCACATCAACAAAAACATAAGTTTTCCTCCCATAAATGTCGATGCCGCATACATCTGGGCAAGTCTTCCTTTGCATTGTGTCCATGTGTGCGTGCTCATTCCATTAAACTCCTCTGTCGACTGAAACAAGGAGAATTGGACTTGCTCTATCCCAGAGGAGGTAAATTCGATCACTTCTCCTGGCTCAGTGAAGCGAACCTCCACTAGATCGCGTGGCCTACCGGTTGTGGGGTTATACTGAGTGCCCATGATTTGTTGAACAGATGCTGGCGGCGGGTGTCCTCTTCCTCCTTCAGGATTTGCACTTGGAGCTGTTCCTGTACCGTGTGCGTTTCCACCTCTCCCAGATCCCTCGACTCCACCAACTTCAAACGTCAAAAACTTCACAAAATCAACGAGTGTCTTTGGCGCAAACGCTAGATCGTGTTTTCCGGGAAGGAAGTTGGCGTGATGTCCTACTATTTGCTGGTCTAGTAACTGAGCATCGTAAAAATCCGTTTCAGGGAAGTCTAACATCCGCTTAAAGTCCCCACGCGCTAGTTCCTGTTCCTCGACATCGTCCTCTTCCTCTTGTTGTTGATTGTTGTGTCCTCCACTTTGTGTACCACCTCCTGCTACACCAACACCTGCTAAGCCACCAGCAGGTATTGGTACACTTTCAAAACTCTCTTGTTGACCGACTCCTACAGGAGGTTGCTGACCACCAACTCCAGGAGCTGCAGCAGAAGCAGTAGGTGGAATGTGATGGTTCCTAAAAACTATTTCCCGACCAGCTGTGTGTGGGCAAATGCGAAGTTCTTTAGCTCCGTTGAATTCATGCAGGATGTTGGAGAGCATTTGCACGCGCATTCCCAAACGAAAACGAGCATCTGTCACCTCAGATTGTTGATGCTGGTTGTAGTTGTTCTGGTTCTGCGCTGCTCCATTTATTGCATTCACACTTACATTTGAGGATGATGACGATGCCCCAGCACCACCTATTCCAGCTACAGCATGTGGTCCTCGTTGCAATTCCGGCGCTCCCGCACCACCCCCACCGCCAGCTACATCAATGGTGACTTTTTGGCCTTGTCTTTGTTGAATCTGTTCTAGTGCGGGATTTACTTCGCCTTCTACGGATTTCATGGTCTCAATAAGTTCAAACTGACGAGTGAACTTCGCACATGGCACGTATTCCTCTGCTGGTGCATTCATCTCTTCTCCTGGTGGAACTGGAACTTGTTGTTGTCGAAAACCTCCAGTTGTACCAGCTCCGCTTCCTCCTCCTCCGTTTTCTGGAATACTTTGTAACTGCTGGTTTTGCGGGTTACCAAATCCTCCAAAAGAGCTGTTGTGGCTTTGCTGCACAAAGCTGCCTCCTAGTCCTTGGCCTCCTGATTGGTCTAACAACAACTGAGCTGGATGCTTCATGCCAGCAGCACTAGCACTACTCACGTGCTGCAATTGTTGGTCTCCTGCGCGAGCTGTTGCGTTAGCCCTGGAGGTCGAAACTCCCGCACCAATCCACTCAAATGCTATTCTATCCACCTGCAAAATCAACGCTAGACCGTCACAGCGGTCTCTGACTTCGCGTTTCATGCCCAAAATGAATCGCACTAGAGGCTTCGACCGCATGCTACAGCGATAACTTGTCTTCCTTAGAGCTTACGTAAATTCATCTCGGAAGTCATTTTCCTTTGACGTGTTTCACCCTTGAAAACGTGTCAGAGACGCCTCTTAAGATGACTCATGCAGCTCACGGCAAGCCATAACTTCCTAAACCCAACTGGGTCATTTTGCTCCATCTCCTTGAGGTGCTGGGCAAAGACCGGATCACTTATACCAGCACTCTCGAAGAAGGTCTCGCAAAAGAAGACTCGTATAAGCGTGCTACCGGACGAATCGTCGTGCCCTCCATTCGTCGCATAGAGTGTCAATGAGCACTCAGCTGGATTCACTTGCAGCGTCAAATCGGCAGCCAGTTTGTTCAAGAGGAGCACGCACTTCGCAAACAAGCGAGAACTGGACTTGTTTAATTGGAACTCCATTTTTGCGAACGAACAAAAAGCTAGACTGACCAGGAGGAAATGGGGTTGTAGTTGATCCTGCTTTCGCGGAGTAGATGTTGAAGCAATAATTTTTGAATGGGAATAAAAAACGAAATATTTTCGTATTTATGAAACCCTAAAAAAGTTCGTTGTATTGTAACTACAACGATTACTAGACCACTTTTTGGAATGAAATGTCGAGACGAAAATCGGGATCGTCGAGACGAAGATCGTAAAAAACGGGAATCTGCAATGCAATCTATTTTTCAAGAAAATCAAACACTGAGAAACAGAAAGCACAGCAAACCGTTCACCGTCCGGTCATGCCGAAAATGTTGATTCAGGTTTCACACAAGGACGCTGAGCGGCAGGTAGAAGCAACATGAGTTTTTTCCAATACAAAATGCAAACCGTGGAGAAGGTGTGTGGTCAAGTTTTTCATCTTGCCGCAGGCTTTCATCTCGTGCTACTTGGTGATAGTTCTTTTTAAGAGGTTCTTCTCGGAGTGTTGGTTAGCTTCTGATGATCACTTCTACAATTATAGCTTTTGCGATGACGATGGGAAAGGTACATCGTTCGATGAGTAGTGATAAATCGCGCGCTTTTCGAAAATTGTTGATTTCTATGTTCTAATCTTCTCTTTGTCCTCTCTACTACATCCAACTAAAGTTTCATCCTTACTCCACAATGTAGTTCGTTGTCTATCATGCATGTCGATCGAGCTGCCACGTATGCCTCCGATTATCCTTTAGCAAAAGCAAATTGATTCTTTAGTATGCTTCCAGTAGGATAACAAATTATACACCATGCCAATTATGAAGTGAGAAGACAACAATTTCTACTTGACCCCTTCAGTTACTCCTACATTTAAAGTAATTTAACATCTAAAACTGTGAGTCAAAATCTTTAAAAAGTCTTGATATAATACACTGGCGCCGTTCTGAAACGGGTAGCAATAGCTCACCACGGGTAGCTCTACCACCCCGCGGCTGGAAATTCAGCGCTCGATGTAAAACCTGGCGCTCACTTTAGACGTAATCTCGGTTTTCAAAGACAACGGCATCGTTCTTCTGCAAGGCTGCCCTTGATGAGGGGTCACAGCGGCAGAGCGTGCTCTTGAGCGTCAGTTAGTGCAGCTGGCTTTGCCGGTTCTATGATCTTCAAGACCGAAGCTTCAAGACCGGTGCTTGCCTGGAGGGCGCTCGTCATCTATCAAACAAAGAGTGGACTGGCGACACCGGAAAAAACAAGAAGGTCACTAGCCGCATAGATGAAAGCTGTCGCCCACAACGCACGAGACGACCGCTGCGGCTGCTCGAGAAAGTCCTCTGCTCAGCCAGGTTGGCTGGCCTGCCTGACACGAAACTGCTTACTTATCCATCAAATTCGACAATTGCAGGAAAACTCGACAAAATTAGATCAGGATCGATTATCTCACGTGAAGGCTTCAAACTCTTCACGTAGTGATCGAAACTAGTATCTCGCACGCTGCGTTTGAAAGGACGACGTCCATCCTGACCGCCTGTACTCGATGAAGATGCATCGGCTTCTTGGCCACTGTGATCTCCATTCATCTCCTTCTTGCCGTCCCCATTAGAGGGCTCGACGGACTGCTGCTCCTGATTCACGATCTGCGGCAGTGAAGATGTTCTGGGTGGAGACTCCAGCAGAAAAATCGGATCCACTGGCTGGCCTAAAACGTGTGTCCTCAAGGCTGCTGTGTAACGTTCCCTCCGCGCCTGCACTTCTTCCGCTGACAAAGCGCAAGGACACTCTCCCAGGTCTATGAATCGTGCAGTAGCACGATGCACGATCATACTATCACCTCCGTTCGTCACTTCAAGAGGAGGCTCGTCAACATCTGGAGAAGAAGTATTAGAAGTACAGGACATTTGTTTTCTTGGAAGTGGAGAGCTGCGTGGTGTTGTTTCTCTATCTACCTCCTCTTTAAGAGCCTTGCCTTAGAGCCTGTATTTCTTTTTTTGCCGACATGGACATATTTTTCTTTCGTCATTTTCTTTTTGGTCACTTCTAGTTACTATTAAGTATCCTTTACTTATACGTAGCCTGTGATACGCGGCATACGTGGTCTTTCTTCCTTTACTCATCTACAAGAACTTCCACGACCACGTTATTACTTTCTCTTTTTCTAACAACTCATACTACACTCGAGTCGTATTCTACAACTCTTCCTGTATAGAATTTTCTGAGCGAGCTGTGCAACTTGCTAACTATTACTTGAAGGAGCTGCGCATTTATATTTATTTTCTTATTCGATTTCTTAGTATTGGAGATTCAGACTCTCTTAACATCGAATACAACTCCATCTTCAAAAAAGGAAGGGGATGCTTGCACTGCGCTAGCCGCTGAAAACTACAAATCATGTTCATAAAGGTGCTCCCATGACACTCACATCCTGATCAAGAACGTCTAGTTGTCATGGCAGTATGCTCGCAGTAACTTAGTGCTCTAAGAAATTCTTGATGTGTCTTTGTAGTAGTTTCTTAAAAATGAAACGTAGTAGAAAAGAAGCTACATCAGAAGTTTACAAAATTTGCATAACGAACTTTATCAAATAATTCACAATCCAACGAAAAGCCTAATAAATCAGGTTCTTTTCATCAAGCTCTAGCTCCTGCAGCTGCTGAAGAAACATGTTGATAATCGTGAATTAGAAATCACATTTACCTCTGCTCTAGAACGTTGATCTTGCTCACCGCCCCCGCCGCGATGTGAAAGTTGTTTGTGCTGATGTTTCTGCTTGTTGTACAAGTATAGAAGAACATCATGATGTTCTTTTAGTCCTAGTACTATTTCTGCAAGTGGCAAATCTCTGCCTTGACGAGATTTGTAGTTTTCCTCTTCTTCATCGCGCATTATCATGTTACCGACAAGATCTCTTCTACTTCACGACAGACAGGAGCAACTCGGAACTTTAATCTCTTTTTATCTTCAACATTAGACCAGACTTTCATCACGACCTCAAGCTCGACCTCGAAGATGTCTCCATCAATTTTCTGATATGAGTGTACTTAGTTGTGCTAGTAGTACGTGCTAGTACCATTGCAACAGTAGATACCCATCCAACTACGACAAGTAGAAGGTTTGCTTTGATTTCAAATTTAGGCAGTTCGTGTCGTCGCGGTAGCAGGAGTAGGGAGTCGTGGGATTATAGGTCTTTGGAGGGTGGAGCATTTTCTGGTTCTTCGAGTGGTCGCTGAATTAAATTTTGTAGGAGAGTAGAAGAGACAAATAGAAGATTAAGCCCAAGAGGTGTAAGACTAGCCCGAGAAACATGTTGTACTAGCTGACGTAGACCTGTCTTAAGAGTCAACACTGTGTGGTCCTGTGTATCAGCACGCACCCCAAAACAGCTCTTCCTCCTTCTCCACCGCGATGTTGTTGGCGCAGGAGCAGGAGCAAGATGAATAACAGAAGTATGCATTCCTTGAGGTAACAGAGCGAACTTCAACAATAAAGATCGACTTCTAGTGAAAAGCGGCACTGTCACTGATTCAAGAAGCTAAAAAATACTAAAAACGAAAGTTTTTGTTGATGTTTCAACTGTCGAAGATATTATTTCTTTCCACGGTCATCTTGATAATTTATAACTCTAAGTTCTTGTGGCATAGTTATTTCAATTTGTAGTTTTCTATACGTTTATCATTATCTGATGAATTCTTTCAGTACGACGAATCTCGAAGCAAGTTCAGAACGGTCTTCCAAGATACTTGTATTCAGCAGCTCTAGATAAACGTCCTTCCGAACTACCACCTTTGTTCTCATTCTTTTGAAAAAAGATGATAAAAAACACTCTCGAGTAGTTACAACAGAGCAGGTGTAGGTAGTTCATTCAAGACCAACGTCTCATTTTTGATGCCAGTGAACGTTTTTGGCCTGCGGTTGACCTTTCGGATTCAAGATTGCTTGAAAGTCGCATGTAATACCCGCTCGTGTGTCCAGTTCCTGCGGAACTTCATGTCGGTGGACGTACCTGAAGAAAAGGAATTTGAAAATCTGTTACTTCTACTTCTTGGGTGAAATCGGAAAGATTTACTACTCCTTCTTAAGTTGTTCATGTGCTCATCTGAAATAACTCATCTACTTAGAAGTAGAGAGGTACAACATCATGATGTTGAGGAAGAGGAACTGTCCAAAATAAAGCAAGTAGTGGTTTCAGTTTAAAGTACACATCCCGTTTGAATTTGTCCCAGAGCTCTTGACAGTGGATGAAGCCATAACCCGAGTTGGCCGAGAAGGATTTGAGACTCCCCTGATAGACTTTGTTGTCAATTAACTGTTCGCTCAAAGACAACTTCGGCATAGACGAGGCCATGGAAGCTGTACCTGGAAGGTGGTTGAAGACGTGGGCATGACTGACGAGGAGAAGAAGAGGATGAAGAAAGAAAGAAAGAAGATGAGAAAGATACTGAGGTAGAGGTGCTGCGAAACCATATGATGGTTGAAGATGTGAGCAACTATTTCATCCTACTTCTTAGTAGAATGAAGCTACAACGATGGAATCTGGTCACGAATTTAGTACTGTTCGCAACGGCGCTTGCAGGAATAGAAGAATCCATGCTTTCGTTGACGCTGTTGTATTGTCCAGATGATGACTTCCCCTTTCCGCCTCGTCCTCTACCGTTCCCACGGCTCGCTGTTTTCGGTTAGTTGTGGAATTGAAGAAACTTTGTTCCGCTTCGATGTGTTCGTGACTTCGAAAAAGATCAGATGAGGTAGACCCCCTTAGATGAAAAGCAATAGCAAGAAGGTGAAAGATCTTAAAAAATCTTTTCGACGTTCACATTCATCAACACACACCGATTCCAAGAAGAAAACAAAAGAATTTCCAATCTTACAATTTCGGCTTTGTCCGTTTTTGCCTGTTGAGTCTTTTTTTGCTGGGCTCGCAGCACCTTCCATCTTACTTGGGTCGATTTTTCCCTCAAGCCACACAACATTTCTAGCTTGAGGCTGTCCTCTTTCGTTGTTCTTCACAACAAACTCAACCCATTGCCCAATCTCTGGCTGTCCACCGCTCTTCTCCTCGACTTGAGCTCTGTAGTCGAGGTATTTTCTTGTAGTTGAGGCGTATCTATATTAATTTTGTTTAGCTGAAGAAAAAGATGTTGTGATGATGATCATGATCATCATGATCATGTTGCCGATGATCATGATTTGCTAGCGTCATGATTCCCATTTTCGCTGTAGATTTTGAATTTGATGTATTATTTTCTGAAAACAAAAAATAGAAAATAAAATTTTGTATCCGGCTCTAGAAAAGTTAGTACCTGTGAATAAAAACGTCTTGCATATGAATCGCTGACGTTTCCGTACACGAAATAAATCCGTACCCCTGGTTGGAGTTGTAGCTCTTCAAATAACCGATATACTTCGGTATCCAGCTTCCCTGAGAGTCGTAGAACCTGTCAACAAGATGAGAGTCGTAATTGTCCCTTGTGAGAAAGAAAATATTGTTCCGTGTGAGATGACGAGTGATAATTTTCTAGCACTGCATTCCAGGAGTAGTTGCAGCCATTTATTTTGGAGAACAAAGTGAAAAAAAGAAAGTAAAAAGAACTACAAGACGTACTACGAAGACGAAGAATCACCATCTCCATCACCATGCTAAATTCTAAGAAGTTCATTACCCTGGTGTGACCACCGCACTGTTCTGCACTGATTTGTCGTTGAAAGGGTCCTCAAAAGTGGAGGCCATGGCTCCGTATGTCGCTGTACTGATGTTGCTGGGAGGGTACTGATTGCTAGGAGCGGGCGCTTGGGGATAGACGGAAGGAGGACCCCCCATGCTGGACTGGGGCATTCCAAGGTAAGTTAGACCTTCCGGGATTCCATCTTGATGAAGGTCAAGTTGGATCCGTTTCCCCTTACGCGGGAGGTCCAAGGTGCTTCTGGACAAGATGGATTTCTGGAAGTCTTAAGTAAGTAGCTCCTGGGGTCGACGGAGGTGGTTGTAGTGACATTGGTCCTGGTTGGCTTACTTGAGACATGGGTTGTTGGGACTGCTGAAGTTGCTGCAAACCTAGTTTAGAACTAAGAGAAATCCATCTTGAGACGCATGATCCGAGGACCTTTTTCCCCTTGAAAACGGTGTCAGGATGCCTGTGAAGATGGATTTCTTCTAGCCTTAACTAGTGACTGCGATCCAGGAGTGCTCGCTCCCTGTGCGTTGGCAGCCGCGGCGAGACTCTGCAAATACTGTTGGGCGACTCCGACGAGTTGCTGCGATCCATTGGAGGACGCAGTGTTGTTGGCCGCCGCCCCCGTCGCCAGTAAATGCTGGTACACTGCTGCTACTGCCGCTTGCTGCGCTGCCGCAGTGGGCTGTCCGGAATTGCTGGAGGTGCCACCTGCGCCTAAGAGCCCAGCCTGTGGATGATGGGCTCCTGCTGTGCCTCCAGGCGTGGGGTCCGATGGTGTGGATCCGCCAACCTGCTGATAACCACCAAGTAGTTGCTGGGACAACAGTTGTTGCGCGGGAGGACCATTAGCTGCACCAGCTCCACCGGACGATATTAGAGAAGATAGAGGATTTTTTTACCGAAGGGGTAGACGGAAAGTCATCGCGAACAAAAAAGAATGAAGATCCTGGTCCTGGTGGCGACGTTCTTTTCCAATTATTTCAATGGATCAGGTACAGGTGGAGGTAGTCGTGCTAGTGTAGTTACTTCTGTTACACGACATGATTTACAATGTCAACATGATGATCACGCCTTAACATCAGTTGCCCATTCACCAGTGAATTTAGTTGAGAGCCTGCACTTCCACCTGCCTGCTGCATGAGATTATGTTGTCCTTGTTGAGCGCCTCCGTTGGTCATCAGTCCTCCTTGAGGATGGCTGCTGGGATAGCTAGACGTTGGACCTCCACCTGGTGTACCATGGTACTGTCCTGGCGGATTATTGGATGGAAACGCGGCCGGATAGTTTGGTGGTGAGGCGTTTAAATCTCCTGCTCGTGGTGGACCTCCGCCGACGCCTTTTGACCCGGATTTTCCACCTTGTTTTCCACCACCTCCACTATGCCCTCCACTAGGTTTTCCCCCTCCACCACCTGATTTTCCTGCGGGAGCTGTGTGTCTGGTTGCCGGAGGAGGAGGACCACCATCACCGTGCTTGCCATAACTGTACTGGCTCGAATAAGAACCTGGTGCTGCACCGCCCGCTACGCTACCGGCTGAAAATAGATGTTGTTAGTGTTCAAGTTCATATTATGTAGCTGCTACATCATGTAATTCAACAAGAACAGTTTATTTTAGTCAACGAGTAGTGAGTTGTAGAAGATGTTGTCGACTTCTTATATTCTTATACATTCATCTTGATCTTGAATTTCTTCTGCAGAAGCAGCTAGTTGACAAGAACATGATGAATTCAAACGACTTTTTGTACGTCTAGTACCACTTTGGCTAGATGAATAGCGTGATGACCCGGCGCCGGGTGCGGGATAATTCCCGCTGTACTGCTGGTCGTAATACGAATCGTTTAGCCGGCTCATCCTCTCCCGAGGTTGTAGAGGTTGCTTGTCGTCCTCGTCTTTGTAGAAGCACACTTCTGGGCAGTTGTAGTGTACTATTTTTACTTGTCCACCGTAGTTTCCGTTCGTTGCTCCTTGTCGTAATATATAGGTTGCTGGACTACGAGACAGTTGCTGCGCCCCCTCCAGCACTAGAAGAGGATGAAGCAGCAGCGCAGCAGCACAAGCACTTCTTCTAGTAGTACTACTACTAGTAGTATGAGTAATCTGTAACCACTAGTAGTAGATGAAGCAGAAGCAGGGAGCACGACGAGCTAGTACACGACCTTGTGGTTGTAGTATGGTGAGAGAGTTGCTAGACAAGAATAGAAGGAGAAGCCTTGAAAAACATCAAGATTTGCGATCGTCTACTTGGCTTCATGCGATAGCGACAGGAAGGAAATTGCTGTGTTACAGAAGAAACAACGTCATCAATGAAAATCTTCAACGTTACACGGCCCGCTAAACAAGTAGCTCACTCTAGCATAAAGAAAAAGTTATAGCAATATAACTACAAACAGCTTGAAGATGGAGGTCGAGATGATACACATAGACTTAGCCTTGAGACATCAACAAGAACAAGCAACCTTATCAAAAGTTGTTGTGGTCGTCGATGGCCTCAAACCTTCATTTTCATTAACTCAATATTGAAACAACTAGTACAAGTTAATGAAGGTAGCGGCTGTAAGATGAAAGAGGAAAATATAATCTTCTAATAGGCAAGGTATTTCGATAGCGATTGCATCTTTTTGTTCTTCATCTGCTTTGGAATGTCGCGTTATTCATCTGACTCGAACAAGAGTCAAAAACTTGTACTTACTAGACTTTTATCCTGTTTCTGCGGCCGGGACGTGAGGGAGAGACGAGAGCGCTGAAGGTGAAGAACATGTCCTTGAGGAAGATCTTGCTACTTCTCTACCTACACTTCTTAATACTCCTCTTATTTGAAGTTCTTGCAGACCATCGATGTTTTAAACGATAAGGACGCTAACGAACGTTGTTGTTGCTAGATGAAATTTTGAAAAATTGACTACAGCCACGTGCTCCTCCACCTCTACTTCAATACAATATCATGAGATTGTCGAGGCGCTTTTAAGTGATGATGAGGTAAGAGTTGACTTCGCCGCCGCTTATATATTTCAATTCTTCGAATTAATATCAAACTACTCAGTCCTCCAGCACAACTTTTTCAGATATGACCTTCAACTTCATTGACCACGGGTTAAAAAATATTCAACAGCAAATATTTGACATAGTAAATTCTTCCACGTCCTCCAGGTCCACTTAGCAGGTAGTACTTAGGTACTTAAATTCATCTAGAAGGTCTAAGAAGCAACTGCTGATGCCAATACACCACTCCTCCTGCTGATCCCTTGAATATTTGTTGAAAATTCAAAACTTTGATGAGGGAAAGACATAGTTTTTTCTCTGACCATCGCAAAATCTGGCGGATAGGATAGGATCGATTGAAATTCGAATTTTGATGCGAAAATTTTTCAGGATTTCAATTTTCGTTCCCAAGCAAACGACAGTGAATGTTTCTCACATGGAGAGGATTTCAAGGTGTCCGAAAAGGAGGTGACGGCGCAAAAGCAACGAGCCGCGTGTGTGTTTTCATCTTCATGTCAGCAGAAGATGGAAACACACATAAATAATTGTGATTCCCTTGCGTTGATGGAGGTGGTGCCCTGGCTTCCTCTTCAAACCGCATGATTCTTCAAAAATTTGAATTCTTTTATGATGTTGATGTTCATCTTCCGAATCCGAAAGGGCTTTTTTGATTCTTTAATATGATCCAAATCGATCCCGGGAAGGTTTATTATCCTTTTTTTTCGCGTTCTTCAAGGACATCCTCATATGGTGGGCAAGCGTCGAAACGCAAAAAGACTTCTTCTATGCATCACAACGCAATCGATCGAAACGGAAGGTGGAGCTCGAGAAACACGAAAATCAACGACAATAACTGAGTTATTTCATCGCTATGCATTAGTGCTTCTATGATGAGGGCAAAGACCACAGGGCGAAACCAGAAGTACTACTGACTACTAGAAGCAGAACCATGGCTAACAATTCTAGCGAGGAACGGTTACTACTCGAGCTAAGGCTACCTGGTACTATCAAAATCAAAATCATCAAAAACGGAAAAACATTGAAGTTCTTCTTTACGTCGAAAATCGAAACTAACACAAAAATATGATCATCAGGTGATCGACATCGATCATCCTCACTAGATTTATTCTACTAATTTCTACAACTAGTACACAGGGAAGAAGCTGTAAGTCACAAATCAGGAAAACAAGTGCTTGTTCGCTATCCACGTCGCTTTGATATTCAATTTTTCGCAAGATTTTTAAGCTTTTTGTGTAAGAACGTGAAAGGAAACTTAAGTGCTACTTACTTACTAGAAACTTCAATCTATTTTTTCAGAGAAGTGTGTTTTTGACAACATAAGACTTTGTTCGTTATCGTTCAATAGACTCTTTCTCTGATCATCTTCTGCTTGAGTATTTGTTCTTCATCTAAATTCTCTTTCTGCTCTTCATCATCGTTAGATGTCACTTTTTCAAATTCCACAACAGCGAAACGATCACTTTTCCACAATGACGTCGGGGAGAATTGACTTTCTGGCAGGAGGTACGATGTCTGCTGTTCGTGGTCGTGAAGAGGTCTTGATGTTCTTCCCCGGCGAACTAGCCCCCCGGACCCCCCCGTTGGAGGCTCCTCCTGCACCACTGGAGGACGTCCGAGGTAGTTTCATCGATGCAATTGTTAGAATAAGTACAAGGCCTAAAAAAGAACCACCAATTGTTAGAATAAGTACAAGTTGAAGGAAAAAGGCCTAAAGAACCACCATGCACAAGAAAACCAAATGAACAAGTTACGCCAGTAGGTACCACCATGCACAAGCAAACCAAATGAACAAGTTCTTACACCAGTAGGTACTTACTCATGTTGAAGATGTCCTCCATAAACTTGCACCAGAAAAAGTTGGAGGCGCAACCAATTCGGGTGATGGCGATGAGAAACTGTGCAGACTGAATGTGCCTTGCATTCCTCTCTTCACGGACGATTCTCCCTGAGAGCTAGCTAGACTACCAGTCGACGCCCTTGGTCGCCTTTCGATAGCAGTTGGGGTTCCAGTTCCTCCGTAGGGTTGTCCAGCAGAAGCGGATGTTCCTACCTCTCGCTCTGCTGCTCCGACTGGATGATGTTCGCTATAGAACATCATCGGCCCTCCACCGCCTGTTGCTGGTCCTCCTGATGGTATTTGATGTGCTGATGGTTGCACTCCTCCGACAGGTGCTCCTGACAACAAGGCACCACCGGCGGTTCCTACACTTCTTGACGTTGCACTATGTTCTCTCGTGCGTGGTCGACTAGAAGCTGCGGAATCGACAGCACCGCTATTAGAGCTTCCCATACTTCAACATCTTTGAGAGCATCTTTATTGACGTGCTTTCCACTCACTTAGGGAAAGGCTCCAAATCCAAGATGCTTCTCACTCAAGGTCAAGATGAATTACAATCAAGGGAAACCTTAGTGTTAGCAGCATGCAGCGCACTCGGCTGACCAGTGTATCGCTTCGAGGGTTTTCGCACTGCCGAATAAGGTCTTGAAGGAGCTGCGGAACTCAAATTCCCTCCAGCAGTACTCGGACGTGTCGAGCCACGCGATGACGATCCTAGACCGCCTCCAGCATTATGGAACGTCAGGTGGTGATATGGCACGTTTGTACCACCTCCTTGATGTTGATGTTTCCCGGTCAGCACATGCTTGTTGTTATAATAAGAATGGCTCAAGTTATTCGTACCGGAGTGGGTGTTCACTGTTACTGATGCTGATAAGGTACCTTCCGCTACTGACACCAATTCTTGCTCCGCTGCGGAGGAGTCCATTCCTGCTGTTCCAAGAATAGGCACACCATTTGCATTCAGCATCACCTCATTCATCAATCTGCTACCGCCTCTATCATGATTAGGTGGAGGACTTCTAGATGCTGGTCGCTGCTTGGTTTTCATGTCGCCTTCGCCTACTTTGCTGCCAAGTCCTCTACTCCCACCTCCGGAAACGAACAATCCTCCTAGAGTTTTCTCGTCATGCTCGCCTCCACCAGGTGGACTTCTCTGCTTCGGACTTGCTCCTCTGGGAGGACTACGCGACTCCCTCCGACCACCGACTAATTTGTAAGCAGGATTAATACCATCAGCACTTGGCCAGATTTGCTCTTCTCCTTGTTGGTGGTCTTTAGGAGTTTTCACGGACACTGAGATCCGTGGAATCACTCCGAAATTCGTTCCAGGTTCGCCAGTTTTCGTTGCAGTAAACGACTGAATGCGCATTGCAGCTGACCCTGGTCTTTGATCTCCTCCTCCACCGGAGGGTCCACTAGGATCAACAACTTGTTCACGTCCTCCTGCTGTAGGTTGGAACTTTTGATGCGGATCCCGGAAATCGAGAGGTCCAAAATTCGCTACGCCAGGCACAAAGTTGTTATGCACTGGATAGCGCATTAGTTCGCTGGTTCTGTAGTTGTAGAGTTAATGAGGAGTGGCTCATTTTTTCGAACGGATGCTGGTGGAACTTGTTGTGAGAGAAGAAAATCGACAATAAAAAAGTGAATAGCCTCGTGGGGTACGCATAAAAATCGTCTAACTTCGTAATATTATTCCAAACAAATAAATAAATATAATAGGCAATATTACGTCAAAGGCGCGCTTCTTTCGGCAGAAAAGGTGCCACTAGGACCCGACAAAGGACGTAGTTTTGGACCAAGGTTTTCCGGAAGGGTTGTAGGAACGCCCATAGGATATACGTGCTCTAGCTGATCCCGTGCTTTCCGCAACATTTCAGACTGGGAAGAGAAAAGATAAGCAGCAAGTTGAATATTCATTAGGAGTAGAAGAAGATGAGGAAATGAAAGTCATAGTGTGTTCGTCTCTTCGAGGAAGAAAATTGAAGTAGAAGAAGAAGAAGAAGTGGCGTGTAGTCAATGGGTTGGGAATCGTCTTTCATTGATAATTGCTACGGTACATGTAGTTGATGTTGAGGATTATCAATAGCTTTTAACCGCCGCACAAAAAGAATACATCTGTCATCGGATTGCCCCATCTGTTGTGTGTTGGCAGTTGTTCCCGCTTTAGTTTCTGCAATTCATCTGCAAGATAAAGCTGATATGCTGCCTGCCGTGCCTCTTTCTCGCGCCGTTCAGCTTTCTCGGTCTTTGCGCCATTTACATTAAGGTTGCCCATCTCTTCTTCGTGGGAAATTAGGTCGACCTGAGGAAGAGACGAGGTCAGGGGCGTGTGCTTGTTCGTACTAGACGAGAGGCGAGTAAAAAGAACAGAAACGATTTCTTCTGACGGAGAGGACCTTCCTGATGCCAAGAATATAAATAGCGGTTGAAATTCTACAAACCGAGATGAAGCATCAGGCAAAGACTTACAAACATACCAACTGTTCCCTCTGCATCTTCATGAATGTTTGTCGAAGCACTTCCATTCTCGTAAGGCGGTCCAAGGCGTCATGGTACAGCCTCTCAAAGACGTTCTCATGTGAACTCTTCACCACCCAGTTCAATTGCTCGCCTTGTTCTTAGAGGCCATAAGTATAACAAGTGCGATCTTTTGCTTCGGAAATTCTCATCGACAACCAGCTCACCTCACGATCAATGTATCCGATATACACTTCTTCTTGACAAGGATCATGGAAGTATATATAATGACGTTATAAATTCTTATATCGCACCTGTTTGATCTTCTTTTTCAATCTCATGCCTCCATAAAATCTCTTCCGCATACCCTTCACCGCGCCTCCTTGTCCTCCGTTCTTTGCCTCCGATAACACATGTTCGATTTGCATCTGCAACTCCTGCAACGCAGCTTGTAAACGTGCAATCTCGTCTTTCAGCCGTTTAATTTCACGATCCTTCTCTTTCAACTGCTCTTCCAGGTCTTTGATCTTTTCTTTGCTCTTGCTGCGGAAGTTAGAAGGATGAGAGAGAGTCAGGAACGATGCGGAGATTTCATCGTCGAGACATCAATGGTTTTTAGTTACGAGTTAAGTTCAAGTACGTACTTTTGTTCTTCTTGTAGTCAACATCCTCATCGTCTTTATCACTCAACAAGTACTACTACAACAACAACTAGTCAGATGAAAGATTTCAAGAATTATTGTGCCATAACAGCCCCGCCTTCTCTCCCTTCTGCATTTTCTAGATCGCTTTCGCTGACCAATTTTCGCAACCTTTCAAGCTCTGCTTGCATTTTTCGTTTTTCTTCTTTTTCCGCCTCGCTTTCTTCACCTCCACCGCCACGTCCAAACAGGCCTCCTTTCCCCTTTTTCTTAACACTAAGCATGACAGTCTTCATCGCCAAGCGCTCCATCTCCGCTTCCGCATCATCGGCGCGCTTTTTTGCTGCTTCCAAATCGCACTCCATCATGCCGATTTTCTGCAGGGCTTCTTTCTTACCTTGATGCATAGAGGACATCACTGCACGGATCATCAACATCTTTGTGCGGTATTGTTTGAAAGTTGCTCCGGGTTTGGGTAACATTTTGCCAACCGCACTGCGCAATTGCGTTGTCTGCTTTGCGTCTCCGCCAGCAGCCGCGCCTCCTCCTCCTAGAAGCTTCCCAGCAGTGGATCCTCCTCCAGCTGCACCTTGTGAAGCTGAGGATCCACCAGCTTGGCCCCCACCTCCAGTCCCTGGTGCGACAGCAGCACCCGCTTGTCTTCTTAGAGAAAGCGTGAAATTCATAGTCGTGGAGTTACTGCTTGCCTTATAGAGAAAGTTCAAGTAGGGCGAAAGCGATTTTCCGTCTCATCTTGATGAAACTAGGGGTTCAGATTACGATTAGCATGCTTGGGTAGTACTTTACGAGTCGACGGGCAAAATTCACATTTTTACAGTGAAGATTAAGCTAAAAAGGGACACACACAACAAATCCATCTGCTAGGGATCTGAGTACCGAGAGCAGTTAACCTATCATGCCATAATGGCACACCCCCTGCTCCTCCTCCAGCTTTTTGTTTTGCAGCTTGTTCCGCTAGTTCTTTTTCTTTTAGGGCTACAGCCATCTCCCGCTCCTCCTGTTTGCGCGCTTTTTCGGCCTCTTGCTCCTCACGGTGTCTCGCTTCTTCCTGCTCGCGTTCTATTTGCGTCTGAAGCTGCGCTTCGAGGTCCTTTAGGACATCGTTACAACGGCCGTTAGAAGAAGACAATGATCATGGATCGTGATCGTGAAGGGGCGTTATAAAGAAATTGGATCAGCTGGATCTGCATCTGCTAAGTTAAGTGACACCATGATCTAGCAGATAGCAGATCCAGAGTCTTATCACTAGACATCATGAAATCATAATCTTCAATTCTGCGTCCGACGTGGTTTGATGCTGTTTCAATTCTGACAGTTCTGCCTCCAACTCTTCAGCGTGAGCACTGATCTGCTTCAACTCGCTCATGTCAGCACCTTCGCTTTTTCGTTTCGCCAACATATCTTGGTCAGAGGTTAACTGCTTTGTACGCATTCCTATTTTCTTCCCGAGCATGTCACTGGAGGCTTGATCCCTGGAAATCCGCATGTTAGAGCTCACCCTTTTCCTCGTCTTTTCTGCACGACCTTGAAAAGCAAGACTCTCACGACACTCGTCCAGGATGTTTATGTTAGTTTGTGTTTCATCTTGTTCAGAAGATGAAGATTGATGGATTATAATAGGTAATTAAGCCTTAAGCATCCGCAGTTCCTGCATTTTCCCCTCTATCCTGGCCACAGCAGCACTGGTTTCGTTTTTTTTGGAGTCCTTGGCCAAATTGTTCATGCCAGCTCCAATGTTCTCAAGTTCACCGGCATATGCCTGCGCAAGCTCCTCCAGATCCTTCACCTGTTGCATCAGTGCCTTCTCCCGTGCTGTCGGTTCTGGTGGAGGTGAGTAGAAGAGGAGAGTGTGTAGTGCATCAAGTGCATCAGATGAAGATCCTTGTCTAAATGCTTCTGGGGCTGTCGAAGTCTGGCTGTCGATTTCCGGAGTTTTGGTGTCGAAAAATCAACAGCCCCACAAAGACAACTTCAGAAAGTGGAGCCGAAATCAACCGGCGAAAGGCTCCACTTTCTGGGGCTTACTTTCTGGTGCTGTCGATCGCTGAATTTCCAAAAGAGACGTGCTGTAGTTGGTTCTGGTGGAGTGAAATACTTCAAGTCCTCCTCCTCTGTTACATCCATGGCGCATTTAAATTTTGTTCTTGCAGAAGGAGAAAAATATAATTACCCCCATTCAGTTCTTGTTCTGCTCTCATTTGCATTAGGCTTCTTCGTCTTTCACGTTCCCCCGCATCACCACTAGCATCATCTTCGGCTATTCGGAAAAGTAACAGCTTCAATTTTTCCTCCACGACCTCCGCAACGAACTGTCGGAGGTTATCTGGTAAGTACCGCGTCGGTTCGTAAAACATAATGGGCTGCTCGCCATTCCTTTTAGAAGTTGTAGGAGAACAAGAGGTCCTGGCTGGGCGGGGGAGGGGATGTTTCATCTTCATATCTACTTCAACTATTCGTACTGCATCAACTGGGTTTTCATGCACCAAGCAATCTTCAACACATAATGTTTTCACCGCTGTAAGCGTCATCAGGAGGCATCCCTTTGGACGGATCTGCATCTCCATAAACCAGCTTCTGTATGTGTCCGACTTGTCGTGGATCTAGAATGCGGATCTGATCACGCATCGCAGTCATTTCTTTCAAATACGAACGCCGACAGTCATCCAAGTCTTCCCGGAACAGGTCGTTCTCTTCTTTTAGCGACTGAATCATCTGCCTTGGATGTTTCGGGTCCGAATGCTCTAAGGAACTGAAGATTGTTCATAGCATTTTTGGTCAAAGCTTTGGGTTGCCTGCTGCATACGAAAATTTTTGAAAAACAAAAAGAAACCTGATGACGCTGACGGAGATGATGAAAAAGCTAGTATAGCATGATGAGGGAACTACGACCTCCAGTTGTATCAAGGCCAAGCTCCAACTACTAGTAGAACTACTTACAACGAACTTCTAGTGAGTACCTTTCAACTTCCCACATCAAAAGCAAGGTCTTCCACATGAATTCAGCCAGAAACTTGAGGAGAGCGCCAGCTTGTGCGGTTGGCTGAAGCGCCGACATTCCGCTGTTCGTCACTTCCTCTAACATTGCTGCAAATTTTTCATTCCTCTGGACCAAATTTCTTAACTCTGCTTTGTCGGAAGATTAGAAATAATAAGAGTCCTAGGGTGAGGACGAGGTGGGGAATAATAATAATTACCATATAGGCTCAGACTCACCATAACGTATTCGCCCGGCCCTATATGAATTTTTAGGCAAGAAAAACCGAACGGTGGGCACAGTAACTACACTTGGGACTCACTACAACTACTGAGAGAAAGAAAGACTCTGCACTTTCAATCTCATAGGCCTCAGAATTTAAGAAACGACTCGATTTCTATCACAAACGAAAAATAGTCCTACTAAATGACGCAGAACTTGTTCTCTTCTTCTTTTGATTGAGAAAAAAAGAAGAAGAGAACAAGTTCTGCATCATTTAGTATGACTAAGAGAGGAAGCGAGGGTATTTGGTGGAGAAGTTTAGGGGAAAATTCTGCACTTTCAAATGAAAATATTAGGTAGCTCTACTTGGAAGTTCAACTCTATCAAGATCCATTCATATCGCATGCTTGGCACGTAGGAGTTCGGATCGAGTGTGTGGCTACTGTCCATGTGCTGCATCAAGTGGTTGTTGTTCTCCCTTGCTTCGAATTAGAGCAGTATGATGACATTGACATGCATTATGATTAGAAATGTTAGGGAGAATGTACTAGTAAGAGAAAGAGTAGATTACGAGTAATTTTATTTGCTTAGATATAGGTCCCGGTTCTGAAATAAGCAGGAGCTCATTTTCTCGAAAACTGAAAATAACCGAGTTACTGACTGAAGATGAAATCTTGTTCCTACTTGTACAGTAACAAGAAGAAGATATGAAGTTTTTTACAACCGATGTTTGCAAGCTTTAATTATAGGTGCCGTTGGAGACGAATTTAAGGATCGACATGATCATGCTTCATGTCATTGTCAGCAGTATGATTTCTTGATGACATTGACATGCATTATGATTAGAAATGTTAGGGAGAATGTACTAGTAAGAGAAAGAGTAGATTACGAGTAATTTTATTTGCTTAGATATAGGTCCCGGTTCTGAAATAAGCAGGAGCTCATTTTCTCGAAAACTGAAAATAACCGAGTTACTGACTGAAGATGAAATCTTGTTCCTACTTGTACAGTAACAAGAAGAAGATATGAAGTTTTTTACAACCGATGTTTGCAAGCTTTAATTATAGGTGCCGTTGGAGACGAATTTAAGGATCGACATGATCATGCTTCATGTCATTGTCAGCAGTATGATTTCTTGATGACATTGACATGCATTATGATTAGAAATGTTAGGGAGAATGTACTAGTAAGAGAAAGAGTAGATTACGAGTAATTTTATTTGCTTAGATATAGGTCCCGGTTCTGAAATAAGCAGGAGCTCATTTTCTCGAAAACTGAAAATAACCGAGTTACTGACTGAAGATGAAATCTTGTTCCTACTTGTACAGTAACAAGAAGAAGATATGAAGTTTTTTACAACCGATGTTTGCAAGCTTTAATTATAGGTGCCGTTGGAGACGAATTTAAGGATCGACATGATCATGCTTCATGTCATTGTCAGCAGTATGATTTCTTGATGACATTGACATGCATTATGATTAGAAATGTTAGGGAGAATGTACTAGTAAGAGAAAGAGTAGATTACGAGTAATTTTATTTGCTTAGATATAGGTCCCGGTTCTGAAATAAGCAGGAGCTCATTTTCTCGAAAACTGAAAATAACCGAGTTACTGACTGAAGATGAAATCTTGTTCCTACTTGTACAGTAACAAGAAGAAGATATGAAGTTTTTTACAACCGATGTTTGCAAGCTTTAATTATAGGTGCCGTTGGAGACGAATTTAAGGATCGACATGATCATGCTTCATGTCATTGTCAGCAGTATGATTTCTTGATGACATTGACATGCATTATGATTAGAAATGTTAGGGAGAATGTACTAGTAAGAGAAAGAGTAGATTACGAGTAATTTTATTTGCTTAGATATAGGTCCCGGTTCTGAAATAAGCAGGAGCTCATTTTCTCGAAAACTGAAAATAACCGAGTTACTGACTGAAGATGAAATCTTGTTCCTACTTGTACAGTAACAAGAAGAAGATATGAAGTTTTTTACAACCGATGTTTGCAAGCTTTAATTATAGGTGCCGTTGGAGACGAATTTAAGGATCGACATGATCATGCTTCATGTCATTGTCAGCAGTATGATTTCTTGATGACATTGACATGCATTATGATTAGAAATGTTAGGGAGAATGTACTAGTAAGAGAAAGAGTAGATTACGAGTAATTTTATTTGCTTAGATATAGGTCCCGGTTCTGAAATAAGCAGGAGCTCATTTTCTCGAAAACTGAAAATAACCGAGTTACTGACTGAAGATGAAATCTTGTTCCTACTTGTACAGTAACAAGAAGAAGATATGAAGTTTTTTACAACCGATGTTTGCAAGCTTTAATTATAGGTGCCGTTGGAGACGAATTTAAGGATCGACATGATCATGCTTCATGTCATTGTCAGCAGTATGATTTCTTGATGACATTGACATGCATTATGATTAGAAATGTTAGGGAGAATGTACTAGTAAGAGAAAGAGTAGATTACGAGTAATTTTATTTGCTTAGATATAGGTCCCGGTTCTGAAATAAGCAGGAGCTCATTTTCTCGAAAACTGAAAATAACCGAGTTACTGACTGAAGATGAAATCTTGTTCCTACTTGTACAGTAACAAGAAGAAGATATGAAGTTTTTTACAACCGATGTTTGCAAGCTTTAATTATAGGTGCCGTTGGAGACGAATTTAAGGATCGACATGATCATGCTTCATGTCATTGTCAGCAGTATGATTTCTTGATGACATTGACATGCATTATGATTAGAAATGTTAGGGAGAATGTACTAGTAAGAGAAAGAGTAGATTACGAGTAATTTTATTTGCTTAGATATAGGTCCCGGTTCTGAAATAAGCAGGAGCTCATTTTCTCGAAAACTGAAAATAACCGAGTTACTGACTGAAGATGAAATCTTGTTCCTACTTGTACAGTAACAAGAAGAAGATATGAAGTTTTTTACAACCGATGTTTGCAAGCTTTAATTATAGGTGCCGTTGGAGACGAATTTAAGGATCGACATGATCATGCTTCATGTCATTGTCAGCAGTATGATTTCTTGATGACATTGACATGCATTATGATTAGAAATGTTAGGGAGAATGTACTAGTAAGAGAAAGAGTAGATTACGAGTAATTTTATTTGCTTAGATATAGGTCCCGGTTCTGAAATAAGCAGGAGCTCATTTTCTCGAAAACTGAAAATAACCGAGTTACTGACTGAAGATGAAATCTTGTTCCTACTTGTACAGTAACAAGAAGAAGATATGAAGTTTTTTACAACCGATGTTTGCAAGCTTTAATTATAGGTGCCGTTGGAGACGAATTTAAGGATCGACATGATCATGCTTCATGTCATTGTCAGCAGTATGATTTCTTGATGACATTGACATGCATTATGATTAGAAATGTTAGGGAGAATGTACTAGTAAGAGAAAGAGTAGATTACGAGTAATTTTATTTGCTTAGATATAGGTCCCGGTTCTGAAATAAGCAGGAGCTCATTTTCTCGAAAACTGAAAATAACCGAGTTACTGACTGAAGATGAAATCTTGTTCCTACTTGTACAGTAACAAGAAGAAGATATGAAGTTTTTTACAACCGATGTTTGCAAGCTTTAATTATAGGTGCCGTTGGAGACGAATTTAAGGATCGACATGATCATGCTTCATGTCATTGTCAGCAGTATGATTTCTTGATGACATTGACATGCATTATGATTAGAAATGTTAGGGAGAATGTACTAGTAAGAGAAAGAGTAGATTACGAGTAATTTTATTTGCTTAGATATAGGTCCCGGTTCTGAAATAAGCAGGAGCTCATTTTCTCGAAAACTGAAAATAACCGAGTTACTGACTGAAGATGAAATCTTGTTCCTACTTGTACAGTAACAAGAAGAAGATATGAAGTTTTTTACAACCGATGTTTGCAAGCTTTAATTATAGGTGCCGTTGGAGACGAATTTAAGGATCGACATGATCATGCTTCATGTCATTGTCAGCAGTATGATTTCTTGATGACATTGACATGCATTATGATTAGAAATGTTAGGGAGAATGTACTAGTAAGAGAAAGAGTAGATTACGAGTAATTTTATTTGCTTAGATATAGGTCCCGGTTCTGAAATAAGCAGGAGCTCATTTTCTCGAAAACTGAAAATAACCGAGTTACTGACTGAAGATGAAATCTTGTTCCTACTTGTACAGTAACAAGAAGAAGATATGAAGTTTTTTACAACCGATGTTTGCAAGCTTTAATTATAGGTGCCGTTGGAGACGAATTTAAGGATCGACATGATCATGCTTCATGTCATTGTCAGCAGTATGATTTCTTGATGACATTGACATGCATTATGATTAGAAATGTTAGGGAGAATGTACTAGTAAGAGAAAGAGTAGATTACGAGTAATTTTATTTGCTTAGATATAGGTCCCGGTTCTGAAATAAGCAGGAGCTCATTTTCTCGAAAACTGAAAATAACCGAGTTACTGACTGAAGATGAAATCTTGTTCCTACTTGTACAGTAACAAGAAGAAGATATGAAGTTTTTTACAACCGATGTTTGCAAGCTTTAATTATAGGTGCCGTTGGAGACGAATTTAAGGATCGACATGATCATGCTTCATGTCATTGTCAGCAGTATGATTTCTTGATGACATTGACATGCATTATGATTAGAAATGTTAGGGAGAATGTACTAGTAAGAGAAAGAGTAGATTACGAGTAATTTTATTTGCTTAGATATAGGTCCCGGTTCTGAAATAAGCAGGAGCTCATTTTCTCGAAAACTGAAAATAACCGAGTTACTGACTGAAGATGAAATCTTGTTCCTACTTGTACAGTAACAAGAAGAAGATATGAAGTTTTTTACAACCGATGTTTGCAAGCTTTAATTATAGGTGCCGTTGGAGACGAATTTAAGGATCGACATGATCATGCTTCATGTCATTGTCAGCAGTATGATTTCTTGATGACATTGACATGCATTATGATTAGAAATGTTAGGGAGAATGTACTAGTAAGAGAAAGAGTAGATTACGAGTAATTTTATTTGCTTAGATATAGGTCCCGGTTCTGAAATAAGCAGGAGCTCATTTTCTCGAAAACTGAAAATAACCGAGTTACTGACTGAAGATGAAATCTTGTTCCTACTTGTACAGTAACAAGAAGAAGATATGAAGTTTTTTACAACCGATGTTTGCAAGCTTTAATTATAGGTGCCGTTGGAGACGAATTTAAGGATCGACATGATCATGCTTCATGTCATTGTCAGCAGTATGATTTCTTGATGACATTGACATGCATTATGATTAGAAATGTTAGGGAGAATGTACTAGTAAGAGAAAGAGTAGATTACGAGTAATTTTATTTGCTTAGATATAGGTCCCGGTTCTGAAATAAGCAGGAGCTCATTTTCTCGAAAACTGAAAATAACCGAGTTACTGACTGAAGATGAAATCTTGTTCCTACTTGTACAGTAACAAGAAGAAGATATGAAGTTTTTTACAACCGATGTTTGCAAGCTTTAATTATAGGTGCCGTTGGAGACGAATTTAAGGATCGACATGATCATGCTTCATGTCATTGTCAGCAGTATGATTTCTTGATGACATTGACATGCATTATGATTAGAAATGTTAGGGAGAATGTACTAGTAAGAGAAAGAGTAGATTACGAGTAATTTTATTTGCTTAGATATAGGTCCCGGTTCTGAAATAAGCAGGAGCTCATTTTCTCGAAAACTGAAAATAACCGAGTTACTGACTGAAGATGAAATCTTGTTCCTACTTGTACAGTAACAAGAAGAAGATATGAAGTTTTTTACAACCGATGTTTGCAAGCTTTAATTATAGGTGCCGTTGGAGACGAATTTAAGGATCGACATGATCATGCTTCATGTCATTGTCAGCAGTATGATTTCTTGATGACATTGACATGCATTATGATTAGAAATGTTAGGGAGAATGTACTAGTAAGAGAAAGAGTAGATTACGAGTAATTTTATTTGCTTAGATATAGGTCCCGGTTCTGAAATAAGCAGGAGCTCATTTTCTCGAAAACTGAAAATAACCGAGTTACTGACTGAAGATGAAATCTTGTTCCTACTTGTACAGTAACAAGAAGAAGATATGAAGTTTTTTACAACCGATGTTTGCAAGCTTTAATTATAGGTGCCGTTGGAGACGAATTTAAGGATCGACATGATCATGCTTCATGTCATTGTCAGCAGTATGATTTCTTGATGACATTGACATGCATTATGATTAGAAATGTTAGGGAGAATGTACTAGTAAGAGAAAGAGTAGATTACGAGTAATTTTATTTGCTTAGATATAGGTCCCGGTTCTGAAATAAGCAGGAGCTCATTTTCTCGAAAACTGAAAATAACCGAGTTACTGACTGAAGATGAAATCTTGTTCCTACTTGTACAGTAACAAGAAGAAGATATGAAGTTTTTTACAACCGATGTTTGCAAGCTTTAATTATAGGTGCCGTTGGAGACGAATTTAAGGATCGACATGATCATGCTTCATGTCATTGTCAGCAGTATGATTTCTTGATGACATTGACATGCATTATGATTAGAANCCTCTTGGATCCTGCTTCTCCTCTTGGATCCTGCTTCTCCTCTTGGATCCCTCCTCATCCTCTTAGAGCTATCCCTATATCACCCCACCTGGTGTCGTAGAGATCCACCTGATGGTGATCATGCCTCAAAAGTTGTATAACAATTATGAGTATGTAAAAGTAAATGTATAATCCACTCCTGTTTGTAGTTGTATAACAAAAACAAGGAACCACAACCAGGTAGCAAAACTAACTATTAAGCATGACGCAGGCTTGTCAACAAGAATGGACAAGGTTCGACTTCGGCGGCCCGCAACGTGGGCTTTCATGGCCGTGTCTTCATAGCAGTCGTGCCTACTAGAGTGAGAGCGAATCCACGCCCTTTCGTCAATGTAGGGGGCGACTACTGTTAACCGAAGTACTTAACTACGGTGTCCCTTTGTTGCTCCTCCAGTCCTCCTAGGTCCACCGCTGACGCTGCAGCACTACTGATCCTCCTGTGAGAGATCGAGCTGAGTTAGAAGGCACTGTCTTCAAGAATAAAGAGGCTGATACTAATGTCACAGCAACATTCCACAGCCTGCTTAATGTCCTCCGCCGAAGAGTATCATGATCGGCATCTGGACATGATGGTGTACTATTCCTGTATAGTAGAAGCAAAATAAACTTGAACACTCTTTCCTTAACACTAGCTTCCTTTCCTTGACCAGCTCTTCTTCGTTCTGGGTCATTAGCGGATCCAGAAAGAAAAGACTTCTCTTTCTTGCAGGAAGAGTCAAGAATTTCCTACACCTGTTCTGCTGGAGGACGAGGCACAACTAGTACTAGTAGTACTACCAACATTCCATAATTGTCATCAAAGATTTATTACTTCATGTAGAAGTAAACATGAGATATGTTGAAAGCAGCAGTATGATCTATTGGCATTCTATTTTTCATCGAATTCGAATGCAATGCTATGAACAAGCTACAGATTCATTGATGTTGATCTTATCCTCATGCTTCTATCAATCAACATCACAATGTTTTTGTAAGGTGGTTCTTCTAATGGTAGTACAACGTGGGTACTAGTAGTTGTAGTTCACATTCTTTATAAAAGATTTAACCAGACGCATGGAGTAGTATGGACTGCATGGAACGATCGTCGCTGCCAACCTAGTAGATGGATCATGATGATCATGATCTTCATGAGCAAAGTAAGCCTTATCTTTTCCTCTTCCCACGCTTTGCAAAACCCATCTCTTATTCCATCGTGATTCAGACCTAGTGGAATCTTAACCACATCCGCATTATTAGCCACTTCCGCGTTGTATGAAGAAAGGACTGGGGTCGGGTCGTTCTAGAAGGATCAAGTCGCGGAGGGAAGGCGGGGATCAATGCGCGGAGGGGGTCGTCCACCTCGATGGATCGCGATCGTTTTTCTATCCAACTACTCTTTCTTCAAGTCTCGGAGAATCGAAGGTTTAAGCGCTACTCTCAAGAAAGGGGAAGTACTGAAGGGGGGATACAGAAAGGACCACCTTCTACATGTTTCAATAGGATCTCTACTAAAAAGTGCAGTTGAGCACTCAGCCTTAAGTAAAAGAAATGATCTGAATCATTTATTTCAAGGGGACACTGGAATTGATGTCTGCTGTTAAGCAAAAGGAGAAGTGTATTGTTGCTATAAAACTATTTGTGAGTACAAGTAGTAGCTGTCATCATCATCATCGTCATCATCATCATCATCATGCTGGTGCCCCTTTTAGTACTAGTAGCCTAAAAATCTTTAGAATTAGAGTGCTGTTTGTATTTGTTGTTGTGCTATTAGATGTCTAATAATCTGTGTGTCTAAAAGATAGAGCAGACGGAGCACTATCTTCTAGAAGATGTAAATCACTTCAACGACGGACGGACTAGTAGGACTACTAGAAACTATAGATAGTACTCCATCTCCATGCACCGTGCGTCTTATAAAAAGCATGCTCTGATATACGACGCAGCATGGCTCAAAATTCATAAGCAAAGTGCGTTCAGGCGTCGCCTAGCAGGCCAAAAAACTATCTCGCGGAATTGCGTCAAGAAATTTTGAAGTTCTAAGCCAAACCCTGCGCACGTGGGAGGTTTCGTCGACTTATCCATTTTTAGAAGAACATATAAAAGCTGCACTTGCAATTACTGTATCTGTATCAAGTTTCGGTTGATAGTGCTCAAACTAACACGGCAAAAAATCTATTCTAAGTCCCCATTATCAATCTATATGGATCACCGCCACAATGATCCCCCCTACCCCCCCAGGATACCACTCAGCTCCCCCGCGAGGCCATCGCCTATCGCCTCCAGCCCCTTCCCCTCGGTCTCGCATCCCGATAGTCTCCGACCGTTTTCATGTTGGAAATCACTCCGCGGCCCCGGGGCAGACTACCAGAAAAGAAGCCAGAAAAATGCCCGACGGGGGTAGTGGCGCAAGTTTTCAGAAGAGCTCCGACGTAAAGCGGCTGACGAAAGTAAGATGTCACCAAGGAGATGTCTGGCGAGAGACGTCCGAAGAAAGACATCCGACTACTTAAGTTAAGACCCCAGGCGAATGACGTCTGACGGCACCAAGCGGGTGACAGACGTTTGACGCTTCAGGAAAGACATCTTTCTAACGAAAGACTGACGTCAGAAAGGAGACGCCCGCCGGCAGATCGACTGCAGGCGACAGACATCCGACGAAAAACGTCCGACAGACAAACGACTCCAGCCAGACGAAAGACGACGGGCGACAGACAAGACGTCATCGGACGACAAGGCGGCGCCGAACACAAGGAAGACGTCTGACGGCATTCGCTGTTTTGACGAAGCAAAGGCGTCGGCCAGACGAGGCCGAAAGGCGTTAATAAATCCGACGAAAGACTAAGACATGCGCCCAGCGAAAAGCCTCAGCCTGGCCGACGACAGAAATCGACCTGACAGACGAAGCAAAGAGCCAGTCGTGCGCCAGCCTGACGAAAAGCCTCAGACGGTGAGGCGGCAGACGTTTGGTGAAAAGCGCCAGCCCCTCTGACACCCGCCGCCAGTCTGACGGAGGGAAGCGCCGCGCCTTTGGTTTAACGATAGGCATCATTCTGACGGGGCAAAGACGTCAGCCTGACGAAAGGCATCGGCCCGACGAAAGGAGTCAGCCTGACGAAAGAGGTCAGCCCAGCCGGCGAAGGACGTCGGCGTGACGAAAGACCTCGGCCCGAAGAAAGGAGAGACGCCCTTCCAGGCACAACACCACCCGGCGAAAAGAGAAGCCCCACCGGCTGCGCATTGAGATACGAGACGCAGCCACCGCGGCCATCCGTGCGCTGCTGTTTCTTGGCCCGTCGAGGGCGCCTTGTAAGCGGTTGGGCCTGCGGGTGCCTGTGCGTGCCTGGTGATAGTCTTCCGGCGTTTTTTGTTGGACTGCCGTGGGGGTCTTGCAAATTCTCAAGGATTTGCGTGATCCCCCCGCAGTCCAATAAAAAACCGAAAGCAGCCGACCTATCAGCCCACCCATATGTCGGCGCATCTAAGTATCTAAGCCTGCTGGCGTCGGCGGTCTTGTCTCGTCAAAGTCCGCTTATCGAAGTGCACTAATTAGCCCGCGGGCTGTCTCTAGCTGTAGCCCGTGGGCGGCGAAGTGCTACGCTTGAAGCCAGGCGAAGCTCGTGGGGGCTAGTACTATTAGTACCATCAATCTATCATAGTAAAAGTTGTACTTAAAAACCACAACGGCCATTGATGATCGTCAGATGTTGTACGCAATCAGAACAAGAGGAGTCAGAAGGGTTGGGTGGAAAACGTCGATGATTATAGTGACTGTTCACATGTGCTGGTCCAACTCCAAATTATGATCCTGAACAACTTCTAGATTTAGACGGAGTAGATTAGCAGCACAGTGTGAGACTGAGAAGTGAGCATTGGATTACTTTCTATTTCTTTCTTCCCATAACGTTGGGAGCAGCCTGTGTCCAACCTCCGGGTAAGCTTAGAGAAGATGAGACGCTCTAGTGACCATGCAAGGGCCTAGATCGCTGGCGGTGAACACGGAGTAGCTCCAGTCCACGCAAAATCAAAAAGAAATCATAGCGCAGCACTTCCAGACGATAGTGGATGGGCCTGTAGGGGTCATGGGTCTTGTGACTCACTGGGTACCAACGTGATCGAGATCCCCCCACGTTCTGCCTCTTAGGGTCAAGATCAGAACCACCAATAAGATCAAGAAGAGCAGGAGGGCCGCCACTAAGGTGACCAGGCTGAAAAAGGTCAACACGATCGGAATCACATCGCGGGCGAGGAAGGTCAACCGAATAGCAGGGCCCAGGTTAAAAGTCAAGAGTGAGAAGGCTGCTCAGGAAGTCGCTAGGTACTCTCCAGTAAGGAAGCAGCAGAGCAAGCAACGACAACAACCACAACAGACCCTATCTGCATGCAGCTTATTCAAAGTGCTGAGCTGACCCCGATGGGGTTCATAATCAGCAAACCCCTCGCGCGCTTTGGCGTTGCATCTAATCAGTGTTCGCCTTCGCACTAGGTGGGCCACTGGTCTAACAAGATCAAAGAAAAAATAATAAACCAAACAGAAACAATAAGTCAAGTTTTGTTGTCAATTAAGTGCGAGTACGTAAAAAGCGTAGCTTTTTTAGAAAAAAATGCGCCAGATATTTAAAGGACAAAAAGCAGGATGAGTGTCGTGGTAAAAAAACACATCGGAATCGGAATCAAAAATATCGAGAAGGTTTGGAGACTATGGCTAGCACCTATTCGAAAAGCTGAAACTGAAGGAGCAAGCAAATGACTAGAATAACACAGAAGAACATACTGAAGTGAGAGAATAGCCTTTACAAGCTACGTCCCTCTTTCAGTCAGTAACTCGCTTATTTCCAGTCTTCAGCTATTAGAAATTTTAGTTAGTTGGAAGTCATCAGGAGCCATAATTATCTGCGTAGTAGAGGATCGGACTTGTCTTCGAATAGGCGGCGCTTCGCACAAAGGTGTACAGCGATTCTTTGGCGCTCCCCTCCTGCAGCGTCGTCGACCAAATGTAGGGCACAATACCATCAGGGTCCAGTCTGGTGGCGCGGTTCGGATTAAGTCGCGTTATCAAGACCTGCCCAAATTTCTGGAGGCACATGCAATAACTGCAATCATCCTGGTTGCTGTTCGAGTTGTCAGCGCTACCGCTACGTACACGCGACAAAGGGTAGGCGACTTGGTATAGAAATTCCGTCATAACAGCGTATAAGATCTTCGCCATGTACCTTTAATAGGATAGGGGGATGGGGATCAGTTCTAAGGATGCCGCTTCTTTCTATCAAGGACACAATCGAAATTGACTCACTTTCCATATCAGGGCGCGCCCGTGTCTCCCGGTCTTCTTCATTCCTTCCAACTACTTTCACCACCATCATCATCATCATCACCATCAGCATCATCATCATCATCTTCATCATCCTCACCGTGTGCTTTCTTCTTGAAGAAAGGAAGTGATCCGCTTCGTCACTCATCTCAAGATCCTTGGTCTTCACAAGGGACGCTGATCATGAACGACTACCCAGTTATAGTAGTGTGCCCAATCGTGGGGCATCAGTGCTTTACCAGTTTAGGATAGGATAGGAGTAGGCCCACCTATGAGGGAGTGAGCGTTCGAGGCCACTGAGTTAGAAGTTGATCTTGATGTCCATGCTTCGCTCAACACACTAGGTAAGACTAATAGTGGTGGAATCTTCTGAAGAATGACCAGCAAGTGCCAACATGGTCAACGGCATGCCCTTGCAAACTTAAAAAAATCATAACACTGATGTAGATCTAGATGATCGTAGTGCACCTAGGTCTATGTAATAGTACGAAATGCCAGCAGAATTTTCGTGCAAAGATGATGGGAGGAAGGCGTTATCGTCCTCCTTCGATTTCGCAACCATTGAGCATAGGCGTTTCCAGTCCTCGCTCTCCATATATTTGGGAAACGATTGTGGATCTTCCGGAAACCACCCAGCGTCAAAATTAGAACCAGGTGGAAAAGGGCTACGCACTTCTCCGAGTGCCCATTCGTGGAGCAGGAGGAAACATCTAGACCAGGGGGGGCTCTTCTCGTTGCAGCACATTGCTTTTTTTTTGTTTTGTGCTAGCCTAAGAAAGTCCAGGCCCTTCGGGATCGCTAGGGCCATCCCGATGGCCTGGCCCGCAGTGAACAACCCTCGCAGAGGGACTCCGCCTCCCAAAGATGGCGAGGCATGGGCCCCACAAGTGCCGCCAAAGGAGTCGCAACCCTTAGGAGGCTCGGGGCGGGAGTGCTTCACTTCGAGAGCCGTCAAAAAGGGAGACAAAAAGGGCCCATTTTGACCCCCCAAAGAGACGACCCGGGCCATTTGGCGACCATTTTGGGCCAAAACTTTTGAGAAGCGGTCGCCCTCTTAAGGCATCCCCTAGCCCCCTCTAGGTGGGGCCGCTTCAGTCATTGCAAAGCCATGCGGCATTTTTTTTCCAAAAAAGGGTCGAATGTCGACAGAACCAAAGGAAGGCTTTAAAGGCACGCGATTGCCGGGATTTATGGCTGCGCGCCAGGCCTTGCGCCTGGCTGCATATATTTACTTAAAAAAAAACGCACGGCCACGTGGTGCAACGAGAAAAGTCCTGGCCTAAAGTGTGAGCGCTAGTCTTCTAATCTATTTTAGTAGTCGATATTATGTAGTTGCTTGTAGGTAATTATAGTAGGACTAAAAGTAGCGTCACTATTTTTACTAAGATTAAGATTAACTACTTCTTGAACCACATTAACATATTGCGAGTAAGGACTACGAACTACATCCGAACCATCCACGGAAATTAGCCGGCTAATTTACTTTATGCGCCTTGAGCGTCGCCGGACCTCGACCCGCCCCTTCCCAAATATAAGGCGGCCCTTTTGCTTTTGGGGAGACTTATCCCTTTACTCACCAAACCAGCCCAGCCTCGAACAAAAGAAAATGTCACAGAGAGTGAGAGATAGCAACGCCCTCAAAGAGAAGCGAACGCCATGAGGCTACTGCTCGCAAGCCTGTCGCACTAAGTACCTTTGGCAGTGTCTACACTCGCGGAGGAGATCAGTCGCGGAGGGCCTGATATCACATGAGACACCGCAGCGACAAAACGAGAGCACTGACTGTTAACTTGCATAGAAAAGTGACAGACCCGAAGGCCCTTGACGAGGAGCCTCAACCAGGAGGAGGCACAGCCCTCCCTGCTTCAGTTTTTTCCTTGAATGAGACCCCTCAGGACAGCGTAAGACAAGCTACCCCGCCAACGCCATAGCTATGAGAAAGTAGCCGACGCTAACTGAACTCCCCCCATGGCTTGGCTGGAGCGAAGACTGAGGCGGCAAATTAACTGGCAGACTGAGCGGCCCACTTTGAGAAGCGCAGCCCTGAGAGGGGCTACCTGAATACTGACAGGCGAGCAGGAGGGGGAGCTGAGGTTCTGCCCATCTTTCCCTCCTTCAAAAAAAACGACCGAAAGCGCACACACAGGTTTTTTTTCGCAAGGGTTTCCCCACTTCGAACGAGTTTGGCTAAGATCTGCTCACTCTCAATGTTTCGCATGATTTGCCATGATTTCTTTGAGATTGAACGCCAAGAAGGGTCCTAGCTTGGGAAGATGCAGGGCGCTGCCCTTGTTCATCCATGGCCCAAGGAAAGGGAACCTTGGCCCTAAACTCAGACTAGCTCAAGATTAGGAGCGCTGCTGCCCCTTGCCCGTACTAGAGGTAGACCCTACAAGAGAAAGACCCTTGGCGAGCTGTGCTATACTACGTATAGATAGTAATCAGGTCGACCTTAAGCAAAAAAAGGCGCTGACTTCTTTAGAAAAATAAAAAGCTATTTAGATGAAAAATCAACAGCGACCCACCCAGGCTCACACCCTTCCACTTCCGAGCCCCAGCAAGCTCTCACTCGTTCACCTTCGAACCCCCAACCCCCGGCCCATGCGCTCACAAACTTCTGAATTTATGAACTCAAGACGAAACTCAAGAACTCAAGAACCCACTCAGAAACATGCAGCCACATGAATCCCGCAGGCAGCAACTTCGCGGAAACTTTCCAGAAACTTCACCACTTTTGTGACTTTTCAGAAGTTTCTGGGAAGATAAAGAGAAGGCTCTGGGAAGTTTCCCCGTCATGGCTTCGACTAGGGTAAGCTTCTGGAAAGATTCCGAGCCCATTGCAAGCGAGAAGGCGGGAGAGATTCCAAGAAGACTCTGGGAAGATTGATTCCAAGAAGCTTCCCCCTTCATTCTTAGTATTCACGCTGATCCAAGTACGTCGCCGATACCTATAAACTTCTGAACTTATAAGAACTTGCGAACTTATGAACTTGCAAGGCCTGGGCATTCGTTAGACTTCACGCGGGTGCGTCTTGGTTTAAAGCTATACAAAATAAAGCCAAAACTTTTACACGAAACCCATGCCCAAGACGAGACGAGTTCTAATTTTTCAAAAATCCATGCCCAGAACAAGAGTTTTGCCATCCAAATGCATTTCATCACGCTGCAGCGCAAACATTTGCGAGGTGAACGAAAAATCCAACGACGACCACACCATTCAACACCCGAACCCAACACACCCGAACGAGAAACACCGGAGCCGAGAGCATTTGAACCAAAAACATGCGACCCCCGTCGCAGGTCTTTCCGCTTCTTTTCTAAAAACCAACCAACAAACACAGCACACGAACACATAACCCCCTGACACGACATCGAGCACTTATTAAAGTAAAGCACGCTGCGACCAGCCTAATTTCCTTCAACAAACTTCGATAAAAAGCCTAAGCTTTTGACTTTATCAGCGAAAGCCTTACATTCAGCTCCAAGAAGACTGAAAGTCGAAAGCCCCAGCCTCAAAGCCGAAGGCCCGAAGTTGAGCGTCCTAGATCGGAGCCCAAGTGCCTCAGTTTGAAGCTTAGAGGTGTAAGCTGAAACGAAGGCCCACGCCTGAAAGTTCAAAGCTGAACGCCCAAAGCTGAAAGAGAGCTCAAAGCCGAAAACTCAAAGGCGAAAGTTGAAGGCTCAAAGCTGAGCGCTCGACTTTGAAAGTTCAAAGCTAGTGGTCGCTCAAAGCTGAACGCTTAAGGCTAAAGATGCCGCCTCTGTGTTTCAATGTTTCAAACTCGAAACTGCGAGTCCAAAGCCTTTGAGCTGCGGAGCTTTTGGCAGTATCTATCACAAGAAGAAGAATTCCGACAAGCTGCAAGCCCGAGCGCTGCAACTTGCACGCAAAGAAGGCCAAACCTACCAAAAGAAGAGGAAACCGACAAGCCAACGACTTCGGCCAGTGCCGTTTTAATCAATATCAATGGCCGCACGCCGTCCGCCGCCCGACTCTTCTTCCAACGATCAACGCCGCCCCGCGGTTGTCGGGCGGGGGAAGAGCCGGGAAAGCGGAATTGCGCCAGGGTGGGGGAAGTGCGTGCCGGGGGTGAATGATCCTTCTAGTGGGAGGAGTGCTTCCGGGCGCTCAAGTCTAGGAGCAGATGTATGACATTTTTTCGCTCGCTTCTATAATAAATCCAACTTCTGTGGTTAATAGTTGTAGCGCCGAACTAAGAAGGAAGCAAACAACTACACAAGCAAAAAGTAGAAGATCGGCCAGCCAATCAGGAGGATGCGTCCGCAGGACACAGAATCAGAGAAGGATCGACCAATCCCCCCAGTCATAACCTTTTGAAGATGAAGATGAGTCTAGAGGTTGAGGTAATAAGTCTATACTTTAATTATAGATCACAATTGATTATTAGCTTGATGTAGTAGTGAGAAGGGTAAGAATTGATGAAAGGAGCTAAACTAAAAAAACCTAAACTAGAGAAGAAAATGTACGCCAGAACATCATTGATTTAATGCTCAGGCCTTAAAATAATCACTCCACCACTGCTGCGAAACGTTAGGGTTCGAAACGGTACTTTTTAGCGCTAATGCGTAGTCCAACGTGATAGGTGGTCGTGGTAGACCCAGGATGGCTACCGGCAGGCGCGTTTCGTACACGTCTTACAGCTCTCCATTTTACTCTACTTGTCACGTCATGTTACCTCGGATACTACTCTACTATATTCTTCTAGTATACAGCTACGCATGCTGCAACACGTCCTCTCATTCTCATCTGTGTCATGCCATGTCATGACCTGTCATGTCGTGTTACCTCATTACCCATCATATCAAATGGCATATTTCTTTTTATTAGACTCATACAACAACAGCTGGAGTATCAAGTAACTTCGTAACAGCAGGACCAGGAGGTTCTACTAGTACTTCGGGGTAATTATCTTGATGTTTGTATATGTAGTAGGCTGAACAGCCAAAAACACGCGTATTATACTTGAAGTGCTTCACAGGAGTGACGCTAATGGGTGTGGAGGTTCGATAATAAAAACGTAGGGAGCGTAAAAAAGATACAGCATCGTGTCAGAGCTTATAGAATAGGATAGGAATTGCGGGCACACCTTCCACAGCCGGGTAAGCCTGTGCCGCCGGTGAACAATACACGCACTAGAGCTTAATTTAGGCGGAAGAAGAATTATTGAAGATCTCATGAAATTCAAGAACTCTCCTTTCCCCAGGTAGTACTATGTAAGCAAGCCTTGAAGGATGAACTAATTGTAGTCTTAATACGGACCAGGACCGCACTAACTCAACTACATCATCCAAAAACTACACAAGAACTACTTGAACCTAAGATATATTCTATCTAAGAAGTTCAAGTTAGATGAAGTTAGTTGTAGATAGTAGTAGTGGTAGTCTACCCATTCGGGAGGTAAGTTCAGGAAGAAGAAGAGGAGAAGGGGGAATGGTAGAGGGGTAATTTCGAGGGGTAATTTCAGCAATAATTGAACTAAGTTTAGCACCCATTCGGGAGGTAAGTTCAGGAAGAAGAAGAGGAGAAGGGGCAATGGTAGAGGGGTAATTTCAGCAATAATTGAACTAAGTTTAGCATTCCTTCTCCATAAGTAGGAGCGAAGCAAGTTTTGGGGCGGCGGCTTTGTTAAACCATTCGGCGGCGCCCAATTTTTGACGATAGCTTAGAGGAGCAGCACTGCTTCCATGTATAGAGGTATGCAATAATAGACGAGAATGAAATGAAAGTGGTTAGAAGATTGTAGCTGCGTTCGTCTAGAGGTATGGAATAATAGAGTAGATTAGAAGACGACGAGCATCAGATAGAGGCTATTGAATTCTTAGTAGATGCGTCATCTTGTTGTACTGAGTTTGTTATTGAATACAATACGTTAATGAATTAGAGGAGCAGCAATGCTAAGCTTTGAAGCGGAGAGAACAGGGCCTGAAGTGAGTGAAGTCTACACCTAGAGGTAAGTAACCTGAACCGCAGCGCATCCCGTCATAGTACTATCCAGAAAAAACCCGGAGAGGAGGGGGAGCAACACTACTTCTAGCGGGGTTTTTAGGGACCCAGGGTCCTTCTAACCGAAAGTGATGCCTTAGTTTTCTTCATTTTTCTTGTGCTGTTCCCAGAAATCGACGCCGCTCCAAATTTTGTCGTACTCCTTTATCGTGAAAAATTCGCTAATGTTTTTGGTTTTTCGTTGTACTCCGCTTTCTGCTATCGTTTTTGGTTTTGCTGCTGGAGTAGGAGCCGGTTCATAATATGAAAGTAAAAATTAGAAGTGTACTCATAATTCTCTCACAATCTTTTTCAAAAAGGGGCAAGCAGCTGGCCTCAAAAAGCTAGCAGGCTCGTTCTGGGTAGGAACATGCGCGCCCCTTTTCTTGTGTTGAGTAAGTGTCTATGAGTACACTTTTTCCTTTCATAAGCCCTCACCGCCTGGAACACTCGGAATAGGAGGCGCCGCTGGAGGCTTGGGAGCAGCGATGACAGGAAAGTCGGGATGAGTTAGCGACAGGAGCGAAAAGCTTACAATACAATCAATCTGGCACAGAGATCATCTGCGCAGACTGCTACATGATCAAGGGCGCCCTCTAAGAGGTTATACGGCACGATGCTATAGGTAGGCACAGAATGATCCTTTATCATTCACTTTATTCACATCCAAGATCATAGAATTGTCAAGATATCAATCACGAAGAATTGCAAATAATGGCAAGACCTTCATGACCTTGAAGAGTACTCATAGATACTCATTGTCATGAGTTGCTATAATCTTTGTTCTACGTACTAATAACTAGGGAAAAATGAAAAAGGCAGACGTGAAAATGATACTAAAAGCCTATCTATGGCCATTAGGATAGGATAGGGCGCCTTTGCCAAGTCTTCACGCAAGGTGCGGACAGAAGCGCAGGCGAAGCGCCCCAAGGAGGGCGCGTAGTAGGACGTGGTGACCGCCTCCGCCTCTGAGGGCGTTTCGAAGTAACCAAAAACGAAAAAAGGCGCTATCATGCTGCCTCTTCATCTTGCGCACGTTCTCTAATTAGTAATCCTATTGCACTCCAAAAGTAGACACTCTACATTAATAGTCCATTGGGATCTCATCCTATTGCACTCCAAAAGTAGACACTCTAAAATAGCCTCAGCGTAAGCGTTAATCCATCCCGGTCCCCTCATCTCGACCCCTCGTCTCCCCTTCTATTATTCATGAGAAGTAGAATACAGGGGGAACAAAAGGGGATCAAGATGCCGAGAGAGATGGCTTAGCGCTAACCATGACTACGTCTACGCTGTACTACCAATATGAATAATTTCTTTGAAAGCAATGACGGCGAGTCTGAGCCTACCTTCCCGAGGAGATGAAGTGTCTACGTAGAAGCAAGGTTCAATTTGGATTGGCTGTAATCATGATGAATCTTCATCATTATTGAAGTTACTTAGGTGTGCTTTTCTGAATCGAGAGGGCGTCCTAGAAAGCTCTCCTTAACGCGAGTTCTTCATCCGCGACCATTTCTATTTCGTCTGCGGTTTTTAGCGGTAGCTTTTGACTTGCTTCTTCTAAGAGCCTGAGTTGTAGACTCTTGCTCCTGTGCCTACTTGAAAAAATTTGCATTTTCTAATAAATATTAATATTGTGCGTTAAAAAAAAGGTGCTCCCGAAGTAGTTCGTTGTCTTTTATTAGAATAAAGAATAAAAATGATTATATTTTTCAGTATGATCGTGATCATTTTGTTCCTCTCGTGTTAGTCATGTATAATTTGGCAAGAGCCATGACCGCCATAATGTGAGGTCGCAACACCTCAGGCGGGCGAGAAACATAAAGAACGTAGTTGTAATTCTGATTCGCATTGTTCTTCTTGTAAAATCAAAAATCCAGAGACTTAATCTTTCTTTCTCCCAGAGTTCGCAATTTTCGGCTGTCATTTGGAAATTTTGGTGGCCAGCGATAGCTGTGAAAGGAACCGCGCCACGCCCGCAAGCCGAGTCATACACCATATTAGAATTATTCGATCAACGAGCATTATAATCTCCTTGAAGTTCTTGAAGTATCTATGTATAATCAAATCACACTATTTTTATTATATATGACTTAGGGCGGGACCGTGCCCCCCCTCCTCCCCCTGTGGTCTGGTCTGTGGTGGCGCGCGCGCGCGCTTTTCCGCGCGCACTTCGGCGCAGAATCTAGTGGGGGAAGGCGTCCAAACTTGGCGCGGGTCTCCCCTTGAGCCTCTCAGCGGGTTCCCCCGGGACCTCCTGGCCTTCGCTGACCCTCGCAGGCGGGAGGTCTCCGGGGTAAAAGGCCGCCGAGGGCGGCCACGGTCGCAAGAGCAAGCAAGCCAATGACCAAGGGCCCGGAGGGAACAAGCTGCACGGCTCAGGGGGTCCAGCCCCTCGGCTTTTGCCGCCTTCAGAGGCCTGCCACCTCCTTACGCTGGAGGCCTCTAGGGAGAGCCAAGCACCTGGAAGGGAGCGAAGGCGCCCACTTGGCCCCCCTTGTTTTGAGGCCTTCCACCCCGGGCAGACGCCTCCCAAAGGGGTCCGGGGCTGGCGGTACCTCCCCCACGCTCGGAGGGGGGTACCGGCAGCCCCAAGCCCTGGATCATATATAATAACCGGGAAGTTGTAGCCTCCCAGAGATGAATAATGATCCCAGGCACTCGGAGGCCAAGTATTCTTGTGTTTGAAGATGTTACCTGCTTACTAATTTGCAGTATTCGAGTGCCAACGGATAGGTTCATCAAAGGCGACGAGATTAAGTTAGCTGAGGGAGGTGTTGGTCCGACCACGAAGAGGACACTCATGAATTTACCTGGGAGAGCCGGGGATCGTCCGGTCCCTGAGAATGAATATGTCTCGTATATGATTGAAAATGGAATGAAAGTATAGACCCCGAGCGACGAGGGAGCATCTAGAAAATGCTCACCTGAGATAGTCAAAAAATGCACTGAAACTACAATGATGATTAGGTTAGTCTCCGTAATTTCAGTAATTTTTTTGAACTCCGTTCGCAACTCCTTGAAGTGTACGGCAATTAGTGAACGGAATTCGCGTCCAGTCTGGGAGTCGGGCGCTATTAGAGCGAAACTTTGATTTTCAATCAGGTTCCGAAGTATATGTTCTAATCCTCCACCTCGAGGTCGTTTTACGCGAAGTCTACAAGTACTAGTGATGACTCGAGTCGATTCGTCAAGTAGGATATGCCTATAGCTGCTACATCATCAAACAATTAAATACAAAGAATATAAATAATGTACGCGGCTGCTAGACCACCTATGATCAACATCTAGGAGAAAAAGCACAGATCATGATGTAATAAAAAGTGAGGCTATTTTTATATTCATATATGCAGATGACCTAGCCACCTCCCCTCAGCCGTAAGAGTAGTTGTGGGTCCAGGTTTCCTTGTTATGAATGACATCTTTTCTCCCCGCCAACAAGCGCAGACCATTGAGGCTGCCCCTTGATCTTAAGCTATGCACAATACTTATACTGTTTTAAGGGGAACAGGGGCAGCTTTCTAGATGGTCTGACAGATGGAAGTAACATCATCCATACTTGTTCTGCTGTCTGCTGTTTTTTTTGCTCTTTGACAATGTCCGGATTATTCGCATAAAAAAGAACTGAGCTTTGCGGTGAGTGCATATCATATACGGAAGTTCGCAGAAGCAAGTAAATACCGCCGAATGGCTCCTCTTTATCCGATTTTCTTTAGAGCTACATCCGCTTTTTTGCTTTTGCTCTTCTACAACTAACTATCCCCTACTGTCGCACCATCATCACCTAGTTGCGCACAGGACTACAACACGCACATCACTCTTCTTGCAGATATTAAAACAAAAATCCAATGGAGGGATCTGAAACTACTTGATGAAGCAAAGACCTAGGAGGATGTTATGCAGGATGCGTCTCTTCCTGTGACAGCACCATAATCAATATGGGAAGCGTAGGGTTGCCAGAAAGAAGAGAGCACCTTTAGAAAGTGCCTTCTAAGGCTTCGGAGACACCCCGTGTAGGAAGTAAAACTCTGCTTCACGCCATCCGGTATCGAGTTGGGGTTCGCGTCGCCATGACTGGCAACAAGCGACCAAGGGTAGGCAACTTGGTATAGAAACTCCGTGATAACCAAGTGCAACACCCACGCCATTCCCATTTTCCAATTAAATTTCCTGTAGTTTTTACCGAATAATAATATCAAGACCAGGAGAACTGCGAACAAGTCAATTATTATAAGTTGATAGATAAGAAACATAACAAAAAAAAATCTATACTATTAACCTATACTATTAGCCTAAACCTATCTTAAAGTTAGACCTATACTATTAACCTATATTATCAACCTATACCATTAACCTAACCTAGAATGTTACTTAATGTCCTATATTGTTAACCCATACTGTTGGCCATGGTCGTAAATCCTTGAAACTTCACAAAGATCCACAAAGATCAAAAGGATGAAGATCATCAAAATGACCAAGATCGCCAGGCGAACAAGGTACCCACCGGCACCATTCTCAACGCGTTGGCCTTAGTTGGCGCGGGTGTCGGCGGTTTCTCCCTTCTCTCTCTCGTTTGTCGTTTCAAGTCTCTCAACACAGTCAAGGACAAAGCACAACCAGAAAGGTCTCAAAGATAACCTACAAACCTAAACGCATATGGTTCCAGAATCAACGACCAACAGACGCAGGGCCTTCAACGTATTCAGATAGCAGAAATGAAGAATGTGCATAGCTGTAATCAGGTCCATAACGTTTTGATTGTCAGTTCTGATCAGTTCAGAGAAGATATGGATGATCGTATGGATCAACGATGATAGCCTAAGCGTTCCCATGTGAGTCATATTGTTGGCATCTGTTTGAGCGTGTTCCGAATCTGTTGAGAAGTGAGGGAAGCGAACGAAAAGCATGAACAAAGGAGAGCGCTTCTGTTTGAGTGTTTTCCACTCTGTTGAGGGTTGTAGAATAAACACGAAGAACGTGGAGAGTTACACTAAGTAGCATTAGCCTAGTAACGTAGTCAACGCACTCATATGAAAAACCTTTACACTCTTCCCCGACAAGATCTAATGTCTTTTCGCACATTGAAGCTACATCCTGGACCTTGAAGCACGCCCCGCCTGGAAGTAGCTAGCGTTCTACCTTTATCAAGTTTGTTATCGGTTGCATCGGTGCAACACATATGAAACTTTCCCCATCATGATACCCCAATGAAGAAGCTGGGGCTTCCTCCTTGCAACCCCGATAAATATCCACAGGGATCAAAGCAGCCGGAGATCATTAGTCTCAGGCTGTAAGTGCAATCTGTATCAAGCTCAAGCGTTTCACAGTGAGAAACTACACGCGACTTCACAGCCTGTGTTCAAATGGTCCAACACATACTGTTGCCCTATCTTCCTGCTGGTCATGATCGTAATCCTTGAAACTTCACAAAGATCCACAAAGATCCCAAAGGAAACCGACAGACCTCCAAGCATATGGCCCCAGGGTCAATGATCAACAGACAACGGACCTTCAACGTATTCAGACAGCAGAAATAACGAATGTCCATAGCTGTAACCAGGTCCGTGTCGTCTTGTCAGTTCTGATCAGTTCAAAAGGCATCAGGATGATCGTACGAAATCAATGACGATAGCATAGGCGCCTCCATATGAAACACATGAAGCCTTCCCCGTCATGATATCCCAGCGAAGAAGCTGAGGCGTCCTCCTTGCAACCCCAAAGAACATTCAGAGGGATCAAACCAGCCAGAGGCCATTAGTCTCAGGCTGTGAGTTCAATTCGCACCAAGTTCCGAGTTTCTCACCGAGACGCCACACGTGACTTAGCAGTCTGTGTTCGAATGGTCCAACAATTCCTAAACTATATTATTAAACCAATACAGTACCACTGTCCTAGTTATATAATATTACTAACTGTGGGACCACAAGCACGCAGACTGTTAAGCCACGCGTAGTTTCTCGGTGAGAAAGGCTGAGCCTGATGCAAATTGAACTCACAGCCTGAGACTAATGGCCTCCAGCTGGTTTGATCCCTGTTGGGTACATATTCACTGGGGTTGCGTTGGGTACATATTCACTGGGGGTGCGTTGGGATATCACGACGGGGGAGATTTCATGGGCTTCGTATGGAAGTCTTCTGCTTATCATCATTGCCCTCGCATGATCATCCTACGTTGATACTCGACTGGATCTAACTGACCTGAAATAGACGGACACGCATCAGATTACAACATCCGAGACCTAGCACGAGAATCACCGACGACAGTTCTTTATGCGCTTTGAACTGATCAGCGCTGACAAGTTGGCACGGGCCTGATTACAGTTAACGAAAGCTCGCCACTTCTGTCATCTGAGAACGCTGAAGGCCCTCTGTCTGTAGATCGTTTGGTCGACTTTGGAACCGTATGCGCTTAGGTCTGTGGGCTTCCTTGAGATCTTTCCGGTGGTGCTTTGCCCTTAACTGCGTTGAGAGACTTGAAGTTGAAACAACAAACGAGAGAGAGAAAGGAGAAACCGCCGACACCCGCGCCAACTCAAGCCAACGCGTTGAAAGTGGTGCCGGTGGGTACCTTGTTCGCCTGGCGATCTTGGCCATTTTGATGGTTTTCATCCGTCTGATCTTTGTGGATCTTTGTGCAGTTCCAAGGGTTACGACCATGGCCAGCACTAACCTAAATAGCATAAATGTTATTAAATAACCTAGATCATTAACCTAAACCATTGACCTAGATTAATCAGCCCACTGATCACCTCCACAAAACTCCCCGCCTACCCCGCCGGAGATCTGTCAGCTTCTTCCGCGAGGCTATTGCCCATAGCCTCCAGCCCTTTCCCCCGATAGTGTCCGACCGTTTTCATGTTGGAAATTACGTTGCGGCCCCGTGGCAGACTACCAGAAAAGAGGCCAGAAAAATGCCCCAGGTGGGTAGGGGCGCAACCTTTGGCCCGAGGACGTTTGGACCAAAGACCTTCAGACCAGGGACCTTCGGACCAGGGACCTTCGGACCAGGGACCTTCGGACCAGGGACCTTCGGACCAGGGACCTTCAGACCAGGGTGGGACCTTCGGACCAGGGACCTTCGGACCAGGGACCTTTGGACCAGGGACCTCTGGACCAGGGACCTTTGGACCAGGGACCCGCGACGACAGACATCCGACGAAAGACCTCGGCGCACCAGAAAAACTGACGGACGCCAGACCTGTCGCGAGAGGCCCTCGGCGATAGCGAAGAACGTTGATGAAGGACACCAGTCCGACGAACGAGGTCAGCCTGGCGAAAGACCGACGTCAGCCCGACGAAGAGAATCAGTCCCACGATGAAAGACATCCGCAGCCCGAAGAGGAGCCCCGCTCAGCCTGTTCCGACGCAAGGCAGACGCCTCACGAAGCAGTGCGCCAGCCTGGCGAGAGGCGTCACGCACCTGGCTGGTCAGTGCATCAACTTGACGAACGGCGCCAAGCTGACGAAAGCCATCAGCCTGGCCAGCTGCGTGAGTCTTGGCCCGGCGAAGAATGCCAGCCAGGCGAAGCGCTTCAGTCTGACGAAAGGCGCCAGGTCAGCTTGACGAGATACTTCACCCTGACGAAAAGCCTCAGCCTGACCCAGGAGGCCTGCCGAGGGGCGCCGCCCTGCTCGACGAAAGTAGCCGCCAGCCCGGCGCAGAGCGTTAGCCTGACGAAAGGCATCAGCCTGATGAAAGGCCTCAGTCTCCAGCCTGGCGAAAGACATCAGCCAGACGAGAGGCTTCAGCCTCAGCCCGAAGCCTCACGCCCCCGCGAAGTGCGCCCGTCTGTTTCTGACGAAAGACACCCGACCACGAAGCAAAGAAAGAGCCCCGCCAGGCGTAAGCGCGTTGAGAGACCCAAGCAGCGCAGCCATGCACTGCCTTTTCTTGTTTGACCCGTCAAGGTCGCCCCTCGTCCTTGCCTGGCGCCGCTGCGAGGCGTTTGCGCGCGTTGGGGCTTGCGGATTCCTGTGCGTGTCTGGTGGCTCTCTTCTGGTCTTTTTGTTGGACTGCCGTGAAGATCTTGCATGACCCCCCCGGCAATCCCATAAAAAAACCGAAGGCAGCGCAATGCCCTGCCCATGAGTCGACGCACCTGCGTGAGCACTCGGCTCGTGTCATAGCCAGTCTGTAGAGCGCAACAGCCCACCCGCAGGCCGTCTCCACTCTAGCGGCTGTAGCCTGTGGGAGGCAGAAAAGTGCTAAACTTGAAGCCAGGCGAAGCTTGTGGGGGCTAGTTCTTTAATACAAGAAGACCAGGCACTTCCCTAGAAAAAGTTGCAGAGAGAAATGGCAAATCTTCTCAGTAGATGATGCCTCCCCGCCACGAATGATATTTTTTGCCTTTCTTAGGAACGAAAGCCAGCCATCAGGTCAGGACCGAGTCCTGAGCGTTTTGCCACGCGGGCCTTCTACGCGGTTTCGTTTCTCAGTAGATGATGCCTCCTCGCCACGAATGATGTTCTTTGCCTTTCTTAAGAACGAAAGCCAGCCATCAGGTCAGGAACGAGTCCTATAAGTGTTTTGCCACGCGGGCCTTCTACGCGGCTTCGCTTCTATTATTTTATAATATAGAGCGAGGCTTTAAGGAGTTTCCAACTGCCCAGAACGCAAGCTCTGGGAGAGCCTTTCCAGAACAAGTTTTCTGGAAGAGCCTTTCCAGATCAGGTTTTATCTTATGAAAAAGCCTGCCCAGAACGCAAGGCCTGGGCCAACCTTTCCGGAAGAGGCTCTCGGGCTCAGCCTTCTCAGAGCAGCCACATGCTTCCTGGAATACCCTCTCCAGAGCAAGCTTTCCGAAACAACCTACCCAGAGTGCAAGTTCTGGCCCAACCTTTCCCAAGTGAGTTTTCTGGAACAGCGACAGCCTTTCCAGGGCTAGCAGGTTCCCCGGCAGAGCTTTCCCAAGACAGGTTTTCTGAAACTACAACCCGCCCAGGACACAAGTTTTGGAACAGCTTCCCCAGCCAGAGCAAGACCCCTGGGACAGCCTTTCCCGAACTCTTGGCCGGGTCAGCCATTCCAGGCCAGGTTTGCTGAAGCAACCTGCCCAGTCAGAACGCAATATCTGGGGCAGTCTTTCCAGAACAGGCCCCCCTGGGGGCGGGGGGCAGTCTTTCCAAAACAGGTCTGCTGGGACAGCCTTCCCGGGTCAACTGTTCTGCTTCAGCCTGCGCAGATCGCATTTTCTGGAAAAGCCTCCCCGAGGCAAGCTTTCTGGAACAACCTCCCCAGAACAAGCTGCATGAAAAAACCTGCCCAGAACCAACAGGTCTCCTGAAACCGCCTGCCCAGAGCGAGTTTTTTCAAATAATTACCCCTAAACCCCTAAGCCCTATTTTCCAAAGCCAAAACTTCTTACAAAAGCCCAGCACTTTTTCAAAGCCCGTAGCCTTTTCTATCTTCCAAGCCCAGTTTTCTCTTCGCAGACCGATTTTTTTCTAAGAGCCAACTTTTTTCCGGAGGCCATCTCCTTTTTCCAAAGGCCGGCTTTTTTCCCCAGCCTTTTGCTCTCTAAATCTAAAAGCCAACCACAGCCACAGCCACAAGCACACACAGCCAGAAGCACACACAGCCACAAACACACACAGCCACAAGCACACACAACCACAAGCACACACAGCCACAAGCACGCACAGCCACAAGCACACACAGCCACAAGCGCACACAGCCACGAGCACACACAGCCACAAGCACACACAGCCACAAGCACACACAGCCACAAGCACACACAGCCACAAGCACAACGACAGCCACAGCCACACACAGCCACAAACACACACAGCCACAAGCCCACACAGCCACAAGCACACACAACCACAGCCACATACAACCGCGGCCACACACAACCGCGGCCACACACAACCACAGCCACACACAACCACAGCCACACAACAACCACAGCCACACAACAACCACAGCCACACAACAACCACTGACATAGAACAACCACTGACACACACAACCACAGCCACAAGCACACACAGCCACAACTACACAACAACTACAGCCACACACGACCGCTGACACGCACAACCACAGCCACACTCAACCACAGCCACACACACAGCCACAGCCTCACACAACCACAGCCACACACAACCACAAGCACACACAACCACACACGCACGCCACCGAAAGAAGCGGACGCCTAGCCACCCACACGGACGCCCCGCCACACACACAAAAGCCCAGCCACAAACACACACACCCAGCCACACACATGCCCACACACGGCCCACCCGTCCACAGGTCTGTCGACCCCCACACAGATCCACCCGCGTACGGGTTTGCCCGCCCACAAACGTACCGAGCGCTCCTGTTCCTAAAGCCTAAATGTAGCGACATAGCTGGCGACTTGTAATAAGTAAGGCGAGCTGCAGTGGCTGCTCTGTCTTGCTCTTCCTTCATGACAGACAAGAAATTTTCATGACCTTGGGAAGCGCTTGCTTTTCCACCGAAAAGCCTTTTGTTAAGTGGACTGTGCTGGGATATATGCAATGCTACAAATGGTCGTGATGCTCAAATGTTGACCGAGCTGTGTTGAGCTGTACGCAAGGATCGACCTGTCTAGAAAATGCCTAAAATTCTGCAACCATACTACGCAACCTAGTAGACCAGCTCTACTCGTCAACTACAATGAAACGCAGTCGCTGCGCCAAGTGGATGCAGCTTAAAAATATAGTCACTCACACTGCATCACTGTCAACGTGGCCTATTCATCGCTTTGACGGCAGGGTCTCCCTAAAATGTCAGAACACGAGCAAGAACATGAGCGCCCGATCTTACCAGGATCTTAGGTGACAAGGTAGGTGCCAATGCTACAAATCATCATGGTGCCCAAATGTTGACGGCAACATTTGAATTACGCTCATTTTTGGGCTGCTGCATCTTTTTACTTCATTCCGCTGCAACTAGCTGTCTACGTTTTCGGGCTGCACGGCGCACCCCCCCCTGTGGCATCGTCTGGGGTGGCGCGCGCGCGCTTTTCCGCGCTGATTTTCGCGGATTCTAGTGGTAGAAGGCGCCAAAACTTGGCGCAGGCGGTCCCTTGCGCCTCTCTGCGTGTTCCTCCGGGACCTCCTGGGTTCTGCTGGCCCTCGCAGGCGGGAGGCCTCCAGGGTAAAAGGCCGCCGAAGGCGGCTACGGTCGCAAGAGCCAGCGAGCAAGCCGATGACCAAGGGCCCAGAGGGTACAAGCCGCACGGCTCAGGGGGTCCAGCCCCTCGCCTCTTGCCGCCTTCAGAGGCCTTCCATTACCGGCGCACTGCTACGGCGGCGAAGCATATCGGAGGCACTTAGGGCACATACAAGCAGGCACCTGGAAGGGGGCGCAGGCGGTCCTTCTCCTTTGGGCCCCTTTTGAAGCCTCGCCCCACCTAAATCGGAGGCCTGTAGGGAACAGCCAGGCACCTGGAAGGAAGCCCTTGGCCCCCTTTTGAGGCATTCCACCCCCGGCACACGCCTTAAAAAGGGGTCCGGGGCTGCACGGTGCCCCCCCCTACGCCAGGGTGGGGGCACCGTCGCCCTGAGGGCTGGATCATGTCTAGAAAAAAATGTCGAGAGATCATCATGTGAACAAATAACTAACTTGCAAAAATAATAATACCCACTGTAGTGTGGGTGTGCAGAATCCACGGGATTGCTGGGCTGCCGGAGAAAAGTCGGATGATCTTCATCAAGAACTCGTTTGCAAAGCTCTGCCCACTTCTCGCCCTCGCGTTTAACGCTAGTCAATCACTATCTGTGGCTGCGTGGGCGGCTTTCTATTCTTACTTCCTCTTGATTTTCCTTATCCTTTTAAATCAAGGGGGGCGACACTTAGGACAGATACCTCTTCGCAAGAGATAGTGACGCACTACTGGCCTTAATGTGTGGAATGCCGGGAAACGAATCGGGAATCCATTCTCTGATCTCAAAATTAGAAGAGGAATCCCAATGATCACCCTTAATATCCTAACTGTTCGCTCTAACTGTTTCTGTTCTAGATCAACCTGCTTCGTCAGCTTTTTCTCGTTTACTTGAAGTCGCGCACGTAGTAAACCATCGATCTACATCTATTAGTTGCGTTACGAGTAGAAGTCGAGTAAGTAGCTGGTGCTAGTATTCCCATGCAGATCAAGATTTTTACACTCCGACGCTCACTCTACTGCGCAGAAGACTCCGGCGAAGGGCGTCCCTTGACTTTGACTCATGTTCTTCAACTTTTGGCCCGGATGCATAGTGGCTCGGATAACTAGAACTAGACTGAGCGGATCGGTGGGTGGACTATGCTTTACGCCTTAAGTTCTTGCACGGTGGGCGGGATCCCGTCGCGTTCAACAAATCTTTTTAGCGCTATGCTGGTGGTGGTAATCCTAATAAAAAGCCCTCTACTTTCTCTGTGTTGCTGTAGTTCCTGTTGAGTCGTGTAGTGGTTGTAGTCGTGATATGTGTAAAAGTTGACTACGACTAGTCTACTATCCCAGGAAAGCAACAGAGGACGACGGAACTACAAGGAGGTAATCGACGAACGTTGAGAAAACTACTACAAGAGTCGAACTGCTCGCAGCGCCGGCCCTTGTTCGAAGTTGTTCTTGTAATCATAGATACTATAATACTTTCAATTATACAAGAGGACCTAGCAGTGCTACAGCTAATTCATGATTAGGCTTACCTACGTCCTCGACGTCGAAGACCTAAATGACAACGACGAGGTATTACAACTTAAAAACAAGTAAGTAGAAGTTGTGAAGTAGTAAATGAACAAATTTTTATTCGTAATTCATTGAATAATGTTGTTGTCATCTCCTCAAAATTGTCATGGATTTATGTTCTTTTGCGAGCTGTGTTCATAAGCCGCGAAGCGAACCCGCGTCGCGAGGTGGCGGCGCGGTTACTCCCTTCGGCGTCCAATCGATCAGAAATTAGAAGATGAAGCGGACGTTTGTAGCTATCACATGCTTTGAGTTTGAAAGTTTAATATTATAGCTTGAAAGTTCTAGTTCAATTATATAGCTATAAAGCAAAACCAAAAGCAACGCCTATTCTCAATATATGACTTTCGGCCGCAAGAGCAAGCAAGCCGATGACTAAGGGCCCGGAGGGTACAGGCGGCACGGCTCAGGGGGTCCAGCCCCTCGCCTTTTGCCGTCTTCGGAGGCCTTCCGTTGCCGGTGCACTGCTGCGGCGGCGAAGCCTAACGGATACACTGAGGGCACAGGCAGGCACCTGGACGGGGGCGCAGGCGGTCCCCTGGGCCCCTTTTGAAGCCTCCGACCACCATCGGAGGCCGCTAGGGAACAGCCAGGCAGCTGGAAGGGAGCGGAGGGGGGAGCCTGAACACCAACCGGCCGCCTTTTGCGGCCTTCCTCCCCCAGAAGACGCCTCAAAAAGTGGTCCAGGGCGCCCGAACCCCCCTCCCCCCCCGCTAGGGGGGGCGGTCGCCCCGCGCCCTGGAACATCTGTCATGAAGGAACCCGTCTAGTTCATCAGTACTAGAGAACATAGATGAAGCCAGTTCACCAGTAGAGGAACCCAGTTCAGTAGTGGTCACCTCTGGGGACTAGAAGATGAAGCGAGTTCCGCAACAGTAGTGGAGTTATAGGAGAGGGGGAAAGAACTACTCCTGAATACAGATCGCTGACCTTGAACTTCGAGTTTGAGTGATTCAGAACGAGCGTCGCTCCCTACAACTTGTCGTTTGTACGAGAACATGAACAAGCGCAGACCTCCAGGGCTGCTTCTTGTACTTCTGTCGTCCTTTTGACCACGATTCATTACTGAAACTTGCAAATCAATGCAATTTGTTCTACTGCTAGAAAGTGTAAGTGTATCGATAGACGAGAAGCAGCTGCTGCTGGAGTAGGAGGTCTTCGAGTTGAGGAGTGAAACTAACAAACTCATGGCTCTTTCGCTTCCCATGCCACGCCTTAATTAGGATGCATCTGCTGAACGTGATTCCAGAAATCCGTTCCCGCCCATATTTCCGCGTACTTCTCTTCTGTAAAATAGTTTGCAGCCGATTCCTAGTATGAAAGTCAAAAAAATGTAGTACTGTCTTACTTTCTCTCAAAAAGGATAAGGAAGCTAGCCGCAAAACGCTACCAGGCTCGTTCTTCTCGGTAGGATCCACCTGTGTGGTGTCCTCTTATTTCCTGGGTTGGATCCGTTGTACATTTTTTCCTTTCTTCATAAGTCAACAGGAGGTTTGGCTGGAGCCTCCGCTGGTTGTTTAGGATCTGCGGCAGGAGCTTCGACTGCGGGAGAAGCCGTTGGTTGTACTTCAGAATCTTGTAGTAAAGGATCCTGTGCTGGCGTCGACTGTTCAGCTTCAGGTGGTAAAACCTCCCCGGCATCATTAGGATTAGAGGTGTGCATCAATGGGTAATAATGCGATCTCTATGTAGATCGTGACTCGACATGTTGGAATTAATGCATTACTTCGCTTTTCTTCACTTAGTCGCGTGTCCACCCTGTCAACCTGACTCAACTTTTTAAGATTAGGTGTCGGAAACCTGGCATGTGATAACATCACAGCATGGCGCGACCATTAAGTAGGTACACCGACCGACACTATTTTCATCAATAAGATCATTACAGAGAGCTACAAGGTTAGCAGGATAATGCTACACTAGCAGACCAGTTCTGAAAATAGCAGTATGATGTATGTGTTGCAAGTTGTTCAGAACTGTCCGTGATTGCTGATGCTGTGCTTGAGGAGCATCTTGAACTTGAGGGGGATGAACATACGACGCTTCGCTCACGCTCACGACTCCTCGTAGAGTGCCAGACCAGAGGAAGGAGATAACAGTATGATGAAAATAAATAAGCATCAAGCTCCTGCAATGTCATGTCGTGCTGGTGCCTCTGGTTTGGCTGTAATGTCATAAGGCCTCTACTTCTATAGCTCTTCGTGTCTATCTACGAGGCCTTATTTCAATGTGATAGTACCTCCAAGGTTGAGGCCTTTCAATAACCTTGCCCCTTCATAATCTTCGTTGGTGCGTCGTACGTATCCAATAGCTCAGGAAAGCTTCCAATAGCTCAAGTTAGAAGATGGCACCTTGGAGTTGGACAGAACCCTCCGTATAATGATCTTCATGCCGCTTAATATAGATAGGAGACGAATTGAGTTGGACAGAACCCTCCGTATAATGATCTTCATGCCGCTTAATATAGATAGGAGACGAATTTCTTCGAGGACTTGAAGATGTGTGAGGAAGAGCAACCTGAGGTTACTTTTACAATCTACTTGCAAGCCTTGCTTCGAACTTCTTAAGAAGTATAGATTGATACGACTCTTCTAAAAAAAGTGAAAGAATGATCACTACACTCAGACTCATCTACTATATTAACCGTAAAGATATGGAGGCTCCTGCACCACGACCAGCATCAGCATCAACGCTGTCGCGTACGAGGTTCGACAGACTACGAAGGTGGGGGTCGTTATTGAACGTAACGACATGAATGTTGTAGTTTTTTCTCGTCTCCCCATCTAACAGGAGGAGTTAGACCATCGAGTCGCCTCCCCTTTGACCTATTCGAGCACCTGAAATAAGCGAGTAAGAGTAACTGAAGAGAGTAATCTTCTCAGATACTCGGTTATTTCAGTTAGCTACTCGCTTATTTTCAGTTTTCGAGTACTTCTTATAGATACTCTTTCATGCACTAGACAGAGACGTTGAAGGCGCGGCTTTAACGACAGGGGGAAAAGTAGGATCAGCCTACTAAATACCACGTAGAGTGAGCTACCCCACAAAATATCAAATAGGAGACAACTTCTCTCACCGGAATTTTCTCGACCACAGACCTCTTGCTCTAAGATTCAGTGGCATATACAAGATACATGCTGACAGACCGCTGAACAACTCTTTCACGATGTGGCAGGTCACAAGCGGAACCGAGATACTCTTTCAACGACAGGGGGAAAAGTAGGATCAGCCTAGAAAGATGATCTCCTGTTGTTGAGGACGAGAAAAACCTCACATAAATTTCGGACCCGTCCTCCGCCTTAAGACTCTTGAACCAGTTACGAATCTCTTCGGTCTTTATTACACCCGCCGGTGTGTCAGAGGACGAGCCGCGCGTCTCCCGCCCAATATTAGAGAATCATAGATGAAGCTCGTCGTCCTACTCCTGCAAGATAAAGATGCCGCAGCACGGCTAAAAACACTACTTATATATTCAAACTCATTGGTAAGTTGTATTTTTGCTACAACGAGTCGTGAAGAAGAATGATCAACACATCTCGACGTACTAGTTGTCAGAGTTTAATCGTGCATGGTGTAGTCAACCTCCCTCTCTCAGGCTCAGCTGACCAGACGAATTTTTTATTTGAATAGAAAGCTTGCTACGTTCCTTTCCCTACTATGATGATCCTAGATTTGTGGGTTCCAAACCCAAGTTTGCTGATCTACTGGTACTTCTTCAGTAGAGTGCCGATATCATCTTTATAATGTTGAACAGGAGTACAGGAGGGGCCGCACTCCGGAGTAGCTACACAGCAACTACATGAGGGCGAGTGAGTGAGTGAGTGAGTAAGTGAGTGGCTGAGTGAGTGAGTTAGTGAGTGAGTGAGTGTACCCACTCACTCATTAATTGGGCGACATCGGCTTCCCTCGTCGAGGCTTTCGCGTTTTTTTTTTTTGAGTTCGGACTATATGCTGCCGCCCTTTTAATCACTTAAACGCGTCTCTTACATAATCAAACAATCACGCGGCCGTGTCAAAACATACAGAAACAGACTCCATTCCATTCCATGAAGTCTATCACTGGCTAGCATACCAGCCATGATGTAGATTGTGATGAATAGAAGTACAACAATAACTCAGTGAGATGTAGTTGTAGATGCAGTCAAAAAGCTAAATTCTAACGTAGGATTAATGTTGAGCTTGAGTAGGATTAATGTTGAACCTTCCCTACTAGATAGAAATGTCAAGAAATAAAAAAACCTTTCATTTCCTGTAATCGTAAAACGAAGCAGCTCCGAGAGAAACCATCGGCGCGCAGCAAGCACTCTGGCAGCGTTAGGAGTAACCTTCTCCTTGTTGAGCAAAAAGCGAGCAAGTTATTAGCACCACCCATAAAAACTTATCTTTGTCCTAATCGAAAAACTGCAGTAACCGAGTATGCTTGCCAGGGAATAATCTCAGGCACTCAGTTATTCTGTTTGTTACAGCTTGCTTATCTTGAGTAATGGGTAGTCGAGTAGGTTGTACAGCGTGATCATGAAGAGTATAATCAGGACGAAGTGGATTGATAGTCAAGGAAGCATACAACTTCTCAGGAGGCATGCTTTCAACCTTAGTAAGATGGTTGAACTATTTTCTTACTATATCAGGGATGCTTTGTTTCAAAGTAAGATGAGCCATCTTCTATGGCCTTAATTTTCTTCAGTTGGAAAATCCTTTGCGGCATCGATCATTAGGGGCTGTTCCTTGGCACTCGACGTCCTCGGACGCACAACCAAAAGTGTCAACAGTTGCTCCCATGCCGCCAGGCGACCTGCGAATAGACCAATAGCTCAAGATAAAGACATCGAAATGTTGAACCAATACATAGCCATAGTAGATCGAAATGATCCAGTACATACCTGCTCACTACATGATCTCCCGCACTACAACAGCTCTATGATGAAACCAATTTTTTAGTCAGACTTTCGAAAATCTATAAAAATTAGTTAGTTGTTGTAAGATGTTAGTTTACATTTTAGTAGTTTTAGTCTAAGGCCTAGTAGTTGTAAGTTACCAGAAGTCTCAGGAGACTCCGACACATCGTTTTGCGACAGTGGTTCCAACTCATCGAGGACAAGCGAAATCTCCAGCGTCGACAGCTGTGCGAGGCCATGGAGATTAAAGCTCGGAGGACCTCTTCGTTGATCATATTGATGATACATATGTGGACTGTTCTGGCATTCAGTAGCCTGATTTTGATCATAAGGGGAAACTAGAAGAGGATCCTTGTGATCAAATTCAGGTTACCAAATACCGAAGCCATTCAATATGACGCAAGGGCAAGTTGATTGATATAAGTGAATAAAATAGCTGCGTTGAAGAGGAGTCGGCGATTGCCTGCTAGTAAGGTTCTTTAATGAGTTCTTTTCCGCCGGTTGGTAATTAAACAAATACCTAGTAAGCGATTTTTATCTGCGAAGGGAAGGCACCCTCCACGTCCACAGCTCTCACCTTTAGTTTTCCCTTGTTCTTTCCGCAGCGCAAAAGAGCGCGCAACTAATCTCAACAAACTAGAGGTAGAGGCACCTGCGCACTCCATCATACTACTGTCAGAGGATTAAGAGGGGGGGAGGGAATCAGAAAAAAAGATCATGGGCAATGACCAATAAAGTTTCAGCCTTAGGGAAAAGATCCTCATTGGACATGTTGTTCGCCTGCTTCATCATCTCGCGGGCCTTTGGGTTAGCATTTGCTGCAATATTAGAAGAGCAAAAGATAAAGAAGCAGATTGAGGACTGATTGGATGCATGGATGAAGGAAGCGCTAGTTAATATAAGACTGGTAGAGCCGACCTAACTAAGTAGAGAGATATAAATAAAAAAATTATTTTTAATCGGCTATATATCTATATGTCTCAGGGGTGACGGCTCCCCCCGCCCTGTGGATGGAGCGGCGGCGGCGTCCGCGCGCCCTTTTTTCCGCGGTGGTGACAAGTAAGGACCTCCGGGGGCCAAGGCCTCAAAAGGCGGAGCCGGAGGCTCCTGGCGGCTCTCCGCGTGTACCCGACAGGCGTCCCGACTCTTGGACTTTATCAGGGGGACAGCCTTCGGCGGGAGAAGGCCGCCAGAGGCGGCCACGGTCGCGAGGCCTGGCCCCTTTGGCCCTCGTCCGCATCCACCAAACGATTGGGGGGTTGAAGACCAAAGGCGGGGTGGAGTGGGGGCAAGGCGTGCCCGCCAGGGTTCTGTCGGATACATGCAGCACGGCGAATGGGGCCAAGTCTTGCCACCTGCTTCCCCCAGAGGCCCCCCCACCTCCCACGAGGCTTCTCCACAGAGGAGCCCGCACCCTGGAGGCCTGCAGGGTACACGCAACAAACCGCAACTACAAGCCAAAGGGGGCCCAGCCTTGCCACCTTTGTCCACCTCCGGAGGCCTTGCACTCCCGCCCCTCGGTGCTTCAACAGCCACAAAGATGGGGGCCCTGTAGGGTCCAGGCCAGAAGCGGGAAGGGGTCGGAGGTGGGTTTTTGGAGGGCTTCCCGCCCGGCCGTCCTTCAGGTAAAAGGGCCAGGGGCGGGAGGCCCCCCTCCTCAAAAAGTTAGATGGGGGGGCTTGTTGGCCCCTGGAACATATATTTATAGGTATTTCATGCTAAAAGTGCCCATGTGATTTAGGATCTAGTTAATATATTATAATGATAAATATTTTAACACTTAAAAAGTTGCAAGTTGGGTATGCTACAACAGGGTACCAGCGTCGACTATGATTCACGGGCGCTAAGAACAACAATGAACGACAAGTAATGAGTCATGCCAGTAGTCCTGCTTTAAAAAATCGACCTGGGAGTCACCTACGAAAGAGAAGCGCCATGACATAGAAGTTCTTCTGGCTACCAATAGCCAGCTCGTTTCTACAATTACAGTTTTTAGACGCTATTCACTAAATATTAAGTACAACTTAATAGTATATTGCAAGGTGGATTCATACTCAAGATGTCAATATAATGATCGTCCTTAAAAGCACCAGCACCGCTCCACTCCTCGATCAGATGAATAAGAGCAGACTTGACGTGTTTCAGCCTTTTCTTATTCTCGGCGTTTGCAGTTTTTTTGTCTTCATCCTCACCATCCTCGGAAAGGGCCTTCGCTTGCAGCTCCTCTATCACCTCCAGTGAATGAATGGTTCTATCTAGGAATGTAGCAGATTATCCTTATGAGGTTCCCCAAAGAAGCGAATGGCTCCACAAAGTCGTTGAAAGGAATAGCCTAAGACGAGGGAAAAACGAGCCGGCTCCTTCCAGAATGGAACCGACGTAAGGTTATTTTCAGGTTCCTCAATAAAGTTGGTGGAGCATATCTAACTAGAAAAGCAAAAACCGAAAAAAGAAAAGTCAGGCAAGAACTTACTTCTACTACTAACTATTAAGCGCCGGCGCTGTCGTGGTCCTGTTCAGGTTCCTCAATAAAGTTAATAAACGAACCGGCTCCACCTTAAAAGAAGTAGTTCCTCCTAGAAATAGAGGATCCAGGAGATCTTGATCTGTCCTCGGGGTGTCCTCATCTTCAACTTCATCTCCTTGAAAAAATTATCTATGTATGGTTCTGGTATTTGGTAACCTGAGTTCGATCCTAAGGGTTCTCTTCTTGTTTTCCCTTAGGACCAAATTCAGCAGGTTACCAAATACCAGAACCATTCAAATTAAGTTTTTACATCAGACAGAACATAATAATCCAGGAACGCAGGGAGTAAGTTTAGGTTAGGCTTGGGATCCTTCACATCGAGCCCCCCGGGCACATGGCTCAACCCCGAGGATGATGCGAGTTATTTACATAAATCATGATCTTGGTGCTTCGAGCTGCCTTTCTTTGACCTAAAGCAAATGAAACCCTCTAAAAAGGGCAAAGTAAACCAATCCAAAAAATGTCCATAACTCAGATAGCTCTTCAGCATTGTTTCCCAAATAGATTTCAAATCAGCATATGTGCTATCGGATTCAGGTCTTTTGACGGCCCTTTTTTAGAACCGCCGATGTACTTCGTATACAACATAGTTGGTTTGAGTAGAGGCTTGGTGCCTATGCCTATTTTGATTCATCACCTACCATTTTTAACAACTTGAGTAGCAAGAGCAGAAAAAATCTAAAGCGTTCAGATCTAGTTCTAGATGAAGTGAGCTGAGTTAAAAACTGACCAACGCTCTACTCTTTCATTAGTATTACTTACTTTAAATAACTTACTTCGGTAGTGGGAGTAAAAGAAGTACTGATGAAAGTAGGATCCGGAGAGGTGGAGGCATTGACTCATCAATGCAGCAATATTATCTTCAGACTCCCTTCTAATTTTCGTAGGACCTCCTGAAGATAGAGTACTTGTTCTAGGTCGACTACAAAAAGAAAAAGGGACTAAAAAACTCATCCACCCGTAAGCATGTTTTCTGAGCATCTTCAGTATCATCATCAGAAAGCTTGTCAGAGTGACGTCGCCTTTCAATGTCTTTTTCTTTTCTTTAGAGGTACGAGCATCATCAAGGTTAAGAGAGAATAGTAACTAAAGCGTACTCGATAAACTGAAATAGCATAGAAGAGACTAGTCTCAGATTATACACATGGACATGTCATGTCGTGCTCGTGGCACCTCTCTCAATATTTAGCTTATATATTTCTTTTGGTGCCTATCTTATTTGAGGCCAATCAGTGAAGTAGTACCTACAACAATGAACGAGAGGTACAACGAGGACAACGAGTTAAGATACAACAGCTCGGCTTCTAGAATCTAAGAAGATTGTCTTTGTGCTACTTGATGTTCCTTGTGCTCCTTGATTTTGGTTAGGTTAGGTGTTGGTCCACTAGATAAACCAGCAGACTTCAGTGGCTACTGAGGAGCCAAAAAATAACAAGCAGACGAACAAACAAAAAAGACTGAGGCTACCACTTGAGTGAGTATTGTTCGAACGATATCAATCTCGACGACGAGTTGGCGCAAGCCATAACAAATCCCTCAGAGAATTCCTCGTGGACGTGGTGTCGGTCGAATACCAGAAGACGGAAAAGCGTGCCATATTTGCGACCTTCCAGATTGACGTTAAGCAAGTTTAGAGCTCTCGGCAATTCATCTTGCCACTGCATCCTTGAAGAGTACTATAGCACCAGAATATTCTTCGCGCATAGTACTTGTTAACGATGCGCAACAAGATGAATTATCTATGGCCTTAATGATGCATCTTCCTGAATCACGCTATCCTCGTGCGCAATCTGTTCCTCGATTAGATAGAGATAATAGAGAAGACTGACCATCTGATTTGTTTCTAATTCTTGTATGCTTCAACATTACAACTTCTAGAGAAAAGAACCATCTAACTTATCATGAGGTGTACGCTTCAAACAAGTCTATACTGCTCTAATATAGAGTAAGACAATCTAATAAATAATCTACTTTTTATTATCTTTATGCATGTGCATCATCCTCTTTCCCTTCATGCACTATTTCTCTAGCCTGGTCTTGATTGGTAGCCTCCTTTCACTCTACTCAGCAAGGGCTCTCTTCTTGCTGCCCCCTATGTTCTACTGTTCCATCTGATGACGATGATGATGATGATGATGATGATGATGATGATGATGATGAGAGGACTAGAATCTAGATCGTACTGGACGACGACGAGTGTATTAACCCCTGCACCAAGTCACTCGATCTCAAACGCACACACTAACGGGTTGTCTGGCGGAGGTTGTGGTTGGGCTTTTCTTGGTTATGGTTGTAGTTGACTTCTTTGTTGTTAATCTAATGAATCAATTTCTACAAAAAGAAAAACTTTTTCAAGAGCTTCCACTGACTCCACTATCGATGTTGTACTACACTTGGGTAACAAGATGCTGGATTTCTTTTTCTAATTCTACCGATATTAGTAGTGGAGCCCTAACTAGGCAAACAAAATAAAACGAAATCAATCAGGTCGTGCCTCTATATCTATCTGCTGACCGATGGTCGCTATCCCGAACTATCCGACTGCGAGGCGCGTGGCTAATCCATGGCCTTTTGTTCTGTTCAGCACCCTGGCCCTCTCCTGGAGGTGTCTGATCTTTTCACGCCTCAAGCTCAAGGCCCACGCCAGTGGAGATCACTCCTCCCCCGTTCTAGATCTAGCAAGCTAAGGGATTACGCTAGTCCAGGCATCCCCATCCCTGGAGTGTAGATCTTGCGCTCATTCGTCAAGCTGCTTTTTCTAGACGATTCCCAAAATCATTCATAGTCCCTCTGAATCTTTCGAACTACATGAAGTTCGAATCCCGGAAAGGGAAAGAGTTCAGCCTCCGGCTGGCAAGGGGTGGGGCCCCTTCAGTAAGGACGAGAAACCACGCAAGCAAGCAACGGTCGGCCGATAGGGCACAGCACTGGAAGCCCCGTCGTCAAAAGTCAGCGAGCCCCATGGCGCGCCTCACGCTCATGTTGCGACGCGTTGCCGTTTCTCCCGCGTGGCTTAGGCGTGTCGCCTTCTTGTGCTCTCGGGCGTCTCTTGTTGGCGTGACGTGTTCGTCGGGTGTGTCCAACACTATCCCTAACTGAAGCTAATAGCAGAAATACTCGTGGCCGAGCGCCTATTAATTACTAATAATAGAAATAGAAATTAGAAATAGCTTATATTAATATATTTATTTATATATAATCATATTGAAAATTTGGCCACACGTCGCGCCTTAACTGCAGGACGTAGAACAACTCGTTTTTATAGGAGTACTCGCATTCGTTGAGCACTCCCAGATTGGCTTCCCAGGCTTCCTCGGCCTCCTTAGCCTTTATTTGTTTCGCTTCTTTCCCTGATTCATCTAGTATTGAGGCGTTGAGGTTTCCTCTTAGAGTTAGTACTCTACACTAAGTTAAAAGTAATAGTAAGGCTATAAGCTATATTGGGTACTCAATAAGGTTCACTCTATCGCCACAATCAGGGTTCTAGATCTCCTAGGGCTCGCTGAGGTATTCTCTTTTAGATCTCCTCTAGGGTTCTAGTAGATTACTTTTAGGGCTGAGCTGTTCTACATCGTTGAGGTATTCTCTTAGGGGAGTTGAGGTATTCTCTTAGGGGACTTGAGCTTGAGGTATTCTCTCAGAGGACTTGAGCTTGAGGTATTCTCTTGGGGGAGTTGAGGCATTCCCTTTCTTAGATAGAATGGAAGTAGCACTTCTCGTTTGTAGGAGTTAGGTAGAACTATGATGTGAACAACAAGAAAATCACGTTTACGTGGACAGTACTTATTTTATCGCCTTAAATCGAGTTCGGATTTCGCTTGAACATAGTTCTTGAGGAGCTGCGTGGTCTCCTTGTCCGTAAGTGTCGACATCAGATTTTCAGAAGCTACCTTAGAATTCAAGAAACGACTCTTCTAGAAAACTGTCGACATAACATTTTTTTCTTACAGGACGAAAAGGATAAGATAGATTAGGTTAGGTTAGGCGTGGGCCTACCAGGAAAACTGGCAGACATGAGTGGCTGCTGAAGAGCCAAAAACAAAATTACGTCCTAGAGCTGGTGGCGCTAAGTCCTAGTCTCTAACGCGCTACAGTAGACCGATCTCCACCGCCTCTGAAGGACCGCGCACATCTTCTTTTGACTAGATTCCTGGTTTCGGTGTATTCACTCACTCACGTACTCACGTCGTTCTTTATACTATATCTGTGTAAGTGTATCCATCTTCATATCCTTTTCGTCCTCTAAGACTCAGGTCGGAGTAAAGAAAGAAGAAAGAAGTACTACAGAAGAAAGAAAGAAGAAGATAGATTATTTAAAGAAAGAAGTACTAACTACAGGTACAGTAGTTTTTCTAGTGAAGTGCCCGATCGTGAGGTATAATAACAAGTGCTAAACTAATGATCTATTAGACGAGGCTGTTATTGTTAAGGCGGCTGAATCATGGATCTCCGAGATGTGAGATGTCCAATACTTGTCCTCGGGTTCGGGGTCGGGTAGGGGTAGGAAGATGATGGTAGTACGCGACTAATAGTATTAGTTTCTAGATGTTCATGTTCGTTGTAGTAATACCTGTACAAGACAGGATATATAATATTAATCATCAGAAGTAGACTTCTGTTAGAAGCTTGTAATTCGACGCAAATAGAACACGATGCAAACACCGTTGCGTTTTTAGGACGATATGACCTAATAGATAGTACTCAATACTTAGGATAGGAGTTAATCCGCCGCCCGCAGTTTGCCTTGCAATCTCAGGCGAACGTCCGTAGCCTCAGAGGGACTACGCTACCAAAGCCAAACAGTAACTATCGTCAACTACAATCTTCTGAATGTATAACATCACCCACTCGCCACCCCATCTACTTGACCGCGTGACCGATTTATGCGCTGCAGAGATGTTTAGTCTTTAGTCAAGTACAACGAAGTACTAGCCGTGGTCCTAGTGAAGCTCACTACTCGCTTCTTGTGGAATAATCTAGGAATAGAGTGAAAATTAACCGGCTACTTTTCTCTATGTGCTATGAGCGTCACTGGACCTAACAATGCTCGGGGTTCGGGTAGGTTTAGAAGGATACTTCTAGGTGGTAAGTAATTAAATGAAGTAACTACTGCTCTGCTGGTAATGAGCCTTAACAATGTTTGACCCTTTGTAGATGACATTGAGGTGCTCGAGTTTCCTGTTCTTTTTCTTGATTAGAGCGCGTTAGGATCCATTTCATCGATCCCTAGCTCATCTCTCTGTGCACCTGCTTTCCGAACAGTTTTATTTGTGTAGTTTTTATTTCTTCTGTAGGATGAAAATAATAATCTTTAAATGTATAATGATGCGAAACAAGACTTGAGGTGGTGCGTTTTTGTAGGACAATTGCTATATTTCATAACGAGGATTACAGCAGGGACTAATATGAGTAGTTCGTTTATTTTCACTACTTACAACTACGAGATGGAAATGCTTTTTATCATGGAGGTACAACAACCATACCAAGATACAAGAACTCCTTCGTCTTCTTGGGAACAAGGATAGGATAGGAGTATGCTCACTTATGACAGAGTGAGCTCTTGGGAACAAGAAAGATTAAGCTGGATAAAAGATGTTGGCCATAACTTTTCGAGGCAATCCAGCGCGTGGGTGTCTTAGAGGTCAAGGATCCAATTGATTGCACTCAGCAGCCCCAACTAGGAAAATAAGAAAATGGATGGTACTACAAATAGTTATTTACAGTATCTATCCTTATAATACTTTGTTGAAAGAGCTAGATCTCTAGAGGTATCTATCCTTATAATACTATTATAATATTGGTGTTTGTACTAGAGCAGAGCAAGGGACTAAGACCAGGAAGGAAAATTAGCCGGAGGTCACCGCCAAATCATGGCGAGGCCATGTCATGTCATGGAGGTGCCTTCTATGTAGCTATTAGTGTCTACTTGTGAGGCCAACCAGTTGGAAAGTACCTCCGATGGAGAGCCTACCTACCGGGAGGATTCCTGCAGGTGGGAACTCACACCTAAAGTGATTAGAAATAACCCCACACCAGAAGATGCAGATAGTCTTGATCTTCACATAGATGCAAGCCTTAAGTGTCGCGAAGGCGGTGCTCCATCTCATCTTGCGTAGAAGTAGTACCAGGGTATTCAGGAACAGTAGACGTCCAGTCATCATCTCCTTCACCTTCTTCAGGTGTTTCACCTTCTTCAGGAGGCACTCCATCAGATGGTGAACGATCTTCATTCTCAGCCGAGTCAGCATCTCCATCTTCAGGCGCAGCAGAAGAAGGAGCGGCACTAGCGGTGTCGTGGTCCCCATGATCAGGAGGTACAACTGGTGCATCAGGACCAACGGCTTTAGTTAGGGGTTGCAAGTTGGCCTATCCATCTCCCATTCCCATATCCGTGACTTTCCTACTTGGAAAGGTCATTATAGGTATGCACATCGAGATCGACGAGACGAGGCCATTTTGCAACTACCCTTAATTTAGCAGCAGCTTTAGCAGCGGTATCTTCACCAGCAGCTTTAGCTTTAGCAGCAGCGTCACCACCGGAAGGTCCAGGATCTTCACCACCAGCAGCTTTAGCTTTAGCAGCAGCTCTAGCAGCAGCGTCACCACCAGAAGGTCCAGGATCTTCACCACCAGCGGCTTTAGCAGCGGCTTTCCTCTTGGCAGATGTTTCACTTTGCCCTTCTTCAACAGCAGCAGCAGAACTCGCCTTCGCACCTGCCGCACTCCCAGCTGTCCTCGTTAGAAGTTCAAGTTTGTAAACGTCTAACGTTTAACGACAGCTAGTTCAAAGGTCGCGCATGCTGCGCTAGTAGTTCTTGTAGAACTTAAGAACAACTCGCAGATAATGATAACTCGCGGCGTGTAATAATGATGAGAGGACTAGATTGTAGGTCGTAGACTAGACTAACCCCTGCACTGAAGCTTTTAATTAAAAACGAAGTAGAGGAGTTTGATGTTAAACGTTAACGCTCGGCGTGTAATAACAAAAAATTATAGCTTGTAGTTAAATGTCGTTGTACATGGAGGACCACAGATGAACACGACTAGAAGTAGTTGGAAATATGATGATCTGACGAGAGCGGTGAGAAGATGCGAAATGGGAGCAGGAAAACTCCATTTCATTCACTCCACTCATACATAGTCCATAAATCTGTGTTTCTTCTTGCTCTTCGAGTTGTACGACGCTGTTGTCTTCTTGTTCCTCCGCTGCCTCGAAGATTTCCCGCCTTTCTGTCATCGCGAACAAACAGTATTCCCCTTTTTTAGAAGATATATATTGAAGTAGATTATCATTATCAACTATAATGCTACGAATAATGCATTCATTCACTCATTCGAACCACGTAGCAGCTACAAGTAACTGCCGGGCTCCATGGTGACCCCAGTAGAGACACGGCAGCTACATAAGACCGACTGCTTAACGACGTGAGTAACGTCTCTGGCTAAGAAGATGAAAATGAAGTTGGAAAACAAAGCTGCTAAGATGCATCGTGCTCCAGTCCCTGTTACTATCGTCCATGATGGCCGTCGAGATGTGGTAAGACAGTATTTCTTTCATCAATGAAGTCGGATAATGTCATGTCATGGAACCTCGTTTGTAGTTGCACGTGACTACCGATGAGGTCAGCCAGCAAAAGAGTATCTCCTAGAGGAGCGCTAATTTGCCGGGTATATCACTATTTGTTTTTGACAACCACAGTTCTTGTCTGCTGTCATCTTCCGTGTTGCTTGTTCTTTCCTCTGAAATGATTAAGCCTGACGGATTTTACAGGGTCATCTCTTGTATGACCCCGGGACGATAAAATTCCAGGAAGAAGATTGGATCCATTCTTGCTACAGTTGGTGTACGTTCACAAGATCCTCACCCGTCTCCGACAAAGAAAATTATTGTTGTCCTCTTTTAGCTGTTTGCACTGTAACTCAGAGGTGTTTGACCGCTCCTATGAAGCATTGGTCTAAGACTTGAGTCGTTTTTTCTTTGTTGTTGGCTGCGAGATAGTCTGACTACAATGTCATCACACCTCCTGAGTAACTTACCAAGCCTCGGGAGGCGTGTGCATCAGCCCCAATCTTGTAAGTCGGATATTAGGTTGTTATACACCTACAACCACCTAGAAAAGGCATCTTCGTCTTCCATAATGTTGACTTTCATCGTTATCATCGATGTTACAACAGGGGAGACTATTGCTGTTCTTGTCTTTCCCGCTGGCGGCGTCGTCTGAGGTAGCCAAGAACCCGTATTCAAAACCAACAAAATGAAAGTTGTGAGAGGTAAGAACTCGTATTCAAGACCAACAAAATGAAGCTTTAAGAGGTCGTGGTGGACAGAGCTCTGTAGTCCTCAAAGTCGTAGTAATTTTTACAGCGCACAACAAGTATAAAAACGAGGACTGCTCAAAGTACTTAGTTACGCACAAGTACTTAAAACGAAACAGTCCTGACTCCTGTCGTTTATCTGCTCAAAGTGTTACTGTAAAGACATCATCATCAGGTACTATAACGACGAGGACTAGTACAACTACTCCTACTCTTAATTGCCATAAAAAAAGGAACTCGTCTTCCACCTCGTAGTCTCGTCAGTCGTTTTTAATACTTGTTCATCAACTTGAGATTGAAGGTGTTGAAGTTTTGCTGTCCCGCGCAAGTTGTAACTTCGCTGCTTGTTCTGGCTATTCAGTTGTAACTCCGAAGCTGGAGATGGATCATTGGAATTTATTGATGATGCTGACCACGTTCCTCCAGTATCATTCTCTTTCTCTGCAGCATTGTTAGTACCAGAATAAAAACGTTGTGATGTTGACGTTCCAGTATCATTTTCATTCTCTGCACCAGCATTAGTAAAAATAGTATCATCTTCATGTGGGACGGATGTTGAGGCCATCATCTCAATCTCAATCATGTCCTGCTCTATGGCACTTAGAGAGGGTGGAAATGTTTGCTCATCTGCATCTACCGTGAGTGGCGACGAATCTTTTGCACCTACAACCTCCATGAGTGGCGATGAAGCGTGTTGAACTTGTACTGGCAGCAGCTGTTCGTGTTCTAGTTCATGTTGTTCTTGGTCATGTTGTTCTTGTTCTCCTACTTGTTGGTTCTTTGGATGATACGTGGTTGATGATTGTGCTCCTGATGGAATTTCCTCTGCTACTGTACCATCATCTACAACGACCCCATTCTTCACGACTAGTCCACCCTGTTCTAAAGGTGTTGTGATGTTCAGCTTGCTAGACGAGGAAGATGAAGAGGAGGTGGAAGACGAGAGCTGTTGACCAAAATCAAGATCAGGATCATCAGCGCCATCAACATTGTGTCCATCTGTGGGCTTTGCATAAACACTGTCGTGTCCATCTGTGGGCTTTGCATCATCATTGTGTCCATGCGATGTGGGCTTGGTGGATGTCCTCTTTTCCTTATCATGAGCGGTGATTAGAGCTCACAGCCTCGATAGCTATTCCTCTGTTCCTACAGCAGAGTATCCTCTCCTATAGCTATCCTCTCGTAGCAGATTCAAGTAATTCTAAGGAAACGGAACAAGATGTCGATATCTGGTGCCTTAATTTTTGATACGAAACTGAGCCTCCTGGAGGTACTTCTGGCACTGCTTCTCCTGGTCCTGTGTTCGTTCTTGTGTACACCACGTAGTTCTTGTTGTACTTGTAGTACGTGTCTACTACCGTACCCGTAGTTTCTCCCTCTGCTTTTATCAGATATCCGATTTCATCTTCGTGCCTTAGAACTGCCCACCCTTATCCAAATCTTGAACGCCATCCAAATCTTGAAGTACAGACCGTATTATTTACCTTTTTGTTTTCCCCTTGGAGAGCATGACCTTTTATACCTATTTCCCAGGAGGATGGCGTCTCTCAAGATCGACGGAATAGTGATCGGGTCAAGCTTTTGATGCTTATTTTCGTTTAAGCTCTCCTTCTATCTTCTTTTTTCCAGAGGGGCGCAACCTACTTACTTGCGGCGCAGCTCAGTGTCTCTAGCGCTTAGGTTACTGCTTCCTCATTTGCGGATGTACCTCCTGCATCACTTCCCTTAAGGAGCGCTTGTCTGGTATCAATCATTCAATGCCTTAAGGAGCGCTCTGGTATCGTTTTTCCAATCACTGGAACCAGCAAAACAAGTAACCAATTATACCAGCGCATTGCCGCCATGACTAAACTTCGCGTCGCCAAACGTCGACCAGGAAACTTTCGAATGCCGACAATTAGAAGCTGTTCTTGTGAAGCTGCTCTGTTGATCTTGTTGATCTCCATGCAATGGAGTACTTCTTGTAGCTATTAATAAGATGGACCTAGGACTTTCTAAGATCAGTATTTCGAAGGAGTCAGAATGTAAAGAGGACTTCAGTCAAGTCTCTGAGTCAGCAGGCGGTTGGCGGTATCGTCATGCTGTTGTTGTTGTAGTGGGTTATGTTGTTGTTGTTGTTGTTGTTGTAGCTACTTATTAAAAACGATCGGTGCCGTGCTTGTACTTCTACAATCTAATCCTAAGGCTAGGCCCTCAAAGTTTTAGTACTAGAGCAAGTGATCGATGTTGGATACGCACAACCTCGAGAAATTTCCTGAAAAAAAGTAGAGGCACGAAGTATTATCATATTGGAACACGTATAATTCGAAAAACCGAAATAACCGAGTATGCTAGGAAATAATCTCACATACTCGACGGCCATTGCTTTTCATGTAGAAAAAAAGGTGGTGCTTGCTGGCCTGTGGTCTTAAGATCATCCTGATGCTGGGTGAATGACGGACAATGCGTCGATGTCGTGGCTGCAGAGGAGGATTGTTCTGGTTGCCTGAGGAGGGCCGCCTGTAGTTGTGCGTCGTTGTAGATCAAGGTTCAAGGGTCCGCGAACTTGTGGCCAAGCCACATTGCCGGGACGAATCAGGCTCGAGTAGATCGACTAAGATGACAACATGAAGTTTTTAACTTTAACAAACATCAACTTGAAAAAATTCAATTCATGATGTACTAGTTTCTTTGCTTGGCATACGATAGGATAGGATAGGATAGGATGGGACAGGATGCCTTTTGCTTGTTGAAGAAGTTGAAGTGTAATATGACTTTGTTTACCTTTACATACAACGTGAGCGTTCTGTATAAAAGCAAGTACTTTGTTCCAGGCGCAGTGTTTCGCAACTTTTGGGTATTTTTTCACGTCGTTCCTCGGACTCGTGCTGTTCGATGGACTTCGCAAAAAAAAGTTTTCTGATGCGATCAGAACAACTGCTCTGGTCGAGGAGGTATCTCTTTTCTTCTTGTAGTTCTTACATCAACTTTTAGTGCATCAACTTGCAGTGTAGTAGCTTTTGTCATCTTCTTCTCAATCATCTCCTGAACTGGAAAGATGAACAATGAAATGAATATTTCCAACGTCACTATGTATTCGATGAAGAGGAGATGGAACTTTTTCTCTTTTTCTGGTGGAATTTTGAATCCGTCGAGGTGCTTGGTGTACTCATTTTGAGCGTTCAAGCGCAGGGAGGGGGAAAAGAGGGAGGGCTTTGTTGTGAGAGCAGGGAAATAAAGGTAAAAAAGGACAAAAAGGAGGATCTCCGCTTGATTGTTGAAACAAAGTTGAACTTAAAAGTTATTTTCCTTTTCTCTCAACAAGGAACTTGACGAATTTGCTCGCTTGTTTGTAAAACTAGCAAAAGAGTCTACTTCCAAAGAGGAAATTTCAATAACACGAACAACAACCGAAACTTTTCTTGCATCTCGAGCACACTAGTATTTGCCCGAAGATTGTTGACATTGATGTAGTCCTGAGGACCTAGGAGTAGCAGCACTAATCCTTACTTGCGTGAAAATCTTAATGGCGACCATTTTTTCAGACACTTGACCTCGAGCACCACAAGAACCTCCTCTCCTTAGTGGTCTCGTCTCTTTTCTCTGAAGATGTATGCTTTCGACCTCGAGCACAAGGGATTCACTTCATCAGCAAGACTCGTTAGGGTTCCGACAAACAAGAACAACAGAAATCTCGCACAAAGTTCTTCAGTGCAGACTGCCATATCAAGGTGGGCGTCGTACTAGTTATCAAAAATCTTCTGCAACTTTTTCATCGGCTCCTCACTCTGATACACGGATTACTAAATACAACTAGTGCTGTGATTTACTTCTTCTTGTCTTGTTGTCGTTGTGTTTGAGTTCTTGGTAGCACTAGCAGTACTTTTCAATTGTTCTCATTTTTTACAGCTAGCTGCGACGAGAATATTTTTAGCTCGTAGTCTATTTGTGCCTGTAGCTGTACTACTTTTCAAAATTACTCTATACTAGCTTCGAGGATAATTCTTACCATCTGCTTGTGTTACACTTTGCTATTGTTCTTCTTCTTTATGGAGTAACACTATGCCAAAAGTTTTTCTTTGAAGAGCGATTGGTCCTTGAATTGGAGCCAACCTATACCTATCATAGCACAGATGGACGTAGGAGCAAAAAAATCAGTAGCCACCATCATCATCATCATCATCATCATCATCATCATCAACGACAAGAACAACATCCACTGTGGTGTATCTCAACAAGATAAAAAACTGTACATTATCCCTATCGTTTTAAATCATTATCCTCTAATAAAGAGGTGATGTATCTAGTTGCAGCGGTTTCCTCCACCACCCCTCAGCCTCGCATGAACACCACCTCCAACATCCCTCTGAAGATCACCACCTCTACCATCCCTCTGAAGATCACCACCTCTACCATCCCTCTGAAGATCACCACCTCTACCAACCCTAGGTAGTGCTTTGCGAAGGACCCTGAGGCTGAGAACTTATTGGATGACCATCACTTCTTTGTTGGGAAGTAGAAGAATCACTTCTAGAGCTACCATGACCCGTTCCCGCAGGTTTATTGCCCTCGCTAGAGCTTGTTCTAGCACGACCACCAAGATTATCCCCACCATCCGTTTTTAGAGGAATGTGAAAGTTGTGGATGTGTTCTGTACTAAATATTTTTACAGTGGGAACTACAACAAGATCGTAGTCCCATAGTCCCCTATGTCGAAACAAGTACCAAAAACTGTTGTATGAAGAAGAAAAAAATCAGAGTGAAGAAAGATGAAAGGACTTCTAAATCGCGGTACAACTAGGGATTGTTCTTGTTGTGCATGTTTGTGAAGAATAAAAAGTGACCATAAATTTCCTCCTGTGTCGTGCAGACTCTTAGATTGAGCAGCAACATCGCCAGCCCGCCTGCTGCGATTTCGTCCTCCTTCTTTAAGCCTCAAGAAGATATTATGTATACGTATTACGCAGTGGACGTTGTGGTACTTAGTGAAACCATTTTCATCCGGGTGTACAGTATCACAATGTAAGGGCTCAATGTCAAGGATAGTTCAGGAGAGGATCACTTCTATACTTTAGCTGAAAGAACATACAAGCACAAGTACAACAAGTAATCATCATCTATCAAAATATTTTGTTGACAAGCAAAAAGTTGTACTTAGTTTTGGCTCTCGTATCTCCATCACCAGACGCTGCAACGGCTGTGCGGCTGCGTTTTTCTTCAGGCGGTTTGATTTCTGTTCCACGAGGTTTAACTTTGCTTCCAGTCGTACCGTCATATTCCTGGAAGATGAGATTTTAATTATTAAGTATCTTTAGTAGCTGTAGTTATTTCAAATTTCATTAGGGGTCCACAACCTAACCTAACCATTCGTTCGTGGTATTGGTTCCTTATATCGAAGAATCGTAGAGAACTTCCTCTTCTTCTCCTTCCTGTTCTTGTTCATCTCCTTCAAGAACTTCACAGGTTGTAGTACCACGACTCCGAATCAATGAATGTAATTCGTCATCGCTAGTTTTCTTGTTCAATGAGGTAGTTGGAACAAGGATGGAGGTAGTTGGAAGGATTTATCACAGATTTCAGGGGGCCTCGCTTCTTTTTTTTTGTAGCCTGGGGCTCCTGGAAGAGCAGCCGGAGTGCTATCCAGCCTATGGCAGCAGGTGGAGTGCATCAACCTCCTTATAGCCTGGACGATAGGTGCAACAGCTTGACGAAAGATAGGATGGTTCACAGGAAAAAAAATACCGTTTCTTGTGCGTATTATCATTACTATTCATCGAAGATGAAGATTCACTCCCTCAAAAAAATAGATCTTCACGACTAAATTTTTAATAAAATATGAATATTAGCATATGAATATCTGTAGAAGCAGTAAAAGGCATATGCTATATTTACTCTTCAAGGAAACGTGGGGCATATCTACGTCGGGCTCCTAAGAAATGGGGGGGAGCTGAGACTAATTTTTCTGAGAGTCGTATATTTTTGCGTTATTTTGTTCTTGTAGTAAAACAAGATTTTTTTCATGGGGAAGAAGTAGGAATTGGAATTCTGATGAACAAGAAAAACTTACTCCAATTTACTAATATAGTTGTACTATACAGCTGCAGTGTGCGAAGATGAATAATTACCGTGAGCGTTCCTTCATCAGATGTTCTAGTCGCAGTTCTGTAATCGGTGCCACCACTGGCGACGCTCGTCTTTGGCTCTGCTTGCTGCGCCGAGGTCATTAGACAAGCGAGTCATGCAGAAGAGCGCCCCGGGATAGGATATGATAGGATAGGATAGGATCATAGGATCTTCGGAATCGGATAGGACTTCTGAATACATAAGACTAAGATAAGACAAGACTAGACTAAGATCAGACTATGATAAGATAAGACTAGCACTAGGATAAGATAGGACTAGGATAAGACTAGGACTGTCGAGGATAGGAGTGGACTCATCATGTTCATAACCCTCTCTAAAGTCATCATATTTCGACTCCAAGATATCTTCCTTCTACAACTTCTTGAGTCATGCTGAGTAGCCGTTTCTAGTATATGCAGCTGTGTATAATTACATAGCATTTGTATGGAGATGCAGCACTTGTTGTGGTAAGGTTAACCAAAAATAAAGATAAACTTTCTCATACAACTTGGAAAAACTGCGACAAAAATGTTAGCAATAAAATGGAAAAATAATATATGTACCAGGGAGGGAGGCCCCCCACTGTGGATGGATCTGCGGCGCAGCACAGTGGTGGAGGCTCTGGAGGGTCCAGGCAAGAAGCGGCAAGGGGTCGGAGGTGGGCGCTTGGAGGCCTTCCCGCCCGGCAGTCCCTCGAGAAAAAAAGAGTCCGGGGCTGGAGGCCCCCCCTCAAATAGTTAGATCGGGGGGCCTTCAACCCTGAGCCCTGGAAAATATGTGAACTTTTCAACCAAGAATTGGCACCACTGCCATTAATTATATATCAGTGTACATCAAGAAGACTCTTCTTCGATCAAGACTGCTCTTCTTTCGCTTTCCTCAAGAAGCAATGAAAAACACCTTGAAGATCCATATCAGCCATAAACTCGGCCCCGGTATCTATATCGTGCCAGCACGCTGCTTCCCCAAGGCCTCTACTACCATAATTTTGTTCATTAACGCTAGGTACTAGACTGTCTGTCACCAACACCATCCGTGGTTAATAAATTCGCAGGTGGATAACGATAATTCCCCTGCCTCAGGCACCTTCCCGCTAGAAGATACTTGTATCTTCGAATTTAACTCGTCCCGAAGAGAGTGGATCCCACTCTTCAGCATAAAAACAGTTGTCTGCCACTGTAAAAAATATATCCATCTACATGGGAGGTGAATGGTGACCACTGACTAGCCTTAAACCTTGTAGGACGAGCTCTCTGAAATCTCTCTCTGGAAAAGATCCATTCTTATCAGTCCTCCGAATTTTTTTCGTTTCCGGCAATAAAAGGTTTTTGCTCTTCCCGGCTTCACCTTCCGAGTTTGGAGACGTTTCTTCACGACCTCCTTCAGGCAACAGATAAAGTTAGAAGATGAGGCTTCTATGGACGAAGCGGTGGTGCTGATGCGGGACAACAAGGACATGGACATCTTCACTCATTGCTTGATATTTAAGTATGTTCCTTCGAAAGGGTTTGTTAGACGTTGGCTAATCGCTGTAATCATAGACGACATCATTGATTAATAATCGAATTGGACTTTGTTATATTTTTCAAAAATTTGACCTCCGACTTTTTGAGTTTACACATGATCATTAGTTGTACTGCGTAGATGAACTTTCTGATGAAAGTCTTCCTACTTCAAAAAGTCAGCAGAAAACTCCTCATGTTCGCGGGAGCAGTTCTTGCAGGAACAGGATGTTGCTCTTGTCAAAAATCTTAATAGAGTTCCAGCGTTCCCAGCAGATAATTTGCCATCTGAGATTGGAGTTATGCCAGGAGAATTACTTCCTTCAAAGTCAGAGCATCCACATCCACCCTGGCTCCTTTACCTTCTCTGAAACCTTCAAATGATTATTGAGGAGTGTAGATGACTACTGAGAAAAGAAAGTTTTTGTAAAATAAGGTGTCATGATCTTAAAAAAAAAGAAGTATGAAAAGGCTTTTCTTCATTCCTACCAAGATAGGAAAGGAGCTACGGTGGATGGCAGCCCCGGCCGGGTGATGAATGTAAGTAATTCGGTAACTCCCCTTAATGAGAGCGAGCTTGCGTGCTCTCCGACGACTGCTCCACACCTGGCGCTGCCCACTCCTCGACTAGGCGATCGAACAAGTATGAAAATTCCTAAGTCCTAACAACATATCAACACTAAAATTGTTAGATGCGCGGCTGCAGACGCAAATAATAGTCCTACTACTTTTAACCGATGAAGAGGCAAATTGAAATGTCGTCGTTGAAATATAACTACTTATGAATATGGTGGTGGTTGTACAGGAGCAGGCGGAGCATCAGAACGTGGCCCGTGGTGAGCTTATCTACTACTTATGTTGATTAAGTAGCTGTAGGCTAGGTTACGTTAGGCTAGGGATGGGTCTACTAGGAACACTAGAAAATGATCAATGTTGAACACGATGAAAATGATAAAAAAAGTATTAAAAATGGTTGCTAGCTCATTAAATATTAAGAGCAATAAAACTTTGCAAACACATCCCTTCGGAAACCTCAACCTCCAACACCCAAACCCAAAACCTCCAACACCCGAACCCAAAACCTCCGACACAAAAACAAACAAACCCATGAACCCATGAACCCATGAGACCACGCATGAAACCACGCATGAAACCATGAACCCATGAACCCCTGAACCCATGAACCCATGAACCCATGAAACCATGAAACCACGAAACCACGAAACCACGAAACCACGAAACCATGAAACCATGAAACCATGAAACCATGAAACCACGAAACCACGAAACCACGAAACCACGAAACCACGAAACCACGAAACCACGAAACCACGAAACCACGAAACCATGAAACCCTGAAACCCTGAAACCATGAAACCATGAAACCATGAAACCATGAAACCA